CGCGCGCGTTACGCGCGCGCGCCGCGCGCATGTAACGCGCGCGCCTTATTTCGCGCGTAACGCGCGCGCGCGTAACGCGTTATAACGCGCGCGCGTAACGCGCGCGCGCGCGTAACCCGCGCGCGTAACGCGCGCGCGCGCGTTACAGTTTTTGCACCTTAGAAAGATGAAAAATTATAGCTTAATAATAGATTAAGGCTGACCAGGCCAGCAGATTCATTTGAAATTCTCCGCGCGCTTGATGCCTGAATCTACAAAAAAGCTGCCCACCTGTCTGAGAAGTTCACCGCGAATTCTACATGATCTCAACTTCTAGAAAAATGCAGTCGTCTTCTGATGTGTTGACTTTTATCCCTCTTGGTCGTCCTTCTTGTACATCTACGACAGATATCCACTCTCGTGGTGAGATTGATTTAATTGAAAAGGTTCACTCCATGAAAAATCTTTGAAAAATCTTTCATAGTTAGATTGAATGCGTCCTTTGCTAGTAGTTAACAAGGAGGCTGATGAAGCACATGACTCTAAACCTAAGCTTTGTTGAGCACTAGTCGGGTGTGTCGAAGCGGTCCGAGTGATACTTTGGTGTAGGGTGCCGTTGGACCGAGGACGACACTCATTGAGATTCAGTTAGTTTTGCGAATAGACTCCCTATTTGAAGTTCGATTCTGATTGTGAAGATTGAAGAATTAGAAGGAACACTTGAAACAAGAATAAGTTGTTGCATTTTCCTAGTTCGTGAGTGCGCTCGATTTAGGATGAATTAATATGTAACCCCATTGATTATAGTTTTGACACGTATTTATGATGCGCAGAGTTTTTGATCTGCATCAGTGAGGAAAATTTTGGCGCTTTCTTTTGGCAATCTATCGTTTATCTAAAAAATTCCCCTAGTCGTCAGTAGTTCTGCCTTAGTCATAACATATCTACGCTCCGCCCCTGGTGGGAAGGGAGAGCTATGAGCCCCAGGCGGGACGCCTCTGTGAGGAAAGTGTCTGGTTGTGGCTATTTGTCCTTCAGTGACGCACCCAGGCACCTATGAGAAGGTGCGAGGAAAGAGGCAGAGAACCGTGAGCCCCAGGCGGGGCACCTCTGTGAGAAGAACCAAGCTGCTGCTTGTGAGCGTTCTTTTTTTGATGTTCGCAAGCACCTCATACGAGAAGGCGCGAGAGACGAACCAGAGACATCTGAGTCCCCGCGGGGCGCTGTCTGTCTGTGCCTCCTTGTACTTCTGTGTTGCTCGATTCTATGAAGAGGGCGCGAGATCCTAGCAGCCGAGACCCTGTGCCGGTGCAGTGTCGTCTGTTGCCCCAGCGCGCTGTCGCTCTCCCTCTGTTTGATCCCCTCTGTCTGAGGAGCGAGCTGTCCTTCTTCCTGAGTTACACCACCGCCGGGCGCGGCATCTTGGTTGAGTCGTGGCATGCGCCTTCGCACAGCCTCGGGTGCTCTAGTTGACGCGGAAACTTACCAACGCGTCTCCCAGTAGAATTCGTGCGCGCTTGCTTGCTTCTCGTTCTCGCACCATTCCTGTTTGTTTTTTGTTCCGTAGGATTTCTCCGTCATCTGATAGCTGTAGGCCCTCCTGTTTTCTACGTATCTCTCCATTTCAGTTTCGCACTCCTTGCTTATAGAGTATACTGCTTTTTTCCCGTTGCTGCTTCTTGTAGTTGCACCATCTACCTTGTCGCACTTTTTCACTTAACGTGGAAACTGCCCCGCGGGCATGTTTCCCCCTCTTCGCCTCCGTCGAAGGCGTTGCCACCCAGCGAACGCCACTCGCTGCAATTCCTGGGCCCTTGGCTGTACTGACTGGCCTTCGCGAAACTTGCTTCGTTATCGCGCCTCCGATGCCATTGCCGTGGGTGCGTGAGAAGCTCACGCCTCGCCCTAGCCGAAATGCGCCGTGGCCATGGCCGCACGTGTACCGGCTGCCTCGGAGGTCGTTCGCACGTCGATGAGGTTAAACAGTAACGCCTGAGGGACCGGCTCGACGCCGAGGGTGACAGACGCGCTCCGTCTGAATGTCCTGAGGAACCCCAGGAAGGTCATAGAAGGCGCCGGTCGCCTGACTGTCTGGCGAACCCCTCCAATGATAATAACATATCTACGGTAGTTAGCGCTAGCGGCCCACTCACGTTTTCTTGCATAGCGCGGCAATCACCAAGCGGTCTCGTGGCGTGTGGTCATGTTCATGCATGATTCTCAGTTGTCCGGCTTTGTTCGTGTTTCCTTTAGATGGTCTGATGAGGCGTTCTAACCGCATGTGAGATCTTGGAATCTTGCGGGTGATCTATTTGTCTGCGTGTGCTGATGCACTCTTCCACTCTGAACAACAGAAGTGGGATCCCTTTCATTTCAGCGATCTTGGCCGTGTTTAGTTCGTTGTCAATAGAGGACTTTCTACAACTAGATATGATTTGCAAGTGCGGTCATGTCACGTTTTATTAGACCTGTGGCAAGGAATTTGTTCCGTCTGCATAAGTGAGTATCCAGCTTGATCGCAATAGACGGGTTCATTGTTTTTTCTACTTATATATATAATTTATTAGCAAAGAAGGACTTCAACGACATCGACTCGAACGAAAGTGTGTCTTTGTCAGCTTTTTATAACACCGCTATAGATGACCATTGTTCTGCATGGTTGAACGTTTTTATCAGATGTCTTCATGATTTCCCTTTCTGCTTGCATCCCGTTGCCCGTTTTTTGCTTGTGACTGTTTCAGCGGCTTTCGGCACGTGAGATAAAACACGGTGTGAGCCTCTGGTGCTGCTTCTATACACGTGGGGCTTGGCTAGGAAACAATCTGACTTGCGCGTCATCAAGTGGCTACGTGGCAAGCACACTTTACTAGTGCGTGGTGGTGCTTTTGGGCATCTTTGGTTTGTCGCAGTCTACAGGAGATGTCGGCGATGGCTTCTTGATCGCACCACCAGCTTTTTCCCGTCACTGTAAATCTTTTGATGAACAACTTCAACAAGACAAGGAAGATGAGCTTGTACGACTCGTAGGGCTGGTGCGACGGAGGTGATTCTGTTGATCTTTACAGATTCCGAATATGACAAAGGTTATCCAATCGCGAAATAATGAGGCAGCAAATAAGACCTTACAAGAAGTAACCGCTACCACCACAACGTCTTCATCTGATTCGTTTTTAGCGAAGAGCTCACAGCATTTTGTTTCAGCCGCCTCACAGGACAACGGCAAACACAGATACGACTCAAGGGTAGCTGCAAGTCGAGGCGAGGCCACTGGACTGGACCAATTGTCTGTGGTTCACAGTGCCAGCGAACTAGAGCGATAGGAAGACCGCGTCAACAGATGAAATCCAGCCCAACAGAGCAGTGTCAGTCGTCTAGTATCTTCCGAGGAATTGGCGGCAGGGAGACGTCGAAGTGGCTAAAGTAATCTCATTACTGAACATCTTGCGACATTGATATCGAGAAGGAATAGCAACAATACCAGTGATCAGGCATTGGCGCGACTGCGGGCACGACAAGAACTTTTCGCGATGAACACCGCCTCCGCCCCAACCATGCTGCAGGAGCAGCTCCTCTTGCAATTAAGGCTGTAGCTAATCCATCTTTGGAAGCATCCTTGAAACGTATGGGGGAGTATTACAGGGGAATGCTTCCCCATACTTTTCAAGGATGCAATTTGAAAGGTGAACTCCTGACAGTTCTAATGTAAGACGACAGCACAGGGTCACTAGATATCGGGAAGGGGGGCGAGCCTTTCTTTCCGAGTAGGGCCGGCGCTTTTAGCTTTGAGGCCGCAGGGTCATGTCCCTCGCAGATGAACTTCCGCGGGGGCGACGGACGGATCAAAAGTGCGAGTGGAAAAGCGATCAAGTCCGCGTCCTTTGACCGCGCACCGAGTAGCTACCCAGCAGCACAGCAGCGGCTTATCTCGTCACGGCCGCGCGGCGGATCGGGCGACGCAGATGTTGTCGCGGTTGTGCAACGGGTTGTGAGTCCGGGACCCGACGGCAATCAGACAGGGAGCGAGGACGACGAGGTCGACGGACCACCATCGCGCGGAGGGGGCGTGAGGTGCACGACCCGACGAGTAATACAGTCGTCTTCGCTGCGGTCTGGGACGCAGCGACCGTCGGTGCCGCTGCCAGAATTCAGCAAGCTAGACAAGCTTGATTTCCAGAAGTCGCGTAGCGGAGAAGTGCCGGGGCACAAGAGCTTCCCGGAGGCCCAGGAGGAGACTCGAACAACGCTGGACCGTTTTTACCAGGAACAGAGGTGGATGGGCCGGGAGCTGGAAATAAAACAAGACGTTTCCATCGCCCGTGATTCGCATCGCTCCACTCCCTCGTCGCGGCGTAGTCCAGCCGGCCGTCCCCGAAATCTTGACGGCGACTTGGGGAAGAACGCTAACAACAGCAGCGTTCTCTCTGACAGAGACGCTTTCTTAAGCACCACCGCGCCACTACATTCATCCACACGCGGGGATGCAGGTGGCCAGTCCGACGACGAGACGCCAGGCGACGGGCGGGACTACTACGTGCACCAGGGCACCGAGTCCACCCGAATAGAGGAAATGTTGTGGGGCTCGCGGGGACCGTCGCGAGGGTTGGTGAATGGCTACAGTGCACCAAATATGATGCGGCTACTCCCCGAATCTTGCGCTTCTAGTTACGAACACATACTTCTCGCGCGTGGGGGGCGCCAGCACGGTGGAAGCATGGTAGATCTAGCCCAAGCAAGCTTTTATGCGGACACAAATCCTGCGGCAAGTTCTCGGGAAGACTTGCACAAGGGTCTACCGCGTACCGGGAGCTCACGTCCTGCGCTGCCTCAGCGCAGCCCCCCACCAAGCTCAGTCTCGGTTCCTCACTTGACTGTCACCGGCCTTGACGAAGAGAACTATCTCAGTCCTGGTGCGCGTGGTCGAAACGCCTCGTTTTCCGGTGGAACTGGGCGACCTGTGATGACGGTGGCATCGGCACCGACGCTTGTGAAAAAGTCGGCGACAGCGATGGATTTGCAGCAGTACCGCCAGCGCGGCCTTATGCACGCGCCGGCAGCGGAGCGTAGTCGAGACCCGACTCCCGCTAGCAATCGGGCCGCTCGAGGTGGGAGCACGTCTCCGACCCTCGGAAAAACGAGGATTGATGGTATATCCGATCAATGACAATTGGGATTCTTGTCTTAAAATGTGAAGTTTACGAGAAGGAGATCTTCTGGCTCAGATTGAAGTACTCTTCGGCCTTCCGTTTAAAAATGAGATCCAAATTGTCTACGTCGATTACTAATGCACACCTCAATTTACTCAGGAACAGGTGATGTCATCTCTTCAATTCATTCTGCAGGTCAAAACAGTTCACAGGCGAGTTTGATTCACTACATGCAACGCTTTGGGAGCAACAGCGCGGCATCCATCCGAACATCGTCTCCGGCTTATGACTGGGACGCAGGACAACAGAGTCAGCCAGAAAACGTGGAAGCCGGGTCCCCAGGGTTTTCGCTACAAATATCGAGAATGCAGAGCGAAGAGGCCTCTCGATGGCTCTCCGCAGGAGGGGAGGCTACTGTCGGGGGTGGCCTGTACTCACAGTCAAATAATGCCATGTCTTCCAGAGTGGCGTCACAGCAAGCAGCACTCCTGCAACAAAACCACGGCTACAATTTCGAGCCGGCAGACAGTGCCTTGGCGCAGCAGATGCCACGTGCAGACGGCTACGCGTTTAGAGATGCGAGCTCGCCAACGAGCCCTCCAAACAGCAGCACTGCATTCCCCCAATTTCATATGCGATTTGCAGGCCAGGACGCGCAGGGCCAGGGTAGCGCCTTTGCCGGCACCACGGATTTAGGTATTTATCTAGTCTTTACTTACCTAACTACTTCGCATCAAATTGTTCGATACAACATCGATAAAATTTGAACATAGAACTTCGTACGACGAGCTCCTACTGGAGTTGCGACGCACGTTTTTCGAAGGTTCATCGATCATGTAGGGTGGGCACAAATATCGTGGAATCATTATGCAGTTTTGTCTACTTACAATCCAGGTGCACAATTGTCGGGCGCCGCGGGGATGTATGGTCTTAACGGATATGGACTTGACTTCGAGCCATTTTACCACATTCCGGTGTCACCTGGCGTTCAAATGAGCAAAGAGACGACGTCAAACTACAGCAATCTTATGGGGCAAGTCGGGATCGGCACTCGATGGGAGCAGCCGGGTTCCAACGAGTCGCATGATCTGAGTCAGCTGTTGCAGATGAACACATCACCAGGCGTCGGTTCGAATTTCGGCGGGGGTGCCGCGATGGGTGAAGCACTACAATATGTATTAGGAGTAGGAGGTGGAGGAGATCCAGGTGCCGCGACGACATTTAGACCTGCTCCTGCGAGCAGTTCACAGCAGTGGGGACAGTTCGGACAACCAGGAATGCGTCAGTCCGGTTCCGGAGCACCCGTCGCGGGTGCCCGTCCAGGTGATAATGCGAGCATACAACAACTATCACCCTCTTCTGCTGCAAGGCCATCGCCTGGGGGTGCGGCGGGTTTCGCCCCTCCAGGTCGTCCCCGCGGTGCTAGTGGAGTCAATTATACGTTGCTGTCGGGACCGGGGCTCGGATCGCCATCCGCAAGAAATGTGGTAGGCGGCAGGGCAAGACCAGAAGGCGGCAACACCGCGTCAAACCTTCCGCAACCACTGCAGTTATTGGTGGAATCGGCGAGCAGCGTGCGGCCAGGTGGGCAGGGCAGCGCAAAGCCTCCAGAGACGCAAGGAAGTGGGCCTTCCTCGAGTGGAGCCCATACTCGGGGACCAGTTCGAGCAGGCACAGTTCCTGGCTCGTCTCCGTATCAGGGAGCTGCTGGACCCAAGCAAGGATCTTACGGATACGGCGCCGGCGCGCCCGGTGGGGGTGTTCACGGCAGTATTTCTAAGGGATCGTCGACGCGGGGTCCCGGAGGCCTCGTGCTGCATGTTCCCGCGGATGCGCAGGATGATGGCCCCTTTCGACGGCCGCCAATGCCAAAAGGGTACAACGACCACAACAAGGGAGGTGCGCCGGATGGCTTTGCAGGCGGAAAAGGAGGAAAACAAGGGTCACTAGGTGGAACAAAGGGTGGACTAGCCGGACCATCTCCAGGATTACCCCAAGGACCTGGACGAAGGTCGCAGGACCTTCCACCTGCTCGCGCACCGGACCAGCAGGGCGGACCGAACGGTGTCGGTAAAGGCGGTAAATACGGAAACCCGCCTCCAGGCTCACAACATGGTGCTCCTCCAGCAGCGCAAGGAGGACCCAATGCGAGGCCGCCTCCGCCAGTGAATCTGATGCGGGAGTTCAAACAAGGAAAGCGAAAAAGCGTGAAGCTGACGGAGATTTGTGCAAATCGACAGACACTTTCGGACTTCGTGTACGATCAGTTTGGTAGCCGCTACGTCCAAGAAAGTCTCACCAACGTAGACGAGGCGACGAAAGAAACCTTCTTCAGGCAGGTGTTGCCCATAGCCCATGAACTTGTGTACGACGTATTCGGAAACTATGTGGTCCAGAAATACTTCGAGCACGGCACAGAGAATCAGAGAAAAGCACTCGTGGATGCACTGCGGCCAGAAATTTTGCGACTCTGCTATCAATTGTACCTATGCTTGCATATTGCACGGATGATGATTAATTCTGACGCACCGCTGCGACTGTTCTTTTATGGATATGCACCATTAGTAGGACTGTTCTGGGATTATCCAGTACGGAGTTAGTTGACTTAATTTTTGATATATCTCCCTATCCAGGTATGGTTGCCGCGTCATTCAGACCGCTTTAGACTGTGTGTCGGCGCCCTTGAAAATTGCCATAACAGAGGAGCTTCGCGGCCAAATCGTCAGCCTTGTCGAAGATCAGAATGGCAATCACGTTGTTCAAAAATGTGTAGAAGTGCTGCCGCCAGAGAAGGTACTTTTCAATTTGTGCTGCTGAAAAAACTCATTAGACCGTCACTTGCAAAGCTCAGTTTATACAACATCGTAGGCATAATCACTTGTATTTTGTCGCACGAATTCGGTGTCGTGACGCTCATCCTTGACTTGATGGTTAGTAGCGGCTGCGTCTGCAGCAATTGCATCTTTATTTTACTATTTTAGGCTGCGTGGATTGTGGCGGGATTTGCTGGGCATGTGCGGAATTTGGCTGCTCATCGTTACGGATGCAGAGTTATCCAGCGCGTAATCGAGTTTTTGCCTGTTGAGATCTGTGCTCCGCTGTTCGAGGAGATGCTGCAAGGAAAGAACTGCCGTGCACTTGCCCACCACCGCTACGGGAACTACGTTGTTCAGTACATGCTGGAACGCGGGAGAGATCGTGATGTACAGGGCGTTTTCGACCTCTGTGTCGCGGAAGTGCGCGAGTGGTCGTGCCACAAGTTTGCGTCGAACATCGTGGAGAAAATAATTAGCCTTAGCAGTGATCACGCGGAGCGGCGAGCCAACCTTCTGAGAGCAGTAGTGGCGTGTCCCGCTGAAAGCAAGCGAACCGAGCAGGACCCGTTGTCGGACGACGAACGGGGACGCTCAGGCAGCTCGCAGAGCCCACTCATGCTCATCATGAAAGACAAATTCGGAAACTACATCTGCCAACGGTATATGTTTATTTAAGGCATATTTTTACAACGTGCATTGATTATTCAAGTTCCTCGATGCTAAGCCTGAGATACTTCAATGAATTCAATAATTCGCTTCTTTAAAAATGAATTTGCGCGATCTTTTTCGAAAACAACGATTACAACAGGTTGATGAAACTTGCTTCGAGTCTCTCCGATGGCGATGCGTTGCGAGATCAGTTTTTTCAGATTCTGATCGACAATCTGCCGGAGTTGTCGAAGTTGTCGTACGGAAAGCACATTATGTTTGCGTTGCGAGAAAAATGCTACATGACCGAGGAAGAGGTGAGCCGTGCGATCGGAGCGCGTGGCTCTCGCGCACTTGCAGAAGCTGACCGAGGATCAGGTGACCGACGTGGATCGGGTAACGGAGCTGACACTGACGAGAGAGGTAAGTCAGCGCCATCGGGTTCTGAAACCGAAAAACAAGATGGGCCTTCTGAGAGTTGAGCCGACTAATGTTTCTTGGTTCTTAACCCACTACAACACTTTGCTGGTACGAATGCGTGCTAGTTTTGCCGAAAGCGTCGCGGTGCACGTTTGTCGCAGGGACACGGCAAAAAGTCAGTTCTAGTTTCGGAAGAATTCTTCTCCGTTGAAGAGCGTCGTCGTAAGTGCGGCGACATGAAATTCCCACTTCCAAAACCCGTCTTTAGTCTAATCGTACATTATCCCATTTCATCATGTTCACGACATTTAGCGATATTCAGTACATTGCTACTCACACTTATTATTTCTTTGATATGGAAACTGCTCATATTTGTCCATTTTTTTAGGTCAAATCATGGTTGAAACCGTCTCTGTATACCGTCTCGCGCAACAAAAACAATGAAGTCAAGATGAAGATAGAAGTATTGCGATTCACACAGTTTTTCAATATAATGATGGCTTAGTCCTCTTGCAAGTATTGACTACTAATTATGTTCACTGCGGTTCTGACCCTGATAGGTATCTATAAGTAAGCATGTTGACCCGTGATGAATTATCGAAATTCATTATCGAATAGCTTTGACGAAGCCAGCTTGTCTTTTCCATACCTGCTCGGATCGAATCCTTCATATTTTCCACGCAGAGCTGCTTCATAATCACAGCTTCTTTATTAGTCCAGTAACGATATAGAGACAACATTTGAGAATTGAGATGAAATATTTGTATTTTCAGCGGAAGAGGTCATTGAAATTGATCTTACTCTCGAGGAATATCATGGCTACCACGTGGTCCATCACCCAGAACAAGATCATACAACAGGGCACCAGGCTTGAACCGTGAAATACTTCTGAAGGATTCATCTTCATGCGGGTGCGCTGCGATCGGCTTCGCGTGCTAGCCGGTGCCAGTACGTTTTATCGGAGTCCGTCTCAGCCTTGGTGTGAGCCTTTGCCTTTTTCTACTTGGGTGAAGTCGTGATAGTGAGTGATGTGCTGTTAGATTATTTTGCGTAATATAGAACATGAAGAGCCAAAAAGGAAAACCAAGCGCAATTCATCGAGAATTCTTCTGGGGTATCGCCACTAATGGTCAGCATACTCAAGTCCAGTGCCGAGGTTCTCCGAACATGGTGCCATGTCGCAAACAAAGCTTTAATGTAATGCTTTCATTTTAGAATGACAGAACAGTGAATCAGATCGGCAATGTTTTTCGTTGTTGCCAGAAATTAAGGAATAACTAGCACCAGTGGCTATAGCTAGGGGAAGGCACCGCCGTCCCAATTCAGGTTTTAGCTCTAGCTGAAAGTCTTCTGCTCTCTCAAGGCCAGCTACAGTTTGGTAAATTTTGGCTAGGTGTCTTTCTTTTTCGCGATCATCCTGAGCATAATCAGGATCATACATGGCCCTTGGTATGTCAGGTTTATCATTGGCTTGACAGAGAGCCACTCCAAGCAACGAATCACGGAGCAGAGATTCAATGATGTGGAAGTGGCTCCGGGATGTACGAGTTAGAGAACTGATCTTTGCGATGTTACAACTGCTCCAAAAAAGTCCTTTTGGCACCGAGTGTGCGTCGCTCGCGACTTTGCTGTGTTTTGAAACCGGCACATTCTTGTGTGTTTACTTTTTACCGCATGTCGCATGTGAGATCACTTACTGGGGGTTCTGGAGTTTGAAGAAGCACAGCGGGGCTGTTCTCTAAGAGGCAGCGAATTTCTTGTAGATTCTTGGTCCTGTGAGACCACGAAGATTTACGATGCAGAAAGTAACAGAAGACAAAAATTGAACTAGATCAAGTACTAGTTTAGCAAGGAAGAACTAGGACATCATTGCAAGAGAGAGAAGTGGCTGGAGAATTCGCGTTGCGGTGCTGGCCTTGGAAAGGTCTTGAAGCTCCAAAAATCAGTACAAGATCTTTTCGAAAGACATAACATAAAAATGTTTGAAAGATGACTGAGACTGATGCGACTCGGACGTCATTTTCATTAGTTCATTTTTTTACAAGATCCCCTTGAAGCAGCATAGTTGAGCAACGACAGGTTGCATTCAGATCCAGGAGTGCGCTTATACCCTCGATAGTAAGTCTATTGCTGCTAATTTTACAATACATTCTCACTCGCAACACTGACTGGTGGATCAGTACGACAAGCGAATAGAAGACACTTGTTGCTTTTGTATGAGTCTTGCGCTTTTCGGCATTAGCTCTTTCCTTTTATGTAGAACAGCTTAGTAGAGACTGTTTCCTAATATTTCTTGATGTTCCTGAAGATTTGGCTCGGATTATTTCTTGTTTCCGGACTACACAGTCAACATATATCATACATCATATCTGTACCAGCAACGACTTCATTGAGTAACAGAAAGAAATAGATTGATATACGATAAAGATCAACAAAATGGCTGCATCGTCAAAACCAATTTTGCTTGTGAACGGTTTCGGTCACTTTCGTGCTGAGGACTGCTTGACGACACAGGCCTTCACAGCCCTCTGCAAGGAAAAGAAGGTTCCGTTTGAAATTGTATCCTTCGATTTCCAGAAACCCTCGGCTTCGGGTCCAGTCTGTCGCGGCTATGTGGAGAAAGCGCACGATCAGTAAGTCGAGAATCTACTCTTTCTCCTGCATAATGCTAGGTGTTCGTAAAGCATCTTTTTTCAGCAATTCTTGTTTACGAACTCATATCTTTCAGCGGAACGAAGGAAAGCTCATTCAGGAGAAAAAACGAAATTAGGTAGAGGTTTCCCCACAGAAAGACCGGACGTTGTATCTTGATTAGATGCGATAATTTTCTATTTTCAGGTTTGCAGCAATCGTTATTATCGATTTGAGCGTTTGCTTTACGGAATTCATGTATTACTTGGGTGGTCCAATCGAGAAGTACGTCCGAGGGCACAAGGGGTGCGTGGCGTTCCCAACCACGGAAGGTGGCAGCTGGCTTAGCCGTTGCGGGACCGAGCTGTTCCCAGAAATCAAATGGAAGTTTGACGGCTACTATCGAGCAAAGCATTGCGCAGTGCAACAGAATGCTAGCAATGTCTCTCGCTTTTTCCCGGGAAAGGAAGAGTTTTACTTTTCTGTGAAGTCGTGCATGATGAAGAATGTGCCGGTAGAAGAGCGGTTTTTCGCAACAAGAGAAGGCTCGCAGTTGTTTGGCGGCATGTTCGGCAACATGTTGCCGTCTGGCCCCGCTAAGCCAGATCGCGGAACCGAAGACGGGACAGCAACGTGCGTGGCGGTCAAGTCCGGGGGCTCCATCGGTGGTACCTTAGGCTACTTTGGTGACGTAAATGCGGAAGCATCCATCATGTCCTTGGTGCTTTCTTTGGTCCAGAATGCTGCTGCTCCGAAGATGGTTGCTGATGCCTCCGTTGTGGAGGCGCATGGCAAGTTTCAACCACAGGCTGCCTATGCCGGTACGTCGGAGATCACCCGCAAGGAACTGCAAGAGCGTTTGTTGAACGGCGTCGTTACCATTGTCTTCGATAAGGTATTGCTCTACCTTCGCATATCTGCGTCTTCGTCATGAATAGGAAGCACATTGGAATCAGAATTCTTTAATGTCCTCGCTGAAGACCCTCTCTCTCCGTTGTCGCTTTAATTTTCAACAGCTAAGAGAAGCTAACGCGAGAAGATACACGAACAATTAGATTTACATCTCTTTTTGATAAACCATTACAGGTTTCAACGGACCTCACGAGACGCATGCTCGCCACGCGCGATCTATCTTTAGTGAACGTTTCCCGACGACCCAAAGACATGAAAGCACATGAAGCGGAGAACTTCTCAGCCGAGGGCGTCATCAAGGTGTTCGATTTGCTTCCGAAGGAACCTGCTCGCTTTGCCGATGCAGCCCCCGCTGGTTGGCGCAGTTTCCATTTCGAGTCGATTACGGACATCATTGTCGAAGGCCCAGGCGTGCGGAAGTACTATTTCGATAAAGAAAACCACCAGGACGATGGTGGATATGAAGAAGAGGACTCCGAGGACGAGGGTGACGACGATTCCTCTCGATTGTCTGATGATGTTGTCACGAAATATTTTGAAGGAAGAAAGAAGAAGTTTCCGGAGATCTATCAGGACCAGGATACAATCTTCGGTTTCGATGAGGGTCAGCATCCGAATGGTACGCGACTGCGAATTTACGAAATGGGCGATCGCAATCGACCAATCACATTTACCATCCGAGGAAGCGCAATGAAGTCGGAATTCGGTGATGACGAGGAAGAATTCGACTTCGGGTTAGGCGGCGGCATGGGCCACCTCGGTTTACACGATAAAATTCCTAAGTATCGAGTAACAGACAAGTCCGGTGAAGTTCTTCACATTCCCATCGAAGACTGCCATGGCGATGCGGCATGCTACAAAGTTTTGTAAACCATGTCTTGCGCAATTGCCTTCATCCTGGCATATCAGACAATCTGATCCTCGTACAACCATGTGAATGAAAGATAGACCGTCTAGAAGCCTATTCGCACATTATACCAACTAGGGCTATCTTTCTTGATTTCGTGTTGTACAAGACAAGATGAAGCATGTACTTACTCCAATGCAACAAGACTTCGGATGATTGGAATAGTTGACATTCTACTTACTTGACACTGTCAAAATTCATAACCGGCGATTGCGTAGTGACATGATCATATTACAGCTCTCGCCCCCCTTTACCCAATTCTTCTTCTTGTTGTGTCTGCCGTAGAATCATTGAATGATTATCCTTCCCTGAAAGGCCATTCCTATAGATTGCGCAAGCATCAAACGTCCCTCCAAATGAAATCTCACCTTCGAATCCCACTTCAAAAATAGATATTAATGTAGGAATTTCCCATTTCTTGAAGCTGTCCCCCGTCCACAATATTGAATGTTGTACAATTAGTCAGAGAAAATTCGCACCGGCGCTCTTTTCGTAATGTGACAAGGTCCTACTTGTCTTCTTTCAGCGGCGTGAATTCGTTGGTTTCCAGCCGCAGTGCAACTCCTTATCTCCTTATTGCACAACAGTCAAGCACCGTAAAGAGAAAAAAGTGCAGGAAGACCTGCTACGTGCTTGAAAAAATATCACTGAGAAACAGGTCGGCTTGACAGAGTGTACGCGAAAAGATTCTTCACCGAGAAGATGAGGTTAACTTGATGTGTACAAGGAGCGAGAAGAGATCAAAATGGTTGGAAAAAGTGTGGATAAAGAATTGTCTTTTGCAGAAAACATGACGAGAGCAGAATAAATCAGAAATGTAGGCTGTCTTGGTCATTAGCTCCGGGCAAGCGTTCTTTCAGCTTGGATATCCCTGATCCACGTGATTTAGCTGTTTCTTTTTTTCTTAAAGTCGTCGAATCTACTGACAATGGCCTCACAGATCTTCATGCGCGACTGCGCAAGAAGTGACATCATGCCACGAGCCATCTGGGGCCAGCCGCGGAGGGCACCTATGGCATTGACGGCAGAGTATCGAGACCGACCTTTTTTCATTCAGGCAGCGCCCTCGACAGTTTCGAAAACTGGAGCTTTTGTGTCACGAGCACTTTCAACTGTTGCAGAGCAGACTCAGCGACGAGATACGGACTCGAGTCGTAAGACATATAGAGAGGTCGATGCTGGAGGAAACACGGCGGGTGTTCCGGACCCATGCGGGCCAACGCTATTGGAAGGCAGAGCAGGAGGTGCAGGAGCTTGGAAGGGCGACGAGTATCTGATGATTTCGCGGCATACGAAGCATGACCCAGAGTGCGATGTGGATAAAATTTCGAAGCGAGCAAAAAGCCGACGACAACGTCTTCGGCTCGCGACACAGAAATCTATCGACAGTAATGAAATCGACAACGTCTTTGCCTTTCCGAAGCGCGACCAGTGTGGCTACTCAGTTCGAAATCTTTCCGGTGACATCTATGCATCGGAGTCGGCGGGAGCGCATAACATCTTCCTCTCGGTCGGCTGGTTTTTGCTTTTGCATCAAGTAGTTGCACCTGGCTCTATTCCTAGTGGTTTTTTCGAAGATGGAGGTGGTGATAATGCAGCAGCAGTATTGGATCCAGCTACCGACGATCTCGTGGCGCCGGACATTCCAGCAGCATTACTAGCCGCTAGTATTGCGCAGCTTTTCCGCTCTCATGAAACGGTATTGCTTGCGGCTGGTTGGCTGGTTGTGCGGTCTCTGTGGTGGGGCATATGGAACTGGAGAGCATGGGCTCTGGTCTTTGCTTTGAATTATGTGTGGGGAGCTTGGTCGGGCGGGTTGACTAACATCGTTGGCTCCTTCCGACGCAGAGCTGTGGAAGTGCAGCTTCGATCCATGCTTCTCACAATAGGCGTGATTGCAGTACCCTAATTTGCTTCACTTACTAAGCCCGTTGTAACATGATATTTGTAACCCAATGGGATTATCATCTCGTGAAAACACAAGCTCAAGCAACCCTCATTACCAGGTGTGGGAGCATGATCGCTACTCTGGGCGATGCCCAACCGCGGCTTCTCCTTCAAAATTCGAGCTGCTTACTTTTCAACTTGCGAGTGCTGCCATTTTGCATTGCGCAGAACCAGTAACGTCATGTCTTTTTTGGAGAGAATGCGGAGTGTGGACTTGCGCGCAGCACTTGCTTCTCATTTCGTTGTACGCCAGTTCTGGTTCTTGACGAAGTGCGATCTCTCCTTGTGTGTCGTCAACTTTCTTTGCGGGAGAAAGGCCGGAATGATATTTTTTTTGCAAGCATAGATGTAGAGGCACTAGTGTGTCGACAGCGGGGGGTGGTAAAGCATCACAGCGTTCTTCTAGCGAAACCGCTGCATAAAGTGGTGTGCATGGTATTTTTGTGCGTGTGAAATTTGAAAGTTGAAATTTTAGATCATCAAATCAGGTAAAGAATTTTGAACAGTAGTCACCGCCATTCATGCGCGAGGACTACAAGCAGATTTTAAGAATAAAGTCCACCCACGCTTCTGCAGTGATTGGTGTAGGAAACATCATAATGTACTAGACCAGAGTAATGAACAGGATATAATCGCCTTGAATGCACTAGCAAACCAAAATGCAATTCCAATTATGAGCGTACTAGATGAAGCAGTGCCAGTGGGAGGCAGTTCATGGGATTATGTACAGTACTTTTGGCAATTCGAAGAATATATAAGCCTAAATGTCTTTCCTGTATATCTGTAACTAGGCATGTCATCTAGATTTTTCCATATGGCTCAGTAGCCGTGTTTCGCTATTTATGGTATTTCATTGATCCAAATGCCGCGTTGGAATTGGATCATCAGTTTCCCCAAGTTTTTGTTGTAAGATTTTGTCTGTTGTTTCTGCCAATATTCGAATTGGATACGGGCACGTCCAGCCACATCGTCAGTATCATCATGATGTCTAACTTTTGCCAACAGAAGAGGACTAAGAACGCTACGCAGACGAGTTCGAGTCGATACCATCATGATCAAGCTGTGTGAGTTCAGAAAGAAATAGCGACAGTGCTACCTCGATGACGAGTGACGAGAGGCATGTGCATACAGAACTAGTTTTCTACAACATGCAAAGCGTGGAAAGAAGCAAAGACTAGCAAAACAGAAAAACATATACATAGGTCGAAGAGGTGCATAAATATTGCAAGAATTGGAAAAACATGGAGTCATCTGAAATATGCGCACTACTACATTACAGTTACAAATTCGTTCTAGGGAGCCTGTCCCCGAAGCATGGGCAGAAGAACGTCCGGAATTTCGAATACCTTAACTGTTTTTTGAGAATAGAGCAACATACTCTTCCTCGCTTAGAAATAAGCATTAGCTACGCGATGAGGGCGGATGATAGTTCCGCTCGCGGCCGGGGCCGGTTTTTCGCCTGGGGCAGTCGGAACCCCGATCGACCCCGGCAGCGGAGCTCCAGCCTCAGGCGGCTTTTCGGTTTGTCGCGCCGCGCTACCGATGAGGTGGAACGTAGTTCGCCAAGGACCGGAGCTGCCGCAGCGACACTCGTGAAAGGCACTCGAGGACCGAATGTGAAGGACAACGTTCATGAACAGGCGAGTAAAATGGCGTTGTCCAATTTTGCAACTACAGATGGTGGCAGTGATCGCGATGCGATGTCTGCGTCGTCTTCGTCAACCGCAGCGTCCTCAGTTGTTGCAGCTTCCAGTAAAAAGAATGGAGCGCCCATTGCCAGGCCGCGTGTGTCCGGTGGAGGCCCGGTTCTGCTGAAAACAATGACAGCCGCAGCCATGACATCGCCAAGGCCGCTGAATTTGCGGGGTGCTGAGTCTGTACGGTCGCGTTCACGCGAGATCCGATGCGCTGGTTCCCCGGCTTTGCCGCCGCGAGCGCCTCATGTAGAGTCAGACGCGAAAAGCTTTGAAGCTGTAAAGGATGTTCTATCGATGAAAACAGGCGCTTCGCCGTCCAGTTCTGTGAAAAACGTAGCAGATTTCTTCGTGTCGCCTGTTCTCCCAAGCAGTCAACAGTCAGCGTCGGAGACCAAGTCCGATGTGAGCAGTAGGGAGAAAAATGCTGGTCGTGCTGGTCTCGTGGGCACGAACCACGAGCAATCTCCGAACTGCGTTGAAGGGACTTTTCCAACTGGCACGGTCGAAGAAAAGAGCAAAGAGACGACGGCCACAGACGCTCCTACTTCTGAGTGCGGTGTTGCTGAGATAATGCCCTCGAAAGACAAAGAAGTCAAAGAAGAAGACGAATCTTCTAGCTGTCCTCCTGGAGTAAGCGCTCCGCAATCTCCAGAGCAACTTGCGACAGCAGAATCCATTGCAGAGAGTCATGCGGTTTTTCCTCCTGGTCTCGAGAAGCGGCTGTCCCTAATATCAGACATTTCCGAGGTCACTCTCCCACCAGCGGCGCTGCAAGACGCTTGCATTTTGGATACGCCAGATTTGACACCGGACGTGCCCTTGGCTGCTGGAGTCGGAGATGCGACTATTGCAGTTCCTGCTTCAGCGGTATCTGATGTCGCTGACGTAGATGCGACTAAGCAGGACAAGGGCCCAGAACCAAGCCCGGTGCAGGTCGATGGCATCAACGACACAGCGCGAAATAGCCCAGCCGGCGATAAAAGCGAGGTAGAGGTCACAAGCCCTAGCCTGAGCAGAGCTGATGATACCAGCAGTGCAGCTGATGTCCTAGCGCCTGTCAGGAGCAGTGCCGCAGTTGCTTCTGTGCCAGCTCTGACCGTGCCAGCCTCGGTTCATCCTACTGTGCTCTCCACGCCACCGCGTGTGAAAAGGATATCCACACCGACTCGGAACGGGCGCGGAGAGTCGCCATCAGGAGCGCCTGGAGTCAGCCCAATCGCTACCTTCTGTTTCAGTCCGCCACCACCTGGCTTTCTCGCCACTGCGCACACCACATCACTACAGGGCGCAGCCTCGGTAGGCCTTTCTTCACCCAGTCGTGCCGCAACAGACGGTGCTTCGGGGCCGACCGTGAGGAGCTCTGTGTTGATGCCCACGGAGGCCGCAAAAGATCGAGAACCGCGTTCACAATCACACATCAGACCTCCTGCTTCGTCGACGGCAAAATCAACCGCAACGTCCTCGAGTGTGCATTCTCTATCTTCTATCGCGCCAGCAGCCTTCTTAGGCACCCCACCCCGGATGTCACTTCCCGCACCTCCGTCATTAGAGCGGTTGAAAATACAAGCGCCGAGTACACCTCTCTACGGTGGTAGACTTCTACCCGACACACTCCAGTACGGCATTAGTCTCCCAAGTCCGCGCTCGCGCAGTCTCTGCGGATCGAGGAAAAGCGTTGGGATAGGTAGAGTATTTTGACTATATGGACTCTAGCTAGACTCACTACCTAGAAACGCATGAAGGTTACAGTTTGGAGATGCCATGTTGTTGTAAACCGACTCGTTCAACAGGTCATCAAATCGAAGCAGGTAATCTTTCGATGACGCCGGTGCTTTCAAGTGCTAACCGCCTCGCGCCCTTATCCTCAAGTTTTCGGCCGCCGCTGCCAACGCCACCTAGCAGTTCAGTCCGGAAAGTCCCAGCAAAAGTGGTACTCCTTAATATTGAAGCGTAGTTCTTCAAATCAGCCTGTTCTCCTGCGTTAGAGAAAATAGAAGTTAGTTTGGCATCGGGTCCCGTACTGTGTAATTCTAATTTGTTTAAATGGTTCAATCATGATCGATGTGGATGATTCGGAAACACAGTCTTCTCTTAGGACGAAGCGTCAGCTCCGCCTCTGCGAAGCAAAATCAATCGAGACGAAGCTTCTGCTGCGCAAGCAGTACAGAAACGCGCTCTACCTGGGTCGCCTGTCGTGGAACCGAAAAAACTAGTGGTTGAGGAGAGCCCCTCGCCGGCCAAGAAGGTAAGCACTCATTTGTGTGCCTGCATCACCACAGTTACGCTGCGAAGCAAATTTACCTGATTGATAATGATGACCGGTTTTTATGACCGCGAAATTAACACTATGTCATTTCAGGACGACGCTGTTGCCGCACCAGCAGACGAGAATGCGACAGATCTCCCAGGAGTCGATGGCTGCTCAGTTAGGGACGTTGCTAGTGCACTGGTTTGGGAGGCGATCCGCACAGCAGTCACGAGAGCTGGTAAAGAGCGCGCAGCATTGGATGAAAACAGCGAAAAGGAGGTTTCGTCAGGCAGTCGTGTCTTCGAGTATGTAGTCGATCCAAAGCAACCGAGCTGTAGTTCTTTGGCTGTGGCCCTGGCTCAACGTGATGGAAGCCAAGATCGCACTCCTCAGTTTGGACCACCCGTCAGCATGGATCCTGCACGGCCGAAAGACGTTGTGGAGTTTCCCGCAGCTTCGTCAGAAGTACAAATCAACTCGTCTGACGAGCAAGATCGATCAGTGACCATTGCGTCAACACCAGTATCTTGTTGCGAATCTCCAATCGGTCTCGTAAATGAAGAGGGGAACAGCAGAAATGTTGGCGGTAATATTAGCAGTGCGGATGTGATAAAGCTGACAGAATTGATGCAACGCGAGCCGCCACATCGAGATGTTGTGTCTTCTGGTCAGGCGGTTTTGCGCACACCGCCTTCGGGAAATTCGGAAAACGGTCTGGTTGAGTATGTGAAGGCCGTGGTTAGTACGCCTCTAGAACCTACCGCGGGAAGTCCGAATTCTCAGTTGATGCTCGAGCCCATCTCTATGATCACAGATGAGTGTCTTTTTACCTGCGCGTCCCTACCTATGTCTCGGACGGGCTCACCGGAAAAGACTGAAGGAGGACCGATTGATTTGGTTAATGCAGTTGCAGACCGGGTTCCGGCAAGAAGTGACCGAACTGCTACTCTGGCTGCAGCAGTGTCCGGGCCAGGAGAGCATGAATATAACGCTTCTTCGAGTAGCGACTGTAGTGCGTCACAGGCGAGTTGCTCCGCAGCAAAAGTGCACAACACCGCGAATGACACTGCTGTACCTCAAGAGAATGTATCATCCTCGCAGAACCTAGCCGCAGAAAGCAGAGAAATAATGGAAGAATCGGGCTCTTCCAGTAGTACTGCTGTGAACCTAGTAACGCTAGCGGAAATGCAGAACCGAGACCGGGGACTGTCCATTTCAGGTTTCACTGATGTGCCAGCGGACACATCTGAAGGTGTGTCTCCGTGCGGGCGAAGTCGTGTTTATTTTTCCCCGTACGAACAAGAGGTAAACCCACCAGAACTCATAGGAGATCCAAGACGTCGACTCGATTTAGGAGACAGTTGTCGCGACTGCCCAGAGGAGGTACCCACTCAAAAAGAATTGCAGCGCGTAGAAGTTAGTGAAAATTACACGCTTTCCAAATACAATAGTGTGCCGCGGGTTGTATTAATGAAGATTTCTATTACTTGAACCGCGATCGCCGGTTCCCAATTGTTATATATTTGACTTTCATTGAAAGGTTCTTGCTGTTGTGGATGTTGACGAGTCACCCATGCTCGACCAGGAGATGGTGGACCGCATGCCTTCCTTCGGAGACGACACGGTGACTAGCGCGCGACACGCACACATTGTGAAGAAGTCTGCTCCAGAAGTCTCCGATACGGTTCAAAGATTTGCGATAACCGACCCCGAAGCAGATGAGCCAAGTAATCACCGTGTTTGCAATTCAACAAGCAACGCAGCTCCACCTAGCCCAGATCACACTATCACCCTGCCGCACGACGATGGAGAAGATACAGTGCCTGCGCCGGTCCCTGTAGACGCCACCGAAGACGAAAACTCGTCTCCTGAGACGAAAGACCGAAGTAGATCCGAAGATGACACCCGGCCGCCGAGCTCGCGCTTCGTGGCCCCTGCCTCCTGGCGGACCGGTGACGGCGCTCCGCCGTCGCCACTTTCACCAGAGGTGCCAACGATTTGTGGTGAATTAGACGACCTGGAATTGCAGGACATGCTATACGGTGGAGACGTGTATAACGTCGGTCCGAGCGGAAGTGAGGTAGATACCACGAGTGAGCGAACCTTGGCGCCGGTGCCTCCGTTCCTAAATCTGGGCGCGATGCGCGGGAGAGACACTCGTGGGACCAATGCGTGTATGATAACGCAAGAATGCGTGGGTGGCACCGCTGTATCTTCCTCCTCTGGATGCCGATCGAGTAGAAACTTTGCGGGGACTTCTGAAAGTGCGGACGTCAGCTCGTCGTCCAGCTGTTTCGCACGCGCGTTACCGCAACGCGTAGCACCAAAACTGCTCCCGCAGCTCCCGCCGCTTATACCGGCAAATCAAACTGGTCCAGCAAACAATATGTTGACAAGCAACTTGACCACAAAAAGCAGTACAGTTGGATCGTCCCTAAGTGTTGAGCAACAGACACGAGAACTCGGCGCAGCAGTATTTAGCGCAACAAGAGCATTGCGGATGTGCCGCAGCCCGCTGATAAGTTGTAGTTCACCGCTTTTATCGGATCGGCGAATCTTCTTTCCCGCATCACGCTCAAAGAGTTCGACATCTTCAAAAACTACCCAAAAATCCACTCGCACCCTTGTGCCCGAGGACGAAGCGGACAATTGCACAGAGCTACTGTCACCGACACCATCACAAAGCTTTAAAGAAGGCGCGCCAGTCGTTGTGAGGGACGTCAGCGCGAACGGCAGACTAATCGCTCCGGCAACACCGGGGGACTTGACAGAGACTAGGAGCAGTGTGGGAGGCGAGGATAAAACACCTGCTATTCTTGACGAAGAGCCGAGTAGTGCTTGCGAAAGGCAAAGATTAGTTCCGCGCGAAGCAGCAAGACCCAAGCAGCCCGCTTCGAAGTCCGCGGGGGTTGAGGTCAGAAAGGATAGACAAACGATCCGGAGGCAGGAACCCTTTCGACAACGAAGTAGTTACCTGCCGGCGCCTGCATCTCCGATGATCTCCAGCATTTGCCTGACCCCCCGCAACCTTACCCCTTTAGGCCACAAATTGGCGAATGCTCGAAGGGAGGCGTCCCGCCAACTCGACGTTGCTCAGAAGTGCGCACTGTCAGTGGAGGATATGCGATGTCTGCGCTAGCTCATTTCTCCATCATTTAACCAGGAGATGTCATTATCTTCATGGAGCGTTGTACCCACATGGATGACCTTTTCCACCATCTACTCTCCCAAATCTAAACACAACAGCATTTAATGTACAGCCTGTAAATGAGTATCGCATTTTCCTCAGTGAACATTTCAATTATCATGTGACACGGACTTCCGAAAGCTTGTTTCCTGTAATTTTGATCACATTAACATTATTTTTTCTCTTCTAGCATACCATGGACCATGCATACACCTGCTGAATCATGTTCAGGCATATTTGCGCGTTAGAGTAAACTATGTGGTCATACAAGAATTTCAATTCATTTTCGGGTTCCCTAAGACGATCGGAAGACCTGCTCATACACAGTCTTGCATAGGGCAAAGTTTACACACCACGTTGTAACTTCCAACTGTAAAAATAACTGCAAATGAACGGGCGGCGTACACTCACGTGATCATGGACTCTAATATTTTTTTGGAATCGGTGAAACGAATCAAACATCGCGCATCGCCCTTCAATTTCACTGGCACAACTAGCTTTTGATTTTATCCACAATGAATCATTTAGTCGATATTTAAGAATTCTCCCTATATCACACACTTGTTATTACAATAGCAATATACGATTTCACAACCTCTATCATCTTGCAAGATGTTACATAGAAAAGTAAAATTTTATGGGCGTTGCTTCATGTTTTCTGTACAACATGTACAATTTGAATTGTTGTAGTTGATGCTTATGAAAATGAATCCTCTCTTTAGGTCTCTCATGACTGGACTAAGATGAATGACGTTAATGAGATATAAAGGTAAAAATTTCCAAACTGACTTGTGCTCAAATCAAGTGAGCTAATAAACACACAACTTGGTAGTTGGTATCTGCCACAAGACAACCGCCTTACAAGATGAAATGGTGTTGCCAAAGGTCATCAGGTCGCGCCACTTATTCATCTTTGACGCAAGTTGAAGGCCCTTCTCCTGAAGTCAAACTGATCTATGACCCTTTGTATTGTGCTACCCGGAGGAAATCATGCTACACATACACCCTAGTCGAACCTTTCGAATTCCGAAAGAATTCGAGAGCTAAGTGATTCCCTGGGCATAAACAATTCGCAAGAAAAAGGATGTGGAGGGCACAGCCTATCATCATTTGCCCAGCCAAGTGAGAAGATGTGGGCACGCCTGTTCATCTGTGCGATTGTCGCTGACACAGCGCTGGGGATCCGATGGCACGCGCCTCCGGGGCCTGTGCCTCCTGTTGCGAACGAAACGCTGCCGAATATTCCTTCGGGCCTACCGTCTGACGACATTCGATTTCAGCGGGGGTGAGTTGACTTATAGTGAGAGACTACCATGCTATGACTTTTTCTGTTTTGAAAAAGTAGAGTTTGAGTGTGCTGCATCCATCACTACGGAGTTTTCATTTGCCTGCATTCCGAATACTATTCTTTATCTACGTGAGAGCACATGAAAAAATACAACAGGGTTGATATTCTAGAGCCTCCAGCCGGCCCTCCCGAGTCTGGCCCCGCACCTCCGTCTCCAGACCCGGTTCTCAAGTTACCAGACTTCGACGCGATGGGTGTTGGTGAAGAGCATCTGAAGATTCTAGACATGCCACTAGCAGTAAACGCGACAGCGAATTCGACAGCAGTGGCGGAAGACGAATAGGACGGTTGATAGTCGTGGCATGATCGTCCATTTTTTTCTGTCATCGCATTTTTTTCCATTTTTTTCCGGATCCGTTGGTGATCTGAGCCTTCAACTGCATGCTGATGTCATCAAAGTTCGCGCGGACAAAAACGAAGTAAAGTAGGAGTATGCAGCCTGCTTCGCTGAAACGAGCTTCGGCATCAGAGCATTAGTCTCGTGATGGTGCCCTCGTGTGTCTCTTCTAGCGATCTTGCCGCGGCCAGGGGTCACGTTGTGAGGATGGCTGGAACTTCAGAAACGGCACCAAAATATTGGCTGGCTATGCAATACTGAGATAAACAAAAAAGCGTCATTACGAAAACTGCTCCAAAGATATTACTGCAAGCATGACGATCTTCGTATTGAAAGGATGATCATTGATGTTGCGTCAGCCAAGTAGACATCCGACTTCATGATCGGTATCTTGTTTACGTCCCTGACTTGAGACCACTCATACTCATTTTGCACATCAAGTTTGACATCCGAATATGTCGAATCAAGAGCAAGCGTCAGAAGGGCCGAAGGGTATGTCGATGAAGCGCGTCGTCGGGAAACTTCGACAAGCTGTGAAGACGCAGAGGTCTACAGGCGGCTCACCTGCGCAAAGCTCGCCTCCATTTCTTGCCAATGCTGCGTCTGCCGTAATAGCCTCTCGACGGCAGGGACACCAAGAAGGAAATCAGAATGCCACTCCTGACGGACGACGGGGTCCCGCGACCGCTGCACCCCCGACGTCGGGAAGAACGCCGCGTCAAGGCAGTAAGCAGAGTCATCTGGGTCTGTCGCGGGCAGGCAGTAAATCATCTGATGCTGCGCACTCGCGGTCCAGTTCTCTGACCCGTGCCCAAAGTGGGATAGCCGATGAAACTGATGGAATCAATGAGACCCTACGGCTTCAGGCGGAACCAAACGCTACTTCCGTTGATCATGAAATTGCAGAGGACGTCACTCCGAAACGATGGCACGTGCCTGTGCGCGTACGTGATGATGTGGTGCTGAGAGTTTCGGTTTCAGAGCAGGGCAGCGAACGACACGGTACAACCGGTTTCGGTTCCGGCTCAGGTACTGATGAAAATTTAAGGAAAGAACTTTTCGAGTGCGGCGAAAATGATGTGCAGCGATCACTATCGCCAAGCAAGCCGCATTACGATCGCGAGTCTGGCGGCTTCTTGAGGGACGAACAGGACGTGGAGGTCCTTCGTGGACTACGTCGGAGAGACGTAATCCGTCACGCAGAAACCTTCGACAATGACGACATTTTAGTGTGGAAAGGGACCACGCGACGCGAGAGCAAGCAACGGGTGCCAGCGTCAGCGGCCACCCGCAGCTTTTTGGCGGCAGCCGAAGAGCGAGCAACAACACGCGAAAGCAAGCTCTCAAGACCAGCTACAGCTGCCTCGCTGATGCCGCCACACGGTAGCACAGCACGCACAGAATGGGAGTGGGAAGTGGAGGGAGTCAAATACGATCAATTTCATGACGAGAATCTTGCGGCAAAGTTCAAAGGCCGCGTGGTGCGTGCGCAGAAAGCATTGGGCCCGTCAGGCGAGGCAGACTTGCCCGCAGTATTAGGTTTGGCGGAAGTCTCGAGGGACGGGGCATTGCAGTGTCAAATTCTGCGAGGAGTATGTGGTGATCGCCGCGCCGAGCTGCGTGGCGAACGGCTGCGTATTTATCGTCAAAAACGGGAATTGCTGAATGCCGGCAAGGCGGCTGCGGACTTGAAGAAGTCCGTACTTCAAATGCAGAAGCATTTCGCTAGAACGGAACTGAAGGCTCATCGGACAGAGTCACTGGAGAACCGGTCCGCGCGCCCGTCTCCACTAAAATCGCCAGAAAGGCACGACAACGACAGTCCCGATTTGAAACAGCAAGCTCCGAGAATTCCAGCACGTTTTCTTGCAGCTGAAGGACGACCACGCACAGCGCCAGAGAGCAGTAGATGGAAACTTGCTGTTGCGCGGGCTGTGTCAAAGTCACTCGCAAGTGACAAGTTTGAGGATCTACATTCTGAATGCACGTTAGAGAAAGATGCAGATGACAGGGACAAGGAGAATGAGCTTTACTGGGACAAAGGTACAGCCAATGATAAGAGCTCGCCGACTGGGAAAAGCCGCTGGAAAGCAGCTCTGGTAAAGCAGCAAGGACTAGGGCGGATCGCACAGAACAAGAAAGCTGTGTCGGCGGTAGCACGGCTGACTGCAGACGAAAAGCAGGCTTCTAGCCACGTGAAGAATTACTCAGAAGACCTCCGAACGAGGTACGATCGGCGAGTGGCGGCAGACGTGGAACAGATTCGCGAGCGACACAAAGCGAGGCTTCTACAACAAGGTGCCGATCGCCTCCGCGCGTTGCGCCTCGAGGTGGAAAATCGGATTCTGCAAGAGCAGCTGCCCGATCCGGCTTACCACGAAGAAATCGATTTTTTGAGGGCTGAGCTGGCGTCACGCGAGGCCAAGTTGGGCCATGCTGAGCGCAGTCTAAGACGCATTGTCGCAGCAAGCAGCGACCAACTGCGGAAACAATTAAACGAGGAACAAGCCGGACGCTTTCAAGCACCTGCCGCACGGCCCAGTGAAGATCTAGCCTTCTCGGCTTCCGCAAGCACAAGTGAAAACGAGACCTGGCACCAACGGAGTCAACAGCAATCCAATGTTGGAGACACGGTGATCGACCGAGCTCGCATTAGCCAAACTTCAACGAAGGGTCGGCCGTCCTCTTTGCAGCGCGCGCTGGAGCCCTTCGGAATCCATCCGCGCGTTCTTAGTTCTGCCGTGGAATATGATGTTGCAACGGGAAAAGCCTTCATGCCCTTACGATACGAAGAACGTTTGGATCTGCGCTTGCCTTCCATGTTCGATGAAATCAAGCAGAAAAACTCGGTCACAGACTTTCGAAATCGAGAGGCAAGCAGTGACGGGACAGGGCGAGCACCAGATCACGAGGAGCTAGAGAGCGGAGGATTTGCATCTTCTCGGACAGGTTCTTCGCAAGGTGGTGGCACAGGTGGAGCCACGACAAGCAGCGTGGTGTCGGTCCACGGAGCTCTAAGCTCAGACGCCGCCTCAATTATGATCATCGACAGTAGGTTGTAATACAGACACTGCTTGTTGCTTGTCCTCCATGACAGCGCATCACCGTGTCCATAGAGCTTTGATTCGGGATTCGCAGTTTTTTCTTGTTGGAAAACCTTGTGCAAGGATCACCATTGTCAATTCACAAAAGAAATCCGCAGCAACTTACGTGCAAAGAAACAAAATCTTCTAACGGTGACAAGTCGAGTGGCGCCCTGGATATAGACTCCCGCTTCAATGACGTGACTTCTCCCGAGGAGGACGCGGGGTTAGTCTACGTACGAAGCAGTCACGCCATCGCTCGTAATGAAAATGCATTCGCAGATCTGCTCAATGACGATTGCGCACGCGCTAAAGACGTTGAAGCTCAGAATCAAGAATTGACAAAGCAAGCCGACCTTAGTAAGAAGATTGAAGACGCAATGCGAATTTTCGTGCTCACATCGCAAATGCAAGACCGCGCGATCGAGCTAGAAAGGAGTAAAACAGGCTTCTGAATAAAGCACTGGCATGCTGTCGCGCAACGCGGCCGAGGAGGCGCAATTCGTGTTGCCAACTGAAAATATGCATTTAAGGGAATCAGCCATACTAGCTGTGTTTCGTTTTTCGGGTTGTGTGAGCAGAAGAAATGGGAAGCAGTCGTCTTATGTGATTGTAGATTCGTTGCGCAGAGAAGAAAACGGGAACAAGGCTGAAGCGACAGCGATAGAAAATTTTTGGTAAGTCAGAATCTCTCTTGAGAGTGAAACTTGAGATGACTCAGATGTGCATGCCTGCTACAGCTTTTCGACTATTGATTTCTATTTCGTCTAAACAAAAGTAGATTCAGTTGTTTCCTCGATACAACAAACCTGCATTTTCACATTCTTCGAAGAAAAGTAAATGCGACTGACTCCCAGATGACGCGCCACTCCCACATGACGCTCCTTCTGCTGAGCGCGCTTGTTTTTCACCGAAGTATTGTTAGGGAGCAGTCATATTTGCATTGTGCGAAACACCAATTGGATAAAAACACACTGATTGCACTGTCTGATCTTCTTACGGAATTGAAGACGGGCGTCTACTATCTCGATGGTAGGTTGGGACGAGAGAAGCTCGTAGATGCAGCGTCTCGTCGTGTGGTATCTCTGCCTACTTTAAGCGGGTCGAACAGAACAGAAGTGTCGGAGGACGACTCACCGCTTTCGGATGAAGAATTGTACTCAAGACGTGTGGCGGAGGTTGTCCATTTTGTCGAAGCGCACCGCCCACCGCGGGATGAAAGACTTACACGGCGTTACAACTTCATCAACGCACGCTTGGCTCTCAAAGCATACGACATTGTAGTGCAAAAATGGGGGAAAGCTTTTTACGGCGGCAAGAGCGATGATAGTGTCGCGTCGGAGTTTTCGTCGACTGCGGGGCCTGCACAAGATTCGTCTGCTCCGGACGTCGCCCTGACCTCCGTACCACTACAAGACCAATCAGCACAAATTGACGATAGTAAAGAAGAAGACGTGAGCCCCAATAATTCATCTTCCGTGTCACGATTTCCAGTGTTGTTTCTCAACGATGTTGCGCCATACGCAGTTTTCACCGAGCCTCGCACGAACTGGCGCAAGGTGTTTTACCGATTCCTGCTTCCGCTGCTGAAGGAGGCCGATTCGGCAACGGCGCTGATTTCTGTGATCAACTCAAAAGTATGGAACTTATTCACTAACGAGCCCATACGCTTCTTCGCAGCTGGAGCCGATGAGATTAATAATTTCGGCATTGCGGACTTTCTCAATGGAACGTTCACAGGCGGGCACCCAGGAAGCAGTTGCACGGGCATGGCAATATTCACTGTCGCCTGTCTGCGGACCGTAGGAATTCCAGCGCGCGCAGCAGGGGTAGCGCACTGGAATCGGGGAAACAGTTACGAGATCACTTATTCACTTCCGTGAAGCTCTTTTCGTGAAGCTCTGCTCCCGACGCTTTTTCCGTGCAGCTCTTTTTTAGATACTTCTACCTGTCAAGCTCTTCTCGTGAAAAAGAGCTCGAATAATCATAAGCATGTCATCAATCTCCCTCTGCTTCTGTTTGCTGGGCACCAGAAATTCCGATAGAACTGAACCTCGGTGTCTTGTACCGATTCTAATTCAATAGCTGTCCAGACGGAGATGCTAGCCCAAACTGCGGCAACCATAATTGGGTTGAGGTGTGGAACGGAACACAATGGCATTTTCTGAGTCCCGCTCCGCAAGAGGGCGGACCAAAGCCCTTGGATCAAGGGTGGTTTTTTCCAAATCCGATCGATACTCTGAGGCCGCTGAATGGCAACCATTCGCTATACGCGACATCGTGGAAAAAGACACCGTTGTTCCAACTTGAGAAGGAAGTGGTTTCTGATGTTTCGCTGAATGATGAGTCTCGTGGAAATGTAAATTTTCCTCTCAACTTGCCTTCGGTGTATGGTGAACAACTAGAAGTCGGGAAATCATCATTGCGATGGATAAGAAATGACGAATCTTTTCTGGGGAACTCATACAGCGACGACGAGATAGCAGTGGACCATTTCCCTATGGTTTGGGCGTCGCGGGAGGATGGACCACTAGACACAGACGCAGAGGTGCAGGGCTGGGATGTGACGTGTAGATATATTCGCCACCTAAGATTAAACTCAACAGGATGTAGTCCATCGGACGGTGCTGAATCTCTTGTGAAGTAGCGGAGTTATAATTATTCTCTCGCGAAAAAGCATGTCAAAGTTACGAACAAGGTGAATATGACTAGAGAGAAGCGACTGGTTTCAGTCGCCGCTTTTGAAAATTTATAGTTTCTTTGACAGGAAAGGTCGAGGCTATTGACTTCTTTGTATTGTACAAAAAGTCTATTGAAACAGCAGAGAGACTGAGGTCACTTCATCGCCATCAACGACGCAGAAGTACAAAAATAAAAGAGTTCACTTCGTGAACGAAAGCACCACTATATTCTAGAAATTGCAATTGACCACATCGTGGTGAACGTGATCATGTTAAGTACTCAGTTGCTCTGACATGTTTTTCAATTAACCAAAAAGCGAAAGCAAACACACCTCCAAAATGTCGTGCTTCGGCCCTCGTGAAACGAATCAGTTCCTCTTGCTGGGACCGGAGAATGCGGGCAAGACGACGCTTTTGTACAAGCTAAAGCTTGCAGATAATTGGAAGAAACTGGAGATCATCCGAGACATGAAAGCTGTCAAGGAAAAAGAAAACTTCGGGTATCCCACTCTACAGTTGATTATGAATAGGTCGTTTCACTAATTCTACTTCGATCTTTGTTGGTCGTTGTATCTTCTAGATGATGAACCTTTGATACAGCCGGGATTGTGATCAAAGCGCCTGTTGCTTTAAGTCGGTTTCATACGAACTCGCACATCTTGTAGGTTTCACTACGAGGAATTTCGCGGGTCGAAAATGACTTACGGCATTTGGGATCTCCCTGGGAAGAAAGCAGCGCGACCTCTCTGGCCGATTTTTTATCGCTACATTCAAATCGACGCGGTCTTGCTGTGCATGGACAAGATGCTGCTTTTTGATCAATCTGCGGCGGCTTTGGAGACGGTGGAGGAAATGAAGCAACTCCTCGCTTTTATGGTACACGAGCCCGAGTTGCGTCCAGCGGCGTTTGCGATTCTTCTCAATGAAAAAGATAACGGTCCCTTGCTAGAGGATCTGACGTATTTATTGCTTCCTTGCCTCAGTGTCAGTACTGAAAAATTAGTCTATTGAATGTAAGTCTTTGAAATTGAATGTCAAAGAACTCAAACCAGCCTTTTTGTTTGTTTGTTTCGCAACAGGGATAACGACGTTCGCGAAATCCTCGGAATCCCTGAATTGCAGCTGGTTAGCGAAGACAGAATAAAGGTTTTTACATTGAACACGGCCGATGTTGCAGAGAATAGCGGTGTGTGGCCTAAAGTCATGGACTTCACTCGTCGACAAATCATGTCGGCGGCCAAAGACTGAGACATTTGCGTGTCCTCTATTGAAACGAACAACGCGAGGCACGTGAACTAGCGACTCCTTCATCGACGCACTATCTTACACGGTGTTTGACATCCGCTCTTTTTAGCGACACAACAAGCCGACGACAGGCTTTGGGCACCGGAAACAGATACGGTTGCGCCAAAAGACGATACGCGTATGAAAAGTTTATAGGACGTTTGAATTTCGGCCAAGTGACGTCACATGCTGCGCCGCACGACGAGTGGTACCAGGAATCGAAAGTGAAAAATGTCTACCACGATGCGGCCAAATAGCGTACGAAAAGCGCCTAAGAGCTGATGCACTCGCACATTATCTATGACTCAGGTCCGCACGGCCCCCCCCTCCCCCGCCCTGTGGTCTGGTCTGTGGTCGCGCGCCCGCGCGCTTTTCCGCGCGGATTTTTCGCGGATTCTAGTGGTGGAAGGCCTCAAAACTTGGCGCCTTCCTCCCCTTGGGCCTCTCAGCGTGTTCCTTAGGGCCACGGTCGCAGGCAAGCCGATGACCAAGGGCCCGGAGGGTTCAAGCGGCACGGCTCAGGGGGTCCAGCCCTTCGCCTTTTGCCGTCTTCGGAGGCCTTCCGCTGCCGGTGCACTGCTGCCATCTAACCCCTCAAGTCTGTAGGGTACATGCAAACGAGAAGGAGGCAGCGAGCCCCTTGGCCCCCCTTGAGGCCTTCCACCTACGTCGGAGGCCTCTGCGGGACAGCCAAGCAGCTGGGAGGAAGCGGAGGCGGCCCCCCTTGAGGCCCTCTTGAGGCCTACCACCTACGTCCGAGGCCTCTAGGGGACCCCAAGCACCTGGAAGAGGACAGGGGGGGGGCCTTTCGAGGCCTTCCCCCCCCGGCAGAGGCCTCAAAAAGGGGGCCAGGGCGCCCGGCCCCCCTCCCCCGCTGGGGGGGGGGCGTCGCCCCGCGCCCTGGAACATCTATTTTTCGACATATGATGTTCTTCATCTCGCGACGGCGAAAGAAGCTATAACTTCAAGTTACATGAGAGCAAAAACCGAGCACGAGTCCATCCTATCTTCACCATCTGCAAATAAAGTTTTTTGATTCTATCCGATCGGTCCAATCGATTTGGATCCGAGACTCACCACATGTGCCAAAAGTAGAGGCAAGTCTGATTTCGCACACAAAACCTCGAAACAAGCCCAGTAACGTCCATTCTTTTTCGGCTCTTCTATACCCGTAAACGCTTTTCTCCTCGGTGATGAGCCCACTCCTCTCCTATAATACTACAATAGGTCTATAAATGACACACGTGCTGTCGGTCCGAAAAAATTGCTTCTAGGTCGAAAGTACACTTCGCAGGTTCACATTTCAAAAAGTTAAAGTTTTTTGTCGTAGTTATCATCAACATATTGTCATGCATCGGGACGATCTGACGGAAAAAAAAATCGTTGTCGCTCGGGTGTCGTTCTATCATGAGTTTCTCGGTTCCAGAGCTCTATCGGTGTCGCGGCTTTCCGTAGGAGGTACCTCTTTTCACTGAGTGGCCTCATACATAGATGCGGAATTGATGCTATGAAACAGGCGCCATGTTGTCATGACGCTAGAGAAAAACTGCCATGCACCCCTTCTAGGAAGAGTCATGGGAAAGCGTTTTGTCACCTCACACATTTCTTCGTATCTCTTCCAAAGAAAGTGAAAATAGGATGTGGATTTCTCCGACGTTTTGTCGTTTTGTGACCGAAAATCTAAGTGGATCATTATGAAGAACAGCTTTGATTATGAGAGGTAGATAGTTGCCTAGATCAAGATAGAATATACGGGATCACCACGTAAAGACATCCTATTTATTGCTATTCCTTGAGTGGGAAGATCCAAGAAAATGGCGGATGTATTTGAGGTGCAGTGGAAGATGCGGGACTTGTTCCAGCAACTAGATGTGCAGTCGGGAAAAGGAAAGGATAAGACTGTGAATCAAATGCGACTCTGCTACCAGATGTCGCAGTTGCAAGATCATCTCGTGCGTGCGAGCAAAAAGAAAATGCGCAAGTCCTGCGGATCGAGAAGCAGTACATATACTCTGACTCTTTGATGATGCGAATCTATTTGGCAGATTGCCTAAGATTCTACTCTGACTTATCTTGCTTCTACTAACTATGTATTGACCCATCTCAATGTTGCAGGTCCCAGGACGGGCTAAGGTTTGCTAGAATTTGAAATGAAGCTGGTTCAAACATGGTGTGTTGAAGACATAGAAAAATGAGTATTCGAAAACCCAAAATAACTATCGAGTTACTGACTGAAATAAGAGAGTCTTGGCTACATTCCTCTTCTTTCAGTATCTCCCTGATTTTCACTAGTTACGCGCTTATTTTAGTTTATCGAATAGTCTGTCAAGTTGACAGGTCTGGAATTCGAGAAGGGCCAGTCGCACAAGCAGCATCAGGGAACCCGTTCGGGCTCGTCAGGGGGAGTCAAGAAAAAAGCGCAGCGTCGGCTTTTCAAGCGCTTCGAGGCGCTAATCGAAGGTCGAATTCACGCTACAGCGGAGGAGAGCAAACTCCACAAACTCCGGAAGAGCCTCGAGGAGGAGATACACAGTTGTGCGCGGAAAAAGAAAAGCCTACTGCAAAACCACCATCTTATGGAACATAATGACGAATTGCCACTCCTTATTCTAAGAAGTATGATTAGTATTGATTCCTGCAAGCCAATATCCCGTTCACGTTGATTTTTGCATTCACGATTTTTGCCTCGAGCAGAACTAAAAACTAGCCCTGTATCCCCCGTTACATCAGAAGTTCTAGAGAACACGATCGTGTTTTTGTTGCCTACCTCCCTCTTCATGTACGAGCAGCAGGAAGTGCGGCAAATGATCAAGGGCCGACGTCCGGTTTCAGCGTCGTCAATCGGGAGTCGTTCGCGCCCGCTGTCGGCAGGGCCGTGCTTGCAGGGCGGATCCAGCCAGGAGTTGATGGGCGTAGAAGGTCAGCTCACGTCAGTCGCGGAGGCCAAGGTGCAGAAATTGTTGAACGAGAACTTGATGGGAACTCCATTTCGAGGTGACTCGGCCAATGTTGGGCGAACGAGTGCTGCGGAAAGCAGTAACCACGCTCTAGTTAAACACTGGCAACAAATTCAGAAAATGCGCAACCAAGTCCACAAGCAATTCGAGAAAGAGTTGAAAAAGCGACCGGTAGAACGATAGACTAGTTACTTTACATTTGAGCGTGGAGATACAGAGCTTCATATTTTCAATGAAGCACGCGAGCAGGCTAGCATGCTATGGCATTTATGCATTTTTCAATCTTCTTCTTACAATGAATCTGAGATGCTTGTTCCGTTGCCCATAATGAATCAGCTTCTTTGCAAACACACAGATGTCGGCCGGCGCGATGTGCCAGCATTCCACTGACTCGCAACGAACGCCACCTGGGGATGGGCGAAAGCTTTTCGCTGAGGACATGGGTGAGCATCAGCACATCGGTTCTCGGGACCCGTGCCACATCAGCAGCAGCGGCTCTCAGCACGACGACTCCTCGTCCACAATGCGCAGTCGCGAGAGCACGATGCGAAGCAGCACCATTGGAAGCATCGGCTATGGAGGCGGACGCAACTTTCGCGGCGAAACTGACGAGAAGGGCCGCTATGGCGGAGCAGGTGGAAGCGAATACAACTATCACTCTGCGGCCGGAGGTGGAAATAAAGCGCGCACGCGGCCGCAGAGCGGGCATGCGCAAGGTCACCTGCCCGCCGATGAAGATCCTGATGCACTCATGAAGCCGCGGCCGCTGTCGGCGCACCCAACAAAGCCGAATAATTACAAATCCACGTGGCCGAACACTCACGCAGGTCACACTCAGCCAAGAGGAAGCAAAAGACCGTGGACTTCGGCTGGGTGTTTCATTAATTTCGAGAAACGAATTTTAGACCGCGTGCCACGCGAGAGCAGTGCGACTGTGAAGCGGCGAAACAAAATCCAGAACCGGCGACCGCGGCCCAACCGCCACCGCTCGTCCAGTTTTGAGGGGGTCATGTCGGACACCGGCGGCGGACTAAATTCGGCCACGATGGTGCGCAAGAACAAGCGTGCGAGTGCGGACGAGCTGCGACAACGGTATGGACCTAACTGTCCGATTGGTCTGGAGCCCGATGAGGGCTACGCGAGCGATGAAGCCTTCATCATGGACGACGCCGACGATGGCTATGCCAGCGATACGTCCGAAAAAATCCGCGAAGCCGAGAGCGTGCACCATCATCGGCGTATCTTCAGTGCCGCGAAGAGCAGAGAGAATCGCCAAACCCTGTCCGCGAAAATTGCGGCAGCGAACGAGAAAATTCGGGAGGCAGGTGCGAACAGCTCCACTACTTGCCTTTCGGGCGGAAGCAGCAGTTCGGTCTCCTGCAGCACCTCTGGTCATGTCACGTCGTGTGGCGAAGGCGCTGCGAAAACGATGCGAGAGGAGAACGGTGCGCCCAAGGGGATGTCAGAAAAGTTGCAAGTCGAACACCTCAGCGATGAGGTGAGTGTCGATGCTGGCGGTGAGCATAGTCTTCAAATAGCTCAACATCTGGTGTCGCTGGAAGGCGCTAGCGGTGTAGACCAAACCGCCGGGCAAACTGCCATATCCGAAGGCGCCAACGCTGGGTCACTCGCGCAGGAAGGAACAGGCAAACAAGACGGCGCGATGGCAGTTCGAGCGCCTGGGATGAAGGGATACTCTGCAGAGCAGAACAAGGAGGTTGCAGCCGATATCGAAAGTATACTCGCACATTTGCCGTCGCCGAGCCGACGCCGCCGCATCAATCCTTTGCAAAATCGTTTGGTGCCCACATTGGACCTGTCGCGAACGAAAGGCTTCAAGGAAGACGTCACATACCCTGTGCTTTCCACAGCGTATACGTCAAGCAACGCAGCGGACACGGACCGCCAGATGCCCATGGACGACTACGTGCATGGGCAATCGTCAAGCGCAGATGGGTTGCAGACTGCTGTGGTGCAGCAGCATCCGCTGACAATCAACAAGCTGGCGAATGCTAGCACTAGAAATAGAGAGGGCGGAGCAACTACTAAGAGTGGGTCAAAAAAATCGAGAGGGAAGTCGCGTAGCCGTGCGTCTTCTGGAGGTGCTAAGAAGCAAGAGACTAGTGGGTCTGGAGCAGCTATGAGCAACAAAGCAACGACACCATTGTCAGCCTCAGCGGCCAGTTCGGCTGCTTCCTCTAGCAACAAGATGCAGGCTGTGAGTGACAGTAACTCATCAAACGGCGCTCTTCGGCGCAAGAAACTACCTTCTCGCTCGTTCACGACAGGAATTGACATTGCACCGCAGGAGCCAGCGCTGCAGCAAGGTGTAGTGGCTAGCGATCTGACACTGAAGACGGACTCTGCCAATGGAGTTGCCAGACCGCCTATTTTTGCGAAGGAAGTGTTGCAGTCACTGAACAATTTTGAATTCAACACGAGGGCGCGATTTGCGGAAGCGGGTATCGAGGGACTAGAGCGCGAGCACCGACAGGGCCCACTCGGCAATCTGGAGGTTGGTTCCGTCGCTCGCACGGAGTATGCTGGGCGCGGTAACACGTTCGAACTCAACAGGGCGAGCGCCCATCAGTCGTCTAATTCTTCATTACATCAGAGTCTCAGTGGTAAAGACTTGAATGCGCGAAATCTAGCGGAACGCGTTGACGCGCAAGTGCGCGCCGCGAATATGCGCTTGGCGTCAGGTAGTGCTGTGCTGCTTTCCAGAAGTAGCACGGAAGGCGAGCAAATTCAGCGACACACGCGAAATCGATGCGGAAATACCAGTCATAGTGGTCACCTACACAGTCAACAGACTATCCCTGGAAGCAGTCACTATACTGGGGGAAGCTCGAATGACACGCCTGCTTCTCCTATCGGAGATAGAGGGGCGGAACATAACCATGCCGCCGCGTCCGAACAGACATCAAACGGTAGAGTAGGCATGAAAAACCCGTTTTTTGGTACAGCACCCTCCGTATCGAGAGCGGCGCCACAATCAGCAGAGCACTCACAAGTCCACGACGATGTGGAGCAAGCGCGGCGACGAATTTACAATTACAACGACAATGGGCAGCGTCCTAAATACGCAACTGTCGCAAACGCGACCGATGACCCTGGACTTATGACGCTCGACGAGCCCGCGGACGACAGAGTCATGCTTCCGCAAGAAGATTAAGACTTCCGTAAATCCATCTTCAGAAACATCTTGGAGGACCTCCGTGTAGGGGGGGGCACGGGTTCAAGATGACTTTCAAGATGGATTGCCTGAAGGTCTAAGAAGAGTCTTTTGATCTTCGCGCATACAATGACTTCGAACAGAGCACAGCACGTCAGCACAGTTGCGAGCTGTTGCCACCGCGATACAGCTCTCGTGCGGAGCCGAATTTCCTGCTCTTTAAATCTTCAAATGCCAAAGGAGGGAATCACAGCGGAAAGGGTGCTGGTAGAGGTGCGAACACAAATAACAACAACTACACCAATCAGTCTGGAATCTCGGCATCGTCAACTGCTGGACCGTCTGAGCATGATCCCAACACTGGCTTTGCGAGCTCGAGTTCGAGTGCGACACAACAGATCCAGCATGCCGTCTCAATGGCGACAACTTCACTTAGTTTTCATGGCGGGAGTGCCTCCACGCACGCTTCTCTTGACGCAACTCGATCAAGCAGTTCAGCGAGTGCACCTGCTTCCTCTCTGAGGCCGCCGCCGCTTGAACAACCCATGAGGGAACAGAGTTTGGAATCGCGTGCACCAATCTTGCCCCCGTCCCTTTGGGAAGACGACGGACTGGATGATATTGAGGACAATTTCCTCCGCAATCGCAGTGGCAGCAATGCTTCGGAGGGCGGCTCACAACAAGGAACAACAACGGCAAACAAATATATACCTTCGGAAAGCCTCTTGCCATCTTCGCAGTCAAATGGTGCAACACCGTCAGCAGGGGCTGCAGTACGCAGTAGTGTTGAGTCGTTGCGCGGCAGTTCTCTCTTTCTTCTTCCGCGAGGACAGAACTACGCCTCAGGTAGCGCTGCATCGATGGGATCAGCGACACCGTCTCAGCACCTTGCAGGGGTCGGAATATACCCAATCCAGCAGCAACAACAGCATTCCTCGACTCCTTCAAATGTGTCCGCAAATCGCTACTCAGGAAGCGCAGGTTCGGCACTAGCAGCACCATCAGCAGCGGCGCCTTCCAGATCGCTGCTCGGAAGCCGTACTGCACTTCAAACAAAAGTTTCGGTCTCCGAGAGGTACCCGCGTCCTGGCAGTGATGTCAGCATTAGAGAACAACAGCCATCATCTTCAAGTACAACAACCGCACCTTTTAGCGGGAGCACTGGTGCAACCTTCTCAACAGGATGTACAATAGAACAAGTATCGTTAGGAGCACAGCCACAGTTGTCATCTGCCGCAAGTAGTAGTAGTGCGTTGTCATCCACGAGCAGCCTCTCGGGAGGACATCAGAGGTTACCTATTCCACGACAACGAAGCGAAAATCGAGGAACAGGGTTCATGCGAGACTCACTGAACTCGGAAATCGAGGATGCTTTTCTATCGTCGCTTGGCGGCTCGTCAGCCTCTTCAGGTCAAAACTCCGGCATTGCAAGCCAGTCGATGCTAGTGCATTTCCATCAGTAAACGAATTTTGAGTACATTGATATGGCATGACGGTTGATGTACTTACAACCAGGGAAGATGAAGGCTCACATCGAACGCACAATGTATTGTGTTCACGATAATTTAGAATTCCACTACTTTGACAATAAAAATCCCTGATCTATAACTCTAAGACTTATAATCGAGTCGACAAATATATAATTATACGCAAGACTATCAATCTTCTCCCAATTCAGCGAAAGAAACAAACTATCAGTACCAACGACAACCCTCGTGACCGATGTCAGTTGTAGAACAATGCTTATCTAGATAGAAGTAATAAAGTCGAAAAAGAAAACAAGTGTTAGTGCATCTTCTGCCGGCTGATCACTATCGGCTCGTATCTAAGTAATCATGTGAAGCTCTATTACATCTAACCAGTAGCATCATTTTTCTATCTTGTACAGTTTGTCATTTAATGTTCTTCATTTCCAAACAAAGCGAGCAGAATAATGTGGTGTACGGAGAAGTGCTGACGCACAATAATTTCCACTTGTCCAAATTTGTCAGTAGTCACTGTATGTCCAGAAAATTTTACAACACCAAAGAAGGTAATGCAGAGTCTTGAGGGTCTTGTGCTCCAGGCTTCCCGCGGGGTAATTGTAGACCCAGGCCCCCCAAAAAAATGTAGTCAAAACTAACATGATGAATGAAACGGAAAGGAAGTTCAGTACCAAAGAACACCGCTAGAGTTTAGAATTATACAAATGGTTGTGTAATCGTTTCACCAATATATGAAAAAGAAAATAGTTATTAAAGATACGCAGAGCTTTTAAAAAAACTTTTGCCTTGATGACTATCGTTGCAGCTACTCGACATTTTTATCCTTCTTACTTACTTTGCATCATTGCCCTAATGTGTCCCCTTGCGGTTAAGAACTTTGTGTCCCACTATCATGGGTTTAGATAATTTCCAGGTCTTGAGGTAGCTCAGTCGTTTTTGTCTAATTCATCTTCAAAATCTAGTGATCAGAGTACTAGCTATCAAATTCTATTAGTCTTGTTTCGCATTCGTGATTGGTCTTCGTCTTTAGTGACAACAAATGTATGATTTAATCTTATTTCCACCAAGGGATGAATTTGAATATGATTCCGAGCTGTCTTTGCTGAGTCATTTTCGTGAACTATTTTTCAGAATGAAACGAACAAATAAAAAACAACTACTTTGAACATCGAACTCATATTTGTTGACAGCCATTCCTAAAATCAGAAAAAACCCAGCCAAGCACCAGACGGCGACCGAGAAGAATGATATTTCACAGTCCATACTCATGGTAGGATGAGATACAATTATATGGTCATGGAAAGACAAAGTGAGTCATCCGGAGCGAATGGCGCGTCTGAGGGATCGAGTGGGCAAAACTGACCGGCTTCGGGCGCACACAGACAAGATACGTGAGGAGATGCTGGCTATACTTTCGTACTATTTTGAAAAAGAAGTAGTCAATAGACCCAGCGCAAATGGGATCCGAGTTTTTTTAAGTATGTAGTTTTTGATTTATTCTGAAAGGCAAAGAAAGGGTGTGACAAGAATGGCGAATGCGTTAACTGACTGCTAAGTTTCCGTCGACAAGTGCCAACGGTACATGGGAGTAAGAAATCGGGGCGAAAAATTTGAATTTGTTGGAACGCCGTATCAGAGATCTTCAACAAGCTTAGGCTATCTTCCATGCGGGGATTTGACCAGCGAGGATAGACTTGCGCCCACCCAGTACGGCACGTTTTCTTCATCTAGCCACCGCGTCAACAAAACGAGATCTCACCGAAATGTCGACAATGCACCTGAGCACAGTCCTGACGCGGCCAAATGTCCGCGAAGGCTGCCTGATTCTCAGCGGGGAGGGAGAGGGCGGTCCGAACCACTTTCTTGAGGATCTAGAGCGCGAAGAGACGACCCCAGTGGAAGTCGTATCCGATAATTCAACTTGTGATGCTGATATTTTTGTGGACGGAACACTTACTTATGACTAAGTACTACACAATGGATAGTTGTCGCTTTATTTTTTGCACGCATTTGCATTTTCAACGGTGCTACTAATACTTAGGTTTCTCTGCATGAGGTTCGCTTTAGTCGTGGTGGTACAATTTCCATGACCCTGTTGCTCAAGTGCCTGCAGCGGGTGGACCGACTCAGACGCCTTACGTTGCAGTCCTGTGAGATCGCGGAATTGGAAGAGATTTGTCGTTGTACTCGTCATGTTGAATATGCGGATCTCTCATGGAATGCCATACGGCTGCTCCCTTCGCGAATAGCTTCGTTGTGGACCTTTTTGACTGATTTAAATCTAGCACAAAACCGACTCTGCGACTTTGAGGAGCTGCAAAAGTTAGTGTCACTTCTGCGACTGAAAAAGCTGAACTTGTCCGAAAATCCGATATCATCGCAGGTAGTCTTTTGTGATCGTGCTGATCGATGTGTGTTGAAAATCAAAATGAAAATGGTGCGGCGTTTTCTTCACTGCAAGAAATATGCAGGCCGAGTACGTAGAGCGAATTTTAACAAGGGCACGATAAAAAGACTTTGCTTTGTACCTCCACTCGCAGGTGGGATATCGAAGTCGCGTAATAACATCCATGCCTCAACTATTCGAGCTGGATATGCACGTGATTAGCGTAGAGACGCGCCGCGAGGCAGCTCTGCAACCGCTGAACGATCGAGTGCGCGCGGTAGCTGAGGAGCATAGGCCATGGATGCCACCGTCTGTTGGTAGTGAGCCCTTTGTTGTGAATGTGATAGCAGAACAAAAAGTAAGTAAAGGATTGAACTTTCCAAATCTTGTACTGATCACAGTTCAACAGTTTTGTCCTTCGCACCATTCCAGCTGGTGTAGTCCCATCTATGGACTACAACCTTCCTAATTTGGTGCTAGACTGAATATCTACCGAGTTTGAACCGACATCCCTGAGACAGATTCTCCGGTGGGGTGTCGGTATAAGACGGAGAAACAAGAACAATTTGCAAGGAAGTACATGCCAACGATCATGATGTTGTGGATCACACGGAATCAACAAGTTGTATTGAGATTTTCGTGGGTACCAACAGAAAAATTATTTCCTTGCTCTACTTCTATTTTGCTTTGTCATAATTGTAATTTTGATGATTTTATTCTGTACCTACAGCTTCAGACACTCTCGACCGGGCATTTCGTTCTGGCTATGATGCGGGAAGCAAGCGAAGCGCTGATTTGCATCCAATGGCAGGGTCGCGAACAGCAGCCGACCGCCAGTACGAGGAGCTAATGTCGAAGATCCGCGCGTCCAATGGCGTGAGCATGAGCGAAGTGGCGCCCCATTTGGGGGCATCACCACCTCTTGTAGGAGGCGCGAGCTCTTCGGCCGTTCCATCAGCTGCTCGCCGTAGCGGAGGGGGCAGTGGAACGCGAACTCCGACAGGTTCGACATCGGCACTTTATCCCCGGTCGGTCACCGCAGACGAAGTGCTGGAGCAGGCGCAGCGCATTCTGGAGAAAACCGAGCAGGGATATATCACGCCAGTAGCAAGAAGCAGCAAGAGCCCGGGTGGTAGTAAAGCTAGCACCGTGCCACGAGAAGTGGCGTTTCAGAGGGAACAACATTCGCGGAGCCCCTTAGGTCGGCGGCAACCAAACGAAAGCTTACGAGGCACGACCCCAGCAGCATCAGCATTCGCTTCACCCACACTGACAAATACTGCGGGAGCTGCAACCGCCATGATTGGTCGCCGGGGTTTGTTCGATCACTCGCCGGTTACCCGGGTAATGGCACAATCCTTATATGCAGGGATGAAAGCAGAGCAGCGCGAACCAGGATTATGGCTCTTTCGTCAAAGAATAGTCTTACCGTTGGATTGGTCTAGAGGTTGTGTTATCAAGGGTAAAAAAGTATTCATTTAGGTGACACCTTACATTGTTGAAGAACAAGTGTAGATTTTGCTTTAATGTTGAGTGCTAGTAAGCGGCGCGTATCGCCTGATCGACCGCTTCTGCATGGTGGGCAGAATGATGTGGCGTCAGCGTTTCTCAGCAGTATCGACAGTGCGACTTCGAGTACCATGAAGGTAACCGCCGGGTATCACAATACCACGAGCCCACAGCACGTTGCGTCAGGCAGCAAGAAGACTTCGTACGGGGGACCTGGCGGTGGCGTCTTAGCTGCGGGTATAATCGGTGCAGGTGAAACTAGTCCGTCGAAGTTGTCGGGGGTCATGAGCACGAACTTTGCTGCGTCCTCTTCGCGTGTCGCTGATGTGAGTGCGTCTCTCTCTGGTCGCACACGGCGAATGGAGCGAGAATTTGACGTCGCGGGTGCTCGTCATCCTGTGCCTGGGGTCTCGGAGTACCAAGCGCCACTCTCTATTCCGTCGGCACAAGTGACTAGTACGCCTCCTTCTCCACAACTTGGGAATAATTCAGGCTCCAGGTCTCCACCACATGTTGACAGGCCGAGAGCAGCAGATGCACGAAGCGATCCCCTCAATGACTCTCGCAGAGCAGGCTCGAACAGCAATGCCGCTGACCAGGCCTCATCTTCCTCCTCTTCGAGACGGCGAATTTTCCGCTCCTTGCCGCCGACGACGAGGGTTCCTCGAAGACCGCCTGCAACGGTCCCATCTAGCCTCGATTTACATAGAAAGACGTTTTGGCAGGAGAAGCAGGAGGAACGCGAGCGGGAGATGTCAAGGCGGGCGGACAAAGAGAGAATCGCGAATGTAGACAGACGGCATCATCAGTACCATCAATGGCTAAGCGACGCATTCCAAGTAGATCCGGGTAGGCGCGAAAGTGCATCGCGCTCTCCACCACCCTCACAACGGCCGAACTCAGGGGGCTTAGTGGCCGTTGCAGCTGAACGCTACTCGTCGTGGGACAGGCAAAGAAAGCAAGACTACGACGGAGACCCAGCAGGTGCATCGACTGTCCCGACAACGAGGGGTAGTTTTGTTTCATAGAAAGGAGAGGAAAAGCAGAAAAATTAGGCGTGGAACGTCATGCAATTTTCAAGCCACGATCATGTGAAATCCGAGCACAATCAACACAACATGAGTTCTCGAACCTGATCTATTTTTTTTAGCTTTTGTTCTTTCACACCATCACAGCCCAAAGTCACGCATCCGCTGGTGCGGATGGCCAGGCGCATCCGTTTTATCCTCCATATCGGCAGACGCACACCGAACCAGAGATTCGAACCTGGTTTGACAAGTCGCTTGAGGAAAGGAAATATCATGAGGACGAGGCGAAACTCGAAGCTCTGCGAGTCTTACAATTGAAACTACCTCTGAATCCAAAGAACCTTCCGATTGGGGTGGAGGAAGACGATGTGGTTGCAGACCGCGACAAACTCACGTCAAAGACCCACATAGCGGATATACTCCGTACTACTCGCTATATTGTTTCAGACGAGAAGATTGTTGTGCACTAACCTCGTTGTGCAACTTCGATTTCCATCAGAGCAGGCCGTTCATCATTTATTTTTGTAAAGGAACTGGATTTCGTTTTCGTTCCTCGTTTTGCGATCTACACTAACGCACAAATGCCACAGTGAAAGTCGTCGAGAAATGCGAGGGGCAACACCGGGTCATCAACTGTATGTACAAGCACCTAGCTATTCCTCGTGACTGGATGATACAAAATGCCACGAAAGCCAGTGTCTCCAAGTCCCAAGCTAGCATTTACTCAGCGACGGATCAGAACCAAGCCTCAATCTTGAATACCACGACGAATAGCGCTGGTGGAGCTGCAGGGCAAAATAGAAGCAAATCCATCGGCCGAAAGCTCGGCTACGCACCAAAAATGATCATAACGCAACCGGGAATGTATTCCTTACTTTATAAATTTCTCTTTTTGCTTCTAAAAGATGACGAGCGAAGAAAGTTTTTACGTTGTAAGCGCACAGAAGATGAAAATGCAATAACTGGACTAAAGATGTCCCATCACCTGGATCATCCACTTTTTGAGGAGGCGCCGAGTCAAATCTCTTCAGGTCTGCCTATTCGAGTACGGGCAAGCCGATGGGTAGCACGGTCTCACAGCAGGACGCTGCCTCTCGAACGAGCAGTCCACAGAAGCTCCCAATGAAGGGGGAGCAGCGGTTCGACGCGTGGTCATTGTACGCGTCGCTGGAACACAAAGGCCAATCGCCGAGAGAAGTGAACTTGCGCAAATTTAAGTATCCTCGGCGGCAGTTCGGTGGAGGGGGCCCTAAGCAACTTCCTAACAGCGCATGGGCGCCACAAGGTGGAAGCAGATGACAGCAATTTATAGACAGGATGAATCTTGAGGGTGGAAACTTATTGCCTCCTAAGGAGATCTAGATCTTCTGACGGACACCTAGTAGGGTGTCTGCACATTTCGAAATCCGTCGATCCCTAGATGGTCCAGAGCAAGTGATGTGTCACTAAAGCAAATAAGTACTTAATATCAATCTTGATATTGTCTATTGATGCCGTAACGATGACTTGAATACTTCTCGCGTAAACGCAATAATGATGCCTTCTTAATTATATATCGCTTTTCGCCATCAAAGCTTCGGAAAAGTTCAACAAAAAAATATTACAAATCAGTAAAACTGACTGTAATCGAAAGCTGAAAATAAGCGAGTAACCAATACAATAGCCGAGCTGTATCTGAGAAGATTGTTATCGAGATTACTCGCTTATTTCAGTTTATCGAATATGCAGGCAGATCTAGAATCATGTTCTTTTCAGCATTCGAAAGTTGCAATGCAAAAAACAAGTGAAGATCAGCAGCTGATAAATTCAGAATTGCAATATCCAGAAAGTTGTAGTGAGATCTGCTTCGCAGGCTTGTCGGAAAAAATATCCGATGCGAGATTGATCTTGAGGATCAGCGAATCAGGGTTTCTCATGCATGAGATTTACGTTCAAATGAAATTCTGGGAGGATCTCTTCAATTGTGGAGAGGAACGACCGGGTCAACCATGCTCTGAAGTGACATGTTGCAGTGCCAACCATAATATTGATCAGGCCTGTTTTTGGTAAGATTCGTATTTTGTTAAACTGTGGTCGAAAGCACTATCCTAGAAGCGAAAATTTTCCTAGGTTTTTAGCAAGAGTACTTTGCTGTGATAGAAGATTGTTACAACACTTTGCGCGTGCGCTACGTTTTCCTTCAAAGTCGTTTTCATGATTCAAATTTACATTTAAACTAAGTGAACACGAGGACTACCAAAAATGCCGTCTGGAAAGAAGAAGTATTCGTGTGGCCTCGGTAAGGCCATCAATAATGCCCAAAAGAAGGCAGCCGAACTGAATGCTGCCTTTCACGGAAAGCGGACCTTTCTTGAGGGACAGGAGCATGGCGTTTCTTGTCTGGAGTCCACAAACTTGGATGATTTCCTAGCGAAGGCAGAACTGGCAAATCAAGAATTCCAAGCGATTCGTGGTCGCTTTTCTATTGTGGAAAAAAGCGTCGTAAGCCAACGCGAGAAAGCATTGGGCATGGCCAGAAAACTCGCTGAAATTAAGGGTAATAAATGTTACTTGTTCTGATCATATGAAGCACGTGTTGAAAAAGACGATGCAGGGCAAAATGATGACAAATTTGAATAGAAATCCAACGCAGACATTCTGCATGATGATTTCCTTTCACGAGCTTTTTAACCCTGAGCCCTTTGTTGCAAAGACAGGTTTTACAAGACATGTATGTTCATCTTCATGAGAGCTTGCTTCCCTCATGAACTCTGAATTTCATTTTATCAATACAAAATGAGCAGGTGTAATCATTCCGATCCCTCGCCGACCCGTGTGGCGTCCCGGTATCGATGGTGAGCGATTGCAAGAGATGGAACACGACGCTTTCCTGACTTGGCGTAAAAAACTCGCACTCCTGGAGGAGGCGCACGGATATGTTATGACTCCTTTCGAACGGAACTTGGATTTTTGGCGGCAGCTGTGGCGTGTCGTTGAAAAATCCGATCTAGTATGCACAATTTGCGACTGCCGAGACCCGCTTTTCTACCGCAGTTTAGATTTGGAGCGCTACGCGCGTGAGATGGGCGGCGCATTGGAAGAAAGGAATGCGCAGCTAGGGGAGGACGCGACACCGAGCACAGGGGTGGAGGAAGACGGTTCTACATCGGAAGCAGGTGGCGAAGATGAGAGTGTCGCTGAAGAAACTGAGAACGGAGGTGAGAGCAAGGATGGCGAGGATTCGTGGTTTGCTTCTCTGAATGCGAACCTAGTGCAGGCAGAGGAAAGTAGGCGCTATCAGTATTCGAGCAAAACTATGGCGTCATTGGATCGTGTCAGCGAGAAGCGGACACTTCTAATTCTGAATAAAGCAGATTACATGCCAGCTCCCCTGCGACGGGCTTGGAAAGCCCATTTCGAGGCAGAAGGCACCGATGTGGTCTTCTTTTCTGCAAAGTACGAGCTGGGCAAGCTTGGAATCGACATTGACTTACCGACTGAAGTTTTGAACAAAGATGACGAAGCAGAAGAGGCTGGCGCAGGAGCCGATGCAAAACCGCGGCGTCGTGCAGTTAAGGATGTCCGGTCTGGAACGCAAATTCAGGGTTTGAATGCGTCCAAAGCTGACGATAAATTGCGTCGTAAAGGACCAAAACACTGCGCTGCGCCAGAAATCGTGCCAGTCGTTGCAGTGCAGCCAAAGTCAGTGACCAAGCCGCGTTCTGTCTTTCTGGCTATTAGTGGCTCGGACGAGGAGAGCGATGACGACGAGGACGAAAAAGAGTCCGATGCTGAAAGCAAGAACGCTGACGAGCAGGCGGTCACCTCGACTCCAGGTAAGAGCAGCACAGCGTCGGAAAATGCAGACGATCCCTCTCCTACCCACGCAAGTGAAACGACCGAAGATGTTACTGCGAAGACGTCTGTTGATGAGTCTGACTCTACCTCTGCACATCCGAGAGTTCCGGAGTCTGCACTGGATGGCGGTGATATTCTGGATTGCGATGGCTTGGTCCAGTATCTGCGGTCTCGACTTCCCAAAGAAACGCGCGACGCGAACCGTCCCGTGGTCGGTTTCTGTGGGTACCCCAATGTCGGTAAGAGTTCGATTATCAACGCTCTATTTGGAACCAAGAAGGTTTCCATGTCTCGACAACCGGGTAAGACAAAGCACTTCCAGACTCTAGAAGGCGAAAATTTCACTCTTTGCGACTGTCCTGGTCTGGTGTTCCCTAGTATCGTGACTACAAAGGCCCACTTGGTGATCAACTCAGTAATGCCGATTGATCAATTGCGATCGGAATATATGCAACCAGTAAATCTGATCTTGGAGAAGATGGGCACAAAGCGGCTTTACGAGCACTACAAGTGTGAACCACTGCAGCTGCGAACGGATCCGGGAATGCGCTTTCTCTCAAGTTTCGCGACGAACCGCCGTCACTTCTTGCGCGACCTAGTTCCGGACACGACATGGGCAGCGTCCCGAGTCTTGAAGGACTACACCACAGGAGTGCTGCTGCACTGTGAGCAACCGCCCATGAGTGCCGCCATGAAAGCCTTGCCGTCGAACGGAGAGGGCGCTGGCACGACAGCAGCATCAGCGGAAGAAGAAAGCAGAATACTTGGTGCAATCGCTGAAGAGTCTAGAAGTAATGAGCGACTCCTTCCAGGTGAGACCGACGATGAAGCCGAGAAGCAGGAGCCTGCCAGTAGCGACTTACACGAGGTAGATGAGGAGACGGAAGAGAAGAAATATGACGCGACACGAGATGTGAAAGCATATGATGCATTTGATGACTGGCAGCCGGCATCACTCGCGGAGATGCTAGCAGGCCAAGCAGCACCTGTAAAGACGAAGCGAGCACTTAGGCGGGAGGCTAAATCTGCGCTCAAAGGGGACGTGCGGGCTAGAAAAGAGGTCTTTTTCACATCATCATGATCCTGCATTCAAAAGCACTCTGTGTATTGAACCTGTCGCGCAACGGCAGTGAATAAGATTCTATCTTCTACTGAACCCCGGATTAGTAATTGCACACGAACTTGTACTTTCCTTGACATGAAATTTGGTACTGACAACAAAAAAAATAGGTCAACAATGTGGGGACAGGAATAGGTTCTATAACTTCAATTATGCGAGGGAATTGTGTTTTTCACCTAGAACGAGTACTAGGTGCGTAGGACAAAGATCGCACTGTCCCCGGAAATAATAACTTTCATAATGCTTTGCTAGCAGCCGCTGCTACGTTGTGGATCAGCACTGACCAGAATAAAAATCGATAACTAAGTATATGTTTTTGAATGTGGATCAATCCGAATACTTGGAGAAAAATTCATGATAGACATAGATCTCGAATTTTCTCAATTTATTCTAAAGAGATCGCTTCTAGCTCCTCCAGAATGCTTGATGATAGAAATTTACTTTTACGTGAGGGATATCCTAGCTTTGGAACGACGAAGGATTAGCGATAATCTTCTACAGTATAAACTCTTAAGAATATCACACACATCTACACCTAACCTGACCCATCACCCGCATCAAACTCACAGGCAAGTGGTGACTTTTTGCGGAGGTTCATAGATGTTCCTGCATAAGCATCTTCGTTATATCACCGGCTAGGAATATTGAACATTCACGTACTTCTTTGCATTTGCAACACATCTTCATATTCTTTCACCATACCATACCATCTTGGCTTCATATATAAGTTGTAAAAATGAAGCCCTACCTACTCCAATACCACTCCCGTCCGATGACGGCAGTGAAGTTCAACAAAGACGGCGACTTCTTCATCACCGCATCCAACGATGGAAGATGCTGTCTAGTCAGGACGGAAACCGGTGAGCGTATCGGAACATACGAAGGCCATGAGGGTGCAATGTAAAATAATCCACCCATTTTACTCTACGACAAGTTGAGATTTGATTTTGTGAAATATTTGCTGGGCCTGACAAAGTTTTTTTTGAACAACGAATAGCTCCTTCTTGTCCCTGAGTTAGCTGAAAATTGATCTAGGAATTCTATGTCTACTCCTGCCTACAAAAATTACAGCAAATCTTGCGACGTGGATTTCGAGACACAGCTTGTTGTTACAGCAGGCGCCGACAGCAGAGTGGTTTTCTATGACGCGGAAACCGGAGTTGTTGTTCACTCCTTGAACCACGGCGGAATCGTGAAGTACTATTTATATCAGAGTAGTTTATAGTACGCATGGTGCATGGAGTGCATGGAGCGCAGAGCTTTAAGGGGCGCAAGAAGCTCCCCCTTTAGCTCCATGCTACTCCATGTGATCCATGCACTCCATGCCATGCGAGCTGTGAAACCTTATAAATTGCTCTGTTATATCTTGAAGATGAGTAGGACGGTGGAAAAGATGCTTAGACCAACTAGTATGCTGATCATTTACCTTTCTTTTTAGGTAACGCTCCTGAAAAGAACTTCGCTATCAAGTGAAAAAAACTTATAACTACGGAAATCAGTGTCTAAGATGTGTTTTAAACAAAAAACAACAACAGGTCAGTAGAGTTTAACCAGCACGCAGCGTGCCAGGATAGAATTGCAACGTGCGCCGATAAGTTTAAGACAACGCCGAATAATATTTCCGTGTATCAGTTCGACTTCACCTCAGATGATCCAATCTGCGAACGCGTTCTTTTCATCGACAACGATCTCCCGATGAAGGCCACATCGGTATGATGCCTCCCTACAAGCAAATGTTACTGTCAAATGCCATTTCTGTGATAAATAGATATGTAGGTGACATGCTTGTGATGACGAATATGTTGACAACTACAACATGTTCGATGATGATTTTCATGATTGTATGGCTTGGTAAGCTTTAATATCCTTTTCTTCTACAACAACATTTACAGGTAAAGTGGGGCCCTTTTGACGAGACGCTGATCAGTATTCACGAAGAAGGAACATTCTGTGTGTGGGATATCTCGCACAAGGCTTTGATAAAAGTTGTGGATGCCCATCAGCAGCCTATCAAAAGTCTTCAGTTCAATGACAACAGGACATTAATGCTTACCGCATCGCGAGATAAAACAGTGAAGCTCTGGGAAACTCAGGAGTATGGATGCCTCAAGAAATACACTTCAAACCGACCCTTCAATGATGCAGTGATCAGCCCGCTCTACCAGGACCCAGTACAACTACTATCTTCTGATTTTAAGCTAAATGTTTTTATTTTGTCTTGTACTCGTTGATCTCGACAGATAATCGCGCCCGGAAAGAAGAGGTCGTACCACGCAGAGATACATGCCTATGTAGTTGTGCTAGGAAGATATCTTATGCACAAATAATATAGTTCTCATTTCAATTGCTGCCTCTGACATAAAAAAAAGGTGAACCCGAAGTTTCAAATTATCGCGGGTGGTGGTGTGGAAGCTCGCGAGGTGACACAAACCACAGAGGGTGGCTTCGAGAGTGTGATTTTCAACATGGTGCTGGAAGAGGAGATCGGAACAATCAAGGGTCACTTCGGTCCAATGAATTGCATCGCTATTTCACCTGACGGAAGAAGCTACGTTACTGGAGGAGAAGAAGGTTTGGTGCGTCTGATCCACTTCAGCAACGAGTACTTCAACAGAAAAGACATCTAGAAGATGATGTTGGGTGCTAAGCTCAGCTTTGTCTAGGGATTTTTATTTCGGGCGTTTGTGGGCGAGGCGATGGAACGCTACTGCATGGAGGGTTTTTTGCGAGATGCAGAACTTCACCACTATGACCTCATGGCGAAAGAGGATACCGAAATATAAAACATGATAGAGAAGGAGCACGGCGGGCAGAGCATTTTTCTCTCCCGGAGGAGTACACAGTGCGAAGAAGGACTACGGGAGAAGACCGGAGAAGAGGTCTTGTGCAATTTTTCTTGCATGAATCAATTGCCTCACCCCCTCTATGTGCATATTAAACGGTTTACTATAGATTTAGCTTACAAGTTAATGAAAAAATCTAGCCTTTATCTGAAACTCTTAACAAGAAAATCGTAGTCGTCTGGATCAGACGATGTCTTTGAATCCTTATCTAGTTTGCCACTGACGTCTCAAATGATTCCTTCACAACGACTAGAAAATGTATCACAAATATTTGACGTTGTTAGCCAATGAACTCAAGTATGCCGTTTCACCTTGGTATCAAAAATTTCGCGCATACCCTGGCCTCAAACACGAAATAATGCACTGCGCTCGAATTATTGAGGACAAACGACGCGAGGACTAAAGGACGCAGTTCTCGAGAGCGAAACACAAACGAAAAGATTAAGATTTTCCGGTGGACCACCTTGCTGCACGTCGTGATACGAGTGTTCGTGTTTCGTGGATTTGCATGTCGAGCACAGTAAAGTGGACCCGGTGGCGAGGTCTTTTTTCTCTGCACTAAACACCGAGACCCATCGCGGTAAAGAAAAGTAGTTGAAGGACTTGTCTCATCGGTTCATTTTTTTGATTGAGGGAATATTGAGTGAAGCCCTACCTTATCAGTGCAGCGGGCAGCACAAGAGCGAGAGCACGCTGGCGTTCGTGCGCGGTAGTAGTATATTCTGATGCTACGTAGCCTAACAAAAACAACGAAGCCGTTGTGAATAATTGAGGAATTTCTGTTACCAGCGTGTTCCACACTGAACCCAAAATTATTATACATATGTAAGTAGTTGCAAGAGAAGAGTTTTTATCACTCGATCCTTCGGTTAAAATACAAGCTCAAATAAGCAAGTAAATACACTTTTCGATAATCGATACTCCACAAGAAACGTCGACGCTTTCCCGTCAAAGACTAAACAACGAAAATGGCGATGATCCGCTCTTTCCTGAACCGGGCTCCGGTCATGACCCGCACAACCCTATTCCAGATGCTGGAGAAACGTACGCCTTTTCCGAAAAATATTTTATTCGTCAATTCATCATGAAAATCAGAAAGAATCTAAAACATTCCAGTTTCGAGTAGTGGGGTTCATGCCCGTGCAGCTAGCTCATGATTGAGATAGCATGAAAAATATATTTTTTGGCTGTCAAGGAGGAGGAGGCCTGCTAGAATATTTCAATTTCTATCCACCCTGCAGGTGCAGCAACCGCAGCTGCCGTTAGCGCAACATCCAAGCTTGAGAATCCGAGAATCAACCAGTGCCTGACGAACCCCGTTGGAAGTACTGATAATTTTTTTGTGGCTATTTTTCGATAACCAAAATGACGCCAATTGTACTCATGCGTAATCTGACTGTTTGGCGCTTTAAGGAGCCCTAAATTTCTGCGCAATCAGCCTACTTTTGTAGATAATCCATCGTTGTTTATTGTTTCACCATTTTTGGCACTGCTTGTAGGTTTTGAGATATTTCTGCATACTTACGATCAGGCGTCCGACATGCGGGCGCCGCGACTCTTGCTTGTGGTATCGCTACTGTAGCCCTAGGCGGTGTTGCGCAGGGATTGGGATCAGTCTTCGCTGCCCTAGTTGTCGGCACGGCACGCAATCCCGCCATCAAGGATCAACTTTTCGCGTACACAATGGTCGGATTTGGTTCCGTCGAGTTGATGATGTTTGTCGTGGTAGGCCTTGCGGTTGGTCTCCTTGTCTCAGAATAAACGCAATAGACGGAACAAGCAAGTAGGGCTAGCTCGGTTAGTACGACAGTAGTTCAGGGTGGATCCTAGAAGAAACGCCAAGAAATTTACTCTTCAAGTTTTTGCGTTCGAGGGTCTGGATATTGTAGGCCGTGTACGTAGTTGTTCTCCTGATGTTTAGGGAAAAAGCTTAAGTCTTTCTCGGGACGTGCGCGTTGCACCTCTATATTTTCATGATATAAATTTTTAATTCATACTTTCTTCTGAGAGAATGAGAACGGTCTGGAATGTTGGCAAATCGACATTTTATCAATTAGAAATTGGGTTGGGGTTGCAGAACTTTTTGCGAGTTCTGTAGACTATGACTACTGAACTGTACAAAATATATTGCACTAATGTTTTTTGACTCGGTAAGTATCAGCTCTTCATTCTTTTCCTCTGCAGTTTCGTGCCTCTGATTTAGTACTAAATTTTTCAGTAAGGTTCGCTTATCTATCTTCTGTTTTCTTGTTGTTCGTTTTTGTCTATTTTCAACAGTATATTCTTTCTCATTTTCATCTACATCTTCTATCTGTGGTATCTATCCTTGGTGTATATTTTGTCTTTTCTTCGGATTATTCAATTACCGAGACAAGAGCGAACGAGAGATGTTGCAAAGTCGTTCGAAATAGAGACTTGTATTTGAGTGAGCAGTGTCTCACTGACAACGAATTATACTTCTCGAACCCCTCGCTGTTGATGTAAGTAATAGGCCTGTCCGAGTCTCTCATGGTTTCTCAGCTTCTGCGCGAAGGTGTCGCATTTCTGACGAGTCTGTTTCGTGCTGCGTACCATGTATGGCTTGAAAAGTGAAGTATGCGTGAACGGACGTGAAACTGCAGGACAGTTTCGGATGTGAAAATTATGTGTGAGGCCTTTTCGGCGAAGAAACGAGAGAGAGAGAGATGTCTCATGACTACTCTTAGGAGCCTATTTTTGAAGACGGAAAGGAACTAGGGCGCTTGTGTGCGTAGCAATCTGTCAGATTCCCGGCTTTGTGTCGTTGAGGTGAGTAGACGAGTACATGCGGCCGCTTCTTCTAGTCTCAGAAGACCCGCCAGTCAAAATGGTGAAGTGCCTTCCTTTCGGTTTTCAGACGATCTGGTAGTTTGTTGTGATCACATTCATGGTTACACAACGGCGAGATCACGTGTTGATCACTTGCCAGGTCCGCTCAGGCAAACATCTCTAACGAATATTTTCGTAAGCGCTGTTCATCTGATTCTGTAGCTGTCTGTGCGCCGTTGTTGTAACGCGCAACATCCGTTTCTATGCCCCCCCCCGAAAGACACACCTATTACGGATATATCGGAATATTTTTTGTTTCTGTTTTTGTTCTTTTCGTTCTGCAATATGTGATGCTAATATCCACATTCCTCTGATATCCATTTCGTCGTAAGTCTTATTATATCATGTTTATGCATCTTGATCTTCTTGAATCCCGCCGAAAGTAAAAATATCAAAATCATATCTCTCATCATCGTTATCTCGTTATCATCATCTGAAAAAATGGATGCCTCATCATCGTCAATGTGGGCCCTGCATGAGCACCTGACGACCGAAGCGCGTGGCGGATACCCCCGCTTGCTCCTGTGGGGAAATGCTTTTGCAGCTATGTATGCGTACCGGAAGATGGTGCTTGGTACCCGAGAACCAGGACAATTTGGAGAAGGAGCACTTGGAATTACGTTGCGACATTGTTTGGCCTTGACAGTGGCGACGCTGTTTTTCTCGCATTGTGGTTCCATCGTGACTGCGCTCATGTTTTTCTCCGACGTAACTCCAGTGCCCTTTGCGAATACGGAAGTCATTCCTGCAAATGTAGTGACTTTGGTGATTATAGTGTGTTACGGCGCCGTAGAACGGGAACAGCGACTCTGCGAAAGCGTGCCAGAGGGGAAGTCTCGGACAAAGAATACGTGTAGATATATAAACAAGGCACGCGGTAGATCGAAGTCGCCGAGGAAAATGAACAAAAGGGTGAGTGGCGTTGTATCTAAGAAGACGTCTCAATCCCCATCTGGTGGGAAACGAGCATCGGAAGATGACACGCCATCCACTACTCCCCAATCTTTTTTGACGCGAGTAATCTTGGCGCTGGAGTCGTTTTTCTTTGGATATGTAGCCCCATGGCTAGCGGCGGTCGATAGTGCGACTACAGCAATGGCATTCACAGAAAGCAAATTCTATCAGATTAACGGAAAGCCCGAGTCCAGAAATGGACCTGTCTTTCCATCAAGCTCGTTCTCATCGACATTCTTAACCGCAATGGGCATCCCTGAATCGGTAAGTACCCTTTTGCCAGGTGGGCTTTTGCTCAGTGGGGCTGCAGGAATGGTGACACTGACAGTGACGGGCCCGATTCAAGTGGTCGGGCTCAAGCACTGGGGAAGCCCTTTGGTAGACATGCAGGTCACGCAGTTTTGGGCGCTCATTCTAACAGTAATTCATATTGCCGAGCTCTCTTATCTCTATGGAACAGCCCAAAATACACATCCGATATCATTTATGATTTTGCCGTACCTGTGGGCTTTCTACGCGACAGTTCCCACGAGTTTACTGCGATGAGGACTACTCATCGATAGGGTCAAGGAGATGAGGCAATGCTAATGCCACAAATGTGGGTTCCTATTGCTGGGTTTTTCTTGCGCGTATCTAACGATCCAATGCCATTTTTCGCAAAAAGAAAGCATTGTTTGAAAGATTAGACCGTTGTATGATTTTCCTCTATTTCATAAATCAATGAAAATAATTGTCGCTACTAGATAGCACATCAAGGCGGATAATGTCAATGCTGCTAAGGAATTCCGCGTGACGGTCAGCGCTAGTCTCCTGGCAGATCACTAATCACAATTAGATGCAGGTGCACTCTCTGTTTGATTTGCCCATCTACTGGTCATTGATTGCGGTCAGAAAGTGTCCGTGTGAAGAATTCTTACAAATTAGAGTAGCAAACTGTGTTTGTCCAGAATGAGAAGAAGACGCTTCCTAGTACTCTTGAGGCCTGAAAAACAAAATCGTCTGCAAAGAGGTAGAAATAAAGGACAAAAAACTGGAACTGCTATCAAATTGAATAACGAAAAATCCAAATTGAAAAAGGATCGTTGCCCCGAGAGTAGAAACTTTCTTTGTTTGCAACGTGACGGTCTTTCAAAGAAGATAGGTCAGCAACATAAAGAAGGTAAATCAGACAAGTATCTTCTAGTTCTTTTCGGAACAAGAGCAAATTTCGCCATGTCCGAGGAACCTCGCCTTCTTCAAGGGTCGGGCCGCATGATTACGACGAACGGGAACGGAATGCTTCCGTTCGTCAGTCGCAAATACAGTGTCTTTGAGGACGACTCTGATGGGGACGAAGCTGACACCGATGTCGGCCGTCGCGACTACGTTGTAACGGAGGAGTGCAACGTCTTTCATTATGTGCGCTCTGCGCCAGCGCGACCGTCGAAGTTGGTGCCCTTATACGCGCACAAGGGGAAAAAATTGAAGATGGTGCTGCCAGAAGGAACACTGATCAACTCCACGCGACGCAGAGTGTTTAAGGGCGAAACGTACTTTTCCATGATCGTGATGGGCGGAGTGTTTATTAATCCCCTTGCTGATTTCATTGAGTCAATGTTTTTGCTGTAACTGAAAAACAGATACGTCGATACTGGTAGTGGTAGTGTGTTAATTTGCTAACTGTATGTACATGAACAATTATAGGTACGTGGATACCGGTCGAGAGGATGGCGAGTGGGTTCCTGAAGTCGAACTGCAGCCAGTGCAATTGGTACACGGTGTCTGGCGTTTTCGTGTCGTCTTTACGAAAGGCGTGTGCCGGCGTTATCGGCCTACAATGCTCAAGGACCTTGCGGAACCTGGCGCAGCCTCTGTTTTACCGATGGACGCCGTTGTAGATGTCGTGACGAAGTTTCGTCACGGACCTGTGACCTACCTTCGAGTGGCTGATGCGTGTGTCGGGGGACGTTTCGGCGGCTGGATATTCGACCGGCTGCTGGCTAAGGACGGAATTACACCGGGCGAGACTGTTTGCGAACCGATGGAGATGAATTAAAGAGGGGCTTCGGCTCTGTGATTCCACTGGTGATGGCTCACACTGTCGTTGTTGTCATTGATCACAGTGTAAGATCGAAGTGGTCAGATGGGTAAACATAGCTCGGTGCATCTGAGAATAAAGTTAAGAAGAAGTGTTTTTGGTTTGACTAGAAGATGAGACTACTTTTTCGTCGGCGTGATTTTTTCTCACCTGGTAGCACACGCCTCAGAAATAAGCAGTACCTACCGAGTAGTAAATAGCTCTTTTACCTTTTTGGCATGTGAAGTGTCATAAATTCGATTCAGTTATCGTCTACCTAGTATTTGTAAAGACTTGAAAACGACAGGAGGTAACCTACCACGATTGTAAACAGATGCAGCTATATACAGGTTTCGACCAATCTCATCAGTAATGTCATTTTTTGGATCTTTCTAAACACAGAAAGCTCATTTACATAATGACCTCATGCCATAGCACTACGAAGTTCGGACTCATTTGAACTGCATTGTCGCGACAGAATGTTTGATAATTTCAATCATAGTGAGTGAGTATAGATTGAAGCCTGTAGGCAGTGCCCCCAAGCTCCTATGAAGAACACTAGTCGTCCTGAAGGAGGCCGAAATTTGAATTTCCACAGGCGGAAACGCTACTCTTTCTTTCAACACTTTCCGGTGTTCCTTTCGAGATAAGGATCAGGAGAAGGAGCGATTGAGATCTCTTGAGCATGGGTGGAGGAAAACTTCAGGGAGGAGAGAATAATGACTTTCATGCTTGCTATTTCTCATCGAAATCGAATACTAAGATTTAGATTACTCACTAACTTCTTGACAACAATAAAGTTTGTTTGCCAGTTTGATGTGACATCACTCATCTGAACAATTGAAAATAACATTAACATTTTTCTCCCTCAAAAAGCAAAAAAATGAATTTCCACCAAGTGCGTTCTCGTCTGCGTACCTCGTACATAACAGACCCGTACTCATTGTTGATTCATTACAAACGCGCCTACAAGTTGTTGAAACTGGTGAAGGAGAATGCGGGCCGAGTGTTGATACTTGGAAACCGGAACCATTTCGGCGTCAACTGGCAGCAGAGTCTAGGTTTCAGAGCGTCTGGAGATGGCAGCAATGCGCCACAGCATTCGATGCACACCAGAGTGGACGAGCATGTCATCAGCACCGCTTCGAAGGATTATTCTCTCGTTTTATGCTTAGATCCGATCCTATTTGCAAAGGCGCTGCATCGTATTAATCTTCCAGTCATGATGATCGCGACGCCAAAGGAACTACATGAGCACCCAGAAATTCTGCAGGTCACCGACTACTTGTTGCCTGCCACAACCTCGAAGCATGACGCAGCACTGAGTGAACTCCTAAGGAGACAAATCGTGGGAGCACCAAACACCTGATAGAAATACAGTCAAGGCGGCTGTTTACAAGCTGGATCTACTTGAGATTAGTTAAGAATATCGGGACCCGTACCGCCAGTTGTGAGGCACGTAATTGTAAATAGTATACTACCGATTTGATGCGAAGGTCAAAGCCTTTCTGTAACTTTTTTTTTGCTCTTGCAGAAGTGTTCCCGACCAACATACGAGAGATGACGGAGGCTAGCCTGCTGCACGTAAGACATGATACCCGGCGCCAACCGAGAGAGATATGTGTGAGATGAATGTTGTACAACCGCAAGAACTTTTTGTTTTTAACATTCTCCATGCCAGGATGCCATACTGCAACTCAACATTGCGTGGGGCACCACCCTGTGTGACAATCCCAAGACGCGAACTTTCCATGTATCTATAAGTTCATGAAATTGCAATTAGACCAATAGGCAAAGTAATTAGCTGCATACACAGATAGTCTTTGTCGTTGAATAATAATAATGTTTATCGAGAAAGATTAGTGTTGCAATGTTCTTACAATTTTCGAAGTAAATACACAGTGAAGTTGATTTAGTCAGATATTTTAGAACAAGTACTTCTTCTGATCTTGAGTATTCAACTCGGATTGATTCATTTCGCGTCCGCGGTTGCACCCCTCCTCTGGGAGATCGGTTCGCAACTGATTCCCGTCCCCTCAATAGGCTCCGCGCTTCCTCTTACCATCCTTCGGGATAACATCAGGAACTGTTTTGTCTTGCCGAAGGTAGAGAATGACCTTTTGAGAGATATTGATGATGATGCGCAGTGATGTAGATAGTCAGACACAAGGTAGCATTTGGATTCCCGAAGGTTTTTAATCAAATAGCTATTTCTTTGCAGAGGAATCAGCCTATTAAAATTTTGTTTTTCGTCGTTCGAGCGAGCGAAAGCTGAGTATCTTTTAAAAAATGCAGCGTGCTCTCTCTGCTGCTGCTCGCGAAGGTTCGCGACGCGTGCCTACAGAAACCGCTGCCGTGCAGAACCAGGCGACTAGATTCAGACGAAGCGCTGATTATCCGCCGGCCGAAGCAAGTGCTGGAGCGCCTCTGCTACTTGCTGGTGGCGCGGTCGCCGCTGCAGGATTCCTTTACTCTCAAAAGAAAAAGCACGTTGAGCAAGATGGCTTTTCATTGCCGTCGAAGCCTTCTTCTGTGTCCGGCTTGGCGCAGCGCGTACTAGAAAACCAAGCAGAAAGGACAACGCGAAGCGAGAATCTCGTCGAGTGTAAAGTAGCTGGAAACGTGGGCAAGACGAACTGGGACAATGTCCGAAAAGATGTAATCGAGCTTTTGGAGGCTGAAGAGCATATGGAGGAACCTTTAGGTCCGATCCTAGTCCGATTGGCATGGCACTCATCCGGAACGTGGTGCTACAAGACGAAGACGGGAGGTGCGGCTCATCAATGATCTAGATTTTTTGAATGCGAGCATATCCCAGAAGATAATTGATTTATTCTTGCGTCCTCAGCGACAAATATTTTCAGAACAATTTAATTGGTTTATTGTTATAGCCTGTTTACACAGAAGTAAGTAGTCTTCTAGCTACTTCTCGCTCAGGTTCAGACGGAGCGACCATGCGATTCGAAAGTGGGGCCGAAGCGAAGTGGGGCGCAAACGCCGGTCTAGCGAAAGCTAGGAAGGTGTTGCAGGTAATTATTGGGAAATATCCTAACGCCAGTATCGCAGATATCTGGATTTTCGCGGGTACCGTAGCCCTGGAGGAGATGAGCGGGAACCGAGTAAAAATCGGCTTCAAAGAGGGACGGCTTGATAAAACGAAAATCCCCGACTGGGAAACGAAGACAGCACCGGATGGCCGACTCCCAGATGCGGATAAAGGAAACATGTCTGCAACGGCGAAGCACCTGCGCTTAATCTTTCACAGGCAGGGATTCAGCGATCAGGGTAAAAAAAATTTCTCATGCCTAGAGTATAACTGTTAGTAGGAAGTAGATGTTGCTAGCTGTTATTTGAAAACAACTAGTATGTACATTAAAGAGTGTCAGATTCTCCTTGAAACCTTGACTTGGATTTAGAACTAGTCTCATAGGAAAAGCCGCTCCTATTCAAATTCTCAGAAATTGTCGCCCTCTCTGGCGCGCACGCATTGGGACGCACGCATACGACTAGCAGTGGCTATTCCGGTCCGTGGACATTCAGCCCGACAGTGCTCAACAACGAATATTTTCGCCTTCTGGTACTATTTTCGCAGCTACATGCTAGCTTACTTTTTCTCTGTTGAATGACAAGACCAAAAGATTTTTCATGATTGTATTTTTCACTTTTACGAGTAAGTATATGCTAACGGTATTAAGTACGTTGACTCACTGCACGAAACAAGAACAACACTACTCCACAGAAAGAAGAGAAGTGGAGCTTGAAGAAATGGAGTGGACCAGAGCAGTACGAGGATCGCACTGGCGAGCTCATGATGTTACCATCCGATATTGCATTGCTGTTCGATGGTGAATTCAAGAAATGGGTCGAGGTATATTACAAGGACGAGGAGCGCTTTTACAAAGATTTCGGCAAGGCGTGCCGCAAATTGTTTGACAATGGTGTGCCCTTCAAGGACCGCCACGGGCTTGGGCCTATTTCGGGACTATTTTGCGGTGTCCCCGAGCACGGGGCAGCGCCGGCTGAAGACCTGTAAGCTTCGTTTGCACAGGATGCAGGGGTAGATCTATCAATACTAAGCCTGAAAAGTAGAGCAGAAGCTGCACCTTTCTTCAAAGATACTGTTGAAGTCTCCAACATGCTTTTAAATATGATTTGTGTTTGAAATCGATCTCAATATTTGGTAATCCGTCGACTAGATAACTATAGCAGGAATGTGCGCGCAGGCATTGGATAAGTCAATGCTTGTGTCATGAGAAAGTTGATGGACTTAGGTTCAAGATATTTTATGAATGATTACTTGTGAGGCTTGTGGAAGTATGTCGTACGATGTTGCAATCTGCAGGATATGAATATCATCTGATACTGATTGCAGTGATAGGAGTTAGGAAAGAACAAGATCGATGTGTGCAGACCTATAATTTTGGAGCTCATAATAAATACGTGTACGAAAGGTACCACAGTCAGTTAGTGGTGTAAATGTTCTTCAAAGGGGACAAGCATACGGACTTGCTCTCGATGAACCGCCGTTGATGAGATAATTTTTCAAATGAAAATTCTTTTACTTACTTATGAGAATATTCATGTATGTAAGTTGATCGTCGTCGAGTTCATTTACCCGCAGTAGTCTTTTTAGCTTAGAAAATGGTGTTCATCGAAAAATTTGGTTAAAATATGCACTGGGAAAAGGATGGGATTTCGGTCTTCCGTTATGGTAGAGGCAGAACGTATCGCCCAATAAAATTGAAGAGAAATAATAGAATGATCAATTTTTTCTGCTTGGTTTTCCACGGAGCGAGGTTGATGAATCTCAACTACTTTTTTACACTCCCGGTTACGGTTTTCCGATGTTACGGGTTTCCTATGTTTGCGGAAAAGGTGGCAAAGGCTGTCGGTCGTCGCGAGAGAACCAGCAGTTGCCGACTTTGTCACGAGCGACTGCATTACGCGAAACACGGATATTGAGAGAGCTCGGATTCGCTGCAGATTGCACGATTTCGATTATGTCCCATTTCTTGTTATAGGTGATGGAGACGAGAAGAAACACGGAAAACGCTGCGAAGTATGATTATGGGCTGCAACAGTAGGTTATATATTCTAGCCTTGAGGTTCGCAATACAGAGGGCATGAGCGAGAAAAATGTCGTGAGCAATTCAATGGTGATGAGTAGCTTAAAAAATGAGACGTTTAGGTCCGATAAGTTGGAGACTTGAGATCTCTGAAAAAGTGGTAACAAGCACATGACCCAATCCTGAATAAGGCTCCGCACAGCCTATTTGTTGCAGTTTTCGACGATGCTTATCTAAGCGGGCTTCCTGAATACTAGTTTTCCACGCTGTGTTTGGAAGCCAACCGCTGCTACACGATGGGAGATTACGTAAACATCGGGGAGTCCGTCCCAGGGCAGGGCAGGAAGGTGAAGAGCTTCATGGAGGAGTTTATGCCCGCTTCGTTCGGAAAAACCGAATCTGCCTTGCTACGTGAACAAGAATACCGCGTTGGTGTGCTAATGCGTTTTTATTTGTTTCGTTCTAGTAGACAAAGTTCATCTCGCTCCTCTTGTGTTCTCGAGTTAGTTTTCCTCCAATGAAGAGTATCAACAATAACTGTCATCCCAATCATTAATAGGCGGAATTTGTGAAGTGTAATCGTCCACAATGATTCGTCATCCTTGTGGATGATCGATTTGCTTGTTTGCGCCTTCATCTTGTAGAAAATGCAGCCATAACTTGCATAAATTGAATTCTTGTTATTCATTTAGGTTTCACCTGGGACCGATTGCATGCTTACAAGACGATTATGGAGTTGCCGGTTATGCCAGAAGCTATGCCTCCAGGTCAGGTATTGGATGCAAATGATATCCCGGGTTGCCGAAACGAGTACCACGGTTTGGATAGGTGCATGGTGGTAATGACCGCGAACGAAACACGAGTAGAACCTTTTGCGCGCATGAACGAGTGCAAGCCTTTCTTTCGGCTGTTCGATAGGTGCACACGTCGGCGCGATAGGAAAATGGTCGAAAAAGTCATGAAGCTATGAACAGGGACTTCTACGTAAATTCACAGGTCAAGTTGTACTAGGGTACACGGGCAAGAAGACCAAGACTTGCTCATCCGTACGTGGGGAGGCTGATGAAGTGTCTTTGTATGTATGTCGGAGAAAATAATCAGTTGATCGATATTGCAATGAACTGTAATTATGTCTGCCAGCACAAGTGCTGCGTTCTAATACTATGGGAAGGCCAACACTATCAGGGACTGAGCGAGGCAGAGCGAAAAAGATACGATGAGGAGCTGCAAACTAAGCATGATTATTTCTCGTACGCGATCGAGCATGACCCTACCCCAGCGTTGAAGGAGAAAGCGCAGCGTGACGCATGCCATATGGAATTTCGGTATTTTTAGGGTAATCAACGTAAATTACTAAGTTGCTCGTTCTTGGATTAGTGGAGGTTATTTTCCGGCACTGATGAAATTGCTAGAAGTTGTCAATATTCATGAATCCTGTACTACAAGTCGTCTCGAAATTCGAAAAAGACGTGGGTATTTATAATGCAATTATTTTCCACCACCACCTACACCAAACCGTAACACAGTCGTGCGAACTTGGAGAATATTGACGACCCAACTGCGCAGAAAAAGCTGAAGCAGCGACTGATGCAGTATGTCCGGCAGGGTGGAGGTAAAAACAGCGCGTGGAACCGCAAACAATGGGAGGCCCATAGAGTGGAATGGAACAAGCACTCGGAGAACGCCAACGCAACCTGGCGGCCAGCAGCGCAAGCAGCAAAAGCAGCTAAAGAGAGCGAAGACATTCTGTTTTCCTACCGAAAGTCTGAAACAAGGGATGCTGACATAGGCGGCAGGACTTCCGTGGATCCTGCATCTTGGAAGAACAACCCATCCTCGTCAGGTGGCGCGTCGGCGGCGCCACCTAGTGGTACGCCAAATGCTTTTTCGAATTCAAATCCAGGGGTTGAAGAAGCTGTGGGTAGAGGTCAGTCAAAGCATGCGGCGCCAAAAAACGTATTCGATGCAAATTCTCCAATGGCGGGTGGTTGAGCAAACCTATTTTTGATTTGGACTTTCTGGATATTTTTGTGGAACTACCACAACATTTTGCGCGCTGATTTAACGATTGAATTCTAGAAGCAGTTCTTATTTGACGTTTTGTTCCATTATCGCTGCGGCAGGCCAAGAAAGGAAAGGAACGCCGTCGGCTATCACCAAGCAGCGGATCAATCCATGTGTTATCTTTGGTGGAGTGGTTTTTGCCCTGTTTTGGGTGGTCAGGATCTTGTGTTGGTGTATGAAATGTCCAAACAAAGAGCGAGCGAGCGCTTTGTGCATTCCATTCATACATCAAGGAAACGATTGCTAGTGAAAAGTCTTGGCAGTAAAATCGTTTTGAATATTACAACAGAAGGCATCAAAGACAAGTTCAAGGATCATCAACATGGACGACTTGATCAACGAAGTTCGTGCAGAGGGTGGGAAGGCGTCGTCGACAGTTCTCTCGGACCCTATACCTTCGAACCTGGTGTCTTGGGTTGACGGAAGTTCTTATGAATACACAACAGATTCCAACGGGAACGGAGCAACAGGAACCACAGATGAAGTGGTTTCTAGCGCAAGCGGGCGCCGCGCTTTTTTCGATCATTTTGGCTTTTTGCATCTAAAGGGCTTTTGTACGGAAGCAGAATGCGACGCAATGCTCGCGCGCATGGGTCAACTCGTGGATAGTTGGGATCCCAGTGAAGGGCAGACTTTTCGGACTGACGCTAAACAAGAGGAGGCGCAAGGGTGAGAGTAATTAAGTATTTCGTGTTGCATTCGATTTCGATTTGACTTTGAAACAGTATTCGTATTGTTTTTTACATATTTATCAAAGAGAACTGGTGCAGAAAACTTTTCAGGCAAAGTCAAAGAGAAGCTGGTGCAGAAAACTTTGTTGCTGCTCTTGTTCTTGTTGTACTGCGCCGTGACATCAAGAACTATAGGGTTAATAGTACATTTCATCTATTTTACACATTTATGAACAAGCAAGGTACCTAGTGGTTGATAGAAAAGAACAGTCAATGCTAGTAGCAGAAGCATTTGCTCGCCTGATCCTGTTTGCGGTTGATGCTTTTAGTGCTAGCGCTATGTCCAAGTAACCCTGAGTAGCCTGATGATGTTCGTGTTGTTAGGTGACTATGCTGCCCTGACCACGCTCCCAAGGTCCTCGGATTATTTCTTGGATAGTGCCAATCGTACGCACTTTTTCACGGAACCGGACGCGCGCGACGCGGATACTGGTGCGTTGATTGTCGAAAAGGCCTGCTCCTTGAACAAAGTTGGGCATGGAATCCACGTTACGGATGATATTTTCCGTGACTACTGCTTCAGCGCGCGCATGACGGATCTCGTGCGGTCGTTGGGCTGGCAGCGGCCTGTGGTGCCGCAGAGCATGTACATCTTCAAGCAGCCACGAATCGGTGGTCAGGTAACCGCGCACCAGGATTCTACCTTTTTGTACACGGAACCGCGGCAGACGTGTCTTGGGTTGTGGCTTGCACTGGAGCCAGCGACGCTGCGAAATGGCTGTTTGTGGGTGCGGCCTTTCTCGCATCGTGAGCCTGTGCGTCGTCGGTTTCGTCGAAATCCCAAGCATTTTGTCCATGGCGACAAAGCTGCTCCGCAGATGATATTTGACGACGAGCAGGCAGACTGGAAGACTGCAGTGCCATGGGAGGGCGGCCTACCTGGGGACTTCTTCAACGACAACGACGGTTGTGCTAAAGCGGAAAAGAAGGATGCAACAAGTCATCGGCCATGTGAAGGACTGTTCGAACAGAGATTCATACCGGTAGAGTGCGGTAAGGGAGACCTCGTGGTTTTTCCAGGCACACTAGATCACCTAAGCTTGGCGAATCGATCGGAGAAATCGCGACACACCTTTCAGCTGCATCTAGTAGAAGGTCCAGCGGCTGGAGTAACCTGGAGTGATTCCAATTGGCTACAGTATCCAGCCGGTGAAAAGTTTCTAGAATTACCAAACTGATTCTTTTTTCTAGTTGCTGCTGTTGAAGATGATACTAAGTACTTTTTTTTTTTGAAGACCTATCGTATCATATTTCAGGACTTTCATAATGATGATACATGCGATCTCGCTGCTGAGGTCAATCAATTATTGATGTAGATTCTATACGCGCCAGAGAGCCGCCTCCCCCTGTGTGAAAGTGGGATAATAGCAAGAAGTAATCCGAATTTCGGGAGTAGCGACAGCGCTTGGTTATGAAACAGACAACTGTGTCGCAAGGGTCGTAGGCTTCAGTCTGAGCGAAGCATGCTTGGAAACGTTGGCTGCATGCACGAACGAAAAAGGGACGAAAGAGAAATCAGAGCAGTAAAAAGATCATAAGTTATAAATTAGTGAAGAACAACAACAAATATCGGTAAGTGCGGTGCTGCTTCATAATGAACATAGATCGAGGGGGGAGAGACATTGGTATGCCCGGTAGAGCCTTTACCATAGTGTTGTGATCAATATTCATGATCGCTTTTATCGAAAAGCACATATTTTTGAGTAGAGTCCTAAGAGACTCTAAAACTTGTAGATACGTATTTACAATAAGGCCGAAAGGGCCACTGTGGTGCGAAGTTCTACATCAACAGAGATGACGACGAGCTTCCGCGACTCGGTGCTGTTGCCCTTGAAGGCGGCGGGCTTTCATGCTGATTTTAGAAGAAGGGCTAAGGAGCGTCCTCGGCATCGTTGCTAACACAAACAAAACATAGCGGAACTATCCTGTGGTCGTGCCCTTAGTTTTGCCAGTCTACTTGCTTTGGGAAAAAGTCAACTAAGCACTGCAAAAATTCGGACAATATTCCACCCAGCTGGGCATGATAAGAATCCGAAAAACACTCGCCGCCTACCCTCGTCCCTCAGTGGACGCCCTTCAACAGTTTCCAGCAAAGAACCACGGGCGCGATGAGAGTCTCCGCGCCCCTCCAGAATCTTCCGGCACACGCTCGCCGCCTGGTGTGGTGGATTCCGGAGGGGCGCGGGGAAACACAGAAAACAAAAACAAGAGACATACGAACCTGAAAAAAGACAAGGAAGGGACATCGCTAAGCAGAGCACTCCCGCGACGGTGTGGAGGCTGTATTATATTGGCAGTTTTTGTGCAGTGCTTGGCTGGCTTTTCGCTAGGGAAGAAGTCAGTTGAGCACTGCAAAAATTCGGACAGTATTCAACCTTGCTGGGCATGGTAAGAATCCCCAAAAAGCTCGCCGCATATCCAGGCCCCTCAGTGGAAACCCTTCAACAGTTGCCAGCAAAGAACCTCGGGCGCGATGAGAGTCCCCGCGCCCCTCCAGAATCTTCCGGCACACGCTCGCCGCCCGGTGTGATGGATTCTGGAGGGGCGCGGGGAAACACAGAAAACAAAAACAAGAGACAGACGAACCGGAAAAAAGACAAGGGAGAGACATCGCTAAGCAGAGCATTCCCGCGACGGTATGGAGGCAATCTTGGCCGTTTTTGTGCAGTGCTTGGCTGGCTTTTCGCCATTATTTATTAGTACTGCCCTGCAAAACAAAATACATCTACTTACTCCATTTCTTATCCTTTCCCTACGGCTACGCCGTATCTATCCAAGGAACAGCATCCCCGTTTTGGATCGTCATTAAAGTCTAGGTAGAGTAGGACGTGAATAAAGTTGAAGAGATCCTTTTACCTCTCGGTTATATGTTGAAACAAGTAGTGACTGAGCAGACCACTAGGAATTGTTAAGCTAAAAAATAGCTCACTCGGTTCTCTTCTTAGCCGAGAAAGAATATGTTATTTTGAATCCTTCAAGTTCAAAGCGTTGCTGAAGGCTATCCTGTTTCGTCTTTCCTGCACATCTTCCCAGTACCGCTTTTGAATGTGATTAGGGACGCTGCACAGAAGGAGCGCTCTCTGTTGATTGTCTCCTTAGCTGTTTTTTGAGTATTTGTTTCCGTACACTGTCAAGCATTCTTATCTTTCCTTCTATCATGGTCATCAACCTACGTTTTTCCATTTGAATAGTTTTTTTATTGCATTGCCTAGGTTAGTAGTCAGCATGGCAAGAAGAAGTTTGTATTTTTACTCTACTTTTAGTCAATAGTATTTTTCCTTCGCGTTATCTTGTGCTTCGGAATTTTTTGGCCATTTTCCTTCGCGTGCGGACATCACAAGGCTGCTGAACCTGAACGCGTGGTGGGATGGCGTTCTCTTCTGAGAGTGTCGGATCGAATTTTGGAGAGGCGTTGTTGTCTGCTGGGCAGCTACTCCTCCACAAAGCGTTGTACACAGTCACTGGGCTCGAGCTCTTCCAACCGGAAGATGATCATGAGGCTAACGACCACTATATCTTCGGCATTAACAGTGGAGATGATGCTGCGTCGCGCTGGCTGCACGAGCAGGAGAGCACCGATGATGACGGGGAGCTACCATGGAGCAGCTCGGTGTCGCTTATCGTCGTCGTTGTTTTGGTACTTTTGTCTGGAATGTTTTCCGGGCTTACACTCGGTCTACTCGGTCTCGACATTACTGGGCTCGACATTCTGGCACACAGCGAAGACAAGGTAGCAGCTGAAAACGCGCGGAAAATTATTCCAGTGCGCAAAAACGGAAATCGTCTTCTCTGCACGTTGTTGCTCGGGAATGTGGCGGTACCGCTGTTGCTCTTATGAGTTGTGCTTAGTACCGTGGTTGACGATGTTTGACAAGGACGCAATAAGCGAGTATCTGTGTGCACCTTTTGACCCTACAACCTAGATTTTGTAGAAATGAATCCTTTTGCAGCGAATATCTTGCCTACTTCTTCAGGTGAACTCCTTGTTGTCGATTTTGATGGCGAGGCTGACAAGCGGAACAACGGGTTTTCTTGTATCTACCGTGATCATCGTCATATTCGGTGAGATTCTTCCACAAGCAAGCTGCTCAAGGTACCTGCATTAGTTGTGCATTGGACCGAGTTTCGTTAGTCAGGCGAGTACACATACAGTTCTTTGTGCAGTTTTTTGCAGATCCCTAGATGGCTTCCTGTAGTATACTTCTGCAGTTCAATGTCGACACTCAGATAGAGAGAAAGAAATCTACCTTTGTTTCCAGGTATGCATTGCCAATCGGTGCGCGAACGGCAAACATGGTTCATGTTCTGATGTGCCTTCTGTTTCCTTTAGCGGCGCCGCTTGCTGCAGCACTAGACTGGATTCTTGGCGATGAAATGGGCACTATCCATAGTAAGCAAGAGCTGCGCCGCTTGTTGCATATCCACGTCAGGGAAGGCGCGTTGAAGATTATGACAACGAACTGGTGTGAATCGTGGTTCATTACTTCTTAATGAACGTACCTAAAAAGATACTTAGTGACTTCTTTCGAGCGTATTTCTAACAACAAGGTTGAGGGCGACGTGGTTGCTGGTGCGCTGAAGTTTCGGAATAAGCCGCTGAGCAAGGTGATGACCGTCAAGGAGGATTGCTTTATGCTAAGTGAGAACGAAGTTTTGGATTATGCAACGATTTTGGAGATCTCAAATTCCGGCTTCAGCCGTATTCCAGTCTATGGTAGTGCCGAGAATGACATTGTCGGTGTGCTAGTCACGAAGGACTTGATTTTTGTCGACCCCGAAGACGCGATGCCACTGAGGCAGTTTCTGAAGGTGTTTGGCCGCCACGTAGAGCGCTTTTTCGCTGATGATACTTGTGGCGACGCTCTGCATCGGTTCAAGCTGGGACGCGCGCATCTAGGTCTTGTGGTACAACAGGCCGGGCATGGGCATGACTTGGGAAGCACAAGCGACGCGGAGCACAGTGCCAGGGACCAACAGCTTATGATGCGCGTTTGTGATGACCGAGTACAACGAGTCTGTCGTCTGACTACAGTTCTCAACGGTCATACTTCATCGAAGGTCGCACTAGGACAACTCCTAGCATGTAAACGACGACGTGGGACATAAAACTTGATCAAAAGTACTGCGGCTCTAAGACCCTCAAGAACAAAATAGCAGAGCAGGCGGCCGCGGTGAAAGCGTCTGCTGCTGGAGAAGCGGAAAAATTGGAGTTACTGGGCATCGTGACGTTGGAGGACGTGATCGAAGAGATATTGCAAGATGAAATTGTGGACGAAACCGACGTTTTTATCGACATGCAGACAAAGGAAGAGCGGGAGCTATTCGAGAGTGAAGAACCTGTTTTGCCGCCAGAACGAACCGACTCTCGGAGTACTCCGAACAACGCAGAGGAGCGCAAACGGCGTCGCGGCTCCAAAGACTACGGCGGTTAACGATAGGCTTTTGGTGTTTCTATTACCGTTAGTTTTGCCTCCTTGTCGTAAAAAGGGAGAACCAACGGCATAACTAACTGACTAACTAACTAACTAACTAACTATCTAACAGGGTAAACTACTAAAACTAAGTCTCTATAGTACCTTTAAGGCAGCAAAGGTGGCGGAAATGGCGGTCGGAGCGGCGACTCCACTCCCATGTCCTCCGACAGCAACGACAGGCGCGGTAGCTCACCAAGGAGTGGTACGCCACCACAGAAGATCTCGTCTGCGGCCTCAGCGGGGAGTTTAGTGCAAGAGGACGGTGGCAAACCAATCGTTTCGTCTTTGCTCACACCTGTTGCAGCGGTCTTCGCAAATGCCCTTTCGTCGGGCGGTGGAACCAGTGACGACAGTAGCAGCGCTGGCGGCCGTGCTGCAAGGGCGCAAATCCTAGACAGTGTGGGTGTACAGCTTCCCGCCGTTGCCGGCGTCACGGTCGGAAGCGGACCCGCTAGCAGCAGCTGCGGGCGGCCGCCGCAGCTGGCTTCGCCAATGCCGAATGGTGGTGTGCCAGTCATATTGGCAAACGGCGTTTCCTTTGGTGACGCCGCTGTGGCAGCTGAAGGTGGCTCACAGAGGCGCGCTCAAACAGGAGCAGTCAGGGTCTCACCCACGCCTAGTCTGGTTCGAGATCCAAACGCAGGAAATTCTTTTATGAAAACCTTTTCGCAAGACGACATCATCTAAGGTGAAATTTTCTGTGCCTGATGCTTGTAGTTCGAGTTTTTTTCGATATTTGCTAGCTAGTGACACATATGCTGCTCAACCATATATCATGTCAGGCAGATTACTTCTTTGCAGTTGCTCGCGTTAAAAGAAATGTTGTCTTTCCCTTGTTCATGGTCGACGCAAGTGCTTCTGCAGCTACCACAGGAGGCGTATCGATGACACAGCACACGCCAGCGATGTCGTCGTCAGCAGGTGGCCTGTATCCAATCTCGCATGTAGATACCGCGGAATCTCTGTCGGAACACGCTTATGGGCACGAGCACAGTGACGAGCTTCCAGTGCTTGGTAAACAACGGCGGAAAAACAAGCGGCAACGAGCGGACATCACCAAACTCCGTTTTTTCAATCCGCAGATTCGTGGTAACGCTCTGTTGCCACAGGAAGTGGACGTTTTGGTCTCGCATTTGTTGGAAAACTATCCTGGACCAGATTTTCATCGGATGCCTTCACCGGGCAAGACGCCGGGGAGTGCGGAGGATGACCCGTCAACAAGGGGTCTGCTGCTGCCGACGATTGAAGCGGGTGGCGGCACGACCCCCGGCAGTGCGCAGGGCGTGGACGCTTTGGAGAATCCAACTCCATACCAATCCTACTGGGTCTCGCAGCGCTGGCGGACGGACGATGAGCGCGATCTAGGTCGTAGTAAGTGGATATCCAGGCACGCATTGAATTATGGTTCGAAGTTCTGTAGCCGAGCTTTTTTGCAGAATCTTTTCCTGCACTAGCAGCTTTTATTGGATGAATAGACAATGCAAGCCTTCCTGCGTATCTCTAATCTCTCTGGCTGCTTATCGAGCGCGGCAATGTGGAAACGCTTTATAGAAAGAGTGCAGTCCGCTGTCCTCGGCCTGACGAGAAAGACTGGATTTATAAAAGGGTAAAAGCTCGTGAGAATCTGTGATTTTAGTACTTGTTTGTGTTTCATGAGTGTCTTTCTGTCATTTTGTAGATCATGTTTGAATCCTCAATATGCTGGCTCTTTTAACACGTACACGTTGCACTCAGACGTACATGACATCACTACCAGGGTGAGCCGGCCGAGTATATGACGATAGTCCTCACGGGAGTGTTGATGATAATTGTAGGCCGAGACGGTTTTCAGCAGGAATGTGGAGCGTTTTCCGTTTTTGGGATCGATGCGCTTGGGGAGGGTACTGAAATTTGATTTTGTTGTTGTGTGAACGAGTTATGTGACTTTTTGTTTGCTGTGATTTGGTTCGCTCTGTTCCAGCCTTCCCAAAAAAACATCCTGGGCTAAAGGTTCACGGCGCTTTGTCCCTGATTTTAGTGCGGCCTTGTGGTCAGACGTGGTGACTCTGGTGCGGATCTCGAGAACCATGTATGAAGAGGCGCGTGTACTAGAGGCCGAGGGTCGGATACCCTTTGTTGAACCGGCTTTAAATGCGCGGATAAAAAGAGCAACGAAGAAGGCAGAGGACAATCGATATAAGACGCAGCAATTAGCGATACTCAGAAAGCAACTGGGCCGTGGTCCACAAACCTCCTCAGGCAGCCACGACGACGAAGAAAACTTTTCACCGATTTCCAAGTTTTATGTCACAGCGTAAAAAAGAGCTGTCTTCAAGAAGTACTTACTTCTTGCCTTATATTATACATAGATAAATACTCATACTTATAGAGTAACACTATGCCAAAAGCGAACATAGAAAAGTGGTTTTTTAGCCAAAGAACGCACATAAAGCCCAGGGATCAGTCGGGCAGTATTCGTCTCAATATGGAAAACTTTCATTCTGAGACGAATACTGTACAAAAAACGCAAAAAAAGCGCTTTTGGCATAGTGTTACTCCATACTCATATTTATTCTACAGGAGTCGAATGTACGGCTTCTCCGATAGATGTAGATTTGTGGCCGATTGTACGGCCTTATGCGCCCCCAGTATGTAACTTGGATGATCTTATATATATAGGTAAATTAATTGATTGAAAGGGTGGTGGCATATAGTCCTAACGCAAAAAAAACAGAGTTATTCGTTATTCAAGGCCAGCACCATCGGGGACGTACACATGACATTCGTTATTCAAGATGCCTATTATTCACACAAAGCGTGAATGAAGATAAACATAGGAATCAGTTACACTCAGGAAAACACACAAGGGAATGAAGGTGACAGACAGACTACATCCATGCGTTTTATGAGTTTCACAAAAGAAATTTAATTATTAAAATGACTTCCTTATGTGACAGGCCGTGCCATCTTTCATTCCTGCCCGCATCGGGGTGATCATGAAGACAGCAAAAGACGTGACAATCGCGATAAGCCGCGCCCGCGAGATCGCAAAGAGTCATTGTTTGGCTCGATTTTTTCCGCCTTCGAGCCACGCAAGAAGTCGAAACAACCACCAGGTGAGAGCGCGGCACCGGTGCCTGAGAAGCCCTCCCGCATGCTAAGCCGTGATCTTCATCCAACTATGAGCGTGGACACGGTCGCAACAACCCCAGTCATCTCCAAGAGGTAGACGGACAAGGTGCGCCTCCGTGTAAGTGGGATTCCACTCAGTTTAGTGTTTTTTAAGCACTTGAAGACGACGCGAACCGGTACAGTGCTGTGCATGGATAGGTGCTCCGCGCAATTAGAACTACCCGTTGTAAAGATTTTCGAGGTGGCAAGACGAGTTCGAAAAAGGCATAGCGCAGATGCGAGTCGTTAATGTGTTGCTTTATTCTCCGCATCATTTGAGGTCTCCGCATACTGCGCCGAGTGTCGGAGGACAGAGGACCTATGTAACTTTTTTGTTGACCACCACAACAAGCAAATTCTTATCAACGCATTGAATGAAGTCCGGCTTAGAAATTAGTTGCTGAAATACTGTATATCTGCCCGAGGAAGCTTTTATCATATATTGTGCTTCGTTTATTACCATTGTCGGTCCTCGAATTTCTATCCGTGTTACAGTCTATGTGGCCAGTGAGTACCGTTTGCGTTCTCAGGTGCTTTGAAATACCGTAGCCACAAAATCATAGTTCAAATTCTACTTCCTGCGAACCGCACTTCAAAGCAAAAAAACAACAGCGAACGGGAGAATAGCAAAAATATAGGTTAGGTTATCATTTGTGACCCCTAGTGAACCGAACAAGATGTTAGAACATGCGACAGCGTCGAGCTACATTTTTTGATTTGACACTGCCAGCCACAAGTCGGGTTGTGTGAGTTCGCACGAGGTAGAATCGGCAGTCAAGAAGAAAGTAGCAGCGGAATGCTGGAAAGTGCGTGAACCAGTGTTATTTATTACTTGAAGGAGTACGAGCAGTACCCTGAGGTAACAAGCATTCCGGTAGAACGTCGAACTGCGCTTTCATAATGAAGCCGCGCGCGGCTCATGCTCAAATGTCCTCCATGATGAGCGCGTATTAGTCACGTGGTTCAACAAGTGCAGCGAGTTGCCTATCGGTCCTTTTGCAATTTCTAAAAGATATAAGTTCGCGTATTGCATGATAATTTTGGACGTTGATGTCATGTATTTGCGAAGTAGCCCGTGGAAGTGATGGATAAGGCGAACTCTGCGTCGGCCATTGCCATTCTCGTGTGTTGCTTTCTGCTGCAGGACGTTTCTGTTTCTTGACGGATCCATGTTGTAAAGAGCATTTCCTCAGACTTCCAGATCCTTTCTTTTACTAGAAGATATAGATACGCATACCCAGTGCTCACGCTCAGTCCCGTCCGGTTCATTTTCTCGTTTCATCCTGTAGGAATCAGTAGTTATCCATTCTAATTGAAGTAGCTTATGCCTCTCTCCATAGATAGTACTCACTATCTAGGGTAAACAGTTATAGATAACGACTAAGTTTTTTAAAGAGAAAAGTATGAAGATGCTCTGCGCTCTGCGCGAGTCCTTGGACGGCGATAGTCCCGAGAAGTATGAAGTCTCAATTGCCGTCATTGGGCCACCAAAATCCGGAAAATCCACCTTGATTGATGCTTTAGTGGGTGCTCAGGTGACCTCCAAAGGGTCTGCTAACCCCGTGGACAGCACGAATGAGGCAGACGAGGATGATGATGAGGAGGGTGGAAACGAAGAGCCAACAGTTAGGGCTCAATACAATTCATCTCTACCATCGTTCATTTCTAACCAGTTCCGTCCTAGGATTGGGAGAAATGTAGGCGAGACTCGAGAGATGAATCGTTTGGGGCTCTAAAACAGAATCTGAGACAGAAAACTTCGTGGATCGTTACCACGTGAGACTCGAGAGCCAAAAGAAAGCGTCGTCGGGCATTTTGGGAGCGGTATCGTGCCGTTCTTGTGTTCCATTTTCGCCATTCTAGGGGAGTTCTGCATCTCTCTGCTTGTAAAGACAACAGTAGAATCAGAAACTCATTAAACATAAACTGCGTCATGCATATTGTGTAATATCAACAGGGTGGTCTTTTCCATTCAGCTTCTACGTCATATTCATGTCTCTACGTCTTAACGAATAAAATCTGTTATGAGAGAACTCTGCATTCAAGGTTGCGTCTCTACCTACCAGGAGACATATCTTGTTTTCAGATGGTCCGCCGGTCGCCTCTAAGGAAACCGATAGGGGTCGTTGAGTTGTTTTTTCTGTTGGGGGTTCTTTCGAGGGTTTTTGATAATTTCCGGAGCGGCTACATGAGATAAGTTCGAAGCGAGAACATTGGGTGAAGAAGAATGTATAAATGAGCGCGTCGCTATTGCCTTGATGCCCTGACTTTTGAGTTTCTGAATTCCTGGCCAGACAAAAAAAAAACAAATTGTAAGGATGTAGCGGGATTCTTCGAGGCCGTAGGAGGTGCTGCTGAGATGGTTAAACCTGAGTAGAGGCCAAGACGACCGAAGTTTAAAAGGGGGAGAGCGTCCCATCGCTCTCCCTCGTCGCTCCTTTTATCTCCCGCCCGCTCTTACCAGAGTACGTAGTGGCTATCAGGCATAGGGTAGCCCCTGTGGTCGGCGTCAGCCCTCCAATTTTTTGCTTTTCTTTTTGTTCTTATTTTTTTTTCTGGCGAACAACACGATTGCAACATCTGCGGAGCAGAGCATGGGGGCGACGACAGGGCGCTTTAGGGTGAGGAGGAACGAGGAAAGCAGTGAAAGTAGGTAGCGGTAGGCTTCACCGATATGACTTCCTAGTACTTATCCGCCTTGGCACTTTCTGCCTAGCACTCATGATTTTAGCTCCGCGCTGTAGATGACTGGCGAGGCGTGTGACTTCACCGGTCGCGATCTCAATAATATTAGTTACGTCCGATCTAGGCGCTTACTCTTAGCACAGGCCTGCTTCAATGATTTCGGGTTTGCTAGTCGTAGTTAGTTTTTGCCTGGCAGTGCATGCTTTAGATGGTTCATCAGTAAATCAGTCATCAGTGTTGCGGGGTGTCATACCCCTGCAGGTGTGCTGACTTGCTCACGCGGCCCCGCTGCGTCGGGTTGCGCCTTAGTTTTTCTACAGGGGTCGAATGTACGGCTTCTCCGATAGGTGTAGACTTGTGGCCGAATGTGCGGTCTTATGCGCCCCCAGTATGTAACTTGTATGAAAGAATTAGTTGAACGAGTTAATTGATTGTTTGAAAGGGCGGTGGCATATAGTCCTAACGCAAAAAATAAAAGCTTCAACGTCAGAATAATGGCATCAGGGACGCACACATGACATGAAGCAACAACAAGGTCCTCTGCCTTCAATGTATATATGAAAATCTTTCTTTCATCCCTGCACACCGACCAGATTTTCGGAGAGCGAAAGACAAGTATTGTTGCCACGGAACGTGAGCTGGACAGCGATTCTGAAGACGATGGCTCACGTTCGTTTGATGTTAGTTGTGAGTCTTTACTCACGCCCGCTGACGGACTACCCGCACCAGCCGAACTGGTACTAACGGAACGTTAACATTTAGGTTTAGGAGCACGTAGAGTAAAGTGAGTAGTGACAATATTATCCTGCGATATCATGATTTTGAAGGTAAATGAAAGTGGAAATTCGTTTCCGTTTTTACTATTGATTTGTGTTCCCTTCTAAGCAGAAATGGTTCAAGGCATAATTTATGGTGCCTAGGTTACCCATGGTACGAAGCAAAATGCTGATAAGATTGAAGCACTCTTTTCGAGATGAAGTCTTCTCTGACATAACTCAGATTTTTGTTGATGTTCCTGCGCCACTTGAGGAGGGCAAGAAAATCGAGGAATTTTGGCAGGACCATGTATGCGATGTTGCTGAGACAAGCGATTTCATGGTGCTCGTTCTCGATCCCTTCAAAGATAGCGCGGCTGAGTGCTTAGTAGAGACAGTGTCTGCGCTTCTGGGTATTTGCGGCGACGAGGGCATCGAGGATGTGTTCAGAAAAGTTCTGTTCGTCTTGAACAAAGCTGACTCAGGGGAAAACTTTAGTGAGCTGCTTGGAAAGCTTATAGCGGAGGCCTGTGCAAAAGTTCGGCCTGTACTGACCGAGACGCTGAGGAGAACTGGTGATGTCGCGAAAAAAGCTGGCAACAAGAACATCGAAAGTAGGGCGCACGAACTGCTTGAAACTCTGCTCCGATCCCGATTTGTGACTCTGTCAGCGCTTTGTGCGTTTGCTCTTCGCGTCGAAGGTGGAGTTTCTCGAGAGGTATTGAAAACGGACCCCGAGTTGCTTGACATGATTGCGCGACGAGACTTCCCGCTTGCCTATTCTGGCTACTCACTGCTGTCTCCGGCGGAGCAGGTGGACGCAGTGCATCGTTATTTGTGTATGCTTCGACACTTGCTCTTCTCCGTTGATTTTAGTTGTGGTCGTGAATCACCATGGTGACATGCTCGTTCAACTCAACCTTTCTTGTAATGGCAATGGACAAACTACGGATCCACTAGATGGACATTGTTTAAAATTAGAACACAATTACAGTAGCCTTTCATTGTTACGAACTTGTCGCCTGAGAAGCGAAGCGCTCGACTGGCGAGCGTGGGTCTGGAAAAGGTCACGACAGTTCTCGAGTCCCGCTTCGGTGGAAAACGCTTTGGTGCTTTTATTGCTGATGAATTGAAGGCGAAGGCGGAAAACACGTTGGACCTGTCGGAAATGCGAGCTTTTCACGACCACGCGTTACGAGTTAATCCCAAGGAGGGGTTTGACCTGAGAAAGGTACTGCTGGAAGAGGAAGTTGCGTAGCAATTTTTACCATGAAACAAAAAAAGTCTTATTAATGTTGAATGGATTGGTTGGAAAAAAAATCACCTTTATTGATTAAACCTCGTCCTGCTCAGGTATACCTGGAACACTGGGCTGCACTGTTGCAGCATATGGAAGCGACAGAAGAGTCAGCGACAAAACCGCAAAATTTTAAGGAACTAGCAACTGTAGCGGTAACCAAGCTGGACCCTGACCAGTACTGCAAAGACGAGGGCCTATACACCTTTGGTTAAGGATTGGTGCAATTCATTTCGAACGGTCGTTTTTCTTCTGTTTCCTTCGTGGGATTCAGAAGAAGTAAAGCGAAGAAGTGAATTATTTGAGCACTAATTTGGAGAAAGGGTCGAAGCCATAGATGAAGATGCCAGCGCGGACGTCATGGACAAGGACCGAGATCACGCCGGTGATTTGCTTGGTCACATTCGAAGATGCTTGTCCTACGTCGTGCAGTGTGCGCTGGGGGCTGCTTCAGTGGAGACGATCATTGCGGGTGCCGACGAAGCTCTCGACAACGAAGACAAAGACGAAAATGTGATCCTCGTAGAGGATGCGAAATTGTCCTCGGTTGGGTCGACGTCGACCAGAAAAGCATCTACTTCTGCTACCAACAAGAAGCCCGCGACGAATAGGACTTCGACAACGTCGGTCAACGGAGCTCAGTCGTCTTCTGTCTCCCGGGAGCATTTCCGAACTCTGCAGGTGATGGAGCGCACATTGCAAAGCGTGACAGACAAGTTGCCCATGGCTTCGAGCATAGCGCTCGCACGATTGTTCAAGGATGTTGACGAGAATGCTGATGACGAGGACGATATCGACGAGGAGGAGGAGGACGACGACGATGAGGACATGGAGGACGCGGAGGATGACGACGAGGACGTGCCTCCAGCATTGCACGTAGTTGGGTTCGAAGCTGAACTATGTGCAATTCGTGACAGAATGCGCCAACTGGAAGCGATGGTGGAATCCCAAGCAAGCAAGCAATGCAAGAGCCCTTGGGAAACGTTTGTCGATCCCGGTGATCTGGTACAGCCTTACCTCTATACACCCATTTGTTTTCTGATCACTAAAACGTCTATCCTATACATAGTATCTATAGATACCCATTTGGTTAATATTATTTGTTGGACTTCCACTCGGGACTTGCTCGTTTATGATCTTGTTTCGTACTTTTTTTTTTCATCGAAGATTCATCGCTCTTCCAACAGATTGCACAGTACAGCGCAAGTTACAAGCGCTGCATGCCCTTCTTGTCGTTATTTTACGAGTATGGCTTGCTCTGTGAGAAGATCGCACTCCAAGAAATTACGTTTCATGAGGAGGTCGATGAAGAGCGCGACGAAGAAGAGTCCGAAGATGAAGAGAGTGATGCCGCAAATGAAGCGGAGCAAACTGAAGACGACGCCATGGACGTTATGGCGATACAATGTCTTAAGTAGTTCATGTTCCATAAAGGCGACATTGACTTGCTTACTCTAAATTATTTGGATTTGCATATGCACTTCTCGGCTCCACGAGGAGGTAGGTATTAGACCAACTAAAACTATTGGGTCCTTGCAGGTCATAGCTTTACTTGTGTCACTACGCCTAGCTCTAGACGGCCACTCTACCACAGATTTTTTTCGTGTATAAGATTTAATCTCTCGTTAGAAAATTTTGCCTGGGAGAATCATGATAACGACTAGTTCTAATAGTTTGGATCTGGAAGGGGCTTCCGAAGAGGAGATTAGCGACTTGGTCGAGAAGGAACAAGATCAGGATGAAAGCTTCGAAGTCCTTAGCGAAGAAGACAAAGAGGCGGCCGATGCATCTCCCAGTTGCTCATCGCCGGCGCAAAGCGACGCGCAGGATAGCTCGAATGTTTATGAACAAAGAGCTTGCAGCGATAGAAACCTGAGCAAAATTTCTTGTAAGTATGTAGAAATACTTTGTGTGCGTGAGTGAACAGCACCTCCCAAGTTCGATACGGGAACAACAGGGATTTTACTGGATCTGGATACAGTTCCAATAAAAGTTTGTGAATGCTGTTGCGTGTTTCCCTTCCCTCTAAGAAAAACAAGAAGATGGCGAGAGCGATGTTCGAAATGCCGATACAGAACGATCCCAAAGCAGTCCGGTTGAGAGTGACGAGTTCGAGATAGTGGACGGCGTTGGACCCAACAAGAAGCGTGGACGCCTCACAGAGGAGGACGGAAGTCAGGGTGCGGGCAAGCGCCGCGCAATTGCTGGCGGTGACTCACCAGAAGAGATGAACTAGGTTCGCTATGTAAAAGTACAATGAATCGTCGAAGAGAAGATGGTTGTGGGAATTCAACCAACGAAGTTCATCAACCTGGCAACAATAATTATGGATCCACAGAGATTTTATGACTCATCATTTAAATTCTTTATCTTTAAATGTAAAACACCATGATTTTTTTTTTTCTGTATGCTGAAGTATGTATCTGTACTTCGCTGTTGTGAACTAATGGTGAGAAAGGCCAGTGAGGAGACACTCGCATTCAATACCACATCATGGCTATCACTCGCTAGAGAGTCATATGCTCATATCTTACAACTGTGGCACATTCAAGAAATATACTACTTACTTTGGTCTTGGTCGTTGGCGTTGGTCCTATTATCCTGTTCATCGACGTGTCATCGTTGTATGCATGTGCGTGCACAACTGCTTATACCCATCATTATTATTTTTCCATAATCTCCATCTCCTAGAGTCCTTTTCTTCTTTGAATCTCAAATTTGTAACAGCGTCGATTTTTCAGAGGTATTACCCACCAGTATATCATGTTCATGATCGACGAGGCATACTCTTCATCTAGACTTGAAGCAAAGATTATGAGATTGATACAACAGCAGTGCCCAAATGAGCATTGAGGCTGGATCAGATAGTCGGATTTCTTGTCATCGCCATTATGATATACCGCAATCGCATATTAATTCATATACAACGATTTTCATACGATTACTACTACCCACAAGAATTAACATCAAGATATTCCGTCTTTGATTTCATGGATCGTTCTATTCGGTGGCTATGACTACCAACTACTGTAGGCATACGAAATAAAATCATATCGAGAAAAATGTCACGTTTTCGATGGAGCGGCACCCTTAACGGATCAATCAAACGGGTGTGAAAGCGATCTTCTTTCATCCGATTACACAGCGACTATGCTTTCTTCTCTTCGAGGCTCCGCACACGAGCACATGGCGGTTCTCCTGTGAATCTGCGCTATTTTGAAACATCAATTCAGTATCCGTCAACGGCAACGTTCACGACGAACTTTGAATGAGAATAGAACAACTGATGGGCTGCAAGCCAGCAGTGCAGTGGTGCACGATCCCCTACGAATTAATAGGAGACTTGGGTCTTTATCCTCTACCTCTTGGTGAATGTGCAAATCAAATCGTTTCATCAATAGCAGCTTTTTGCCTTTTTATAATTGAGTTGAAACTACTAGACGTGTCGAATGAGTACGCAGTGACGGGGTATGATAAAATAGTGGAACATGGATAACATTGTCTCCCTTATTACAGCGTTGTAGTTTAAGTTTTTCGCTTTTGAGACCAGACTTACTAGAGACTTAGGTTATTTGCTGCTTTTCGTTTCATCCGCGTTTAGAAGTAGACGTGGAAAAGATGGCCGTTTCAACCATGCATGAGGCGATCGCGCAGTTTTCCGCAGGTGGTGAGTATCATGCTTTTGGAGAGTTCGACGCAAGCTTAGTCTACTACACCGCTCATGGTCGCGCAGACCATCTGTTCGGTCAGCGTAGAGGATCTGGTGGAGCGGCACATCCGTCTTTATCCTCAAGGAGAAATACCGCAGTTGGAAGCAAAAGTAGCGAAGAGGGTGAGAAGTCGTCGACAGGCGGTGGCGAGGAAGGGGAGGACCATGGTTCCGAGCCAGCGCGGAAAAAGGCAAAGCGGGACGCTGCGGGAATAATATTAGATCGTCTCGAGAGCGAACACGCGGCACTCGTAGCTGTAGGAACCGGAGGAGCCACGGCTTCAACTTCTGCATCTTCTACAGCAACCAGTGGTGGCGAGCAAGCTTCTTCATCTGCTCTGCGCGTGCGGAAGATTGTGCTTGGTTGTCTAGATTCGTGGCGACAGGACTGCGACAGAAAGGAAATGGAGAACGCGGAGGCCGACTTCGAATCAGATGCTGCGGCTAGTGTGGCCAAGACTGCGGCAAAGCAGTCACGGACACAACTGCTAGAAACTACAAAGCAGCTGCTACTCTTAAACGAAATCTTGAAGCAGAACTCTGCTGGTAATAGTTCCTCCACTGTCTCCGACCAGCAGCAACCTCTTTCTTCCGAACTCCTGACAAAAATCGAAGATTTCTGCGTCAAAATGGAAGAACAGGAGTACGAATTCGCGAATCAGGCGTACATGCACATGACAATAGGGAACACGAAGTGGCATCAGACTCTTGCCTCGTCTGAGGCACGTCATAACAAGGGCGCAAAGACAAAGATCATTAAGAAGACCGGAGGTACGGAATTCGCAGAAAGCGATGAAATTCACGATCACGTCTGGGCGCTCAAGCGATTGCTCACTGCAATGCAGAAAGTGCGTCCTGCAAGATGAATTATAATTGTCAATAAAAAGTGGAACTCAATAAATAGCGAGCGTTATTTGACGACGTTGTACCGGCTATCTCAGTCTCCCAAGCGCACGAGTAACACTGAAAGTGAACTATCCCTCCCTGCGCTTTCCTAGCGTTGTAAAATAGTCGCAAAGTAATAGAAAAACTCGGGTTATTTGTCGTAACGCCGATTTCGTTCGTGAATTCACGAAGAACTTTTCTTCTCTGCAGACGGTCAATGTCCGTGAATGCATGTTCTGGATGCTGATTTTGCAAGACGTCATAAAATCGCAGGAGTATGGAAGACGCAATCTCACGTAGAACGAGAAGAAGAACACGAGAAGGAATCCAATCTAGAAGAATGAAAAGCAAAAGCTATCGGAAACTAGGATGGCACATCAGTTCGAAATTTCTTGATTATGTTTTTTCCCATCGCGTGCCTGTAAAGTGCCCAACCAAGCTCGACATCGTATTAGTTGATTCTCTGTTGTCGCCTGGAATCGACTTTCCTCCAGTCTGAGCACCATCCAGAGCAATACGCAAAGATCAGATGCTCAACACCAACACGCACTTGGAGAACAGATCTGCAACGCCCACTACTTAGAATATATCAAAGTCGGGCTCGGGTTTCCACTTCTTCGGGCTGTTCAGACAAGAATTATTGGAAATTTGTACAAGGTAGAAAGGCAAATCACAATTCATTCACCCTCACGCAAGGTGGAGCAAGAAAATGGCAGAGGATTTTTTGGTCATGGAAGATCATCGTAGACGTGATGTCCCATTCATTGGGGTTGTCCCATCGCAAGATGAAGATAACGATACTCATCAACGGGAGGTTCACTGGATGGTTGCGCAAGCTTCTTCAAATTGTAAGTGAGTGATTCTTTCATAGGAAGCGTGAGCTGTACCCGCGTAAAAGCGTCCCCAGCAATTTTTGCACAACTATTTACTTTGTCAGTGTGATGAGTTGTTTTGGAGACTAAGTAGTCGTCAGATAGATTGGCGTCACGGAAGGACGTTGACCCTTGTGAGCATTGACGCGCCTTGAAGATGACTAGGTTTCCATTGTAATTGTTCGCTTGTTGTAGATTTGATAAATATGTATCACCATGGCTGACGGAAAGCACAATAAGTGGCCCGGTCGGCGTGCTGCGCGTCAGCGCATCGATTGGAGCGTGCAGAACGTAGACCTGGTACCGTCAGATCTGACGAGGCGGCGCCCTGCTCTTGTTTCCGAAATCGAATTCTCCATGCTCAAATTGCACTTGAAGGACGACGGCGCTTTTGTGCTGACTCAACTCTGTGAGTGGGACCTTGTTGGGCAGGTGATCGAATTCTCCGACATTGCCAATACGTATTACAGAGAGTATCTGTTTCGTTCCGCGGGTAATGAGCACCATCACCATCACGGAGGGCGAGGGGAGAATAAGGCTTATCTGCAAGAGCACCCAGCTGTGGCAATATGGGAAGCGATGGTACGGAAAGGGCCCACACTGAGATGTCCCGATGTGCTTTTCCGTGGTCAAGGGTTGTGGTCGCTGTTGGGCTATGCGGTTGCTTGTGGGCGTGGGCGGGTTGTGCGAACACTGCTTCGTGCGGGGGCGACGCCGTTTATGTTTCGGGAAAGCCTTTTTCGCTTCGAATTGTTTGATCGCAACGATGGAGTTGAGTCTGACGAAGATGATGCTGATCAAGAGGTGATAGATCGTTCCAGATCCAGACCGTGTGAGTATTCCAGTTACGATCGACTTGGATGGCCTGCAGACTTGGATGTGCGCTCGTTTCGCTCACCGCACGATGATTGGTGTAGGATGGGTCCAGCGGAGCAAGGTGATGGTCAGCTGCCTGTTGCTGATGGCTACGGATCCGACTTTGCCGAGCTTACAGGTCATTTCATGCGGGAGTACGTCCATCCTGGTTATGCAGCATACATATTGGAACGCCTTTTCGCAATGACAGTTCCTGCGGGAGAACACGGGACTCCACGAGAGAGTGCTGGGAAGACGAATAAGGAAATGTCGAGCCGTGCCAGATTTCTTTTCCACGGACCCCGTTGTGGCTGCTTATTTTCGGAACCCGACTTTTGGGGAAGTTTCTGTCGGTGGGATAGCCGAATGGCGACGCGATTTCGCTGTCCTTCGTGTGGCTGCGAACTCGGGGATCATCGTAATGAGAGTAGCACGACGAGAAAAGAAATGGGTTTTGGGGATGCGGACACTGACAGCACCGCGAGCACATCTGAAAGGACGACTCTGCCTGGTAAAGAAAGGCCCGATCTATGTCAGCATGATGAGAGAAGTACAGCAGAAGACCTTTCAGAGTTTCTGCCATCCCGCGAGCGGTTTGAGTTGCTCCCTGAAGATCGTTGCTGTTCTGCGAAGCAAAATGACAATACTCGAGTTCGAAAGGCGGGACCGGGTGCGACATCAGACGAGACGAGGTACGGTCGTGTAACTTTGACATTGCGCGAGGCGAAAAGCTTAGATATTGGCTATACTCAGCAAGAGCGCATGATGCGAGTGGGACGCGCAATAGAGACTGACGACCTGACGCGGCTCTCCTGTCTCTGCGAAGCGGGAATAGACTTGTCCCGACCTGCGAACGAGTACGGGCAGCCAGCTCTCGAAGTTGCGGCTTCGAGCGGAACAGGCTCCGCTGTCGTCAATTTTATTCTCAGCGGGCTAAAGACTATGCTCCTGGGTTGTGAGAGCTCTACTAGTGGTGCTGTGGCTTGTGAGCGTGGAAGAGAGAGGTTCATCGCACACGTTCGCTATGCGCAGCAATTGGCGTGGGCTCGCGGACACACAAAAACCGCTTGCCTTATTGGAAAAGCACTAGAACTTGCGGATTCTCAGACTGGCCAGGGCATAGGAATTTGTGTTAGCGCTCCTTCAACAGGATCTCCACGTCGACTGAATATGGTGTGCGCGTCTGCCGCCTTTCGTAGGTGGCGTGCCGTCGCTTGTGATGTAACTAGTCCGCGGCAACAGGTGACGCATTTGCAACTTCCGCAATCGCTGCTGCCTGGCGACAGAGAACGTGCGGCGCCAGCTTTTTACGTCGATGGAGCTTTCTCAGAGCTCTTTTTAGAGGAACTTGATCGTTGCTACTACACCATGTACGAAAGAACGAAGAGGAAGATCGAAAGCCAGACTGCTTTACAACTAGATCAAGATGATGACGCGGTGGTAAATGAGAAGCCTGGAGGTGGAGAGCAACAGGAACAAAATGAAGAGACTTCTACTTTAACATCATGTCAACCTGAAGTAAACGCCTGTGCTAGACCTGCTCCTGAGGAACCGAATGCTTCTACAAAGCAAGGAGAGACAAATGGAAAAATAAAGGGCAGGAGGAGTAACAAGCGGTTGGCAAAATTAAATGGCAGTCGATGTCGGAAATCAACCGAGCCGCTTCGAGAATATTTTAATGACCCGTTGGAACGGGTTAGGACAGCACTGCGTCTAGCAGTCTCGCGCATTATAGCGAGTTCGCCGAGCTCAAGCTCTGCTTCTGAGTTTGATCCCGAACTGGGTTCTGCACGTCCGGATAACGTTTCTTCAGATGTTTGGGTTTATCCTCAGATGCGGTATCTTCACTACGACCAGGCGGAAAAAGCTGCTGCGGCGCACACGGATCTCAGTCGAACCGTTGATATCGGCATCAATTTTCCAGATGCAAGTGGTCTCACCGGGCGTCACGGTAAGATCACCTCGACTCATACCTTTATTCTCTACCTGACGAGTCTTGATGAATCTCCAGTTTCTGAAACCGCGATAAAGGAAATGGCGGCGACTCCGGGATCAACAAGGATGCTCTCCAGCTTGGCTCCAACAGCAGACGTGTTGGCTGAAGTGGTGCCGCGTCGTGGGCGCTTGTTGCTCTTTCCGCACAATTTTCCTCATGAAGGCTTCCCCGTTGCCGAGCAGGAAAAGCTTTTGTTGCGTGGCGAGGCTGTGATTCTACGTGGGAAGACCTGCTAGCAAGACTGATCCTCTGAACCTCTAATTACGATGAGAGCGCTCCTTCCACACCCCTCTAAACAAGGAATATTGATCCCACATTTCATATTGAATTTTTTTACAAAGTGTGTATTTATTACACAGACATTCCTCCACCTTTTGGTTTTGACCACGCTGCTCTGGCTCTCCGTCTACCGATGACTGTTCCCACCGAGTTTCAATGCTGATGACTTTCGATTACTAGTTTCGAACTCGTTTATCTAAATTATGGTTCCGACACACTGTGTTGTGTCATTTGCCGATTTTTTTCATATTTTAGTTTCGCATGTTGGTTGTTAGTGAAGCCTGAATCGAAAATTTTTTTACTGTCTCGTTTTCGCAGATTCTCAGCGACATGAAATTTGTGTAGCTGCTAAAGTACGCACTAAAGTTGATATTTTTTTTCTTCCGAGTTGTAGGAAGTTAGTTGTCACTTTCTTCATGGCCATCGACTCTGCATTGATTTGCAAAATTTCACGGCGCAACTATCGCATCAGGTATAAGGCATATACGCAAATAATTGACCGGAAATCTACATCTTCAAGATTATTTTCTCTCGGTCTCCACTGAGTTCTTTTTGGTTTTTCATCTTTTTACTCGACTCGTAGTTGCATATCCTGTAGTTCTGCAAAATGGCCGGGCAAATCATCGGAGGAAAAAAAGGCCCGCCCACGCATTGGATTTGCGGGAACTGCAGCAGCAAAATGATATGGAAGAGGATGAAATGCAGTAAGTGCCAGGGGTCTCGTCCAGAGCTAGCAGGCCAACAGCCTCAGATATCCCCACCGGCTGCACAACGAGAGTCACCGCATTTTGGTAACAATCACACTTCAGCAATTTTCACCCAATTAAGAAACTCTCCTAATTTAATTCTTACTTTACAGTTTCTTGCTGGTAGAAGACAAAGTCCAACATTTACTTACTTCCAAGCATCTCGTCGTCAGCAACAACCGTGTAAAAAATCTTCTGCGTGCAACGAACACTTTAGATCCGATGCGCTCCGACTTAACTCGAAGACTCAAGGCGGGCGGAACAAATATGAGCGGCCGTAGTGAGAGCTCAACGGGACCGATAAAAACGTGGAGGTGTCCACAGTGTGCAACCGAAAATGCTGGAAATCGTACAACATGCGGCATTTGTCCGGCTCGACGACCTTCCGCGGCGGAACTGGCTGCGGCCGATGAAGCCGCGAGAAAGCTAAAAGAGGCGCGAGATTTAGCCTGGCAGCAGAGACTTGATGAGGAACCTCAGGAGGAAGATGACTTCGAGGATGAGAATCAGAAGTCTGAGTCCTCAGAAGATGAAGACGACTTCTTTCCCTCCTCTCGCGTAAAAAATGCGGATGACGGGGTGACCGTTGGGTCTGGCAAAGCGACAAGTTCAACATCATCAAGCGCCACAACAGGGGAGGACGGAGCCACAACCGGGACAAAGAAGAAAAAGGTAATACCAGTGTATTTACCGAAGCGTGCTCTAGCTCCGGTAGCCGATGCGAAAGAGCTATGGCGAAAAGCCACAGGGTCTGCCAACGGTGGCCTAGAGGGGCGAGCAGCCGACGGGTCGGACATTACAACGGTGATGACCAGAAAAACAAAGGAAGAACAGCAAGAATTGAATGAATATAGGAATAAACGAAGAGACGATATGAGGGCAACATATGACGACTTTGACATTGATGACTTCGGAAGGAAACGAAGAAGACGTTGAGTATAATTTTTCCGGGTTCATCGTGTCTCTTCTTACTTTTTTCATTCCCAAACTTCGTATTTTCTGACCTTCATCATCACACACGAGGTTCACTTTTCCACCTATCCGAAGGAGCATACTTAGTTTTCTACGACCGTGCCATGTGTTGAGGTTGAGGTGGAGAAAATGCGATCTTGTTTCGGTTGGCAACTGTAAAAAAGTCGGAAGAATCCCAAGCTAAGATCTGTCTTTGTTTCAGAATTCGGTAAGCGATTATTTGGTCACACCGAGAGATAGCGTATGCACAGAACAAAGTGTCTTCGTAAGTGTGTAAAGGAGAGATGCACTGTGAGATGCACACTCGATACCAGAAATAGCAAGTGGATGCTATTCGATTTCAATCTTCTTTAACATCTTTAAAGTCAGTCATCAAGGAAGAAAAATGCCGTCAAAGTCAATGCTTGCCAGTCCTGCGCCTCCGGCGTCCGCCAGTAAACTGGTGACCCCCTTGCTGTCCGGCAAGAAGAGCCGACAGTCGACAAATGCAGGGTCCCCGAGCAAGGATGTCGTGTCGATGAAAGACAGGGAGGAGCGAGCGCGCGTGGCGCGACTTGCCCTCGCGGCAGCGGCTCGTCCACCGGGATACGTCTACGACGTGATGGAGAAGGCGCTTCCCTATTGGAACAAATTTCTTGAAATAATGGCGGTGGTACTGCCAAACGTAGTCTTAAGATTTCACATTTCACATCTTTACTAAATTCTTGAGACTGCATCTTTGTCCTTCTCTTTGAAAGCTTCTACTTATACATAGTACTTCGTCCAGCTTTGAGAGTCAGTCGTGGCAAAGATGCACGATTAAGATGCGAAGTGGCAGTCTTTAATTGTGTGGGCTTATGAAAAATGTCGTGATTTTTACGCGATGCTCCCGATCGAAATAGCGTGCTGCATCTACGGCCTCGGAATATGTTTCTTCGGCGGGTAAGAGATTATGATTGTGTACTGTCAGCGTGATGTTCAACGAAAAACAGATACGCTTTCCTTCTTTTGTATCTTATTCTTTTCGATACTCATTGGATAAATGTATCGTCCCGTGTCTATGATGGAGTACTTACATGGACAATACACGGGCTAGCTACTGAGCCCGTTTGAACTTATCGTTTAACGAAAAACTTCGCGATTTAATGTTCTCAGGACTTACGTCGTGGCAATATCAGCGATTGAAGCTTTCAAGATGAGTGGAGGAGATACTATCGAAGCGTGCTGGAACGATATATGCGAAGAATGCAGTTTGCTTTAAGGCTGGTAGCTCGACAATACCCATGCCATTGTATCTTTTATGATCAGATCTCCGGGACGAGCAGGTAGACCTAAGGGAGAGCTTGCCGTCCCCTTAATTGAACTCGACCTATCTAATATTTCGTTGAGAAGAACGAGGAGGACAATGAAGAAGACTTGGACAACGACGGTATTGCAGACGTCCTCCAGATCAGCCAGCGCGAGTTGATGCAGCGAAAAGTGAAACTAGTCGTGACGAGCATCGATCCCGACAAGCTCACCAATTATGTTTTGACTCTGTAGCTCGTTTCCTTGTGCAAGAAGGGTTGATTATTTACGAGAGCGAAATATGAATATCGAACTTTCCTTAGTATGTGGAATCCGATAAATCTTCTACAGTTCAATTTTTCGGGTGTGAATTTCACGACATTCACACCCCTTTCTTCTCTAAAGCTTGGCTGTTGGAGGACTATACCAAGGTTTTCTGTCGGTGCTGATGACAGTGAAGTTTCAGTTCGCACAGGCGATTGCGCTGGCAGTGAGTATGGCGGAGCAAGCGCGAAAGCCCGCAGCGGTAGTACTCACCCCGATACTGGCCTCCGCTTTGCCACCCAACAGTGAAGACTGGATTGTCACCGCTATTGACTACCTGACGAAGACCATAGCGCTTTATGTCTAGAAATATTTTGAAGTTAGTGTGAGTTTATTTCCATAGTGCCTGCTTAGGCTGCTCACGATTTGATGTACGACTTGTTGGAAATTGAGCTGAGTAAAAATTCCGGCTCGTGGCTCAGCTTTATCATATTAAGTGAAAAGTTTTCTTAGAGGATGTTGATCTCTTTCTCTAACTCTAGCTTTTCGCATGGACGTTGCAGAAGATGGTCTGCGCAGTGCAGTCGGCGATCAAAGGCGGACACATGTTCGCACAAAACCTCTTGCTCTTCCTTGCGAACAAGCTCGGCGTCGAAAACATCGATCTCGATGAAACGATGGTACAACTTTTGTTCTCGAGAACTTTGTCTGTGGTTTTCTACGTCTTGTGTAGATGAAGTGGAAGTTCATAACTCTCCAAATTTTTAGATTACTTGGACGCGTCTATAGGAGATTGGTGTACCGACCTTGTTAGAAGTACACGCAGCAAAACAGGTAGACGAGTACATCGGATGGGCGATTGCAGCGATGGGTGTCTATTTTCAGATTGTGCACGGGTTTGCGCTTGTCTTTCCTTTCTCGATTGTGCTGTTCCCACTCAATATCATCGAGTTTTCTCTAGAGTGGACAGTGACCTGGTTGGGCTGAAAACTACGCAGCGCAGAGAGCAGGGTGAGGATTGCTGCTACTTGAGACCCACGTCAGTGTCCTGAGATTGACATTCACATGAGAAAAAATCAAAGTGTAAATTTTTTTGGTTTCCGACAATTTTTCCCTGATCATTTTCCCTTATTTCGCCGCACATCATTAGGACAGAAAACACAGTAACGGAGCATTACCAACACCTTTAACATGTTGAATACCCAATGCTAAATATCGACAATAATATAGCGTGTATGCGGAGCGGGGGGTTCGATTCCATTTGAAGCAGAACAACAGAGTCGGCGAGCGCTGTATCTCTTGATAGACAGCTTCGTCTAAGACGTTTTTCCGCTGAGACGTCTGCACATGCAAGGTGAGTACATCTTTGCCGCACATCGAGTAATGAGAATAAAATCGGCTCTACTCTTCGATGATGCGCTGTTGCTGTTATTTCTGAGGTGTTCTGTGTTTCTCTTTTTTAAATGCAAGTCGAGATCAGCCGCTAATTCTTGTAAATATTTTTGAATGGAAATGATTCTATATGCAGGAGGGAGGGTAAAAAAATGTGGTTATTAGTACGGCGGTCCTGTCAGACAGATACCGACTTCGAATCTAATCATTGACGAGCCGTGGTATATGATAGAAAGAGGGTGATCGAGGATCAACCCAGGAATATACAAAAGGTCGCGAAGTGCTGCTTGTCTGGTCTGTTCGTTTCCACATCATCAAGTAGAATGCAATTTTTAGCGTCAGGTGCAGACTGACTGTAAATGAACGGACTGTTGTCGCAACTAGGTAACGATCTCAGCACCATCACGCAGCTGGCTAGAGTTTGCGTTTGGGGGAAGCCATAGTCTCAATTACAGTATTGGAGCATACTGCACGGGAAACAACAACGAACAATAACAGGACCCCTATCCTTACCAGATGAGTGCGACGAACACACCCCCACTTCCTACTACGAAAGAAATCTAAAGTGGTTGTTTGAATTTTACTCTGTAATTGTTGGGCCCTCCTTGTTATTCGCTATTTCACATTGGAAGTTGAAGCTTCAATAAAGAAGCCCCATCATAAATATTTTCATGTTCTAGCAGTCTCCAGTCTGGTAGACACTGAGGAAAGTTAAATCTAATTGTGCGCTGTCATAGCTTGTGGGAGGCTCGTGGCTGCACTATGATTAGAGTGCATGCTGTGCAACAACACTTCCCACTTGAGATTGAAAAGGTTGTCGAGATTATTTCACTCATCACGAGAATCATCACGAACACGATACCTTTACTTGTCTGAGTCTCGTCAACAAGATTCTCCGACTCGGAACGGCAAAATGGGTTACGATTGGCGGCAACACGTCGAGGCGTCTAAGGACCCGGAAGTTAATCGCCGGATTCGGGCTCACATCGAGACGTTCAAAACTAGCTCTGAACGCTCGGAACAGCTCCCGCCTAATGTGCGAGGCAGGGAGTGTAACAGCTATAAGCAGATTTGCAAAGAATTGCAAGTCGGTTTCGTCAAAAATGGCAGGTTTTACGAAATGGTGAAAGTGGGTGGAGCTGGTGGGTCAGGTGCAGGCGGTGGGCATGCAGAAAGGCAGCCTAAAGAAACTAACGAGGAGTTTTCAATGCGACTATGGAAAGACGTTTGGCTGTTTTTCTTCAAGCACAATATGGTTGGACTGGATCTGCGCAGCACAGCTTCTCCTGGTGCAGAGTCTGGGCACATGGTGGAGACTGACGCAGACTGTGAAGGTTCTGGCGGAGCGATGTGCGCTGTCGAAGAGATAGACGAAACTGTAGAAACCCTGCAAAAGTTGTTAGATACGGATTTCCTGAGTAGTTCGGATGAAGAAGACGGTAACGGCGAGGACGTCGATATGAACGCCAGTCGTGCCAAATGGAAAACGTCATCTACTCGAGATGCCCCTGCTGTGTCTTCCTCGTCGGGAAGAAGAAATCAAGCTATTTCTTTGGGCGCTGGTAAGACCAACACGACTGCAGATTCCAGTACTTCCGAAGAGAAAACGGACGAAAGCCACGAATTTTTCGATGCCGCGACTATAGAAGCCTGTCCGTGGGTAGCGACGCAAAAGTTTTTGAATCATGTGAAAGTAAATAGCCAAGATCTTTGGTCTCGGTTAAGCGTTGTTGGTGTCAACAACTGCAGCGGAAAGAAGCTTGTGCAACCCGATGTTGCAAGCTACGTCTCACGATTTTTTGAGATGTACGGGGCTAACCGCAAGGGTGTCGCAGAAAATATCCGCCCGAAGCGATTACGGGTTGCCGTTCGCAAACAGAACTCCCCTCTCTCGGGTCCACCTGTCACTATCGAGCGGAGCGACTTGCAGTGGGGGGACTCTTCCGCCGCAGGCCGCTTGGACGATGTGCGTTATGCAAAGCCAGTCCTTTTCGCAGATGCGAAGCAGCTAGACGGATTGACCAAGAGTCTCACGCAAGCACTTGGCAGCAAGCACGCTGCGGAGATCTTACAGCGCAATGGCCTTGAGAGTACCAGTTCGAAGATGAATGGCAAACAAGTTGCCAATAGTCCTTTTAATGCTGCGGTAGCTGCTGACGGCGTTTCTGCTCGAAAGAGATCATACTCGGGAGGAGAGATGAGTGACAACGAGGACGACGAGGCTGAGGATGCGATATATGATGCATTCAATCGGCGGTGGCGTGCTTCGGTGCGGCGTCGTGTCCGACCGGCCGATCCTATGTACGAAGAGCGCAAGAACACACTGCGGTCTCGCCTGCCTGCATTTCGCATGGCCGACGAGTTCGTGCAGATGGTAGCGGACAACGATGTCGTCATCTTGTGTGGCGCGACTGGTTGTGGGAAGACGACGCAGCTTCCACAGATGTTGATGGAGCGCTTGCAGGAGATAACATCCTCTAGCTTAGCGGGACCACTGACTGGTAGGATCGTTTGCACGCAGCCAAGGCGGATCTCGGCTACCAGCGTGGCGGAACGGGTCTGCTACGAACGGAACGAGAAGGTTGGCGACCGAGTTGCCTACCAGATCCGATTCGAAAATAACGCGAGTGACAGCACGGAGCTCCTGTATTGCACCACAGGTATTTTGTTGCGGTTTTTGGTCCACAACCCGATGCTAGAGGGAGTCTCAGTTGTCATTTTGGATGAGGTCCACGAGCGCGGCACGCACACAGACTTCGTGCTGCTGATTCTGAGGAATCTTTTGCACCAACGAAGAGGTGACTTCCGTGTCGTGCTTATGAGCGCAACGATCGATGCAAGCAACTTTAGGCAGTATTTTGAGGTAAGTAACATCGAAGCTTCGATTGCAGTGACGCGAGAACAAGATAGTCATCTGGGCACACCCGAGGAGGAATACCTGTCGGTGGCGCAGTTGGACATCCCCGGAAAAACGAACTATCCAATTGAGGAGCACTTTATTGAGGACATCATGCCGGAGCTAGGACGTGACTACAACTATACAGTGAGCATGCCTTCGCAGGTGAAACAATCTCGACTGCGGAATACGTGGGCGACCCCTGCAGCAGTACGGGACCAAGTGCTCGCTGGACATCGGACTGCAATGGAGCCACGAGGGGTAGAGCAAATTTCGACGTTTATGCAACGGCCTCTGGATCTGGATTGCAAACTCATTGCCAGTGTCTTGGAACTGATCGAAGATTCAGAGGGTCCGGAGGCCCTAGTGACGTCATCAAACGGTGAAGGAGGAGCCAAAAAATTTCATCTGGGTTCCGTCTTGATATTCGCGCCAGGTTGGAAGGAGATCACGGATGTTGTGAAGGAACTGCAGGGGCGATTAGCCCAAGTGCGCAGAAAGCGAAGTGGACAGCAACACTGGTCGTCCGAAAGAGAGTGGCTTCTTCTTCCACTGCACAGCATGGTGCCTCCACAGGACCAGAACCGTATTTTCGATCCGCCGCGCGACTCTCACACTCGAAAAATCATCGTGAGTACAAATTTGGCCGAGACCTCTATTACTGTGGAGGATGTTGTGTATGTGATCGACAGCGGCCTCTGCCGCGGCACCACCTACACGGCTGAGACAAACGTAGCGTCCCTGGAGACGTTTGCGGTTGCACGCAGCAACGTGCAGCAACGTCGCGGCCGCGCCGGTCGTTGCCGCCCAGGACAGATGTTCAAACTCTACACTGAGTTCGAATTCAAAAACGACATGCGGGATCACGAGCTTCCGGAGATGCTGCGCACGCCCGTTGAGGAGCTCTGCTTACAGGTGAAGGCGCAGAAGCTGCCAGGCCAAGTGAAGTCTATTCTGCGCAAGGCGCCTGACCCGCCAAAAGACGCAGCGGTGGACAACGCGGTTGCCCTGCTGCTCAATTTAGGCGCGCTTCAGCTTCGGAAACCGTCAAAAGCGTATCTAGGAGAGAAGCTGACGTCGCTGGGCTGGCAGCTGAACCAGTTGCCGATTCATCCTACACTTGGCAAAATGTTGTTGTTGGGGAGCCTGTTTTCGCAGTACACTCACGCACCTGAGGAGAATGCTTTGTTGGACTTGTTGTGCAGTATTTGCGCCACGTTGAGCTTCAAATCGCCGTTCACCCTGCCAATGGGAAAGGAAAAGGAGGCCGACAGTGCGCGAAAGTACTACGGCCAGGGCCTCATGAGCGATCACCTGTGCTTCGCGCGCGTCTGCAACGAATGGAGCAACGACTCTTCAAGACAAAGCCGTGTGCGGGAGTGGTTGGACGTCAATTTTCTTAGCGGCAAAACTCTGGAATCGACAGAAAAGACCAAGCAGGACCTGCAAACACACCTGAGGGACTTGCGTAAACGCGAATCTTCGAAGATGGTGGCAGACTGGGGGTACGACGACAGCTTAGATTTCTATGAATACGACGCTGACAGCAGATATACTCCGACGCATTGGAACGCGAGTAGCACTTCATCAACAGCGGCGGCGTCATCGAGTGCCAGTGCGCTTTCTACGCATCAGAAAGCCTGGCAATTCTGGAAGGACTTACAGCGGGTAAGCAGCGGGAAGCGCGACAAGTTGAAAACGGATAGTCAGCGCGACGCTTCGCAGAACCCGCACATGCGCCTCAACTTGAATTTGCGCGACCACACGCCTGTCCTGATGGCTATTATGTCGGTATCTCTGAATCTCTCGGTGCTTTCTACGCACAATAACAAAAAGGGGCAACTGCTTTCTCTCGTCGGCGGCGGTGTTGCCGAATGCCACCCTGGCAGTCTTGTATCGCAACTCCCGAAGCGTGTCGGTGCCGGGAAGCTGGAAAAGCGCACGCGCTACCTTCCTTGGGGCGACAAGAAAGTGGAGGTGTTCCAGGGAGAGAAGGTTTTTCTACTGGGCTGGTTTCAACGGCTGAAGACGAGTTCCTTGTTTTTGCGGGACGTGTCCGTTTTCGCGGATCCTCTGGCAATGTTGCTGTTGCTCCCAGGTGTGACCCGCGAAGAAAAGGCGCTCTTCCGCGTGGAAAACCCAGCGGGCGCGGTGTTCAAGAACTCGGCCAATTTTTTGCTCTCTGCCGCAACCCCTGAAGTCGGGGACTCTCTCTGCCGAGTGCGCGCATTGCTCACCGGGCTCTTTGATGTGTTGCTGAAAGGTAGTGCTGGCAAAGCAAAGCAACGTGACGCGTGTTCGCCAACGCAAGTGGCAGAGGTCTTCGCGAGGCTAAGCGCGGTATTGCACGATTCGCATGCGCTGTACCGGACCGACTGCGCGGCCATTGACCACGGAGCAGCATCCTCATGCAATAAAAAGCACTACGACGCTGAAGAGGAAAAGGAACTGGCGCGCGACGTTGACGAATTCGGAAAAGCAAAGAAAATTCTTCCTGCTTCACTGACAGCTATAGTTTCCTCTACTGCGAAGCCGACGAACCGAACTGTACCGCGGTATGACTCCGGAAATGTCGATGTTCCAAACGAAGATAGTAGGGCAGGCGAGTGGAACAATGACGACCAATACTACAACTACGGCGGAAGCAACTACGAGCAGGAAGACGATGATATGGATGGGCAATCATGGCAGGCGGAGAACGACTCATCAAAACACTACAGTTGGAAAGAAGACAAGGGTTGGCAGAATTGGAAGAAGAATGACAAATGGTATATAAATGATTGGACCGTCGAACAGCACGAGGAGAACAATGACTATTCCACTACAAGGTTGTCGAACAGTGGCGCAGGTGGAGCGACATCGTCATCTTCATCGTGGAAGTCTCAGCGCAGAGCTTCACCAAAGATTGAAGAAGCCGCATCTTGGTCCGCAAGCGGGCAAATAAGTTACGGTTGTAGCGGAGGCGCCTCGGCTTTGCACCCGTCCTACGCACAGCAAGGTGAAGACGAAACGCTGCCTGCCGATTATCAACAGCAGCCGCAAGTGAATTCGCAAAGAACGCACACGCAAAAGACCTACGGAAAACGGCAAGAGCAGTGGAAAAGAAATCACGACAAGTGGGGGACGAGCACGAATGAGACGGGAGGAAAGAACCCACAGGGTGGAAAGGGTCAGAGTGGAGGTCTGTTCTCTCAAGATACGTCTCACTCATCTACCAAGCAATACTATCAACAGCATGGCGCAAAACGGTGGAAGAGATACTAGGGACTGCACACCCTCTGAAGTCATGAGCTAGTACCTCTAGCATGTTTGTGTTTGATTTGTTGTGGGAGTGCGCCAGCACAGCGCTTCCTCGAAGCCGAAACTTTTTAATAATGACCTTCCTTCAAAGCCTTCCTTCAAAGAAGGTATCGGCACCTTCGCTTCATTCAATATTAACACTTCGTGGCGTTCTTCGAGGACTCTGTTCCCCAATGGATCCGTCGTCTCAGTGATCCGCCAGAAAATTAAACTGGTTCTGACTCTCACCTGATGCTACTTTTTCGCATCATCATATTTCGGATCCCTGAAAGCATCGGTCTGATTTGCGTGAGATATGCTGAGCGGTGCTAAATCATCGCGTGTAGAGCACGTAATCTGGTGGAGGAGATCTATCAAACTTTGGAGCTAGACCTAGCAGCGTCCTTTCAGACGAGCGCATGCGCATCCTCTTCGTCTCCACATTGATTTGAATCGGAAATGTTAAGCACGTTTGTTTCGTCTTTTGCGAGCAGAGGAAAGCGGCAAATCAGCACTCAAATTGAACAAAGGTGTATGATTTTCATTGTTGACGTCAATGTGCTACGCAGTGTTGTCGTGATAGAGAAAGTAGTTTTGTCTTGCTGATGGTAGAGAACGACCCTCTAAGACATAATGATGATGAAGAGTAGCTCTAAGTCTAACTACCTTTTAATGGCTATCTACGAAGTGGTTTGAGTTACCTAAGTTTTGTTTGCTACCGGTTATTTCTTCGCCAAAAAACAAGAAAAATATACAACATAGTTAGTGGACTGTACGCGTAGCGCAAGACGGAGGATTCAGCTCGGTGATTACATCCTTATTCGAATGACAGAGACATGGACAAGTAAGACTTCTTTTGAAGACCAGCGCATCGGGGGCAGCCGTAATGTATGATGTGTTTTATTTTCATGAAGCACGTTTTGATCTAACCTGCGTCTTGGAGTATGCTGATACCGTTGGAGTGTCTACTTATTCTTATACTAGCTGAAGACGTGCTTCTTTTGTAGATCAGGAGTAAGTAATGATTGTGGATGTGATATGTACTTTATTTAACGTCCCCAACAAGATCGTTAAATCAATGCCTTACACTCTTTGGCTTTAAAGTTATTTAACGTCCCCAGAATTGTAATTGTTTGATTAGTCAGAGTTTATCTTGACATAATAAATATCATAAACAGGAGTGAACTTGAACAAGATGGATGCGTCAAATGCGACTTGCAGCGGAAATGTGTACGGGGTAACGGACACGGTTCCCCATCATGGTTATTTCTATCAAAACATCAATCCCACTGGACTTTTTGATGATCGTGGTGGTGTGGTGGTGATGTCGCCCGTGGCGACTGGAGGCGGTGCACAAGAACAAGTCTTGCCGCCCTCGCAGTTGCAATTCGTCGGACCTAACGGAAGCGCGTCCGCTGTTCTGCCTCAACGCGGTTATAGCGACGCGCACTCAAATCCGTATACTTTAGCCACTCCTTATTTGCAGCACCAATCTGCGTCCGAGATTCCAAGTCGTGGCCAAGTTGGGTCTTTTCCCCTGTGCATTCCTCCGCCATTTCCGCCCGCACTACAAAAGCATCAGCAAAACCAAGAACCCACTTCGCACAACTTGTTTCATCAAACGCAAGTCGGGACCCAAACCGGCGAGCCAACGACTTACACGATTCAAGATCCGGCGAGCAATAGAGCTGTAGCGCACCCTAATGCAACTGATCAGTGTAGGATGAACATGAAAGCGATGGCGATCTCGTCGATTATGCGTAGTGCACCAGGGCATTTTGTGATTAGAGCACCGAAGCAGAACATCGACTATGAGGCTTTGCGGTCCGTGTACATTCCTGCGTGGAAGGACATCATCCAACAGGACATGTCTGCGATTGAAGAGTCAGCGCACGCGACGAATCTTACGGGAGGACCAAGTGTGTGGGCTGTGCTAAGCGAGCTGTCTCTGCAGGAGAACGCACTCGGGGATCATGGTGTAGCTGCGCTACTACATTGGTTGCGAACCTGGCAAATTGGGTGCAAAGTCCTCAAGGTCTACGATAATGGAATCGGAGACTACGGCGCCACTTTTGTGGCCCTGTTTCTCCGTGCACAAGCGCAAGGCTTCGTTGCAGATCCCCTCATTGCGCAAGGGCCGAGATATCCGCTGCTGATGGAACAGGAGACTGACAGGAATGTTTCAAGTACTAATGGTCTGAGCCGCTGCGCGCCCCGTCCAATCAGCGGCCGACTTCGTGAGGCAGAACGTGTTGGCAGTTCAAAGGATGAGACTGATGCGGACCATCCTACAAATGCAAGCTTGCAGAGCCAGAGGAGCGCTATAAGCCGCGCCCTCTCGCAGCCGACCCCGCCGTACCTTCTGACGGAACTCCATTTGTCCAAGAATAAAATCACTGAAGACGGCTGCGTCGTCATCTTTGAATGCTTGGCCGACTGCGCCGACGTTTACCCACTTCGTGTGCCAGAGAAACGGGGACCAAAGGGCCGCGGAAAGGAGAGCAGGAAGAGCAGAGGTGACACTCTCGCTCGAAAGCCGCTGTGGCTACGACTTGACCAGAATCTTATCGGAAACCTTCAGCAAGAAGGAGTAGACTTCGTGAAGAGTGTGACAGCAGAGTACTGCCTTCCTCGTGCAGCGGCAGCAGTGCTCGCTCTTGGTGGTCTCAAGCCCGCTGAGTCGGACACTGTGTTGGGATCCAAGGCGGAGCGGTGTCATTTATGGAGTGGCGGCGCCGCTTCGCATGTAACTTCTACTGGCTCGACGCGACCGGCATTAGCGGGAAGGGATCTTTGTTGGACCCAAGGGTGCACTACAGCCAGCAACATCAAACTACCACAGCTTTTTCGTGTTATCTACTCAAAAAGCGAACCGGGACGGAACTTCAAGACCGTAGACCCGCAGTGCTCGGCACGCAGAGCAGTTAGCCACGCAATCGAACTCAAAGCGAAAGGCCCGATAGTGAGCATGGCAGATGGTGTGGAAGAGAAAGATAATGCAGAAATCAATGACGCGGCCATTGATGACCAGCAGGAAGAAAACTTCCAGCGGTCATTGTTCTTCTTCCATTCGCAAGAGCCTCTCGCACATCTGTTGTATTTTCAGAACCAGAATTACGGCTCATATAAGTAATTCATTTGGTGCAGCGGGCATATCTCTTTACTTACTTCTTTACGGGGAGCTTAAAGAGGTGAGCCAAAGAAGTGTATTGTTTGAGCTCTAACAGACATGTCCAAACAATGACTCGCTACATGAGTCACCATCCAAAATCGCACTGGTTCCGTACAGCGGAGGAAGTCGACTGTTGCTGGTCGGAGAGGGCAACTTCACATTTGCAGCGGCATTGTGTCAGTACCTAGGCAGAACCGCGAACTGCTCGGGCATTGTGGCGACCGCTTTTGCTGATAGTTTTGTTCACAGAGGTACTTCTCTGTCGAACTGGGACGCCATTGAAGCGCAAACTACTGAGCGCAACCTCGGGAGTCAGCTCGACTGCTACTCTGCTGTGGAAATTGTGAAGTCTCTTGGAGGGGTCGTGGTAGAGGAGGTTGTGGATGCCACGGCTCTGCACGAAATAACAGGCAAAAATCTAAAAACCCGTGGCGCTCCAGGGGACTTCGATCAAACTGCAGATCCTATGGGTTGGAGGTTAATGATTCCCATTTTTTAGCACGATAAGGGATTATCCATTCGTTATTTTTTTCTAATTCGGGCTCTACCGATTCCCGAATGCTTATGCTTATATATGTTTTAGGGCTGCACGGTCCACCCTACTGTGGATGGCCCTGTGGTGGCGCTCGCGCGCTCTTTTCCGCGCCGATTTTCGCGGATTCTAGTGGTGGAAGGCGTCAAAACTGGGCGCGGGCGTCCCCTTGCGCCTCTCTGTATGTTCCTCAGGGACCTCCTGGCCTCTGCTGACCCTCGCAGGCTGGAGGTCTCCGGGGTAAAAGGCCGCGGAAGGCGGCCACGATCTCAAGAGCAAGCAAGCCGATGACCAGGGGCCCGGAGGGTACAGGCCACACGGCTCAGGGGGTCCAGCCCCTGGCCTTTTTCCGCCTTCGGGGGCCTTCCACACCTGGCGCACTGCTGCGGTGGCGAAGCATACAGGAGGCCGGTAGGGTACAGGCAGGCAGCTGGAAGGGAGCGGAGCAGGTCCTTTGAGGCCTTCCACCCCCGGCTGACGCCTTCAAAAGGGGCGCGGGGCTGCACGGTGCCGCCCCTCGCTAGGGGGGGCACCGTAGCTCTGCGCCCTGGCTCATATATCATGCGAGAAGTCCCGTCTAGGCCTTGTTGCTGTTGATCATTCTAGCGTTCTGCTTTCAAGGATATGTGTGGACTTTCGTTGATATACAGGGTAAGAAACCGAAAGAAGAAGTATACGAGTACGCCACGCTCTAAGATTTCCACTAGTTGTGATTCCCTGGCATCCTTGTCACTCACAGACCGATCGAGTGAGTTCGTCGAGTATGTATTGTGGAATTTCCCACACGCGGGATCGGACCACCAGAGCAAATATTATTCAGCGTGTGGTAAGCCTATCGAGGAATTCGAATGGTGCCAGAAGGACGAAGGCGTGCGTAGCAATCAGGACCTGTTGTTTCATTTCTTTCGGTCTGTAACGCTTTGTGTAACAGCTTCTCGGGGCGCCATCACGAAGCGCGGAACTAGTTGCACAACGTCAAGGAGGGACTGTGGCAGCGCCAGGCAAGATACAACCGGAGGCACTAACCACGACGAAATGGCTCTAGCACAACACTCATCTTGCCGTGCTGGGATAGATCTCAGTGCTTGCATCGGGCCCAAGACACGAGTCCACATCACACTGAAAAATAGTGATATTTACCGCGATTGGCACTTGGAGGAGATCGCCCGACGACACGGATGGCATCTTGAGCGCCAGTTCCCGTTCGCTCTAGGCATTTATCAGAACCTGGGATACCGTCACGGTGATGGTCGCGAAGTCACGACCTCCCAAATTAAGGCTCGTTCATACTGCTTTTTTGGAGCAAGTTTCTTTGGTTGCTGGTAATAGGTCCGAATCTTTGCTGCACATCCACTGCAATTTGTAAGAAAGGAAATGGAATGATCGTTGTGGAGTTGTAATAGGGAACGTGTCAACGCAAGGGATGTGTATTCTGAAGCAGCAGTACGATGACCACGATGGCGGTTGTACTAGGAGATAAATTCTGTGAAAAGTTGTAGACACGAGAGATTCAAGCTCTAACCTGACACAGGAGGACCGTATTGATCGCGCAGTGGTGTGCGAGTTCGTGTATAGGCCGGGGATGCATTTTCGATGGAGGCGCGGCCCCGGAGATTTGGCATCCTAAATATTTCCGTGGGGCTCATTGCTGAAGATGCACACTTACTTGGACGTAATTTTATTAATGCCAGCACATTTATAATGCAAATATAATCGAAATATGTTGTGAACTGAAATTTTACACGCACACTAATCGCCTCTTCCTTGATAATAAAAATGCGCTGTTGACGAGACGCGTGCCAGGAGGGTTACAGAAGACTCCCCGCCAGGAGGGTTACATGCCGGCTGCGTACTTAAACTCATTTAATATATTCTCTGGCCCACTTTCATGTTTATCGTTATCGACCGTGACCGATTTGCAGGCTCTGAACCGTAGTAAGCACTCAGTCGTTAAGTCTGTCCATACACTTATCCCAATCCCACAGCTAGGGTTACTTCTTTACAAACGGTTTCCGGCATTCCACAATGAATCCAAGATGAGACAAATTTCTGTTTGTTCACGCTTAATAAGAGCTTTTCAGCATTACGTATGGCGAACGATACTGTTTTGTCTCGAATGTTGGTGTATCCATTTACGCTGTGGCTTTGGTCCAGCGTGTTTTTTCGACTTTCTCCGTTCGTGCTAATTGCTAAGGATCCCAACGCTGAAAATGAAATGCGATTCTAGACTGCAAAAGAATTACTTAAATTAGATCCTCGACATGGACATTCATAGGCAAAGATAAATCGAATGGCGCAAGATTTTCTTCTCCCGGCTCGCTGTAACCCGAAGCCCTCTACTTCTGTTGTGAAGAGGGGGCGTGATTGGTCCGAGTTGTACTTGTATACATATATGTACCAGGGAGGGAGCCCCCCCCTGTGGATGGATCTGGGGTGGACCCCGCCAGAGGGGTCCAGCCTTGCCACCTTATTGGCCAGGTCTGTCGAGGGGCTGCCGGGCGGGAAGGCCTCAAAGCACCCACTTCTGACCCCTTCCCGCTTCTTGCTGTACCCTACAGACCGGGCAAAGGTGGCAAAGGCTGGGCCCTCTTGTCGTGTTGCGTGTGCCCGACAGAGCTGGCAGACGAGGCAAGGCGGGGGCCCCCCCGTGGCGTGCTGCATGTACCCGACAGACCTGGCAAAGGTGGCAAGGCTGGACCCCTCTGGCGTGTTGTGCCCAACCCTACGCCAAGGGGGTAGGTCCCGCCTTGCCTCGTCTGCCAGCTCTGTCGGGTACACGCAACACGACAAGAGGGCCCAGCCTTTGCCACCTTTGCCAGGTCTGTAGGGTACATGCAAGAAGCGGGAAGGGGTCAGAAGTGGGCGCTTTGAGGCCTTCCCGCCCGGCAGCCCCTCGAAAAGAGGGGCCGGGGCGGGGAGGCCTTCCCCCTCAAAAAGTTAGATCGGGGGGGGGGCCTCCCGCCCTGAGCCCTGGAACATATGTAATATATGAGTAGCTGCCTGATCTTAACTTCAGATTCTGTATCTGTTGCTGGAAATCATGGAATCGGACAGGAATATTAGATTGTAGAGATCGGTTTTGGTACGAGCTTTCAAAACTATCTGCCAGCGTGAGGAAAGAAGCAGGAGGTCAAGCTACGGTTTCTGTCTCTCTCACGTCAGAGGACGAGAGAAATGAGTCTGCGACAGAGGAGTGCTAAAAACGTGGCAATCACAGATTTCGAGCGAGGATGGCGAGAAGCTGCGCATTTTGCCGTCTGTTTGTTTCTATACCTCCAAACTGTTGGTGTTGGGGTGGTGAGCTACTAGTACGCAGGTAAGTATCTACAACAACAACAACAACAACAACAAGTAGCTGCGAAATAAGTGATTAAAAGCAAAATAGAAGAAGGCCATAAAAGCCGACTGATACTTCTCTACGAGAAGCACAGATTAATCATGGGACCATGCAAGAACTGAAATGTACGATGAAACGTGTTTTACTTCTAAGGTATCAGCACTCAGTATCAACCAAGATGCACATACGACGCCTAATACTAATAGATACATTACATTATTTGATGAAGAGAGAGAGAATTGCTAGTTATTGAATGTGCGCAGCACTTGTATTCATTTCGGATCCATCCTATGTATTCGAATTTCCGGTTGTTTCTCGATGTGATTCATTGTGAGAAGTGAAAATATAGTCTAAAAAATAGGGACTGGTAGGAGTAGACTTTCTTTCGCCTCATTTGGGGTACATGCCTTCGTTTGGCATGTCGACGGCGCCGGACGATATTGCGACGCGAGCGCACCAAAAAAAGGCTGCGAGTAGTGTGCCAGCTTTCGGCGCTGCAGCGCCACTACCAAAGCGTGCGTCGCGACCGTCTGCGTCCTCTGTCCCACCAAAAGGCGCTACAGGAGCAGGCAAAGGTGGGGGTCCGAAGATCTCGACGACTGATAGTAAGGATGGACCGTCCACAGCATCGACATCCCCGGAAGATGGTGCTGCAGTGTCAGCGAAGGGGTCGTCCAAGCCATCGGCTGCGAGTGCGCCACCTTCTGCTAAGAAGAGCTCGTCCACTGCAGCAACGTCGGGAGACGCGGCATCCTCAACCACTCCAGGTGGGGTGGATGCGGGCAGTCGGACGAGCGGGAAACAAGTGGGAGCAGCAGCGTCTCAGCAGGGTGGATCGTCATCGTCCTCATCGAGCGGATCTTCATCTTCCGCTTCAATGAAATTTGCAGCGCCTCCCCGGATGCCGGGAGGACTCAGTAGCATCCGCGAAGACATCTCGGAGGTGAGCTTCGGAGGGGAGGAAGGCGCGCGAGGTTCGTCTTCCAAGGCGGGGAAGACGGCACCATCAGGAGGTACACGAAGCGGTGGAGCTAGCACCTCGGCGTTGTCGAGCAAATTGAAGGCACGAGATTTTTTGCCGTCATTCTTGAGGAACAAAAAGCAAACGCCTGCAGAACTCAAATACGCTATTAGCGACGAACTACGCGAAGAGTTCGAGAAGGCACGCCGTGAGCAGCAACGGCTTGTGCAGCAGGCAATCTTATGGTGATTTATTAAGAAAACTGATACGAATAAAAACATTCATTATATATAAAGACTGTGTTTTCTTTCATTGGGTTGACCCGAGCGCCGTTCTGGAAGATGAGTCAAGTACTAGTTGTAAAGGCTGATTTTAGTATCGTTCTTGCTGTGTGGCACCGGCTCTAACTTTCGCAGACAAAAAAGCGCGGGAAAAGGAGGCTGACCGTGAGAGCGTCGCGCAGATGCAAAAAGCGCAGGAGGCAGTGAGTATGCAGCGTGGCGGTGATTCTTTGTCGACGGCTGCTGATGCCAGTGATCCCCGCTTCGCGTCCTTTTTTACGGACGAGCGTGTAGAAGAGCTTGCGCAGTACGCCATTTATCTTGGCGTGGACTTGGAACAACAGCCCCAACTTGTCCACGTGATTCGCGATCTCTACTACGCACCGCTGCCGACCGGGTGGACGGCGCACAAAACCGGCAAGGAGTGCGACTACGGCGAAGGGTACGCTGTTGTTGTAATTCTAACTGCAGGACAAGAAGCACGAAGACCCTCGCTGTCTATTTCATGGGAAATGCTTTTGAAGTCACACAATCTCCTACAAGTTCGAGCACCATGATATTATTTCGTCGACGCCTGAGCAGATGAAGTCATCTTCAGGTTCACATACTACTCGTCGACGGAGTTCGGTTCAAGGTGGCAGCATCCCAAAGAGGAGGAACATATTGCGATCCTTGCTGAGAAAGTCGTCAAAGTAATTCCAGGTTCTAGGATCTGGTTCGCAAAGAAGATGAATGAGGAACGTGATAAACAACGAAAGAGGCGCGCTTGGTACGTAGATGACCCCACTTGATAATGACGGGTCAAAAGTTGGTTAACTTCTACAGCTGTTGTCAAGTAGATATTTTTTTAGCTTTACGGAAACGACAGAGAACTTCCTAGTCCTAGAAAGTGAATTCAACTGATACAGCAAGGTACTCAAAGGAGCTATCTGATCGTCGCCCACTCGTGCGCGCGGGTGAGCGAGCAAACTACGATCCTCAGACGCAGATGCTTGATTGTGTGATCCGAGACCAGTTCCCGACCTTGCATGCTGCTGTTCTCGTCAGTTTTGCCAAATACTTCCAGGTCAAGGACTACCCTGACAGCATGGTGTGGGCCATGCCTCTGGTATCTATTGCTTCTTGCTATATTTTGTTGCAAATGTATTAATTTTGCCTGCTATGGGCATCACCTGCTCTCTCGACCACCTTACCGTTGATAGACTCTTTTACGCTGGCCGTCCTTGTGCTTGTTGTTTGTGTTGTTGACCATGCTGCTGAAATTGATAGACCGGTTACAAACTTGAACCTCAGTTAAAAGTCGCTGCTCTGTGTCCGATTCCCGGGCAGTGGACATTTCGTTTCGACGATGTGCAGCAGGACGCCGTCTACATAGAGAACAGGCACACTAATGAGCCGTCGCACTTTTCGCGTCGCCATCCGCTGGACGCTTTCTTTCTAGAGCTCCTGAAGCGACTGCGGCGAAGACATTACAACTGGGTTGCTCAGATGGACCCGTTCGTACGAGACGGAGTCGCGAGTGGCTTCTTGAACTGTTTCCTGATTGACAGCGACACAGGCTACGCGAAAAGCACGAAGATTCCGTTAGAACCGTTGCCGTCCTTTCCGCACGCTGGTGATCGCATCGCGCCACTAGACGAGGAAAGCGCAGTGTACCAAATGGTCACGGCACAGCCGGACACGACCACATTTCGGCCCCAGATCTACACGCAACCAGGCGGCCTCACGGAGTACGAAGCTGTACTCCAGCATCAGCAGCAAAAGATGATTACGCAGCAACACCAGTTGATGATGAGCATGAACCCCATGATGGCTGGTAACCCGCTTGCGGCGATGAGCGTAAACCCGTTAGCAATGCAGATGGCTGCCGCGTCGCAGCTCGCTGGATCACCGCCAGGGTACTGCTTGATGTCTATTTTTCGTAGTTTATGAACTACTCCTACTCCGTCGATAGCGGTTTCGGATGGAACTGACGTGGTCAATAAATGTGCTTGAATATGGATGCAGATACTTGATTTGCTTGGAGCGGGACACCGGAAGATCATGTTAAGATTCTGAACTATATTCATCTCCGTACTATATTCATCTCCGTCGAAAGTAGTAGTGAATGAATGTTTCTCGTCCCTACCTTCCATCATCACGCAGGCCACAGTATGGCGGATATCCCGGTGCCTATCCGGGAACTATGCCTGGGGCTGCGTATCCCGGGGTTGCTCCCGGCGCTTTTCCCGGCCAAGCAGGATATCCAGGTGGATTCCCTCCAGTTGATCCTTCTGCCCAAGCTATGTACAGCCAATACGCAGCAGCAGGTCACGCAGGTGGGGCCTCGTTCGATCATGGTGCCGCTTTGGCGGCGTATGCTCGCGCTTCAGGAGACAGCGGCGCCCCCGCACCGCCCTACGACAAGCAGTCGCAATTGAAGCGTCAGCAGTACCGGACAACCAAAAGTGCTTCGCCCGATGAGAAGCCTGGCGGAGCAACGAGTCGCGGCAGCAAATCGAAATCAGGCCGCACAGGTAGCAAGTCGACAGGTAAAAGAACCATCCGACGGGACATAAGCAGCAGCTCACCCTCCGACACGGGAGGCAGCGGTAGCGGCTCTGATACTGCTAGCGAAGACGACCAGAAAGACACGGCGCGTGGGGACGCTACGGCATTCAAGCGAAAAAACAAAAGTAAACGTTCCGACCGAGACAGAGCGTTAGCGGGTGGTACGGGCGTCGTCGAAAACGTTTTGTCTGGTGTAGGATCTGCTGTTATGGGCATGTTCGGCGAGGCGGCGTCTGCATCAGGCACGCATCCCGGACCACAAGTTCTTGGGGGTGAAAGCCTAGTTCCAGAAGTTCGTTTTCAGGGTGGCGCGCCGAAAGCAGGCGGCCGCGGCCCTCCTTCGTCCTCCTCTGGCACCGGCACGCCTCCAGAAGTTGCCGGACCTCCGCCGCCGCCACCCCCGGGAAATGCTGGCATAGCGGACCAACCGCCACCTCCGCCGCCGCCGATTGCACGGAACGCCGCTGCAAACCCGCCGCCGCTCGCGATTCCGAAAATACCAAGGCCGCCTGTGCGCCAGGGGTCGGCACGCGAACACTCACTGCCACCGCCCAAAAATCTACCGCGTCCACCAGCTCGGGCGAGCAGTGTAGGACCACCTACCGGGAGAAATTCCGGTGCTGCCGCACCAGGCGGTGGAGCTGACCCTGAGCTTGGCGAAGTTATGCAGGTATCAAACTGATTGTGACGCGTAGTAGTAGATGCAGCGTCAGTTGTTTCACGACGAGGACAAAACACATGAATAATCAGACAGTCGTGTCAACAAGACTAGAAGATAGTCCTTCTCTATTCAACACCTTCCTCGTCAAACAGATAATCCGCGACATCGAAGATTGCTCACAGAGCCCCGAGGAAGTTTTGCCGTTGCTGAACCAGTTGAGGAGCGTGAAGATGACGGTGGATATCCTACGAAGGACGAAGATTGGCGTCTTTACTCAGAAGTACAAGTCTCATAAAGACGAGGGGGTCCAGACTACAGTCCGCGACCTTCGCCAGCAATGGAAAGATCTGATCCAAGTAATGTCCAAAGCCAAAGAAGGCAGTCACCACCAGGTAGCTATATCGCCGCAAACCTCGGATCAAGTTACATCTTTGGGTTCGGGCTCTTCCAGTGGTGAAATGTTTTTCGCGTCTGCTTCCGCTTCCAGCAACAGCAGCAACATGAGTTTCTTGCAGAAACAGGCGCGAAGGCGCAGGGAGACGAGTACAGGGGGAGTGCGGGACAGCATCGAAGATCAACTGTCGATGGCGAACGCATCTGCGGCAAGCAGACGGCGCGGCGCGTCGACCTCGGGCTCCCCAGAGCCGTGCAGTGCACGCGGGGCGTCGGTGGGCGGGCGTGGTAAACGCGCTGGCCAGCATCGCAGAGTTCGCGAAGCCTTCCGGGACTGCAGTTCCCAATTAGAGCCGGGGGCGCTAAAACGTGGCCCAGGCGGCAGCCGTAGCCCGCCTCCGAATCGGGGAGGCAATGTTGAGCGTTGCGATGATAAGTTGGAGCAAGGCATCGCGAGTTCATCCTCGCTGCCCTCTGTGTCAAAATCGCTTGCGTCGCCTTTGGGAGGGAGCCGTCTGGTCATATCACCAACGGAAAGTGTGGAGGGCGCAACCTCCTCTTCTGGCAAGTTTACGCCTACAGAGGCTATTCCCTCCCTTGACAGCCTCATGGATGCCCCTGCAAGCAGTTCTTCGCGGGCGTCGACGAGGCCCGGTCGCGAAGGTTCCCCGCCAGTGAAGAGTCCACCGCACGCCGAGGGGGAGCACCGCGCTTGTTTGGCGCTTTCTCCAGTATCGATTGAATCTCACTCGTCTCCGAGTATTGGAGCGGGGGATTCTGATAGCGAATCGCAAGATGCCGAGCACGATCCTGGAGACGATGGTCTAGGGGAGGACAGGAATTGTAGATTTCTTCACGATCATCGCCATCGCGACAACGGCAATACTCAGCGGCATAACGTCACTGCTGGGATAGAGAGCACTGGTAGTGTTCTTGAGGAGAACACTACTAGTGATGTAGAATATGAAGTTAGTGGCGCGAGTGGTGAGTTGGGACTATCGGAGGAGGAGGAAGGCTTAACGAGGCTCCACCTAGCGACGCAGCCAGGTCCGCATCCCAGTTTCAGGCCTCCATCGCGAAGACTACCACGCAGGAGTAGAAGTAGAACGTCCAAACAACACTCTGGTGCTTCTTCAGGGTGTCAACGAGGTCGCACATCATTCGAGGTTGCTATGTCCCCGACTGGTATGAACCAAATTTTTTTAGAGGGCACGCACCAAATGGAGGATCCCGGCGGATCAAAGCAGGATGACGGAAAGCAAAAAAAGGCGCAGGCGCAAGCAGTGCAATGGTTATGTCGCTTATTTCTGGAACAGCGTGAGTCACTGTACGAGACGTTGTTGGCGCGAGTACCGGAATCGGCTGAGGAGGCGCGAGAGAGCCTTGACATTGTCCAGTTTCGGAAGGCTATTAACAACACGTTCAAAACAGGAAAGGATGATGATATCAAGGTACTTGATTCTAAACTTTAAAATTTTCATGCACAGTTTGTTGCAATACAGAGGAAGTTTTTCGTTGTGCGCGTATGTAATTACAAAGATAGAATTTAGATATCATTCATGTATGAAAAATTGAATGATGCCACATCATGCCTCAACACAGGAACTTGCACTAGTGCTTATCAATGCGGTATTCAACAAACCGAAGTGGCACAAGGTTGTTGCACAGGATTACTACAGTGAAATTATGGAGCTGTGGACCGAAGAGTCCGCAGATTGGACGATGAAATGTCTGCCAAAGATTCTTGCCAAGTTGGGCAACACGCTTACTGCATGCCAGAAGAACTCACCGAGTGTGATCACTGAGCTTGGTGCTGCCTTCACCGCTGACTCACCGAAGCGAACTTCGAAGTCCACAAAGTCTTCGGCAGCAGGGGAAAAGAAGGAAAGCCAGAACAAAACTGTTGGTGCGAGTGGGATTGGAGCCTCTTCTTCTAAGTCATCTGAGAAATATGGAGATATCCTAGACGGTGCCAAATCTTCGAGCAAACACGGAGTTGACTTGACGAAGGCGTCGGGCTCGAAAAGCAATCCGAACGACCCGCCACCGTCCTCCTCGTCGCAGGAAGATGAGGCAGATGCGCCGGGCGCAACGAAAAGTGCGAAGCCACTAAAAAGGTTCCAGGTCAAGAAGCCGGGTGACGTGTTGATCGCCCCTCCCGAAGGCGGAGACTCATTCGGGGGTTCGCCCGTAGATACTAGTGACAAGCAGCTCGAGAAAATGAAAAAGCTTGCTGCAGAAGCGGACAAGGCAATCATTCGGAAAAGCGAAAAGCACAAGAATATGGACAGCGGGGACAGTCCTACCAACGCGTCGTTGGGTCTAGTCAAGAACGTGCGCTCGTCAGCGAGTAAAACGACAGGAGGTGCCGCTGCGTCAAACAAAACAGGAGAGTTCCTAAAGGAGGACTCCGCATTGCCGAATTTCGGTTCGCGTCTAGTCAGCGGACTCGCATCTATGTTCGCCGGTGGGCCCGAAGACACCGAGGACAGCACTCCCGGGACGAACCCAACTCCACAGAGCGGATTTTCTGAGCAACAGGGTGGACACAGTGGCCTTGCGGACGCGTCAGCGGCTGGTCCACCGGCTTTCAACAACTTCATGGGCGGAGCCGCAGTTCCAGGAGCTGCCTACGGCGCCCCCGGAGCAATGAAGGCGTCCTACGTAGATCCATACGGTGTTCGGCACCCGAGTCCACCTCCTAGAATGGCTTCACCGACTAGTAGTCTTGGCGGCGGCGCATTTCCTGGTTTGGCGCCGAGCTCGGTGCCACCTGCGGAACCTTGGAAAATTCCTCCCAATATCCCACGACGATTGCTGGATGAATATGCGGCAGGCCCGTTAGAACACATGGGTACTCTCACGTCGGCAGCTAAGCGTCTTCATACTACTCTCTTTGACAACACAGGCTTGTACCTATTGGCACTATGCAAACAGGTGCGATGAATTTTTTAGCAGTAGAATCTCACATTGAAAGTATAGCAAGAGTCTGGCTTTGTTGCGACAGTCCACCTCCACTTTTCACGATTCCCATAGGTGACCTTTTGCGTCTCTATCCTCCGGGTGCGTCAATCATGACGGAGGGTGTCTGTCACCAAATGTCCGATGGGGAACTGGTCATCGTCGCTGGCGTACTACAGCAGATGCTTGATGCTGGAAAAACCTCAATGCGGACTGCAGTGAAGGAAAGTTACGATCTTGCACTTGCTTGTTCAACAGATAGAAATTGTTTGAGTGTTTATACTTATTGAAGATGAGGAAAACGAAATCGAAAACGGCAACAAGATCAAGATATAGGACCTTCTAGAAGGAAGATAGAGCTCAAATTCTTCATCATTCTAAGACACAGAGGCATTGCGGACACAAGTGACGCAGCGACGCATGTGGGCAGAGGCGAGTTACAATAATATGGTCAAGTGAGCAGGAGAAAAACAAGGGGGAGTGCAAAGTAGACTCGTGTTTTGTATGCATAGGTGTGCGCTACAATACAGGGTCGTTGGAAATGGAATGTGTCTAAAAAGTGGTGTCTTTTCTTGTTGTGATCCGTATGAGGAATGCGAGTGCTATTTCTATACACCCTTTGAGAGTATTAATATGCCGAGAACGAATCTTATGTAGGAGATACAAACACGAGACACTTTGTTTGGTTGTTTGAACAGAGGCCTGAAGATGATGAAAACGTTAATCATCATGTTTCGTTCACGTTGTTCTCTTTGCGCGAAATATGGTCTAAAAGTAAGTGGGGGGGGTCTTTTTGCCAAGACGAGCCTAAAGATGTGATTCGCGAAAGTACTGCTCTCATCAGAGTAAAGGACCACGTTGTAAATGAAAAGCGTGTGATGCGTCAATTCATCTAGAAGTAGGAATGTAACACTAACACGGTCCTCCAGGTCGAGAAAGAGTAAGATACAATGAACCTTCTGTAATACTGATCACCTATTTCTTTTGCGCGACGATCAACATCAGCTGTAAGTATACTAAGTATAGAGAAGAGAATTTTTGAAAAATATAATTTCGGATTCCACAAAAGAATGGAAATCTGTCTCAACGCACCCTGCCGCAAGCAGGTGATCGGAAAGAAAGTATTGCACTGGGAGAAAACTGGATCACGATCATCAAAGTGTATGAGATGTTGTGTCTCAACTGGCGACATAAATGAATGCTTGATGGTGTTCGTTGCGTCGTGCCTTGGTTGAACGACAAAATGATCGGTGAGCGCGTCTCTTTGCAGTATTGTGTCTTGCAGTTCTAATGCATGAAGATGATAGTCGTCACTCTTTTTGCTGAAATGAGCAAAATTATTGTAGCGCAATCCGTTTGTTGGACGTGAAGATCAGATGGTTAAGGAAATCGATTAAATGATTATGTTTTTGTGATGTCGCAGGATGTAGTCTTTGTTATGTTTCGTCCACCATGCACGACGAACGGAACCCATAATACAAAAATGAATAGATTTTCTGCGAAAGAGGTTGATGACATTGGTCTGTGTTAAGTAGTTTTGTTCAGCGGTAGAGAACTATGGACTAGCTTTTCTTCTGTAAGCGGCTCCAATTTTTAGTTCGCGGTTCGCCTTCATCTCTTTGTCTTCGTTTCGGTTTTCTTTGTCACTAGATTCCTTTGGAGAAGCCTCTTGAGATTAATTGTCTTTTTTTTGGATGCGCGTCTATGAAAAAGAATATAATGGTTGTCCTCACGTCGTGTTCTGTGCAGTTTAGCTAGTTTGCGGCGAGAGCGCAGTGGCTTCTCTGGTGCTGGTGGGAAACAGCAGCACACATACCGCGAAGCCACGTCAGCGGGCAACGTGGGCTCGGTGCGCAAGCGATTGGTTCGAGTCGTACTGCGAAAATATTCGCTTTGCATTTAATAATCCCGATTGATTATTTATATCGGCCGATTTCTCTATTTTGGGGACAAGTGTGCTTCGACAGCAGCACCTGACTACACGATAAGATGGCGATGACTGATAGACTCGCGATAGGCGACGCCGACCAGATGATGCAGCTGGCGGTGAACGAGAGCAACTCGAAGCAAATCGAGACCGCAGACAAGATGCGAAAAACTCGATTTGCCCCAGTTGCAAGACAAAAAGGGAATAGGTATGAATCCAATTTCAAATACATCAGAGCAGCTAGGCTGCTTACTCTTTTTGTCGTCCTTGCGTAGAGTTGCTGTACTATGGATAGTAGAACAGTTACATTAAATAAACAACACGCTGATACTAGACAATCAAGAGGAAGGCTTTTTTTTCAAATTTTCAAATGGTTCCAGGTGGGGCAGTGCCGAAGATAAACCGTACAAACCACTACCATACATCGACATGCCGATCGGCCTTTCGGATAAAGAAGTAGACCAGTTTTTGAGAGAGCAGAGGCTGGAAGAGCTCACAGATAAAATTAGGCGAAACATCCTGGAGGACGTCGAGCCTGATATTCGTCCACCAAGTCCACCACCGGTCTACGATAGGATGGGAAACCGTATTAACACGCGTGACGTGCGAATTCGAAAAAACATGCTCAACGAGCAAAACAGGCTTGTCAGGTACTTACCTTTCTGTTGTTCAACTACATTGTACACAACAAGTCAGTAGAACAGATGTTGTGCTCTTGGTTTTTCTCATTGAACGACTCAACAACATGAAAACAATTTGACAATAAATCACGTTGACGTGTATCAAATTTATCAGGTATATGCAGAAGAACGTCCCAGGATACGTTCCGCCGCCAGACTTCAGGCCACAGAAATTAGCGAAGAAGCTTATTATTCCAGTCGAGAAATACCCTAACGCGCCTTTTGTGCCAGTGATCCTGGGTGCTCGAGGAGCAAATCATAAGAAATTGCAGGAAATTACAGGCTGCAAGATTATGATTCGCGGACGAGGAATGGAGGAGAAATACCAATCGGTATTTTTCGACATAGACTTAAACTTCCTTGTGTTTTGTGACCGCAATAAAGCAAAAGTCGCGACCAAATCCGAAACGAATCGCATCACTTTTTACCTTGTAGCAAAGTATAATCAAGTTTTTCTATCTGCTCCATCTCGAAACACCATCATAACAGGAGGAAGATAGTGGTTTGCCATTGCACGTGCATATTGAGGCCGACCACGAGGAGCAGATTGAGTGCGCCGATAAGCTGATCGTTCCACTTTTAAATCCTGACACGGAGGATTTCGCCAGAGCACAGCAGATTGGTCTAGAGTCGCTAGCTAAGGTGAACGGTTTCACCGTCGCCCTGCACGAGCGAAAATGCGGCATTTGCGGAGCGACGGGGCACACCGGCTTCGAGTGTCCGGAGAACGAAGGCGGCACCGGATGGAAAATGGCGAACGTTGTTTGCGCAATTTGCGGCGACCGAGGTCACGTTACTTCCGATTGTCCACAGGCAGCACGGGATCGCGTGGAGACGAACGTCAACTGGAAGGCGGAGGCGGCCAAGAAGATGGAGGCAGATCGATTGTACAAGGAAATGATGTCAGATTTTGGCGAAGACCTCACGTGCAAGCCAGTGCCTGGACAGGAAAAGAGCATGGGTCCAAGACCTGGACTCGGGTATCTCATCTTAGTGTCAACTTATACTGGGAATCGCTTTTCTCGATCTACTCTCAGATAAAAGTTTCCAAGACCAAGTACTCTGGCTGCTTGGTTCAGTGCATTATTATGTATGAGCAGTACTCTCATAATTTATTACAGGTCAGAAGCATATGGCGCAACAGGTGGAAATCCTGGTCCGCGAAATCCAAATCTGAGGGAAATGGAGGATGCTTCAGGCGTGGAAGACTATGTTGTGGATATTGGAACGAGAATACCAGAGGATATTTGCGGCTTCTTTGTCGGAGCTAAGGGTGTGAACATCCTGCGTCTGAAGGCGGAAGCGCAGTGCGAAATCAGTCTTGAACAGTACCCAGAATTACATTGAATTTGGACTTTCGTGTTCTTCTTTGTTTTACATGTTTTGTGAAAACAAGCTACATGTTTACAGGACAGCGAGTAGAAGAGGAAGTTGTAGCATCCAAAAATTTTCAGTAAATAACAATAACATGATATCTGTGACCAACAATCTTTTCGTTTTCTACACAGGCGGTTTGTGAATCCTGACGGCACGAAAAATATTCGAATAACCGGGCACCTGGAACAGCGCGAAAGGGCAAAGCAGCTCGTTATGCAGGAAATCGAGAAAGCGAGACAAAAACGACAGCATGCAGACGCGCAAAAGGGCGCGCGAAAGGGACCATACACAGATGCGGTGAATGCGGCAATGAAGGGCCAGTCATATGGTGGAGCCGGTGGACAAAATTACGGTGGCGGCTACAAGGGGAACAAGGGTGGTGCCGGAGCGGGCGGGTATGGAGGCTACGGCGGCATGGCCTACGGCGCACAGTTTGGCGCAGGCGCGTTTCCAGGTGGCAACATGCAATGGGGGATGCAGGGCTATGGAGCAGGCATGCAACAAGGAGGCTTTCCCCCATACGCGATGAATCAAGCAGCGATGATGCAGCAGGGCTTTGGTGGAGGACAGTTTTGATAGTGATATTCAGGTCTCTTGCTCGGCAGACAGTCACAGTGGCAGTCCTGCGCGAACATTGGGGAGAGACTTGAAATTCTCATGTTGGAAGAGAACGCATTTTCTTCGTTATTGCTGTCGCATCTTCACTCGCAAAGACATGAAGCACTGACGCTAGGATCATCAAGCCATGAACACCAAGCGCTGGACTTTTTTCTAGAAAGATGTTAGGGTGACGCTACCATGAAGGATCTCGAACTTGTTTCACACTGTCGCGTTAAAAATGTTGATCCACTTTCATTGAATCAATTGACTTTCACCCCACACCTAAAGAGTAAGCAGCCCGTTTTCTCGTCAGACACCAGCTTTTGAGGCCTCCTAAGTAATCCCAGGTTAATGCTGAGCGCCCAACTCACATTGAATGGCTAAAAAACGAATGTGTATGATTAGAAAAACAAGCAAGTACCAATACCAGCTCCATATACAACATGTGTGTGAGGACCCAGTCTTCCTGGGAAAAAATGACATCTTCATGTTTGGAAAGCACACAACACTCTGATACTGTTAGTCCTGGGTTCTCTAGGCAGAGTCCCTTCAATGAGTGTTCTTCTTGTTGAAGTTTCCCTGAAGCTGGTCCTACTGTCGACAAGTTAATATTGCAGCGAAGTGTTTGTGTTAGGAGTTTTGGATGTAATATGGATCTACAAGAGCACAGAGAGGGAAGCAAACATATACCGTGTCTAAGGAGGTGCGTCGTTTTTGTTAAATGAGGATGTCGGACTCTCTTTCATTTGCTGTGGAACGGAAAATATACATATACATAGAGTTTGAAGATTGCCATCTTTCTGAGCGTAGGCAAACATTCATAAGGGTTCTATTTTGATATTGAAATTGATTCGCCTACAAACACCGACGAAGCGTAATTCGTCTCTGAGAGGAAAAAGATGGTTCGTGTTTCCTCTTGCTTGCTGGCTGTCGCGGCCGCTGGGCCGCTCAGCGTTGCTGCGGAGGATGGTTTTTCCTTCTCTTCTGAGAAGGCCGCTTCGTTGGCTCGTGGTGTGCTAAAGAAGCTTATTGACAGTGTCGGCAATGCGCAAATTGAAGTGCCGGTATTGCCTAGTTTTGCCTCCTCTACTCGAGCCATTGTAAAACCGAGCGACGTTTCCACGCAGAAGCTGCCACGAAGCGCGAAGGATGTCGCGTCGACTCTCACTGCAGGGCTTGGGCATAGCCAGCAAGCCCTGAAACTGCGAAACAAGATGACGTCCGACAATAAGCAGCAGTGGCACTTGTCACGGCAAGAGTATGTCACAATTTTCTTGGGCATCGCGGACGGATTCGGTCTGGCTCTGGTTGAGGCTTGCATCAAGGATGATATTGCGTTCGAGCAGAACATCCAAGCCGCGGTCGCCGAATTCGAGATGCAGACTAACGATGGTGTCAAGAGTGGATTAGCGTATCTAGCCACTGCATTCGAAAGCAACCTGCCTAGCGCAATCAGAGACTGCAAAGGAACTTACGATCAGGTCTGAAATGTATGGGATTATGTTGAATTAAGTATCATTACGACGGGAAAAGCTAAAACTAAAAGCGGAGAAATATCCTGAACCCCAACCCGCTCAAATCCTAGAACTACGAATATCGATCAGATTACCGTGAAGATGAAGGGGATGAAATTAACCTGCAAGAGGACCTGCAAGATCAACAATATACTTGTATCCGTTAAAAATACTTCAACTTCTTATTTTACTAGGTTGAAGCAGTCCTTGCCTCGTTGGCGAGTTTCGCCACCCCGCAAACATTCGCTTTTCATATCGGAAAAGATTTGCTGGTAAATGGTGTCGACATCTTCCGCAAGATGACCACCGCCATAGAAGCGTGGAAAATGGGTTCTTACCACACTTTCGGAATGAACCTCGGTGGCGCTCTCCGCGATGTGCTGCTCGGCTCTGTCAGTACCTTTAAGTTGCGTTTATGTAAGGGTCTTAGGGTTAGGGTTCAGCGGAAGCAGGTGCGGTAGAGTGCGACGGCGATTCCACTTATGAAAGTGGCTGCGTGGACCCGGGGCGGGCTGGTACTGTGGAGGATAGGCCTCCAGCTGGAGCAGAAGCAACGGAAATCGATCGCATCGAGGACCAGGGCGCTGCGGGCGTGGGGGGTGGGGTTGGTGTGGATCTTAGTCGTGACGGATTGTCTGCGGGGCCGGCGCCAGTGGCGGCCGATGTCATTAATGACAAGGCTGACACGGATGGAGCTGCAGCCGGTGACAAAAGTTGTACGCATTGGCGCGCCACTGTTTAAGCATGGCCACCGCGAGCAGCGTGGGAGTGACACAGGGGAGCGAGGTGCAGACGGCGACGCGTTGCCAGCGTCCACCGTCTGGCAAGGAAAACGCTACAAATGCCGGAGGCGGGCGCGTCAGCTTGATGGGTCGGCCCTCCTCTTGGAGAATGCAAAGCCGGCGCAACGCTGAGGGCGTTCGTTTAACATCTCGCAAACTCTTCAAGGGTGAACGACGGAGCGACACCGGCGGAAGCACTTGCTCCGCTACCACCACGATTCACACGGCCCAGAGTGGTACGAGCACGGCCGCCACGCATGGGAGCGGGAGCAGGACGGGAGCAGACGCGGAGGCAAAGGCGGCGCGCGGGCGTCGATTGAAGCGCCCTCGCCGAACGTGAAGCCGCGCCAGCTGGCCACGGGGCTGCAGCATTGCGCGCACAACGTGCAAAAGAGCTGGGGCAGCATGTGGGCAAAATAGGAGGCCGCTCGGCTTTGCGGGAGTTGAACATCAGCGGCGCAGCCATGTCCGTGTCTGTGGTGATCTGATGGCTGCGGAACCAACCCGCGCGCAGCAGATTCAGGGCTGACGCCTGCGCGCCTGTTGCACTTTTCGCGGCGTGCGTGCGCGGGCGGTGGGCGTGGTGCCCTGCCCGCGCTCAGGCCGCCGCGGGGTTGTTCCAGATTCTTCGGAGAAGGTGGAGCGCGCTCGGAGCCGGAGGGTCTCTCTTTTGGATTATAGCCGCCAAGAAGCAAGCTTGCCTACCCCCGCAGTCTCGTCGAAGGTGTGTGGCCGCTGGCTTTGTTTTTCTTCGGGTCTGCTCGCGTTTTCTGGCCCAAGCCTTCCCGCTGATCGGGTTGATTTTGCCAAGGGAGGAGCCGCGCTATGTATTCGCTTCTGGCTGTGTTTGTTGATGAAGGTAGAAAGTGCAAGCTAGGGGGCTTGGCGGAGGCAGGTCTGGCCGGCGCCAGGGGGCGCGCTGATATATTCGAACAGGCAGAAGTTGAGGACGAAGGGCCACGGTTCCACATTCTTGGGCAACGTGTGCGTGAGCGTGTCGCCTTCGTTCTTTGCAGGCAGACGGCAAGGGTCTGGATGCATGAGGGCCATGACTCACAGGGACAGGCCCGCCCGGCTCGCAGCGCGCTCTGTCTACCGCTGGCGCCGGGTGTCATCGTGTCGGGCATGACTCGAGAGAAGTCGAGACCGAGAGCGCGGCTGCAGAGAGAACGAAGTGAGTCTTCGGGGGCTCCCTCTGAAGGCTTGGCGTGGTCGGCGTCCATCGATCGGGGAAAGCGGCCACGGGCGGAGAGGCCAGCTTCTTGGATAGAGCCAGCGCGGACTGACACTGGGCGCATTTATCGAGCGAAACGCTCGAGGTCGAGGGCATCATATGGCCCCCTCAACCTCAAGGGTGCGGGTGGCCAGAGCCAAGGCGTATACATAGCGCTGCCATACATATCATTGTCACGGGACGCGCCTCCTTTTGTGTGTGTCTGTCAAGGAAGCGCGCAGGGGCAGGGGGAGGGGAGTGCTGTCTGTGCTTGCAGCGCGGGTGGCGTGCTGGCTCGTTTTGCTCGTTCTCTGTTGCTCGTTGTTATTTGGCAGTTGGCCTTGGCTCGTTTGTTCTTTCTTACTAGATAGGGTGGAGGGGCTGGTAGGGTTTCGCTTTCGCCTGGCGCCTAATCATACCGCTGGCTTACTTTAGTTTACCGACTCAGTCATCTCGATCTATCAGCGGATCACTTCCGGTTCCGCTCTTTCCTATTCTGTTTCAGTTTCAAGTCCTAAACTAGTAATTCTAATTAATAGTATTAGTAGTGTAGTAGTATAATAAGAAAACAACTACCGCATCGATCTGGCGAATTATGTGAAATAGATGTTCATTCTTGCACTTGCTCCGTCAAGATCTACACCGCCATTGCCTGTAGGAGTTGCGGGTGCAGCCTCCATTGCTTCGATTTTACGTTGAAGTTGATTATCTACATCTTCAAGACTTTTGATCGCGCTTAGTAGTAGCGTAGACGAGGGAGTAGAAGACACTTCTGCAAACTTAGTGTAGTATTTATGTATTCTTTTTTCTAATAAAACCAAAATACCATTTATTGTCAAAATTCCCTCTTCCCGTTTAGAATCCGTGGCGGATGGTATCGCCTTTTTTGAGGGTATGGCGGAAGGCCTCGGAGCAACCGTCGATCAAGCCTGCATGACTTCAGCGAACTCCCTGTCGGCCGAAATGGAAAAAATCATTGCTGCGCTCAAGAAAGGAACAAGGGTTGACGAAGCATTTTCATTTTGACGATGCTGAAAGTAGAAGATTTTTCATACGAGAACAATGAATTTTGATGTTCCGAGGAGAACGAAGTGATCGATGTGTAGTCTCTTTATTTTTGTGCAACTGGGGCATATGCAACAAACTTCAACATCAATTATTGCACTGTGGTCTAGAAATTCTGATTCATCCAGGAATCGCTGGCCGAAGCTGTGATGATGGCTAGCTGGGCATGGGAGCACACCTGGCCAGAAGTCCAAAAGCAGTGCAGCAGTGTGGAGAACGAAATTGCTGATATCTTAGCGGACCTGAAAGAGTACGATTCTTTTGAGGCACTCATCGAGCATATCGGAGCGGATTTGGTACAAAATCAAAATATTTCATTTGATACAATCGGATAAAAAAATGAGCTACCTAGCACTAGCTTATCCTTGTTGCGCATCAGACGAGGGCAAACTGCTCTTGTAGTTTGCTTGAGGTATTTGATTGCATCAGTCTAGTCGTTTACTTTAAAACGATACGACGTCGATATGGATAGATAAATGTGACAGGTCGAGAACAGCACCGACATCTATGCCGATGCCAACGGAGCCGTCGATGAGTATAATAAGGGCGACTTTGAAGACTCCGGAAAGCATGTCGGCCATTTGATCAAGCTCGTCCTGGTGGGTAAGGATGCTTCAAAGGCCAAGGCGGCCAGTCAGCAAGACATCTACATCTAGACACTCAATTTTGTCATATGTTGATAAACAACGATGGATGGGGACATCAGAAAAGCTTGGTACTGACGAAGAAACAACACGTTGCTTGCTCATATTATTATCTGGTCATTTTTGTCAACCACTATCTGTTCTTATTGATGAGTAGTTGAGCTCATCAATGGCAGTATGCTTTTTCACATGTAGGGGACCCACTCATATTCTGTTATCAAAAGACATATTGATATTCGAATAAGTTGTAATTACCAGTCTAGATGATATTTTATGTATTGAGTAATCTCACACTCACAGGCACGAGAGAATGGTTTTACGGGTCAGCACTACTTCTCATGATATTGATATTCCTCGGGGCGATCAACATAAATGTTATGTCGTGTAAATAAAATCTTCATTTGCGTTCTAAGACAAAAATTTTCCAACTGGATTCCTTCCAAAACATACTAGATAGTGCTGTAGTCATATTTCCTGTCTTGTTCACTTATAACGAACAACACTTACAACCAAGAAATAGTACTAGGTATTTTCAAAGAGTAATCATGAAAGAATCTTTGGTGTCAAAACCGATCACACGGTCAGAATAACCCAGAAAGGCATCCGTGTGTATCCATATCAACTTTTCAAAAGCGGTGTAGCCTCCAGCCAAGCAATTCGAGTATCAACATGAACATGCCGAAGATGAGAAATCAAAGAGCACCGCCGCTTGAGACAGGGCGAAACTGTCTGCTATAGATTTCCCGATCCTGTGCCTCGTGACTGAAAAATGATGGTGTCGACCACAAGTGGAGCTGCATCGGTCACATTAGAGGAGGAGAGAAATAGGACAGCAGACATGTTGATGTTAATTTACTAGGTCTTGGTTCAACTTCAGGCTACAAAATTTATCTCAATAGAAAATCTGTTGCAACTTATTCAAAAAATGTTCACATGTTTCGGTTGAGATGACGAAGCATTTCGGTCAACTATGTCGGTTCGCCGAACTGTCATCGATCACTGACTCACTCATTCTTGTCAGCAAGTCGGTCTACAAGGATCTGTTTGATCTTCGTTACATTCGCCCTTCTTGGTAATATGAGTATCTCGGTGTCACACTCTCCGTCTCCGCTCCTTCTTGATTGTATCCCCTGGTGTCGCGTTATTCCATGAGATATATGATCCTAGTATGAAACGTATCAAGAACTCAATATAATTTTAATTCATGAGCCAATAGAGCAGGATGAGGAGCATTCTCACATACAGCATAACCACCGTCGAAACCATACGTGCGAAGACCTGTAGTGAAAGTGAATTGCCTACTTGTTGCAGCGAGCAAAAAGAAATACAGAGGACAACGTGAGTACTAAAACCAGAAGGTGGAGCAAGTTTCTCCTCTCCTTCTCAGTTAAAATAGACCTCCAGCACCTGCAACTAAAAGAGAAGCAGCGATGTGGTGGGCACGTGATCGCGTGAAGGCGCCCGTTGGACGGGGCCTTGAAGGCGGAGATGTAGCAACAGGATCTGGTTCCGGCCAGCCCGATGAGCTTGTAAAATTGGCACTGGAGTTCGGAGATTTCGAGACTGCGTGCTCCTACTTGGGCAGCCGGCTGACGCAGATGAGTGCCATGTGCGAGACGCTAAATTAAAGCTGTACCTAATCCATCTTTGGAAGCATCCTTGAAACGTATAGGGGAGTATCGCAATGGAGTGCTCCCCCATACTTTTCAAGGATGCACTTGAAAGATGCATCGCGGACAGTTCTAACTAGAGGCTAAAAACGAGGATCTGAAGAGGTGTCGGGATGTTACCGACAAATTGCAGACGTTGATGAAGCGCTTTGAGAAGCAACATCAAGAATTAATGATCGAGCGCGAAAAATCACAAACTCTCACGTTATGGCTCAAAATAACCCATCTCCACGTGAATCCCGCTAAAGCACTGCGCTGGCAGTGACTGGAAGAGTCTCTCGGGCTGTACTGAGCAAGTACTAGGGCGAGTATTTTAACGGGATGCATTCGCGGGATGGGTGGAGGGTAGCGCTAATCACAGCAATTCGACAACGCAATGCGCGACTCGAAGAGGCAAACGACAGGCTCATGAAACAAAACCAAGAAATGAAGCAGCAGGTACCTCTCAGTTTTATTTTGTCATCCTTTCGCCCATATTGATAACGTAAACATCACACCTTTTTAAGCACCTCTACAATTACTCTTGCACGATCTAATGGTTGGCGAATAAATTGATACTCTTTTTGCATCGAAATTTTCTAAATCTAACCTTTTCTCGGACAGATTGACGAGGCGCAACAAATCAACGAGCGGAAGGCTGCAATAGAAACGCCACTAGTGAAGGCGCGAGCAGGGCAGTGGTATGTGGAGACAGCGGCAAAACTCGAAGAGTATCGCTTAAAGGGCGAAAGACTAGCCGATATATGTGCGCAGCAGCAGAGCTTTATAGAGGACCACTTCATGAAGACGTTGCTTGCGTCAGACAACGGAGATATAGAAGCGATGCCGGAGGGAAGCGCAATGTACTCTTTTCTCGTCGGAAGTAATAATTATTGTTGCAATTATACCCGCGTTCTGGTCCCAGAGCTAGAAAACCTCTACCCTTTCGAAGAGCAAGCACAAAAATCACTTGTTGCTGAAAGCTGCATTGCCGGTCAAGCCGATTAAATTTACCTCCAAACGTACAACAGCAAGCAATACAACGACTGGAAGAAGGACGTCGATACTAGTTTGCTGCTGTTTGATTCGAACTATTCTGTCAAGAGTCTGGCACTTTTTGGGGACCAGCCATCGAGAAAGAAGCGTTCAGCGGATAGTATTGCTTTCGGAGATTCTTTTAGGCTTGATAGAATTTTTAGCCAACGGTATCCTCGTCCTCCGGTTTTTAGTAAGTATAATAGTTCCAAGGAATTGTCTTAACTACGTACAGAACGAGGATGAATGCCTTCGCACTTAAACAAAACAACTTCGTTCTTGTTGGAGCGTTGCATGGATCCCTCTCACTTTGTCCGCAGGTCAGGATGGTACAGCAACTGCCAGTGAGGCGGCAGCGGGGACCGGAGACGAGGCTGAGAGGTCGCATGGCTCTTCAGATGGGGAACAGTGCTTGCCGAGTATCAAGGAGGAGACTGATAATGAGTTCACGAAAAGCGCAGTGGACGAGGACAACAAGAGGCGGACTGTGGGTACGCAGTTTCCGCCGCCTCCACTCGAACTGAGCTTGTTTTCTGAAAAAAACAAACGCAGTCTCGCTGACCGACAAAAGGGAGCGCTTGACTCACTGCATGTGACCACTTTGTAAAAATTATGGAATCGGCATAAGTGTACAGCTACAGATTCATTTCGTCGTGACGTAAGCTTATCATCAAACATGTACAAAAAAAAGTCATGACCTGAATAAAGGGCTACACTTAGATTTACTTCTGCCTGTAAAGAAAATTGAGCAAACTAGCTGTCTAGTGTTTATTAAACACCATAAAGATAAATATACAGACTTCTTCATCTTTTATTCATCTTTCTATTGATTCGACATTGTGCATAAGAAAACCTGTGTGGACAACATGGTTATCTCGCTTCTCCTTGTGGTGTAGCTGAGAATTTCCCTAAATTTGAACATCGAACAATCTTCACTGTTACCTATATGCTGTCGTCAGACTGCATTTTGCTATATGAGTGTCCTCTGTCTAAGCTTTCTGATTCTTGATATCTGGACCGCGAAAATCAAAATGAATCGTGCATCTGCATTGCAAATCATGTGCTGCGTGAATGGGCTAGCGAGTTGTCTCAGAGCTCGCACCATATCATAAAGGAAGTACGATCTTGGTGCGAAAAGAATCAAAACGGATAATGACCGTGCCGCCGTGAATATTTAGCTTCGAAAGAACGAACGTGTTCATCTTCATCTGAATCTAATTGAGAGGTGGCATGGCCGCCTCAATCAATCAGTGGAAAGACGAGACAGAAAGCATGAACGAACAATATCGGGAGAAAATTTCGGTTACAAGTGCGCACAATCAAGCATCATGTTTTCCTATGCTCAGCATACATTTGAACAAAATGATAATTCTCCGTGATGTTGTACGGGTCGTGTTAATACTAGAGGACAATGAATGCACACGAATATACCATGCGCTACATGATGGTTCTACCAAAATCATTAAATGGAAGGTAAAAGTAGATTGTATCGCTAGCCTGCTACATCTACACTAAGATGAAACTTCTCTCTGTTTCCTGACAGGTGGGCGAGTCATTCTTGGTTACTTTGGTTGACGGGTTCTCATGGGAACTCTTATGATAGATCGATTAACTGTGGAAGAAGACCTGAGAAATAGATATTAGAAGATTGTCGTTGTGGTTTTAGATTCTAGAAATCAAAAGCTTCCATGGTCCTCGCGCGAGCGGAATAAGCTGCCGTCCGCGTCGCAGCTGAGCCACAAGTTGTGCTGTGCTCGCGAGTACGGTGGTGCAGGTCCGATCATCAGTCAAGAAGAAGCAGTGGAGAAAATCGTTGGCCCCTCCTTCGATCGTTTGTGGTTTTCGCGCGCGTCGCCGTTTGTAAGCGGTGAGAGTACTCTAACAGCGAGTACCTCCAGCGGATTAGAAGAGCGGATTAGAAGATTACTTAGTTAGATTACTACAAGTTCAAGGACGCAGCTTTTTACTCAGACAAGTAGTACGTATCAGCCAGCTTAATCGAAAATTGGCGACAACTTAGCTGGGAAGACAGACAGGAGACGGACGACAACCACGCAACACACTAACAAACGAGAATGGCGGGTGCTACTGAAAAGGACGAGACCCTGAAACAGTATGTTTCGAAGGTGAAGGAGCATCGGAGATTCGAGACGAAGCTGAAGGAAGTTCGTGACAACATAAAATCGAAACAAGGCGAATTTGACAAGAGCGAAAACCATATCAAAGCTCTTCAGAGCGTCGGTCAGATCATCGGCGAACTTCTAGCGAAACTCGATGATGAAAGTACTTTTTTTTCTGTAGATGAGAAATTTCAGATTGAGATAGCCTGAGTCATCTCACCATGGAGCTACAACATTATATGATTTCTATGTCATGACTAGAATGAATGTGTGTATGTCAGTTCCAAGTGGAGTTTCCTTGCTCATTACCTACTTAAAAATGCTGATCTTCTTATCTCCAACAACCACCCTTCCAGAGTACATCGTTAAAGCGAGTTCCGGTCCTCGGTATGTAGTAACGGTGAAGACGAAGATTCCAAAAGCAAAGCTAACCCCTGGGACCAGAGTTGCACTTGATATGACGACGTTAACAATAATGCGAATCCTGCCTCGCGAAGTAGATCCATTAGTCTTCAGCATGTCCGCTGAAGATCCAGGTAAGATATCATACAACCAAGTCGGCGGTTTGAACGAGCAAATCCGACAAATGCGAGAGGTCGTGGAGCTACCGCTGACAAACCCAGAACTATTCAAGAGGGTATACCTACGCGTCTTTGTTTTAAGTGTTTACATATACTTTACGTGATAGAACTTGATTATCCCTGCTGCAACCAGCTTTTCGGCCCACTATAAAATTGTTTGAAAAACTATCTGCTTGTTCCTTGTTCTTCTGATCTTCACGTAAATCAATGCACTCTCTTTTGTATATTAATTAAAGCATCGATAATTTCTTTTTGCAGGTAGGAATTAAGAGTCCGAAGGGAGTTTTGCTCTATGGCCCACCGGGTACTGGAAAAACGCTGTTGGCGAGAGCCATGGCTTACAACATGACTGCAAATTTCCTGAAAGTTGTCGCATCTGCCATCGTTGACAAGTAATGCTTGCTTCATTTTGTTTCACAACTTTACTCGTCCTTGATTAATAGTTTTCGCTGGTGCTGGTGCAGAAATCTTGGTAGTTTCAAAAATGCTTCGAATTCGATCATATTTATTGCGGTCACGTGACAAGAAGCGGCACATATTGTGATTCATCTTTTGTTAGCACTATGTAACAAGAAAGTGGAACAAACTCGACCTTCTCCCATGATGTTGAATTTTCAGGTATATCGGAGAGTCCGCGCGAGTAATTCGAGAAATGTTCGGCTATGCGAAGACCCATCAGCCTTGCATCATATTTATGGACGAGATTGATGCAATAGGCGGCAAGCGATTTAACCAAGGTAATATTTATGAAATTATATTGCATGAGTCACCGAGTCGGAGTCGTGCAACAGGAACAGACTAGTATATCCTTCGTGGGTTTCCGCCGAAGATCAAACTACTTTCTGGATTTTTCCATTACGTGCATGTGACTGGCCTTCTCCTCTGAGTGGATCCAAGTACAAGTTTATTGAAAACAGGTACCTCTGCGGATCGTGAGATTCAGCGAACTTTGATGGAGTTATTGAATCAGCTTGACGGTTTTGATGACTTGGGACGCGTGAAGGTCATAATGGCGACGAATCGACCTGATACTTTAGATCCGGCGTTGCTGCGACCTGGTCGGTTAGACAGAAAGGTCGAAATTCCTTTGCCCAACGAGCAAGCCCGTCTTGACATTCTCAAAATTCACAGCAACCCAATAGCCAAACACGGAGACGTGGACTTCGAAGCTGTCATCAAACTCACGGACGGGTACCTTGCACTTTTTTGATGCTAGAGTAGAGTTGTATGTATCGTTATTCATGATGATGTGGCGAATTCGTACGACTTTGAGGACCATCTTAGAAGGTACTTTAGCAGAGATTGATGCACACTTTCTTACAAAAACCTTGAAAGAATCGATTATACAAGCTCAGAATAAAAATCATGTGTTCACCCGTCGTTCTTGCCACATAAGGTTCAATGGTGCAGACATGCGAAATATCTGTACTGAAGCAGGCATGATGGCTATTCGAGCAGAGCGCGATTATTGCCTTGAAGAGGACTTTATGAAGGCAGCGAGGAAGATCGCGGACACAAAGAAATTCGAATCCAAGCTCGACTACGATAAGAGCAGCATCTAAATTTGAGACCTAAAAAGACCATGCTTGTTTCAGTCTGGACGCAGTTAGTACGAAATTGGGTTTGAATACTTCATCACAGAGGTGGGCCCAAGCAGTCATGGCATCGGCAACCCCGCTGCTCGTGCTGCTGTAGGTTTGGTTATCATCACCGTTACCTCTCATTTACACTTACAACCTACACCAGATACACGCTTTGGCTCTGAGCATTGATTAGATTCACTCTCAGAGGGAGAGGTTCTTGGAAATGGAATGATTTTCTTCCCAACGACACTCTTCCCCAGCAACTAGACATTATGAAACCTCCTGCGGCCGCCGAACGCTGTGGCAGCAGTTCCTCCGAATTAATTTTTTAACGACCTCCGCCTCCCTATTCAACAGGTGCTGCTGGACAACCTGTGTCGTTTTTTGTGTAATGTAAAAATGGACGATGTTGCAAGAACTGGCTTTGCTGAAGAAAGGACTTTGCTGACAACCCCTAGTCTTGTTCCCGAAAAAAACACGATGCTTTCTGAGTACTTCGCTTCATCAAACTCACGCACTTATCATGCTTCATCTATGTCGTTTTTTATCGGTGTTTCTGATAGATTTGTCGAGAGACAGGGCAGTTTCGTTTTACTGTTGGGATATAGGCAAGAAATGAATTTTGTGATGGAAAGATGGATTTATAATCCAGAGATCGCACAGCAATACAGAGGTCAAAGTATTCTGCTGCCCTAACGATGACGAGGAACAGAAATACTTTGAGTAAACTGCGAGTTTTCTAGCGCTGGATGAGTGGAATTTGTTGCTTACTAGAAATTTTAATATCCCTGACGAAAATGGAAAAATTAAGTTCCTTCACTTATCTATGTCCATTCGCAAGAGAAAATACACTGGGAAGAATGTAGAAACAGCGCGCACGATTCGACGTTTTGCTACCCGGACACTTGAAAAGTGCCGACGATGGAACATTCGGAAAGCGTTATGACGTCGGCACCAGACCCCCCAGGAATGAAGTCCATTGAGGCGAGGCTCGGGGGAACAAACTATGTGGTCAAGCTGCGGCGACCCGCAGCTAGTTGTTCGTCGCTTGCTGATGCTAGCGTGGTCACTTGCTACGCCGAGACGGGGGCCTGTTTCAACGTAAGTATCGACAACGCAAATCTAACGACTACGGAGTCTTCCTCTTCGAGCAGAAGTTTCTCTCGAGTGTCCAATGAGATTACAGATCATCATCATACCGAAAGTCGAACGATAGAAGCAACATCGTGGCAGCCCGTGGATGTGTTCTCGCTACTGCCGCGGCGCGGCTTTTTATTGCTTCTAGCAAAGATCGGAGACAGTTCGAGAAGAAAAGTTGTGAGTCTGCTGAATCATCCTCTTGATCCTGGAGCTGCAACAACATGGGTTTTAGATCGCAAGGCGCAAGTGCTCGGTTCGAGAGCTACGAAAGGAGACGCAATCCAATACGCCTTGCGTGTCGAAATGAGCCTTGTTGTTTCGTCCGGTGTTGGCGTCGGGTCAACATCGCCATCTGGATCGAAGAACGCAATTGATGGCAGGTCAGCGGAGAAAATCAAGACGAGCGGTAAATGGGAGTTGCGCGATCTCTGCTCTTCGATGGAAGATGTCGCTGATCCCCAACAAGCACGTACAGAGCAGCTCCTGCTATTTCAGGACATGGGTAAGGAAATTCCTGGAGCGTCACTGTCGCTAGTAAATACACCTCCAATGAAAAATAGCGACGACCTACTTCATGTTGTCGACGGAGAATACGCGGTGACGAGAGACCGGCTTTCATACCATGTTTGGAGGATCCTGCACCATAACGGGATAACGTTCGAGCGGGTCCGCACGCTCGGTGAACTTCTTGTGTCGGTGCCACCACAGCCAGCGGGCGAGCAGCAGGTTTTGATGGTCGGATCGACGACAGCCAGCTTGTCCTCATCTGAGATACATCATACAGCAGCGTCCCACGGAAGTTGTTACCTGTGCTTGTTTTTGCAAGATACCGTAACCCTCGTAGACGTTACAAACTGGCAAGTGATTTTACATCTGTCCCACGTGCTTTCGTTTCGTCCGCTCTCCGAGCTTGCTTCGCTCGGGAACAAGCCTACAAGCAATGATCTACACGGGACGTTAAAGTTCTTTGCGGTTTCACAAAGCAGAAAAGCAGATATAAGACGGGCAGATGAAAAAGATTACATCCTGTCTTCTGTGTATTGTGGTCCGCGACAAATTTCCAGCGAAATACTGCCATTTGTTCCCGACTACACCAAGAAAGAAATGCTTTCGACGGGAGCGGGAGAGCAACAAGCGCGACTTCAAGACGATAGTATTTCCGTGAAGCCACCGAGCATCTACGATGGTCTCCAAACTTCATCAGCACGTGAAATCTGTGGTGTGTTCGGACACACACTTGGAGAATGTGGGTCCGCGCTTGTGCTTGCAGCTAACACCGATGTTCGTCAAGTACAATTTCGTCCAGGTGCGCTTCCCCATACTGATGGGTTACCGACACCAGTCGAAGAAACGAGGAAGCATCTACAACAACAACGAGGGGCGCATCACTCAGAGGAAGTAGTCGAGTTTGTGGCGCTCGCAAGAGCCGCTTTTCGCTTTGTTGTGCCCTCACCGGCTACTCCATTGGAGGCCGTCGAGTCGCCACCATGCAAGCGAATTCGTGTCTCTACGCAGATGCAGTCGGCGGACGCATCGCAGAGCGACGAGAACAAGGGTACATTGTCCGGCTCATCGATCAGTGACCTTAGAAACGATGGTAGGCAAGAAGAAAAACTAGGAAGTGCTGGAGTCGATGGTGCAGCTTCTTGTGCAATTAAAATTATCGAGAACGAAAACGATTGGGAATGGCTTTTAGCATCCGAGACAGTGGGTGGAAGCACCGGAAGCTCATTTGCACGCACTAGCAGTGAACAACGTGCTGGATCGAGGCGTGTGGAGAAGTCTTCTTTTGTGATTCACAGAAACGAACACTATGTGTCCGGTGGAACCTTTGCGTCTCTCGTAAAGCTGTTTGCAAGCGTCAAAGATGATTCAGCAGTGACCCAGGAAAGCATTGCTGGCACCGATGGCAAGGACGTTTGCATGCTCGACTCTCGAGGTAGTCCGCCTCCGCTGGGAATGCTTGACTCAGAAAATGCATTGCCGAATACAATTGAGTCGCTGCCAAGGCCAACACAAGAATCGATCCGGAGCTGCTTTCTTGCATTGCACGAGCTTTACATGCAGTGGGGGTGCATTCAGTTACGCCGACATTCCCGGCGGTTGCTAGGGGCGCTTTTAACCGCGTTTGGAACGTCTGTTGGGGCGAGCACAGTAGTAAATGTTGATTATTATGCGCGAGTTGACGCGTGCGGAGGAGCAAGGCTTGAGGAACGCACAAGAGCTGGGCAAAGAGACAGAGCACCCGTTCTACACGAAGATGACCTGTGTTCTTCGACATCCGGCGCCGTGTCAGCCTCGCCGAGAATCACAGGTTCTGGTTTGCATGGAAGCAAACTGGCGGTGCCGCCAACGGGAGGACAGCAGGCAACGAGTACGTCAACGAAGCCGGCTGCCATTGTGAAGCGAAGATCGGGCCCGGACGAGGAAACAAGTGACGCGAAGATGCTTGTGCTTCCGCCAGCAGACGCAACTATGATGCGGTCCAATTCGGGAAAGAGCGCTGCGCGATTCTCACGAGCGTCAGCGACTGTTCGTAGTTCCCCGTCGTATCGTGCGAGGAATCAAGCAGGCATTTTCGACAAGATTGTTGCCGATCATGCTGGCCTCGATGGAACTGACTTGGATGATGCTGTTTCTGGAGGCACTAGCGGTGTGGCAGCGATGCTCGAACGTACCTTAGATGCGGCCGTTTGCAAGATAGCCTCAGCGGAGGCGAGTGCTGGATCTCGAACGGGTTTGGGACATTACTCAGCGCGTGGCCTAGCGCCTGCTACTGACCGAGGGCAAATGCTCAGCGACCGCGACAATGCGAAAATTTCTGACCAATCGCGAGGTGCATGCATTGACGGTCTAGACGCCGCTGCTATCCTTCGTGGTGAACCAGGAAGACGGGGAAAGACAGGTGCTCTCGGAACACGCACTTTTCCTTCAAAAACTACAGTCGCGAGTGGTCCTTCGAAAAAGATAACCATTAGTACACCAGCGAATGTGGTAGACGATCTGCTCAAGACACTAGATGATGTAGAAATGTTGGCAAATGAAACACAAGAGTCAACAGCACCATCTCAACCCCCGGCGAGACTCAACTTGTTTCCACGGGCAGTTGCAGCCGCAGCTGTAACTGGATTGGCAAATTTTTCGTCAAGGCACCAGCATGCTGCGATGCAAGAACAACAACACGGGCAGCTGCAAGAGCAGCATTTGCCGCCTGACAACGGGGCCCGCGCTCACTCTGTGCCTGTGGCACTTTCAAGTCGCGAATGGCTCTGGCAATGCTCGCAGCGATTTAACGACGCGCGTCTGAAAGAAGTAGCCCGCGTTCTTTTCTCGTGTTCTGAACCAGTGGCGATGAAGGTGGCGGACCCGGCGAATGCCGACAAGCAGCAGCTGCTAGGCCGTGCCCTGTGCAAACAGGCGTCGGTCGCGTTCGGGCGCGCAGCCTTCACATTTGGGACCATTCGGTCCGCCAATGCGACCGACGTTGTGCCCATGCCTCAGCTCGCGCTGTCGGCGCTTTTCCCCAACGAGCAGGCGGCCCTGTCAGCAGCGGGCACGCCGGGTGGCGGCGGAAGCTCTGACCATGTCGGCATCATCTGCGCACCGCCAAAAGCCATGACCGTTGTTTTCCCGGATCCGCAAGTGCATCCTCCAGAGCGCAGTCAGTGGGCATGGTTCAGCAGCGGCGTTTCTGCGGGTCTGCAGATCAACCGCTTACACGCAGGCTGTACGCGAAGCTGGATCTTGCATCATCGAGTGTTGGCCTACCAGCAGGCGACATCCCAAATCGGGAATACTAGCAGCAATAGCAGCGGCGCTTTTGCGAGTAATCCCACTGCGCTCCTTAACAACCAACAGCAGCAGGCACAGCAGCAGGTCGGCAGTGGGGGTAGTAGCGATTTATTTCTCGATCCCGCGCAAAGCGCACTTCTAGCAGGCGCAGTTTTTGCGTTGCCAGCTGACAGCGTGCTACGTGGTGTCAACCAACAGGTGCACCAGCAGCAACTTGCCGCAGAGCCTCCACACCTCGTTGGAAAAAATGTTCACGCGGGATTCCTGCTCGGACTCGGACTGCGTGGTTTCCTAACGGAAGAGCGACTTCCCGTCGCAGATTGCTACAAGTATCTGAAGTTACAACACGAGGTGACGACGGTGGCGCTGCTGCTTGGGCTAGCAGCAAGTCACATTGGTCTCGGTTCAAAGCAGACGGGCATCACACGCATGTGCGCTTTGCATATTTCCTTCTCCTTCGAGGCACCGCCGAGCGTGCGTGCGGCTTCGTCGCTGGGATTGGGGCTGCTGTATGCACAAACCGGTCAGCGTGGCATTGCCGAAATGCTGGCGAAGGAACTGCATTGCAGCGCCTATCGCGACGAGTGCCAACAGCTTGCTGCTGCATTTGGACTAGGGTTAGTGTCGCTCGGCAAACAGGGACTGCACCGAGATTTAGTTTTGTTGAATCTCCCTTCCGCATTCCTTCGGCGGCTCGCGCGCGAGATGGCAGCATCGTACAGCGTGCGCGGTGCCGGCGTTGGGCCTTCTTACCACGACAGTAGCTCTGGCAATTCGTTTTTGCAGGCAGCAGCCGCACACGAGCTTGGCTCAGGAGACATGAACGAAGAAGATTTGCCAAGCGCTGTTCTCCTCGAGCCGGCTTGTCGTGACTTTTTCGACACGGCATCAGGAGATGGACAATTTTCGCAGGCAGCGTGTCTGGCGCTTTCATTGATGTACCTGTGCAGCAATGACCGTCGTTTAGCCACACGCATTCCCTTGCCACGCAACGGCTATCAGCTGAACGCGACGCCACCGGACCTGCTTGCCGCGCGCATGATCGCGCGCGGTTTGATTCTGTGGGACGACGTGAAAGCCTCGAAAAGCTGGATTTTGGGCCAAGTGCCGCTCTTCCTGCTTCGGGACTTTGATCTTGAATGTGAAAATGCGACTGATTTTCGAGCACTCTGTGAGCTGTTTTTCGGTGAGGAGGTCGGGAGCTGGGCTCAAGAACATGCGGGGACTGCCGCAGCGCCTGTGGCGAGGTCATCGGACGACGGGGTCTCAGCGATGGATGTCGACTGCGAGAAAAATATCGCGCAGGATGGTGGAGAAAGTGCGTCATCTTCTAAGGTGTTTAACACAGCAGGAGGTCGGGGTCGCCTTCCCGATGGTTGTGGTAGACCTGCGGTGTCTGTCGCATGCAAAAAGCGCGAAAGCGAAGATTGGGTGCTTTTGTCGCAGGCTTTGTGCTATGCGATCGCGGCAAGTTGCTATCTTGTAGGTCTGCGCTTCGCCGGGACGGGCCATGCCGAAGCTAAACGCGTTTTACTTCTCATGCTGAGGAAATTCGCTATGCGAGGTGCTGCAATAGACTTAGCCGCATGTCATAGCATGTGCGTCGTTGCTCTGGGGCTTCTGATGTGCGGCACGGGCGACCTGGAGAGCTTCGCTCTGCTTCGCAGCCTGCGCAAGCAGAAAGCACTAGTAACCTACGGAGCTTGGGTTGCACTGCATATGGCCATGGGCCTTATCTTTCTGGGTGGTGGACAATACACTTTCAAAATAGACCACCAGAGAAGCGGAGGTCTTGACAAGTCATTGTTTGCAATCGCGTGTCTGCACATGGCAGCGTACCCGCGCTTTCCTAGCTCGATAAGTGACAATCGCTATCACTTACAGGCATTGCGATACTTCTATATTCTTGCAGCATCTCCAAAACAGTGAGATGAGACTCCCGAGCATATTCTTAGTCGCCTGGTGTATTAAAGAACAACACTGCAGCGGGTACTGAAACTGCTGTACTTGTCTCTGCCGCTTGCCGCAAGAACTCCATTCATTTCTTTATTCCTCGCTACACCTCCAGCGCACTTGGCTTTCGCTTCTATCTTTACTGAATGGAACCAAGCGTCTTGCTCTCCGTGACCTCAAAAATCCAGCTTCAGCTGGATAGTGGTAAAATGCTGCTGTGTTCCATGTTTGAAAAGAATGCTGATGTTGACTTCCAGGCTCGCGAATTCATTGCAAGGGCTCGTAAGCAGAGATCAATTCCGCGATCCTCTTCAGCAACATCATGGATTTGACAATAAATCCAAAATACTGAAAACTACTCAGAAAGACTTAGCTGCAGCTGCCTGATGATCAGCTTCAGGATTTCGTCATCAAATTACACATTTAAACGTTTGCAATTGCATAGCAATAAAAAGCTACTAGAAATCCATTTTTCAGCCGATAACATCTGATTGCGTTGTGTGTCATTGCTTTTTATTGTGAGACCTTCAGTTCTACACCGCTCTAAAGTTTAAGCTCCATTCCAATTTGGCACGCAGGGCTAGGAGGAGTTTGAGATTGAGTTGTAACGCTTTTTCAATATGGATGCATCCCCCTAAGTGCCGTCTTCACAGGTAACAGGCTGAAATGAGATAGCGTCAGGTACTAGGGACGTATGTGAGTATTTGACAGTAAGAACCGAAAGTCATGAAGATCCAGTTACAGAATTCGTTGTGAAGATAACGAAAAAAGGATGGCAACTGCATTCAGTGGCGCAGGGGCAGCATTCGGCTTGCGGAAACTGCCAGTGACTAAGCCGAAGCGCGAACGGTCTGAATCCGAAGGTTCTTCCGCAGGAAGTGGCGTGAGAAGTCGAAAGCGCAGACGGGCAGGTAGTCGAGGTGTCCTTGCTAGAGTACCGACCGGTGTTGATGATGGAAACCGTTTGCAGGCAACTGTAACAAAATTCTGGTACACACAGGAGCATGGCTTGGCAGATTCCAATTACTTGCAGAAGCGCTATGATCTAGATCCGAAGGCGGGTGGCGTCTTCTTCAAGTACATGGGCCCTTGTGCATTAAAGCCTGGCGACGTCATTTTTTTCGATTGCGTTGACATCGACTCAAAAACGGGTGAGCTCTCTTTGGTCAATGTGGAGCCGAAAAACATCACAGTCTCGAATAGTCGGGCAACAGCGTTGCGAAACACGGTAGAAATAGAGCAGGCACTTGAGGATGAAGTTTTCCGAAGGCGTTCAGACCGACCCCAAGCCGGCAATAGAAAATCCGAGAAAGTCGAGCTCACTGGGTACAACTTTATCGTCGATATTGATGCTGTGAAATTTTAAGCTGGAATGGATGCCCAATCTTTGCTGTTTGTTAGTTTTGAGTTGCAGTTTAATTATGCTCATATCCGATCGAAGAGAAGCAGAAGAAGACTGGCAAACCAAACTTTCGTGTAAGTGTCTTTTATTTTTGTATACTAATATTGGCACATGGTAAAAATCCTTATTCACAACACAGGTACATCAAATTTTGGTCCCAAGAAAAGGCGCGTGGTTTCCTCGAAGGTCCTGAAATTTTCAAGAAGTATGGAAGTGACCTTTTTTGTCGCGCGGATTGTTTCACAAACAGTGGTGAGGCTCCGATTACGGGCGAGAAGGTTTTAGTCAGCGAAGTCGTCCGTGCCCGTGACCAACGACACCACTTGGCGGCCAAGGTGAGTCTGGTCGGACGAGCGCGACTGGTAAAGACGCAGACGCGGACCTTTGCTCAGAGACTGGAAGCCGTTGTTGTCCGATGGTTCGAGAAGGACGGTTTTGGCTTTCTAGAGAGCGAGGACATTACTGCACAGTATGGCCAGCCAGTCTTCTTCCACCGCGCAAACATGGACAATCCGGACGTCAAGGTGCAGCCAGGGAGCGTGGTGTACTACGATGAAGTGACGTTTGGCAAAAACAACGTCCCCAAGGCGATCGGAGTTCGCATTCGATTTCTCACGGGTGGCAAACTCACTGGCGCAAGCGCGGCTGGTCGAAGTGCAACACTGCTCGGCCAAAAAAATAGCGACGCTAACAGTTTCGCGAATCCCTTCGCGCAAAAGAGCGAAGAGAATAAAGGCGAAGATGATGGTGCGGTGGACGAACAGCCTGACGAAGACCATAACGCTGAGGAGGACGAGGACCAAGTCGACGGAAATGACTACGCCCAACAAGGCTCTAGAGGGCCACCGAAACTGCCGTCTAGAATGGCAGGCAAGGGAAAAAGCGACTTTCAACGTGCGCCAGCGAATCAAGATCAAGATGTGGGACAACCAGCAGCGTGGCCAACAGCGATATCGAAGGGAAAAACAGGATTTTCTGCTCCGCAAGGCGGCGCAGTAGGAAATAGGAGCGCCTCGTCTTCATCCACAGCTTACAACAAATTTTCTTCAGGACGGGGTGCCAATAGCGTATCTGCGAATGGTACTATTCGGGCAAATCAAGGTGCGGAAGGCATGCTGCGACGAATTCCAGGAAAGAGTGGTGCGAAAAACTATTGCATTGACGATCCTCCTGTAGCGGACTCCTATGAGGATGAAGTACAGCAAGATGAATATGGCAGTTACGACGGATCATGGGCGGACGACGGACAGTCGGGCTCTTGGTGGACGAGCAAGATCACAGGGAGTAAAGGTAAAGGCTCATGGGGGACCGAATGGAAACAAAGAAAACAACAAGCAAGTTTTTGGAATTCTTGGGGGAATGAAGCAGAATGTCCAAGTGATGGTGGCGACTTTGAATCTACTGGTCAAGAAGCGGGGCCTGCTCTGCCTCCATCTTCACCGGGCGCAGGCTTCACGGTCCGAAATCCAGCAGCCTATTCCATCACGAGACAGGTGCTGAAAAAGCCTACACCGGGTGCGATCGGAGCAGGTGGCTTCAGACCATTTTTGGACCCGGAAGCACCGGCTGCAGGTCGAGACCCGAGGATTCCGGTCGATGATCAGCCTGAAGAGCCAGAATGGAACTGTTTCGGGGATATGGCATGTATGCCTTTGTCAAGTGCTGCGGAGGAAATATCTCCAGACCACGGCACTTCCAGTGGTGCCGCTCGTTCAACTGGAAGCGGAAGCGGTCGCGCAGTACAACCAAAATCTGCGCCACTAGTCAGACCGCTTGGTGGAAACAGTACTTCGTCTGCCGGAGGGGGAGGCAGCTTATTCAATTTGCGCAAGGTAGAAAGCGGAAAAATGGTCGTTGATAGGAATTTGCCATCAAGAGCAAATAGTACAAGCAAAAATTCTTATGGTTCTACGGATACGTTTGCAGATGCAGACGCCGCTCAGCATGCTGCTCAAGGAGGAAGTCTACCATCTTCAACAGTTGGGGATCATCTTCAAGGAGACGACCCTTTCGATGTGGGTGTTGCTGAGCCACCTCAGGCGGAGTTTGAGATGAATCCGTTCGGCAGCGACGCGGATGATGCGTCTTTGCGGCGGATGGAGGAGGAGATCGCTGCCGCAGAACGAAGCAAACAGCGAGAGGACGTTCGCGAGCAAAACTGGAAAGCCAGGGAAGACGCGGAGACGCAATTCCGGCACTTGGCCGAATTGAGGCACCAAGAGGAGGTGCAACGACGCAAGCTAGAATTGAGGGAGCGTCGCGAACGGGAGGAAGCTGCGGCCGCTGCGCCTGAGAACAGTTCTTTTCTGGAATGGAATGATGAGTCACTGGTGACACCGAACCGCAATACGAACACAAGTGAGGACCCACGAGAAAAGAACAAAGCTCCAGATCCGTTGCCTTTCTCCTTCTACAACACGACGGAGATGCTCCTGCCCTTTCCCAACGCCGTGAATCCTAATGCGAAGAGAGCCGAAAGCAAAACGCTCTTGTTCAAAGGCTTGCCGTCAACCGCGCCCACAGACCTCTGCATCCGCTTCTTTAAAAAAGCGGGTAAAGTGACAGATTTCCGCTTTTTCTTGATGCAAAACGATCCGAGCAAGCACGTCGGTCGCGGTCTGGTCACGTACTCCACATTGGAACAAGCAGGACAAGCCTACTTGCTCTTAAACAAAAATCGGATCGGCAACGGTTATCCCCCTGTTGAGTTGGAGTATCACAAGAAATGATCACAACGAAGCATGATACTGGGCTCGATTTACTGTACAAGCTTTACATTCTCGTCGTGAGAAATCACAACTACGCGCTTCACTCCTATTCCAAACTGTCGTCCTTGCGACTTGCACCCATCCCAAACAGTTCCCTATGCTCACTTATCAACATGAAGATACATTTTGGAGACGCCTTCTCCAAAATTGTGACACGCGGTTGTATAACAAAAAATACTTCGAAGCATTTTCATTTCATCACGAGTTTCCCTGTGCACTTCCATGGATGCGCAACGGTCGTGAAACTGCTTGTCATCGCTTGTTCTTTTACGGTATATCTTCGAGCTGTGCCCAGGTAGCACACTGACCGTGAGGATGTAAACACGACCTCTGGCCTCGTGCAAAGGACCAATCCGTTCTGAATATCATGAATTATGAAAAGTGAGCGTAAGTATCTTCGGTAAACGTAAAAGCTTACTTTGAGTAATATTCATAATGTACGTTGAAGTGTGCAGCCCGACGAGGATCATCTTGCTCAGTTTCGGTCAATGTTGAAGCAATCTGTGAAAATCAAGGTCCATGTGACAGACCAGAATTAGTGTTAAAACAATTAGAAGAAAATCAATGATTATAAAAAACACGAAATGCTGTTATAGCTGCTTCTATAGATTAAATGTAGCATTTATTTTTACAAGAAGGACTATCCAACTCCTATGTTCACATTCCTTCGTTGATTCTGTACGGCATTGGTTGTCGATTTTTCTCCCCTTGCATAAAGCGTCTACACGAATTGTCTGAAGAAATTTTACAAATAAGATTCTCAGTGTGTACGTCCTAGTCGGAAACTCGACTCAGGGATAACTAAGATGGTAACAAACTGAAACTGTATCATGTAAATATCGATGATTGTTAACGTAAAATCCTGTTTGATATAGAAATAGAGAAACGATGAGAGTGTACTACTAGAGTGAGACCTCTGGTTTGTTCTCTTGTCGTCGTGATTCCTGCGCTTGCAAGGATGACGCAGCAAGAGAAGAGTCCTGCGCCTGGTCGCTCATCTTGGCAGGTAGTTCAACAAGACAGTCCTTCGCAGTCACCAAAACGCTCGTCCACTCTGGATAATGAGGAAATCGTGGAGATTTGCAAGCAGATGGACGAGTTCATCGACAATATTGAGAAGTTTCTTACCTTGCACCACGAAATTACCAGGGAGAGCACCAGCTTCAGCGTCAAGCGACAACGGGCGCAGATCGAGTTCCTTCACTTGTCGGGAAAGGTGAAGCCACTTCATGGATAATTGCTAGAACATTCATAGGCGAAGGAAGTGCAACGATGAGTATGAACGTCGAATGTCTTCTGCGAAGAAAAGTAAGGACGAAAAATTGATATAATTTATATGATGTATCCTGATAACCAACAAGTGAATCTGCTGCGCTCGCGTGGCTTATTGACCAGTCCTCTTTCAGGTACGCGACTTAGTGGTCAATAATCGTGAAAGTCGACAATGCATGAGGGATTTGTTCCACGAAACGGACAGATCGGGCAGGCTTTTTTATATACACGACACTGCAGCGCACTTGGTGGACTCAGGACAGGACTTGCTCAAGAAAACAATCGACTTCGCAGCGCCCATCCGAAATGTGATGGAACAACAGCGGCTAACAGCTGATTCCTGGGAAAAGCTACACCAGAAAGGGAAGCTCCGAGTAGGTATGAAGACTAAAAAATTGTTGACATACCCGTACTAGGTGCCAAAAGAAGTCGTGTATCAGTATAGAAGAAGAAATCTTCTGATTCGCTGCTGGCAACCGCAGAGAAGCGCAGCACTTAGAAAGACAGCAGTGGAGCGCTCAACTTGTTTAGCACCCACCTTCTTACACCTGCGAGGCTCATACATGATTTCGACCCCAATTCCTAGCTGTTAATTCCGCATCTACTGCTATACGTGAACACGATATAAGTTACAATAAAGGTTTTGGACCAGCGTTGGATGTGGAATGGAGAAACAAGATTTTCAGAGAAGCAGGACGAGAAATAGAGGAAGAGAAGCCACCAGACGATCCTGAGCCCGAGGAGCAGGTTCTTACTTGTTGTTTTCTACTATGTATTGTGGCTATCTTCGTCGTTTGTTTCCATTCTTTAAATGTTCATGTATGTAGATGTACAAGATCTTTGTGTGATTCGCGATCGCGACGCAAATACAGAACATCCACAACAACTATTTTCACTCAGGACGCGTCAGCTGCTGGAGGGGCACCGGCTGCGGAAGACAGTAGTGAGTACTATGAGAGGGAGACAACTGGCGCTGGACAGCCACAGGAAGAGACAGCGCCGAACGTTACGACTCCTTCAGAGAACGAAGCTTTGCTGAAAAGCCTCAACGAAGCACATCTAGGTGAAGATAGCAAGGCCGAAGAGCCATCTTCCTACTCTTCAGGAAAAGGGGACGAGGAGCAGAACTTGATGTCACATGCACCACCCGTTTTCCCCAATTGTACGCCCTTAGATAGTGCGGAGCAGGAAAAGGTGGGATGGGTAAGTTATCCACGCGGCAGATACACGGAATTTCAACAAGGAAATGTAAGTAACACAATTTTTGTCCGCCGCCAGGATGCGTCCGCACTGGGGGTCGACGACGACGTCGTCGGCATGACGGCGCAGCCAATACCAAGCTTCGAGCAAGGGTACTTCACTTTTTTTGCTGATTCCTGCCCGTGCATCCTGGCAAGTTGGAAAAAGTCCATCGATTTGTTTCACTGCTGGAGAGAACCATCGCCACCAACTACTGTCAACTCTGAGGTATTATGTCGAAATAGAAGTGGGCGCATTGACGGAATCGGCAAACGGTTGTATGGGCCTAGGCGTGACATTCATGAAACCGGATGAGATAGGTACTTACCTACCAAAGCGCTTGGAGAAGCTGAAACAGGGTTGGTTCTTCACTGGCCCATATAATTAAGGCCCAAAAATTGCTGCAGATAACGCAAAGCGAGACTAACATGTTAAGTATTTGTAGTAGCGTAGCTACTGCTAGATAGTAAGCAGATTGATCATGATGTAGATGTAGATGTTGATGGTACTCATTCTGATTCAGTTTTTCTGTTAACATAATGTCTGAGTTTTATATTGGGTACTGTGCTGGATTACACGGCTAATCATCGGGTGGAACGACGCGGCGAGTCTATCGACACGGCAAAAAGGACATCCGATTTATACTAGACGGGGAAGAAAAAGACCCCTTGAGATGGTCGGTCGGGGATAAGATGTCCCTCCTCATCAGACCGAAGGACCCTGAAGAAGACAACTGGCAGTGGACGATCTCGCTTTACATCAATCGCAATATCGTTCTGGCATGTACTATGAGTATTTTTGAAGCAGTGCTCATGTGATTGTGGGATCTACTTACTTATTCATGAATGAAATGCTTCATTTGCGTGAAGATGTACTATCAATCTGTTTCGGGTGTGAAGATGTAAGATGACCTGACCCGCCTTTTTTTCGAATGTTTTTCAGGTACAATTGATGTTCCGCCCCAAGAGGATGGAAGCTTCGCGGGTGTGCCCAAGAGACTGGAGCTCTATGCAGTCGCTGAAGCCTACGGTTATGTTACCGCACTAAAATTGAATCCGATGGCAGTGCCGGAGGGCCTGGCGATTGCTGGCCTTAAAACGTCCTCGTGATAGTATGAAAGGACCAGTAGAGCGCATAGAATTCCAAAACTTTTTTTTTGAAATATCAGAATAATGAACAGCGGTACACTATCTAGTCCTAGAACAGGCATGAATGAAAAAATATAACCTCAGATCGGTGGCACCTCCAAAATTTATTTCCCAATGACTTCTTTTGTATATATTGGCAGAGATTCTATGATTATTCGGACGAGTACGTCGACGTAGCTCGTGCTCGAGCGATTCCAAATTGCAATGCAGGCCTTTCGGTAAATACATTACCAAAATTTACAGAAATGTCATATTACGGCGGTTTCTCGTCCATGTGATCTTCAATGTTACTCTAAAAACAGCACGGCAGCCGGCTCCTTGGTCATACATATTTGCGTCACGACGAAAGAGGGTGTGTTTTCAAAAGTCCTAGAGCTGGGTGCAGATCCTTTTTGAATCTAATGGTGCGCGGGTGTCGCCCAGGAATACTTGACAGAAAGGCATAGGACGAGCGCTCGAGCGAGAAAAGTTCGGGAGCGATTCCAGTTAATGTTTATCTACACAATTTTGATATTGATCGGGGAGCACTTCTACTTCCGAAGAATGTAAACGGCGACTCCGATCGGGCAGAAGAATTACTCTCGTAAAGGTAAAGCGGCGGGTGTATCAATTCCCTCTACTTATCGCAACATTGTATTTTGTAGCACGATATGAAGATGCTTCTGCCTTGAAGTTCTTTGGCTTTGCTATCTGCTTCGGATTACGAAGAAGAATTGAAAATGTTCAGCGACTGCGTAGGGTCATTTGATTTATTTTCGACAGTCGGAGTTGATGAAATTCGATAATTTATATATAATCATCAACACTCAGTACCATTTGCAATCAAGCATGAGAAGGCGAAGAAAAAGAATGAGGACTAAAACTTTGTTCGGTGCTGAGCTGAGCAGCAATTTCCTGACAGCAATCGAGAAGCAGTAGCACAACGACTCATTGTGTTGTACGACAAAGTGAGCCGAGGGCACTATGGCTCAAGCTCTGGCTGAAGAAGAGGAGCGCCCACGCCGCAAGAGGAGTAGGCGGCGGCGCATCGAACGAAACGAAACTTACAGACAGCGTATTCTTGGACCGGGATTCGCACGTCCGCACCTTATACCTCAAGATGCGGCAGCGCGTCTTTCCGCTTGGGAGTTTGTCGCCTACGTCATCTCGTTTCTCGTATACCCGCTCTATTTATGCAGGGACTGTGCTCCAGGGGAAAAGATATTTGTCAATCCTCGTTATCAATAAAATCGAAAGCCATTGGTGTAGTTGCTTAATATTTTTGACATCAATCATAGGATGGCCTTCATTTGTGTATGTGAGCGAGCGCGTGCGGGTAGGTAATGCGTTTGAGGTGAACCGCGCAATTCGTTCGGCATTGGAGTTCGCTCCTTTCTACACTGGAAGAAGCAGTGGGAGACGGAGTATCCAGAAGACTTTTGCTGATGTCGAAAGTTTGGAGGACGTGCGCGCCTACGTTAGTCAGGCCCTTCCATCGGCCGTGGCACCACGCGTCGGCGAGTTCAATCGCCCACTTACGGGCATACGAATGACTGCTCGGCGCGTGAAGATGATCGGCAACATGGACTCTGAGAATTTCGGGAAATTTGCGACGAAGGTGTGGAAATCCATGGGCGGCGTGTCGGAGGATAACACCGAAAACGACGACACATCTTCCTACGGATATTACCGGAGATGGAACACGCCCGGCGAGTTCTCACTGCATTTCAAGAAACTCTCCTCGACCGAAACTTGCGCAATGGCAGGAAATATGGGGGAGCACATGGAGCTCGATGTGGTGGATCAGCCATTGGACGTATGTCAGCGCCTTTGTGCACTCTATCACTGCAGTTGTCTCACAGTTCCAAAGGGATGTGCACCAGCACCAGCTGCGTCCTCGACAACGAGCTCTGCTTTAGCTTCAAATGGTAACGTAACAAGTGCTGCAGCGACCACATCAACAAGTGCCTGTTCGCATTGCAGTTTTCGAGTGTATTCTGATGGCGAGTTAGTTGCCGACTCGTCACCAGTCGTTATAGAGACTGATCCTGCATCGGCCACACAATGGGTGCCTCCTGTGGAGCCGGATTCGCTGGACGAAGTCGATAGTTACGTTCCCATTGTGCGTCCTTTCGTACATTCGCCCACATCAGCGTACGGGAGCACGCATAGCGGCTACGTGAGAGTGGTCGATTTGTCTTTTCCAGAGAGCGTAACGCAGGTCGTCCGCGACGCCACGCTGCTGCAGCTGATTCACTCGGAGTATGTGGAGGGCGGTCTGATCGATCGCTTCACGTCGACCCTAGCCGTGGACTTTGTAACGAAAAACGAGAATCTGCCAGGAATGTACTCATGGGTCCAGATTTTGTTTCGGATGGACGGCGCTGGGTCGGTTACTAAAGAGATCAAGCTAGATACGTTGGACCTGGGCGCTTCGCGGGACTGGGGCTGGGATGACACCATTTCGATGCTCATTCTCGGTTTCTGGGTCGTTTGGACCGCTGTCGAATGCGCACAGGAGGGCCCAAAAAAGTGGATCGGAAGCTTGTGGAACTTCCTGATGATCCTCAACCTTGCGTTTTTCGCGAGCACGCTCGTGCTGTGGCTGCAGTACTGCGCGGCTGAGACTGCGTTGCCCGAGCTGGAGAAGACCAACATCGAATTCGCAAAAGCAGTGAACCTTTTTGAGGAACAGGCAGCCAGGTTTCTAAGGTTCCAAAGAGTAGCGGGGCTTGCGTTTTTCTCCCAATACGTCAACGTGCTTTCGTATCTGCGTATCGCGAGTCCTCGCGTTGGGATTCTGCTGGATATGATAGCTCGAGCGTCCACTGCGCTGGTGTGCTTTACGCTTTTCTGCTTCATTCTTTTTCTGGGTTTTGTCAATTTCTCAAATATTCAATTTGGAGGCCTCATTCCGAACTTCGGCACGCAGAGTGGCGCGTTTATTGAGCTCTTTTCCATGATGGGTGGAAAGATTGAAGTCTACGATGTGCTGGTGGAGCTATACCCAGTTCGCGGACGCATCTTTTTCCTGATTTTCGTCCTTCTGTTCTATTTCATTCTCGTGAATCTCAATAATGCTATTCTGAATGCGGCGTACGTGGACGCTGTAAAGGACGCCGAGGACTTGCTGAGAATGAAAAGTCAGCAGAAACAGTTTGCGGGCCAAAACACTGTTGCAGATGACTACGGGGATGATGATTTTGATCAAGATGCTGGGTTTGCGGAAAGGATTCAGAAAACCACAGCCGCGTTGGCTGCGCGAGTCCAAGGCAAGCTGTCGGAAACTCTTAGGCACGCGAAAAATATGGTCAGGCCGGTTGGAAGCGACGAACACGCCGGAGCTGGTGCAGAAAACGCGCTGGGCGACAGAGGTCGTGGTGGCTCGGAGAAGTCAGCAAAAGATGGGAAATCTGCCGCCGCACAGATAGAGGAGATGCTACAGCATTATCAGAATGCGGGGGCAGAAGAGGAGGAAGAGGAAGGGTTGACGACCAAAGGCCTCTACGCACTTTTCGTTGTCATCTATTTCTTGATCCTCTTTCTTGGATTGCGCCGGGACGCTTCCTACGAGGCAGGAGCAGCTATTCGCGACGCGTTAACGTACGCGAGGTTTGAATCGACGAGCAGTCATCGGCAACAGATGACTTTCGCGGATATTCAAACGCGCGATGACGTCCTCACCTGGATGCGGACCGGGCTCAAATACGCACTATTCGACTCGTCGCGTAGCATTCCAAACTTCAGCGACGATGCGGCGGCGCAGGAGAATCCTTTGAATGAGTATCACTCGGCCGCGGCCGACGTGTGCGGTGTGGGTAAGCCTTGCCAGCAGCTCGTCATCCGATCGTGGAATGTAGTGCTAGGGCAAGAGCCAGTTCGAATATCGCAGCGCCTCTACAAAATGAGCGCGATGCCGGGTCCACTGGCGGGCTCGGGGAGTAGCAACCTGAGCACGTCTTACCGGCGCTCGTCATTTGCGAAGCTAAATGCCGACGACGCTGCGGACGGCGTGGTTGAACTTATCAAAGGCGGTGAGCTGTCGCTGGTGGCGAACGAGAAGCAACGTGCAATCTTGAATTCTACAAGCACTTTCTCTCAAGGCTACCATGACTATGAAGCATGGGTGACAGCACTACCCGTAGACGAGCAGCAGTTCTCGAAAAAGTTGCGAGATCTAGATGACAACTACTATCTGAGCGAGCAAACAGCCACGTTGGCGGCAGAATTCCTGGTGTACAACGCGCAACTTGGGATTTTCTCGTTGGCGATTCTCTCCTTCACATTTCCTCCGGCTGGAGGAGTCGAAAAAAAGTTGCGGATAAAGTCCTTGTCGCTCGAGTACTACGACTTTGGCGACGCTGCGCAGGGCTTCCGGGTGTTTCTCGAGATTGTCTACATTGTGTACCTCGTCTACTACATAGCCGAAGAGTGTCTCGAGGTTCATGGAGAATTCACAGGGATCTGTATAGCCAAAACAAAACAGAAGTACAGGTTTCACAAGATCCCTATACCGGATGATCTCTTTGGCAGCCCTTTTGCCCAGAAGAAGGCCCCTGATGCCAGCAAGCCTGGGTCGCTCGATAACGACTTGCAGGCAGTTGCTCCGACAAAGCCTGCAAGGAATCCTCTGGTGGAGCTTACGATGGGCGACAAAGGGAGGGCGCTCCTTCAGGCCACAGTTCACCACTTCGGAACGGACATGTTCAATTGTGTCGACCTTTCCAGCTACGTCCTCTCTCTTACGTCGATCTTCCTCTGGCTGAGGCTGGCAAACGACGAATTCATTTCCACGTACTCTTCGGTTCTTGAACTTTTTTCATTGCTTAATTGGACTCGGTGTTCAAGAACAACTGGACACACTTGAATAATTTGGGTCTTCGGCAACAATAATATCAATTGTGAATTAGGTAGTAATACAATTAGAAGAATTTTTCTGCAAAAAGAATAATTTATAGGGCATTGACACATCATACATCAACACCAATCTAGAAGGAGTTTTAATATCTGCCTACCAAAAACGACCTGAACTTTGTTCAGGTATGTGATGTACGAGAACCCTACATGGGAGGCGTGCGACGCTCAAACAGGGTACTGGTGCTCCGATGCGGACGTGATGAGCGCCTTTTTTCGAGCGAGTGTGAAGCAAGACTACTTCGTTGCTACCGCCGCGTTGAATGTGATATTCATTTTCTTCCGTCTCCTTAAGTTTTTCCGAAACGCTGGGCGCATGCGTGTCATCTTCCAGTCTCTAGCCGGTGGATTCGCGGATATTAGTTGGTTTTTCCTGCTCTTTTTCGTCATCTTTCTGGGCTTCACGCTCCAGGGGCATTTGTTTTTCGGAACACAAAATGGGAATTTCGTGTCCATTTCGTCCAGCATTCTAGAGGTGTACGAAATGATATTGGGCAACTACGGGTATGCAACGCTAGCCGCGGCGGATGCGAGCATGGCTCCGTTCTTTTTCTTCCCGTTCTTGATGCTCTTCTACTATTTGCTGATGAACGTGTTTTTCGCGGTGATGGACAAGAACTTCCAGCACTTCGACAAGCTATACAATGATCTTGAAAAGGAAGCTGAAGCGGCTGGTGCTATTCAAGCCGGCGCTGACGATGACGATATAGACGAAAATCGCGCGCGACCAAGGGGCGTGGTGAAAGCGGAAGTCATGGCCATCTCTGGCTTCATGGACGGGCTCGGCAAGTCCTCCTCAAAGAAACGCGGTATTCTACTGCTACATACTGCGTACGACGTCGTGCTGGGTTTTATTGTTGTGTTGAAATTGAATGCCGCAGCAATTTCTATGAATATATCTTCCAGGGCTCAGAGCTGAAGGCCCCCCCGATCTAACTTTTTGAGGGGGGGCCTCTAGCACCGGACCCTTTTCCTCGAGGGACTGCCGGGCGGGAAGGGCTCCAAAGGCCCACCTTCGCGGCCTCCCTCCCTCTTGCCTGAACCCTACAGAACCCAAACCCCTGAGGCCGTTCAAGCTCCGACGGCCGGGGTTAGGGAGGCTTCCGAAAGCGGCAAAAATGGGACCCCCTTGCGGTGTTGCCTGTACCCTACAGACCTCCCGCGCCATTTTGCGTGTGCCCTACAGACCTCCCGTGCCGTGTTGCATGTACCCTACAGACCTCCCGTGTGCGGGCTCCTCACTGGGGGAGCCTCTTGGGAGGTGGAAGGCCTCCGAGGGCCGCAGGTGGCAAGGGTAGGCTTGACCCCTTTCGCCGTGCTGCATGTAACCGACAGAACCTAGGCGGGCATGCCTTGCCCCCCCCTCCTCCTCGCCTTTGTTCCTCATCCCCTCGGGCGTTTGGTGGCGCTGGCGGCTGACGCCAGAGGGGCGAGGCCTCGCAACCGTTGCCGCTTTCCGCGGGCTTCTTCCCCCGGAGCCCGTCCCCCTGATAGGGTCCAAGAGCCGGGACGCCTGTGGGGTACATGCGGAGAGCCGCCAGGGGACTCCGGCTCCGCCTTTTGAGGCCTTCGGCCCCGGGAGTCCCTACATGTCACCACAGCGGAAAAAAGGGCGCGCGGACGCCACCGCCGCTCCAGCCAGAGGGAGGGCCTCGTTCCCTGGTACATATATAGCGCACCGCGTTCGTGTTCTAATATTGTGTCATTTACTTACATGTACAACACATTCAAGTTTCTTGATACACATCGACAATCCCCAAGGTAGGTATTGCATCAATTCTTGGGCACAACTAACCCTCCCCCTCGCTTTCAGGTTCAATGATTCGGGAGAGGGATATTCAGCGTGAGGTCTGTCCTGAGTGGCTTCTGCTTCCTCAAACGTGGAAGGAGTGGGCATTAGAGCTAACTTCGTCTATTGCTGAGGATCTGAAGTTAAGAGAACTGAGTTCCGAGGAAATCCTTGATCTTGTCGGACCCGACGGTGATATGACGGAGTTCGATGCCTCGGCCTTTGCACCTGAGACGCGCGTTCCTACTTCAGCAGAACTGAAAGAAAAAGAACAGCAACTTATCTCCTCTTTGGCCGCAGACACTCTGGAGGTGAGCAAGTTGTTAGACAGGTATTTAGACGAGGTGTTGCCTAAACTGGACGAAACACAGCAGGAGCAGAACGTGATTGCCCAGTACATTGAGATACAAGAAGAGAGACGCGCTGGTCGTCTGCGAACTCTGGATAGGTTGAAAAACGAATATGCGAGGCTTCTAGCCGCAGGACGCAGCGCAACGGTTTTCGAGGACGAGGAGGATAATAGTGGGCGCGTGTAGTAGTTTTTAAGTCGGCGTGATCGTGATGAGATTATATATGTGTTTGCAGCCAGTGCCAGAGCCTCTAGCATCATCAAAGTAGAAATTAATGTTGTCAAGCACCTTTTCCTTTACTGGAAATAGTGGAAATTTGCGTCATGGATAACGAAGTTATTTGGAATGGAGTTCGTGGAACAACAGGGTATTGTAGGCATTGCTCTGATAAAGATCCGTTACTTGGTATTTCTGTCTCTGTAATTGTTTTTGGAGTACTCAGAAATGAGCTGTAAGGCAGCTATCAATGTCGAACTTAATTGTGTGAGAGTCAAATCAGTCGTATGGACCTTTTACGAATTTATACTGTTGTGGCCATAATAATGATTCTCTACTAGGTAGTTTTAGTCGGCAGGCTAGAAACAAATACTTAGATAGATACACAAATGTACAGGTCCACCCCGCCAATCCCTGACAGGGTTTCCAATTTTCCGAGACTTTTCTAGGTGCAAAAAAAGGCTCGATGAATACTTTCCCTTTCCCCCATGCCCATTGAATACTTTTCCACCTCCGCGCGGCACACACTGCGCACAAATACATAGTCACAGAAACTTGCACAGCATACTTTTCGCCATGGATGTCACAGGACCTGAGGTGGTACGTGTGTTATTCAACCAGGGCGTCCTCAGCCATGTTGTATAGTACACGGATGTGCATCAACTACTGACAGTAGTATTACACGACTACTTGTTGTATTTTTTGTTCGTTGTTAGTAGGACATAATGGCACTCACTATGAATGATCAACAATCAGTCCAAAATATCGATGCTCACTGATCTTGATTTCGGTCAGGAACGCTAGCTACCTTCGGCTCGAGTGAGTCTGGTTTTAATCGCATGGAGCAAGTAGCTCCTAGAACGTGAGTGGTTTCGCAACCGCGCCCTCCCCTGTCCCTCAGTCTAGCTTCAGGGTTTTTATGGCAGGGGAGGCATCTTCGTGCCTTTCTTTTGTATAGCTACACCCCATTCATCTAGGCATTGGCAAAGGAAAAGGTGAAAGCTAGCCTCTTATAAAGCTTTCGTGTGTCCGAGCTTTGGGGGCTGTGCAGTCTAGTCCGCCGAAGCTTTAGCTACGCGGATACCCCTATGGTAGGATCCACTTGTGCAGTGGAGGTGTGGTCTATGCTACTGCGTAGACGACCTAGTAAACAGGGTCGGAGATCTCCTCCGCAAGGCCTTCGCGCCTCTCCCGATATCCAACGCTAGTGTTCAGGATTGGTGAAGATTGAGTCCTTTCTGATGGCTGGCCAGGTTTGGTCATAAAGTGCTATAAATTGAAACTCGATTGAATTGTATGCACGACTGGAAATATCTGTCTGATGCCGTTGCTTGACCAGTCGCTTTACGGCGCGCCTGTGGAAGACGAGAGGCATAGAATAGAACTACAATCTTAAGAATCACGAATGTTTCATTTGCGAAGTATAGCGTGAAGATCTTCTGCAGGATCGAGTCTCAACTCTCGCTTTCTATGGATCATAATTTCGGCGCTCGCGTTGTTTGTGAGAAAAATAAATGCAAGTTTATTTGCAGTGAGTTGGAGCTTGTGAGGGTGAGTAGAAAGAAGATGGTAGACGAGAGAATTTCAATTTGATTAGAACGAAAAACCCTTGTTCAACCGGTTAATGTTTCTCGTCTTTTTACTTCCTTCACGATTAGAAAGCAAAAGCTCAATGCCTTTGTTTCCCTCTTGGCGTTTGCTGCAAGGGTCCAGACTGACGTAAAATGTGTTAGCTTTCCTCTTTCCGAGGTGTGCTGATGCGCACACTGCATGCGAGGATAACGCCATCTCTGTGTTGGCAGGCTCTCTGATTGTACGCAAAGAATAAGAGCAGCGTGTGCGTGGTATTAAGTAGGTTGTACATTGTGGTCATTGCGTCAAATCTTCTACTGTCGATCACGAGAGCTACTGGCTGGCGGGCTTCGTAATTCTTGACGTCTGCTTCTTTGGGGAAAAGGTGCGCGGACTCAGGCGTTGCTGTGCCACCGGGTCTGCGCACACGAGCACAGAGCAGAGAGTCAGCTTCGTCTTCCTCCCTGATTTCAGCTGACAGGGCAAGTCAAAATGACGTCGGTCGCTGATACGTTCGGCGCGCAGGTGGATCTGGAAATCCGGACCGCGGAGCAGCTGATCACAGACCACCAGGAAATGTTTTTAGACCCCAACAATGAGAGCGTAACAAAGCGCCGCTACGAGATGGAGTTTCTCAATTCGGTGGGCTTCCTACGCGATTTCATAGAAGAAAACAGGAAAGCGGGACATAGGGTAAGTACGTACTAGTTTAGGGTCCGTCTCCGTTTATTTTGTGAGCAGATCTACGTGATGATGTTGGAAGCAATGAATACGTAGGTACAGCAAAGAACATAATTAGATTTTGACGACGAGTTGTACTAGTCCAACATTTGAGGAGGCAACATGTCACTGCTCCTTCGTCGTCATCACGGCTCTATTTGGCACTGTTAAGCTTCTATCATCTGCAGAAGTATAATAGAAGCAAGGTTTTGAACACTTCTCACTCCATGGTTTGACTCTTGTTTTTTACCGTAGAAAAGGTATGCATGTTGCACTTTGAATGACATTGATTCCAACGGGGTCGACTAGTAATCCTTTTCAAACAGGGTCGACTAGTAATCCTTTTCAAGGATAACGACCGCATACCCCGAATGCGCAGTCTATGTGAAAGCGCAAAATTATCGGAGACAAATAACAAAGACTCCAGATGGCACGGTAGTAGAATTAGATAGCTCGTTATTTTAGAGGTGACTCCTCTGAAAATGGATCGTTAAGCCTTCCCAGGATGCTCCACGAGATAGAGACATAGGACGTGTTCAAGTTTTTAGTTCCGTATGCGCTGGCATAGATGTGTAAAGTAATCGATCCGAAATTGGCTTTGAGTTGAAAATCATGTCGCTTGTTGTATTAGTCGCCGAAAGCGAAATGTCTTAGTCCCTATCCCTCAACTAGGTCCCGTAAACCTGCTCTCACGCGTGAACGCATTGGAGGAGCTTTTAGAAAATGCGACAACGGTCGCTGACAACTGGGTCGATGAATATGTGCGCTATGAGAACAAGACGAGGAAGACAACAACGGCTATGCCAAGAACTTCAAAGAAAAAAGAGGATGGTGGGGGCACATCGACAGGAGTTCCGTTACCTGTTAGTCCCACTGGCGAAGAGTCTCACTCTGGCGAGGCAGACGCGGAAGCAGATGAAGGTAGTAGTTCGAGTTCCAATGAGCACTGATGCATTGCGTACTTATATTCTTATTCTTTGGACGCTTTTGACGAGATGATTCCATCTTTCTTGTTTTACACGCAAAAGATCCAGTTATTATACAACATGCCCATATAGTACATCGATCTTCTCCGAAAAATTTCTTCCAGATTCAGACGATTTGATTGGTGCGGCAGCTAAGATCTGCGAGGACTTAGACTCTGAAGACGAGCAAGAATTCTTTGCGAAGAGGAAGAAAGAGCTTTTGGATAGCACTAGTCGGGACGCAAGCAAGGAGACTGTGTCAACAAAAAAGTTCATGAAGCCGCCACCATTGACGCAGAAACCAAGTATCAAAATCATAAAGCAGAACACAATAGACTTGCCACAGCTGAAGGAAACTAAACTCCTTGACCTCGCAGACGAGGAGGAAAAAGTCTTCACCAACGAAAAATTTCAGGTCGAGAGGGAGGCACCAAGTGAAAGACAGCCACAGTACTTTATCTTATCAAGTAGATGAAGTGATTAGTGTTTTTGTATCGTGACTCTCGTAGCAGCTGGGGGAGTGGTGCGTAGTGCCCGCCTTACTCGACCTGAGTAAATGAAGCCATCTTGATGATGGCAAGATGATCATGTTAACAAGATTCCAGGTACGTACGTCCGACATTGCAGTCAGTGACGCGGATATCAGACGGCAAAGTACAATCTTTCGTGCCATTAGGGCAAAAGCCAGAGCAACCCGTGAAGCTGCGGAGTGTACCAAAGAAAGAGGAGTCTACGGCAGCAGGTGCAGGTGGCGCCGGAGAGGCTGAGTCTGGTAGTTACGCTAGTGGAGAGCCGAGCGGCAGAGGAGGTGGTGCCAACGGCTCGTCGTCGTCCAGTAGTCCTCAGGAAAGTCAAGCTGGGAGTGACCTTGTCAAACCCGGAGTCTGCGGCTCACCCGCGACGTCCATGGTAAGCAGTGCGCCAGGAGGCTCCTTGCCATCAGCATCATCCATGGTAGGGCAAGACCCACAAGCAGCAGCTGCCACGCCAGGCGCAGTAGATGAAGGCGGTGTGTCTTCCAGTAGCACGAGTGGCGAGACTCGGGCAGAGGCAGACTCGCCCGGTGTGCATCTGCCAGCGGTTCCAGCATCACCTTCCCTGGCAGACGGCTCTGTACGCCCTAGCCCCGGAGAAGCTGTCGTGACAGCAGAGACTGGACAAGGTGCACTTTTGCCGGCTGCAGGAAAGCCACCCCCTTCAGAACAGGTAGCAGAACCGAGGTTCCTGCCGAACGATATGATTGTAATTTGTGGCCTCAAATCAGAAAAGGCAGCCTCCTTCAACGGCCGAGAAGGCATTATTCTCGGATATGTTGCCGAGACAAAGAAATACGATGCGCTCATCGACGGGAAAAGTATTCACGTCCAACTAGAGATGTGCCTGTCAAACTGACGTGATTTTGTTCGAAAATTATGGAGGATGATAGGCAAATTCCAAGTAGAGGATCTAGGAGTACCAGCATCTACCATTCTCTATACGTCTTCTTCACAATTTTTCCGATTTCCACAAACAGCGCGGATCATGGTAAAAGGCGAAAATTTGAAAGCAAAAGGCGTTGGTGGAGGAGGAGTGGCAGAAAGCGCCAGACTAGTTTACGAGGCGTGGATGTATCCATTTATCAGGCGACCAATATCAACCGGTCTCACCTTTTCCCACACTCTGCGTGGAACTTTTGCGGAAGTGAACGGGTCAGTTCTCAGTCGAGCACAGGGCTACCAGAACCAAGCGCAGGGGGCGGGCAAAAATTTTGCGCGCGCGATCAAGGGCCTGCTATCACTTGACAACCCGGATGGCGTAGTGGGCGTCACGTCGAGTACCGCAACTTTTTGTTTTCGTTTTGTTGAAGGAGTTTGAGCCGTCAGTGTTATTCTCATGATCTCAATCTTTCGCCAACATCAACTCTCTTAGTCTTTGTTGCCCCTTTCTCTCTATGCATCCTCTGAAATCAGCGCCTATTCCGCGGCACGGGCAGGGTTACTTCGTCGAGGTGGAAGTTCTGGGAGTCGGCGCAGCTGAGGAATCCGTCGGTTGCCTAGGTCTAGGCGTTTCGTTTCTCCAACCGGAGACACAAATAGAGAAGATTCCGCGACGTCTGGAGAAAATAGAGCAAGGCTGGTTTTTCTCGGGACCATACTACGGCCAGACTCGACGGCTTTATAAAGATGGTACAACTAGTACAGATCACGTGCAGCACATGATTTTGTTGATTTCCCGACGTAGTTCCTCTTCCTTCAAAACGTATTATTTATTACGAATCTCGATAGTAAGTACAACTAAGTGCTAATCCTACCTGCAAGAGTTACATGAAGATTATACATAGGTTGATATTTTTTTTGGGGAAATATCAAGGTCAGAAAGATATCCGCTATATACTAGACGGAGAGGACTCGGCTCCAATAAAATGGAAAGTTGGAGATCGAATGAGCATTCTCGTCCGACCGAAGGACTGCACTAAAGCGGACTGGATTTGGACCATATCAATGTATTGCTACAACTGGCTACTTAGTTGATAGTTTCTTATTGTATCGATAGTTGAGTCGGTTATGAACAGATTTGAAATTCTGAACACACGAGTACGAACCCCCGACTGTAGAAAAGTTCCCCCGAAGAATAACACGATGATCATACTATCCACCTCGTGGTTTTAGGTATGCTAATCGTGACATTGTGATGGCGTGCCACATGGACTTGCATCCATGGTTGCCAGCGGGGACTCCGATACCCAAGGAGCTTGAAATGTATGCGTTTGCGGAGGCCTTTGGGTACGTGAACAAACTCCGCATTTGCAACGAGGCGACGCCAGCCGGTCTTGAAATACCATTTAAACCAAAAGCGCTTAAAGAAGCCGAGCGTGGTTTGCAAGCCGCCGAGGAGGCCAGTGCAGAGGCGAAGGCATGAAGCAGGTGGTTGTTCAGTTTTGTTTTTTTCGGAGTTTATTCAATAGAGTTTTTTTCTATTCTTCATCTATTGTAGGATCATATTTTGCTATTTCTTTAGAATCAATATAGCTTGGGAATTTGAATGTAGACTTCGCCTTTTGAATATTGTGTTTGATTTTGGCCGCTGGTGCGGGGAACGCGAAGATTTTAGTTTAAACGAGGACCGCCAGAGGGTCTTCGCGTTGGACGTGCGGCACACTTCTGCGGTGTACCTCGACGGAAATCGACGACACTCCCTGCGCCAGCGAATATTTTTACGCCACTGTCACTCTGAGATACACATTTCCATTGTTGAGACCATGAGGTCTGTCTTTTTGGCTTTTGTTTATTTTCGGGTAGTTTTTTCATCGCTCGTGTTATTTTGGAGACTTTTGACTGGGTCGATGTAGTTTCTCATCGGTCTTTGATTGCAACATCGACGGAATGCCTTCGTGTGCGATTCGCACGCCTGCTCTCGATTTTTTGCCTGCGCACCCGCATCACGCTCGCATGACGAAAGATTAGTTTCAGTGTGTTCCTTGTGAATACAGTGAAAATTGGACGCATTAGTTTGATCAAATTCAATACTAAGCTTACAACCTTCACACCTTTTTCTTATTCATTGCAAGTTTCGCCTAGAATCTTCGATGTACTAGCACGATGTCGATGCTCGATCAAAAAGATGTTTGATGTATATCTATGATCGTTGGCGAGCAATGTGAGATTATGATTGATCTATCTGGGAAATGCTCCACCACGAAAACGCAAGCGCTTCAATGTCGCCATGTCGAGGGCGAATAGATTCGCTGCCAGGCGGCCTGGAATCGCGAAGCTTATCCAGCGTTGCGAAAAACGAAACGTTTCGCACGATGACTGATACGTTCTGGGTTTTTTATATAAATATGGAGTCTGCTCCAAAAATTGGAGTAAGTAGGTGGAAGTAAATGAGTGAAAAGTATTCACACACGAAGACGAACAAGACGAACAAACGGTGACAGAGCGAGTGACAACATGGAACAAGAGGAGGAACCGCATGTCATACGTGAGCATGTCTGAGTGGTGAAAGAGGGAGGACTTTCAGGTGTTGCTGGTTGCAGTCAGAAAGCAAGGCAGTACAATTAGGTCTAGTAGAAGAGCAGATAAAGATATGACTCTTGTTCGGCCCCAAACACAAATGTAAAACTCATGGCTTCGGACTCAATCATGAAACCTAGCGATGCTGCCTGAAGTCTAGATTATATTGACGCAATATTAAGAATATGAATAAACAGTATTTGTCGCATTCTTGTGTAGAGAAATATGTTTGGCAAGCGGGGTCGCCGCTTTGTGTTGTTGTCGTCTGTGAGCTTTGGGACAACTTCAGGGGCGAAGCCGCAGGACGTGAGCAGCCAAGATGACGGGCGGAAACCGGAAGAGGACGTTGCTCGCGCAGCTGAGAAGCCTACTTCGAAGAGCGCTGACGTAGTCGGCGCGGATGCAACCGAACCGTCTGCTAGCAGTTCCAGTGCTTCGAGTGGTGCCTTTGCCGAATCGCCTGCGGTGGCATCTTCGGCATCAGGTGCATCGTCGGTGTGGCACGACGTGGCAGGAGGACTGCTTTCCGGGTCAGCAGAGCGCGACGCACATTTGACAAAGGCAGGTTTATCGCCAGAAAAAAGTGCCGAGTTCACTGCGCAGCTCGAAAAGGCGATCGTTTCGGGTGCTTTGGAGGAGAAGAAACGTATCATCGACTGGATCCACGCAAATCTGCTTCCGCGGGAAAATGTGTCAATGCCCTACTTAGGACCACCAGGGCCTGTGAACCCTCTAGGTCTACCTTACGGCTTGATCCCGCCGGTTGTGGTGTCCCACGGCATCTCGTCGTCCTGCTATGAGGTCTCCGCCATGCATCTCATTCCATTTCTGAGGAACTATCTGAATACCTACGTTACCTGCGTTTCAGTGGGAGGCACAACGGAACTTGAGCAGTACGTCGCTAGCTGGTTCTACGGCTACAAATCCAGTGTGGACACTTGGGCGGGGCTGATTCGCAGTGATCCCAAACTAAAGAATGGGTAAGCAGCTTGTTTTCTTGAAACTGTAGGTACCTCCTTTTCCTTTCAACATGTTTCGCATTCGTCCTGACTGGATCCGAAAAAGACAAACTCTTCTCTCTTCTAAACACGATGTTCAGATTTTTGGGTTTCGGATTTTCACAAGGCAATGGGATCTTGCGAGGATACATACAGCGATACAACAACCCACCTGTTCTCACCTGGATAGCGACACATGGTGTATTAGGTGGCGTTGGTGCGATTCCGGGTCTGGACCCTCTGAGTGCAGCATTGCGGGATATCTATCGCCCGCTCAGTAACTTAGTCGGAATCCTTTGCACTAGCGCTTTTCTCGTGAACCGAATTACACCATGTGGTTACTTCCGCAATCCGGCGCAGGTAACAATATGCCTACAACTTAATAGAGGATGAGCATGCTTGAGTCTGAAGTTCATTTGGTCTGTACAATTTTAAGATAAGTATGCAATGGGAAAAGGATACGCGCTGAAAGTATGAAAGTTCAATACCAATGACTGACTAGAGGTAGCCGCAAGTATACGAATCATGATCCAGGTTAACGATACGCAATTTCGACGAAATTCCGAAATCGCGAAAATGAATGGAGAGGATGACTCAAGTGATATTGTCCCGCATCCAGTGAAAAGCAACTTTAATTTGACAGACAAATTCGTTTTCGTCAAAGGATTAGAGGATAACATAATTCTACCGCGTGACGCAGAATGGTGGGCCTTCTACGGTGACAACTACGACACAATTTACACGATGCCGCACCAGCCATGGTAAGAAAATACGTAACTCCCTAGTAATGAATTTATGTCGAACTTCAGAGGAGAAGGCCTCCTAGGTAACAACGATGTAATTGATAATCTGCTAGAACATCGATCAATCCTCTTCCATATCTAGATTTAGGTCTAGTTTGATGATGTTTGTTGAGCCGTTTCACACCCGCTGCAGGTACATCAACAACACATTCGGGTTGAGGACGATAGTTGAAGCTGGGAAAACTTTCTTCCGCACAACTCCGCGTGGGCATATGCAAATCAAGAACTCGGAGATGAAGGTACTGTTGGACGACTATGTCATCCCAGCCGAGTACCGCAGGAAGGACTGGGGCCCGGTCCCGCCTTCGTACGATCCTACACAGGGCGAAATCGTCGGCACAGGGCTCAATGCAGATATACGATACATCGATGTTGGGCCAGGAAGTGGTTCGATTGCGAACGATGGTCTTGATGCCAGTAGTGAAGCAGTGTACATGTAAACCATGGAAGAGCACTTGGTTCTACGCTTTTTTTACAAAGATGTGTCATGAGCATGACGGGGGAGGTCAAGACTTATCATCCGCTTGTTTAGCCTACACAGTGGCATTATGTTGTGACTCTTCATAACTTGCAGTATGATTTCTTAGGCTCAATTCAGATTTAGAAAATGTCTAGTGCATTTTCATTGATTTCATTCGCTATCCATCGGCAACATGATAATTAGCATGTTCATGAAGTTCGATTCATTTTTGCATACGAAAGAATGAATATAACAGGCTACAAAAAAAACTATTCGTTCGGGTGATGATATCTTTTCGTTTTGCTTATCAGACTTAGATATCCTGCATCAGCGAAAAGAAATATGCACTGCTCGCACGATATGACTCCTTTTATGTACTTTCTTATAACTTCTTTCAATACTGCAGCCAGGTGTTGGAGCGGCGTCCTGCAGCAAAAGAAAACTCAACCTTCATAACTTTCATACCATGTGCGTCATTTCCATAGATAGACGATGAAGACGTCATCGTAATCAGTTTTGTCGTTCTTTTTCTTTTCCATTACCAATTACCTAGATTCATAGTAGACTCACACTCCCATCCACTTCCGCGGAGCGACTCTCCTAAATGCGTGACAGCTGCGTGAACTCCCGCTGCTTGCTGCCAGTATGCGCTCGAGTTTCAACATAGGATCCTCGAATTCAGTATCACAAGTCTTTCGCGTCTCCCCTAGCGGTGGTCATAATTCTGAATTGAATTTGGTGCTCCTCCAATCAATTATACATATATTGCTCCTTCTTAGTTTTTTAATCTTTTTGGGTGTGATAGGGTATCTTCTGTCATGATGCAGTGGTGCTGTGGGTATCTTTTAGCTTGTGTGGCTATCTTAGACTCACTCCCAACGGCAACCTCTACCCCAGATTGTGTCTTGTCCTTATGCCATATTTCTCATTTTGATCTCATAGAGACTGAATCTCAACTTCTTCATCAAAACCGGTAGCAAGGGTCTAGGCTGTCAACCCTGCAGATTATCGAAGAAAGGAACCTGTCGGATCGATCGCGCGCAATCGTCAGTGCGAAGCCGCTTCTGGTAACAGTAACTAGAACAGACCCTGCTGCTGCACAGCTAACTCCCCAACGGCTTTGAAAAAATGTTGCTAGTTATCTATGGCACTGGTAGCTGCAGGTTTCTTGCAGAACAAATGAGACCGAGAAGGAACAGCAGTTGGAGCAGAAATCAGAATTGGAACAAAGCCAATGTGGACTACAGATAGCAAACGGAAAAAAGTGTTTGTGATTGTGGTCGAACGAGATAGTACCGAAAAATTCTCAAAAGCGACAGATTAGCAGACATTTAGTCACCACCACTGAGTAGGTCTTATGTTGTAGAACTGGAAGCTATTTTTCCGTAGCGAATCTTGTTTTTTTTGATCTTCGTCAATTGCCATTTGTCGGTAAGAACTCTTCAGCAGGCAAGATGCAGATGTCCCGGCCACAAAGTCGCGGCGTCGGCCGGACCGGCACGAATGCCAGAGTGGCCGGATCGCGGATGGGCACGAGCGCGATGCGGATGGGTAACAACGCTATTGCTCATGCTCGGGATCATTTTTATTCGGACGCACACGGGATCACACCCCCATCTACACTGTGTTGAAAACAAGTTTTTTTTAATATTCCGGCGGATAATTTCCTTATTCTCTTTCTCACTTGATCTTGTTTTTGATATTGTCCTACACTTCTTCTATGACTATGTTGTTGCTGCTCCATGCCCCTGCTAGGTACATCCGCGGGATCACGGAATCCTGGTGTTGGGCTGCTTACCGATATCCGTGTCCAAGATAGACCTCTGACGCAGATGGGTGTGCACGTATCAGGTGGCGGAAACAAACCGGGAAGGCAAATTTACGACAAGAGCTACTACATGACGCAATTGCGCCAGAAAGTGAACGAGCTGCGCGACGCCCTCGAACGATTTAATGGAGAGATGGTGTCTATCCAAAACGACAACAACACTTTTTCGATGCTGGAAAAAAGGTACTTGTTCGTATCTCTAATTAAATGGACCTACTTCTAATCTTTGTGGCGCGAGAAAGGTGCGCGACCTTCTTGCTGAAAACATTTATCAGCAGAGACTGTAGTATGTCTGACACTGACATTTTCAGTTCTATGATTTTTGGAAATTGAATTTGAATCGTCATCGTCTGGTGAAGGTATGAGCAGCTGATAAAGTCTGTGCGCAATTTAGAGGGCGAGCTAGCAGACTACAATCTAGCGCTAGACAAGCAAAGAACGGATACCAGGCCAGAAGAAGTCACGTACATGTACCAGTTGCTGAAGGGACAGAATGATGCGCAGCGGATGGAACTAGATCAGCTGTTTCTGGAAAAAAAGGGACACGAAGAGGAGATCAAGAAATTCGATGAGGTAGTGTTAGTTTTTTGATGTTGAAAACAACATTGTGATGAAGTCATTTAGATGAAAGGTGCGAGAATCTTCAATAATGAATATGTTGTAGTTTTTTTTCAACTAACTTTCTCTTTCATGATGACGATGATGATGATTTTCTACAACCCTATTCGTTCCTTGCTTCAGATTCTAGATTCTTTCACGCGTGCAGATGAGGAAAAGCTGAACGATTTGCACCCAGAACAGCGTTTGGAGTACGATGAGCTTCAGGCAGAAAGCCGAAAAATCAATCTGGCACAGCTACGGCATGAGGTTGATATGATAAGCCATAACCTGGCCATGGGAGAGGCACGCTTGCGCCAGGAGCCACTCCGTCTTCGGATGCAGGAGCACAAAGAAAAACGTGTCCAGCTTTTCTCGCGGCTCTCGGCGCTGGAGCAACAAGCGAAGGAATCACAACTCAGCATCCCGGAACAGCGCGACCTGCTCCTGCAGAAAGTACTGCTGATTGATACATAAGGAGGCTCTAAACGACCTAACGTATTCATTGCGTATGAAAAAGCAAATGACTCCGTAGGTCAATATATTTCAGCACAACTACTACGTGAACGCAAACCCATACCGCCCTGTTCCTGTTCTACAGAATTCTTATGACATGTTGACTCGTCTATGAACAGCATGAAGTCTCTCTCTCTCTTCCTACCAGGTCAAGGACAATAATCAAGAAATCGTTCGAACTGAAGAGCGAATCCTTGAAACACGGAAGGAGACTGAGAATTTGAAGAAGCAGTTGATCGAAGTAAACGCTTCTGCGGAGCAAAGCAGCGCAGACCAACAGAAATATGAAGTGCTTTTCACAAAAGATCAAGAAATGACCAAGTTTTTGGAAGACTTCCCAAAAAACTTGAAGGACGAGCAAGCAAAATGCGCAGCAAAGCAGCAAGAGATTCTTGGTAAGCAGTAGCTGTTGCTTGGACTTGGATCATGTTCTTTTGAGTTTCTATTTTTGCCGAGATTTGATCATTTTCTAAACTTCGTCTCCATAATATTTGTAAATCCAGGTGTTCTTTCCGACACCTCAAAGTACCTCGGCCAGAGATCCGCCGATTTAGACCGGTTAGGCCAGGAACTAGACGACGAGCTTGAATTCAAGAAAACGCAGCTGGATCAGAGTCGGGGCACCAACGTGAAATTGCTCGGGCAGGTAGATAAGCGAAAACAAGAGCTGGAGAAGATTCGAACTCTGGACTCCAAGATATCACAGGAATTGCAGAGTCTCGACGACCGACAAAAAGAGATGCAGAAGGAAATTGAAGAGAAGTATCTTCATGCAGAAAGCATGCGCGCAGAAAAGCTTTCCCAAACATCCGAATTACAGTTAAGGGTTGAAGCATTTCATTTTTACAGGTCTCCTTTACTTGAGAGTGTTACTAAAAAATGAATTGTTTCAACCTCTAGTACAGCGTCGGAAGGGGAAATACGAGGCGAGGCTGGCGCAATTGCACAATCTAGTCCATTTTTTGCAGATTCGGGTAGAAGGAAAGCGGCAGCAGCTCACAGACAACGAAACCAGCCAAAATTTGGAGGCGCTTGTTATGATGTCAACCTGCCGCTCAATTCTTCTTGTTCTTCATGATTTTGGAATCGAGGATTCCTTGTTGCAAAAATTTTGAATTTTGTAGCAGTACAGAGTAGGGGATTTCTCTTCCAGTATTAATTTGTTCATCTTAATAATAATAACTGTCAGTGTCAAAAATGTCATCCCTATTCTCAATGTAGCAATTGAATTGTTGTCCTTCTCCTTGCTTCATACCGCAGAACAAAATCAAGGGCTACGAACAGAACCTCTTCCACATGCAGACGTTTATCGCAGCGCGGGAAGCAGAAGCAGACTTTGGTCAGCAAAGGGAGAAAGTCCTTGGAACGATGGAAAGCATCAACAAGATTCTGATATCGAATTGCCTTCGCATTCCGCCGATGGCGGGCTATTAAGAATATCGTTTACAGAGGGCTTTCCTGGTTTCGCATCCGACTTTGTTGGTGAATACATGAACTTTTTTTTTGCATGACAGCTACAAATACTTTAGGGGATGTAAAGATGAATGAGTACTACCGCGTCCCTATCCAAAACGTAACTGACTTCTTGATACTTGTTGGCAACACCAACAACAAGATGCGGGGTGAATCGTGGTCAATGAATACTTCAAGTCACATGATTGTGCGTGCAGCATTGCTTAGGAAAGCATTGTTGACCGGCGCTTATGACGCATCCTGGAACCGGTTCGCGTGGACATTTTCGGATACAGAATTAATTTTCTCGTGTTCAAGAAGACAAACACACAGAAGATTCTGTCACTTGTGGCTGAACGTTTGATGACCTTTCGGAAGTGCTTCGCCCTCAACACGTGAAATGGGAACGGCACAGCTTGCTCCCTCAGCTTCGAGGTTGACAGTTTGTTTCGCACTGCGATCGGTGGAGGACCAATCCATCGGAAAGTTGTCTGTCCATATTCCGTCCCGCAGGCAAGTCAAAAATCCTTCTGTCTTCGTCTCAGTTATCGCTCTCTTGTTCAGACCCTTTGAGCTACTATATTTATTAGGAGAGAACTTCGAGAAGTTCAAGTTTACTGATCCGATTTCGAAACCTGTATTCAGACGCAGTAGACGACACATGATGGCAGTACGGCTTGTTTTTGCGCGATGCTAAGGGCGAAGTGGTCACTGCTCATTTGGAGACGCGCTTTCTCGTAGTCGCTGTCAGCATTGCCAACTGACGAAATCCTCTAGCTTCTGTTGTCGCGCTCATCGTTCCTGCTGGTAGTTTTCGGCTCGCTTTGAGCACTCCCGATTGCGCCCTTCTTGTCTTATTCGACCATGTCGGGTGCTAAGCTGGTTTATGACTATCAGAAGGGATGGCCCTGGATGGTCATTCTTGCTGTTCAGTTCGCAATTCAGCCACTGCTTACGCAAAGCTTTAGTGGAGGTATCTATCCGTGGAGTAGATCAGTTTTCTTCGTTTCTTTCCAAGAAGAAGGTACTTGTCGTCTATCGTAGTTAGATGATAGATCACGATCAGGTTCAGGTTTCATAAAAATCACACATACACAATCTGCCTTGCCGTCGCGCACATGCATATGAGGGCTAGTTTTCCTACTTAGCATTGTCTTTGTTGTTGACCTTCAACTCTATCCTCAGATGACTCTGGCATAATTTCTCCTCAGATTTCGTTTTGCTGGATCCCGTAATAAATCCGCGGATCATGGTTTTGATCACGGAACTGGCGAAGGTAGTGATATCTCTCGTGTCCTTGTTTCTGAGTGGTACCTTGATGCACGACTTGCGCGGGATGAGTTACCGGACATCCGTGGTACCCGCTTTCGTGCCCAGCATTTCGTACTCCCTCCAGAACATCCTCATTTATCTTGCCTATCTGTCTCTAGACCCGCTTGTCGCCAACTTGCTAAACCCAACCAAAGTGGCCTTTACCGTTCTTTTTACGTACCTCTTGTTGGGTAGACAAACGAACCGGACGGAAATGGGAGCTGTGGGCCTGCTGTTCGTCGCGGTGGTCGTTCTGAAGTGGGAATCACCTGACCAGGTGCGCGCCGAGAAGACGATGAATGGGAATTTTGCGTTTGGTTTTGTCTACGCGTTGGGGGCTGCCTTTCTCTCAGGTTTCGGTAGCGCAATGTGCGAACGCTCAATGCTCATTCTGCCCAAGGCTACTGGAGCCTCTTCAGCTGGGAGCGGAAAAGGAAATGCTTCAGATGATGACGGCAACTCAGTAGACGATTCATCCAGCAGGAGGTTAAGGCTTGTCCTATCTAATCCATCCTGAGAAAGCATCGGCATCCTAGGAGAGAGAAAGAGGCATCTCTAGACTGTTGCTGTAAGAGGAAGAGAACCTCCAGAAGGATGCCTCCGCCTCAGATGACTCTCAAGATGGATTTTTGGCGTTGGGCGTGTGTACTTCTAGTTCTAAAGAAAGGCATAACGAGTACCACGAGCATATCGAGTTCTAGTAGTACAGGCAGCCACAGATCCGCTTCGAGAGTGAGGGAATCCTCGATAGCGAGACCCGGAGGAGACGATTTAGCTTTGGAAAGTATGAGCCGAAGCTCATCCTCTTCGTCCAGCAGTGTCGGGCGGCGGCGAAGTGAAGGCTCTTCGGGCAGCGGACGGCGAAGTGGTCTACAGGGTTCCGCCCGTAGGCGCCCTTCCGGTGGTACGTCACACAGAAACAAGACGCCGGGAGCATCGTCATCCCGGCAAGGAGGGAACAACACATCATCAAGTCGAGGAGCTGCGGAGGGTCTCTCCGGCGGCGGGGAAACAGATTTGACTACGCGGACGACGGCAGTAGCGCGGGCAATCGCCGCTGCAGCGTCGTCCACGAGTGCGGGCAGCGACGACGGCTCCTCTTCGGGTAGCAGTGCGGCTGGTGCGGCCGTGGCCGCGAAAAAAAGAGCACAGCGCAGCGTAGAGGATGATACGCACCTGTCCTCTCTGGCGGGCTCTAGCGAGGAGGAGTTGATGCTCGTCGATGCGAAGAGCGTTCTACCAAGCTCCCCAACAGCGTCCGCGATAGATACGGGAAAGAAGAGTGCCTATTTGTTTTCTCTCGAGCTCTCCTTCGCAACTTTTGTGCTCACTCTAGTGCAGGTAATTGGCATCTACGTCTGGGAGTACTACCTTTCAAGTTTCCCCATTTTTCGAGACTTCCAAAGTGCTGTACCCACAGCAAAGTGGCCAGCGGTTGCGGTGCACACTCCAACACTCTCATCATGCGTACCACTTTTCGTGCAGGCATCTGGGGGGATCGTTGTCGGACAGGTAAGCACGTAGCACATAAAAAACTGTTGATGTTGTTGCTAACGGTGACCGCCAAGTAACGTACTGGTAAAATCTGTTATAAGAGACGCCGATACTTGCTAGTCACGCTACTCGAGGAAGCACCAGAATCTCAATCATTTTTGAGCGGTGTATTCGTATTGCGGTCTGTAAGGTCGAGTTCCGTGCACTACCATATCTGAAGTTCTTGCAGAGTAGAGAACACTGAGCGTCAAACTCCCACTCTCGCATCAGAATTATCTAGGTAACAAAATATGTCGGAGGCGTCGCAAAGGGTTTCACGATTGTATGTGGCATCGTTTTGACAGCAATAATCAATGCCGTGATGCAAGGGAAAATTCCCTCGCTATCTTTGTATGCAGCAGTCATTCTCGTTATGGCTTCGGTTTTCTTACAAGCCCGTGCAACCGCAGCCGCCAGCGCTGCTGCAGCAGCGGCAAAGAAAACGCAATGAAACCCGTTCGCCGTGTCATTTTCTTCACGATTCAATGCTTGCTAAGTCTGGCACAACACATACAACGATGTTCAAGATTGAGAACAAAGTTAAAGTCTACATTGGGACAACAGAAGGCCTTTTGGCTACTTAACAACAGCATACCATGATATCTTTTTTACTCAAAATGAATCGAAAGATGACTCCTTCTTCGGAAAAGTATAATGTTACTTCAATCAGGCATTTCCATGCATACATTACTAGTTTTTGTTCAACATTGGAATGAAATATTTATATATAGGAAAATTCGAGATCCAATACTTCTACTTGTCAGAAGCACAAGGGAATATATAAGTAGCGACTTCTAATTGTGAATGTTTTGTTGACAGATCCTTTTGCCTTAAACCGAAAGAACCTGTAAACGTATGTTCTCGCATGACGAAAAGAAGTTTAGAAGAACGAGACTTAAGAGCGTCCATACAACTATGTCTGCCAGTGCTGGGTCATAGTGATGTTCGTGATTTCCTCTAGCATCCGTCTGGAAAACGAAAACGTCCAATTACTTAGTCATCGGTTAATCATTTAGGATGAGGATGGATTGGCATTGCGAGCAGAGTAGTAGTTGAATATACGAGAGCCGCAGGAACGGTAACAATTGAGGTTTGAGCGAACAGGCACATTCGAATCAATAAGAATTTCATCTCTTACCACTGAGAGAGGTGGAACTGGCGTGCAGGATGTGACACCGGATCATTGACTACTAGTTCTGGCTTTATTTGTCCTCCTAGGTGATAATTTATATTTTTCAAAAATGACATTGAGATTGACATAACATTCCATACTAGAACCTAATCGAATTTATGAGCATCAAGCCAGATTTAGATAGAAGACTTTTCGGATGGACTCCATTGTCCCTTCCGTACTGCCGCATCCGATTACTTACTTATCTCCATTCATATGATGTTAATGTTGTCGTCGTCATCATTGGGTTATTTGGCGCTTCCTGATTCTGTTGGGAATCCGAGACTCTCTTATAACAAACGAGGTTCCTATTTCCTCTGAATAGATTATAATCGATGAACACCTGCACTTTCTTGTTTACCTACAAAACTGAGAAAAAAAAACCGAGAGGTCGTAACCAACCTATACCAAGTAGACGCTCTATTCATCTGTAAGTAATTAGAATTATCAACATTGGGATGCATAGGATTCTAGATTCAGCTGAAATAGACATATACTAGACACACAACTTAGAACGCACAACGTGTACAAGTCGGGCCTGCTGCGGCAGAGTGCTAGTTCCTAGGTACGTAGCGTACTCCTACGCAAACACTCGAAAGAATGATCCCTGCGACACCCGACTACGTGCTCGGGCTCGAGGGGCCAGCGAAGGACTTTCTCTGCGACCTGGAGGCAAATCATTACGGTGTCGAGTTCCTGGCATTCAAGATTCGATCTATAAATGAGGTACTAGAACAAGTTAGTTGTACCATCAACATTGTTGGTAGTTTCACTGCGGCACCATGCTCTACTAACTTTAGCTACATTCATACATTTGAAATTTTCTCTAGATTCCATATCAGAGAAACATGGAAGCTTAGTCGAACAGCAAACAAAGGGATGAGATATGATGAGTTTTTTCTGTGTTGTTCTTCATTCGTGGCTGTTAAATGGGTGATGTCGACACAAATAGAAAAAGCTATAATTATTATTGATGCAGCAAAGAGAATGATTGTAGTTGTTTTCTTCCACTTGCGTGATGTGAATAAAATCAGGACACCGGTGAGTCAAAAGTTCATTTTGACGTGCGTGCAGACGCCGCCGCGGAGGCCGCGCAACCACCACCAGCAGATCCAGACGAGATTAGAAGAGTGCGGTACCACTTCGGACCGGCCTTTCTTGATTTGAAGACCATCGGAACGGAGCTCGAGTTTCGTTGCACCAAAGAAGTTCGGAATTTCCGCATGATCGAGCGACACTTCTTCAGGGACGAGTATTTCTGATTTCCTAGCATTGTTTCGATTTTTGAAAACTCGCACTATATACTTAGTCGTTTCTGGCCTACGTACTTTATCCTACTCTAAGGCATGTTCTAGATCGAACCAACATGACCACAACGCACCAGGTGCATCAAGAGCTACGACTTTACCTTCCCCTTCTGTATGCCGAATAGCGTGAATACGTGGGAGATAATATATTCTATGCCAGAGGTGCTGGACGATCACTTGAAGGAACTGATAACTGCTCATCCCTGGGAGACCACATCAGACAGTTTTTATTTTGTAGACGACGAACTGATCATGCACAACAAAGCAGAATATTCCTACTCTCCAGACCTTCCGGAGCAGTAGCACGTTCTGCTCGAAAGGATTCCCAGCAAGCCGTCGTGAAAGTTTTTTTGATTGATCGATGATCTTGATCACCTGAACCTGAACGAAGGAACATAATTACTAAAGATAACTATACAAATTTACAGTTGTACCAGCTAGCGTGTAGAAGTTTCTTGTGGTGGAAAGTCGAAAGTAACCAGGGCTTGTCAGATTGTTCATATTGACGGCGTAGAAATGGATTTAGGATGGTGCAGCGTCTTTCGAAGATACTTGCACTTTCTGCTCGCACCAATTCTTGGATCCCGGCAATCACGGAAGTTGATGTGAGAGCGAACGAATACTTATGTGCTGCTATAATTGAGGCGAACGTCTCCACTTTCCTACGTACAATTTTTCTCTTCAGTTCGTTTGCAGAAGTGTCGTGGCTTCGAATCTTGGTCAGCTTGTAGCCCTCTGTCGTTTCCCGCCACATCGTCTGATCAGAAAACGTATTTTCAGCTGCAGCTTCAATTGTATAAGGACAACATCCATGAATTGTATCAGGGAGTCATTCTCCCGGCTCGCTCTCGATGGCTTTCAGTATGTCTGTGATGAAATTAAAATAATAGCTTCTTGTTCCCCGCCCTCAATTGAGATTCCCCATCCCCTCAATTGAGATCCCTCTTCTATGGTATTGACGATGGGTCTATTAATTTCTATGTATCTATAATATAATGTGTAAGTAGGTAATTACTCGAAAAGATTAGCTCCTCGTCCTTCCCTCATTGATGGTCCTGCGCCTCGGCATGAGAAAGAGGTCAGGAGCCAGTCTACGGTACTGAGATATATATTTTTAGAGAGTGCATGAGCGGGCACACGTAAGTAACTACAGTCGGATTGAAGAACGTAATTCTAATTTGATTCGTTCCACGAACGGCAATGTTTTAAGTTTGATTTAGTGTGGGGGGACATCTCAACTTGTTTCTCCTTAGTGCTCCTCTTAAAAATCTGCGAACCTCATAAGTATCGCGATGTCGGAATACAGATGTGGATGTTGGTGTAGACAATGATGTGGTACAGTCATTCGGCTTCGGCCCGTTCCTTTTTGTCGAATGATTCATTCCGACTGACATAAGTAGAGGGGCTTACAGTGGATCATCAGAATGGTCGTTATTTTATCGCAACGTCGTGGTTGACAATTAGAACATCAAGGGTCCGCATAAGTCGGCACTAGTTTTACGGCACCACCAAAGTTGACAGCTCATTTTCATCGTCCTCTGCGATGACTTTTCAGCACACAAAGACCACGGATCGAGAGATAGCCTGCTGAAGCTGATGCAAATCATGTTTATTTAATTAACTTCGTTCCCAACAGCTAGCAGCTCCAGCTGATTATATAGACATTTTTACGCTCCTGTCGTCTAAGGAGTTTGTAAACAAGACCTAATTTTTTTTTCGCAATGGCTGTGCTCTTTTGAGCGCAAGGAGTTAAGGCATCCTGACTCTGTACTAGTGAACAATGCAAAAATCATCCCGCGAACTGGAAGAAGGCAGGAGAGTGTGTTATTTGTTCTGGACGAAGATCCTAGAATGAGTCCGTTGCCCCTGTGCGATCAGTATACCAATCGTAAGTAATTATAGCGAACAATGCGAGAGAGAACAGTCATTAAAGGCATTTGCGCACAAAACTGGCACTGGAGGAAGGCTTTGTTGTCGTAGAGAAACTTCTCTACTGAGTACTGCGAGCGAGCTTTACCGAGAAGAAAAATCATTGCTTGCGCAAGAAGGGTCTCTGGTGGAATGCGGTGCATGCTGGGAAAAAACGATATATTTATAGTAGTGTGTGAGCTCTATTCGTATTCTCAACATGCAGCCTGTTTGTTGGACCAATTTTCAGAAATGAGTACTTGCTCTGTAAGACACAATTAAACGACACAGTCAGACCCACATAGCTAAGACTGGACTTGTTTATCAGCATTATGTTTTCGCACGATTTGATTTTGAGATGGAGGATTTTTTTGATATGCCGAGCCGCATCTATTGACAGACCGCCGTCACTACGCATTGCAGATTCTTCGGCGAACAATGACGATGCGACCACGACCCTCGAGGCGAAGGGAGCTCGTACTGGCATACTTTTGCGGGTGCTGGTTTTCGATCGTCCAGCGAGGATTATCTTTCCAAGAAAATCTCGATAAAGTTCAAGTTGTAAATGCTGGCAGACGAGATCATGAGACCTCGGACTTACATACGAGGCGCATCTTTGGACCGGGAGTCGTTGATGATAGGGTAGAATATGTAGCACGTCTAGATGATGTGGTCAAAAGCGTTTCCAGTGGCTCGGAGAAGGCGTTTGCAGAAAGAACTAGGGGAAGATATGAGGGAAAAGGTTTCAGCCCCGGCCGCTTTGAGGAGTCGAGTGACCTCACAACCGGAGGCAGGAGAGGGACTCAGGACACTAGAAGCAGAGAGGAGGCTATGCAAGAGGCTGATTTTAAGAGGGAGCGGCGACAAGACAAGGGAGCGGATGCCGCTCTAAAAAGGCTTTTTCGAGGGCGAAAACTTCTCACAACAGCAAGCAATCATGGAACAAGCGCAACGACTTCATCCTCAGATCAAGATCGCGAGATTACGCAAAAATGGTCCTTCGCAGAGCCAGCTGCAGCTTTTGCGGCATATATGAGAGGCCGTGGAGAAGGTTCAACGACATCAGGTACGCTGTCTGGGCTGTCGTCGACCGATCGTATCATGCAACACACGCTGCATCCGCTTGCAAAGCGCGCGCTCGTGTGTGGCGCCGGTGAATATTTTGATGGTGGCGGAATAGAGAGCATGCTCGTAACAGGCGAAGAAATGATTCCGTCGGCTCTGTTCTGCAAACTCTGCCCACCCGGCGAGTATTCACCACCGCTGCCTTTGCGACGCGTGGCAATGTGGGGTAACAGCTCTTTCCTGCGTGGAGATCGGCAAACCACGGACCCACAGGCGGGAGTCGTGCAGCACCTTGGAGCCGCACGCGACTGGCTCCTCTTTCCACTCGATGGCACCGACCTTGCAATTCCAGAATCTGACTGGGCCATTTACGACGCTGACCGCGTCGACGCTGCGTCCGTGACTTCAAATGGTGCACGCTGGCTGACGATTCCCTCACCCCTGACGCAAGTGGTAAGGACTCGATCGGTCGTCGCTCATGTGAATGATGGTTCTCACGGGTCATCTGCTACGACAGTTGAAGAATACGACTTCCTGCCACAGTGTCTGCGGTGTGGGCCACACGAGGTGACGCGGTCAGGTCAGGGTAGTGCAACCGCGGCGGACTGCATCTGTCAGCAGCAATTTTATTGGAACCGTGCACGCAAACGGTGCGAGCCGTGCGTTCGCGGAATGGTGTGCGTGTGGGGTCCAGAGACCGTTTCAAAAACCATGCAGGAAAGCATAGTCGCGTTGCCCGGCTACAAGTCCGTGCCCCGAGGAGACCTATCCCTGGACCGGAATGCGCCTTTTCTTCTAGAGAGTACGGAGGGCCTGCGTGACATGAACGGTTTCACACTATTCAATTATGCATGGATAATCAAACTGTAAACTGTTTCCGTACAACTATCTGGCTGTCCGGAAGGTACTTACTTACTTTAAACGGACCCAGGATCGTCAATTCCTTCCCGAAAAATGCTGAAACAAACCTTTCTTGGGAAGCACTTTGTCATTTATTCGAAGAATTTTTCACCATGATCTGCCATTATATTTTTCTACTGATGATTGCATACCCATATAAGTACGTTTTTTATTGTTTTTTGAATTTTCATGTTTGATGCGGTGCTAGCATGGACCTTCCGGTAGTAGACGAGCAGAACAAGAATGAAATAAAGATGCTGCACATTATGTCGGACGGATTGAAGCTGCGGTGCCCTGGAGGCGAGGACCAATGTGGCAACGTAGATCACATAGGACCGACGTGCCGGCGGTGTGTGAGCACGGCCGGGTATGACGGTAAGCTGTGCAGCCCCTGCGACAGAAACGCTGTCGGAAAATTCGTCTTGGAAAATCACGCGCTCACCATGGTGCGTGCTTAGAATTATATTTATTTGGCTATTGCAATCACAATCTTATCGTCATCATCAATACCAAAACCGTCTTCCATTTTGTACTTTTCGTCATCAAGGATGACCGTTCTCGGAGCCGTTGATCTCGATGGTTCATTGAACAACGAGAAGCGCAAGAAAAATCGGATCAACAATAATCGCATGCAGGTAATTGGCTTCGTTTTGACCTGCATCATGCTCGGTGCTGTGTACATGCTGACAGTCGGACACGAGGTTTCCTCAAAAGCCAGCCCTGCGCTGTTCACGGGCACTTTTCTTGGCATGACGGTGCAGACATTCCAGACGCTCTCGTTGTTCAGTACGATGAAGGTAGCATGGCACGACGAGTTTCGCAAGATGCTCAAGGTCGTGCGAACCCTGTGCTTACTTGAGATCCACGAGATGGGTGTCGGGTTTGAGTGCGTTGCAAGTGGGAACTCATTCCGGCACTACGTGGCGCGCATAACACTCCCTTTGGGCGTGTTTTTCATCTATTTTGGCGCGTATTGGCTGGCGCGGAGGCAGGAGCGCCAGGCTGAGGCAGCAAAACGGAACGAGTGTACTGATGAAGAGATGAGACTGCAACAGCAACGGAAGGGTCCGGATGCGAGCATCAAGAAGGATGAAGACGAGGAAATCGCTGACACTTTTTTTCGTTCTCCGCCTGGATCAAAGACGTCTTTTGCGAAGGTTGTTCCGAGTATAGACAACGAAAAGGGACGAGACGACGTGACCCAAGTGAATACCTCAAATTTCCGGGAGGGATCACACTCAGCTCCTCCAACCCTTCTTGAGGCGGATGGATCGGGGTCCGAGAAAAAGGAGCGCAGACGCTCGCGACAAGGTTCCAATGCGCGACCCGATCACGTACGCTCTCAATGGGAACACTTGACAGTGGCCACAGGTCCCACCGCTGGTGATCCGGGGCCTGCAACGTCTTAAGGCAGATTTCTTTGATTGTTTTTTTTCATCAGATACAGATTGACGTTTGTCAAGTCAGAAAATCCTCAGAAATATTGCTGATGCTCGCCTCCCAACATCTAATCATGGGCGTCTCCTGTGCGCTCCGCCTTTGCTCGATCTCAATCAACGTCGAGTGCGGGGATGCTGAGTCGGGGTGCAAGTGGCATGGCAACTCGAAGGAGCGCATCCGGGACACTTCTCGGCGCGGCGGAGAAGTCTTTGAGGGCGCATCACGCAAGCGATAGCAGAAGGTCGTCGGGACAAGGCTTCTCTGCACGTTCTACGCTTGCGAGTCTGCTTCCGGTTCGCAGTAGCCACGAACTTTCAGCAGAGCAAGACGGCGGGAAGGATTTCGCCAGTTTTCTGACGACATGGACGTCGTCAAGCAAAAATACGAGTGGTTGCATGTTGTTATCACATGCTGCTGAAGCCGAGGATAAAAATGCAAGAAGCACAGACCAAGAGACGAGACCAGATTTGCATCCACGACACAATGAGACTGACATGTATGAACATGATCAGCAGGACGGGTATGGAAGTGATGCGCAGTCGACTCATCAAATCCGCCAGAGTGTTGACAGGCGAAGCATCTGCCAATCTCGAGAAGAAGCCAAAGGAATATCAGCTACCGCTTCAAGGGATAAGAAGCATGTTGCAGAAAAAGAAACAGCAGGAGCTTGCGCTGACGAGGCGAAGAGAACAAGTGCTGTCACGGCGTCTTCGCGGTGCAGCCAGCGGAAATCCCAATCGAAAAAGAACTTGCTTTTTCTGGCACAACTAACAGCCTTCCAACAAGACTCATCTGTGAAAGCGAATAGAGCTGCGCTGCGTGCTGGTGAATCGGATCAACTTCTACTGATATCGCCAAATCGTCGGCGTGCATCTGTCGCTGCAGAGCAGCTTGCGCTCTTGGGTGCGAGTCAGGTGGATCACTGGTGGAACAAGTTGCAGCGTGCCTATCGCGGAGTATGCAACGAGATTTCGTACGAGAAGATTTTCTGCTGTTGCGGCTTCTTTGCGCAAGCGTTCTACATCAGCTTTGCCGCGCTCGGGCTTGTGCCTTTCGTTTGCTATTCCCATCCTCAGAGTCAGGACCCAGCATCGCTGCTCCCGCGCGAGCCATCCGGTGCGACAGGAGGTGCATCAGGTACAGGTTTAGCTGCTTCTCCGGCAACACCCGGCTCCACGCTGTTCGCGCCTCTCTGGTCGGCATTTTTCGGGCAGGGCGCGGATGGAAATGATCCTGAGCAGGGAAGCATGGCATCTGATGCCAACATGCAATACTATGAGAGCTACAGGCATTTGTACGACGCGACGACGCGGGTTCAGTTGAAGTCTATCGATGGTTACGAGGATGTACTTTGTTCATGGGATGATCCAGAATGGCGAAAGTTTGTGGCGGCGGCGATCTTTGCGATAATTTTGTGGCCAGTCGGTCTCATGGCTGCAGCTCTCTACCTGATAAAGATCGCGCCAGAGCGTAGTATGACGGATCCAAAATTTCTTGTCCAGACCCGCTTCCTCTTCTACAGATTTCGACCGGAGCGGTACCCATTCTTTCGTTCTTGTGTTTGCTTTGAATTTTAATTTGATGCAGAGTTATAAATTTCTACATTTGAATGATAAAAATTCTGGTAACATCTTCATGGGATACTCCGACTTTCGCAACAAAGGGTATTTTTATATATAGACGTTGTTGTTGAGTATCGTTTATTTTTGCACAGAGCACACGCCACGACACGCCCGCTGCAGGTACTACTGGGGTGTTTGCCTTCAGATACGGAGTTTGCTAACGGTATTGTCGATCGTCGTTGGACCAGACTTCCCGCTTTATCAGATGAGTCTCCTGTGGCTTTTGTTCGTGGTCGCTTTGGTCATTCAGGTACTTTTGCGGCAACCTGTTAAGTGAAGATGTGCAGCTCTGCTTTATATATTGGTCGTCTAAGATGAACTATGTATTATCATTTGGGATAAACTCATACTCATTACTCAGAAGAAGGACAGATGAGACAGCGGTCTACTAGATTGTCATTAATCTTCGTGGAATATTGTTCGATTTCAAACTGGACAGAGAGAGCGAGGTCAAGACTCATTTCCAAATGTTCCTTTCTGATATTGATAATTCGGAATCAGAAAAGTTGATATATTCTCCATGCACAAGAGCAAGAATATTAATCACGAGTTAGGTTCACGTATGGCCTTGGCGGGATGACACACTGAATATGCTGGATACTGGGCTTCTGGTTTTCTTACTGGTTCTTACGACATGCGCCTTCCCGATGATCCCGGTCTCTGAGCAGGAACGGAACTTCTTCCAGCAGGTTGTATCGCACGTCTTCATTCTTTTTCTACTCATGATGCTCGTCGTTCTCGGGTACGGGACAAACATGGTCGCAGCCGCTTGGTTCACACGGCGCGCTCGACGGCGCGCAGAGCAAGAACGAAAGCGGGCGCTCGAAGTGGCCGCTTTAGGAGGCGCGAGCGCTAAGACATCGATTTGCGACCTGGTAGGGATTCGGTCAGAGGGCGACGATACTGGCGAGATGGAAGAAACATTGCGTACTGGTAGGAAAGAAAAGAAAAAGCAAACGTCTGGCAGGAGTTCCAGCACAGTAGAAATGAAGACGGGAGAGAGCAGGTGGTGGCAAAGAGAGACGGTAACGCAATCGACAGCGAATTTACTTACAACTTTTTCTTACATTGCAAAGAACGGCAAGGAACGTGCCATTTCACTGATTTCCTCATCTCCGAGTAGTGCGATCGTCAAAGGAATGAATCTGGAAGATGCATCTTCATCATCGTCTTTATCCTCGTCCACAACATCAACTACGGAGAGGCGCCGGCTGCGGAAGTCTACACTTTTCGGATGTGCCTTTTGGACGTCTAGCATGTGCCGTTTTCGACGCGAGGCAGGATTTGCACTTCGGAGGCTCCTCGTCTGCCTCGGTTGGCTCCCGCAAGAGGCGCTGGAACGAACACGGTCAGATCGGGCTTCGCGCCGTCGTTCGGGGACTCGAGGTTTCGGGAACTTCGTTGTCAGCGCCCACGAAAGCGACCGCGAGCTGCACATCCGGGAGGTGGCCAGCGATTGGCTATCCGCGCAGCAAGCGCTGACGCAGATGTCACCAGAACAATTCGAGGCACTCATCGATCGCCTCAGTTTCTACGAACTGAAGAGTGTGGAGAGCGTCTTGTGTCTTTTCGAGCGCCATATAGAGTGTAACGGCATCCTCTTCAGCGACGCAGGGGACGCTACCAAGAAGAGCACTGGTCGGCGGAGGCGCTCGACATTTGCCGGTATTGGCCTGGGTACCCGTCTGGAGCTGTCGCCGGCGGGTGCTACGAGTCCACTAAAAGTGCTTCCGATGCTGGCTAATGCCCCTGTTGCAGCAAGCAAGGGAGCTTGCGGCAAAGAAGTAGAGGCCGACGAGAACGCCTCATCGCAAGAGGAAGATGATATTGCAGACCACCAGGTAGCTTCCACAGAACTAGAAGCAGGCTCGGTTTCATCCCGAGGTGACCTAAGCCAACTGCGTGGTCCCTTCGCAGATGACGAAAGAAGTCGACGAAGTAGTCGCACTGTCTGTTCGATCAAGAAGCAGGAGCGAGGAGGAGGATTATTGAATTGCCATCCCAGTTCGATCAAGAATGGATGCAACGACGAGGCGTCAGTATCGTCTGCGGTATTGGGAATCCCCGACTCCTCGACGAGGACGAAACATTTTTTCCCACCAGAGAGCATTCCTCCGAGCACCAGCCCTTGCGACATTTATTCATCGACGTCCTTGCGCGTCGATCCGTCGCTGGGAAACGAGCCACAAAATGCGCGTAAGAGTTCAAACTCATTTTGGATACAGGACCAAGAGCAAACAGACCCGACCCTTGGAAGCTCTCTGCCGAGTCACAACCGCAGAATTCGCATCACACCACCTCAGACGGATGTTTCAGAGGCTGTGCGTGAGCGGGTGGAGGTGGGACAGCAACAGGAGAACGGGAGCACTAAGCTTGAGCGTCGTATCTCGAGACGACGAAGCAGCTGTAGAATGTCGCCAGGCAGCGATGGAGGATCTTCGCGCTCTAGTGGCGGAGGACGGCACCCTAGCATTAGTCGTGATCCGGATTTTCAAACCTCTGTCACACAAAAGGAAAAGCTTTCTGGTGAGATTAAGGAGTATTCCTCTTCGTCGTGTATGGTCACTGCCAACAGGACTTCAATGTCCCCCCTCCCGAGCATTGCGGTAGTTTCTGTCGACCCCTCGTCGGGTGGTGGGGCGATGCTGAGACCGCCAGAGGTCCGCCTTGAAGTAGACCGCGCTCCGGCTTCGTCAACGTCGCTTCCGTCTCGCCGCGTGAGCGGGCAGTCGAGCGGGTCCGAACATCGACGTGTGTCTAATGCGGCCACAACATCCCCCGCAATATCTTCGGGAGGACTGCCACGTTCAGCTACGCCTCGACCGTCGATCGTAGTCGCAACTGAACACCAGCTTCTCGAGTTCTTTCCGAACCGAAAGTCGTCTCACGCTATTCTTGAGTCTTGGTCTCGTGATAGGCCTCGCCGCAACAATAGCGACAGTGCCGAGTCGGGAACGACGCCAAAAAGTGCACGAGACGGTCGAATTCCGCGAGTGCAATCGTCGCTCTCGGCTTCTCGCCGAAGCAGTGTAAGTTGCAACGAGAGGGCAGCAGCAGGATCAAGATCAGATGGAGGGTACCATCGAGACCGAGGCGCAGGGTCAGCCAGAGGAACAGAGACGAAGGAACTCGTGCAACAAGTAGCAGAATCGAGGCCGGGGGATGAACGACTCGATACAGACGGACCTAAACAACTTGGTACAGTGGCGCAGCCCACTGACACCGGCGCGCAGCTGCATGGAGGAGCAGAAGACTATAGCAGCAGAAAAGGCTATCCTAGCTCCATTGAGAGCAATAGGGATGTGGCGGGGGTGAGGGTGGACGCTGCGACGGAGCAGGAAAATAAGAAGCAAACGGACGCTTCTCTCCACTCTTCAGCAGGGTATGCTCTTGGCAAGCGACGGCAGGCGCCAAAAAAGAGCGTCAGCTTTGACATTTCCTCTTCGAATAACGCATTTTCGCTGCAGAATACCGATGATGTATTCGGGCGTCGAGATAGAATCTTGACAGATCATGTCCTGAAGACCGACGCAGCTGAGAAAGAAGATGCTCATCTTTTAAGGGCTGACGAAGGGCCCAGCAGCAGCAGGAACAAGAATCCAGTAGGAGAGACGTCCGCGGATGTTGTCGTCGACGATTTCAGAGCAAAAGACGTCAGCGAAAACCCAGACATTGACCGTGAGAGGGCCGAGAACGGAGAACGCATGATTGACAGCGTGTCGCGAAGACGTCGAAATAGTTCGATGTTCCTCTTCCAGCTAAATCGTGACTTCAAGTCCTCCAGTCGTCCTACTGGAGCAGAAGACGAGGCACAGGCTGCTACGGATTCGGGGGAACAGCGAGGATCGGCAAAGTCAACTCACAGAAAAAGCAAGAGCGATTCCCTCGCGAATGTGGTCGCGGCGATGCGTCTCGCGAGGCCAGGCAGCAAGTCTTCGCCAAAAGCAGAGGAACCTTCAGCTCTGCTGGGGTTTGATGCCGGTGGAGGTGGCTTCGGAACGAGTGGCGGCAGCAGGAGTAACGGAAAGAGTCGGAGTCCTTCAGGGGTAGGTCAACTTGAGGACGAAAGTGGCGCGGATCGTCCAGGTGGACGCGGGAGCGGGGAAAGTCGTGCTTCCAAGCGCTGGGGAAGCATGCACTTGTTGATTCCACCCTCCACCATGCTCGGCACAAGCACGGCGGAGAGCACATCCGGCAAGGGATCGTCAAGCAGGCCACCGTCAGCACCGCGAAAGCCGACTCCAAAGTCGGAAAGGACTAGCCCGATCGAAGAAATGGGGCACATTGATCTCATCGGTGGAAGCAGTCGCCGAAAAAGTGCGCTGAATGCTTCGCCGGAAGGAATCAAAGTGTCTAACATTATGGCTAGAAGGATAAGGACTGCATAAAGACCGACAAGAAGAGCAATAGAAATTGGATGAGTCTGGTCTCGGTATTCTGTTCGCCGTAAAGCCCTGTCGTTGCTGTATAATGGAAATAAGAATAATTCAGCTTTACATTTACTCAAGAAATGCTAGGACCGAATCTCATATCAAATCGGTAGTCATCTGGTTATGTCGGACTTGGATGTATTTGTGTTGCTTCATCTAACCACAGTTTGAGCAATTACAGCAGCGGCAACAATCTCTCGTCTTCTGGCGTTTCCGCGTCACAAGGTGTGGGGCAGCCATGGGAAAAAGCGCAGTCCGATTCACTGGGCGGACACGCGAGTAGAAGTACAAGATCCGCTAGTATTCACGTGACTCCGTCTGCGTCGACGGCTAGTACTAGTAGCGGCCAGGCTCGGCGCCAAACAGTGCAACAGCCGATGGCTCCACTTGCGTCGGCAGGCCACCAGGTCCTGTCGCAGCCGGGTAACGAAATTCGTCCTGGTGGGGCTCTTTCTCTGGAACAGGAGCAGATTGGCAACAGTATCTCCACCACAAATGATCATAGCGGAGGTGACGGGGCGTCGAAGTCATGGTTGGAAACCACCACAGCTGGGAGTGTTGTCGGTTCGAGGAAAAGCATCGATATTGGTCAGCTGGAGCAAGCAGCGCGACTGCGAGAAGAGCGGAAGAGCAGTATTATTTCTGAGAAGAGTGCGTGTGCGAGTCGAGTTCGCCGTCACAGCATGCTTGCCGGTGGTGAGTTGCCCACACGGCAGCACCTTGATGCGAGGAGTTCGACTACAGACGGTGGTGCGGGCGATTCTCTGTCGCCGGCGTCTTCTCCTGGTGGTACGGAGGGTGGTCGTAACAAGTTTCGTCGTGCCCGCAACAGACTGCGCATTACGCACTTACTCAATTCGTCCTCCCGATCTTCAACAAAGGGAAATGAGTCCGGTATTCCGCGACTAGAGTCTTTCTCGTCCTCTGCGTCAGTCATGTCTTCGGGCTCGGGACCTCCCGGTCCCGTCCCCACTAGCGCCTTGCCGCTCAGCCGACCTTCCGTTTCCGGCATGTCGGGTGTTTCATCCATTATGTCCTAAAAATAGCACAATGATGAGACTTGATGAACACTGACCATACGACTCAAAAATATTCCCTCAAAGAAGAGATATGGCACCGCCGAGAAAAAATAGTTAGATAGATTTATAAATATATATTGTAAGAATAAGATACCTGTCCTCTAATTTCACTAGCGGCAATTCGAGGATAATGGAACATGCGTCCGAATTAAAGAACTCCGGCGCGGCGAATTTACTTGCACTTGGTGGAGACCACAAAAGTTTTATTTTGTAAGGTCTAAGATTTTGGATTTTTGACTGAAAGAGTCTAGTTTTTGACTTCAAATGTCTAACTACTCATGTATACGAAGGGAAAACAATAAAAATGATTCCATATTAAATTAGTTCTGAAAATCGATCAAGATCAAGATGACAAAAACAGATACGTCAATACAAAAGAGAAGCAAAGTTTTATTCTTGCTTGATCGTTCTCAACTTTACTCATTTAGTTGCTTGTTCCGTGGCGCAATATTGTGGGTAGGTTTTCTCTCTTGAAATTTTCCATAGCCTTACCGAATGTGTCCGATGCCGATGCTTGCGTTTCTCCCACTTTCGAGTGTGTCTGTTCATCGTTTTTGTTCGTAATACGTGCTGACATAAATTGGAGATTCATATTTGTTAGGTATCTACCTGATTGACACCGCCTACTTGCGCATACACGTAATTTTGCTTAGTTTGCTCCAGTTTCCACCACCCGACTAAACGCAACGCGATATTTCTGGGATGAGATTTCGGCTGGATCGGTGTATCAATTAAAGTGTTTAGTTGAGGACGCAATGTTATTCGTCATGCATTATAAGCTGAACCCTAGCAAGTAACTAGGCGTGATGCAAAGGTTCAGCGTCCTCAAACATTGAATCCTATCAATCTATCAGTATCAATCTTGCTTACATAAAATATTATCTTCAATTAACATTTAACAATTTGCTCCCGTCTGATTGCAGTTTCAAATTTTGCATTATTTGGTATTTGTCTGCAGTCGTGTCTAATTGTCAAAGACACGGAGAACTGCATCGTCTAGTTCTTGTTCAGTTTTTGTTTTATTGGACTACAAGAAATTTGCGATTGCTTGCCATTGCCATATTTATGACTCTATCTATCTACTACATAAGTAAGTTGTTCAAGTAAAGAGATGTCTATGTATGGTAATCTCTTCAGTTTTATTTGAGATGATGTGAAGGATATGGGACAGTAAAGAGTCATCATTATCCGCACAACGGGGTGGCTCCATGCACGGGCTAGGCAGTCGCTCATGAGCATCGCCACCGCGCGTCATGATTAGGCCGATGGCTGTTTCGAGCGTAGAGATGCGGCAGTCGCAGGTGCGGGGAGGACGGTGGCCCAGCCCGTCGCCGGCAGGTACACCCGTCGCCGGCAGGTTCACCGGACAACACTGGGGTCACCGTTTGGGCGTTCTCGGAATACAAAAAAAAAAAAAAAGGTGCGCTGTGGAGGCAAACTGATTGACTGGCCGACTGACTGCTTGATGAGCATCCGGCTTGCGTGCCTAGCCCAACGCGGAACCCTCACACCAGTGGCATTATTGTACTGTCCGGACCCTTGCGCCTTCCAGTGACTCCGTGTCGGGAGACGCGACGGGTGGCGGAAGTCGGGCCTTTTCGGCGGTGGAGAAGTGCGGCGAGAGCCGGCTCAGCATGCACCGAGGTCCCTGGCGTGGGCTTCAGCGTGGTAGACTGTGAACGAGGAGGGATAGATAGGCTGGCCAAGTGCCCGCGTGGCATTGTCCTGCGATCGGCCTGGGGTGGGGTTCTCTCCCTCGGCTGAGTCGTGAGGGCCCAGCCTTCAGTAGCCCGACACAGCGCAAGCAAAGCGGGCAGACTCCAAAGACAACCGCAGCTAGTTTGCGCTGGAGGTTCCGCGTGATAGCATAGCCTGCGTCAGGTGGCTAGCGTAGCCTCTGGCCTTCTACTATGGATGATCTTTGTGGGCTAGATCAGCGGGGGCACAGGCGTGCTCGCACAGGCCAGAGCTGGCCCTGGGTCTGTTAGTTCCTTCGTTATCCAGCGCCGCCGCTCGTTAGACGGCCGCATACAGTTGCTTGACTGATTGCCTGACATCTACAGACAACGCTTACGAGCTAAAAAATGTAAGGGGTCGCTACAACTAATTCCAAGAAGTGTAGCAGTGCAGTTGTGAGCAGTGTCATCCACTACATATAGAATTATTCAAGCATCATCCTCTTCCTCAGAAGCGAGTTGATGATCAGACGAGTAAGAAACTTTCTTCGCAGTCAAAATTAATAGTGTAGTAGGCACTATCAAACGTCGGAATCCCCCCGAGAAGAGCACTGGTCCGAGACCTGCGTCGGGACCGCAGGAGACTGGCACTGGAATGCAAGGCAGCACCGCGCATCGATCTATTTGCAGAGGCGGTAATCAGTAACCCTTATCGGATGTCAACAAACACCAGCCACATTCGATTGGCGTAGAACGAATCCGCATCCAGTTGTCCAGGGATAGATCAAGAAGAGCGGTAGTTGATTTTTGTTTGCCGTTTTGGTATAGGTATAATATCATATTAGATATTAGTATTTATAGCGTTAGTAATTTTTTCAAGACCAAAAAGTCTCCTCAAAGGGGCCTCCTTAAGGAGCTTCTTTAAGAAAATTGCATCCCTTCTAAGCCAGCCGCGCGGCGCTAGCTTGATGACTTAACGGCTTGCTTCGTTTGTCATATCTGTCTAGTTGCTAAGTGCTAAGGCTAACCGATGCCCAGCGCAGCGGGCTCTTGATGGGCCCGCTTTCTGGGCATGTACAAGTACAACAAGTAGAAGAGAGTCTAACATTCGAGAGAAATAACATTGAAATTTGAATTTTTGTTACTTACCTGTTTCGGACTTAGAAGATTAAGTAGATCATCAAGTAAAGCATACTATCGAGATTCTTAATATTTCAGCCAGCATCTTCTTCCATTTCCATCATCGTCACTGCACCATTTTGCGTCTTCATTAACAAGTTACAATCATTCATATGTTGTTCATCAAGTAGTATTCCAAGTTTTCAGATCCTTTGGTCGCAACATTAATATTTAATATAGTGACTGACCCTAAGTGTAAGTAGAGCTAGAGCTAGACTAGAGGCAGTCGTTTGTGTATTCAACTAATGAGTTGTGATAGTGGAGGTCCATCAAGAGGGTGTTGATCTTGACGAGAGAACGGGATAGTGTATGACTTTATCAAAGCTTAAGTTTTTGCTTCGATATTGGTTACAATGCAACGCGGGAAGCAAAGAAAGGCAGCTCATGTCTAACCCACACTGGAAGGCAAAAGTTTCGACATCCCACGTGATTCGAAGCCTTACTAGATGGACAGGTGTGGAGATAAGACGATGCTGTTATTTTGATTTTCTTTCGTGGATTTCCGTTTCGCTTTCGTCGTGTAGGGGTTCTACATATTATTTTGGTTTTCCGTATCCGGGCAGAATCTGTATATCAAGTGTTCGCTCTTATGTCATAAGACATGCTTCGGGACTTGTTCTGGTCTGGGCACCGACTATTTCACATTTCTCGCAGTCGTGTTGCCTCTCATGTCACGACGACCTGAACAGACAGAAAGATCACCGTAGAGTGTTGACAACCAAGACGATCATGATTTTTATATCAGAGGATTCTCGGATATCGACATAGCGCCATTGGCATTGTATACGGAAAAAATGACATCAAAGATGAGATCAAACATGAACTAGATGCATCGCTTCGTTGCAGAATAGCAAGTTGGTATTTTCGCCTCTGTCCGGATTCACGGAGCATCTTTATGTTGATTTGCATACAACTGATACTGACTTATCTTTTAGCATTCGCAGCTCGAATCTCAAGAATGCCAGTGGTTTGATGTTGTATGTTGCTAAGAAAGGCGGGCTTCACTCTCCTCTTGGGGGTGGACGCAGTATCTTTCTGAGAAGTACACCGTCCTTGTTCGAGACGCTGGAATCCGACCAGCAGGACTGCCGATGAGTGTGGGTGCAGGGTTGGGTCCGCGAGCCGCGCGGGTTGCCAGAAGCAACAGCTGGAAACTGCCTCCAAAGAGTACCTTTTGGGAATCAGTGCGCCCACCTGCGAAGCAATCGACACAGCCGAGCAAGCGTAAGCGCGCAAGGAATGAGAAGCAAGGCAGCGGAAGTGAGATAGCGGACGCTGATCGAATTCTTCCGGAGCTACATGAGGAAGATGACTTTTACGTGTCTGCAGAGTCCGCGAGCGCGACCCACTCAGCGTCGGACACATCGCCGTTTGCCAATAACGAGTATTTGCAGCAAGTGTCGGAGGTCGGTGATGCCCGACATCAAACGCGGCGTGGAAAAAACGAAAAATACAGAGACAAAGCTCTTAGTACGTCAAAATCTGAGCCCGAACCGCCTCGCAAGGCGTATGACCAGGTTGACCACGACGACGAAGGAACATGGGATATGGATTCGGCAGAGCACTGTAGATTAAGTCCAGATTTTCGCTATCAATCTGGCTTGAGTTTGAGATACTATCCCGAAGGAAGTCAACGCCAAGGAAATGGGAATATCTAGGGATCAATTTCAACTCAGGTTACTTATGATAAAAATGCGGAAGCTACTATTTCTAAGTACAAATACAGTTACAGAAGGTATCACGTCGGATAATGGATCACTAGATGCAGAAGCTTGGGAAAAGTCTTTTGCGTCGGAGAGGAATTCTTCAGTTTCAGCGGTCGCAACCAGCATCTTTGGGAAGGGTGCTGATGCTCTCTTATCGTCTGTAGCGTCCATCTCGTGTCCAGCGTTGTCGAGTAGGCGCCATCAACGAGTAGTACAAGCACATGCGGAAGATGATGTTGAGGTGGAAGGTATTACCACGACAATAGGTGAAGAAAATACATCTGCTAGCACCTGGAGGAGGTCATCCGAAGTGAGTGCCGCATCCAATGATCATCCACAAACAGCTTCCTCGTCTAGCACCTCCGTTTCAACTATAACGCTTCCGCAGAATCCAGCAGTGCGTACCTCAAATGACCTTGTGGAAATGCAAATGGCTGAGGAAGCAGTATCGTTGATGACGCTACAGCCTGACCAGATCGCGCTCAACGATGACCTGGTGCAGGCCAAGACGACGGGCCAAATTCTAAATCTTATGCGCGCCGCGTTTCGTAAGGACGAAGTCGCTTTGCTGGCGAGGGAAGAGGAGATGACTACAGCAAAGGAAATTGGGCAACTAAGATCTTCGTCACCAATTAGTACCGCAGAAACAGACTCGATAATTGCTGGAAGCAAACAAGGCTCACAAACACGAGGTAGTTCTGTGGATGCTGTAAACCTCTGCACCGCCCTTCATCGTCTCGCAAAAGTGACTGGTGTGTCACAGAACTCGGGTTCGCGGGCGAGGTTGGTAACGCAGCCTGAGTTTACGCAGTTGTTATCCGCTTGCGGAGACCGGGTGGACGCTTTCTCGGCACGCGGCTGCGCGAACGTGCTGTACGCTCTGACACGACTCCGCCACGTGCCCGTATGGATGCCGAAACTCTTGAAGAAAGCGGAAGAGTCTTTACCGTTCTTTGAGCCCCAGCAGCTTTCTGCGTGTATCTACTGTTTAGGAAAGGCACCCGCGTTGTACGCGAGTCAGCAGGGTCTCGCGCTGCGCGACGCCTGCCTAGAGCAGTCGCAGGCGGCAGCTTCGACCTTCACGACACCAATGGAAATCGTCGGGGTCGCAACGGGCCTGTCAAGACTGCTGAAAGATCATCGGCCTGCACGTGGCGCTCGTGGATTACGCGGAACTAAACTGCGGGGCATTCAGGAGCTGGCCTCTTCCGGAGGAGGAGGCGTGTCGGACTATCTCGCGTTGCCCGATCCCGCCGGACAGGGTGACTCAGCTTTGGCGAATACAGCAACATCTTCACTAAGCAGAATTGTCACGACAGGCGTGCTCGATTCGGGTGGAGGAAAACATCTTGTCTCAGCAACGTCTAGCACCGCAGTTGTTCCTCACGCGCTCGTCGCCAGTAGTTGTCCTACTATCACAGCTGGGGCTCGCATTTTGGGCGTGTTGGCGGAGAAAGCGTGCAGTCTGATGGACGAGTTTGATCTGGCCCAATTGAGTTCATTGTGTTGGTCGTTCGCGAACTTAATCAACCGACCAGGCCTCGATGTGCAGCAGAGGGGCGGCAGTTCATCGCGCAACGGGGCAGGTGATAATCTTGCCGCACCGCATTTGGCATCCTTCTTTGCTCGTACGAAGCCATTTTTTCAGAAAGTGCGGTTGCGGATTGAACGCGACGTGGATCACGAGCAGATGACCCCGAAGATCCTCGTGCAGTTTGTCTACGCACTGTCGAAAGCTGGTGAGGCCGACGAGGATTTGTTTCGTTTTGTCCTCGCACCCAGCGTTCGCTCTTTTCTTCTCGATTTTGAAACCAAGGACTTGTGCGCCGTTATTTGGGGATTCAGCAACGCGCGTGTGCGTGACGAGGCTTTTTTTGAGGACGTAGTGGCGTCTCTGTCCCACAAAGTGGCGCACATGAATGCCCACGATGTGGCGGCGCTAGTTTTGGCGTTTGCCGCCGTTGATTTCCGCGCGTCGAATGCCTTGTACAAGAAGCTGGCTGGCCAAGCGATCACGCTGGCGCCCACTTTTTCGCCAATGCAGCTTACGCGCGTCATCTGCGGGTTGGGGCTACAAAACCACAGAAATCCACGGGTTTACCAACGGCTCTTGGAGCAGGCGGAAACCAAGAAGAGACTTCTCTATCGTACGAACGTGGTGGATATTCTGCGCGGTCTCACGGCCATCGAGTACCATCCCAAGGAGCACCTTTCGTGGCTTCTGGCGGCAGCGAGCTCAGGCCTCGACAAACTACCATCTGAGGAGGCTATAGGTAAAACTACTTCGAGAACAATAGCCTTCAGCACGTATTTATTCACTGTCGTCTGAACAGGTTCGTATGCTTTTCGTGATGATTCGCATCGAAGTAATTAATTACCTGTTTTCCTTGATGCTCTCGTCGCATGAATCAGGTGGTCGATTCCCACTTTGATGGGTGGAATACTACACAGCTCTTCTTCATTATATCGACATCACGTACAGAAGACGTAGACAATGTAGCAATCACATCAACAACAAGTTCTACTCGTTCATTGAACAGGTAAGAACTAAGAATGATAAAGATAATGAAACTACCCAGAGACCACGACCAGAGTCTCTACCTTCTTGAACTTTTGTCAGCACTGCTTGTGATCCTTAGTAAGTTAAAGACTGCTGGCTATCGAGAAGTAGATCCTGCCTTTGCGGATCGAGCTGTTGAGTCGATCCGTAACGACAGTCGGGGCGCATGGAGAGCGCATGCCGGCTGTGTGGCTGATTTACTTGGCAGCATGCGCAGGCTTCGGCTAAATGTTGACGATTTACTGCTCGAAATTATGGTGCGGCTACTGCCGTACACAATACTCGAGAGTACGAGGGAAGATTTTCCACGTACTTAACCTTCGGCTCTGATAGATATTTATTGATATATATTCGATTGGTTGTTTTTGTAGTTCTTGTTCTTACTTGCGCCTTTTTATTGAGTTTGACAGGTACTGGAAATGTGCATCTCTATCTTTCGTATCGACATGAAGGTGAATCTTTCGCCCACTTTCAGGTCTGCTATACGAGCTGGCTGCCTGCTTTCCTCATGGAAGTCGTTCTCAGCTCTTGCTTCGTACTGCGATCCACCGTCAGCCACGAATCTTGACAGCCCTTCTAGAACGGATGGGCCCTATGCTTGAGGATGGCATTGATGCGCGTAGCGGCATTGAGCTGGTCCGCATTCTAGCCAGCATGGGTATTGATACACGGCACACGCGCTGGTTGATCCAGTTTCTGGAAGACAGGCTTCTGCCAGCGCCATCACGGATTCCGGCTAGTTTTCAGAGAAAGCACGCAGAACAAGACCCCGAAGCAGAGACGGGAAGCGAGCAAAGGCCTCCGACAGATGAAAGCAAAGCTAGACGACAAGAGAGGCATCATAGTGAAGTAGACCATACGAGCTCTGTCGTTGAGGATCAAGCTAGTTGTGTCATGGGGCAACCACCAGACTTCGACACGTTTTTAAACAATGCCACAAGTAGCAAAGCCGATACGCTAGGTGGGGGAGCTGGAATGTTCGATGGCGTTGTCGATGTCGACGTGACGCGGAAGCCTTCAAATGCTGTTGGAGACCCGAACTCTCTACAGATGGACGAGTGGATCGATTTGTGTTGGAGTTTGTGTGAGTTGAATTGGAATCTGGCTTTTGCGCGTCGAGTGGTGAATAGGGTCTTGCGCATTGCATCCTCGATGCCTACTTGTTCTGGAGATCATGCCACTGCGGGTGATGGTGTCGTGGAATTCTCATCACCAGACGAAGGAGAAGGCGAAAAACAGAATTCTTCGTCGATGTCCTTGTACCGCCTTTCCGAGGCTTCGCCAGCTGCGGTGCTCAAATTCGCATTCTGTTTTGCGGTTCTCAGCGAACGCATGCCCTCTATCGTCATTGCCGAAGTTGTTCGAAATGGCCTGCCGATGGACAAACTGATGCCACTTGCGCAACCCGTGGCGTTCGAGATTCAGGAGGACGACGTGACAGACCTGGCCCGTCTAGACGGGCGCACAGAAATGGTACGACAAGAGGGCGAAGGACGTGTTGCAGAAGATAGCCGCGATGAACACAGACTAGGAGAATTATCTTCAGGGAGTGAAAGTGATCCTTGTTTAATGAACGAAATGACACCGCTGCAGATGAAAACCTTGGAGTGGCGGGCGCAGGTCCGCGGTTATCTCCGAGACGAACTTCATGGCAACTCGAGGCCTGCTCGGGCAGAGCGACAGCGCGACAAAGTGCGGCCCAAGGAATACCCACACGAGACCTGGCTTTCGGACACGCTCGTGACGCTGCGAACACCGCACCAGCGAAGTTTTTTGGTCGACAATCTCTACCGTGTTGCGATCGCCTTTTCGGATCATAAGACCTGCATAGACGTGCTCGATGCACGCGACACGAGTGCGCCGGACCGGAGAATGTGCGGTGCTGCTGTGCTGCGCCGCCGACACCTCCACGAGTTAGGCTGGGTCGTTCTGGAGACCGACTTGCGCACGCTCTGGAAGCACATGCGGGATAAAACGATTCGGTCCTACGTATCCGAACTTGTTGGCGACCTCACTGCGCTCAAGATGCACCGCTTCGCGAATCCAGACCCCATCATGAAGGAAATTTTTGATAAGCCCATTTAGTGTCGGCCTCGGCAGTCTGGAACTGGATCCCTAGACGTACGTCACTCTTGCAGATAAAAAGATAAAACTAGCGATTTTATTACTTTTCATCTAGTGGCACATATAGTTGCCACCACTACTTACTTTTTGAGAACTTGTTTTGGTTGTCTATCCTACTTCATGCAACGCGTGCGCAGTGCTTAATTGCCTGATCGTAAGTAATACGGGAACAGTCTTCTCGGTCGCGTAGAAATATAACGAAATAGTAGAGGTTTTTTTCAGAAAAGACGAAGACCATTGAATCATATCAATATATACTTATATCTGAATCTGTGATGAAATAAAACAGAAAGAGGGAGCCCGATAAAGCCGGGAAGGGCAACAAGGCACTTGCTCAAAAATGTTACAGTCGACAAGAACTTTTTTATCCAAATATTTTTCGCCAAATCACAAACTCCATCCTAGAAGTAGAACACATGGTGCTTCTACTACCTAGTGTAAGATAGACGCATCCATTCGCTCGCGTCTATAATAACGCCTAAACATCATGTGGAAGAGGTAACTATTTCCCTATCAATAAGTCGGAAATGCCTGGTTAGGATTTTCCCCGCTAGCCTCCCTTGTGTGAGCAGCTGTTGTTATACATAATGATAATGCATACGCGCAGTTGAACAAGCAACTACTTAGCCGTGTTTCGACTGCCCGCGAATTTCGACAGCTTTCACGTACTGGATCAATTCTCGATTTTTATCGGTTGTAGGTCTTTTCATTCTGAGAAATATGAGAGTGTGAGGACACATCGAGTTGTGAGGAGTTGAAAGTGGGTGGAAGTCTGTCATCGAGAAAACTGTTTCTGGAAGGTTTGGTCTTCGCCTTCTGTGCATTCATGTGTGATGCATCTTTGATCCTGATCGTGACAGCTTACATCATTCCGGTTTCGAGGAAGACTGGACTTTGCAATGTCGAATAGGCAGAGTCGTGGTACTAATCGGTCGATTGCTGGCTCGGAGATACCCGTTGATCATGATCGGAGTATGGAAAAATGCAGATTGTTTTAACATCCCAGGATACTTTTTGAAGTAGCTATCACAGAAAAAAAACCTGAGTTGTCATGGTGCTTGCCAGAAATCGATGTTGAAGTGGTAGAACTAAGAACAAGCATTCAAGCTAGTAATCGATTTAAAACTCACCAAGAAGGGAAAATAGACGCATCGTTTTTTTTTTTGCTCTACTGTTACCGCGAGTCAAGCAGAGAGCAAGGGTTGAATATGAATTCTTAGTAGTTCTTACCTTTTTGGTTGCTTGGAAGTTGTTGCTGTACGCGTAAAAATCGAACGAATGCAAGGACCGGTGCAGAATGAGGGGCTCCTGGTTCTCGGACCGTCGTGAACGAAGCGCGAGGACTTTTGTCTTTAGTGGACGAGCCATAGGTGGCACCTATGGCGTGGAGCAAAGAGCAAAAGAAGCTCCAGAAAGATTGATATGAACCTTTTTAAGCGTAAAACAGCGCCGACGGGCGAGGAAGGGGAGGATGCGGCAGGCCAGGAAGATCCTGGTGAGGCTACGCCGCTGACGGGCGGGTCTCCGGTGAGTGGTGCCGCCGGCAGCCCGCCCCCAGTTCCGGGGACCGCCAATGAACTCGATATAACAAGGGACCGCAGTGCGCTCGCCGGTGGGGCGGGAGCAAAGGCCGATCCTGACGCGAGCGGCGATTTTGGGACAGGCATGTTTGACGAGGACGACCTTTTCGGGCTGTCGAGTGCTCCGAAAGGAATGATCAAGGAAGAAGACGAGGTCGTGTCGATCGAGGCTGAATCGTGGGGAGAGAGTAGCGAGGATATCGATCGCGATCGCAGTCAGCTAGCAAACCATCCGTACCCCACGCTGCCATGGTTGCGAAACAAGAAGTACATCGAAAAGGAGCGGGAAGCAGAGGATGTGGTTGTAACAAAGGGCGAAATGCTGAAGTAATCCTGTTTATTTTTAAGCTATTTTTGGTTCTTTATTTGAAATTCGAGATCCATGTACATCCAAACAAGAACATTGGAAGATGAGAATAAGAGAAACGCTGGGCCTGGGTCAGTGGCAGCATGATTACTGCAGAAAATATTGTTTTTTTCGTACGCAAAAAAAAACTAACTACTTTCCAGCTTTCTCAACGCTTACCTCTGGTTTCTCGAGGCCGGTGGGGGTATTCCTTTCACAGTGAGTATGTGGTTCATCTTCGTTCTCCTCGTCAATCTACACGGGGATGTGGAGCAAACTTTTAGCGTCAAAAGAACGCTGTCCGAGTCTGTTTCGAACATCGTCGCCCATCCTTTGCTGGGAAACGCACCGAAAATAGCGGGATCAACACAGGAAACTGTACACTAGATATATACTACACCGACTAACACCTACTGAATAGAATATTTCCGTCCAAGAGTTGTCGCACAATCATGCTCCTTTTACGTTTACTGAGAATTACGATACAAAGACGTGTAAGACACTTCTGTCAACTTCATGGCAGACCTGCAACTGATGCTGAATGTTCATTTTGTAGTAAGTACCCGTCTGAAATTATTATGAATTCACCTTCTTGATCTTGTTTCTTGACAGGTAGTGAATATGCATTGTGACTGCAATTGCCAGCCCAGGGAGGCGTTGGGCAGGGGCGTACAGGCTGTGCGGGGGTGCGATAATGTGCAAACGAACCAGTTCGCGTTTATGGGTGACCAAGAGAACATCCAAATCCATCGGATTTCGGGGATGGTCACAGGTCCGACCTACACAGAGTTTGCCATGGAGAGCACGCGAGAAACCATCTTTAAGGACAAGCAAGAGGAAATAGGGGACGAGACTAAGGTGAGTCTCAACGTGACTACCTGGGAACAAGTAATATCCGTCCGAGACTCCTGGTTTTGGCTGCAGCACGGGCTACTACCGGTACTCTGAGCTCTTTGTGCTCATCGTCAATCTAAGGACGCTTAAATGGTGCAAATGAGTAAAAGGCGCAATGGATTACACTTGTTAGTTGAGTCGTTTGCTGTTGTTGTGTGATGCGCACTCCCTAACCCTACAGCTACAACTTAGCCAAGAATGCCAAAAAAGCGACAACTTGTCCTTACATTTATGACAGGTGCTTTGGCAGGAGAATCAGTTGACATTTAAGGATGTCGAACTCGAGACTGTTCTAGCAGGTATAATACCTAACAAAGCTACGTCGGAACGCGCAGGGCGAATGCGCTTGTTCAACCAGATGATAGGTGGCATGCGATTGCAGCAGAAGAAACTCGGCGCGTCTGGTTGCCCCGTCAATAAGGATTTGCGGTCGTGGTATGGCATGGAATGCAGGTCAGACTTACCGCAGACCCAAGCCTATGGTCCGGGAACTGAAGCACGCAACCTGCCATTTCAGCCTGTAGCTGGAAAATCTGGAATCTTTGAAGCCTACTTTGACATCGGACGGAAACTCGCAACTGCTGGCGGAGCACTAGAAGAAGTGGAGCATCTGTTGGTAGAACTGATAAAGCTAAATTTCCTTTGTGTTTTTCTTTTTCGGGTCTCTCCATACTTTGAGTCTAGCAAGCTTGGTTTCATTTTTTTCCGTTTCGTTTATACTGTACTCGAAGCTTTACTTTGATATCAATCTGCATCTCCAAGGAGTGAAGCGTCGTCGTGAACAAATTTAGTAAGCAGATACTTCTTCTTCATCACTTTGTCTTTGAACGACATGCTTTTCGTGGCGAAAGTTCCCGGCACTTGCTTCTCATTTTCTTACTCTTCCCACGTGACTGTGATTGAAATTGATGAGGTACCAAACGAGTGGATTGACGAAAATACGGAGTGGCTTGAGTTTCAGGCCGCTTTCTTCAACGCCCAAGTCCGTCTGTTTTCCTTACTCAAAGTGCGGTTCACGTTCCAGGCAGGTGGGTACATGGAGAAGGAGATCCGGGTGAGCGCGACCTCCGCCAACTTGTATCCGAATCTCTTTTACTATGTTCCTGATGTCTTGTGGTTGTCCATGATTGCGATGCTGTTCCAGCAGGAGCTGTTCGAAGTATTGAAAGCTAGGCGGAACAAGTATTTACGGGACTACCTGAAGGATCGATGGAACTTTCTCGATTGGTGCACAATCACGCTTGGTATTGTTATGGCTGCGCTCTGGTTCGATATGGTGTCGGCGCAAGCGGGCTTGGCGACGGAAGTCGGTGACTTACCAGCGACACCAAGCCAAATTGACGAGAGCGGACAAAGCGTCGCTGTGTCTAGCATAGAAGCGTACCATGAGCAATGGGGGAACATCATCGACCGCATTCAAGAACTAGCGGATCAGCAATGGTACTGGCGTCTAAGAGTATTGAAAGAAAAATTGTTTGAATCTCGTACTCAAGAAGTATTCGAATTTTGTTTTTTCTTGAACAAGCGTAGCCTCCGAAACTTTGGTTCACCAAATCCTCATCTACAGGATCCAGTACAATCTGTTGTTCTGGTACACGTTGATTTTGATGTTGCGGTTCTTCAAGCAGTTTCAGGGACAGCCACGATTGGCGCTGTTGTCCTTAACGTTGTACAACAGCATGCACGATATGGTGCACTACTTGATCGTGTTTTTCACGGTCTTCTTCAACTACGCCTTAGGGGGTCACGCACTCTTCGGTGCACTGTTGGAGGAGTGGAGTACCATGAGCAAATCCATCAACACCAGTTTCTTGGCCATTTTGGGAGAATTCGACTTCAACCAAATGTTCGAGCTAAGCCCAATTACTGCAACTTTGTGGTTTTGGTCCTTCATGATTCTGATGACCTTCATCCTTCTCAATCTACTCATTGCGATGATCTTCGACCAGTACCACCAAATCAAGCGCAACATGGGCGAATCTAAGGGCGTAGCAGCGCAGACGCTCGAGTTCATTGGTGAGCTCAATTGGAACATTGACTGGCTGCTGCAAAGACGGAAATACCTCAAGTTAAGGCTTTCAGTGTCAATCATCTTTGTTTTCGCAGGATCGGGATTTGACCGCGCCGATCTCATCAAACTCAAATATTATTCCTGCAGCGAAGAGCGAGATTGTCCGTTAGAAAGTTTAAGTTTTGGTTCGAGGTGGACTCTGACGACTGTATTCACTGTGACATCATGTCGTGGGTGTCCAATTCATTGCTTATGTAGACGCAAAAAGGTCCTTTGAACTTCTAATCAAACTCGGAATATTAAACCCAGAAATGGAGTCGCTGTTCAAGGGCACGAAGAGCGTTGAAGACATCTACGAAGATTTCTGCACTGAAGGTGGCCAGGATCTTGAGTATGGCAGAAAGACAGTCCTCCAGCAGCGGGCAGACGCAAGACAGGCGCAGAGAGAACAGTACCTACTACCTTGTTTTTTCTTGACGAGATGATGTATCATGTCCTTACGCAGACGCGAACTGAGTTCTGCTAGAATGCATATTCAGGAATATCAAAGAACCCCCGTTGTATTTGTAATATCTATCATTATTGAAGTTGATCAACCACAGCCACTTGTATGACGCAAATCGCTTTTTTTCTAGCTCACGATCATCTTCTTGTACTCTTGTTTCGCACTTTCACGAGGTACGAAAAGGCAGAGAAAACAGAGGCAGTAAAAGAGACACCGAAGGAGCGAAGGCGGAGACAGAGAGCAGAGGGCGGCACTGGTGCGATGCCCGACGTCAATCCGGAGATCGCGGCAGAAGCAGTAGCGAAGCTGACTGAGGAAAGAGAAAAGCAGGAGAAAGAGAAAGGCAAGGGCGGCACAATATCAGGCATGCTGACAAATAAGCGCATGTCGCTCGCAGATGCAGCGCTTCTAGCAAAAATGGTACATCAACTTCTTTGACTTTTCTTGCATTAGAGTTTCACAGTTTGTAATTTATCTGCGTCGAGAATTATTTTTCTCGCCGAAGATCGATGTGAACAAAAAATCATTTCTCTGTGTAAAAAACGCGGAGATTCTTGAATTTCATTCCTGCTTGCGCTTTTTTCGCTCCGATTCCTCTAATAACAAATGACCTCCGTACAACAGATCCATGTGGATGAGGAGAAGCTGAGCGCGCAAGAGCGAGAGAAGGAGCGAATGCGAACAAGGATCGATGTTCTGGATCTAGAGCAGCAGTTCAACGTGGAGCCACGGTTTGCCAGGCATTTGATGCTTGCCTGCAAGAAGCATGTTGACGAAGAGGTAGACTTCGCCGAATTGAGGCAAAATGAAATGAAGCAACTCGTGACGGACGTCGAGCAAACGTTGAAAGACGTCGACAAGGAGTGCCAGATAGTGGAGGACTCGTTGAAAGAGTCAATGCGCAAGGTGGTCCAGAGCTGCCTCAAGTTAGACGGTGTGTGCCAAGCGACCGTGCAGGAAACCGTGGACTTGCATCCACGAGTCGGATTGCTCGTTCCGCGAGGGTGCCGAACCTCGTGGGGTGAGAGGGCTCCGGGAGGAGGCAGGGACAAAGCCCCTGCATCTCCGGTGGGGGCAACCACAGGAGGATTGGGCTCACCGCTAGGCACAACAGGCGGCCAGTCGCAGTCACCCATGGGAACGACCGGTAAATTGAAAGCGGTCTTGGCAATCGCGAACATGTAGTCTTTTTCGAGGAAAATAATCTCCCGGAATGATTTGGCGAGTGATGACTTATTGTGAGCAGGGACCGAGCTCAGCCTTGAACTTGATGATGAAATTTTGACTATGTTCCACTAGTTGTCCGTTTTAAAACTAGAACTGACACTCAAGAATAGCAGTTAAGCATAATTCCTTGATAGACTTTCACTTTCCTTATATTTATAATAGAACAACGGGTTTCGGGTTGCTCGAGTTGCGACGGGTTGCTCGAGTTGCTGAGGTGAAGGGCTTCCCATTCTGTAACGAGTTGCAACGAGTTGCCAGAAGAAGCCCGGCCCATCAAAATGGGCGAAGCGGAGCGGTGTGGGCGCAGAAGTGCCTGCTCGGCATGCTGGGGGCCGTCTTCGGGGCCTACTTCGCAAAAGATGGAAGGGGAGGCGGTGCCTCCTTCTGTTTGGGATCGATATTGGCGCGCAGCTCCCCACTCGGTGGCGCCGATCAAGTGCTTCGCCGCCCCTTGTGGTATGGGTGCAGAGCTTCGAGTCGGGGCCGGGTTTTCGCCCCGCTGTGTTGCGGTGTGGGTGGGGAGTTCCTGCCGGGTTGGGTTTGTAGCCGGCTTGCAGCTGAAGGATGCGGCGGCAACATAGAGGAAAATGCGGCGAAGGCTAATGTGGGGACGGGTAGCGGTGGGCTTGGTTTCACACTGGTGCGCAGCTGGGCGGGCTGGTGTGGTACATGCCACACCCCCCAGGGCCCCCGCGTTGGGTTTTTTGCAATCAGCTGACTGCCCTCACTTGGTTGTCTTCCCGTTGTGGATGCCCCTCCTACCGGGCTGGTGAAGCGTTCTTGTTCTCTACTTCAACACCTCGGCAAGGGTGCGCCCGCAGGGCGCAGCGAAAAAATTTCCATGGGCAACCCGAGCAACCCGAGAAACTCGACCCGATATGGGTCAAAAAAAGCCTGGCTCTATTAAGTACATATAAGTTTCCTAAGAGTAACAGTAAGATAGACCCGAAATAAAGGCAATTTAGGTTCCAGTTGTCCGCTCCATAACTAACAGCAACACCTATCGACAGAATAGCGACTTGGTACGATGATCTAGAAGTATTGAGTCAGAAGCAGCGAACTCGTTTACGTTTTGTTAGTCCTCGACTGTATTTTTTGATTCGATGTGGTTCCAGGTCGTCCAGCTGTTAGTCTCAATAACTCAAACTTCGCGTAACATGAAGCTTGAGCTTGATAACGCCTGCTCTGGCACTTGCAGCTCGGAGTATGAGTGTCCCGCCCCACCTACTCCTGGCGGCATGATGCGTAGCAGATTCGTATCTCCTCAAAGTAGACTTAGGTACCCAAGAATTAGTCGGATTCTTGCAGAACTTGTTTTTTCCCCTTGAAAGTGAAACCGATAGATGTGATTGATCTCTTCCCCCATCATGCGAATGCCCTCATCATCTCTTGGTGGACGCAACAGGGGTGGGTCTGCAGAACGCAATCTACGAATGTATATTGTACGACAGTTCTTGTGATGTTCGTTAATTGCAGAGCCCTTGCTTGCATAGCAATAGCATTCCTCCTTGATTCTTCGTGTCACGTATGTCGATCCTTGATTTCCACCCTGTGGAGCAACCCGAGACCGTTCACCCCATTCTACTCCCTCGGCCCCACATGTAGTTCTTCCCAGATCTATGTATTGCAGAGGTGCTGTCGTGGTGTTCCACTTGAGCTTGCGAGACGTCCATAGTCTTTTTGAAGTTTTAGAGATGGCAGAGCTGCGAAAGCAAACCAAAGAAAACTGCGCGCGAAGAAAAACAGAAAAGTAACCAGTGCTGGAAAGGTGGCCAGCTGAGCTTGTCTTTCTGTTAATACACTCTTTGACGACCATGCTGGGAGGTGGTGCTGCATCGCAGATTTCCTTTCCATACGCGACTACGTTACAGAACGGCATTTGTTAGATTTAGTCGATGACGTTGACGTAAAGGTACCGAATCTTAAAAGCTGCCTTGAGAAACTGAGGACTGACTGGACTAGAAACAAAACACAAGATGGAAACGAAAATAGGATACTTTCATCAACAATACCTGCCCCTGCGAAAGGCAACGGATGATAGGTCGAGCGAAGAAAGAGACATACAGTGTGGTGAATGCCCCTTCTGAGTTGTTTCTCCTGTAGTTGACCCAAAAAAAGTCTCTTTTTATTTGATATCTACAAGGAGTGATTTTTTTTGTTTTATTTTGATTCCAACATGATAATTTGAACAAAGAATCTGTAGCTTGCCGTCGAGAGCGAGAGGACAGGCCACACGGGCCTCGAGAGATGAGGTGCGAGAGTGGTGTTAGAGAGACGAGGACATTCAGCTTAAGATCGCATTGCAAAAGAGTTAGAAATCAATATAAATGCAAAAGAGAGACTAAGAGTGAGTTGCAGCACATTGAGGAAGAAAGACAAGATAGTTTGTTTTTTGAGTCAAAATCCAAAAGTCTCAACTTGAATATGTTTTGCACCAACACGAATCACTAACGACTTCGCGAAATAAGTACTCAGAGAACAGGTGGAAATTACTAGTCAGGGAGGTGTGATAGTTTGCATAGAAATGACAAATGGAAGTAGAGAAAACTGGCTTGACTATGTCAACATGACAGCTTCTTGCAGCTCATTCAGTGGACCAACAAATCACACACAATAGGGAGGCTTGGTCTGTGTCAGTGAACTGTATCTAGATTTTGGAGTAAAGCTATCGTTGTGTAAGTACGAGTGAATTACATTCATATGTTGAAGTAACATAGAGCTCATGTTGATTTTTTGTCATTGATTGTGTGGACAGCCTCTTGTTGCAGAGATCTACTTACTATCACTTCATGTCATATCTATGTGAACCTGAACTTCAACTTGTTCAAATGTGAAAGTATAAGTTTCTACAACACATACACAAAATGAGTCATGAACATGATGTGTCATACAAACGAAGCACCGGCTGAGCTCGCCCCACGAACACAGTAGGCCGCGGAGTACCTCGCTGCACCACTAGGCTGACCTTTGGCATCGTCATCGTGCCTTCTCGAATAAGAGAAACGACACGACTACACTTATGGAGCTTAATCGGACGTCCTGGGTGTGAGGCAGGAATCACGTTGAGGGACGGCGAATGCTTGATACGGGTACCAAGGGGTTTCGTGTTGCCACGAGAGAAGACTCTAGTACTCCAGTATCATGTCGCAGAATGTGGTGGACGGATTGAAAGAACTATGCTCAGACAACTCAATAAGACGAGAATCTAGAAGGCGCATTAGCACGGCACCCGATTGAAAATGTCACAAGCGGTTGTCGTTTGCAACCGGCGCTCAGTCTTGCACAATTGGAAGCATAGGCGAAGACGTCGGCGCAAGCAGAATTGGGGCAGAGCTTGTAGAAGAAAAAGAAGAGTAAAGGCGGCTGCCGAAATAGAGAAAGACTTTTTTTTAGCAGAAGAAACACTCGCACTTCGAAGACAAAGCAAATTATTTGGTCGAGAACCACGTATCAACATAGAAATACCCTCCGTTATTTTTACTAGTGGACAACATAGAAGTAGAAGAAGACACGAAGAACAGAACAGAGCGGCATCAATACCTTTTCCCAGTACTCATTACAGTAGTAGAAGTTTGAACGATAGTGGACTGCGGAAACAAGACCGCATATTAGATGACCCCGACAGAAGATTCTCGAATTTGGATATGCCATGTCTCGACGAACCTGAACGGAGAATAGATGAATCTGTTATTCCGCGGACCCGCGAAGGCAAAAGCTCTTCGCCATCGAACGAGGGCAGTATAAAAATAATTCGCGACAGTATGGAAATGGGTAAAAATCTGGATGTGCATCTTGAAGTCGAGGCTGGCAGCGCCGATTGGACTAGCTCTAGCGTCGCACGACTTTTGACCAGGTGCATGAAAACTCTTGGGAAAAGTATTCCTGGTCTCTGCGCCTGCGTCTTGAGTTGTGTGCTTTCGCTTCTTCTCGTTATTTTCAGACTAGTTGGGCTATGCTGGTTGCAGCCGTTCCCTGAAAGGAAGTGTGACGTTGATCAACGAAAGCGCAAAGAGAACACAAGATTCAAAAATCACGTGATCATGCTGTTGACTGGCAGAATAAAAAGGCGGAATGTGGGAGCCGCAACCTTGTTGTTCATCTTGCCGCAGATTGGCCTGGTTGTGGCTCAGCAGTACAGCTTTGCCATGGACAAGGAGCGCGGCGGTCGAGAAGACTACGCTTTCAGGCCGCCATTCACACCGAAGATGCCTGGAGTCGGGGAGATAGAAGCGCCAACCTTAGTTTACTCAGCGCCTGGCGAAATTAATCTGCTGGTAACCAATCCCGAATCTTTTCCAGCCTACGGAAGCGGCTACGAAGGATGCCGCGTGCTGATGGATGACGGAGCTGGCGGGCCTCTGACCAGGGAGATACTGCTAGGACAGTGCGATCAACAAATCAGCATGAAGGATTTAACGCCAGACGCGTACTATCGATTTCAGACATTTGCGATTTTACACACTGCCAATGGAACGCTCGGGCCAGGATCGAACGTTGTTGCCTTTCTTGCTTCAAGTGTGCCACGCTGGAGCGGGTATGACCCGCTTTCCGGGGCAGCAATAGTGCCCGACTCGCCCCCTTGGTGGTACAAGCCTGGGTCCGCGATGTTCTCTGGGGGAGAAGACAAACTCCCGAAAAAACAAGTACCGAAGCTCTTGAAATTTGGCAAGAACGATTTGCGTGTAAGTTGGCCATTGCCTTACGATCTCGGTGGCACACCGTTGATGGGCTTCGCCGTAATCGAAGACATAAACCGCGCTGACAATTGGACAGTGGTGCACAACGCTACGACAACACCCGACGTACTCTCCATCGACCGACGAGGCCTGGACCCAATGAGCGTTTACTCATACCAAGTCCATGCAGTAAACAAGGTCGGCACCAGCATGCCGATTGAGTCGAGCATTCGTCTTTACGACCTTCAAGGCGTCCCGGAATCCTACGCACTGTCCTTACCTGAAACTGTGATTAGCGGTAAAGAATTCAACGTCCGACTCCAGGCGGTGAAGCCGGGATCGACTACGGAGAAAGAAACGGATTCCGACATGCATCGAGTGTTCATCCTTAGCGTGCGCAATGTGTGCGAGAAGGACCTGACAGGACAGCTGTGCATCGGCGTAACCGAGTCTCATCCCCACTACAGAACCGATGACCTGCTGGAAGACGATCTCTGCTGCATCGAACCAATTCCCAGAGGAAACGGCGTTTACGATTTTTCTTTGACGCTTCACACGCAGGGAGTGTTTTCAATACTGGTTCAGACGCTTGAGGTTGGTGGTCTTCTTGGGCAGTACTATGATAACCAGTGGCTGTACGGCGCGCCAAAGGGTACAACTATTGACTATTCCCGTCTACAACTTCCTTTATGATGAAATATGTACGCTGCTCCAGCTGGTACTAGCAACTGAGAGATCTTCTTGGGCGTGGCTGTAGTGGATCTTTCTAGTACATCAATCTCTGCCTAAATTTTGATTTTTGTTTTGGCTTAATTCTGGCGCCTCATCGCATATACCCACTTAGAATGAATACTCCGACCACACCAGACACGCGACACGAGGCACTAATCGACTACACGTTTGGAGAGCGTGCAATCGTTCAGAACGCAGCGGATTCTGTGAGTGTGCGATGGAGCGGTTATTTGTTAGCGGAGCATTCCGAACTTCACAGTTTTTTCGTAATCGTGGACGACACGGCGCGGCTTACGGTGAACGGACAGCTCGTGTTTGACAAATGGACCAGCAGGGCGAATGGCGAGGAGGAAATTGCTGGTCATGTAGTGCTTGAAGCAGGGAAATTTTTTCCAATTTCGTTTGAGTTCAAGGAAAGAGACGGGCACGCCGCAGCACGCTTGTCATATGCTTCTTTCTCTATGCCGCGACGCGTGATTCCGCCAGATCGCCTCTTTCGTGCCGACTTCGTGCATGGTTTTCCGACCTACATTAGCGTTAGTCAGGGACCCGCAAGCGGACTTCGCTCACAGCCATACGGCGACGGCTTGCGTTTCGCAATCTGTCAAGAGGAAACGCGTTTCTACATTCAAGCAAAAGATGCAGCTGGCAACAGAGTTCCGAGCGAGAAGGACGTGTTCACTGTCAAGTTCACGCTGTTGAAAACCACAAACGAGCTGATGATGGATCCCTCGGCAGCAAGTGCCTCCGCAGAGTTGGCGTCGCCTGCGACGCCCCTTGTCTTGCGCGAGACGAGCTTGGCTGTCAATCAGACGGCCCAAGATGGGCTCTACGTGGTGTTTTACACCTTGCACGTGGCTGGCGAGTATGCGGTCGAAATTCGAGTTGGTGGGAACGAAGAAGCAGCCGGGCAACTCGTCGCTGGATCGCCCTTTACACTTCTTGCGGCGTCCGGTGTCTTTGACCCTTCAAAAACAATTGCCACGGGTGCTGGCGTTCACGAATTTGTGACCAACTTTGAAAGCTCGTTTGTGGTGCACATACGCGACGCCAGCAGTAACCCCGTGGACGATGCGAGCTTCTACCTAGCGACAAGCTTGCAATGGCTCGAACCCATCGCGTGGAGTCCAGCGTTTGACACAGAAGAAGACTACGATCTGCTGGAGGCGGAGTTTGGTTCTAGATTCGAAGGCACTTTTGCTCCGATCGTCGAGAAGGTTTCTCCCTCTGGTCCAGCATCTACTTCACAGGTGACACATTCTAGTTCCTCAAGTGCATCGACAACGAAAGTCACGTCTTATCAAGTCCGGTATTTCGCTGCACGCGAGGGTATCTATGAAATGACGGTAAAAGTGCATGGTAGGGAAATAGCCGGGAGCCCCTTTCGCGTGCGCGGCTACACGTCAACCGACGGGAGTCGAGATTCCACGCAGGAGCGGCCAATGGGCGGCATGTGTCGAGTAGAGCGAAATCAGCCGCCCACGACCTGGACGGTAGGAAACGAGCTTCGCCTTCTCGTACAGTTGCGGGACGGCTACGGAAACGTGCTTACGTCACCTGTTCCTAGCCCACTTCATTTGCCGAAGATCAAGGCTACTTCGCAACCAGCACGCTCCGATATGGACGAAGCAATTTGCAGCACATACAAGGGATGCAACACGCCAGGCGGGCGTGGGTCCTGCAACGACCTGCGGGGCGTCTACGAGTGCGTGCTGACACCGACGTTTTCTAGTGGAGCCCGTGTGATCAGTGTGACAGTGAACGGAACTGAAGTATCACGCGTCGACAAGGTCGGTTTACTAAATAAAACCCAGCGGGTGTATGGGCCTTTTCCGATTGCGCTGCAGACCGCGGCGATTTCGCCCAAGAGCAGTCGTTTTCAAGTTGTGCCAGGGACCTACAAGGCAGGCGTGGCGCAGCGGATCTTTCTGCTGTGGCAGGACAAATTCGGAAATTCCTTGTCCAACACGCCGCCAAACTTACCGTTTGTTGCAACTATGGACGGCAAGCCGATCAACTACATCGACAACAAAAATGGGAGCTTTTCGGTCGACGTTTACGCCGAGCGCGCGACGCTGAACGCTACCCTGTCCGTTACTGCGTACGGCGAGCACATCATGTTTTCGCCGATGCAGGATCTTCGCGTAGTGCCAACGAAAGAGGCTGCCAACGGCAGTAGCTGCATTTTCCCGGAAATTTTTCACGCGGGGGAGCCTACGACCGTGTCGTGCGATGTCAAGGATCGCTTTGGGAACTTGTTGGCGCGTTCAGGCTTTCTGCTCCGCGGGAGCGCGCGTAAGTTAGACGTTTTTCCATTTGCAGAAACCAGCACCGCGGCTTTAGCAGCAAACGGCCTCGCACCAGCGGGTCTGGAACAGGCAGCCTTCTGGAACTTCGTGCAGAAGCAGTACTATGTGATTCTTAAGCTCCACGAACGCGGTCGCTATTCCTTGAAAACAGATCTGCTGACGCGTGGTGGTCTTGTAGCCCGATACTACCGTGCACCGCATTTCCAGAGCTTGGTGCGCACTGATGCCTTGTTGACTCTGAACTCCGACACCTCTGACGCGCCTCATCGATTTGATTTGGGGCACGTCTATGATGCAGCAGATTACCACTCGCGTGTCGATCCAGTGATTGACTTTGTGTGGCGACAGAGTCCGATACGCGGTGCGCCACCTGACTACTTTTCCGTCGTGTGGACAGGTCTGTTGCTGCCTTTAGCAACTGGCACCAGCACAATTCGAGTGGAGACCGATGGGCAATGTGCAGTCAGCATCGATGGTCGAGAGGTGTTGAACACCTACGAGAATCCTGGTAACAAATCCGGTCTGGTCGACTTGACGCAGGACAGCTTTATCCCAATCGAGATCCGGTACGAACACAGCATCGGTACTGCCTACATTCGTCTTTTTTGGTCCTCAACGGCTTATCAGGATAGTGTGATCCCCACGGACGCTTTGCTTTATCCGCATTCCATTTTCCGGAACCAGACTGTAGAAGTGCGACCCTCGGAGGCGAGTGCAGTGCGCTCTCTGGTATGTGCACCCGCAGCGGAAAAGGGTATGGACCAGTACCCAAGTGGAACCGTGACCAAGATTCCTGAGCCAGCGCTGGTCCACGGCTCCGAGACCTGTTCCGTTCAGCTCAAGTTTGCGACGGCTGGCATGGTGAACCTGGCGTATCTGCATACGAAAGACGTTTTCGGGAATCTGCGGGATGAAATTTCGTTGCTTCCCATTATCGGGACGCTGGACACGCACCCAACGAAGACGGTGGTGCAAATCCAGCGTCATCCAACAATCGGAGGCGTGTACGAGTTGCGTTTCAACCCTTTGTCGAGCGGTCCGAATTTGCCTCTTCGCATTCGCATCAACGGTACCGAGTTGGCCTCAGTGCCCTTGGTAACTGTTCGCACAGGTGCCGTGTCGGCGAAGCACTGCGCGATTGAAGGTCCAGGTCTGACGCAGGGGTCGACTGCTGGTGTGCCAGGTTTTTTCAATGTAACTCTGCGTGACGTGAATCGGGATGTTGTGACAGATGTTCCAGTGGATTTCAAGGTTAACACCAGCCGCTCTGAGTTTCATTGCGTAAATTTGGGTCGTGGAATTTTTTCTTGCTCGTACGATATTTCTCTCGCGAAGACCTACGACCTTTTCGTTTTTGTGAATGGCGAGAAAACCGCGGACGAGCCATTTTACATACCGGTGAAGCCGCGTATGCCTTTTGATGCTGCGCTTGCCACGACTGGCGGGGACGCGGTGAATGCTTCTATGATATCACATCCAGATGCGGAGTACACGTTTGCAACGAGTTCGTTTCCACGCGAAGTCCAGCGTACCACGCCGAACAAGGTCGTCTTTGTGCCCAGAGACGAGCTGACGAATCGCGTGATGCTTGCGAAAGATCTACGGATGCTCGTCTGCGAAGCTGGAGAGAAGCCTCTAGAAGTGAAGAGTCTCGAATCCACGCGTTCCTCCGCAACGGGAGAAGAATTTTTCGAGGTGAACGTATTTGTCGCGGTCACTCGCCCGGTAGGAGTTTACAAGATCGAATGTTTCGTAGTGCAGCGAGGCGGGCTGAACGCTGTTTACTACAACGATTTTTTCCGCACTGGTGCGCCCTCTGCCACAGTGGTCGACAAGGCCATCGACTTCGACTGGGGCACGGGACTTACCAGTGGCGAAGCGGAAAATTTCGTTACGGCATCGTGGATGGGCTACCTTCGTGCTCCTGCAGTTGGTGATTTCACCTTCTACATCTCCTACAACGATGATGCGAAAATTTGGATTGACAGGGAACTAGTGTTCAACTCGGATGCGGTGTCTGCTGAAGAGGAGAATCTTGACGCGTTTGCAAAGTTGCAAGCAGAACTTTTTTCGGCGCAAGCGGGTGCCACAACATACAGATCACTAGTTACTGACGACGGAACGACCATCCTGCTAGATAAGTCTGGCCAGGAGACGACCGGGCAAAATGCCAATGAGGACGGTGTCGAGTCCGCAATAGATGCAAATGCGAATAAATATTTGGCATCAATGCAAGGCATTAGCGAAGCCACCGCCCTTGACGCAGCGGCGCATCGTACAGGGGAGACACGCTCACTTTCGTTCAAGCGGTACTTCTCGCAGAGTCGCGTATACGAGATTCAGGCCTACTTCCGCGAGCGCGCAGGGGCGGCGTTGTTGCGGTTAGAGTGGGAATGCGGTGAGTGTGGTATTCCGCGGCAGGTCGTACCGGAGCGTGCGCTCTACCACACGAAGCGAAGACTGCGGGAGTTCCCCTTGCCGCTGCTTGTATGGGATCGTCCAGGAGCACCCGAGGCTTTCTTCCGCGATCGTCCAGTTGCGGGTGAGGTTGTTTTGCGTTGGGCACCGCCGAAGGAGGACGGCGGTGTGCCTTTGACAGAATACCGGATCTATCGCCGAGTTGTCGGGCCAGCGCACGACGCTGATGTCGTTGCGAGGACAACGCACTCGGCTGCGGGAGAGCAACTCGCTCTGCCTGCAAGCGGTCGTGAGCAGCTCGTCTTTGAGACTAGGGACGTCCACAAAGTTTTTTCCTGGACTGAGTCGGCGTCCTTAGACTCAGGAACCGTGTATGCCTACACGTTTGTGTCACAGAATCAATACGGCTCTGCATTTCCAACCGAAATTTTTGTTCAGCCGTCGTCCCTTCCAGCACAGCCAGTTCCACCGTTGTTGCAGGCGGCAGCCGACGGCACGATTACGCTTCTGTTGCAGCCTCCGACGAACACCGGAAATTCCCCGATACTCTACTACGAGCTTGCACGCTCTGAGGGCTTGCCAGGCCAAACACCGGACATTTCGTTGCAGGGTGATGTTCCTCGCGACGCGAGCTCGCCGCTGCTGACGGCGCTCTCGAAAAATGTGACGTTGTACAATCTTGTCGAAGGACAGACGTATGAAGTGCAGGTGAAGTATGCGACTCGTGTGGGCTGGTCGGCGTACTCCAAGAAACAACAAATCTTGTGCTGCAGCTTCTTCCGACCGTTAGATGCACCTGCGAACGTCCGCAGACACCCATTTCTCGTCCAAAACAACGACACAGTCACGCTTACGTGGGATGCGGTGGAAAACGGAGGAAGTACCCCATTAACACATTACCGCGTGTATGAGATGTCGAAAGACGACGCGTCTGGAATATTTTCGACAGAGGAAATGTATTACGATACTCAAGATGGTGAGACGTTGTTTCTTACAATTGCGAATCTCAACCCTGCTCGGTCTTACTTCTTCAGCGTTACTGCCGTGAACGCAGCTGGACCAGGTCCTCGCTCGGACCGATTGACAGCGACTCCAGCACGGCATATGCAGCGGCCGCGCTGGTTTGATTCGTATCATGACAGTGTTGTTTTGCAGTCTCCGAAGCGGATACATTTGCGTTGGCAGGCGCCTCTCGCGGACACTAGTCAGTCGGCAACGTCGCCAACCAACCGCGCGAAGGGTATCAGTGGCTACAAAGTGTACGTGTACACTATGCAAAGCGTCGAGCCCAGTAGTGCTTCGTCTAGTTCAGAAGAGTTGCGCCAGGCGACGCTGGCTAGGTTCGCCTTCGCCCCACGCGATGCCGCAAAAGAGGACGCAACAGACGGTGTCATTGGAGGGACTTTGATTTGGAACGGCGTTGAACAGTCATCTGTTTTGGACGTGACCTATGAGCCGCCAGTTCCAGGAGCCTTCTACAGTTTCGTGGTCTATGGCGTCAGCACTTCGGGACTCGGAGATCCCACAGAGGCCGCGCTCACCGTGCAGGCTGCGGCAAAGCCGCTTAGCCCGGGAAAACCGGTCGCAGCACCGTACCAAACTACCCGTTCAAACGTTTTCCTACGATGGGATGCACCCTTTGACACGCGAGGAAGCAACATTTACACGTATCGCGTGGAGAGGTCGACGGACCACGGCGCCACGTGGCTCGACTTGACCGCCTTGGCCGCCTCTTCTGGCGATAAAGAGGGTGCAGATGTGACTAGCTCACCCACCCTGGAGGAAAGAGTCCCGAATGAAAAGACAGCACAAGGCTACTTAATCAACCGGTATTGGAACGACGATCACCAAATCACACCCACGAGTTACTACACCTACCGTATTCTGGCGCTCAACGAAGTGATCACAGGGCCTGACTTGTACTCGCCGGAAACAACTCTGGTCGCGGCCAGTATTCCTGAGACGCCGCGAATATGCGACGCTCGCGAACGCGCTGTCGAAGGTGTTTGCGAGCTCGCAGTGGCCGAATCTTCTGAGAGTACCATTCTCGTGGAGTTCACGGCGCCGCCGAGCGAAGTTGCTGTTGGCGGTTTCTATCTCTACGTAAACAACAATCTGGTGTGGGATGGTAGCCGACAACTTCCCATCTCACATTACACTTTGCGTGGATGTGCGGAGGGTCAGTACTACGACTTCCAACTGCAAGCAGTGTCTGATGCCGGGCCCTCTATGCGTTCTGAAAAGTTGACTCGACTCTGCGCGCAGCGACCCTACGCGCCGAGTGCGCCGTCCATTCTGTTAAGGGGAGGCTAAAGGTGTTCCTATTACCGTTCGTTTTGCCTTTCCGAAGGGGAAAGGCATAACGAACGGGGTTAACGAACACCTAAAGCCTACCGCTAATTCGGCGTGCCAGTCGTGACCAGCTAACGCTGCGCTGGGAACCGCCCGCCGACTCAGGTGGCCGCGAGGTCACTGGTTACATCGTACAGCGAGCCACACTTGAAGATCCCGACGCGACATTTTCAACGATCCCGTGTCTAGTCGGCATCGATTCGATCGTCCAGCTTCCGCCAGATCAGACTTCCTGTACCGATGCTTTTGTGAAGCAAAACTGTGGACCGACAGCAAGCTGCAAATACCGCGTTCTCGCGCTCAACGGTGTGGACAGCGTCAACCATTTGACAGATGCGTCTTCGGAGCGGGTTTTGCAGGCACTCGATGTGCCGCGACCCCCGCCACCATCGGAGATCACGCGCGCAATGGCTTGGTCACCGACAGTGATTGATCTGCAGTGGTCCGCAGTCGCCAACGCCACTGGCTATCGCCTGTATGCTAACTCAGGTCTGAACGATATTCCTCGCTTGATCTACGATGGATTTGGGCGATCGGTGGTGCGCACTTTCGCGCACTCACAGCTCATCCCGGGTCGGCGCTACCGCTACCAGGTCACGGCGCTCAACACAGCGACGGAGTCATACCGATCTGAAATCGTGGAGTTTCTCGCGGCGATCGCACCAAAAGCACCCGGGGTTCCGCAGATGCTGAACACAAGCGAAAAAAGCATCTACGTGTCTTGGGACCCACCGTCTGACTTGGGTGGCGGATTCATCACCAAGTACACCATCTACTACAACTCTGGAGTGGACGGCTCTCTTCTAAGCAACAAGATAGAGATTTGCAACGCGGGTGTCAGCCAGTGGCTTCTGGAGAACCTGCGGACCCCGCAGGGTGTGTACCAAATTCAGATTGAAGCACATGGTCCGTGTCCAGGTGGGCACGCGAAACTACCTCCGCCCGTTTGTCCGACGGACGCTGAGGTGTGCCCTTCGCCCACGTCGCCATTGTGTCCGGATGTGAATTACTGCACGCTTCCAAGCCCGCGCAGCCTGATCGGGCGCTTCTTCACTTCTGCCAAGCCGAATCCCGTGCAAAATCTGATCTTGCTGGTCGAGACTGCAACAAAGAGCGCGATCACTGTCGGGTGGCGTGTGGACACGCCGCTGTCGAAGATACCGCTTACTGAATTTCTCATGTACCGTGACGATGGCTTGGGTGGAGACTACATGCTAGTCGACCGGCTACCCAGCAGCTCAGCTCTTCGAAGCTCCGTGTCCACCTATGATGGGAACCAGTACGAGTTCGCGAATTTAATCACGGGCCGTGAGTACCACTTTTACTTGGAGGTATGCAACAACGTTGGCTGCACAGCGAGCAACGTGTTGGGTCCAAAGACAGTTGCCAGTGTGCCACAGCAGCCGCCACGCCCCACGCTCTTCGAGTCCGTTGTTTTTCCCTCACCATACATCTCTGTGAATCTTTTTTCGCCTGCAGACAACGGTGGCGTGCCGATTCTTGGCATCGAAATCTACCGCGACGATGGTGCCGCAGGTGCCTTCTTCCTTTGGCAGACAGTAGATCAGAGCATCACGCGAGTGACGGACACAAATGTCTTAGTGGGAAAGACCTACCGATACCGCACTGTTGTGCTGAACGCGGTCGGACCGTCGCCGAGTTCTGTGGTGGTCGATTTCTTGGTCGCCTCAGCGCCAGAAAAAATGGATCCGCCAGAAATGATTCAGCAATCCCGCGATCTCATCGCGGTGCGTTGGAACCCACCAGCTTCGAACGGCGGCAGCGACATCAACGCATTCACGCTTTACAGGTAAACACTTCTAGCTAACGTTGACGTCTGCTTGTTTCTTTAATAAAAGCCACATGCAAATTTTGTGCTTAGAATTCTCACTACTTAAGTGTTATGTCACCATCGTGAACATCTTCCCATCTTCCATCCTATGCAGAAATGACGGGATCGGTGGCCCAATGGTGCCTGTGTTCAGTGGTGCGGCGCTCGAATACACAAGCCGGCAGCTTAGCACCGGTTTGCGGTACCGCTTTCGGGTTACCGCAACAAATCAGGCAGGAGAAAGTGAATTGTCAGATACCTCGGAAATTCGTACAATCCAGCTGCCAGGGCAAGTCGGGCGTCCGCATCTAGTTGATTCCGTGTGCTACGGCGGTTTGACTAATAAGCAGCCAAACACAGCTCAAATCCGGTTTCGATGGACGCCGCCGATTGACAACGGCGGTTGCGCTATGGAGACGTTCCAGATTCTGAAGGATGACGTTGTTGCGCTCGAGGTGGACGCCACAACGACGTCTGCTCAGTTTGTAGGCTTGCAGTGTGCTTCGAGTCCGAAATTCTCAATCAAAGGGAAAAACTGCCTGGGAATTTTTACTGGGGAGTCTGTCGGATTGAAGCTCCCTATTGCGTCGATTCCAGCAAAGGTGAAGAACTTGCGGGCCATTGCGGCGACCTCGAAGTCCCTGCGATATGATTGGGACTCGCTGAAAACGGAGGACGAGATCGGCAGCGTCGACCCGACCACCATTCAAGGGTACGAGTTGTGGCTTGACGACGGCTTAGGCGGGCTCTTCACGCGCGTCTATGACGGCTACTACAAGCCGACCACAACAACCTATACCGCAGACAACCTCGTGGCCCGACGGACTTATCGCGCCTACGTGACAGCAGTGACCGTGGCGGGGAAGGGAAATCCCAGCGATGTGCTCTACAAGGATATGAGCACGATACCAGACCGTCCAGTGAACATCAATGTGGAGCCACATGTTAGTGCCGTCACGGGCCAAATCCAAGCGGATGCCATCGACCTGTCGTACATGCCGCCTATTTTTGATGGCGGTAGTCCCGTAACAAATTATGTGGTGCAGTACGCAATCGAGCCGGACTTCAACGTATGGACACAGGTCGTGCCAAACCCAGACAACAGCGAGCTGCGAATCGTTATTTCCGGTCTACAGCCGAGCCGCACTTACCAGTTTCGTGTAGCTGCGGAAACGCAAGCTGGCGTTGGGGGCTGGAGTAATAGGCGGCTCCATACTGTCGGTGGGCCACCAACGGGCTCTGTCAGGACTCTGGGCGTCAGCAAGTCTACAGGTACTAGCATCACATGGGACTGGGAGTTGCTGGATCCGGCTCTTCGTGGAGGAACTACTGTCACCGGCTACAAATTGTACATGGACCAAGGGAACGAGGATCCAAGCCTGCTGCTTGTGTATGACGGCACTGGAGCTCCGGCAATTACGCAGTACACGGTTCACAATGTAAGCTGTGGAAAGAGCTACCGCGCTCAGGTATCAGCGCTTAACGTGATCGGCGAAGGACCCAAAAGCAATATTTCGTCGGGCTTTGTGGCGGTGCGGCCTTCAGAACCTTTGGACTTCAACGTCACGCACGCTGGTCCTGGTGTGGTTCGTCTCGTTTGGAAAGAGCCTGTGCAGCTCGGCTGCGCACCGCTGCAGCAATATCGAATCGAGCGTTAAGGGTAGGTTAAAGGTGCTTTTGTTACCGCTTGTTATGGCTCTCCTAAGGGGGACAGCCATAACAAGCGGGATAAACGAACACCAAAAGCCTACCTCTAAGAGCGCTCCGCTGCGAATGAGGGAGAGTACAAGGAGTTGGCAGTTCTGCGAGCTGACTTTAGAGTGTACGACGACGAAACTTTGCAACTTGGTGAACAGTACACTTACCGCATGCACGCGCGCAATAACATCCTTGAGGCCTATGGCGCTTATTCACACGAAGTTACGGTCGTTGGGGCAACTCTACCAGGCATGCCGACGAACGTGGCCTTGTCGTATCCAGCGGGATTGAAACCGAAGCCACTCCTAGATGCAGAGATCCCAGCATTCGCATTTGAGTTTTCTTCGCAGTTAGTCGTGAAATGGGAATCCCCCACAATTGATGCTGCGACTGAGTTGCCGCTGACGGAGTTTCGTGTCCAGGTCGACGATGGCAATGGTGGGCCGTTTTTTACCGCCGCCGCCGTAGATGTGCACGGTACTGCTGCTGAAATAAGTGAGAAGGCGTTTCAAGCCGTAATCGGCGGCGCGCGTGGTGGGCCCGGAGGTGAAGTCGTTGCACTCAAGCCGGGAAGTTACTACCGTGTGCGGGTCGCGGCGGTCAATAAGGTCGGCCTTGGTGCCTACTCTGAGCCCATCGTGAAGATGGCTACTAGCGTGCCTGCTCCTGTGGAGAAAGCTGTCGTATCTCGCGTGCAGCCAGAAATGCTGCAGATCGATTGGACAGCACCGGTTGATCTAACTGGCGGTCGTGCAGTGCGCGGGTACAAAGTATTTTGCTCTGAGACCTGCGAGAAGTACGATGGAGCTGCTACTAGTGCAGTGATTAGCTGCGTTGCTGGAGAGTCGTTCACTCTATATGTTGGAGCACGCAGTGACCGAGGCTTCGGGCCCTTCACGAAAATGGATCCTGTTGCATGTGGAGCTCCATCGCTTGCGCCAAGTGGGCTCAGTTTGTTCTTTCGAGGCGTTGCGCTGGATGCTCTCTACAGCACAGATGTGCGGACACCCTCTGCTCTTACCTTGAAATGGACGGCACCCAAGTTTTCAGGCGGCTCCCCGGTGCTGCTGTACAATCTTTACAGCGACTGTGCAGGCATCGCGTCGAAGGGGAGTCGCTTTTTCGAGGTGCTCTACTACGGTCCAGAAACGCAGTATGAGCACGTAGGCGTGAGCCTCGGAAAAAGTTGCAAGTACTACGTGAGCGCAACCACGGAAGTTGGGGAGGGTGCCCGTTCTCCCATCTTCGATTCCGGTCAACACCAAGCGCCACCTAGTGCGCTCACGGTAGCGCCTGAAGTCGCTAAGTTTACGGAGGCGCGTGCGGTTGTGGAATGGACGGCATCTCAAGACCAAGCCGTGACTGCGTATCGTGTCTATCGCGACACGGAACTGATTTTCCCGCTTTCGAACGCTTTCACCACCCAGCCCGTGGTAAGCTCGATTTTCCAGCACAGCATCAGCGTTACCTTTGCACTGAAAGAGGCAGGTCGTGTATGGGGTGGGGTTTTTCGCGATGTCGAAGAAGAATATTCATCTTTGCTCTTCAAGAACCTCGAATCGACACCCGAGTTGGCATCAGAGCTTGCGTTCAACGGCGATATCAAGCTGGTTGGCTCTCTGAGCAGCTGCGCTCGGGTCGGCGCGAACAGTGAAGTAGTTCCCGTAGGGGGTGTCTCGACAACGCTTATTTGGCACGGATGTTTCCTGGACGGACCAGCAACGTATCGCGTCGTGCTCTATGCGGAGGGACGCAACTCATTTGAGAATGATGGCGTCCTGTCATCGCCAGCAATGTTTTCGGTCGCTACAGCGAGCAACGATTACATGATGGTCGGTGGTCCTGTTCTCTCTCTTCCCGAGGTGGCGATTGCCAGCACTGGCACAATAACAGTTGAACTAGAACCGACAGCAATGGCAGGACGTGCGTGGGTGGGTGTCTTTGATCAAACAGCGGCCCCGCCTACGTTGAGTGAGCTCCAGACGGCTACCTGCGGCGCTAGCAACCAGTTCGTTGCAGGCTTGCAGTCGGGTGGTTTGACAGTTTCTTTCACCTGCGGTGCGGGCGTGTTACTTGGCGACCGAAGTTACGACGTGTTCGTCTATGTTGAGGACAGTGGGAAAACCGCTGGCACTGGTACCATGGCTAAAGTTTCGACGCCCTTGCAGATTTTGCCGTCCAACACCTTCGCAACATCGCCGTCTGTCGCAGTGGCAACACCGGACTTGAGCTCTAATGCGTTGTCATTGACCTTTGCCGCCACGTCAACCGGTACGGCCTACTTCGTAGTGGTAGCCTCCCCTGCGGACACTACGTCACTAACGGTAGCAGAGTTGAAACGGAACGTGAAGGCTGGCAACTGCACGGATGGAGTCTCGCTCGTATGTGCTGGCTCAGCTGCGATATCAACAGCCAATAGCGCCACTGCTGCGAGTCTAATGGGGTGCGCGCTGGCAGAGTTATCTCGCTACTCGGTTCTTGGCTACGTCGAAGATTCTGCTGGTGCTGATGATGGAGCCCGGGTGTCAGTTGTGAAGTTTAAGACGGGAAAGTTCTCGGCCATTTCTAGTAACAACTTCACGGTAGCACCGATGCTAGTTACGTCTCCGGCTGCGATTCTTGTGACGCAGCAGCTCGCTGTGTCATTCACGGCCGTGACCTCAGGCTTCGCTTGGGTGACTCTAGTTGACGCAGATGAGGCGCACTGTGTCACGGCCAATGTTCTGAAAGAAGGTGCTTATGCTGGTGTCCTGTGCGCAAATAGCTCAGTAGCGATTTCTGGTGGCAGTGTTGAGACGGTGGAACTTATCAATTGCACGAATACAGCTCTGGTTGGACTCAAAAACTATTCTTTGCTGGTGTACGTCGAGGGCGCCTCTCCGTCTGCAGAGCTCGACGGTGCTTTGGCGGAGGCAGTTACTTTTGAAACTCCCTTGTCCAATAGCTTCACACCAGGCAGCAGCCCTGCTGTGAGTCTTGTCGGTACTGTGTGGACTGCGACAGTAAGTACTGTTAGTAGCGGGTTTGTGTGGGGCGTCATTGTGCATAAGGATCTCAAGCGACAGATGACCGGCGAGCGTGTGCGGGCGGGGACGTTCGGCGTAAGTGGTGGGGGATGCCGAGTTGAGAGGCAGAGCGTTGCTGGTGGCGTAAGCACCACGGTCCCCTTTACAGGTTGTACCTTACCGCGGGGACGCGAGTACGAGGCGTATTTCTACGCTGAGGGACTCGTTAGCAGTGATGGCGCTTCTGACGCTGCAAAGGGTGATGGATCTGTGTCAACATCTGCTCCGTTAGCGTATTCGAGATTCAGCAACACACTCTTGGACTTAGCAGAGGTCTACGCAGAACCTCACCTGGGTGGTCCTGCCAGTACCATAAATTTTCGAAAGAGCAAGCTCACTGTGCACATGACAAGCACGCCAACGTACGGTGGCGCGATGGCCTTCGCGGTAAGGGCAAGCCAGAATGGCAAGCTCTGGGCCACGTTCGAGAGTAGTGTTGTCTACAACTCTGGCGCGCCGCATCACTCGGCAGGCCACTTTTTCCCGAAATTTGCACCGGCTTCAGATCCTTGCAGTATCCGCTCTGCACCGCTAGTGGCAGGATCTATGCTCGAATTCTCAACGTCCAGCGGTTGTCCACCAGTGCCAGGCGGTGTGAGTGACCCTGTTGAACCGTACGTGCTGCATGTTTATGTGGAAGACAATGCGGGGCTCAACGACGGTGTCCACTACCACCTTGACAACATCCCGATTCAGAACAGTTCGGTTCCACATTACACACGCGCGCCGTACATCGTCGACGGCCTTGGCTCAACGACGCCTGGAGTCGTAACCTCAGATGGCGCAACGGTTGCATTCGAAATGTCGAATCCATCGGCTGCCTTTAACGCGACTGGTAGTCCAGCAACCGCCCGCGGCGTTTTGGTTGAGTCTTCATTACTGTCTCAACTGCAGAAAGGCTATGACAAGAAGATCTCGAGTTCTGACAAGAATCAGTACGAGTGTTGCCCGGCGGATTTTTCCACTCTGAGTCCTTCGACTGGGGTTCGTTGCTCCTTTGACGGTGTGCACCTGACCTCGACAAGTGTCAATGCGACTGCTACCTTTTCGGGGTGCAATCTCACAGCTGGCGTAGTCTACTACATCGCTGTCTGCGCAGATGGGGTGCAGCACTCGCCAATGGCAGTGTCGGTTCCAGCTTCGAACACTCTGAGTGCTTTCCATCTGACTGCTGAGCCCACAACGTCTGGCGTGTCCACCATTGTGATTGCAGCGAAAAGCGGAACGGTATACGCCAATGTGTTTGCTCTTAGCACCTTGTCACGCAAAGGCGTCCCTCCCACCGATGATTCGAGTAGCACGGCTTACATGAGAAGTGCGTCCACCTCTTCGATGGGCCATATCGATCTGACTATGCAGCGAAAAAAGATGCCTGTGTCTGCGATTATGTCAGACGGCCTTTGCTCCGTTGCTGCAGTCGCTGTTACAGGTGGCGCCGCAACTGCAGTGGCAATTTCAGGGTGCACGCTCGCAGAAAATACAGCTTACGCATTGGTTTGGTACGCAGAGACCGGTGCTGCTGGTTCGCCGATCGGTGATGGTGCGCAGTATATAATTGTGGACTTGCGCATTCCCCTCACTGCTACGGCTGTAACCCCTGCAGCAGCTGCAAACGCCACGTCGAACGCGTTCGACACTACACCCCTGTTGGCGGGCGCAATCACTGAAGATGGGACGCTAGTGGAATTTCAACCACGCAATGGGGGACGCGCCTGGATTGGCGTCGCGCCCTACGACGCGGATGTTGACGGGACAGACATTGCAGCATTGAAATCGCAGATCGGCACCGGCAGCGGCTCTTTTGCTCAGCAGGGTACGAATGCTTGTCGGCACACTGGAGCTGATATTCCGGGAGGGTACGAGTCTTTCCGACTGTCCACGTGCAACCTGCAGCGGGGGTTCACGTATGAGCTGTTTGTTTACGTAGAAGACTACAGCGCCATGAACGATGGCGTGCTCCACCGACAAAATATCTCGTACAGCAGCAGCACCCACTACTTTTTCTACGTGAGTCCCACGTTTGCGGGTATTTCGAAAAATGGTTTAGAAGTTTCGCTGGCTGTTAGTGGCGGCGCACTGTGGACAGCCGTTGTGTCCCCGAACGACGCAGCGGAAATCGCTAGTGATGCGGCAAAGCTGAAGCGCGGAGAGAAGAGTCGTGGAGGCTCCGGTTGCAAGATCGCCAACCAAGCTCTCGCTTCCCGCGCCCTCGTTCAAAAGAATTACACGGATTGCAGGCTAGCCGAAGGAGGAAGCTACAGGTTTCTTGCGTATGTGGAGGGAGACACCGGTGGTTCCGTTGCGAATGTTCCCTTCACCGTGCCAGTGGTCGAGACTCATACACCGTCATCTTCCAACTCGCTTCTTTACATCGATGAAGGGCTAGTCAACTCCATTCCGGGACCGCGATCAAGACATTACTACCAGATTCGACCTGTTAGTGCGGTAGGTGTTGGGCCCGCAAGCGCAAAATCCAAACGAATCCGCTTGGCCTCCCGACCTGCGACGCCTCATGCTCCTCTGTTTTCTTCTTTCACAGCCTCGGAGGATGCAGTGACGCTGGCTGTCGCACCGGCGTATACCAGCAATTTTGCCATCAACTCATATGTTCTGTACAAGCAGGACCATTACGCGGTTAGCATCGATAGTATTCAAGCTTTTCCAGGCCGAAACTTCCATGTGTGCTACAACGACAGCACAACGCTGATCACCATACGAAATTTGCCCACACATTCCACGAATTCGTCGAACGTTTTCCGATTTGGCGTGGCAGTGCGTACAGATATGGGACTTTCGGATATGTCATTGCCTGTGTCCGTGACTGTGTGTCCATTACCAGCGGTTCCGCAGAATCTCACCCTGGTGACGGCCTCTGAAACAGAAGTAACATTCTCGTGGACTGCTGGACCGGACAGAGGAAATGCCACTGCTTGTCCTTTCAAGGGCTACATTATCTCAGTCAACGGAACCGATGTTGCGGAGTATGGGGTGGGCGACCTGAGCGAGCTGAGGCACTCATTGTCGAAGGTCAAAGCGCGTGAAACTTACCTGATCACTATAAGGAGCAAAGCGCAGGGCGGCCAGTCCGTAGCCTCTTCGCCTTTGCGAGTTCTAGCTGAAGCTACTCAAGGCAAGATGGAAGCGCCGACAATAGTGGCGTCCAGTGAGCGTGGTATCCGCATAAAGTGGCAGCCTGTTTACATCTACGGCACGTATCGCGTCGAGGATGATATCCTCTTTTATCGCATCCATTATCGCGAGAATTACTTCCAAAGCCCGGTAAGCAGATACGATACGCCCTACATTGCATTGAGTGCCACCAGTAGCGGCACTGCTTCCTCGAGTGTGAACAGTTCGAACTCGTCCGCCCGCATGCTGCGACAGCTGGTTCAAACCGTCAATGTATACGATGATGACGATGATGGCGTGACGGACTTCCGAAAAGCCGTACCTATGCCGCCTCCGATCGACTATTCACAGCCGCCAGCTACCTCAGAGCTCTTCTTCAGCACTGCACAGGCCGATCGTTATGTAACCGAGCTCGGCGCCCAAGTGGAGAGCCCGCTTTACCTCCCGCCGGGACAGAATACGTGTTTTTCCATTGCTGCGGTGAACCGCGCCTTTTTCCTCAACGGGGATCAGCGGTCCTTGGTCTTTTCTGGGGAGGTGTGTGCTTGGACGGCGTCCTTACCAGATCCTCCTCCCGTGATCGCCTTCGAGGGCGTGCAGAAGGGTAACATTCGGGTGCACTGGCAGCCGGCGCTGCGCGATCCGGGCGCGCCCGTCTACATGTACGAGCTGTGGATGCGGCCCAACGTTCCTGCGAATGGTTGGGGATACGGTGTTGGCAAATGGAACATGCTCTCCACTAAGACAGAGGCCGAGTTAGATCACTACATAGAGAAGTGTAAAACTGGCGAATCGTACTTCTTCAAGGTAAGAGCGAAAAATCTTGTGGGCTTTGGCGATTACTCCAAAGAGTTTTTAGGACGTTGCGCAATGCCGCCAGACAAGCCGTTGGCGCCTATCCGCACAAATAGCTCGCGACGGACCATCGAGGTTTCGTTTTTCGCTCCGCACGATAACGGTGCGCCTATTACGCGGTATCGACTGTTCCAGGCAACTTCGGACAGCCACGTCTTCAACGAAATCGCGTCTGACTATTTCAAGCCCTACCTCCGTGTCCCGGTGTTGAACTACACCTCCGTCACTGTTATTGTTGGCACCTACTACCGCTTTAAGGTGCAGGCGGAAAATGAAATGGGCCCGTCTGTTCAGTCGGACGAGCAAGTAGTTTTGTGCGCAGCAGAGCCCGGACCTGTGCGCAATGTCTCGATTGCGCGTAGCGAACGGTCTGGAACGCGAATATCGTGGTTACCCCCACTGGACGACGGCGGTGACGAGATCGTGCGCTATGTGCTGTATTACAACGAAATCGACCACCCAGGCAAGGACGGTCAGAAGGGTGGTCTTCCTCGCATCGCCTGGAGTGGGAGAGACACGCAGACAGACTTCCTAGCCTTCAGTCAGGGCATGCGCTACCGCTTCAAAATCGTCGCACACAGTACGATGAGCCTCTCGATGAATTTGCAGGGTCCGGATTTCCAAGCAGATGGAACGGAAAACACGTACGTTTGGGGGAGTTCGCTTCCGCCGGGCCCGCCTGGCCTTAGCATCTACGAGACAGGAGTTTCAAACGTGACGTTTCATTTTCAGAGGCCGCTGGACGACGGCGGAGATCATCAGCTCTCGTACAATCTGTATGCTGATGATGGGATGGGAGGAGACGTCACTCGCGTTTGCCAGACACACACTCAGTATTGCTCAGTGTCACACCTCGCGATGGGGCGTCTATACCGGCTAGAGGGGAAGACCGTGAATGCGTACGGCGAAGGTGAGGCTGCAAGCATCAACGCGTTCATCTGTGAGCGCCCGACCCCTCCGCGCGACTTCAGGATTGTGAATCGCAGCGAAACTGGCACTACATTCGCGTGGCGCAAGGCACAGATCATTACAACGTGTCCGATTTACGGTTATGCCATATACGCTGGTCGCACAGCGGACAAGATTGATCAGCTGATCGGAAAAACAGAGGGTGGAGAAGACGACATCGGTCCGTTTACGTACCAACATGAGTATTTAAATGAGTATCGATACTACGCAGTTGCAGCCGAGTCGTGGCTGACACAAAACTCGCCTTGGATTTTCGGAGAGTTCTCATCTCCGATTCTAGTTGCTCTGACAGCAGGACAGCCCTCACCGGCGCGCAATCTCACGCTGGTCCAAGTGAACGACGCAGTTCCCAACACGATAAATCTGCTGAACCCCGCGGACTATCTCCTATCCTCCGTCACACTTTCGTGGATAGCGCCCGCAAGTGACGGGGGTGCACCCATTACCGAATACTGGGTGTATCGGGACGACGGCCACCGCAGTGAACAAGTGGGCTTCGTGAATGCGATGGGTCCCGGCGACGTGGTCACCACAACTACGGTGACCGTCACTGGGCTTCGGTACGGATGGACTTACCGCTTTCAAGTGGCAGGCATCAATCGAGTGATAACAGAAAATCCGTTGAACGATGCCGGAACGCCTCGATTTTCTCCAACGCTTAACGTTGTCGTCGCGAAAGCGCCGCAGCCACCGGCAACGCCTCGAGCAAACAACGCGACACGCGGTGTTGCTGGCGTCGCAATAGTTTGGGACCCGGTGACCGGCATCGACACAGGCGGTCGTCCGATACTTGGTTATCGACTGTATCGGGACGCGGGAGGTTCTGGCAACATCGATCGCCTCGTATTTGACGGAGTCAAGAAACCAGATGTGCTTAGCTTTCAAGTTTCGGACCTGCAGCCGGGACTGCCATACGGTTTTGCCGTGACTGCAGTGAACGCGTATGGAGAATCGGCGCAATCGCGGAAACTGTACCTTACAGCCGGCGACACAGGTACCTTTCCGACGGCTGTTGTGCGAGACCCGCATCGGACGTCAGACGCGACAAGCATCCATCTTCGATGGAATCCTGCGGAACAAGACCTATCGTATGATACTTCAAAGGCCGGCGGTCTGGAGTACCGCGTGTGGCGGGAGCGCGACGATGGTCAGAACGCATTGCTCGGTGACTTTATTTTGGCTGGAGACACCTTCGACACGAATATGACGATCACTGGCTTAACCGCATCGCGCTTCTACAAATTCTACGTGCAAGCGTACAATGCGGCGGTGGGATGGGGACGCGCTAGCCGCATGTACGAGACGCAGATGTGCGCACGGCCGCAACCGCCAGCGACGTTTGAGGCGCGCGATTTCACGGACAACGGCGTGCTTCTGTACTGGACGGCTCCATCAGATGGGGGCTGCAATGATGCGCGCATCACAGGTTTTGAATTGTACCAGAAACGCCTAATCGAGGACAAGCATGAAGACCAGTACCACTTGATCGTCGACGCGGACCGGACGATCACGCGAAAACGTATAGTGGAACTGCAGCAAGGCATCACATACCTATTCAAAGTGCGGGCAAAAAACTACGACCAAATATCGGAATTCTCCCAGCCACTGACGATAACCATTGCCTCAGTCCCACATGCGCCCTTGCCGCCATTGTATACCGGTGGATCGCCGACCTCAATCGTGCTAAATTGGGGCGAGGCCTACAGCAATCTTCCAGTTCTGGAGTATGAGCTTCTTGGTGACGACGAAGTGCAGGACGAAAACACCATTGTTTTGTACTCGGGACTTGCGCGAACGTTTACGCATAGCGGACTCACACCGGGTAGGAGCTACTCCTACTACCTTCGTGCGCGAAATGCGAACGGGTTCGGAGCGCTATCTGGGGTCGCAACGTGGATGGCTTCGAACATTCCATCGACGCCTACAGATTTGCAGTACTATAAGAGCGAGAAAATAGCGAGCGTCGCTGCGGTTAGGGCCCAACGAGCGGGGACAACATCCAGTAGTCGTCTGAACGTTTCCTTCGAGGGACAGTTTACGGATCGACAGGCCAAGCCGCAAGTTCGATTCTTTGTGTCATGGCGGTATACGCCAGCGTCACCCTCGACTGCATCTACGGATGCGCCTGTGCAACGGTATGAGCTAGAATGGCGTGATGTCAGCGCACTGACGCCGATGACGAAGACGATGAATGGTGAGACGTCGAACACACACTTAGTGAAGCTGAATGCAGGGCGGCGATACGGTGGGCCGGAAGGTACGTTGCTCGCCGGCAGCATTATTGTGGTTCGTGTGCGTGCATGCAACGTGAACATCTGCGGGTTGTGGACTCCAAGTCGTCACTATGTAGTAGGTGGGCGGGCCGAGAAGCCGGCAAGTCTGGAATGGGTCGATAGCAGCTTCGACTTCATCCGGCTGCGTTGGAGTTCTAAAGGACGTGACGACGGTGGCATGACGATTACCAACTACGCGATATATGCGCGTGACGACACGCAGGGCTTCGTGTTGGCCGGTCTAGACACCGGTATTATATCGCTTACGGGAAATCCGAGTGGCAGCGCTCTGTCGGTTGCTGGATACACTGGGGGCCCTAGCACGACTTTCAAGTACGTGTGTCCTTACGCGAATGCCGTGATCACCTTTCAAGTGGCGGCCATGAACAGTGTTGGCGAGGATCCACTGACTAGTACTGGACATTTTTCTGACCCGGTGACGTTAATCTGCGCGGGCGTTCCCGAAACGCCGCCAACGCCGGTTCTGAACGGTGTGGGCACTGGTATTGCCGTGAACTTGTACCTGCCTTCTGCTGACCAGCTGCGCAACGTGACACACACAGGCTGGAATATCCATTTGGACAATGAGGACGACCGCAACGACCTTTTTCAGCTGATAAGATTACGAGGGCCGCGGACTGCTGATTCGAAGTACAGCATCACCACGGCGGGACTGCGTGAAGGGGCTGGCGTGTTTCTTCCCAATCCAGGAGTTGTGGAAACCATCACCGTGGGCGACGCGTATCGAGCGAAACTGCAGCTGTGCAGTGTAGTCGGTTGTAGCCCTAAGTCGAACATTTCGGCGTCCGTGCACGCTGCAGGGCTTCCATCGGCACCAAGGAACGTGCGTCTGACAAATTCTACTGACAACTCGCTGACCATCGTCTGGGACGCGCCATTTTCGAATGGGGGAACGATTCTGACCCAGTACGTGATCACAATCCGTAACTCGACCGGCTTCAGTGTTGTTCGACCGCATCCGAGCATAGATTACCGCGAGCTAACGCAAATTTGCAATCAGGACTCTCTAAACGCCGAGCGCGACTACCTCTATTTTGATGTGCGTGCAGAGAACAGTATCGGACCGGGACCAACGGAAGAGAACTTTTTCAGGCGCTGTAGTGCTCCACCTGACACGCCTTTGGCTCCGACGAAGACTGGCGCAACTGCGTATTCAATCGATTTGGCTTGGGTGAAGCCAGACTTGCACGGGGCAATTCATGTGAGCACGATCTTGTACCAGGATGATGGTGCAGGGCGCGCGTTCACTGCAACGACAATTACAGACACGACCGCTACGACGTTCATAGCAGAGAACCTAATTAGCGGTAATATCTATCGCTTTAAGCTGCAGTTTCTGACGGAGGTAGGCACAAGTCCGGAGTCTCCTATCCTGTCGGCGTACGCCGCGACGACGCCGCCTGCACCAGAGCTCTTCTTGGACCGTACGGGCCTTTTCGCCGTGAACGAGACCGTCGAGGCAGCACTCGCGGGAACTAATCAGACAGTCCCTACGGCTATGGGCATCTCGCTTTTGAGCACTTTTCCGCCATCCACTGGCGGATCACCGCTGACGCTTTTCGAACTGTTTGAGTCTGATACAACGACCTTCAACTACGCCGCGGGCCCAATCTACAACTTGACGGAAGAAGAGTTAGGCAACCCGCTCAATCACACGGCGACGGCAGGGATCGGCTTTATTCGGCGCAACTGCAATCTGGCGCAGGTCTACTTCTTCCAGACGCGCTTCTCGAACAATGCAGGCGCAGGCGCGGTGTCGAACCGTATGCGCGTGAGGTGTAGCATCGCCCCGAACACACCTGCTGCACCAACGCGAATAAGCTCCACCCGTGGCAGTGTCGAAATTGGCTACACTTCTGGAACGCCGGAAGACCTGAATGGCGGTACGCTGCAAGGTTACATTCTGCACATCGACGATGGTAACGGCGGGCCATTTGTGCAAGTGCAAGTGGACGATGCTTCGCAAACCAAGTTCAATTTCACTAACTTGCTGGTCGGTGTTTCATACCGGTTCAAGGTGCAAATTCTGTCAGATGCGGGTCAGTCCCAGGAATCAAGCACTTCAAGCTTTTTCAGTAGTGCGAAGGCAGATCCACTGCGGGGCGACGCTGTCGTCGTGAAATCCAGCTCGTTTTCGGAGATCGTCCTGCAGTGGACCGTGCGCGAGGGCTTCGACACCGGTGGCGGCGCCATCTTTTACTGGGAGGTGTATGTCACGCCCGACCATTCACAAGGCGGCTACCATCCGACGCTCGCGTCGATCCTAACACGAGACGTGAATCAGAAGGAGGTCACTTTCGCGTGTCCAGACACAAATGGTGAGTACTTCTGGTTCAAGGTGGCGGCAGTGACAAACGCCGGAACGGGGAAATTTAGTCCAGGGAGGCGGTATCGCTGCGCTCCAAGACCGGAAAAACCGGATGCGCCAACGAAGATCGCAAGCAACCAGACTAGTGTGACTTTGGCGTATGACCGCAAAAATCTCTACAAGGGCGTCCACTTTGGGTACAACATCTATGTGGACGACGGCATTCAGGGCGATTTCCGCAAAATTTCAGTGGACGAGACCTCATTCATAACATATCCAGTCACAGGACTGCAAGTTTCACTGCCCTACCGATTCAAAGTTGCGATTGTTACCGAAGTCGGCGAGAGTGACCATTCCGACATAAGCATCTTCTATCCTGGCGATCTGCCTGCAGCGCCTACGGCGCCGCTTTACGTGAATTCCACGAACAACACGATAGCGGTGAGTTGGTTAAGCGGCAGCCAGTCGTTCTCGCAGTCTGGCGGCAACGCCTATCTAAATTGGGTACTGCAGGCGAGCTACTTCAAAAACTTGACGAGTACAACAGATCAAATAGGAATCAACTGGACAGAGGGCCTACAGGTGGAGTTACCGTTCGTAGTCGGTACGAATGTCTATGAGTACGAAGTCGACTGCGCCACTCTGGTATCGGGAGTAGACCTGACCACAGAATTCGTCTACTTTCGAGCAGCGGCGGTAACTAATGTTGGCCAAGGGGGTTGGTCACCCGAGGTATACTCCATTGCAGTTACTCTTTTTTCGCCATTGCGTAACTCAAATTAATGAACTCTGTTGATGTTGCTCTTTTTGATCATGATGTGAATACTTCAACACCAATCAAACCGTCCACTACAACAGTCTCGCATCCGGTGCACATCTCGGCCTGAGGCACCAGCTATTTTCGAGCCGGTTGGAAGCAGCAGTTCTGCAGGGGCGACGGTCGCCTGGTACGAAAAAAATACGTTCGGCGCCACCGTTCTGGGATTTGAGGTCTATGCGAACGATGGCTTGGGCAGTGATCTGGAACTCGTGTCTTCAATACTAGACTCGTCACAACGCAGTTTCACTTACGTCCCGCCACTGGGCAGCACGGTGGGGGACAGATTTGGAGCGAATGTGACGCATATCACCTACGGAGGCATGCTCGTGAGTACGGAAACATCGACCACAACGAAGATCGGGAATCGTCCGTTTCGCTTTCGTGTAGCAGTGGTGACTGACGTGGCCACCGGACCGAAATCAGACGAGTTGACTGTGTATAGCTGTGCGCCGCCAGTGCTCACAGCAGTGAAACCCTATGTCGTCGCCGGCGTGTATAACCTTACAGGAGACGGAAAGTTTTCGCTCACCTTAGGATGGAACCCACCACAAAACGCCGGTGGTTGCACCATTGCGGGTTTCCGAATCGAGAAGGACGCCGTGTTCGAGCGGTATGGAACAGAACTCAAGGAGGTGAATCGAGCAGGAGAGAATATGACGCGCTTGGACCCAATAGAAATTGCCAGTGCGAACAACTATTCTTTGATCTACCCCGCCGAACCCGGTCCCGACCCGAATGCCACTGCCGCGTACGTCAGCTACCAAGACGGCAACACGACGGTGTTCACCAACTACACGCAGTACGGCAATTTGGATCCGACAGTTTTCACCGCAACGTACGCAGACCCAGCAATAAGGAAGGGCCGTGTGTACCGCTTCCGCGTGGTCGTTGTGACCCGAAAAGGTGAGTTCAACGGTCCCATCACGGAGGTTGCAGCAGTTGGGGTTCCCAACAAAATGACGGCGCCAGTCGCCAACTACGAGTTGAGCACCACGACCTCACTTTACCTTTCCTGGAGCGTGCCGGAGAGCAATGGCGGCGTGGTTTTCGGGTACAACTTGTATCGCAACGACGGCAACGGCACTGCAGTGAGCGTCATGCCCGATGCAACATGTGGCATGGAGAAAAATGCAGCCCCACAATTGTGCACAATTACAGGCCTCACACCGGGGGAAGAGTATCAAGTGCAGATGTCCACAGTGAATGAGGCTGGCGAAGGGGAGCGGAGCGATCCAACAATCTTCGTCGCGGCCAAGGTAGTGTCTGAAAATACAAGGCATGATAAGTCCTTTGTACGTACTCATAGTTTTTTCGATTGCCTCGCTGAATGAATTACTTATCCACTGCTATCAACTGGACGAGCTTTTTCTGTATTTCAGCATTCCCATTCCGGTTCCACAATTGTCGTAAAAATAGCGGTTGTTTGCAACAATTAAGCCTTAAACCTGTACAAACACCAGGTACCTGGCGCTCCAATCGAGCTCACAATCACAGAGGCGAAGCACTTTCCGACGCCACAAATGACATTGACGTGGAAGTCTGGAACCGACGAGGGAGCCCAAATTTTCGATTACATTTTGGCTATCACGCGTGCCAACGAGGACAATCCAGAGTACGTTTCGATGGGTGGCACACGAGAGGCGGCTTGGAGACTCATTAGTGCGCCTACCAAGACGCTCACGGCAGCAGATTTTAGTACTCTGAGTTTCGGTGTCGCCGATCACTTCCAGGTGAAGGTTCGGGGAGTGAATTTGGTGGGAGAAGGAGCTTGGAGTGCGTATACGACACCGACGAAGGTAGCGTTTGGAGTGACGAAGCCACAAGGCGTAGTCTTGTCTCAACCGGAAAAGCCGTTCGGCCTGCGGCGGCATTCAGACCAATTGGGTGTGCCGAATGACACCATAAAGATGCAGTGGGACAAACTCGCTATAACCAATCAAGTTTTGAATCGCGAGTTTGGAGGTGATTATGCATCGAATATGACATACCACTTGTACGGAGATCGTGTCGACGGCTATCAAAATATTTTAATCGCGTCATTCTCTCATGCCGGCGATGCTGCTGTATACCAACACAGCGGCTCTCACCCGGTGTATCCAGTCAGCCCAAGTCAGACCTGGTACTTGATAAATTCAGTTGTATGTTGTCGATGTTATTTCTCCTAAACCTAATCTACTACTAGTAGTAGTACTAACGACTTTTTTGGTAGCTCTATTTGCATAGACAATGTCAGATCTCCAGGTTGTGCAATTTTTCTTCAAGTAAAATATAGGTACTACACGATTCGCTCCGGTAACTCGGGTGGATTTCTTTCGGAACCAATATTGCCGCCAATCAAGATGATTTCCGCCTTTGTGCCCGGTCCACCACGGAACCTTCAGGCAATCATAACTAACCCTTTCCAGTCATATCTCACGTGGGAACCACCTGTAGACGACGGCGGCGACAGTCTGACAGAATACCTGATACGAAGCAGCCAAGGCATAGCATGGAACACCTATGTGCCAGCTACGACACTATTCCAGCAACTTTCAGGTCAGGCCATCGGTTCCACGACGTACTACATCGCAGCCGGCAACAACATAGGATTTGGATCGGAAATCCAAACGACCATAATCGTTACCAGCGTTCGATAGATGCGCGTGAAGGAGGAGAGCACTTCACCAAACACTACAGCATTCGCTATTTTATGTCACAGCTGCTAGCATCCCTGAGTTCTTGTTGTATCAATCTATTCTAAAGACATCATTACTCACCTCCTGTAAATGCGAAGGCCTGATGAAGAAAGTTAGTGCAAGCTAGAAAGAAGTACCCCTACCCAGCCACCCCTTCACCTTCTTTTTTCAAATGAAATAGCTGCATCCGAGCAAAATGATACCTACGTGAAATAAGTGAAACTGAATACTTCTGTAATTTACAGATCAAGTAGACAGACTCAGACTTCTTGATCCATTTCCTTCCAGCAAGCACGTGGCAGTTCGAATTACCGCGAAATTAATGATTCACTCCTTTCTTATTCTTGTACTTGTTCTAGCTGTAGTATTTCATTTCCTTATTCTGATCATCATCAAAAAATCAATATGATAGTCTTCCTCACCATCCGTTACCGTTTCCGTTATCCGGGTGTTTTGGAGAGAGAAGAGAGGTTTAACGTACATTGACCTTTACCGTGACGTTTAGAAGTTGTTCCTGATTCAATGGAATAAAATAGCAAGGACCAGAATTATGGTGTAGTAAGATGATGATATGGGAGCAAGTCGATTGATTTGTTCCCCTGTCTTGTTCTTGATGTCTAGCTAACAAAAACATTTCTTCAGAAGGCGTCTACTTAAGTCAAAAACGGTTGTATTTTGTGATCGCGTGTCTCGTTTTGCAAGATCGCATTCTGCATGTCAGCGAAATTTCCAGACCCGACCAGACCAGACTATGACGTACTCGTAAACCAGTGTATTCGATCTATGATGGATATGACAGACAGCAGATCATGCACGCTATCGCCTATGGCCATGGCTCGTGGCAGAGGTTTCCGTAACAGGGGTAAGCGGGAGGGACGATGGAGTTGTGAATACGGAGTAACCGACGACGAACTCCAACGAGCAGCAATATTAAGGCACGTGCGTCACCTGAGACGAGGTCACTCGACATAACTCTACACGCACGATGAGAAAGAAAGCATCAGAGCGGTTGACGAGAAATATTTGAGGACTCAAGGCCTGTAGTTACGGATGCATTGTTGTTTTGCGTGGTAATCAAAGTAGTCCAGGTCAACGAGTGATGCGGCATTGGGTATGAACTTTGTTAATATCATCACTCGTTCTAGTTCGTTGTAGTTGCAGTTCCTGTCTACTTCTAGTCAATAATTCCCTTGATCATGGTCTTGAGAAGCATGGCCATATTTTCAAGTCGTGCTGCTACTGCAACGTCATCTCTGCATTCTGCCCGTCTCCCCAGTCGAAAATGCTATATCAGGGTTTCTGCTCTAGCTCTTTGGCGCAAAATCATTTTTAGATTCGTGTCTTTTTCTTTACGGTACATCTTGGCTTTTCTGCTTTCGACAGGCTTGCTAATCTAGCCGCTTCCTAGCTGTATCGATTCTGACGTCAAATCCCATGTAGACGAACGACATATATTGCCTAAGATATTTTTTGCAGAGGCTCGGCTACTCCTACGCAAATCGCCTTCTACGTGGGTAAAAAAGGTGACAGACCGGCTTCCCTTTGCGCAGAACCGCGACCAAGCTAAGTAGAACTTTTTCTTCCTCAGAGACTGCTTCTGAAGCACCTTTTCTCTGGTGTCCTGACCACAGACGTCCCAATGGACGGGCGTGGCTTAGAAGTCATAACTTTCACCTTTCGCCTGAGAAAGCAGGTAAAACTGCGGACGGCGGACTCCATCCTAATCCTAATCCTAAAACCAAAAACTTGTTGTAACGCGTAAGAGCAACCATGTCGTCTTCCTCGTCCTCCTCATCGGGCTTTGACCCTGCGACATGGTCGCCCGATCAAATCAAGCTCACATCGGGTGTCGTGGGTGCTGGTGTATCCAACTTTTTTGGAATTCCAGCCGACAAATTCAGGGTGCTCGTTGCACAAGACACCGGCTCCACGCTCTCAGTTGGACAGCACCTGAAGGACACCCTTCGGTCACCCGGCGCCGCTTTCACGGGAGCAACTGCGAGAATAAACATGAAGATAATGGCAACTGCGTTGAATCTGTATTTTTTGCTTCATGATCTCTTATTCTTTTCATTGATCAAGTAGCGTCGAGGATGTGGAGAAGTTTTCGACCTCGTGTCATCTACTGAGATGAATATTCAATAAGAATCACTTGAGTTCTGAACAACTGGCTTTCGTTCCTGGTTAAAACGTTTCTTTTGCGCTGAAAATAATGACCTAAAAGCGGATGTTGACCACGTTCGTCGTCACCCTCACCTCCTCTGTCTTATCCTGATCTGCCTGCAGGTACGTACCTCCAGACTGGCGAGAGTCAAATCCATTTGGTTGTGCGTTTGCGGTAGGGTTTGGCTTTAGCCCTTTACTAAATGTCCCACGCATGTTTCAGCTAGGGAAGATAGCTGGCGACTCCTATCCGCAGACTTTCCGCAATTTTTTTACGAGTTTTGGCGGCCTCCAAAAGTATGCTGCGAATACAGCCATGTTCGCGCCAGGGGAAGGCTTGCGAATGATGATGTGTTTCGGAACCAAGGACTTCATCATGCCCAGAATAGGCGGCAAAGAGGATCCAAGGTCCTGCCTTCAGAAGGTCACGTAGGCAAAGACTGGGTCGTAAGCGTAGTAGTTGCTTACTACTTATCATCCTTGTCACACACTGAATCCGAATCGATTAGATTTTCATTTGAATGAAATGATAGCACCACGACGACCACTGCATCTTTTCACCGATAACAACAACAACGAACAGATCGGTTTCCATTCCGGTACATTGCGCGAAGATGTCTGCGATTGCGGGTCCCGTTGTTGCCCTTATTGAGACCATTTTCGCGTTGACGACAGAAACCGTTTCCACCATTCATGCGAAAAATGCGGCAGCGGCAACGAAAAAGCCATTTCTTGAGCTCCTTCGAGAAACAATCACTCCTTCCTATACTGGACGCTGCTTTACGAGTCTCTGCGCCAAAAATATCCTCGCGAACACGAGTCTCTTCTGGATCATGTTTATGTCCGACTTCTACACAAACAAGTCTGAGATTCTGACCAAAAAGTAGGAACGAAGTCGATGTCGAAGATGGTCACTCGATAGCGACGCCGCTCACATGCGTGCGCACTTTGTGCAAAATTATAGATGAAAAGCTATCGAAGCATGGTTTTTACAGCAAGTAAGTACTAGCTATCTCACAAGGGGACAAGGGGGACCGGATGTAATAGATTAACCAAAAGTACTGAGAATAGAGAAAACATAAGGATGCTTCTTTGCCGCCAAAAATTTAATGAGGGTGCCTTCGTAGGCCATTCAGCATTTTATACATACACGTAAGGATTTGGATTTCCAAGAGGTAGAAATGATTGGCCATCGCCCCCAGTGAAAGACAACATCCACATTTTCCACAGCCCCTCCTGGTCCTTTGTTGACAAAACAACAGCAAATGCAAAAAGAAGCTGAAGCCAACCAAGGCTCGAGAAAAAACCGGCGCGGTGCTGCTGGAAGAAAAATGCGCAGACGAAGCTGCCATTTTCGTGGCGGCATGGAGAGACAACAATTGTGCTGCAAGCTACAAACTATCGATGTAAACCAAAAAAAGAACGAGAGGAGCGAATAATGAACTCCGAATGAGCGCGTTGACTTTCAAATAGCGTTTGTTTCGGTTATTTATCTCGATTCATCTGGTCAAAAATGTTGTAACACATCTTGATCTTCATCTGCCTTCAATTGTTGAACAATAGCAGAGCTTCAGGCTCTACCCTTTCTAAGTTCTACTAGTTCGTACTATTCCGTATGCGAAACGATTTTTTCCGCATCAACGTTGCGTGACTAACCCCGGATTTTCACTTCCGTTTCGTGTCCTTCATCATTATCATTATTTGTCGTCTCGTCGATCACTGGTCGACCTTCTCAATCGTTCAATGTTGACCGCGACTTTCCGGTCGACTCTGCGACGCGGCGTTTCCTTGTCGGTTATGTCGCGCCAGGCCACTAAGACGCAGGTTGGGAACTCAGATGGACAACAGGACTCAGCCTTGGGTACCAGTGGTGCAAGCAACTCAAATACCAAGACGACAAATCCGTCTCTCGTCGCAGGAGGTTCTAGTGCTCCTTTCTCGTCCAGTTCACTGAATGGTGCAGCGACTGCGAATACAGCAGAGCAGGAAACTAGCCTTGCTGTTGTGACTCCACCGGTCGTCGTCCCATCTTCGGTCAATGAGTCTGTTGGACTGACTGGCGTGTGTGCCGGGTTCTCGCGCTCTAAAAAAGCTGTTCTCGCACGTCAAACTGCGATGAAAACTGGAGCTCTCTATGCTGGGCGAAACAATGGAAAAACCTCAAACATGCAGCAGCACATTTCGCACCACCCACCGGAACAAATATCGTACAACCAGGAAGCGCGAAGCAACGACTGGTGTGCACATGACGCCTCCCTGGCCAAACCACACCGTGAGCACTGGATGAAAGCGTCTGCGAAGAAGCCGGGATGCAACTCTGTATGGCGGAGCAACAAGAAACCTCACCAGACACAGGAAAAGGCCTCGTTAACAAAGAATTGCTCGACTGAGCGTTTGTTTGCTTCAGTGTACCATCCAAAAAGCAGTTGCACGAAATCTGCCCTTCCGAGAATGCAGATGGTTACTGAAGGTACCCTACTTTTCGAACCTCATGCAGATTTATTTCAACGTGAGATGTAGGTAAGCTGGAATGGTCACTTAAGCAGAAACTCAGTTTCAAGAGAACTTTTGGAGCTCATATATTCGGGTCCACCAATCTTTTGTACACTGTCACGTCTTGGTCTTTTTTAAGAATTATAGGGCTAGAAGTAGTTGTCCTGCGTTTTATCCACGGTCAAATCCATTCGCACTAGGCTCTTATAACGCGCATCCAGCTTATAACGGGTCACCTTACCCGCTCTATGAAATGTATGCGGGATACGACCAACGCGGAGGTGATTTTTACATTGCAAATGCTGCTGGTCAGTATTATCAATACCCCGGACAAGCGGCTTATGACTTGACGAGTGGAGCGATGGCCAATGCTACCTGGTCTGCAGGTGTAATGAGCAGCGCTGGGGGATACGCGTGCGTTGCCGAAAATGCATCGCAGGCTGTACAACAAGGCTACTACAACAAAAACAACTATTCCAACATGTACAACAAGAACTACAAGTACGATTACAGGAATGCTCCTGCACACCAAAACAACCTGAATCGCGATAATTGGATGATCTCTGATAGCGTGTCGTATTTGTGCAGGGACGATGGCATGCTCAACGGAGCGTCGCTGTCAACGCCATCAACCAGTGACGGTAAGGACCCGCTGGCACTTGCGGCACCATCCTACATGATTCCTGTGGTGGAGCACGAAAGCACTGCCGTGCCGATGGCGCATAACGCGCCGACCTCGATCGAAGATGAACAACTACAAGAGCACGAGCAGAACCAAGCGGCGAACACCATGATGGAGCCGCCGCCAATGACGTACACGCGTTCTTTGCTACTGCAGGTCGGTGCAACAATGAGGCGAACACGGAAGATGAATGGCGCCACCGACTCTGGTTTCATGGATATCGTGAATCAGCTTGAGACTCACAACAAGATGTCGGTCGAACAGTCGGCGCTTGTTGCTGATGGCCGGCAAAATGTCGAGTTTCTGTCTGATCACAGCATCTCCATGTCTACAGTAGAACACAACCCTCTCAATCAAAGTAAGCAGTGCTCAACCACTGACGTTACTCCTGCATCGATTTGCGCGAGCAAGGTCGTGGTAGTGCCGGAGCCGAACTTCACCTGTAATTCTTCTAGCTTTGTGATGCGAAACCGCGCGCCATCGGCCAGCATAAGCGCTGCATCTTCGAAGGATACGAAAACGATCAAAAAAGATGTAGAAGTGGATTCTGTAACCAGCACCACCACCAGTGAGTGCCATGCTGATGTCGGCAACGCGTCCTCTGAGGCGGAACATGTGGCAAACTACCCTCACTCCTCCTCCACCGCATCTTTGGCAACGACGACACCTACAACTATATTGCTAGAAAACAGCGCAAACAGTTTTGACTCTAGCAACATCGCTTTGGCCGCACAACGAGCAAAGAACAAGCAGGTGCCATGGAAAACACTGCGAAAGGCACCCAGCCCACTTGACGAACTTCGCGAGACTACTAGAATGCGCGCGGAATTACAGAATGACAACTACACTAAAAAAATTATCATAGGTCAAGATCACCCAGTCCAGGTCGAAGCTAGTACTACAGCAAATAGAACTAAGGAGTCCTTGGAGTTCGTGCCGAATTTAGCGTCGAAAACCTGGAGAGATAAAACCACGTTTTCTTCGGAAAAGTCTCGTGACAACGAAACAACAAGTTGTGACGCAGATGTAGTGGGTGGCGCAAAGATGCGCACTCTACCTCGATCCGACCTTTGCGGGTACGGGTACAATGTCGAGAAAAGCAAGAAAACGTGCCACGGCTACTTCTTCAAGCGCAATCGTTCGGACGTCGCAGCAGAAGTTTCGTGGCGCAGGAGGGAGTGAATATTACTTGAGATACACAGACGAGGCCACACTATTGTCAGGTGGAGGACAATTTATGAAAGTAGGCAAGGAGCAAACCAAAGTAAGTCTACAGCAACGCAGGAGATGGAGGAGAATAATTTCACAATCTGGGGGATAGACTACAGGTAGGAGATGTGCTCAAGTAGTTAATGTGAGCTAGATCATGTTGTAGAACTATTGGAAGATGATGGATCCATAAACGTGATGTTGTATCGAGCACGACCCTGCACATACAGGAATAGATGATGATGTTAAACATATGAGATTATAGAATTTCAGGTCTCCACACGTGAACAGCTGCAGCACTGAGTTGTTACTGGAGTTGAAACTTGTAAAATATCTATACACGACCTAAGCATTTGATTGTATTTCTCGACTTGTTGATTGAAATGGAGTGCAGCATGATATGTGGGTGTGCCATCTAGAATCTAGATCTACTCCACCTAGTAGATGAAGTAGCAAGTACCTAGCTTGATAAGTTTCAACTGTACTTCTTGTTCTTCTACTTGGTTTTTATGGCAAGCTTCGTGCAGCTAAAAGGTTGGCGATGAGCAGCAAGCAGGTATCGAGTGCGAAATCTGGAGAGGATGAGTTCGTACCCTCGTACTTTCTGACGTGTGCAGAGAATAGTGTGAAATGCTCTACCTTTATGGCGTCACCGGTACAACTTCTAACTGTGAAATCCGATAGACTGGCTTGTTGGTTGTATTGCGCAGCCGTCTATCTCCTGTGATACAAGATTCATACATCAGAATTAGAACATCCTTATGGTGGTACCACCGCGATTTACTGTTACGTAATAATGTGCCTATCGGCAATAATCATGTAGTGTGATGCATACATGTAACACTAACAACATTTATCTTGACATCCTGACTAACATTGTTTCTTGCTTCAGCAATACTATGGAATTTGACAAAGACATGGTTCGTCGGTAGCACGTACAGAACCAAGTATATGCTTCTATCTTCAATTAATGACTTGCTGTATAATATGATTTTGAGTGATCTTCAAGGTCAAGCTAATTAGTTCACCAGCATTATGTGGATTTGAAAGCGATATTTGATAGAGGACGGGGTGAGCAACATGAGGCATGCGCCGAAGGGAAATGTGTTGAGCATAGTATCTTCATTGCAGGAGCATGAAAATTATGATTATGTATGAGAGGAAGAAAGGTTATGACAACAGCATCAACAATAATTAGGATAACGATAAAGTAACACGGCATCGCCTGTGATGAACAGAAACTGAGTGACCAAAATCATGATCACACGAAACATGAGCATACAATGAATACTTGTTGAAAGACATTCTCTACGAACACGAAAAACTACACTTTCCTTTATACGTCTTCTATACGAGAAAGAGGATGACTTGATGCTGGATGTCGTTGTCGTGCACATGTCTAGAAATAGAAAGAGATTCACATCATTGTCAAACCAACAGCACTCCACGCCTGACGACTGAGCGCTCAGTACGGGTGATCATGGAGACAACAGTTGGAAGATGACGACAGCCCTTGTACTGCTTTTTGAGACGTCATCGACAGATGGCGGCGACGAGGGACGGTGGGACATGCAGCAGTGCTGAAATTGACACACAGAAACGGCAGGGCGAACTAGTGAGGTGAGATGAAAAATCTAAATCGATACCGCAAAAGATATCAAACCGATTGGTTTTCTAAATCCCAAATATATAGTTTTTACTGACATCGACATGCACCGTCCTCGTGAGTATATCTTCGAAGTTGTTTGTTTTTCTCGACGGTGCTGTAGATTTTTAATAATACAACACTGTAATCAGTATTAGTAGATTTTTATTTCATTGGAAAGACAGAATGTCGTCGGGCTTCCGACCACTCGTCGAGTCTGGTGCTCGCCGTCATGTGCGCGCGGGCGTCAGTCCGAGTAGCAGCAGCACTGATCCCGTCCACTTACGGTCGAACAGTGCGTCATTTGTGATCCCAATACGACACCACACAAGTCTCACAGATCCGTATGAGCGTGGAAGTAAAGCAGACGGATCGCCCCCAGCTTTCAGCAGCACTTTCTTCGATAAGCGCGGAGAGCACGACAACCCCAATTATTTGCGGTATGGTGATCAAGCTGAGTTTCTCAAGATGATTCGGAAGCCGCCCCAGTTTTTTGCGCAAGTGGTGGAAGGACTAAAGACCGAACTGCGACAAATACCAAAGATCGAAAACACTTCAGAAATGCAAGCGCAAATGCGGCGCGACATCCATGGACTGCTCACGAAAGAGGAGCGAGACTTGCATCGTCAAACAGTCTTCACAAACGTTGCATTTTCGAAACCAATCGCTTCAAGCTTTGCCAAGTCTGCTTTAGCACTGCCGACAATGGGCAGCTCGATATACTCCCACATGTTCGCAGGTACTAGTGTAGATACAATGCATCGCAAGTAAGTAGATTATTGTGATGTAGTTCAGGGCCCTACAAGAGTAAGAATACGCATACTGATGTGTTAGAACCGACGATGGACCGTAGCGAACGCAACCGATTTTGAAATAACGCGAGGAAGAGAGAGAAAGACACGGTTATACCAAGACACCGGTCAACTATTTCCCTGCTGTGAGTAGTGTAGAGCGGGGCATGCGCGTGGATGATGGTGGGCGTGCAAATCCTGGCCGCCTGGTACTCTCCTCCGTGGGAGTTTTTCACCGTGGCCGTCCAGGTACCCGCAGCCTGTGGGGCATCGTGAGGCGATGCCTGCGATGTTCTCAAGAGGCATGGTCTGGATCTCAAGGGGAACGATCTCGGAAGTATGATGCTCAAGTTGGTTCGATGATCTTCAGGAGAACGCAAATTTTTGGGATTTGTGTTCATACCTACCAGAGACCTCACTCACAGAACTCGTCGACTTTAGTCAACATGTTCCTACATACTATTTCTCTGATGGAAGCCGCACAAGTATAAGTAAGTATGCCGATGGTGAGCTACTAACAATTTTTACGGAGATTATTTACCCGGGTTTCCACTTTTGCAATAGCAATTGCAACAGGGCTCACGAACTACGTATTGGGAAAACGCAAGGCACTTGGGATGTCCCACGAGTTCGAAGCAAAGCAGGACAATGTGCAGCATCAGGTTCCTACGTTTTATCGCGCGCCGATAAACATCGGGACTTACTACCGAACGCCTATTCTGGTGGAAGAGCTCGTCCGAATGGGCTACGATGAAGAAAAGCGGCATGAAGCCTTGGCAAAAGCTTTTTTCCTGCAGTATTGGTCCGGAGCATACGAAAGTGATCCCTGCATTTTCAACCCGCTTGTCAGGGTCTTCTACCCTCAGGGAAAGCACGTCTTCACAGGAAGCAACGACTTGGGGTACATTCCTAGCCTGTTTCAAACTCCTGATGCAGGTGGTTGAGTCTTAGTGTTGTTCTTGCTGTAACTGCAGCAATGGGTGCATTTGCATTAGACAGAAACCATGCCATCAACTTGATTTCAACCATCGACATCGACGTTTCCACCTCCTGTACATTCAAGGCGGGAGACAGAATTCCAGGCTGCTCGCCTCTACGCTCAGGGTATCGAGGGCGTTCCGGATCCTCCGTTGACCATTGTGAATTACGGAGACACTGGGCCGTTCACAGACGGAAATTTGCATGCGATGCAGCACATTTTAGAAGCGCGGGAGAGAGGCTTGCGCATGCCCCTCATTTTCCTTGTGAATGCGAATAACAGTTCGATTTCGTCGCGACTCGCGTTTGAGGACCAGCATGAGTCAGTCCAGAAAATTGTTGACCGCTTTGAGTCCTTCGGCAGTCTTCTACTGCCTGGACGCGTCACGGAGGCTGAGGACGTCGCGGGCGGCCTGCAGGCTATCCGCGCCTGCGTTGACGACGCGCTAGAGCACGGCAAGCCGACGTGGTGCATTTCGTCGTACCCGTTTCGCCCGCTGGGACACGCCAGCGACGGCCATCCAGGCGCCGACCCGTTTCTGTTGTACCAGTTCGATACCTTTAAACAGACCGTCTACGACCAAGTTGTCACGGCAGCCGATGAAGGCTCGCCCGGGAGTGAGCTGGCAGCAGAGCTGGAGCGCCTGTCGGCGTCAATTGATCGTGCTGTCGAGAACGCAATGCTCGGAAACAAACCACTAGACGATGACCAAATAATCACCCTTTCCGTACCTCGAATCAAAGAACAAAACGCAGCACCTGGAAAAGTCTACGCGCTCCATCCGGCTTATCTGACGGGCAAGGGGTCCGGGAAAAGCAAAGTGTTTTCAGGTATGGGCTCCGAAGTGTACGCGCGTGCCATTGACCGGCTGATGGAAAAGTCTGAGGCAGAAGGTGTCGCTGTGAGATACGTTCACCAAGAAAACCACACACCAAATACGAACGACACCCGCTGTGGCGTCTACGGGGAACTGAACAACGTCTCGGAAAAATTTCTGACGAAGAACTTCCACGCGTTTCTCCCGAACGAAGCGCAGGTTGCACAAGTGGGAGCCGGCTTGCGAGCGACACTGCCAGGGGACAAAAGCGTCGTTTTTGTGAAAGGGCCTCATACAATTTTCAACGAGCATGCGAGGGATCACATCAAGTTCTCGGCATTTCGGTACTGCAAACATCTGGAAAAATATAAGTGACCTGCAGTGCTACATCACAGTAAGAACTTTGATATGCTAAGGTCAGACGTGGCAATATCTGGTCCCGAGCCAGGTAGGGATATTCCGTTCACGACAAATTATACATCATGATTACAACGGTTACTCAAATCGACATTCTTATTCTGCGTGAGCTAGAACTTTATCATCGAGATTAGTCATTAAAAACAGAATGAAAACGCGACAAAATATTGGATTCAGGCACTACGAAACTGGCGAGAGCACGAATTACATCTACATCATGGACGGCGGTTCGCTCGCAGTGCGAGAAAAGGAGGATATCACGATGTCGGACGGCACCAAGGTCCAACGTGACATCATTCTTGCCCGTGTCGGAGAACACCACAACACACCTGAGTATTCCTCCTATTCTGGGGATGCAAACACGATCTGCGCGCTTCCGTTCGACATTAACCTGTTTGAAGCAATGCTTCCTGGCATGGTGGACCTGCAGCACCTAGGTCGTTCCGTGGTCTGCTTTGCGCCGACCGCAGCCTTCGGCGCACTACATTCGCTATTGGAACTTCGACAGGTGTCTGGATCAGACGCGACGAACGACCTCGTAGCGGACGTTGGACAGGGGCAAGGCTTAGGCCCACACGACGTGCTCCGAGTAGATATCGGAGGGAAACGACGACCGAAGGAGCTGATAGTGCTCTCTTGGGGACCTGACTGCAAGTGGATTACATCGACGCTACAGAGGGCCGACCTGGACTGCCACATGTACGTGCTATGTTACAACACAGCGCCGAACTCCTTGGTCCGCTTGCTAGTAGAAAAGCTGAAGGAGACCTCTTCGTCGATTGAGGTGCTACTTGTAGATCCGAATCCAAATGCGGCTCTGATGGCACCTGTGATGGTAGAACTACGTAGAAAAGTCGCGGAAGCTGCAGGACCGGATATGCTCGACCGACTGCATTTTTCCGAATGCTCTCAGCCCCCATCGTTCGTACCGTACGGAAGTGGACGCATGCTGCTCAATGCGGGGCATTTGAGCACGGTCTTGATGCAACGTGGCTTCCTCGGCGAAGGAGTCATAGCTCCAGCTCAAACAAATAGTGGAAGTGATCTTCCGACTCATCAATTTCCTTCACAAGCTGCGTCGTCCTCATCCGCCGGAGCAGCATCCTCAGGTGCTGTGGAAATAGTTTTTGCGCCAATCGAAGCAGAGAACGCACTAGTAAAGTTTCTGAAGCAGCCTGGTGCGGAAGTGTCAATGGACGACGCGATTGCTGAGCTGGAGACTGACAAGGCGACGATCGAGATTGTCGCCCCATGTGACGGAATCTTATGACACGAAAAAGTATACTCTCATACTCAAGAAGAAGAAAAGAGGCTTCTTCCTACTTCGAAAGTGCCTACTTTCTTGCGGATGAGTACACTTTTTCGCTTCATAAATCTTGGAGGAATTTCATGTAGAGGAGTCGACTGAAATCAATGTGACTGAAGAAACAAAAATCGCAACAGTAATAACTAGTACTAGCAGCACTGGAGGTTGTACTAGCGCGGCTCCTGCGCCTGCGGCGACTTCTGTGTTGAACAAAACTTCTGAGACGGATTCCGATTCCACCCCCGCAAAAGTATCCGCTCCTGGTACAGCATTCTCAGGAGGAACCCTTGGTGCCTCAACCGCAGCACGAGAAGTTGGCAAGAAGCAAGGAGCGAAAACAGTCGAGCTGAGTACACTCGAGAAAGCGACTGTGAAGAATATGACGCTGCAGCCAGGTGACACGCTCACTTATGCGGTGTCGGAGAACGTGAAATTCGACAATTTGTTGCGCGCTGCCAAAGCTGATGGAGTGAGTCCTACGTGCGCAATGGTCAAGGTGCTAGGACACGCTGTCCAGCAATGTGGACTCAACCGCAAACTCAACAAAAAGCGCGACGGCTTCTTGGATTACAACGAGGGCGGAGTCAATCTGGGCATGGCGATCACGGTCGACAACCAGTTGCGTGTAGCAGTGCTGATGGACGTCACTAGCAAAACAGAAGGCGAATTGCAGGCAGAGATACAGGCACTCATTATGCTGTTTGATTAAGATAGTGATAGAGGCTGGCCTTGGCCTGTTTCGCCTGCTTTTGTTCTTTTACTTAGAGACTATGCAGTGTAAGTAGTTAATGGAACCCTAGAGTAGGCGGTCTCGGACTCGGTATTTCTCCTTTTGCTTAATGCGGACTCGAAGCACTATGAATTCCCATTCATGTTGACGTTGCCTGTCTAATTTCGAGGCAAAGGGTAAGAAAATGTCACCGGACGACCAGGACTTGAGCACCGCCTGCTTCGTACTGACCACGCTTGGTAAGGATGCGCCGGAGGAGGTGCTGCCAACACTGCCACGCGGAATCACCGCGATCTTGGGTGTCGGTCGCACACAAGAAGAGACTTCAAAGTCGAAATTCTCGATGAATGTTTGTCACGCAACCCTCAACGGCGCCGAGGGTGCGACTCTGATGATGAAGATCAAACACCTCGCAGAAAACTACAGTGCGATGAAGTAGTCATGAAGGAGAGGACGGGTGAGATACTCTGACTCTGATTATCTGAGTCAGATATGGAATTTTTTAGGGTAAGAGAAACTACTTACTTGCGTAGGTCATACTTGACGACATTATCTAGCTTCATGCTATAAGCTCTGTCATGCTGGTGCTATAGATTCAAAATTTTTGAGATTAAAATCAGGCTTGCATAGGTCGGCTTTCCGAACTACCGACGTCGATGGATCGCCACGACCATCATGATCGATCACAGTCGCGCATGAAGCTTGTAAACTTCAATCCACCTCAACTATATACTCGTTTACAAAGTCCACCTCCGTCATCAAACGTCTGTGGACTTTTGAGGTCCTCGTCGAGCATTCATTTTGTGTAAGCGTAAAGATAAAGATTGTTGATGCACAAGGACAAGCTTTCAGAACCTCCATTTCCTTACGGTGTTGCTTTTTTGTTTCAGAAAGATTCTCCATTCCGCATGAAAAAAGTGTATCTTTAGACGGAACATCAACAAGTCACAGCTATTAATTTTTGTTTCGCAACCTTCTTGTTATAGAAGAAGTTTTTACTTCATGTTCCTGCTCACTGTTCAGGAACATACATATTTTTTAATCATCATCATGTGCAGAAATCATAATTTATACGTAATTTATTGCTCCTCTCGCTCTTCCTTGATGTCATTGTATGTGGCCACTTTTCAATTCCTATTTTTTGCTTCGGTTGGAGCGAGTAGATGAAGCTTGACCTCGTCGGGCCGTGATGATTATTACTGCCTGGCAGGCGGGACGCGATGATCACAGCGAAGACGTGACACGGGAACAACAAAAACGAAGCACAAAACCGGCCACACGCAGAGGAGCACGCAGCAACAAACTGCAACACAAGGCAAGCTAGCCCGCCAGCTACAAGCGGAAACGACAAGCAGCCCAACCCCCCCCGCAGAAGCCCCGCGCACAAATTTACTCGGTGGGGGGCTTATCAATCAGGCACCGACCAGTTTGGGCCCTCTTGCCGTCGGTGTCTGCGAGTAGAAAGAAGGAGACGGCCAGACCCACCGACGAGGACCAGCAAAGGAGCCCTCCGGGAATTATTACACGGCGGCGCCAAGATTGAGCAAACGGCCGCAGCAGCGGCATGCTGTTAGAATTCTGACGCCTTGAGCTGAGGAGACCTAGCGACGCCCAAGGACCTACCGCAGACCTTCAAAGCCCGTGACCATCAGGCGGCGCTGTCTCGTTAGTCTTAACAAACTTGGCCACAGCTTTGGCCTCCCTCGGGAGCAGGCGGCTTTTTTGCTGCCTTCTCTTGCCTCAGCCGCGCCCGCGGACTCGGAGGGGGCCAAAGCGTAAGCAGCTGAGAACGAGAAGAGAGACGGCGGAGCCCGTGTCTTTTGGTAAGCCTACCGCCCAGCAGTGGGCAGCTGAACAAGTGGAAACAAAGAGGGGGAACGCCTTCGGGAGAGGGGGAGAACATGAAGGGAAGCCCGCCCACACCTTTTCAGGGTTTATCATAAGGCCCACGGTCTGACAGCGGCACCAGATGCGGCTGTCTGCTGGTGGTCGGGTGTGTTCCTCGGTCGGTTTCTTCTGTGAGATGTAGCCGCGCTGCGGTCGGTGACTTGGGTGCACATCAGTGGTCGCCGGCGTCTGCCCAGGCCTGTCAGGCTGTCCGCTTGCTTGGTTGGCTCTTGCCGTTTTTTGTTCGGATTGCAATTGCTTGCTTTGCAGTCATTCGGACTCCCGCATCGCTTTACAATATATTTTATTTACTGCCGAAATTTGTGCGCTTTTTTTTTGGTATTTTTTCAAGAGCTTGAGCCCACGACCAGTGCCACTGGCGACCCGCAAAAACTGAAAAAATTGAGCAAAAGAAGCAGACTTTTCGGCAGTAGCACTGGAAAGCAACTGACAGAAGCACGGAAAAGGCTGGCCAATAGCCTATAATAGATCCGGCAGGAGTACAAAAATGACCGACAGAAGCATAAAAAAGGCTGACACTGGCACAGAATAGATCTGACAGAGGAACAAATAGAAAGACCGACAGGAGCATAAAAAAGACCGACAGAAGCACAAAAAAGCCGACAGAAAGAATCGCGAAGCTTGTCGACAGCAGCAGAGAGGGAGAACAGGTCGGTCTGATCATCAACGCAACAAGACTTGGCCGCAGGGGCAGACGCTTCGTCAGTAGTGCACAGGGGTGCAGCAGTTGCGTGCTCCTTTCGTCGGCTTCTGCTTGCTCAAAGTCTGACAGCAACGGAAAGGTGCCCGGCGCTCCCTCTCGGGTTTTGCAAGTCTGCCTCGAGTTTCTGCGGGTAGCAATCTACATTTTTTCGGGGTGTGATATTTCTGGAAGTATATTGCTGCTGTTGCTGTAAGTAGTTTGTTCTGTCGTGGTGCCGCCGTGTAGTAATTTCATCCGCAGGCTGCGGCTAAGTTCGTTGGCCTTTGATTCTTAGCCTCGAGGCGGCTCTGTCTATTCGTAGACACCGCCTACAAGAGGGGCCAGGGTGGTCGATGCTTGACTAATAGGCACACTGATAAGATTTATTTGCGAATGCGCTCGGGGCTTCTTGGTTGTCGTTTCTTTCCCTGACAAAATGCACAGGCCAAGGGGCTTCTTCCACCGTTATGCTTGCGGCCACCGTTTCAAGCTTCGCATTGGATATGATTGACGTGGTGAGCCAGATGCTGCGCTAAGTAGCGGGTGCGTTCTTCTCGATCGAGCGCCGCGGAGTTTTGCGAGATTTGTCGGCCACTGATCGAACTTGGAGCACTATCGCTTCGGCTTTGTGTCGTTCGAAGTTGTTGCGTTTGCCCATTTGGGGGCCTGAGGGTCCACCATTCTGCCTTGTAATAATTATTGCGCACTGGCATGGTCGCGCTTCCTTAGATATAATTAAGTAGTCTGGCCCCGACAGAAGCATATCGACAGAACTGAAAAGTGGCCACATTCAGTCATGGGCTGCTCATGTAACAGCTGGCGTGTGAGCTGTTCTGCGTCTTCTAGAAATAGTGTATCAAATTCAAAGGACAACTGCTGCAGTAGTTCTGCAGAAACGGTTCAGCAGGCCCCTAGTGAGTATCACATGTTGACTGCCGTTGCGCGTGATTGCAGCAAGAACACATGTCATAGAAGGTAGTTGGCATTTTCATCACGTGGATGGACTAGACATTTTCGCGTCTTATGAAACAATAAAGAAGACAGAGACACTCCGCAAATAACACATGAAACTCGCCAACTTCAAATAAAGTTAGTACTCCTCGTACTGTTGCAAAGAATAAAGAAGAAAGCAAGGAGAGTACATGAACAAATTATAACGATCACTGGCGGTGCAACTGCAACAGGACCAGATCCCCAACAGCACCGACCTAAATTTACCCTCAGCAAAGGCGGGTCCTGGATTGTGTCCTTTTTGTTTTTCGGTCTTCGATTCTGACCTGCGTTATTCAATTGCAGTCGCGCGGCGTCTGCAGATCTGAAAGAGGGCAACGAGCACGAAACATCAATCATGCTCGACTGCTATCAGAACAAGACTACCAAATTTGTTTTAACTTGATTCAGTGCTGAGAGTGAGAGTGAGAGTACGTCCTATCTTAGCCCTTAAGACCTTGCTCCTCTTCTTGAACAAAAACAGGGACTACGACGGACAATTTCTTCCCTCATATTAACTTGGTTCCATCTTCTTTGTTGGGGTCCAGAGTCGACCAGGTTTTCGATTTCAATATTATCAATAGACTGAGGTTTTGTGCAGCCTTTTTCTCGTTCCTTTCCTTGTTTTAAGAAGCATGTTTTTGTAGTAGATCTTCACACAATACGTATTGCAAAGATTTAAGTATGCGGACCACTTAGAAATACAGACGAGCGTTTTTTCTGCAGAGCAGTTTGTCTTAATGACTTTATTTGCATCCTTCTCAATAATTTTGTTCGCCGCGTGTTTTGTTGGAGAATAGGTTGTGTCGTAAAAGCGAACTACTACAAGATAACGAGATATTTGCAATGAAATTTTTATCGTTATTCAGGAGACTGAAAGGGGAAGAGCCGTCATGACGTCTGGTGGTATCTCTAGCCGTGCGAAGAACAAGGCCGCGACGATGGTCAATAGGAATCCTCAAAAGTCACAAAATGCACCGTCGTCCTCGTCCACCTCCTCGTTTCCACATGCCGGAACTACAAGCGCGATGAACGTAGCGAATACGAGCACTGAGCAGAGCGTGCAAAGGCAAAGACGCCCGAATGCTGACACTGAGTCGGGCGTGGAACTACAACAACTCGACGGAGATGGCGACGGCAGGAGACGCGCCAGTACAGCGCCGCCGCCGGACGGCGCAGCGGTGGACACTACTGAAGTCCAAACAAGCTGTCTCGGGGGAGACGCGTTCCAAGTTACCAAGGAGGAGGAAGCGAATAGAAGAAGAAAGCGACCACTTCATTGGTGCACCCGTTGGACCATGCATTGGTCATTTAAAATAATACCCTGGACGGCGGTTTCATCAACTCCATTGGCTGCTGTGTACTCAATAAAGGGAATCATGACAAAGCTCGGATTCGAAGAGTGGGGAATGGCGTACACAAGCACCGTTGCCACAACATACTGGCTCGCGGCTATGGTACTCTATCAGATTTTGTCAGCATTTTTCACCTGCTGATGCTCGGACGTGTGGGTCTTAGGCTTAGGAGTCAGGATCATTTTCATTACCTAACAAAGAATATGGGTTGTTATCTTCAACAAACCTACGACAGATAATTTTTAATTTCGTGATGGCCTCACTCGTTTCGCCTGGCTTTGTGGATACTCTCTACGTGCCACCCCACGACCGTCGCCGGGGCAAGTATCGACTGAAGCAGCCACCAAAGAAAAAAAAGAAGGGAGGAAATGAGGTCAAGTTAGACCCTGTTCTCGAAGCGAAGCAAATAGCAGAGGGGAAATCAGCAAAGGTAGCACAGGCCGAGGACTCTGATGACGAGGACGAGGTGCCAATTTATTACGCGGCACGATACTGCGAAAAATGCCAAGTGTGGAAACCTCCAAGGACCCATCATGACTCAATAACTGGGCGCTGCGTGCTGAGGATGGATCATTACTGCCCATTCACCGGCAACGTCATCGCGGTAAGCTTTTTCTTTCTTGGGCTTACTAATATGGCCATAACTACATTTAGTTTTGTGTCAATAACGCCGTTTGATTCCTAAATACGTTCGTTGCATAATGACTCGACCAGGGAGCACCCTCTCTTTGTTCTTGTTGCTTTGCAGCAATAAGCGTCACGTACTATCCGTATTCCTCCTATCACTAGGTGATGAATCACGGACACTTCGTTCTGATGTATTTTTACGCGACTATCGGGCTTTTTTGGGCATTAGCCTGGTGCCTTGCCATAATCCAGAGCACGGGAATGAAACTAACGGAAGAAAATGCCTCGATTTTGAAGCAAAAAATGAGTGGCGGAATTTTTGAAGGGTGGGAAGGATACATCAACTTCGCGCCCGTGCATTTTACCTTTTTTTTGATCGAGCTGATCCCTTCAATAGTGAAGCACGCGGGAACCGATGTACTCGTTTTGACAGGTATTGTGCCGCTATAGTGCGTCTTGATGAATTTCCTTGCACATGGATACAGGCGATTAAGTACTCCTAGAGCTTTTTTGCAGAACAGCACCACGACCACCTGGCTTTTTCCCATAGTTGTGTTTTCCCTCAACGTCTTCCTCATATACTTGCTCCCTGCATAGAATTACGTTTTAAACAACTACTTAGAACATCAACGCATCATCTACAATCTATCCACGACTTTCACCTTTCTCTTCTTTATATTCCTACTTCCTACAACTCATCCTTATTTATTTCCTCCTCAGTTTTGGATGTAGTGTTTCTGACAATTGTGCTGTCGTGTGGCGGTCCGGCGTTGATGTTTGCGGGCTCTAACGTGACAGCGTTGGAATACAATCTGCCACAGCTGAATGAATATGTCGAGATTTCGGACCAAGTCTTTTGTCCGATCGGCCCTTTTTTCTATGACACAAAATCGAGAATCGCAAACGTCAAGCAAATACTAGGGTCCAACTGGATCTTGCGCCTCCTTCTTCCCGTGCCAGGAAAGGTCGATTACGTGGCGACAGCCTACAATCCGGTAAATAGACTAATAAATTCATTTTTGCACACAGTTGTCGGACCATGATATTTCTTCTTTTCTTTCGACGGTAATATTGCTTTTTGTTTTTGCATTTTTTCAAGTCCAAAACCAAATTCAAACTTTCTTGCAGCCATGCTCTGCAGATGCGGTAGAGCAGATAAAAATGCGTATTTTGCAGTGGGAAGAGGAAGGATGCAGACTGCAAACAAAAAGCTACGCAGAACTTGGGATTGCTCAACCCCCCGAAGAAGACGAGTTCGATGATAGTCCCAAGGACGCAAAACCGCAAACTCCCCAGACGGGCCAAGTGTAGTCGTTGTGGAAGCTATCCACGTCACACATCACGTACTAGAATCAAAATGACCGCTTCCTTTCACAGCCCCTTCATGGCTCTTTAATACTCATAATTTGTAGCACTTTCATACTTCATTGAAGTTGGTAGGCAGTGACATCTCTCCCTTCGCTTCTATTGCTATAGTTCCCCGCACAGCTACTCGCTACAGCTCCAACACATCGGTAGTTGCTTTTCATATTCGCATTCGCTTTATTCAACCGATGTGGTGGTTCTGGCTTTTTTCGGAAGTCCTTCTCTTCCCGAATCCTTCTCTCCGTTTTTACACACAAATGGGACTGCCTCCTCCTTTCTCTGCGAATTAACATGCAACATTGGCGCGCATCTCTCTCTCTCTCTCTCGACTCGATTCATTTGTACTTACTACCGAAGCATCAAATGCAGTTGTCTCAAATCTGAAAGAATTCCGAGAGTACTAAGACAAATAGTGGCCTGGTGTATAGCTCTCTTCCTCTTGTACACATCAGCGCTATAGAAGAAAGAGCTCGAAGATGTCGCGTTTGCATGTCTAATCGCATTGGTTGTATCGACACGTGTTGAGCTTCTGCATTAGCTCTCTGGACAATCATTAATACTCGGACGTCACTAAAAGCAGAACACGAAACCGATGCGACAGCTCGATGGAGAAGATCGAGACTAGTACCTACAAGGGAGCAAATGTTGATATGTGCTTGTCGAATGAAAGAAACAGGTGATTGCTCGGTGGTTTGATCAGTTGATGACCCTCACTGTCGGAATACTATTTTCCTTAGCAGTTCAATTTAGGATGGTAAAAATGTTGATAGATTCATTCGTGAGGACGAGCATCAGAGGAAATTCACTGACGACAACCATGGAGTTTCGCATTCTGTCGAACAGAATCTGTGGAAAAAGTCAAAATAGGTAATCATGATATCCTCGGCCGCGAGCGGAGATTCACGATCGGTTCGAGAGAAGATCTACTTCATCCTTTCTGAGTCGTTTGTCCGCTACATGATCTCGGTGACTCGATGCATCGAGCCGTGTTAAATTAATGCCTCTTGATTATAAGGTAGAAGTTTGCCCGTTAAGTGCGTGTTTAAGCGAATCGCGTTTCGTAAAAGAAAGACGAAGCACGCAGTACAATTCGCCTTTGATCCATCATCAAGTCAGTAGAAGCACATCATTCGTTTCTCATCCTCTCACTTGTATGTCTACTTTCAGTTCTTTTGCTTTGAATTAGTTCCTTGTCTTCATTTGCCTGGTTAGATGCAGCTACGTGATGATTGAACAAAGATGTCGTACACTGCTCAGTCAGTAAAAACGTTGCCGCAGGCGGAGTTGGAAGATGATCAAACGATCTACAACAATGCGCAGCGCAACGGCCCTAGTCAGATCGCTACGTCGCGAGACTTCCTCTGGGATCGGGAGTACTGGGCCGAGTCGCGTGTGCATCCAGGAGATCGGAACGTTTGGTACGCACTCAACCCACGCTTTTCGGATCTGGCGCGCTACTACGCGCGGCATGCGCAGTGGGCTGAGAAGCTTCTGGGCAAGATGGTTCATCAAGTGGAGGCCGAGGAGCGGCGCGCAGCAGCGGCGTTAGCGAAAATGTACGGGGCCTTGGCGCAGCGAATGTCACGGCGAACCTACGAGATTGAAAACGACATTTTTTATCGAAATCCGTTCATTGCAGAGGCTTCTCCGATGGCAACCATCGAAGATATCCAGCGAACGCTTGAACAGCGGAAACCAGCTTTCAAAGGAAGAGGCGACTCAGCAAAAGGTTCGTCCAACAGGACTGTGTCCCCGGGTGTGAAAACGGGCAGAGGTGGGTCCGCTCTCGGGTTGCTTGCGCGCTGGTTCAACTTCCATTTGCATACGCAGAAAAATGACGACGTCGTTGCGTCCGTCGGGGGCTCGCATCGTCGCGTTGCACCGATCCATCGATTGACGTGGCGCACGCCGTTTCTGACAGAAAACGAGATTACGAACAAAAAGATCATGGAGAAGGTGGGAAAGAAGCTCGCTGGCCAGATGACGCAAGCGGGTCTCACAGGCGCAGTCGTCGGAGGACAAGCCGCGCTCCTTGGCGGCGCAGAGGCAGGGAAAGCTGCGGCAGGAGCGGTCGCAACCCAGGCCTTGAAGGAGAAGGGAAGCAACAACAGTCAGATGAAGCAGCACGGCGTCTGGTTTGCAGAGGACGAAAAATCCAAGACACCTTGCGCCCAACTAGGAGGGTTTGACGAATGCAGTGAAGCATGGAAGGATGAAAACAAGCGTTGTAAATTTTTCTTCCAAACTAGCCTTGGAGACAAGCCGAACGCTGAGGAATACGAAAAATCGGACGAGGTACTCATGATCACTATCTTTCGCATATTTTTTGCGTCCTTGTTGTTGTTCAAGCTGAGAAGTTGTAGACATTATGTTGTGGATAAAAAGTTTCTCGACGAGCAGGATATCTTTATGATCGACATTGCGTGTAGCCACCTTGTTGTTCGTGCACAGTAGATCTAGTAGAAAATAATACTCTTCCCTCTCGAAAACCTCAGCTTTCCACACTGGAAGACAAGGAGAAAGCAGATGCGGTGCAGAAATACCTCGATGGGGGAAAATGTCGACCCGTGATGTGCCGCGACCACTTGAGCGAAGCGGACTGTCATGACGACAGCAACAACGACTGCGTCTGGCAAGAAGTAGACAGTCGCGCAGAGGACTCAACACCTGAGCTTTACCGCGATCTTTTCTTGCAGCGGACACAGCACCCTGAACTGCAACGAAAGCTGGTTCATCCGGACACGACAACGCGTGCGCAATTGACTGTGGCCGAGGACCTGCTTGCGGGGTGGCGTCTGCCTGCAGAGAATCCCGCCACGAAGCAGCCTCCGCGAGTGTGCCACGAGCTGCGGCGGATGGTAGCATTGAAGCGCGACGAGGAGCGACGAAGGCTGGCCCGATGGACTGATGCGGCCGAACGTGGGACCGAACTTCCGGGTCGTGTGCTTAGCGAAGAAGACGCTGCGCGCGGTGACACAGGAGTTGTGACCAAGGATCTAGCGGCGTCGCAGATGCAGGCATCGCGAGCGTTGCTGAGTCGCGCAAACGACGTAGTGCACAAATACTGTACTCCCGCGCACTGCGAGGCGCGCTCCTCAGCTCATCGGATACGCGATGACTCGCGCCAATATCACGAGTTTGTCCACAATCTGCGGGAAGTGCACTTCGGACGTGCAGCAGATAAGGCCAGTCGGATCGAGGAAACGAAGAAGATCTTATTCGACGCGATGAAACAAGGATCTGGCGCTAGCGCTGGTGAAGACCAACCAGACGACGGCGAAGAAGAGCTAACCAGCGCTCTTTTTGATCCCGAGACTGGCCTTGACAAGCGTCGTTACTTCAACAGCGACACGGGGCTTGAGTTTGATTTCCCCTCTGCAACAGACGAAAATATGAACGAGAGCGCTAACGCTGATTCCGAAGGTGCGAACGACAGCGCTAGTGCTGACGGTTCATCAGCTGGAGGTATCCCGGAAATGAGCGTCGAAGGTCCAACTGCAGCAAAGGCAGGATCAACCCCATCGAGTGCCGCTGTCGAGGAGATGAAGCACATTTTAGACGGCGACTCAGATTTCGAGGGTCTGAAAAAGAAGATGACAGCCGTGGAAGAAAGCCTGCGCGATTTACGTGGTGAATCTGCTGAGGCTAAAGCGCAGCTTCTAGAGTCAGAGCGTGCGCGGATCTTCAATGGTGATCCACGATTTCAACCGCACGGAATTTACCACATGCGCCTGTTCGGCGGAACCTCGGTTGCAGCTCTAAAAGATGACCGTGACTCCGACTTCCAAGAAGAGGAGAAGCAGACGAGCAACGAGAGGCAAGTGAATATCGATGAAGCGGAGAAAATGGAGGCTGCTGAGGAAGCCCGCGAAGCTGCCGTCGCCGATGAAAGTGACAATAAAGATGGCGGACCAGATTCCGCAGATAAAGATAATGCGCCCACAGAAAGCGAAAAGTCATCCCTTTCGGAGAACAACAATACTGCGGAAAAAGCAACTGCAGAGGGCAGCGATGCAAAAGACACTAGCAGTAGCACTTTAGATGATAAGGATACTTTGGATAAAGAGCCCGCTTCATCTTCAACCGGTGCACCGCAACCGTCCCAACAAACCGACAAGCCACCTCAACATGCATCAAGTAGTCTTGAGGTGTCTCGAACATCGAATTCGAAATCGGGAAGAAGCACAGCTAGTACCGCTTCCAGACGGCCTGTTCACGAGCCCTATAGCGTAATACCTCTTCCCAACAGGACAGGGAGTTCATTTCGACGCACGAAAAATGCAGGGCAATTGGACGTGACCGAATTTTTGCAAACTCCATGCCTTTATTTATCGGATAACCCATGGCCGCGAAAACCCAGCCCAGGTCGACGAACTTACGTTTTTCATCGTGGACGACGACGAAAGGCAACGGCTTCGGCTTTCTGTTCACCAAACGCAACACCAGCTTCTTCGACTGGTTGTACTAAGAGCGAGCTAGAGCTAGACGGACGACGACGACCTGTTGTTTCCAAGAATGATGGCAGCATTATTTACTCATCTTTATGGGCAAGCAGATCCTCAGGCCCCGGCAAGGCTACATCCTTCATTCTGCACCGCGATTTTCCGCGAGACTATTTGGAGGAGGGCAACGACAAGGAACCGTTCATCAGCGCTATCCGCACGTATGAGATGCATGACGAAAATGTTCATGGCGTCTATAACTGTGCAGGTCGTGCACGTCTTGAAGAGCTTCATCAGCTTTACGACCGGGCCCTTCGTAGCGTGCGGCGCCACGTCTTCGAGCATCTCCCAGCGCGATACTGGATCGACGCGATGCAGAACCTTGGCCACCTAAGCGGATCGAATGGTCAGTCTGCTGGAAGTGGAACCAGTACGGACACCTCGGCTGCAAGTTCAAGAGGTAGTAGCACATCCGTATCCACAAGCGAAGGTGGAGTGGCTGCGAAGGATGATCAAATCCAAGTCCCGCTGCGTATGGCAGAACTAAGCGATCAAGAACACTGGACGCTAGTGAAGGAGTCAGTGCGTGTGTACAATGCGGTAGACCGCTTCGTTAGTGGTGTACAGCGTAGGCTGGGCATCGAGTTGGTGGAACACGAGATACCCAGAGGTCTCTACGCGGAGATGTTGCAGGAGACCAGTTTGCTCAAGGACACGGCTCGCGACCTCTTTGTCGAACGTTACAAATGCAAAGACGCACAGAAAATGGATCCTTTCTCGACCTACGGGGACGAATCAAGAAAGCAAGCAGGGTCTACGGGTTTGGCGAGTTTGTTCTTGGAAGTTAGCGCTGTTGAAGGTGACGACAGAGAGAAAACGACAGATGGGATGCGAGGGGAGTATGGAAAACAACGTGTTGCTCACTTGAATGCCAGGTGTAGTCGCCTGCAGGGAACAAGGAAAACTAAGGCAGGTGATCATCGAAGAATAAGTTCGTCGTGGTTCTTATCGTTTTTCGATGAAGGACATGGCCAGCCCTACAGGGCAAGTGAAAAAGGGACGAGACGGGGATATCGAAGAAAGGTAAATCGTGGCAGTGGGCTTACGTTTTTTTCGACAGCTGAAGATGATCCGGACGCAACTCAAATCTTGTTTTCCGCACCGCTCGCCAGAAACCGTAAGGACATTTCCTCGTTCAATGCTTTGACGTCAAAGGCTCTGATGTACCTGGGCCGTGGACGTGCTGCGAACGCGAGAGACGCCAACGCGCTCGCGCCGGTGGGTGGCTCCGCGATTGCAACTGGTTGTGGCGCCAGAAGCTCGGGAATATGTCTCCAACTCCATCAGTTAGGCTACGACCCTGTAGACGATCGCGAATTAACTGCTCCTCGCATTGTTGTGCCGCTCACCGGTAGCGCTCGCAATCCCAGGCATGGAGTAGCACCACGCGTTCGAATTTTCCAGTCCCAGTTCTACTCGCCTGGCACCTCAACATCTTCAACATCAACTTACACGTCATTTGCAGGCAGAGGTGATCCCGACTATGATCCATTCATGGAGCACCCAACCACGGAACAGGGCGTGAGCTACGCGGACACATGCATGCCCGATTTTAGCAAGCTCACTGCAAGTCTTTGTTCCTATCGTGTGCCATATGGCGGTTAAAGACATACAATCTTGCGTACCCTCCACAGCCTCAACCGGGAGAATCCCTCCAATATCGAATCATGTACATGTGAGGACACATCTTCATTTGAATATGCGGACATGTGCTTTAGCATGATGAGTAAGAGTATCACTGTTTTTCACAGGCAATCGCAAGTGCCTCAATCGGCAAATTGCCATTTTGATTTGTCTGCCTGTGCATGTCGTGAACATTGAATGAATGAGCATGACGGCATGGCCATCATCATCTACATAGAAGAAGACATTTTTTTCGTGAGAGTGAGCTTTTGGTGACGGTTGTGGAAGAGAATCAAGAAGTTAGCAGGTCTTGTTCTTTCTAGATGGGTAGGCTTCCGCGAATGTAGTTTTTCAGAGGAAGGCAGCGTCAGCGAGATTCATGAAGAAGTCTCATAAAACAAGAGGAAGACAAAAGTAAGATAAAAAGAAAAAGAAGTGCGCGTCCAACGCTATCGTTTGACTGAGCCAGATCACTTTCTTTTAATACTTTCAAACTTGCTGGTCGCGGATTCCTTTGATCACATGAAGATGTAGATGACTCTGAAAATTGAAGAACAATCACAAGCAAGAATCGACTCAGAAGCTGTATATCAGCCCGAAAATGAAGGAAGATAGGAGAGCCTACAGGTGAGACCACAGCATACAACTAGGTGCTAGCTGCAATGTCGCTGCAATTCCAAGTACAGCGCGTGGCTGAAAAATCTGCCAGTGTGCTCGTGTGGCAGAGCCTCAATACAGCAGGGCCAGGGGATCGAATGCTGCACCTCCTGACAAAAACGGCGTCGTCTTCGCCTTCAATCTCAATAAAGCTTCGGCCTTTTGCGTCTACGACTGTTGGAGCAATTGAAAAGCCATGCGGAAGTGGGAAAATTTCGATCGATGGAGCTTCCTACTCCATTCCATATACCAGTGCTACAATTGGAGCTGTCTTCGACGCAAACCAACTGCCTACCAAATTTGGTTGCAGGCGCGGCAGCTGTAAGAGTTGTGCCGTTAATATTGTGGACGCAAGAGAGAAGGACGAATTTGAGGCTTTTATATAAGAATAATTGATAGAAGGGATGTAGAATGGACTTGGATGGATCGGATGGACCCCCCTAAGTCTTCCGAGACTATTTGGGACGGTGGGAAGCCCATCCGGTCCATCCGATCCATCCCATCCCGGATCTGCCACCCATATGTATATATAAGCTATTGATTCTATTATGTGCGCCCCTGCTATGGCATTTTCTGTTTGGGGAAAGGCAAACGAGACAAGCACGCAGGAAAAAATTTGTGCCAACCGAGGGTCCGAAGTAGTAACTATAGCTACAACAACAACAACACGGAGACGCAGTTATTATATATATATGATCCGGGGCGCAGGGCGACGGTGCCCCCCCCTCTAGCGTAGGGGGGGCACCGTGCAGCCCCGGACCCCTTTTTAAGGCGTCTTCTGGGGGTGGAAGGCCTCAAAAGGGGGCCAAGTGGCCTCCCCCGCTCCTTTCCAGCTGCTTGGCTGTCCCCTACCGGCCTCCGATGTAGGTGGGAGGCAGGCCTCAAAAGGGGCCCAAGGGACCGCCTGCGCCCCCTTCCAGGTGCCTGCCGGTGCCCTAAGTGCCTCCGATATGCTTCGCCGCCGCAGCAGTGCGCCGGTTGTGGAGGGCCTCTGAAGGCGGCAAAAGGCGAGGGGCTGGACCCCCCTGAGCCGTGCGGCCTGTGCCCTCCGGGCCCTTGGTCATTAGCTTGCTTGCTCTTGCGGCGGCCGTGGCTGCCTTCGGCGGCCTTCTACCCCGGAGGCCTCCCGCCTGCGAGGGTCAGCAGAGGCCAGGAGGCCCCTAAGGAACACGCTGAGAGGCGCAAGGAGAGGCCCGCGCCAAGTTTTGACGCCTTCCACCACTAGAATTCGCGAAAATCAGCGCGGAAAAGCGCGCGCGCGCGCCACCCCAGACCATACCTACCACAGGGGCGGGCGGGGGGCACCGTGCAGCCTTGAGACATATGCTCCAGGGCGCAGGGCGGCGGTGCCCTCCCCCTAGTGGGGGGGGCGCCGTGCAGCCCCAGACCTCTTTTTAAGGCGTCTGCGGGGGGTGGAAGGCCTCGAAAGGGGGCCAGGTGGCCTCCTCCGCTCCCTTCCAGGCAGCTGCCTCCTTGGCTGTTCCTTACAGGCCTCTGAAGTGGGTGGGAGGCTTCAAAGGGGGCCCAAGGGACCGCCTGCGCCCCCTTCCAGGTGCCTGCCTGTGCCTTAGTTGCCTCCGATATGCTTCGCCGCCGCAGCAGGGCGCCGGTGATGGAAGGCCTCTTAAGGTGGGAAAAGGCCGGGGGCTGGACCCCCCTGAGCTGTGCGGCGTGTGCCCTCCGGGCCTTTGGTCATCCGGTTGCTAGCTTGCTCTTGCGACCGTGGCCGCCTTCGGCGGCCTTTTACTCCGGGGGCCACCTGCCTGCGAGGGTCAGCAGAGGCCAGGACGTCCCTGCGGAACACGTTGAGAGGCGCAAGGGGAGGCCCGTGCCAAGTTTTGACGCCTTCTGCCACTAGAATCCGCGAAAATCAGCGCGGAAAAGCGTGCGCGCGCGCGCCACCGCAGACCAGACCACAGGGGGGGCACCGTGCAGCCTTGCAACATATATAGCGACCTTTCTTCAGCCTCTGAGAACAACTAACAACCACAGCGAAGCTTTCGGCGAGTAGAGTGAGGCTATGTCTACTTCTTGTTAAAGTCATCAGCGATGAGTTTGATCATATTTATTGAACAAAATTCCAAGCAGGTTCTTGCATGTCAAGAAGAAGCCGTTGACGGGATGGTGATACGAAAAATGCTATTCACCGGCGACGAAGATCATAGGGCCAGTCCTGGCATAACACATAACAGGAAGATCGACGTCAGTCAGTCTGTCATGGACCATTCGAAAGCCAGGCGCAAAGCACGCCAAAAGTGGAGGACAGCGTCACAGCTGTTGGCGATCCGCAAAAAGCTAGCGTTGTGAGCTCTCGATGGCGACAGGCGATGTGAAAGATCTTCTGAGACCGCTCGCTCAGGTGGAGACCTTCCATGAGGACGTCGAGGAGGAGGGGATCACTGAGCTGAGAGCGCTCCACGGAAATAAAGCCAATTTGCTGCCGGACTTTTTCATGGGTCTTTCTTTTTCTGAGTTCGACAAAGTGCGACAGTGGGCCGAAGTGTGGCAGCTGAAAATCAGGTAGAGCGTTGTCGGGAAAACGGGAAACAGGTAAACTAGGCGAACTAGGCGAACACTGGCAACTCGAAAATTCAAAGCCTTACATGTCCAGATGCGGTTTCGATCTGTTGTGGTACAGCAACCTTACCTCCGGATTTATTAACTGTTGTTTTTTATGATCTCCGTAAAGTGTGATTCATTGCGAAGTAGAAGCACCCCCATCTTGCTCAATGAGATCCTCCCACTAAAAGAAGTTACTACAGTATCGCGAGAAAAAGCGTTATCGTTATCGTTTTTTTGAATTTTTCAGAAAAGCACAACGTGGAGCACTGCGATCCTGGGGCTTTCCACCTTGCGATGGGCAAGCCGGCCCTCCCTCCACGAGGTGCCGCAGCAGACGCTGCGCTCCTCCTCCCATTGGCGCGGCCCTTCACTCATGGCGGGGCATCATGGTACCGCTAAGCCCAAAGGCCGCGGCCTCCGCTTACGCACGCCCATGGGGCAGTGGCGTGGCTTGGCCCTGCAAACTTATCCGCAAAAGTAGCACACCGCGGGAACCAAGCGCGGCGCACTCGGAAAGCAGCCCCGCTGGCAATCGTTGGGGCGATTCTTGGGGGCAAGCAATATGAAACGCCAAGCCGATCGAATGGAAGCCGCGACGCCACTTCGCTCAAGCTCCAAGGAGGCGAGGAGACGACCGAGAGCCGCAGACGCGCGAGCGGCTGAAGGGGTCAGTTGGAGGGGGTGTTTGAGGGGGGTCCTTGTTTTCAGGGGCCCCATTTGATAAGACTTCTGGCGCCCGACAGATAGGCGATAAGGCTTCTGGCGCCCGACAGTCTTCGCCGGAGCCCAGAAACACACTCTAAATTTTCGGAACCTCGAGGGGCAAGCGGGTGACAGGTGGGCGCCTTTTCTGCTTGCTCGTTGTCGCGTTTTTGGCGAGTGTTTGGAGGGGTCGGTGGAGGGGGGCGGCGGACCACCTCCGGCCCGGCTAGAGGACCAGAGCGGCCACAGCAGGAAGGAGGCGCCGAGCCGCTAGAGGTCGGAGGAGGTGGGGCGCCAGAGGTGGCGGAGCGGCCGCAAGCAGCAGGGCTGCAGGCCATCCCCTGACACTCGGGCCCCAGATTCGCGAGGGGACGAGGAAACAAGCTACACGCACGCGCGACTGCCATTGCTGGAAGCGCCTCCCGGAGAGCGCAGCACCACCCAGCAGCCAGAGCAGGACAGCAGCGCGCGCGGCGCCGCTGTTTTGTTGTCCGAGTCATGGGAAGCGCAGCCCACCCACAGACGCGCCAAGAGGAAGCGGCGAACGCTGGCGCCCCTCCATTCTTATGCCCACGCGCGCAGCGTCCCACCAATGCCTGGGATTTGTTGCCCCAATCTGAAAAAATCAAAAAAACGATAATGATAACCCTTTTGCTTGTGATATACAGCAAGTTTTTCTACTTGGTTTATCAAATCGCAACCCCCATCTGCTGTTAATAAAATATGGTTTTGGAAATGTAATCGCGAGAGCTCGGAGAAGGCTTTCACTCGGCAAGAATTTGGCGAAACACAGTCGCTTTTGAAGCTCCAGCGCAACGCAGCCATACGAAGCTTAGCCATCAGTGACAAACGATGAACAAAAATCCTGAAGTAAAGCGCTCTTATCCATGAAAAGACGCAAGACCAAGACATCTAATCAACTTACTTTAAGCGGCGTGCTAGATTGTGACCCATCCAGGCTAGCCCATGCGAAAAAGCTCTGACAGTGCAGCATCGAGGCCGGGCCGAGAAGTATTCTTCTAGCCATTGTGATAGCCCTCAGTTTGTTGCCCTCGCTCCCCAAAATAGGAGAACATGAACCCAAATGAGAACCATTTAGGGGCGCCAACGTTGCGAGAGAAGCCCTTTAGCAGTGGGCGGTGCGCGTGCTGAGGTGTGGGATGAAAAAGGAACGCGACCGGACCCGGACGCGGGGGCGCGTTGTGTGTGCTACGCTCAGGTCCCAAGTCAATGTTCCTAAAATGAGGATGAGTCATTCGCAGAGGCGAATTTTTAGGCAAGACATTGGCCGCTCCTCCGTGCTGCGTGCTTCAAGATAGTGACAAGAATTCCACTTCGCCATCAGTCACGGCGCGGCCACGGCAGCCAAGCAGTGCCTTTCTGATGCTAATTTGTGCGAATATGTGTATGCAGGTGGAGCTCCTCCCTTACATAGAAATGGCATTAGTTGTTCTGGCATAGTCAAACTCTTATGGGCATTAAAAGCTGGCCCCGTCTGTCTGTTGTTTGGTTGCTAGGCACGTGCGCCCTGATGCATAAATCTAGTAGACGTCTGCGAAGAGAGAAAAACGTGAAAGACCAAGGCTGCCTGCCTTTCGTGCATTATTTGGACGGCGTTGCCCGTCCCCCCGCGTTGTCGGGCAGCTGTGTTCTCAACTCTGTCCACTTTGTGGGCGTGTCAGCTCTGTAAATTGGCGAGCGCCTTGGCCGAGTGCGTAGATAGACGAGCAGCGAGACAGGCTTCGCCGTGTGAGTGTGTGGCCGCTTTCTCCATAGCTGAGCCCCTACCGTGATTGCTGGACTCTCACTCTTTGTTAAAAATTGGAGGCGGGCCCGCGCTGGTGGTTGTCTCACTCTCATTCATTGTGTTCTCCTCTTTCTCGTCCCGTCGATGCGCTTCCAACCGTTTTAGCGCTTTTCTGTTTGAGTGTTTTCAGACTTGGGCACACAGTTGACCAATGGCTGTCACGATTCTCGACCACGATGAATGTAAAGGCTGCCTTGACATTTTTGAAGTTTGTCACGCAATAAATTTGGCTTCTTTCTTTATCGTGCTTGGTTTGAAATTGAAGCAACCTGACAGACTTACAGGAACCAAAATCTGAAGGAGCAAGCCAAGAATTTCTGGCACTTGTTTTTTTCTTGAAAGTAAGTGGGCATCTTTCTAGACCTGTAAGCGAGCTGGCCGCGCCAGGTGCTCTGGCCTTGTTGCCTCATTCTCGTGGCCTCATGAGCATCGGGCAACGCTTCGCGGGCTTCTCTATCTATGTCTTCACTCTTTGTTTTCTCTGGTGTGCAGAGTTAGAAGTTGATCAGCGCTGGCGCGTTGTTTTTTATTTTCTGTCTCTATCATCTTCATCTATTCTCACTCAGGTTGCCTTCGAGGCTTTTTGGCCTCTAGCTTCGACTTCGTATGTTTTGACTTGATCAGTCGTATTTTACATTTCGTAGCCGTGCTTGCTTTTTGTCGTATATGATTTTTCATCGTCTACCTATGTTTTTTCCTGGTGTCCTTGTGGACCCGCCTACTAGGTATTTTTCCATTATAATCCATATGTTCCAGGGCTCAGGGCTGGAGGCCCCCCCGTGGGACTTACTGAACGCCGTAGAGCTGTTTCTCGACGCGTGACGCCCACCGCGTCACGCCCAGAGCTTCGGGGGGGATGAAGTGTCTGCCCTCCATTTCAAGCGCCACGCAGCACGCAACAACGGGCAGGAGGTGCCTGATTTTGATGAATCTAGATTCTCGCTAACTTATATGAGGCCCGTGGATCCTTGATAGGTCCGCGGATCCTTGATAGATCCGGGGATCCTTGATAGATCCGGGGGATCCTTGATAGATCCGCGGATCTTCGAGCGCTCCTAGGATCTTTCTTCGATAGATCCGTGGACCCTTGCTAGATCCGTGGACCCTTGCTAGATCCGTGGATCCTTGATAGATCGGCGGATCCTTGATAGATCCGCGGATCTCATCTTCGATCACTCCGCGCGTCTTTCTTTGATAGATCCGCGGATCCTTGATAGATCCGTGGGTCCTTGATAGATCCGTGGATCCTTGATAGATCCGCGGATCCTTGATAGATACGCGGATCCTTGATAGATCCGTGGATCCTTGATAGATCCGCGGATCCTTGAGAGATCCGCGGATCCTTGGTAGATCGTCCGTGGATCCTTGGTAGATCGGTGGATCCTTGATAGATCCGCGGATCTTCGATCGCTCCGCTGATCTTTCTTTGATAGATCCGTGGACCTTCGATCGCTCCACGGATCTGTATTTGATAGATCCGTGGGTCCTTGATAGATCCGGGAGTCCTTGATGGATCTGTGGATCCTTGGTAGCTCCGTGGATCTTCGATCGCTCCGCGGATCTTTCTTTGATAGATCCGGGGATCCTTGGTAGATCCGTGAGTCCTTGATAGATCTGTGACTGAGTCCTTGATAGATCCGTGAGCCCTTGATAGATCCGTGAGGCCTTGATAGATCTGCGAGTCCTTGATAGATCCGTGAGTCCTTGATAGATCCGGCTCCGGGCGTCCTTGATAGATCCGGGAGTCCTTGATAGATCTGCGCGCCCTTGATAGATCCGGGGGCGGCTTCGGGGCGACGCGTGACGCGTCACGCCTCAAGCCTCACGCCTCACGCCTCACGCCTCACGCCTCACGCCTCACGCCTCACGCCTCCCACGTCACGCCTCACATAGGGGGCGTGACGTGGGAGGCGTGACGCGTCACGCGTCACGCATCAAGGAGAGCGACAAGAATCGCCCTTATAATAGGGGGAAGTATGCGGTGAGACTCATTTGGACAGCCCTATGGCGTTCGGCCCACCTTACGGGGGGGGCCTGCCAGCCCCGGCCCCTCTTTTCGAGGGGCTGCCGGGCGGGAAGGCCTCAAAGCGCCCACTTCTGACCCCTTCCCGCCTTGTTGCATGTACCTTACAGACCTGGCAAAGGGGGCAAAGGCAGGGCCCTGCTGGCTTGTTGCATGTACCTGACAGACCTGGCAAAGGTGGCAAAGGCAGGGCCCCGCTGCCTTGTTGCCTGTGCCCTACAGACCTGGCAAAGAAAGGGGGCAAAGGCAGGGCCCCGCTGCCTTGTTGCCTGTGCCCTACAGACCTGGCAAAGATGGCAAGGCTGGCGCCCTCTGGCGTATTGCTTTACCCGACAGAGCTGGCAGAGGAGGCAAGGCGGGACCCCGCTGCCTTGTTGCCTGTACCCTACAGACCTGGCAAAGATGGCAAGGCTGGCGCCCTCTGGCGTGTTGCGGTACCCGACAGAGCTGGCAGAGGAGGCACGGCGGGACCCACCCCCTTTGCGTGCTGCATGTGGCCAACCATACAGACTGCGCAAAGTTGGCCAGGCTGGACCCCTCTGGCGTGGTCTACCACAGACCCATCCACAGGGGGGGGGGGCCTCCCTCCCTGGTGCATATACATATACTGAATAGAGATTACAGTCGTTTGCTGGTAGTATATCGATTTTGTAGGGGGGGGAAAGTCGTTCTATATAACCGATCTAACTTTTTGAAGGGGGGGGCCTCCCCGCCCCAGCCCCTCTTTTCGAGGGGCTGCCGGGGGGGAAGGCCTCAAAGCGCCCACTTCTGACCCCTTCCCGCTTCTTGCATGTACGCGACAGACCTGGCAAAGGTGGCAAAGGCTGGGCCCTCTTTTCGTGTTGCGTGACCTGGCAAAGGTGGCAAGGCAGGCTGGGCCCCTCTGGCGTGTTGCATGTGCCCAACCCTACGCCAAGGGGGTGGGTTCCCGCCTTTGCCCCCTTTGCCAGGTCTGTAGGGTACATGCAACAAGGCAGCGGGGCCCGGCCTTTGCCACCTTTGCCAGGTCTGTAGGGTACACGCAACAAGGCAGCGGGGCCCTGCCTTTGCCCCCTTTGCCAGGTCTGTAGGGTACACGCAACAAGGCAGCGGGGCCCTGCCTTTGCCCCCTTTGCCAGGTCTGTGGATACATGCAACAAGGCAGCGGGGCCCTGCCTTTGCCACCTTTGCCAGGTCTGTCGGGTACATGCAACAAGCCAGCGGGGCCCTGCCTTTGCCACCTTTGCCAGGTCTGTAGGGTACAGGCAAGAAGCGGGAAGGGGTCAGAAGTGGGCGCTTCGAGGCCTTCCCGCCCGGCAGCCCCTCGACAGGCCTGGCCAATAAGGTGGCCAGGCTGGACCCCTCTGGCGTGGTCCACCCCAGATCCATCCACAGGGGGGGGGGGGCCTCCCTCCCTGGTGCATATAAATATATATAGATATATATTAACCCTGATTCACATGTTGGCTGTGGCGGATGCAGTTCTGCGCATCTTAGAATACGCTCCTCCTGAATACACATAGATACATACTGTTTCTGACTGTGCGGCACGTCACTTATGCTTGTAGACCTAGCCAATGCTGGTGAATGTCGTGTCACCTTCGTTGCTCTTGGTCCCTTCGTGTGATGGATCGCGGTCGTCCCTATAGTTTTTTTATGTGTGTTGTTGCTGTCGGTGTCGCCCTTTCTTTGAATGAGCTGGCGAGATTTGGTAATAATTCTGCTGCTGGTTTAGGTAGAATTGCTAGGCTTCCTTTTTTTCAGCAGCGGATGGAGATGTTGCGATCTGTGTGGCTGTGGCATGCGATATTCAATAGCTTAGTTTTTCGCTTCGTTTCAAAGTCACTCACACTCCTTAGCATGATTATGTAGTTAACCATAGCCTCATGTAATTAGCTACTCATACTTCAATTGAGCTGAAGCTTGACGAAGTTTTTCAGATACACATGCGCCATCAACTGCCCTGTACCGATGTGAGAAGCAAGCAAAACCAGGGAGGAAAAGAGCAGAGGAGAAGAACAAACATAACGACGCCGGTGCCTTGTCTATCCAGCTGCGACTGTGGAAGCCGTCCCGCGTCCGTCTTTTCGCCTGCGTGCGCGGCGTAATCATCGACCAACTCTTCTTGAGCACAAACACCGTCCAGCAGGAGAGGAAAGACGGCGCGTCAGCTTCGACACAACTGCATGCCAGAAGAGATATACTAGCATCTGAAGCACCTTGACGGACAGGGCAGCCCAACACCGTGCACGCCCGGACCCCTTTCACGGGCGGGCTTTTTTCCCTTCCTTAGCTTTTCTTCAGCGTGGGGCTTGTGCTTTGAGTCGGTCTGTTTGTGTTCTGTCTTAAGTATCAGTTTCTTCGGCTTCATCGCCCGCAAACAATCTCCCGTAGCACATCAAGGTCGTACGTCAGACGCAATGGAGCTGCCAGCTACTTGGGAGGAGAGCTGTGACCGCGGCCAGCGAGGGAGGCATGATGATAGTGTGGCCACTGGTGGCATTGTCAGCTTGAAGGACATTATCGAAAAAGAATTCGCGGAGGCTGTGGAATCTCTTGGTGCGTCAGTCAGAGGTGCCCGGCAGTTTTTCCGGAGTTCTTGCGACCGCTTGCAAATTCCTCGCCGGAAGGGTGAGACGGCCACTGGCACAGGTATAGTTGGCATCTCATCGCCGGGCGCTTCTGTGTGGTTCATTAGCTTCCGTCGAGATGTGGTAGGGCTACAATCAGTGAAGCTTCTCTCCTCAATTTTTGTCTTGTGAATTATATTTCACTTTCAGTCCCCGGTAGCCCTAATTTTTTTAATTTGATGGGACGGAAGTGCTCGGGCTTGCATATTCCATTTGCCCCACGGTCACAGCAAGCTGATGAAGCAGTGAAAAGGAAAAACAAACCGATCAGGTGTTGGCGGCCAGCGCTGGGAATGGGAAGCGCGTGCGATAGGAGTTGGCGGCCTCGATCAAGTCCGGGCTGCGGTTTTCCAGTACCTCAAAAGCTGCGGTAACGGGAACGGCCAAGCCGCAGGAAAAAAGCGGAGGCGCAGCGACAACGAAAAGCCCCAGAGGCCGGACCAGAATCGAAAAAGGCGAAAGTCTAGCGCCCCGCGAGCATCGGGTGGCGCGGCGTCTTCGGGGGGAGAGTCTTCATCTTATGGCGGCTTGTCGGCGCGGTCGTGCCCAGCTTCAGCCCCCGCGCAGTCAGCAGGCGGAGAGCGTAAACCCCAGCAAGACCAGCCTGCGCTGCGTCCAGAGAACGCCAGGGCGCGCCAGGGTGTGGGGCAGATGCATCTTCGTGCAAGCCGCAAGCTGAAGCCCGAAAAGGGCCCAGCGCACAGCCCCACAGGCGACCAGGTCGATCTGACGCGTGACCATGAGGAGCGGATGAAGCGTGCTCGGCTTCATCGGTATCACTCGTTCTAGCTCTACTGCGTGGCGCAGTTTCTTTTTCTTTTCCGCTGATTTTTGGAGAATACAAAACGACTTTCTTCCTTGTAGTTGTTCTTTCTCTTTTTTATCTTGCTAACCTCCTGGTCTTTCTAGGGCATTCTTTCACTTTCTGCGTTTTTTCCTCTCTTCAAATTTTCAGTGTGAATCCGGACCTGCGGGACAAGTGTCAAAAATTGACGAGCCAGGAACTGAAGAAGGCCGAAGTAGAGGCTCGTGGAATATGGAAGAATCGTGGGCACTACCAGCCGAGACCCTTTGAGGAGATAATCCCGCTGCCGTCGTCTGTTACCCTCATGCCCAGGCGCAACGCGGTCGCGCCCGCGCCGCAGGGGGAAGTACTACGCTTTGAGCGATTTGCTGAGGGATACTGTGACACTATATTTCTTTCTAACAGCCACCACTGAACGCAAAGGCTAAGGCGTTAGGCCGTCTGGACTCTGCTAGCTTAGACATTAGGTAGGTAGTGTTGGATTTATTGTGTTGCTTAGCGATGATCTTTGCTTGTTGCAGTTTTCCTTTTTGTTTTTTCGTGTGTTTTCAGGACAACGGCCAGCTTTGGCGGCGTCTCGTGATTGCCCATGAGCCAGGCCTTTTGAACAACAAGGGAATCGCGACCACCTCTCAAGGCTGCACACGTTTGGGCCAGGGCACATGGGGCACTGTGTTCAAAGCGCTAGCGTGTACTCAAGAGGCGCTTCAGCATCTACCCACCAGCTGGAGCGTAAGCAATTGCCTTAAAAGCAACGCGGCGCAAGGTTAAGACTGAAGCAAGAGCGTTCATCTCTGAGTGCATCATTCTGGTTCTAAAGTATAAGATAACTTGACTTCCCTCAGATTTATTGGAATGATTGTCTTCTCCAGAGTCAGAGTTGAATGATTATGGAGAGGTCTAAAATCTAGGGACCCTGGGGGGAGAAGAGCAGCTCCTCGATAGTAAGGGAGAAAGATGAAGTGGAAACGCGAAATCTCAAAGCCGTTGCTGACAAAATTCACGCTGCTCACACAGAGACGCAAATGAATGGGTATAGACACAATTTCTAAACTTCCTATTAGTGCTCGCACGGTTCGCTTACTCAGCGAGGTTTTCTGGTTGTCATGTTGCTCTTTTTTTCGAGATGAAGACACTTAAATTACTGAGTTGTATGATGGAAAATGTAGAACAAATATAGGCCCATACTCATGTAAGCTTTCACTTCGTCAGCCATAATTTGCACGGATATACGATGAAAACCTTAAGTTTGAATTTTTCGATTACGCTGCAGGGAGTTGAGCACTCTACGAACCGCGCAGAAAAGGCAGGACCACGAGTATTTACATTTTGTTTTGGAGCTTTTCGAATATCGGGGTTATGGTTTCCAAGTATTGCCATTAGCTTCTGGAGATTTAAAGCAGCTACTTTCGCAGTACGCGACGCGGCGGGCGCAATGCCAATCGGTATCAGCCTTAGGCGCTGGAGGTTCCACTTGCAATATTGTTCGTGCGGGAGGCAGTGGAAAAATCGCGCCATCTGTAAGCGGTGTCTGCGCACCGGTGACGGGGCTCCAGACCGGACTTTTTCCACCACACGTTGCTGCTCGGTACATGGAGCAAATTCTCCGCGCGTTGCAGTTTCTGCATCAGTGCAAGATAATGCACACGGACTTGAAGCCTGACAATATTTTTTACGCCCCACCCCCACCGGGGCTGACACCAGCTCCGTCTGCGGCAGTTGTACCGCCTCCACACAGAGCGCCTCCGAGCCTAGGTATCAACCCCGAGAGGCCCTCGGCCTCGTTTGCACAAGGCATTCAGACGAGCACGGGCAGCAGTGGCGTGTCTACTACTACAGCATCAAAATTAACATCAGCTTCAGCGCACAATGGTCATAGACAAGTGCCGCAGATGAGCAGTGCTCGATCCTTTTCGTCGGCAGCAACAGCTACAGCAAATGGCTCTACTAGCCATCCAAGCCGACAGATCGCGAACGCGCTACCCTCAGCAGCTCCTCACGCCGCGGCTGCACTACAGAGAAGATTCTTCGAAGATCGTGTGGACGATCTCCAGATCGCTAGGCAGAACGTAGAAAAGGCCGCACAGAAAGCAATGCAGACGAGAATGGATGCACAGGAGAAGTCGCGCTACACGTCTTCACTCAAAGACAGCCCTGACACATCTTCACGTGGCGCTCCTCTACAACCAGAAAAAGCCACCGCTTCTAGTTCTCACATGACCAACAATGGGGTGCTTTCTTCGGCGTTGGTTGAGGATATGGATAACAGCGATCCAGAATCGGCACGACACGCGGCACGACCCACACTGCCGGGATCGGGCACAGGTGCTGTCACAACCAGTTTTTTTGGCAACTCTAAGGCTTCAGTCGACCAGATTCCCGAGAGCTTGCTTTTGAGTTACATATTGAAGGTCTCGGATTTTGGCGAGTGTGTTGTCGACGCCCCGCTAACGAAGAAGGACGCACGTCCACAGAAACGCTTGGGAGACTTTCAGGCACCCATCTACCGTGCACCGGAATCCTGGATGAAGGAATGGCCTCTGGGTCCTCAAATGGATTGGTGGGGTGCAGGAATCATTTTTCACGACATGTTGTCCGGCAAACCTCTTTTTCCGCTTGCGTCCGACGCGCGCATACTGTACGAGAACGCACTTCGCCGTCGGCATGCTCTCCAAGAGCAACAGGAGCTTTCTGCGATCGACTGTAAGAACGATCATCAGATCTTCCAGAAGCAGAACCGAAACGGAAAGAGCCATGATGATGATCAGGTTGAGCAAGTGCTTAGCTCGGGCGTCAAAGAACAGATTGAACGCGGTGAGCCTGATCTTGATGCCGACCTCTTCGCGGTGCCGCTGCACTCCTCTCGAATTAGCGGAACGGGCAGATTCCGTGAGCGGGGAATTACGATCGCAAATAGACACAAGGCAGAAGCAAGGGAAGAAATTCTAATGGCATTGTATCGTGAGCATTTGATGAGCTTCAGTTCCCAGCAACCTTTACCGACAACGTTCATAGCTCTACGCGAGTCAATAAGACGCACGTATAACGGTGATGCAGTACTCCGCAAGCTAGATGTGAAGATGGAGACAGAGAGAAACGATAATCATAAGCTCAATATGGCGAAAATTTCAATCAAGGATATGGTCGGAACGCTCGGCCCGTTCCCATGCACTTTCATCAAGCGCTGTATATATGCTGCCAACGAGTCACCGGAACTAGAAGAGGTACAGATTTTTTATTTGAAAAATGCGCTAAGATGAACACACTCACATCTATTATGATGCATAGCAGTAGCATGAGGGGCTACATGAAATCCGGCTTCCCTATTCCCCGTTCGATCCCCTATTCCCCGTTCGATCCAAAATCCACACCGCAATCGCATAATCCACACCGCAATCGCATAGGCGTCGAGCAATCCCCACAGACGCAAATCTACGCCTGAAGCATTGCGCCACTTCAAAGTAATCCCAGAAGACACGCACAGTGGTGAAGAAGCGAAAGAGAAAGTTCAGTTGAAAATCTACCGTCCGATCTCGCAAAACTACTATCTCCGCGATGATGAAGCAGCTTGCGACCAAGATGAGCTTTTTCGCAAAAACATGCTCCCCGGCGGACAATCCGCCCTAAGAACGATCTTGGAGAGTCGTGGAGTGAGGATTTCTATGCCGGACGACCAATTTGTGAAAAGGCTACAAGGTCGGGCGGCCTCGGACTTGCGTAAACAGCTGTTCTCGCCATGCGCCGAGAACCACGAAGAGGCTGCTGGATCCACTCTATTAGGAGGGCCGCCAGATGATGAGGGACGCACGCCGTCGGATCAGTCTGGTGATCACCAAACTGCTGCAGCTGGCGCCACAGCGGCATCAAATGCTATGTCAAATGCTACAACTACAGGAATGGGCCAGATAAATATAACCAACGAGGAGAGCAGGGACAACTCCAGTAAGAATAGAGATGAACAACGATCGTCATCAACGACAACTCCTGGCGCTCAGTTACCACAGGGGTTGATTAACAAAAGAGGACGCGAATCCGCATCGTCATCGTCTTCATCCTCATCTTCCGGTGGTTCTTCTTCTTCATCCTCCGATGGTAACTCTGAGTCGGAGAGTGATGACGCCAAGAAAAAACGAGCTAATACCGATGCGAATTCTCAGAAAACCACAACATCAGCCCGAAGAGTAGAGAACAAACAAGGTGACGAAGCTGAAGTGGCCGCGAATGAACACCTCGCGACAGGAGCTGCATGCAAGCAACGCAAGCAGGTGCAGGACGCCGCACATGAAGATTCGCAAAACCAACCACTCGAGAATAAAAAGTCGGGAAATAATGCTGAAGTCCCAAGTGGTGAAACGCTGAACTTGATGAAGAATCCTGCGACGCCTGCGTCCAGTACACCCGGTTTGACCGCAACGACCGACGCCCCCAATTCGACAACCGGTGTAGCGACGACCACGAATGGGTATGCTGTTCTCAACGATTGTGGCTCCGACATCGAAGAAGCAGAACATCAACCAGGCTGTGTAGGAAATACCTCCAAAGTAGTTCTTGCAGAGCAACATGATCATCAGCAGAAAAATTTTGGAAATCCACTACGTTTACAAGCTTCGAGACAAGAAGAGCATGCCGTCGAAAGGAAGAACTCATCTGAAGATGTTTTGTCGAACAAGAAGCGTGAAGTAGATGGTTCCGACATCAATAGCGTGACTCCGTCGCCAGCCGCGCTCGTGACGGATCCGAACCGATCGCCGCCACCTAGCGAGCTCCGAACAATTCTGTCCGAAAAGGTCAGTCGGGAGGTCGATTGCCTGATGCGCCAACTCTTGACTATTGACCCACAGCAGCGTTGCTCGCCATCCGCTGCGTTGAATCACCCCTTTTTCAAGACCATGCGCATCTTGCGCCCCGACGCCTTTCATGATTTATGATCATTTGATTTGCGAGTAGGATCTATGTGCATGCTCAAGCAGGATGTCGTAGACATCAGACATCAATCAACTTCGTACTTTCCTTCTAGCCGCCATGATTTATGACGACTTTTGGAGCTCCTGTTTTGTGTTATGTGAGCACAGTTCTATGTTTTCCTTCCTTTGAAGCAGCTGCTATAGCTCTTGAAGTAACTAATTTGAGATCGTTCTCGAAGTTGAAAAATTCACCTCAACATTTGACATAAGATCAAAACAGCCAGATCATTCTCATTTTTTTTGGGGATTTTCAACACTCTGGAGTCTTCAGGAACAATACGGCAATAACATGATATAGCTTGAGCATTTGAGCTTATCCTTGTTATGCAGAATCATTTGCTCGAACTATGGGAGAATTCAAATCAGAGGCAGTAGATTTTCATGAGTGGCCTCCTCCTCGAGTAAGATGTGCTAAGATAACGGGCAACAAGCAGCACTAGTATCGATAAGGACTCAGGTACAATTCTTATCGAAGTTATATCCATTTTCGTGCAAAGTTTCTGATTTATTTTCTTGAGCATGGTTGTGGATCAAGATCAACATACTCTCATATACATTTTCATCCTGAGCAAGAATCATATACTAGGACAGTTTATAGCACGAATGGCGCATGGGACGAATGGCATGAATGGCACACCCCAACAAACCCCAAATGTGTCACGAATGGCACGAATGGCACAGGTTGACAGGGTTCCGCCAGCTGGCGCCCCTGGTCTCATTCGCTTACCGAGTACGTCGGTCGTATGCAAGTGATTCCGCCCATGAGAGAAGCCATAACGGTTCTCAAAGCCGGCGGCGAGCGAGGAGAGGGAGACGCGAGGCCCGGGCAGGCTCCTCTACTGTTTTCAAAATGGTAAGGGAGCGGGCCAGGGGAACAGCGGAAGCCGCGCCTGAGGAGTGCAGAACTTCGCGCAAGGTGCCGCATGGGCCTCGTTTTTTCCCGGAATTCCGTGGGGGTCATACAAATTCGGACGAATTTGCGTAGCCCCACTGTTTTCCGGGAAAAAAATGCTATGTGACCACCGGAGCGGCATCGGGGTCCAGCTTGAATACAGGCGAAGCCGCGTGCCTTGCGATAGCCGTGACGACGAAGAACGGAAGAGGTGCCGCCGAAGCATGGCGCCCCTCCCGTAGCGGGGGGGCAGCCTTGGCACCTAGTGGAACTGTGTGAGGGATGTGCGTTTGGCTGGGTGCAGGGCTTGGCGCCCGAAGGGCGCCCCGCGCTCGCGGGGTTCTTGGCGGTCGGCGTAGAGCATCGAGCAGGAAGTGGCAACCCAGTTGGGGGAGCAACGCGTCGGAACGCAGGGCGCCCGAAGGGTCTATTTGGTCCACGAATGGGACGAGTGGCGAGGTCGATCGCGGTCACGGATTGCGCCCCCGCCATTCGTGCCATTCGATCCATGCCATTCCAGACCTGGACCCCTTATACACTGCTCTAATATACGCGAGCGATTTCGAAAACAGCGCGCTGAGCGTTGTATTGAAGATCAACTTTTTTACTAGTACTACGAGGATATATCATAGGGCAACCCCCAGCAACGCCATCAAGCTGATATTGCTATTGGAGCCTGTCCTTCGGTTTTACATTTACCATGCGTGCTAGCTGCTTGTAATATTGATATTGATGATTGACCTCTCTTGATCTCCACCAAAACCAAAAGACAATGGGAAAATCTAGCCGGAGATGAAAGATTTGACTATCCCCCTTCTCGAGCATCAATGTTGGCACAAGGCCCACAGAAAGAAACCAAAAAAAATTGTTTTTGGACGTCAGGGCAAGAATGAAAACGAAAGGACATTACTACCGTATAGTCCCCGTCTGAAACTGGATGATATTTATTACAGAGCAGTTTATAGCACGCGTGGTGCATGGTCATGGAGTAGCATGGAGGGCATGGGGCGCAGATCCCTAAGGGACGCAAGAAGCGCCCTCTTTCGCTCCATGTAGCTCCATGCGATCCATGCAGTCCGTGCCATCCGATCTGGCAAACCTTGGAAATTATTCTGTTATTAATACAAGAAAAAAGCGGAGAGAGACATGATATAATTGCGCGGATGAAGCAGGTTTCGCTCAGGCCTGGTTAATGCATTCTCATTCTCTCGTCGTGGGGTAGTTGTCTTTTCTTGACATTGATCGTGATCATGTGACCCGAAAACGCGGCTAGTAGACGTTCAGTTGCAGTTTCTCGTTCCTGGAAGGAACTAAGTACAAACATACACAAGAACAAGAACAAAGGAGAAAAATGAGATTTTTTTTCTAGAAGGCCACTGCGGTATCATAACAGGAGTGTAATTGAAAATATACCCAAGCACATCCAATGTCGTTTCCGGTCGTCGGCCATCGGCAAAACCGTCTGGACTCAGGATCTACTTACTACGATAAGAGGCATTATGCCCTGCGTTGCCAAAGGAAATATCGGTGTACTACACGACACGTGATCGTTTAGAAAGATGCCATCATTGGGAGAGAAGACTTTCAAAAGTGTACGAATTACTTCGCCTCGCGAAGTCGTTATCAATCTTTGACTTTAGTCAATTCATGACCAGACTTACTAGTTTTTTGAATGTTTGTGGAAGTCATTGACGTCGTGCGGGTGCGAACGAACTAGAAGAAGTTGTCAGTCACTGTAACGCCAAATACACTCATCGAGATTCTCATCATCATCATCATCATGATCATCAAAAATGAAGCGACGCTCGCATTTGTGTCACACCTTTTGTCGGAGTCACGCCAACCATCAAGTAGCTTCATTCGAAAACAGGACTGTGACACCTACAACTCAGGGAATGCCGCGAATCCTGAAGCGTTCATCGTTGCGTAAGAATGCGACGGAAGACTGAGTCAATGTCTGAGTCTGCTGAGACTGTCGGCGTTGTTGACGAGGAAGATGGATCTTCACACAGTGAAAACACCGTGGGAAGGTTACGTGCCGATGCGACAGATGCACGAGGAGTTCGTCGTCTACAACGGACGAAGACGCAGGCTGATTACGACGATAAAAGAGTCTTGTATTCGTCGTTGTTCCTGTCGAGACCCTCGACTTCGCCTTCGCGGGCTGCTTCGCTCACACAGAGAGGCCAGGGCGTTTGTACGAGCCGGGGCGCCGCGCTCGCTCGGAGAAACCGCATGGCAGAGTCGTGGGATAGTACCTCCAGACTCAGCACCTCTACCGCACGTCTTATTGAGCTGTCTCGGGCAGAGCAGCAGAAAACAAAAAGTTTGGTACGCGACTACAAGTCCGCGCCATCGCTCGCCAGCACGGGAGTCGCAGGAAGACATCCGTCTGGGGTGACCGTTTCCCTCAGTTCGAAGTCTTCCTCTTTGAATAACGTTGCTGGAGATGTGTCCATTACGATGAATCAAAGAGGGCGTTGGAGTCCCACTCCGAGTGCCCTTCGGGAAGATGTTCACCTTGCTGGTAGAAGTCGTTTTCTGAACTACACGATAGGAGGAAGGGTTTCTTCATCTTGCCCCTCAAAGAGAGTAACAAACCAAGGTCCGGCTGCTGGTAGGACAGCTGTGCCGACGAACCAGCACGCAGCATATTTCACTGCGGCGTTTGATATGAGTGCGCGTGCTCTCGCATACAGCTACGAACCTCTTGATGATTACATCGGCAGCGCGCGTCCGCGTTCCTCGCATGGCACGACACCAAGAGGACCCCAACATCCGCAGGTTGATAAACGACAGCATCCTTCTCGTTATAGTGCATATCCCGGTGAGATACCTGGCGAGGATAGGTGTTCTGTGAATGATGCTGAAGTTGCCAGACTGTCGATCTTAGATCCTCTCATCGCTCAAAGGATTATGGTCGCCAGGCGTGCAGAAGTCAGGGAGAGCCGTAACAGCCGTGTCGCTCAATCAATCTTGTTTGATGAAAACCATGGGGTCAGCAACGAACACCTTGATGATGGAGGTTTGCACCAAAAGAGCGACCCCACTCGGGATACCAGTATCAGTAAGACTTCAACTGTTCACTCGTCCCAGGAGAGGATGTCCACGAGGAGGGAGAGGTCTAATTCGCGCGTGAGCGCACATCGTCGGCATTTTGCGCCTTTCGACGATGAAGGCGCAGGCGATGCTGCGATGGGTATGGAACACGGACGAATTGTGACGCGTAACTCGCAGCTTTTTCGTCAGTCGCTTAACTCGCAGCTCGAGGAGCCCGCAGAGGCTGTCCCGATGCCGTATGGCTTCGGTGTGGACTTGGAAGATCGTCCCGAAAGCCACTTCTTCTTCCAACTTGGGGCTCGCGATGCAGAGGACATCTGTACTCGACGAGATGAAGTGGACCAGGACGCTCACCCCCGAAGATCAAGTGCGCTCAAGAATTCCGCTTTGTCGTCCTATGTCAGTCGCATACGACAGAGCAGCGCTCAGCAGGCCAAAAAGAAAGTGGAGCATGCAAATCGGATTGACTCCATCGCATCGAGAAGAAAACCGTACTCGTCTTCGTCTAAATCTAGGATAAGTGTGTTTGGGGATATCAGCGTGAAGAATGTAGGCGCAGGAAGTCCATGCTTGCAGATCCTAGATTCGGCCTCTTTCCAACCTTTATCGAACACCACTAGAAGCGGCTGGCTGTGGGGTCTAGAGTAGGCAGCTCATTGCTTGGATTCTAGTGCGGCGGCGCCCGGTGGGCACATAATTAGTATGCTACTTGAAGGGGCGCGCCGCTCTGTCGTGGGTCTTAGGCTGACAGCCCAGGTCGTTTCCTCTTGTGTGCTGACTTTGCTGATTGGGCGCGCCCGTCGCTGGCAAATGGGAGCCCGTTTCGCTGTGACTGGCCGGGCCTGTGGGTGAGGTGTGCCCCTTTCTTTTTGCGAATTGCATTGAGCGAAGTGCGTGGGATCAGCTTCTCATGGAAAGCGCCACGAGCGGAGTGCGCCTTCTTTGTGTCCCGCAGAGTTTGCCAGTCGGTCGGGGTTGCCTTTCTTGAGGTGCTTTGTTTCGTGCGCTAGGTGCCGCCCTCCGTTTGGTGTTGCCAGCCTGCGACGTGCAGCGAGCTTCGAGAGCTTCAGCGCGTCTTCTGCTGCCGCGCCACAGTGTGTTGCCGGGGTGCGGATGCTGCTCGCTCGGCGCGATGTTTTCGGCGCTCGGTAACTCACTTTAGCCCCGGCGTTGGTCGCTGGCTAGAGCTAGGGACGAGAAGCAGTGCGCCTCTTTGTAGCAGGACACGCGTCGCCAGCATTAATCGCACAGGGTGGATGCGCCAGCTGGCGGGCCGCGGTGCGTGTTCTTGTTCTACGTAAGCTCTTCTTTCAAGGGTTGTGTGTTGGGCTCGGCTTCGTTCGGTTGCTTTGCACGCCTGCTACGGATTTCGGGGCTTCGTGCCCATGCTTGGAATTGGATCCATGTCTGGACCCATGCGGCATGGTCAGAAAAGGGCCACTTTTCGGAAATCGGTAGTCTTTTTTTTTATGCTCAAAATCGTCCACGGCTGTTGGTAGGGAGGACTCGCTTCCTCGCCTGGTGTGGTCGTTTTTGCCTAACGGTGTTTGGGCGCATGTCTGGGCCCATGTGGATGGCCTGAAAAATGCGAGAGTTCTGATTTTTCAGGAAGCAAAAAAACCAGGCCAGAAGCCGCCACAAACATGGGTGGCGGACGTAAGCGCAACCGCATCAAAGGAAATAAGATAGAAGAGGAGTGGGCCCAAGCTCTTCTTCCTAAGGTGCCTCCTCCTCCGTGCCCGCAAGGGGTAGGCCTAGGCGCTGTCCGTGTCCGTCGGGGCTCTGGGAGGCGGTGCGCCTCTTGTGCGTGAAGGCGTTGGTGAGCGGCAGGCGCGCACCCCTCTCAGGTGTAAAGGCGTCACTTGCAGAGCGAGGGCGCCAGGTCTCAGCGCTCCCTTTGTGGGGTACTTAGGTCCGCCATGCGTCGGCCACGAATCAACACGAATCGCCTGACTCGTGGCAGGCATAGTCTGTCGCAGAGGTTTGCCGGCGTGGCTGCTGATGCTGGCGGTGGCGCCATGCAGCGCACTCTGATGGAGACAGATGGGCTTTCCTCGTTCATGAAGTGGCCCCGAGTCAGTTGATTCGGGCGGGGGCGCTCCTTTCTTTGCTGGAACATGAAGCAAGAGGGAAGTGACGAGTCAAATGATTCGTGGAGCCTTTCAGGGATCACCTGTAAGGCCCTCGCGAATCGTTTGACTCGTGAGGTGCGTCATCTGTTTATGCATGAAGCGGATGGGCAGACTCTCTATTCATTTCTATCGCGCTCCACTCCATTGCGGGCTTCTTTGCTTTGTGCTTTTTCGTGCGTTTTAAAGTCGGACAGTTTACAGACGCTGGACGCGCTGGGTGGCTGGGCGGGCACGCTGGGCGGGCGCTTGGGTGACGCTTAGCGGACTTGAGGCCAGGGCCACGCATTGGGCACGCCGAGGCCGATCCCACGCGGCCGATTTATTTGTGCCTCGGGGGTGCGGTGCTGCGCGTCCCCTGAGCACAAACAAAGGCCCTCAAGGTTCGGGCAGCGCTGGCGCAGTGCTGCGCCAGTTTGCGCAGTGGCGGCTTGCGTTTGCTCTGTGGCTGTGCAGGCCTGCGCTGCGTTGTGCTGCACTGCGCTGCCTGGTGCAATGCTGCGCCGCTCCTGTGCAGAGCGGGCTTGGCGGTTGCGTAATTCGCCAGCGCCGTTGGCTTACGCTAGACTAGCACTGCTGGGGGGATTTTATCTCGGGCGGGCGCCTGTAGGGCGTGCCGCCTTTTGAGGCCCTTGGCGTCACGCTGGGTGGACGCTTCTTTGGCGCAGATGAATTCGGCACAGCTGGCGCAATCGGGTGGCTCAGCGGCCCAGCGTGCCAAGGAAGCCCAGCCATCTTCACATCGGGAATGAGCTGCTCGATATATGCGAGGCGCTCCTCATGTGTCATGAGGTCACACCTTTGCGTTTGCTGTTGCTCGTTTTACACTATAATATATAAGTACTTATATGATACAGCTACAGGGACGCACGGGCACGGCCCCCCAACCTGTGGATGGCTCTGTGCGTGGTGGCGCTGGCGCGCTCTTTTCGTTCCGCCTTGCTTTTCGCGGATTCTCGGGGTCGAAGGCGTCAAAACTCGGAGCGGGCGCCCCCTTGTGCTTCTTTGCAGGTTCCTGACAGACGTCGTGGCTTGTGCTGACCCTCCCACGCAGGGAGGAGGCCGCCGGGGTAGAAGGCCGCCGAACCCGAAGGCGGCCACGGTCTCGAGGCTTGGCTTCGTTCTTTTGCTGGGTTGTCCTCACCAAATGCGCGGCAGGGGCCAGCAGGCTTATGACCAAGGGCCCGGAACGTACAAGCCAAAGCCACACGGCCCAGGGGGTCAAGCTTTGCGCTTTTTGCTTCCTTCGGAGGCCTTCCATGCCCGGCACCGTGCTGCTGCGGCGAGAGGCCAGCACGTCGGAAGCCTGCAGGGTACAGGCACGCAGCTAGAATGGAGTGGAGGAGGCTCCGCGGACTCCTTTGGAAGCCTTCCACGCCTGGCAGACGCCTCCAAGAGGGGCTTGGGGATCCACGGCCACCCCCTTACGCTAGGCGGGGCCGCTACCTTGCACCCTCGGACAGATACAAAAAGGGCGGACTCTAGTCATAACCTTACAAGCATGGATGGCTTCCACCTTCAAAAAAGCAGTGCAGGACAATGAGTGGCAACAAAATTACTCGAACTCGAGCCCGCCTTGCTGTGCCATCTCGAGACGGCAAGAACGCAAAGAGGATTATTGGAGGACAACAAAAACAAAATAGCCACGTCGCAGAAGTCAAGGCTGGCGCGCCTTCGAAACAGCCGCTTGCCCCGGAGCAAAACAAGAGTGCCTCTCTGCCGCCGAGAACGCGAACTTCTGCTGCGAGTATGCACGGCTGCAGCTCTCGGGCTGCTTTGCAAAAGATCGCCACAGGCACAGGCGTGATGAGCATGACGGCAACACCGAACCTAAAGAGAAGTCCAGAAGCGGAAAAAACTGTGGCGAGTTCACCGCCAACAGACCAGGGGTCTTTTCGTCCTGCCCGAATGCTTCGGCCAAGTGGAAAAATTGAGGCAGACACAGCGCCGCAACTGAAAGTGCCGCCGCCTACTCCGTATTCAGTCACCAAGCAGCGAATGAACACCACTGGCGAGCGAGCGGCAAAGATGATTACAACGCCAGTCAAGAACTACGCACATTCAGGCCGCACTGCCATTGGCAAATCGAAAAAATGCGACGAAGCGCGACCTATTTTATCGTCAACGAAGACTATACTGCCAGGTGGGAAGACGTCAACGGAGAAACCGAGCAACGCACAATCACCAAATGAAGAATTTGAGTCTGCGTGCCTTCGAATACCACGACCATCGCCAGTTTTACTCTACTCTCCACCGTCACCGCCGAAATGCAAAGCCCCGAAGCCATCGCCTGCAACGGTTTTGAATCTTCCAGACCGGCAACACAACAAGGACAAAGTCGTGCATCAAGAACTAGACGCAAATCGTCAGGGCCAGGAGGATGACGTCGAGGACTTACTACAACACTCATCATTGTCGCCTACAAATGCCTCTCCTGCTTTGGCTCTTTTCTACAATGACAACGCGGCGACTTCGGTTGCGATCAAAAGCGCAAGTCGTCAGGCACGCCAGACTCGTCCGGCTCCTCCAGGTACACTTTTTGCGGGCTTTCGGGCTCATAGACGCGCCGTGAATGCCCTCGAAGCCCGACCTGCTGAAGAGAAAGAGGCAGAACTGGCAGAAGCAGCTGCACGAATGGAGAATCTTGAGAAAACGTTCTTCGCCCAGGAAAAGGGCACTGTCTGGACACACAGAAACCACCATCATCGAAAGCGCGTTTCAGAAGCCCCCCTCTCACCGCATGATCGTGACATTCGACGACATCGAGAACGCCGTTTGCGCACGCAGACAAAGCTGGATCACCACAGCAACAAGATTCGCCGCGCGCCCACTAACTCGTCCATTTTTGGAATCTCTGCGGCTGCATCTGCGATAACTGGGAGCTCATCGTCTGCGTCGTCATCGTCTTCGACTACGCGACCGGCATCAACGGCCTCGAAGCAAAGAAAACTCGCTGCAGCTTCAACATCGCGAGCGAAAATCGGCCTGGAAAATATCGAAGCCATAAACGTCGAAGGTGTCAACAACGTCGTTTATTCCGAGAACGATGATGAACCATCGTCATCGTACAGTTCCTCTTCGGCTTATCCAGAAGATGGAGATGGAATTAATGCAGCTCAAAAAATTGTGGCAGACCCTGCGATGGAGCTCGACTTCGATCACTATTTAGCCACTCATGGAGGAACAGTGGAAAGTCTCTCGCCCTTCGTGCTGGCGAAAAGGTCATTACCAGCTTCAGAGCGTGCGGTTTTTCGCGAGTCTCCAGCGGGCCGGCGCATCGATCACGATAACCCAGTAGGAAGCTTGCTTAGACGGAATCAGAATGTTGATAACTCACAAAGGTCAGTGGCATTGGCGACAAGGCATGAACACGATTTGCTGTTGGAATCGCCGCAGTCTTATGGATCTTCACGGATGACGCATAGCCGAGGAAAAGGAGCCGCAAAGGCAAATGCTGCTGCAGGTGCCACTATCTCCTTCCCTCACGGTGACGAGGACGATCCTAGAAGTCAGCGTGAAAATGGGGAAGACACTCCACCAGATGAGTTGGAAGACCGACAGCGCAGCTCTCCTGAAAGCGGCGCTTCATCGCTCGATCACGACGAGAGGTTTCCACCGACAGTGAATTTCGTCACCCCCATGCGCGAGGACAAGCAGGTAGAGCTAGATCAGATGAAACTGCTTTCAGAGACGGAGTTCCGACGCTTGTACGCCGCGTACGCACGAGAGAGGCGGTTACGTGTGCGGTGGTACTGGGTCCGCAACAATCAGAATCCTGGTCTCTTGCAACCGATTTCGTGGGGCGCGGGCAACAAATCGACGCAGCGAAAATTGGCGACCACAGAACCAGTCTGGCGTGGCGGAAAGCGAGGACACATCAACTCGACCGAACACAATTACAAGATGAGCGTGTGGATGGTACATCACTATCTATGTATCAGTCTTTGCTTGACCTCCGGGACTCACGATGTATTAGAATTTGATGTAAGCTAACTATCATAAACATTTGATAGTCCTTGATAGAGATAGTCACTGAATGCGGACTTCTCTAAGTACTTAGTTTTATGAAGAGTCGTCCCAGCAGCTTGAATGAAATGTGTTGAGCTTGAATTGAAAATTTCCAACTGCAGCTGTACTTTCACACTTGGGCTGCGGCAGCGCGTCATATTCACCTCGCGACGCAGATTGCTGGTCGCGCTGGTCTGGCACATCGTGCTGAGCGGGATCTGTGCATTTTAGCTTATTGGCGAGATTATGCGGCTCGCAATGCCCGTGAGTTTCGTGAGCAAGAGGTGACGTTTATGCGCCGAAAAACACTCGAGTGGTGGCGCAAGCTCGCACCACGAATGCGCCGATTGCGCAAGGCCCGGATCCAACTGAGCGGATTCCTCAAGTGGAAGAAAACCGTGGAGAATTTCGTTCGTTGGAGAATAGCACTAGTCTACGAGATTCGCGTTCGCGGGTTCTTGGAAAAAGGAGCACGCAGACAAGCAAAATCGCTGATGCGGCACTGGCTTTATGGAGCGCATCGCGCAAGATTCTTTGCAGGCGTTGTCTTAGAGCTGTTTCGCAGAAAGCGCGCACTGGAGCTTCAATGTTGGAACATAGAGGATCCTTTCGCGGTTACAATAGCCGCGACAGCACCTGAAGTCGTACCGCTTAGAAAGCCGCACTTGGAATACTATCTGCAAGACTCGCAGGCACCTTCGAATTCCGCAGCTGCGCGATGCCGTTACAACAGCGAATCTCTCGAGGAAAACGTTGGTGTGGAGGTGAGAAGACCTGCGGAAACGCTTCTTTCGACGGTTGCACGCTTTGCCGATGGCGATGGGGATGGTAATTTGATCATGTCTCCGAAGGGTGCAGCTTCTAGTAGTTCCCGCACATCTGCCAAGAGGGTATCAGGCTTGTTCTCGAACGCACGCCTAGCGGGGCTTAAACTTCTCGATAAGTCATTTAGAGAACATCAAGATGAAGCACGCGCACAACTACTGAGAGCCGGGGACGAGCAAGATAATGACGACGAGCACGTCGACGCCAGAAGGCTTCCGTCCCCTGTAGTCAAAAGGGTACGGTTTGAGTCGCCGACATCAAAGCGTATGTCGACGCCCCTACCTTTGCTCCCAGACTCACCTGACGATGTTCGATGGTACTCGTACTACGACGGTGACTGCTTGGGGCGAGCATTGTTCGACAAACCAGAGGACGAGGACGATGAAGAAGATTATTATGAGGGTCGTCGTCGTCTGCCGATCGGTCCAAGCTGCAACTCAGATTCGTATAGCGAAAGAGATTTTCCTATCAACAGTGAGAAAAGCGGCGGTGGTGCTTCGAGAGGGAAACGACGTCGACCAGAATTTCGAAAACGTTCTGACCGTGATAGCGCGATGCGGCTTGCCTACTGGCCTTGGATGCGTCAAGAGCGACACTTTGATGAAGGAGGTAACGAGGTTTTCACAGAGGTTTGCACGTGTCCATGGCCGGTGCTGGCGGCAGAGATTCGTGCAACACTGTTTTCCGAATGGCGTAGCTGCTCTCTCGACTTTATGTCGGCAACAGAGCGAGACAGCGTCTGGTTGAAGCGGATACGAAATGAGAAAAATCATAATGAAAAAACTGGCGGTAGGGGAAAACAAATCTCTGGAACGACCCAGACTGATGAAGAGGTCCAAGCCTTGCAAGAAATAGTGCCAGGCGCGCTGGATCCAAGGTGCAGTTTGCTGCAGCAGTTCCGATTTCTAGCAAAAGGCAAATTCAGAACTACCTTGCTTAGTAGGAATGCCGAGTCTCTGCATCTGCTGCAGAAGAAAAATAAACGACTTGGGAAAACAGCATCAAACAATAATCCCTTCGCACCTGGTTCACGAGTCGATGAGTCAGCTTCGATTAGGGAGGCTTACCTTTCCCCGTCTAGGGTGACAGTGCTGGCACACGATAATACAGGTGTAGAAGCACACTCAAAGTCATCACTTTCTAGTGCTTCGCAAAAGCAGAATCTCTCCAATCGGCATCATCTTGTTGGAAAGAAATACAGAGTCCTTGTTGCTCCCCAGACCCTCGTATGGCGACGCGTCTTCGAGCGCTGGTTTCGAGCTCGACGACACGCAGCTGCAATTCGACTTCTAGAACGCTGGCACGCACTCCAGGTCTGGCGGCTCTACCTGCTACCGGCAATATTTGCGGTACGTGAGCAGCGAATTCACGCAGGGCGGGTTGTGCGGACAGTAGTAGCGGCACCTCGTTTGCGACGACACGCATATCGACTGAAACGAATAGCCCTGGCCGCATGGTGCGGCGCCAGCATTGCTGATCGAGAGCGCGCGGATCGGTTTTACTTACGAAAACTGCAGCGTCGACGCGTATTCGCTTTGTTGCGCGACTTTTGCATTGATTCTCGTCGCCAAAAGTTAGCGGTTGCTAAATTCTACCGTGAGGTGGTATGTCAACGAGGCTTTATGCGCCCAGCGCTTTTGGTGTGGAAGTACGTCTTCACAGACGTGCAGCGCACTCGACGCTTTGTCCGTGGTTGGCATTGGTGGTGCGTGACCGGAAAATACCGCGTTTGGCGCCGAAACTTCCACACGCGACAAACGTTCTTGAAAGCCTGGTTTTCCATCGCCGAAAGTCGTTGTAAAGTTGAGCGTGGACTAACAAAGTGTTTGTCCCTCCGCAAACGTTTTCTGCATTGGTACTACGCTTATCATGCTTGTCGCAAAATGCGGGAGCATGAGGAGAGGAACGCGATGACGCGAATACAACTACTGCGGGAAGAAAAAGAGCAGTTGGCGCGGATGGAAGCAATGCTGAAAAAAGAAGGGAATACCGCCCTTGTGCATATCGGTTCCACTATGCTGGAAGCGATCAAGCGGAAGAGGCTTGGGGGTATGGGACATTCGACAAAAAGTCAGGAAGAAAAAGCCTACGCAGCACTCGCCAACGACCCAGATGCAAGCAGCAGGTCTGGTTTTACAGCTGATTTTCAAGCGTCTGCTGCTCTTCCGCCTCCGTTATCGGTGGGATGGACGTGGTGAGGACCGCAGTCCACATGAACTATTTTTGAGCACCATATTTTCAACAAGGTACTAGTACGTATATATAAAAATATTAATTTCTTTGGACCTGACATGCTCCTGGCTCTGCTGGAGGTCACGCTCGTCAACTACCGAAAATTTAGTCAAAGTCTACTTTTCTGTCTCCATTGAATACTTCTTTCTTGTCTTCTTGGTTTACGCCAATTGATTTCAAACAGAGCGACTCTCGACCTGTATTGAAGGCGTCACTTATGATTTCCATCTGATTAAGATTTCGTGCTCATTTTTCTCTGCTGATCCTACCTTAGACAACGACAGGCTTTCTTTGTGATAGTTTCAATCCGAAGCAAATGCCTTGCCTTCTGCTTTCTTTGCGGCAAAAGGCAACCACAACACATTCTCCGACCTACATAGCTGGACTGGATCGAGTAGGTCTAGGTAATTACTGAGGGAGACGGAGTTGGTGAATGATGGAGAGAATGCTCATGAAGATTTGAAGGAGGGCGCTGATGTATCACCCGTAAAAGTGTGCCCTTCCTAAGAAAGTAAAAATTTCATGACTTGTGTTCCTAGTATAGCCTCGCGGCGGAAAATCTTCAGTAGGATGCACTGGGTAAACCGTGTCCGTATAGAGAGCAGCACCGCGAAGGGGGCTGGCGTCCTTGGTGGTGGATTCCGCCGCGCCTCTGCTCTTCCACGCTACTCCTGGCGCGGTGGTGTGCCGCGTAGCATGGGAGCGACTCGCGCCTGGTGTGTGCGTGCTTGTAGCGACAGCGGCCCGCCCCGTGCCAGAGGCGCGTCGCTGGCCCTCTCCAGTTTCTTGCGTCTTCCTTGGGCGCTCAGGTACGGTTCCCGCAGCTAGGTCCGTGGAGGGAGAGCGAGCCGTGCCTCGGGGCTCGCTGTGGTTTTGCTTCCTTGGTTGATAAGAGTGGCAATTCTTATCCCATCGCGAGCGCCCTCGCGCTTGTCTTGTTTGTGGGGCAGCAGACTGGCGGGAGCTGCAGCGAGCCGCAGACGTTTTCCAGCCCGAGGACTCAAAAAAGGCTGGCGTCTGCGTCAGACGCCAGGATTCTCGGACGTCTCAGAATTTCTGAGACTTGGCAAAAGTCTGGCGTCTGCGTCAGGCGCCAGGGGTTTCTCCGGTGCGGGTACCGACCCAGTGCCCCTGGCGTCTGACGCAGAACCAGACTTTTGCCAAGTCTCAGAAACCAATGAATGAGGCGTGGCGCGAAAGCCTGAGCGTCTGACGCAGAAGTCAGCCTTTTCAGAGTTCCCTGGGAGCGATAAAACTCCGACTACGCACCCGTCATGGCGCTTTCTGTTGGAGCTTTGTCCACAGGTCGCTGGACGCGTCGGCGGGCCCTGTGCCGGTGCTTTTGGGTCGGGGGTTCACCTGGCAGGCTCGCGTGGCAGCTCTTCGGCCTCTTGCCCATCGGGGTGCCTGGCTGTGCCTTCTCGTTGGATTTGCAGATGGCGGGGGTTACTTGCTGTGGCCGGGGCTCGGCTGATGAGGGGTAGCCGTAGCGCGTCTGACTTTGGAGATTTTTGCGCGCTGGAACGGGAGCCCGTTTAGCTTGATGGGCCGTCGGGCCTCGGGGTCGCGGCGCTCTGCGTCTACAGGTGTAACTAGCCCATTTGCCTGAGCCTCCGTCACTAAATATTTTTCGCTGAAAATGCATGCTTTTCCCAAAGTCATGAAAAATTTTAAATGGGTCACTCAAGTAACGGCTAAATAAGTAGGTAGCGAACTAGCTACTTGTGCTTAGTGAAAAAGAGACTGGCCTGGACAAGGCTCGCGGTTCTGCCTCTACACGGTCCCTCCGACATGGTACACAGAAATAGAGGCAGAAGAATCCATGGGAGAGAGCGCGCGAAACCAAGGATCTAGTAGAAGTTTGCTGATGTCTGGCTTCGTGGATCGGCGGGTCGGCCACGTGCCGCAATTGGGGTCGATCAGGCTCTGACACTTTGCTCAGCACATGCAGGCTCTTGCGCTTGTCCTTGCGCTGCCACGTTCCAGCGTGCCAAGCAATCGCCTCGCCATCCACCTCACCCGGACAATCGAACAGAGCGGACTGCCTGAGATTTCGGGAGGGGTCATCAAAAAGGGGGCCAAAACCAAAAGTGTGCACAGTTGTGCGCGCAGTTTTTGCATCAAAGTCGACTGCTTTGACCTTCTACCCGTACTAGGAGTCGCCAAGTCAAGTCTTTCACTCAAAAGTGCGTCTGCAGTGTAGTGGTGGCTAGGATGCGGCTGGATCTACCGGCCATAATCATAAATATCCTAGAGAGTGTAAAAATTGCCCCATGGCATTTTTCCGCGACTGCGAACGTCGCGAACTTGCGACATTGGACGCAAAGATCTTTGAACAAGATCCAGGCATCCGAGTCAAGCAAAGGAGCTTTCGAGAGCTCTCAGGAAACAGCCATGAAATTATAGCACTTGCTTCGGCTGAGCGCTTCGGCTTCCGCGGTAAGCAATCCGCCTGCCTCTCGAGCGTTCGATGTCGGGAATTCTCACATCGTTCAGAGTGGCTTCGTCCGCCGCCAAGCCTCGCGGATCCACGGAGCCACCGTTGCGCGACTTTTTCTCTCGTCTTTGACTTTACACGAGTTCTCCCATGGATCTTGTCTGCCATTTATCAACCTTCCACGCCAGTTGGACCATGATGCAGTAGGATCGCCAGCCTTGACCGGGCCAGTCTCTTCAAGCCTAGCTATTTAACTCCCTAGCTAACTGCCCAACTCAAGGGTACCTGCAAAATTTTGGTTTTCTGAGGATGGGCACGCTTTTACGTGTGATGCGATGTCTGGAAAGTAGAGCAGCTGAGCCTATTCCCAGACTTTCCGTTGATTCTGTTACGAGGACATACACCGACTCACGAAGGCTCAAAGAAAATTTTCAGTCCCTTCGTGCAGCTCCGTTTCTATGTAGCCCTGATTCTGTAATTCATTTTGTCTATTTCTGGTGGTAGTGGTATTGCGAGTAGAAGCAGCAAGCAGCATGCTGAGGCAAGCAAATACTCGTGGAGGTAAACACTCAAAGAAAAATAATGGGATTTTTTTTCGGAAATTTATTTCATGGGATGACGTGGTCAGTCTCTGCCGCTAGCGGTACTTCGCAGCACGATAATGAAACGCTCGGTGCAGCAGGTTGTGGTTGATTTGAATCCATTTGGAGTCGGGCCAATCCGTTCTCAAAAGGATGGAGGCACTGTCGGCACGTCTTGGTCTACCACTCCCGAACACTACATATGGTCAGCGTGGCAACCGCATTGCGCCTGTCCTTCCGCGACAGGGGCCCGGGGGCATTACGACTTCGCCTCGCGCGGCGGCCGCTCAGGCGAAACAAGCGCGTGATGCAGCACGAGATCGAGCTGCAGCCAAAAAAGCAGGGGCGTCAAGCGCATATTCGGTGGCCACCTCCGACAAGCACATGCGATCTCCAAGGCAGCAAAGGATGGCAGGGCTGGGTACTAGAGGTTCGAACGACGATGATAACGATATTGACAGGAGGCGTTCGCCTCGCATCCGCGTGCTAGATGAGGCAGAACAAGAACACGAACGAAAAATGGCATCCACAATGGCAGGAAGTTACAATGTCGAAGACGAATCCAGCATGATACAGAAGCAGCATCCTTCTGACCGGCCTGTCGAATTCGACAATCCCTGTCCATGCAGTTGCCCTTGCTTTTCCGCTTGCATAGAATGTGTAAACGCATGCTGCGACTTCTACCAGAAGTACATCGCCGGCTGTAAGTGGTGCGACTGCATCAATACGCCTGTTGGACGTGTGCTTTTCGTGTTTTTTTTCGTAGGCCTGGCTTGTTTTTTCGGATACATCATCGTATTGTTCTTATCAATCTTTGAGCGTGGAGACTAGTTCAGCAAGCTTTAGCTTCGATTTATCCTTGTAGACGTAAATGTGTATAGTGTATCGCCATCGCTGGGGTCGTCAACGCAGTTGAGAGACTGTATCTCTAGTACAATAGAAGCTGCCTAGTCAATATCGATTAAATATGGTGGAGATACCTATGTATGTATAATGTTTTTAGCATTTCGAATTCGACGCCAGAAATTTCGATACCTGATGTCGCCGTCGCAACAGAACCTACAGTACCTACATCGGGGAGATGATTGTTGGAGTCTGAATCTTGGAATCGAAAAGAGCACAGCATAGCTGTACTTGTAGCAGTAGTTGTTCGCGTTATTTTCGTGTTCGGACCTCTACCTCTCATCTCGGGCAGTCGTTCCATTTCTAGATCTGAGAAATTTATATTTTTGCCCCCAGCGACAGCGACGGAACTTACAAGTAACAGAGTACCTAATGATCAGGACAACGCATCACAAACACAGTTTGAACTTTTGAGAGATTACTTTACCTTTACTATGCCGAGAATCAGCTCCTTCTCACCATTCTGAAAATCACGAGCAACACAATGCCGAGTCACACTCACATGCAGGCCGTACATACGGCGTTTAATGGCATCCCATCGTTTGCGACTGGTATCAACAGTCAGGGATACTCGCCACCGTTCAAGACAGATGATCTTTACAACACATTGCGGCAGGCTGCGAGCGCGAACGACCGGGTAGGATATTTTTCACACTAGTTCTTCCGAAACAGAATATTTAATACGCGCTGTTGCTAGCTGTATTTACCTCTCATGATTGCGAAAGCTTGATTTTTCAATTTCATTGATTCCATTTTTTTTCAGAGTAGAGGTGATTCGGTGTATGAGGCATAGTTAATGTCTTTGATGAAAAAATGCATTGATTATGAGTTTGATCATCAACGTTTCTTCAGGCCTGGGTCGCAGCGAACACCGCTCAGAATGCGTTATCTGCCGCGACCGCAGCAGTTCAGCAGGCCGTAATGCTGATTATGAACCAGAAAGCGACCGGACCGGCTTTGACGGAGGCGACGCCATTTGGAATGAAGACGCCACATATGCAGCGCGCACTAGATACTCAACAGCTCGCGAGTATTGACGACGTAAATGCACTAGCATTGGGAGATCCAAGAAGCGGCATTTTCGGATGGACTCGGACAATTGCAGAGGAGACCGAAGATGAACAGGAGGACAGCTCTACAAGCAGAAGTAGTGCTTGTTATAGGTGGGGTTCTTGCGGCACATCAACTCCTCCATTAACATCAACTAGTAGTTCGATGTGGAGGTGCAACAGCTCTACTGCAAGGCTGCGCCCTTTGCCCAGACGGAATAAAAAAGAAGAAAGCGGGAGTCTTGCTAGAAGCAGCGATAAGGATAACGAAGTTGAAGAACACGGAAGGAGGGCGAAACGCTGGCGCAATGATGAAGGGGTTGCACATAAAGCCGCAGCGACATTTCTCGACTCCGATCCGCAGGCATAGATATGAGTAAGTAAGTACGAAGGATCCTCGTCTTCCATCGACATTAGTGGTAACACAACTAATATCATAATGTACCGTAGTCCACTTGATCTTGCTCCAACATGTGATGCAGTAATATGCGAACTTCCACCTTCGATCCCCAATTTCAATTTTTGTCGCGCTCTTATAAAATAGAATTTTCAAGAAAAACAAAAAGCATGAATGTGGAGCCCAGCGCGAAGGAATGGAATATGATAGATACATTAGAACTAAGTGGTCATAAAATTTACTACAGTTTTTACGTCACCGTTTGTACCATACTGGACTTGCTATCTTCGTCTTTATTGAAAATGCACAAGCACCAGGAACGACGTTTGAAAATGTTGACACAGAAGATGTATTGCAGAGCTTCCTCACCTTGCTGCAAGTGTGATAACAAAAACGATGCTGAATTTTTACGTGATCTGTGTCTTTTAGGAGTACTGCGGCTCTTGCAGTGATATGCTGCAGAGAAAGCGGCACGCGGAATGCCGAGCTGCTTCTGCGACAGGCGTAATCGCATGATTGTCGGTAAGAATCGGCATCCTTGTTTAGCTATCGGTTCCACGGAAGTGTCTGTAAAAATGCCTTCGCGGATGCTAGATAATAAGATGGCCCTCTCCTTCAGAACCCCAGTCCGTCCCAAGTCTCAGATACCCATAATTTTCCATTGTTTTAATATTCAAAATTGTTGGGTCATCGTTTTCTTGTCGGTATGATATTTATATGATACAGGGACGCACGGCCCCACCCCTGTAGTGGCGCTTGCGCGCCCTGCGCTGCTTTCCGCGGATTCTCCGCGTGGAAGGCGTCAAAACTGGGAGCGGGCGGCCCCTTGCGCCTCTCTGCAGGTCCCCGACGGACGTCCCGGCCCCTGCCGACCCTCGCAGGCTGGAGGCTTTCGGGGTAGAAGGCGGCCACGGTCTCGAGGCCTGGCCCCTTCTGCTGGCTTGCCGGCCCATATCAAACGCGCGGCAAGAGCCGGCAGGCCGATGACCAAGGGCCCGGAGGGTACAGGCCACACGGCTTCGGGGGTCCAGCCTTGCGCCTTTTGCCGCCTTCGGAGGCCTTCCACACCCGGCAAACTGCTGCGGCGGCGAGGGGCCAGCAAATAGGAAGCCAGTCGGGTACATGCAGGTAGCTGGAAGGGATGGGAGGCGGCCCCTTGGGCCCCTTTTGAAGCCTTCCACCCTCCCGAAGGGGTCCGGGGATCCACGCCCCCCCACGCTAGGGGGGGGCGCTACCCTGCACCCTGGAACATATATAACGGGAAGAGCTGCAAGACCAATGGTTACAAAGAGAAAAGATGTAGACTTGCCTCGTTCTAAGTAGACACTGGGTACCACTACCTAGCCTGCTGGCATAGTTGCTCCATAACTCCGTCAAAATGTCATTGATGGAACCGACCTATGCCATGCTGGCAAATGCCAACGGTCTGACCACGTTTGGAGGGACTATGGGCCAAGGTACGCAAGGCTTGGTGAATAGTGCGAATTTCGAAGAAATGCTGACCGCACAGAAACAGGCTGCTGCAGCGCTAGGGCGCGCGATGACCGCAGCCAAAATCGCTGAGCGTAGCGGCAACCTTGCTGTCAACATTGCAAACCGAGCGGTGCAAAGCGCGAGATCACTGGTAAGGAGTTGACGTAGTCCTTCTATCGACACGACGAATGATTAGGAGTAGGAAGTCCACTCAATGTACGATAGTTGAAGCAGGATCATGTGTTTCACATCGCGATTGTGATTGACGAGTAGATAAATCATGAAAACCAACATCACCGTTCTGTGTCACCTCGATCAGGCCACGCTCCCGGAACAGGGTGTAAAGGACGCGTTCGGAGCCAGCGAGCCACCGATTATGGAGGTTGGTCCATCACCATTTCTCAAGCCTGCGTCTCTAGACCTCTCTCTGCTGGCAATAGTGGATTATAGTTTGCGAAGAATGCTTATGCTCGACAGCAAACAACAACACCAGCCCAGCACTTTTCGTCACCGAGCAAGGCAAAAGCATTTGCTAGAGAGATCGAAGCTGTGGAGTGTGGAAGAGGACAACGCATTCTTGTAATTCAAATTTCTGTCGATGGTCGATTTTCATAGACCACCAATTTTTTGGTTCTACTTCTAGGGTTGTACACACGACATCTTGATCATTGATTTGGGCTAAACTGAGTACTTTCTTTCTCCGCAGCTTTTCTACCGTGCTGATTCCTGCTGCTCGAGCTTACTAGATGACCCATGAAACCACTGAAAGATATGTGTTTTAAATGACTTATTCTTTATGTATAAAAAGACCCAGAAGTTTGCGAATTGTTGGCCCCTCTTCAAAAATTTCAAGCTGTATCTATTACTTTATCGAAGTTTGAAGCAACTTTGTGGGTGGTATCGGTGATCCCACGGTGCTTCTCATCAGGCATAGCTTTGGGTTCAAGAGAAGCCATAGACAACTCTGAGGCAAAAGGGGACTTTGTCTGCCATATGATAGCGTCCATCCCTGTCAGAAACGTTGTCGAGCGAGATTGATCTGCCGAGCGTGACGTACTTGGAAGATTGCAGTAAAAAGATGTGGACCATGAGTGACGATTGCCGAAGAAATGTCAGCAACGAAGAAACAAGTAGAAGATACAGAAGAAAATGTAGACGAAAAAACTGAATTTTCTTTTGCAGAAGAGTCAGCGAAGTTTCCCCACTACTGACACGACCAAAGCTAAAAGTGACGAAACTCAAAGAATGGATTCTAAGCCGCAACTGAGCGCAGCGAGCACAGTAACCACGTCCGACTTTAGTACGTTGAAAATTTTCATGGTCTTAAGCCAGTTCTCATTCTCTCTATTCAATTGATGGAAGTCAGAAAGTAAAACAAGTACAAACATCAACATGCATCGTGAGAACAGACGGAATATTTTTTTTACTTTTCTCGGAGCCGAAAACGCGTTCACACGCTACTCAGACGGAAACTTCTGAAACGGCGATAATTCGGGAGGAACGAATAAGAAAGCCCCCTCTAGGAACTTCTGAGGCAGCGCCTGAGACCGAAGTCAAAACCAAGACTCGCCCAAGATGGACGGCGATTACTGGTCAGAAACGCAGCAGCTTATTGGCTCGCTGATCACCAAGCCGAAAATGAGCGAAAAATACCTGAGAAAGCCGCCATTTCGTTTTCTCCACGATATCGTACCTAGGAATTCTTGTAGTAGTTGTAGCTAATTTTGCTCCACTACCACTTTTCTCTGGTGAGGACCGACTTCTACAAGGAAATCAATGGAAGTGCAACCATTGATTGTGGTAGTGATGCAAGGGCGCGAGGGTGAGGAAGAAGCTTCCTGATCTTTGATTGAATTTAAGGTAAGCGTCTGCGTCACGATAAATAAATGTAAATCTTCAACGACGAGGTAATGGAAGTGGTTCGGGTATCTGGTTTTGCAGCCAATCTTTTCACGGACGCTGAGCAAGACGCGGCGTCGATGTCTGACAAGAATTCAAAAATTGATTTCTTATCGAAAATCATTTCCGCAACCTACTACGCGATTGGCATGGTATCTATGTTCTAGAAGATGATTGAACATGAAGAAGATATACCTCGCCTTCATCTTTATCATTAGGGTACCACTTGTTCGAGTCGAGAACAAGTTTTAGACCCGTTCAGCAACGTGAACGAGCAGACATCTGGAGGAGTTGGCTTTTGTCCTCGGCATGGTTGAAGAAGCAGGACACCATACAACTAGACTAAAGAAGACAATTCTTTCAAACACTCGCTTATCTTACCATAGGACGGTTGTGAAGTGCTTCCGAACAAGATCGTAGCAGGTCTCGAATGCGATAAGACTAATGCCTGGCTTTGCGACCTTTATGCAGCAGCGACCAGCCACAAAGGAAACTCGGCCATGGCAGTCCAGAGGGTTTTGAGCATATTTTTTTGGAAAATATCTGAGTATGAAATTAATTGAAACTACTTCTAATTTATGTTTTAGGGCTGCACGGTGCCCCCCCCTGTGGTATGGTCTGTGGTGGCGCTCGCGCGCTCTTTTCCGCGTGGATTTTCGCGGATTCTAGTGGTGGAAGGCATCAAAAGTGGGCGCGGGCGTCCCCTTGCGCCTCTCTGCATGTTCCTCAGGAACCTCCTGCCCTCTACTGACCTACGCAGGCTGGAGGTCTCCGGGGTAGAAAGCCGCCGAAGGCGGCCACGGTCTCAAGAGCAAGCAGTCCGATGACCAAGGGCCCGGAGGGCACAGGCCGCACGGCTCAGGGGGTCCAGCCCCTCGCCTTTTGCCGCCTTGCCTCCACAGCCGACGCACTGCTGTGGCGGCGAAGCATATCGGAGGCATGTAGGGCGCAGGCAGGCAGCTGGAAGGGAGCGGAGGCGGCCCCTTCGGCCCCTTTCGAAGCCTTCCTCCTACATCGTAGGCCTGTAGGGTCCAGCCAGGTAGCTGGAAGGGGGCGGAGAAGGCCCCGCCCTTTTGAGGCCTTCCACCCCCGGCAGGCGCCTTCAAAAGGGGCCCGGGGGCATGGTGCGCCCCCCCCCCTGCGCTAGGGGAGGCACTGTCGCTTTGCGCCCTAGATCATGTATTATACGAACCTAGATACCACCTTTGTGAGTGGGCGAGGTCTCAACAACTTGATGATTTGAATTGATGACACAAGATCTTCGCAGTTTTCTTAAAAGTTCATCCTTCCCTACTTTGTTCGATAAGGTGCTTTCCGGAGAGACGACGATTTCCAAACCAGTGAAAAAATCAGCGCCAGCACCGGCACCACCACCAGCACCAGCCTCGCCGCCAAAGCAAGAAAAGAAGTCACCAGCGGCTAAATCGCCGAGTACGGAGCAAAAGAGACAACAGGAGGCTGAAATGAGGCGACGCGAGGAGCAGGAAGCTGCCCTTCGCAGACAGCAAGAGGAGCAACAGCGCCAGCAACAGCAAATGGTATTGCGATGGGTTTTTGTTTGTTTGTTTTTTCTCGACAACGAGACAGTAGTTTCAATAGCCGTATAGAATCCAAATAGACTATAGCTTCTTTCAAAGCTCTATCACTGCCACACCAACAACAGCAAGCGGAGCAGGAGAGACTACAGCAACTAGAGCAGGCAAAGGTCTTGGACAATTCTGCGAGTGCGAAAAAGGAAGAGCCACCAGCAGCAGAGGTCGTCCAGCCAGCGGCACCGCAGGGTCAGAGAGAACGACCACGCACAGCCGGGAGAAAACCACCAAAGGTAACCGATAGAGCACTGATCTTTTCTTACGGTTTTGCTCTGATGTGTCATTTCCACAACAACTGCAAGCGCAAGGAGAAGAAGAAGCCAGTGCTGTTTTCTTTACAACTCCACTCTCACTACAACCATTTTTATTTTTTCTTACTCACCTGTGCCTGTAGGTAACCGCCAAGAAGGCTGAGGAAATAGCAGCCGCTGCTTTGCCAGCAGCAGTGAATATTATTGCCGATGATGAGCAGGATGAGGAAGAAGAAGCTCCAGCGGCAGCTGCCCCTACTTCGGGTGTTACCGGAAACTACAATATCCGGGACGAAGCAGGGCACGGAATGCTGGTAAGAATTACCTTTCCGTTTGGCTCGCATTTTCAAATAACTTTGATCGAGTCCTGTTTTGCGGTGGTCTTCGCTCCTATTTCCTTGGAATAGAACTACACATCACAACCAAGTGCACGTGAAGGCAACAAATATCGACTACGAACTATAGGTCCGTGACATTCTCGTTGAGAAGAAGGCGCTAGAGGAAAAACAGGCCGTAGAGCAGCAGGAGCAGGTACAGGAGGGCGAGTCACAAGGTATTGTGATGGGGAAACTGCGACGAGGGAAGAAGACGCGCTCAACGACATCTACGGGCGAAGAGTCACGAGAGCGTAGAGGTAGCACCGATATGACATCTGGCGGGGCGGGTGGAGCTGCCTCCAGGGCGCCGCCAGCGTCCGATGTGCAAAAACTACAAGAGACGATACAACTTCTGTGCCAAGCTGCTAACCCATTGACAAAATCGATGGACCTCGTTCATGCCGACATCTCCAGCATGGCAAAAGAACTCGATTACTGGAAACAAGAGTACATATTAAATCTATTTGCTGATGTCGAATCATCAAAACCACTTGAAGATTTGCTGATGATGTCGAAAAAAACTAGTGCAAATTCTAAGATCAAAAATTAGCGTCTCAAAAACAATGACAGGTATAGAAACGCGCTAGAGCAGTGTCGCACCGAGTTGAAGACGACGGAAGAAGTGCTCAGCAAGAGTTATCAATCTGTCGCTGAAGCAGAGGAGCGCATTCAAGAGGAAACATCGAAGATTCATAGTTCTAGGGCTCGAGTTCTCAAAAACGACAAAGTCATCCAACATCTTTTGAACTCAGTCGTGTCCTCTCATGGGTGAGAGGACATAGATGGTTACAAGTCAGTCTCAGTACAATTTGTGTCGGGAGTATGGCATCGACGTACTTGAACAACAAGTACAGGAACTTCATCGTTTCTATGCCATTTCTAAGTAAACCAACGTGATCTTACCGAACTGTTTGTTCCACTTATACAATAACAATAGATCTCTTTCTTATACGAGCTACTTTCTCTTTCAGTCATCATGGGCAGAACACGCAAAGACACCGACGCGTCTGGGTTGCTTATCCATGACTTGGCACTTTGTCGCAGTCGCGACGGCCGGGTAATGAAGCTCCGTACAAGCAGCAATTCAACAGATCTAGGGAAGTCGAAGTACCGGCTGCAGTATCGCTATGTGCGGATGCTGTTTCAAAACAAGCCAAAAAAGAGCAAAGCCAAAGGAACGACGCTCCTTTCAAAATCGCTTCAAATGTGAATATAGGCAAATCAAGTCTGGCCGACGCATCATTCAAACCAACTGCAGTATACATAGGAAAACCCCCATAAAGGTGCTCTTTGGGTACAGGTCAAATTTTTAGGTTGATCTTTTACAGATTCTTGTCCGCATGGCCTCCGCAGCGACTCTGAGCCCGAACGCGGCGGCCGGGGTGCTGCCCGTGCCTGCGCCAGCAGTTTCACCCGGAATAGTTTCGAGTGGAGGCGTGCAGCCTAGCATCGTGTCTACTGCAGCTACTACGGCAGTGACATGGAAAAACTCTATTCATACTGGCTGCCTCGATGCAAAAGACCTGCTCGTAAGCCTTTTCGGCTACATCCTTGTCCCAAAGTTTCTTATAATCGAAAATTTCAGACTGGGAATCCTTTGCCGCTTTCTCCAGTTCTGCGCAGTTTCGCTGGTCGTCACGTACTACATTTTTCTTCTTTCAAGCACTGCCAAAACTACTGTTCTACAATAGTACGACTTTAGTAATAGTCGAAGACCTAGCACATAAAGTAGCGCAAAAACTACATCCGAAAGGCCCTCGTCATACCCACATTCAACGTCGCATCCACAGACAAATTCTCGTCCAGAAGCAGTGGATTTACTATTCGACGCCTAGTGGTGAGTTGTATTATCTCGACGGGGCGTTTGCACATGCAGGCGCGAACAGGCACGACGCAGGCGCTGAGTATTGCGCCAATATCGCGAAGTATGACTTTTCTGATGGAGCGATGGCGGTGAAACCCACAAAATGTCTGGACTTGCCAAACACGCGAAGATCATACCCCGAAGGTCAGACAATATTCGTGCCGACCTACGTAGTCGAAAAGCAGCAAGTACTCAACGGCTGTTTATTTGTTGTCCTTCGTGCGAACGCAGAGAGTAAAAACTTCTAGGTTTCCTCGTTGAGTGCAGTGTGGCTGTGGGCTGCTTGAAGGTGCCGGAATTCGAACTTTGACTTATTCATTGGTTACGTACAAGTACTTACATAGAATTGCAACATTAAAATCCCCATCAGAGCTTCGACACCGCGGGCTGCACCGCACTGGCTTCATCATGCACAAACCCGGGAGACGTTTTCTCGCCAATAGGGACGCATACGGAGGCGTCTTCTGGAGAGTGCGTTTGCGAGAATACGCACGAATACTTCGTCAGCAAACCTGAAGATACTCAAGTCGACTTTCACTTTCGATTTGAAGCGGCACAGGAAGACAGCGGCAAGCGAAAAGAGCGCGGAAGCACTGATACCAGAATCAACAAACCGGTACTGATTTTTGTGATGAGGACAAGAAAAGATTGAGAAATGTTCATTCTTGTGTGTGACACCGTAACAATCTTCGATACAACCAGAGTGATTCTCCTGTTGAATAACAAAACATATATTCACATGCAGTATTCCGTGGATATGACGGAGGAGCCTTACGTAGTCGAGAATCTAGACCACGAAATCATCACAACCTTGCGACGAAAAGGAACGAAGGATGCAACCGTAGGAGGCTTGCGGTTTGTCTTATGAGCGTAGATGTGGATTTAGTCTCACTGTCTTTTCAATCGTTTGCTAGTAGAACTCGTTTCCCTGCACTTCTATGCAGGCTTCAGCGTACTAATCGTTAATAACTCGGTAATTTCCCGCGATCAATCTGTCCCACTTCATGCAACTCAACCGCCGGCCAGCCAGTGAGCATTCCGGTGTCTGCCTTCTTGCAAGCAGCTAACATTGGAGGACTAGAACAAAGTAGCGTGTTCGCAAACCACAAGCACGCCAATGACAATACGCTGCTCGCTGCGGCGCCACTGCGGTCCACCGGTGTGGACATTGCCATCTCTATCAACTGCGCTCGGAAGGACTTGGGTGTAACAGAAGAGCAAGACCTTAACGTCTACTGCGATATCAACGCCGACGCTGAGCCAGCATGGACGACGCGCACTGACGCAGTGAGCGACGACTTCAACTCCCGTACAGGCAGCGGCGTACTCAAGACCAAGAAGCAACACGGTGTCCGCCTTAGCTTCCGAATGACTGGTCGCTTCGGTTACTTTTCAACCAGCATTTTCTTATGGCCAAAGGTAAGTTTCTCTTTTTCAACAGCAAAGGCGGATATGAGTACAACGATCTTTGGTCTTTAATAATTAGTTCATTAATATAAAGAAATGTGAGTCTGCAACTTCAAGTGGAAAGTAGCTGAAGCTGTCTTTTTCGGTCACCTTCTAATCTTCATCGGATCGCTCACAAGCGCAATCGTGCTGCTAGAACTCCCTGGTAAGGCAGTGATGCTCCTGGCCCTCTTCTGCCTCGGGCTGCTTTCTCGAGTCTACTACTCGTGCCAATCGCAGAGACTGAACCTCAGGCACCAAGTTCACGGCTTCGCGGCACGAATGATCAACGCGAAAAAGGTACTTACAATAAATTCTAGGGGTTCTTTATCTTCATCTTGTATACGTAAAGTACAAAATGCTTCAAAGGAACAGGTCTGTCGTGAACATTTCAATTTTATCTTCATCGCTTGCGTCCGCAAACTCCTTCTGTATCCGATGACCTCCTGTTTCCTCGATTTATAACAGAGCTACGAGCAGATTTTAGGCGAGCACAAGTTATCGTCGTCTCTGGATCGCGCGACGCTCGGACGCGAAATGAAGCAGGCCTTTCACCATCTATGCGAGGAATTTGATGAGGAAGGCAATCCCATTCCGGATGACAACAAGCCTTTACAAGCCGCAGAAGTCGAAAAGATGTGCGATTTAGTCTATCACGGCTTAGACGAGGATCAGGAGGGCGGCATCTCACTCGACGAATACGTAGATGCGAGTACGAGTAATGAAGTGCTGCGCGTAGGCCAGATCTGCCAGTTCTTCGACGACGAGCGGCCGAAAACGTGCTTGGAGCGAGTCTTCGACGATTCGAAGTGGCAATTGGACGAGGATAATTAAGGCTAGAGATAAAGATAATTCATCTTTGAGGGCATTCCTGAAGCGTATAACTGAATATTCTCATGGTGATACAGTTCTTCAAGGATGCAGATCAAAAATGAATATCGGACAGCCCTAAAAGAAGCCACGAAAACGGGCGGGCTCGAAAGATCCATCCGCTACACCAAGACAGGCACCGGGCTCGGCGGCGGATATTTTCATGAATCTGTAGTTAGTGCAACCACCTACAGATTCATCTAGATGATGTACTAGAACTTCAACAAACCTTTTTTTAAACAGAAGTTTTCATCTACCGAAATTTCAAACTTTATTCCTCTCCCATGTAAGTAAGTACTTCTACTTTCCAGCAGCATTGCTATCACCCGTAGTCGCACGCAAGTGATTTCGGTGCTAACAACAACATAAATTTACCGCTTAGATTCTCAAACAAACGGACTTCCTTGTAGAAAAATGAGCTGATACATCGCAAAAAGATTGTAACATCATATTCAACAGAAGTATTTTGCAGCACATCTTCATCTACCACAGCACCTTCAATATAAGAAGACGAAGTATAGGCAATCGCGCATCTAACGCGTTCTCAGAAAAGGACAGTAGCTATAATAGTTCATTCCGTATTCTGCTCGAACTTGTCGATTATAGACAAGTTGTTGTAGGAAACATCATTGTCCAACTCTTGATTAATAGAAGACGTGCCTCGTCTGAGCTGCTTGTTGCCAGTTCTAGTACGGGTTTCGTCACGTTGGATAGAAGACGGGTACGATTTTGCACAGATCTTGCACGAGAAATAAGCATTGTGCGAAATTTAGCGACACGACATGCGAGCCTGTGAACAGTCACACACAGTTGCAAAAACAAAAAGACTCGATATTTCTCTAAACAAAAGGAACTCGCAGAGCCTAAAACTTCAACTTGAGAGAGAAAATAACACAGACCAACGGGCGTCCGAAGAGGCACTCACACGAGTGCGAGCAAAAGCTACAAGCTGCATTTATATTTTTTCTTTCTGTTTCCTAAGATCACCATAAGCATAACGGTTGATTTTTCATGCTGTTGAATGCTATGATTCCTATTACAGTTACGCTTCCTATGTCATGACTACCACGATAACCAGCTTTTCGGCTTCGACGACCATGGTGTCATTCTCATATATTGCAGTCAGCAGGAGAACCCGTGTCAGAGAAATTCTTGTTGTCTTTTCTTTTGTTGAAAACTAGTCATAATATGTTGAGAGACATCGCCGAGATGTCCGCGATGTTCTTGTAGGTTTAGAATTTCGCATCTCTCCGAGAAGATAACGAGATCTAAAAAACGTTCCAATGGTTCCTTTATTCCTTTAAACAATCGAAAAAAGACAGATCATCTACAGATCCAAACCTCTATCGGCCAGAAAATCAGATCAGATACGACATCGACGTCGACGAAGACCCTGAAATTGCAGACTTCGAATGACATTAGTTAATGAAAACTTGATCGTGCGAAGGAGTTCTCACAAATAGGAAGTTCTGAAATTTGTACTCGTAAGATCTGTGGGTAAGGAACCTTTTTGAAGTGCGTGTCTTTTGACTTACTTGCATTATCTTGGCTGGTGTAGGTTTGGCGATAATATTAACAAGGAAAGATAAAAATGTAGGTTAAGATGATGCACTACAAGAGAGGAGAAAGAGGTACTTAGCTTCGCGACAGTCATCGAGTTTCGAAGAGCGTTCGAGGGAGCATGTTGTTCTTGCACATGTACTCTTATCTCGCAGCGCTACGAATGATGTAAATCTTCAATGTTGAGATTATATTAGGTAGATCACCCCAACTAGCTAAAAAGCCTAGGTCAGTGGTCGATTACGATGACACAGTCCCATGTCTCACACAAATTCCCTGGTCTCTCCAATCACTCAGTTCAGAAAAAAAAGTGTTGACACCCATTTTCGTTTTCCTAAATAAATTCGAATTACTTCTAGTGCTTGATTGAAATTGAATCTGAATCAAAAGCCACTTTCTTAGGGTTAAAAACTCAAAGATTCTCGCTGTCCCCTTTTTAACCCAGATTCGAATAAAATAAAAAAAGTGATTTTTTTATTTTATCCCTTTTCGTCTCTGTATTTGAAGCAACAACAACGATATTCACGGTGTCTTCTAAGAAGTAACGGATTTCAATAAGAATAAGATAACTGATTACTTCATCGTAATTTCTATTTCATTCAGGAATCACTATCTACCTATCGACCTATTTTTTTTATATTCATTTTATTTTCATTTGTAGTTTTTACCTAACAAGCACCAGTAAGATGACATACTTGCAGCCCCGGGATTACCAAATCGAGGCGGCCAACGCCGCTTTGCAGGAGAACATCATAGTCAATTTGCCCACAGGCGCAGGAAAGACGCTCATTGCTGCGATGGTGCACGAGCAAATGCGGTCGCGTATGACGCTAGTAGTCTGTGCTTCAGTTGCCGTGATCGAACAGCACACACAGTTTTTTCATAGCCGAGGGATCCGCAATATACTTATCGATACTGCGGCCGGGTTAAAGGTAAGCAAAAACTGTTTTCTTCATGTTGTTTCTCAACATCAATGAATTTCTTCATCTGGCTTTATCTGTTTCTTCATGCTGTAATTACTACTCCGACGTTTTCGTGGATCCTTTTCGTTTTTATCACATACAACAACATGAACATCACCATCACGACCTTAACCCCATAATATATGATCAGGCTCGAATTTTCGACTATGGTGGTGTAGGTGACGACTGGGATGAAGCAGGCACAGATGTGAATTCTCGTATGCTTGAGGAGAGACGGAACAGTATCAAGCACAAAGTTCAAGAAGTACAGCTTATCGTCTTTGACGAATGCCACCACGCCATTGGACATCATCCCTACGTGAAACTCGCAGAACTATTTTTTCAGTATTTCAACTACTTCGTTTTTGTTTTGATGTATTCCTTCGTGAATTAGATAATATTTTTCTACGAGTACCTATTCCTCCACTTAGTAATTGCTGTGGTATAATATTAGACAAGACTAAGCCATTTATAAAGTTTTATATTGACCAGAGACTCGTTCTCGTCCCGCTAGAAGTGGATGAGGCAAAATGAAAAGGAGTTTTCTTCAGTCTCGGTCTTCTTGGCTATCTTACTCAATATTACGTTTCTCTCAGATATAAGCCTCCTGGTAATGCCGAAAACACCTTGCGCGTCCTAGGCTTGACAGCGTCGTTTATCCACGGTCAATTCGAGAACATCGCCAAAAAGCGACAGCGTCTGGAGGATAACCTACGGTCTAGACTGTGGGTGCCAAAAAAATTCCAAGTGTCGAAGTCGGACAAACATTTCTACAAAGTCGAGTATAAGGAACCGAAGAACCTCGTGATTTCGAAGCGCGACATCGAAGCCAGGAGCCTCGAACTGATGCGTGGTGCGCTTAGACAATTACCTTACGGCATGGCCAACATCGTGACGAAAGAGGTGAGCAAGTCAGCCTATTTGTGCTACTACATATTGGGTGAGATGGGATGGTCCTTTTTTCTCCGCGACGGTTTGGTTCCCTACTTAGAAGCCAAACTGCGACAAAAAGCGGAATTCGTGGTACGGGACGCGGTGTCCCAACGCGAGGTGGACAAGCAGTACGCCCTAGAGCATGCTGCTGCTCGCGAAAAGGATGAAGAAGAATGGGATGACGACGAGTATGACATGGATGCAAAAGAGGACGTTGGCAAAGCAAAGCTAGATACCATCGTGGAGGCAATGGCAAAGGAGAAGAAATCAGGTTCATCCTCTGGAAGTGACGCTGAAATGAAGAGTGCTATCAGTGGTGACGACGTGGGGAATGCTGATGACGTACAAGATCAAGATGATGCGGCCAACCCTCAAGAAGATGCTGACAAGCAGGTGGACAAGGAGGACGAGGAGTCATCTCCCAAGAAGCCGTACGATGCCTTCAACAAAAAAGTAAAAGAAGCAAATGGTGCAGCGACTTACGCAGCCTTCAATAAGACAGAGAAAGATGCTGCAGCTGCGAGTACTAGGAAGGGTGCGGGATCAACTAGGAACGCCGATCCCTCCTCATGGTGGGAGACAGACAGCAATGCGACGTGGGCAACGTCGCAGACAAGTTTACCAACAACGAGCGAATTGGAAGCTCAGCGAGCGGAGTATCTAGTACCGCTACAGAGGCACTTGCAAGCCTACATACCACTCATTCCTGACATCTCACCGAAAGTGGAGAGTCTCATCGAGATTCTACACTCCTGCACGAGCATGACGCGAGCGCCACAGCCAGATCCCGTCTTTGGCCAGGCACTTGGCCAGGTACTTTTTTTCATGACTTTTTATGTTTCATTTGAATAAAAAACTTACTTGAGCAAATAAAGAACTTCAACTACTGCTCATTTTTTTTTGGACGTGAATTTGTCACCACGTCTTCACATTTTTTATGCTGATTCATGTATTTGAACACTTCATATTACACCAGGGTGGCATCATCGAGGAGATCGACCAAACTTTGGTCTTCGTCGAACGTGCAGTGCTCTGCATTCCTCTAGCGCAGATAATCCAAGCAAAAACCGGAAGACCAACACGGCCAGTGATGGGTGTCCAATCGATGAGCGCCGAAAGCCGTACAGCAACGCTGCAAGCCTTCAAAGCAGGTCGGGTCCGCATCATTGTGGCAACCAGCTCCCTGGAAGAAGGTAACGACAAACAAACTTAAGCACAAATGCTTGATATTTTTGTTTGCAGATGACAGCTGAAATTTGACACAAAATGAATATTTCCTTGCTTGCATCAACTTGAGACTGAACAAGTGGACTTTGTCTTTGTACCTACCTTTTCTACTTCAAGGCATTTTGCAAGCAGATCTATTCCATAAACTTGCGCGACCAGGTATCGACGTGGCGGACTGCAAAGTTGTTGTTCGTTTTGACTACTTTTCGTCAGTCCGATCGCACATTCAAGGAAGTGGGCGGGCCCGTCACCCCGATGCGAAGATTTTCTATTTCGAACAAGAGCCTGAAATCGAGGAGCACAAGGCGACGCTGATGACACTCGCAGCTGCCCACAAGGACATCGAGATGCCGAATGTCCCAGCGCAGATGCGGCAAATAATTCCAGGCATAGACGATGCCAACGACGGCACGCATAGCAAGATGCAAGACCCGCCACACCTGAGGGTCCGAGAATATCCGACGCTGGCTTTGTGCGGTGTGGGGCACAGCTTTGATAAGGTAGTGCTTTTTGTTTGTTCTTTCAGTGTCCAGTTCATGATCATGACCATCGTCTAAGTATTAAGTAATTTATACATGGACCAGAACTGGCAGGGCACCGGTACCAGAAGGTGCGGGAATATAAGGAACCCGACAAAAGAGGTAGGGAACCCGACAAAAAAGGGAGAAACAGGGGCAGGCCAAAAGGTATAAGCCTACAAAAATAAGAGCCAAAAAGGCGGAAGAATTGCCAGAAAAGGCAGAACCTGAAGCCGCGCAGGAGAGGACAGGAAAGCCCAGAAGACAGCCGCAGAAGCGAACACACCAACGAGCAGCCAGCAACCAACGAGAGAAAGAGAGAAGCGCAAAGAACCACGCCAAGCGACCCGAGGGCGCCCTTGGTGGCTGAGCAATGACAATCCCACACGACACACCCAAAACCAACCCCAGCACCTCCAAGCGGGACCAGGCGAGAACTGACGGGGGCGAACGGTGTTGGCGACAGCGCGCGCGCGCGCAGAGCGTTGTCGCGCGCGCGCGCGCAGAGCGTTGGGGTGCCACACACGCGACACAAAAAACCGCCGCACACCACACCCGCGGGGGGATCGAAAAAGGAGGAAGCGCGCCGCTGAGATCCTGCTGCCTCGCAGTTTCTCGCGCGCCTACCTCTGGCGGGTGCGGGGTGCTGCGGCAAGAGCGGGAGAACAGAGAGAAACGAAAACGCGCCAAGCTGGGGGGACCGGCCGCAGCTTGGTGGCAATCTTGCCAGGACACTGCGCGGCCAAGCGCGCGCGGCTCCCCACCGGGTCCGGGCGCGCATAACACAGGCCACCGGGGCGCTGCACTGGCAGTGGAGTCGGGGGAGCAGCTTACAAGAAGGGCCAAGGCCAAGCCCCCCTACTTTCCGGATCTTTTCTGATACCGCAGCCCCAATCTTTCCCGGGACCATGTTGGCCCCAGTATTTCCAGGGATCACCCAACCAGAATAAGAAGGGACCCTCTCCGCTGAAAAACAAAGTAGGCTTGGGATTTTTGCGGCCCCGGTCCGCTTAAAGGGGGAAGAACATCGGGACCCTTATAATACAGGGGGCCCAGTTTTTCCGGTCCATACATAAATACTATCAAAACCAGCAAGCCTCAACCTTCTTCGTGCTGTCTCATCAAGAAGAACGACCCCTAGTCGTTGACTGTGATTTTCTTCTACACTCATCTCTCTTTTCAGGAAACAACGCAATGGGACCATGTTGCGAACAAATCACAAAGAGTCATGACGTGCTCGAAGTGCAAGCGTGCGACAGTGGTGATCAAAAGCCGCATCTTTGGACAGGGACGGAAGAAAAAAGAGAGATACTACTGCTTCGGTGGCCGAGACAACGACTGGGTTTGCAATTTCGCTACTAAAGAAGACAAGGAAAAAGCGAAAAACATGTCAGTTGCGGAGATCATCGCAGCGGGCGTGGAGTCTGGTCAGATGGCTGCAATGGCGGAAGCCGCAAAGAAACAGCAGAAGCCTGCAGACCCAGCTGACGAAGCGGCAGCACCTGGCGACGCAGCAACTTGCGCTGGTGAATCAGCTTCATCTTCCTGCGGCCCAGGTGCTATTGCCGAAAACGATGCAGTAAGGGCACCGGAAGCCGCTGGATCATCAGCAGCTGCGCCCAGTAGCAGCACGTGGGCGAGTGCGAAACAAGACGGACCGGAGGGCCAGGCCGGTGTTTCTCCATCAAAAAAGAAGGATCAGGCGAAATCTGAATCAAGTGGAGCGACCGCAAAGGATGAACTACAAGATTCTGCGCCCTTACCAATGAAAGCGCATGTATCTTCAGCAAAAGACGCGGCAGACCGACGGGTGTACAACTATCTTGAGGGTCCGCCAGAAGTGCCTATCGTGTCCCTGAAAAAGGAGAAAGAGGATGCAGCTGAGCAGGAACAGAAACTAATCGTATCTTCAAGTATCAGTGCGTCGCGCAGCTCAGGAGGATCCACCAGCGCGGGCGTAGCTGCAGCGCGCGCAGTGTACGGATCTGGAGCGGGCGCCGGTCCGGGATCAGCACTCTTTCCAACTTCCTCTTTGCCAGCGCACTACAGCGAGTACGCTCCGGGGTTGCCAGACCATTTCGAGCAGCCGCCACCGCTGCCCGCGACTCTCGCGCCAGGGCTGCCACATTCGGCCTTGAGGCGTGCGCAGTCGGCCACGGTCTCAGTAGGCGCTTCGTCGAGGTTCGACCCGCGCAGTAGGGCAATCAGCGAAGACATCACACCCGCGTCTTCAAGCGCAGTTCGCTTGCCTCCAGGTTTAGAAGACGCCGACGCAGCAGACGAGCTCAACGCGTCCATGGTCTCCTCCAACCCCAACAATACCAGCGTGACTGGCGAACCAGGTGGTGATGAAACGACGCCAGCATCGGGCGCAAGTCCACGCAAAAAGCCGCTCCCCGTCATTGAGAAACCTAACCCGAGCTTGCCACCAGTTCTTCCTCCAAATCCTGTTGCGGTCCCACTCCACCGCCAACCCCCAAGGCCAAAAGTTGCGCCGCCACGACAGCCGGACGCAGCGGACCGGGACGACGATAAAGATCTCGCTGACCTTGAGGAGTTCGCGCTCGAAGCACAAGCAGAACGGGAGGTCGTGCAGTAAGAGGAACAGAGTATTCCCATTCTGATCAACAAAATATCTTCTTCTGCTGTTCAAGGGGTTAGTGCTTCGGTTGATTGATATTCTGATAAACGGTTTGCAACTTATTTGGTTGTGATGTGCGTGCGGCAACAGAACTGAACATCGAGATTGATGGGGAGAGGACAATCAAGATCATGCTCTTACGCTTGTTGTGTAAAAAAGGATGGTCGTTCCAGCTGCTTGATCCAGTATTTGATAGCCGTGAATCTGCAGTATCTGCTTCTCGGCGCTTGTTGACGTTGAGGACGGCGTGTGCGTCTATCCTCTTGTTTACTGGTTGGCAAAGAAAAGGATTGAAATTGTGGTTTATACTGAGGGTCGGCAGGCAGGCGAGTGCAGTAGAAAGAATATGCACAGCTAATAACCACTGCCAATAGCAGAACTTGCTTTGCTCTCGAAGAAATTTGTTGTTTTTCCTTCATCCGAAATAACCGAGCTGATTGTACTTATTACAATGTACCCCTGGAGCCACTTCGTTCATACGACGTCCATTCGGTTTACTAGGTTTATAGTGTAGTGAAAAGACTGTAGGAGAAGATCGAAAAACGGGTGAAATCTGCCTCACAAGATGGTGGAAGGTAGATGATTGTACAACGCTATTGACTCGCTTTTAGATGAAAAGCTAGCATTGTTGGCCACTACTAAAGAAGCACAGGTGGAGGTGTTCTTCAAAAACAGTTGTGATCTGAGTGGATACATGTGATTGTGAATAAAGAAGACGAGATGAACGAAAGTGATGCATAACGAGTTGTCATGACCTGATATTCTGCATGTTAAGGAGTTGGTATCACAGTGACCGAAGATCTCCGTCTGTGTACTTTTTCTTTCTGTAGTGTTGTGAGGGCGCCTGGTGCGTTTTTGAGAGTATAGGTATACTTGATGAAAAGGTGACAATGTCAAATACTTGTAGTTTGCCTCGACTACAATATCAATATGTCATCCAAAGACGACGAGTTGAATGTCTTTCAATCTTTTGTTCCATATCTTATCATATCTTGACGATACCAGGTACACCACGCACATATTTTTTGTGATATGTATGTATCTTGTGTTGTGTCCTCCTTTCTTGTGTCCCGTACCTTTCTGCTTGTAACACAGCGATCATTTGCAACGTAAGTACTTAGTTGGAAAGCACCATTCGAGATCGAGACGCAGACGTGATCATGAGGCTTTTCGTGCATTTAATTCGTTTGATAGGAACCTAAACCTGAACCTACTGCTCTCACCTGCTCGCGAACAGTGTAATTCAAATCACTTGATGTATAGTGAATATTAGATATTTATTCCCCTAGTTTTTGCACATCTTGCTGTTCAGTTTTATGATCTCTAACTTCTAGCTCTACTGGAGGTACTACATGCTACATCATATTGACCGCCGTTGAACATTGTTATTTACTAGCCCAGCGAAAATGAATCTCACGATTTTCATTTGATGGTCGTGTTGCTACTCATATATAAAGAACATATGCTTTTCATCACTAGCAGGTGCAGGAAGCTGGATAAAAAATGACAATGTCGACTCCCGGTGCGGACAATGCTCGCGAAGACGGAACATCAGACGACACGAGGCAGGTCTTTCTGTCAGCTGACGCAGTGCTGAGCGTTGAGAAGTTCGCAATCGCCACAGAGATCTCTCCTTCGTCAACACGCGCTGAGGATTCAGATGGCAGTTCTTCTACGGTAGAAAGCACACCAGCAGCAGCAACTTTTTCCAACCACGACCTTCCCCCAATGACACAGACACTCGTCATGGAAGGTAGTGAGGAGGAGAACCAAGTGGAGAAACCTGTCGTACTAACTGCGAACAAACCGTTCTTTTTCAACGTCGACATGCCTTCAAGTCCAGAGTTACCTGACCGATCCGAGGTGGTGGAAGCGGCAGCGAGCGCCGACAGGAACAAAAACGGTTCGCCTTCACCGAGTGACACTGCAACAGCGGCTACGGCTCCTGCTGGACCAATTGTATCTCGTCCACGTGACACTGTGGATACAAAAAAAGCGTCAGGAGCTGCACAAGTCGCACCGACAGCACCCTCACGATTCTTACACTCAGTGCGGGAGTCAGGGGGTGCGATGGTGAATCGAGCTAGGATATTTCTGAAGGGGGACGCGGACGCTGGAGATCCAGGAGGAGGTGTTGGACGAGAAGCGGCCGCAAGTTCGCGGAGCCCTCCTCAGCCAACAGGTCTGCCACCATCGAGGTCTCCAGATGGAGCTGCGTCGATCAGGTCGGGGCACCTATCCTCGACGACGGCTCGATTATCGGCATGGGTGTCAAAGTTCATTCCTGAAGAACCACCATCGCCGATCGAAGATGTTGCTGAGAGTCCCACAGGGATTTTCGGTAAAATGAGAACAATGTCTTCTCGTCTAAACACCAGCAGTATGTCCATAAGCCCATCACGAATCCAAGGATACTCACCCCACTTACGCCCCGAAAGCCTCACCTCATCGTCTTTGTCGGCCCGACCACCCTTCGCTTCCTCAAATTTTCCCGGCACCTCGCCTCCTCTGAATTCTATAGCGACTTTCCCCGAATCCTCTACGTCGTCATCATCTTCAAGCAGCGCTTCGTCTCTTCCCTCATCGTCTAGCAGGCTTGGCGCGCAGTTACTGGAACAGGATCTGCTGAAGGATGGCCTATATCCCGCAGAAGCGTCAAACGGATCTTTCTTAGATCGCGTCCGAGGGACGTACCAAAACGTAGCCGAGTTATCCAGCGGTCTGCTGGGGTTGTCACCACTCACATCTAGTAGGAAAAAGAACAACAATGTCGAAAGCGATGCTTATTATGGTACTTCTTCGTCGTCCTCTGCTGCTTCTGCACGCTACGTTAACAACCGAGGAAGAAAAACGATCGCACACCGTACCAAATCGGAGTGGCTTACTGAGTTGCGAAGTCAGATCCCCAGGCCGCTAAACAAACAATTTGGCTACGTACCAGACTATGTCGCCTTCTGGTTTGTCGAGTTGGCATTCGAGCGCGGAAAGATAAGAATAGGGTAATTCTAATTCTAACTCTATTAATTTACTTGTTACTTGCTTATCTTATCGTGAACTGTATCTATTATATGAAGTACTACAAGTACGATTGATGATTGAAAACAAATATATAACCATTCGTTTCAGCGCATTCATCACGACATTCACTCTTCCAACAAAATCTGCAATCTTGTTCACAAAATTCATGTCAGGATTACATTGGTCATGTGTTCTTTTTGGTCAAATATTTTCCTGAATGCGAGTGCGATCACACTTATGTGCATCATGCTTGCCTACATCGGATTGGTGACATTATGGTGCGGCGTCGTGGCGTACGTAAACCTGCCAAAAGTGCGGGTAGCCTTGCAAAAGGCCTTCCATGAAGAACAGCTCTCGATTCTCGACCTGCTGGTGCGGCGTTTGCGCCGAGGCGATTTGCAGTTCCACGTCAAAAGACTGCTGATCCTGGTCAATCTGTCTCTCGACAGCGAGGAAGCCCACCAAGTGCTGGAGGGATGTCATCCAACCTTCATCCGGATTATGTCCATGACGCCAGCAAGATTCTTTAAGCACTTTTTCCGTCGTTTGCTTCGAGCAGCCGCGCCACCGGTTCGGATCAGTTCGATCGAGGAAAGAGAAGACGCAACAGGGGGTGGAGAAAGAGATTCATCTCCTTTCAGCATTCTCGACGAGGACGATGCAGACAGAATGTCGATAAACTCCAACGACGTGACTCGGGACCCGAAAATAGACGAGGAAGCAGATCATGAAGTACATATGACCGGGGTGCGGGTGCGGGTAGATGAAGAAACCATAATATGGAACTACGTCGACAAGTCTTCCCCAGCTGGTGGGCTGGGGCTAGTTGACGACGAGAAACGAGTTTCAGGCAGTGATTTGCGTCGCCGGAAACCGGAAGGAGAACGCAGTGGAGGAGGTAAAGATGATGAGTTAGCTTCGCCGGCAGAACCATTGGTCACTGGAGTACAGGAGGAAGGAAGATCTTCATCTTCTTCGCAGCATGATCGAGCGACCGCGAGTGGGACGAGCGGAGGCTGCATAGCGTCGCCGTATGAGGGAAGTGAGGATGGCACTTTTGGCTCGCTGTTGTGTCGAGTGGTCGACCGCTTGAATGTCTCTCCTCACCCTTCCTCGCCTGGTGACCGTGAGAGTGAACTAGGTTCGCCGCTCCCCTTCGTGGTCGAGCAGAGCAACAGCTCTGACGACGACACCACCACCAGCGTCGTCTTCACTAGCGCGACACTAAAAAAAAGCAGTTCCGCCACAGTCGCACGTCGGGTTCTTGACTCCACGACATCTGAAAATGAACTAGAAGTAGTTCAAGCCTGCGAGCGAAACGATAATGAACAAGGTGCAGCGTCGCAACTTCGCCCAACGCAAGCTCCACGACCATCAGCTCGGTCTCTGGACCGCTATGGGAGGCCGCGAATCGCGCCAATCCTCCAGAACCTGGTACGACGGCGCGTTCTCCACTTTGTGTTCCGGTGTTTTGCGTGGGTGCGAGAGCAGTGTAGACGCGAAATCGGCGTACGAACGACACGTGAAGTGCGCGATTCTCTTTTGCGAAATTGGAAATTTTATGCCTTCTGGATAGCAGTTTTCATTGTGCGCAATGCGTGTGCGTCTCGGTCTAAGGCAGTCGCGCGTCGTTCGCGCGCGGTAGCGGGTCAGGTACTCACACCTTTCGTGCCAGGCGCTTTCGCGAGCCTACTTCCGTTACTATGCAGACACAGTGGTGACGCCCTCTCAGCGCTTCCAATGGCTGCCTCCCTCGTTTACCTATCCAAGTGGGCAGCTGGCGAGGCGAATAAATGACGACTAAGAAGTTCCAGGTCTACTTTGCTTTCCATCTTCTTCTACAGGACATATCAATGAGAATCGATGGATGATTAAATCGCAGCATAAGCAAAAACACGGGTATAATAGCATCTACAGTACTCAACATCTTTTCCACACGCGTCTTGTCATCTACTGTAGGAGAGTCTCCTTTTCAGTCACGTTAATAAGCGTATTCATCGTTGACCCCGACCCTGAGGCTGAAGCTAGTGCCGACGATGCTGTCGGACGAGGAGAGGCTATGAGACTGTCAGTCTTCACTTGGACTTGGAGATAGAGGCGGAGCGTCTCGCAGTATGGATCTTCATGATTTTCCCTTTTCCACCAATTGTAGATGAATCGTATATCATCCAATTATAGATGAATCTACTTACACTTAGGTCTATATTAGTAACAGAAACATTAACTACTACCTCTTTCCATCACAAACACACCGACCACACCATCTCGCACAATTTTCTACAACTGACTTAGTCACTTTGACTTTTTCTTTAGCAACTTTCCGGGACTTCTCGATGTGATGGTGAAAAGTCGAATATGTGACTTGTCTTACCCTTTTTGTGTTTTTGACTTAAGCTCCTGAGATCAGTTCAGGTTGTGATGATTATTTCAATACAGGCGAAATAAAAATGTCATTCGGTTGAAGATGAACCGAACGCTGAAGATTCTCTCTCATATCTTCGTGTTCCCTCTGACTATTCCTACCGGTAATGTACATGTAGTGTGCGGCTGCAGCTGCAGCATCACCAGCAGGCCAGGAGTACCTTGGATAGATCTTGGTGGTAGTGATGTCAAAACGCTGACAAGACTTAGCGTTTTCATGTAGGTACTTCAGCCTGAGAGATTGGATCATGCAATTGGGAAGTAAAACTATCTAGCAGCAAGCAGGGCACTTGTGCGTGTGCCGGTCAAAAGAACAGGATTGTGTGAGCGAAGAAGGAATAGGAAAGTAGACCATTTGTTTCGTTTGCTTTTTGTAGAATCTCCACGCGGCGGGTCTTACAACCCTTTATCCTGTTGACAACGACAACATTTTTGCATCTACTGTGTTTTTTTTGTGTATCTGGTAGAAGTAGAAGATTACTCATTGTTCATTGACGGTACTCATAATTTCGACACTGCGTGGAGAGCAGACAGTTGCAACCACTTACTCCTCCCCAAGATTAATCTTCCTCCCTCACCTTGAACAATGGCTTGGACGACCAATCACAAAATGGCATATTAGTTTTAGTTGTTGAGAGACATCCAACTCCACATCACGCCGCGATGGTAAGGAAAATATACGCATGTGCTTTGATATTCTAGAACTTGCGAGAGTACTTTTTAGTGTTACCAAATGGCAAAATAGACTAGTCATTCTTCTCAACTCAAACATTTTACATCTACCCAATACCAATCCTGCTGAAATAAAAATGGAAGTGGAACATCATGATCTTCATATTGAAGAGCGACACAATCGCGAACAAGCGTTTTCAGAAATCGCCGGTGAAAACTTGACTAACCTCGCTGCGCGAACCAGAAGGAGAAGACAAAGTTTCTCGCGAAGATGAGACGCGCGACAAATAACTTAAGTGCGACGAATGGCTCCTTATCTGGAGGTGGCGGCGAAGCGGCGTGGAAAAATGGAGTAAGCAACAAAGGACATAAAAAAGGAGGTAATGCGGGGAGCGGATTTGCACAGCGACCTCATGGACCGGGGTCCTCCGTGGCACCTAACTCAGTCATGCAACGCGGTGGTTCCCAGTCTTCAATACAACACACCACACGTACTTTTGTCTCGTCTTTCGTTTCAGACTTGACTGTAACTTTTAGGTTTACTTTCTCTAATACCAAGCGAATGAACACAAGCACCAAAAGGAAAAGCAAATAGACAAGACGGAGTTGCTCTTGGTGAGTACTCGAGTTCTGGTTCTCCTGATAATGATAAATTATAATATGAGAGTTTGACCGAAAGTCGAACAGTAAGAATCATAGGGGCACTGTTATCTTCTACTATCGACAGGTAGCCACACATCCAACAAGGGTGTTGGTGGGTCCGGTGGTATGGTCGCGACATCACAAATCAACGCTACGGGTCCGGGTCCGCCGGGGCCTGCAGTCGGAGGAACAGCACATTATTACAACAGCTACAATCACAGTACTTCTACTACGTCGTCTTCCTCATCGGGGAATGCTAGCACCCAAAATATCGCCTACAGACATAGCCAGGGGACGTCATTACCCAACAACAACACTCAGTCCTCGAGTAGTAGCAGTTCTGGTCTGGCCAGTAAAGGCCATGGAGGGAATTGTCAATCCTTATCTCAGAAGAACGTCGCACGAGGTAGCAGTGGCACAGGCATAGCACCGCAGCAGCGAATGTACAGCTCTGCAAGTTCGAGTAGTCCTACATCCCAAGCGGCACCCTTAGGAAAAAAGGGAAGCCTGGGCCCAGCCTCTACCGTAGGGTCCGCAAAACAGCTCAATCACGTTACTGATCAAGAAGCAAGTGGCACAACAGCTACTCAGTTTTTGAGGAAAGGAGTGCCTATCGCTAGTGCCGACGCTCATGGGATAAAGGGTACACCAACACTCACTGCAGCGCAAATGCTCCACCAACACTCGAGCAGTACAGGACCCTCCGGGCCACGGACGTCCACAGCACCTCCTGCAGATACTAGTGGTTCGAACTCGATTTCCGGGAATATGGATGGAAAAAGTCCCAATATGCCTGGTGGAGACGTGCCTCAATATCATCAACAGCGGCAAGGCGGTATACCAAATGGGAGTAGTTCGACTGGGCTAATGGGTCCTACCGTCCTCAGTCGTCAGACGTCGGTCCCAGGCGTTTCTGGAGGACTACCTCTAACCCGAGATGAGCAGCTATTGTTGCAACAGCAGCAGCGCTTCCTCGCTGCAAACCCGAAGGTCAGCCAAAACGGAGACGCCGGTGCGTTTCTTTGCACTAGTTCTAGTCGAGCCCCACCAGGAATGGGACCTCCGGTTGGGCCGACAGGGGTGAGCGGCGGCACCCCTGCACATATCCTCGGTACCCGGAGTGCTGCTGGGGGATCGCGTTTTGTTGGACCCGGAGCCGCAGATACCGCTGCTGCCTACAATAGGTTTGCTGCAGTGCTAGCGGCTGGGCTGGTAAATGGGAAGGGAGGGGCAGCCGCTGGCGCGACTGGGCCAGCAGGTGTTGTTAATCTGTCGAGTACGCGGACCACTAGCACCACTAGTGCTCACAGCAAAAGTGTGGGGCCGTTATCTCGGAGCACTAGTGGAGGAGCCGCGCGTCCGGCTTTCCTATCGAAGAAGTTAGGCGGAGCGCGTCCGGAGCTGCAGCCTTCGCTCTACGAAAAAGCGCTCGCCCGGATGTACGCTATCATGCTCTCTCGACAGCACCTCATCACTGGGATGCTCCGCTTTTGCATCTATATCGCAGGCTTGCTCGCGGTCGCGCTAACTCACTTCGTCAAGATAGCATTTTTTCCGCAGTGTTTGATGAGAGGCATGGAACAAGCCGTGTCTTCCCTTCTAGCGCCATCGTGGTCGGTTTTCGCACCAGATCAGATGGCAGACTATCTTCTGGCTACTGCGTTAATCACAGCTTTGTACTTCTTCGTTACCCGCTGCGTCTCGAGAGGTTCCCACAGGGGAATCTGGATCTGCGCACGTCTGGACGATGTGCATAAAGATCTGCGCTGGACAACTAAAAACGTCGCACAACTACTGACGAATATGCTCTTGCGGAAGACGTTCAACCCGACCATCCAGCTCATTCTACAAAAGCGAAAAGAAGAGGAAGCAATGGTGCTGGCACAAAACAAGGATAATAAAACGCGAACATCGCACGCGCATCAGACACCAGGAAAAAGCTCGAGTGAGTCTTGGGCTTCAAATGTGTCACCGCCAGCCTGGTACGCACACCTCGATATGGATTTTGTGCATTTTCTGTACAGCGAAATCTTGTGGTGGCTCGGTCCGGACTGGATGAGTCATCTTCCAGCAGCCTATCGCGACTTCTTACTAGGGAACTTGCCGCTGGGTTCTCCTAGTGTCATGATGACCTTTCAATTTGTGCGTCCAGCAAACCGGATCGTGATATCTGAGCAACGGGCAGTGCAGGCCCGTGCCCGCGCGCACGACCGAGCAGAGCAAAGACGGAGATTGAAAGTACCAAGGCCAGCCTCTACTACAGGAACAGCACAGGAAAGCAGCGGAGTACAAGCGGACCAACAGATGCCGCAAGCGATTGTCGTAGGAGCCTTGCCGTGGTGGAAGGCAGTGTGTAGACCGCCGGCAAGTGTACGAGAGAGCGGGCGGTGGATGTGGGAACGCATTCGAATTTTTTGGCCCAGTGAGTTTCTTAGCGACGTTGCTAGTGGAAAAGCAGCGCGAAAAACTTCGATCCCTGAGACTACGGCAGGCCGCCCAGCAAGTCTGCAGGTTTTCCTTGAAAAATACAACCATATAGTTCCGTTTTTTCAAGGATATCGTGGATACTCCATCCCGCAGCAAGCAGGCCGCGAGTTGTTCTTGGAAACAACAACGCCAACCTCTTCCGCCGAAGACCATCGCCCCGCATTCCCTTTACCTGCTGTTGTGGCAGGTGGTATTGCCTCACCGTGTAGAGGCTTACAACTACAACAACACTTACACCAAGGACCAACGGCGGCTGTGACCCCTCAACTGCTCCATGGCGTCGGGGGTTCCGCAACAGGTACTCCGAACGCAGTATCCTCGAATATTGTCAGTTACAATCAGATGCGCGTGCTTTCTAATGGCCTGGAGAAAGCGAGTTTGCCTTCAAGTGAGTCCGGCCGACCTCAAAAAGGCACGCCTTGTGCGGACGACGGCCATGGCGACGCGGTAGACGTAGCTGCTACTTCTAGGGAGGAAGAGTATGCTTTTGGATCGACCTCGCCAGATCAGGCAGGTGCAACCGATAACATCGAAATTCATCAAGAACTAGCTTGTGCCAGCGAGTTTGCACCAACGAAAGGCGACAGCTTCGACGTCGATGAATCCACAGGTGGTCGTACGGATGATCCTGCGGCTGCCGAGGCAGGTGACGCAGCGGTAAACGAGGAGGGGAGCGTTCGTGTCGGGAATTGTCCCTCGTCTTCATCACTTGCTCTTCTTGGCGCTAGCAAACGCGACACTGCCAGCGATACCGCAAAAGAAGGCAAGAACAGTGAGGGAAGCACTCGCGGAGACGCTTCCGATGCGGGGGCAACGGGAGATGTCGTTGCCGCATCCTCTTCAGGTTCAGCCAAGCCCGACCTAAGAATTTCTGACAAGAATATGTTCAACCTAACTCCTCCTGGTGGAACCGCGGACGCCCTCTTAAAAGCCGATAGGGCAAAACACGGGAAGATACGACAAAGACTGCTTCGCAAGCTTCACATCCGAGAAATCACAAACAAGAACTTCGAGGGCGAATTCGAGGTAATTATCTTCATGTCGCATTATGTTGGACATGGTTTTGTCGTTTTACTAACAAGAAAACCAAACTTCTGTATTCTTGTTTTTAACTACAGCTGCAATTATCAAAAAAGAATTTCCATCTCCATTTTCAACATAAAATCTTCATGTTGCTACAACTTCAGCTGATGGCGTATACAGCAAAGAAGGCGAAGTATTGTTTCATCTCCGGATTGAGCGCTGGGTTCCAAAATAGTCAGGGTTGGCTTCCTTTGTCGGAAATGAGCGGTGACATACAAAACTATCGGCAGTTGCGGGACAACCTGAACAACACCGGCTGCAAGATGCTCCAACTCTCCGTGTGTTTTACAGATCGGTGGTTGCAGTTTCCTGATACAAAGGCTACGTTGGATACAACACCGACTTCTAAGAGGACTCAACAGGCAAAGCACGGGGATGCAACCACGAATGAGGTTGTTGCTGACGATCAAAATCAGAAGTCTTTCTCAACTTCAACGTCAACTTCTTCATCCTCCGGCGCAACTAATTCCTCTAGCACAGGAGCCAGCAAAAACCAATCGGCAAGTGGAAGTGCCAACTCGACATCCAATCTGAAGTCTTCATCTGGTGGTCTAGAACAAGGTGCGTCAGGTAATAGTTTAGAACAAAGTATCTCGACAGCCGCAGGATCCGCGTCTCCAGAAAAGCAGCCGCCAGCTGCATCGATCCTAGAAGCAGAAAAGGAGAAGGACGATGTCGATGAATCTGCCTACCCCCTTGTTTGGCAGATGTTGTTCCATTTCGATTGGAACTCAGATCTTCGGGACAAAACAGAGGTGAACGATCTATTCCACGTGGCTCAGGATATCATTAAGGGTAGGCTTTTGGCGTTTCTGTTACCGTTTGTTTTGCCTCCCCTATTGGGGACGTACGAGCATAACAAATGGGGAACAGAAACCCCAAGGGCTTCGCGCTAATATCAAAACAACACATGAAGTAAACGCTGGCATCAAATCCACGCTAGTCTACAACAAGAAGAGCCAGAGTCATCAAGAATCTCCAGATGCTGCAGATGCTGTGGTTGATGAAGAAAGTGGACACAAGCACAAGATCACAGCCGCACCTGTTGTAGGCGCTGCTTTGCGTCCGCGTGGGGGACAGCTGCTCTGGAACCATCAGATGGGACTCAATTGGTGGCGGTATCGACACGAAGGCATTGCCCAGTGGGATTTCGGAGAGCGATTCGCAAGCCTGACAAAAAATATCACCTGGGTTTCGTTTGACGGGTTTCGAGATTTCGCTTTTCTGACGCGAATGATGACACGGAAGCCGCTACCAACGTCCGCAAGTGAATACCTTCGAACGCTCAACCAAGTTCTGCCACATCGAGTCGACATCAAGCAAAGCTTACTCGACACAAGCATGCGGCGCTGCGGAATATTAGACAGGTACTATAAACTGTCACTATCTGCATGCACATCATGATGTTGTAGGTGTAGTAGGTGCCAGGAACAGTTGATTTTTTACTCGTATGAATTTCTTAAATTTTATTACCGCTCCTAGTAAGGCTTGTATGAGCCTTTTATTGCAACAAATGCTCTACTTCAGGCGTCGGCCCCTTGCTGTTCTGGATCTGCTTCCAGCTAGTTGGTGTGCTGATCGGTCCGGAGATGGTGGTTCTGGCTCCGCCGTCGCCGTCCGTCACGGCATCGACCGGGAATTCTCATCGTTGAACATCTGGGAACTAGGGGAGAGACTGCACATCGAGAACGAGTTCGTGACGCCGTACGAGCGAGGCCTCATGTTTCAGACAGGTTCCGAGGCGCTTTTATTGCGATCCATTTGCAAAAAGTACCCGAAACTACTACCCATCAACATTGTCGAACGCGCAGTCGTCAAGGCAGAATCTCCAGAGCTTCCCGTGATGACTGCGAACAGAGAAATGATCAGTCAGCAAGCATCAAAGCCAGAAAGTGAAGTAGCGTTGCCTAGTAGCGGGGGCAAAGATTCATCATCATCTCCAACAAGAATAAAAGACGCGGCGGTAGAAAATGCTGCAGGCGCTGATCTGGTAAAACAAGAAGACGGTGAGAATACAATAAAGAATGCTGTTCCAGTTGAAGCCTCTGCCGAGGCCGCGAGTAGTTCTGGAAGTACCTCTGCTACGCCAAGCCACGGAATTCTAGTCAATCCCCGTGCAGAGACACTTTTCGTTCAATTGCTCTCGTCCACTTATTTTCAAGCGAGGAGAAGCAACGACCGCACTTCATCGCAACTAGAGACCTCTGGTGAAGGAGGTGTCTTTTTGTCGTTACCCAAAATTATGCATTGCTTCCAATGCTTGAGTTCCGCAAAGCAAGCCGCCGTCTTGCGTATGGCCTTCAGCGTGTGCGGATTGCGTCCGATGACGATCGATCTGCTAGAAATAGGTGGAGGCACGGCATTAACTAAAACTACAACCGGATCAGGCCATCAAATGATAGGGGACCAGCAATGTACCAGAGTAGAAGAGATTGCACAACACGAGAACCCGATTTCGCTTGCACTCGTCCAACATAGTAGAGAGAGTGAGAGACGACGAGATGCCTCTTGCGGTAGCGATGTTCTTAGTCGACTATCATCTTGCGCCACGTCCTCGACGTGCTCTTCGTCCTCTCTTCCAGAATCTTGGTCACACAGGACTCGGCTCGTGGTGCAACTGCAGCAAATCGCATGGCGAAGTGTTGGAGCCTTATTGTGTCGTCGTAATAATCCATTGCTAGAAGTCCATGTCCAACGACGAGGAGCGCAACATAGCAGCAGCTTCATACAAACGGTTCCCCAGCGACGCGAGCGCCCTCTTCTGCCGGTGCGCACCTCGGTGGCGCCACTGACTTCGGAAGTTCGCTTTGAGCCTAGCTTCGCTCGTGTGTACGATCCTGGTCCCCGGCAAAAAGGGTTGCGACAGAGGGCCCACCTCTCGGCGAACGAAGTCGTAGACCTGCTGCGCCACTTTGGAAACTTCTCGGGCCGTAGGAAGTTCAAAGGAGAACGGGACAAGCAGAAGATGGCAGGCAGAGAAGCCCAAAAACAAATGCGAAGCTCCAATGCAAACTCCGCGGCGTCAAGGCACAACAGCGCGGCTTCCCAGTTCGACTTTGCCACCCACGCGAACGCACTACTGCAGATCTTCACAACCGGGCAGTGTCCTCCAAAAATTAAGGCATGTCTTCATCCTCTTGTTCCTCAACTAAAACTAACGTACGATGAATGTAGAGATCGAGCAGACTTTATTTAGCATTGTTAAAGTCGGAGTCAGTGAACAAGAGTTGTTAGACTGAGCACTCCTGGCTCATCAACAAGAGCAGGATGACGGTCGACACAAACAAGTAATGGTAGGTATCTTCAAAAAAGCCTTAGTTCTTTCATGACAAGTAGGCTGCCGTTCAGCGCCGTCGTACCTGGAGTGCCGGACTACGTTTTGGGCTGCTCCGCCAGTTCGCAGAAAATGTATACCGCGGCCGCGACAAACATAGTGATTTCGAATAGCGAGGCGGGTAGCTTCGCGTCATCTTCGTCATCCAAAGCAGGCAGCATGGCCCAGCTTCTCACAACCGGTATGGCAGCAGCTTTACGAACACATTCCAATTCCAACAGTTCGCAAGTTGGACTAGGGCAGAGAGCAGGAGCAGCTGGAGGTGGAATGGCTTCCCAAAGCGTCGGAGATAATGCGCCGGGTGTTGGCGGGAGTCTACTCAATCAGAATCGAACCTCTATCAGGGGAGGTCAAAATGCTCCAGTTAGGATAGGATCGGCCGGCCCAAACGATGCCGGGCGTTGGATAGGTGCGCCCCCGAGTCTTCAAACCGCAGCAGCCCTTCAAGCTGGAGCGGTGCACTCCGCTCTGCAGCACCTTGGAGGTGCCGCGACTCATCCAGGCATCATGATGATCGATCACCCCTCGCTCCTTCATCTCGCTGGTGCTGTTCCGGGAAGTGCGTCGCAGGCTGGCCCCTTTGGCAGCCACGGGATACTTGGGCTCTCCGATGATCCTTTACGCGCAATGGCTCGCAACCCGTTGGGAATGATGAAGGGCGTGCCCTCTGGCGAGGCATCCCTCGGAACCGAGATGGGGGTGAATGCGCAACAAGGTGGCATTTTGCAGCCGTCAGCTGTAGGAAACCCATCTGCCTCGGGAGTCGGTGGCCCCAATAGCGCTGCGCACCAGATGGGTATTCAACTGCAGGCGGGCCTTGGAGGAAGCACTGCGCCGGGCGGCGCTAACAGCGGCGTGTATGGTACATCAATTAGTGGAGCTGCTGCAACATTCATCAACGCGACCAACAACATGCATTCGCTTCTTGTTGGACCCGGTTCTGGGGGTGCTTTCCATCATCCCGCAGGCCCGCCGTACGCTGGCGCAACAGACACTGGTTTGAACAAGATGCGCATAGATTATACAAGCGCTGGTGAGCGGGTTCCGGGGAAACTGGTGCAGCAAACAAGCAATGGCCTCGCTCGTACTACCGGCACTGGCTGTAGTACTATGATGGAGCAGCAACAGCCGCACACCCAGCACGTTTCACTCCAACATTTCGGCCCGGCCGCTGAGAGCCTCCTGAACAATGCTGGTGGGATTTTTGGACAGCATTTCAATGTCCAGGGAGCTGCCGGTAAGGGCGCGCTTCATCCCGCAGCATGGCTGCAAGCAACCCAGCAGCAGCACAATTATCACGTTGCTGAGGGTGGTGGAGTCACAGGCACGTCAAGCTTCTATGACACAACCATGACAGGAAGTGCAAGTGGCACTCGCACTGGGCAACAAGTGGTGGACGCTACTTCTATGTCGGGACATCTCGACGCTGCGACTACAACAAGTAGTACAATGACTCCATCAACAACAGCCACGGCGCCCTCATCAGGTTCGTCCTCCAGCATGACAAGTAGTGCCAACCAGCAAGCGCGTCGGAATCTTATCAAAGGCTCTTCCGCTTACAAAAACTTCTCTAGCACAGGCGCAGGCTCAAGCAAGTATTCTGGCGGTAGCACTTCCAGCGGAGGCAAAAAATATGAGGGCGGGGGTAAAGGGAGTTTTAGTGGCTACAAAGGCAGTGCCGCGCAGTCTTCGGTATTTGAATAGATATTGAAATCAGATTCATAATCAGCGCGAGCAGCTAGAACTACTTACTCAGCTACCTGCAAACACAGTTACTAGAGTACGAATGCTCTTGAGATAGAAGAAGTTAGGTGGATGCTACAACGATATTGCACTTCTGTAAGTAGATATGAATGAATTGAAGTCTCTGCATGAAAAATACAACAGTGGCACGACGGACACGGTTCGTGGGATTCCTGGGATAAGCCTTGGGCAGAAGACCAGTCGCATCACTCCACTGGGTAATACTATCAGCGTTTTTGCATTGAAGATGTTGAAACTCCTGTGCAAATTTAGAAACCTAAGGAGGAACTCAAGCAATCGCATCTCTTCGAGTGAAGTTCGGAGTTGTTCGTCCAAGTTGTATATATTTATATAAATATGTATACTAGACTTGAGCGCTCGGTAGTACTCCTCCCACTAGGATCATCCACCCCCGGCATGCACTTCCTCAACCCCGGCGCGAGTCCGCTTCCCCGGCGCCTCCCCCGCCCGGCAACCGTCTGAGGGCGTTGACTGTTGGGGCAAGAGTTGGGCGGGGGACGGCGTGCGGCCATTGATTAAAGCGGCACGGATCGCAGTCGCTGGCCTGTCGGTGTGCTCTTCTTTTGGTAGGTTTGGCCTTCTTTGCGTGCAGGTTGCAGCGCTTGAGCTTGCAGCTTGTCGAGATTCAGGAAAAAATCTTGGATGGGAATTCTTTAAGTTACAGCTTTGTTGGATTTATTCAAAAGCAAAACCTTCGGGCCCCCAGTCTCAAGCCTGAAACTTTGAGGCATTGCGGCGCCGCCTTTAATCTTAAGCGCTCAGCTTTGGGCTTTTAGCTTGGGGCTTTCAGTTTTCAACTTTGGGCCCTCAGCTTTGAGCCTTGGGCTTTCAACTTTGAACTTTCAACGTTGGGCTTTCAACTTTGAGACTTCTGCTTTGAACTTTCGACTTTGGGTCTCCAACTTTGAGCTTTCAGGTGTGGGCTTTCAGCTCTACTTCTTCGACTAGTCGCAAAATTGCTATGACTAGTCGCAGAATTACTGCGGTTCTGCGACTGGTCGCAGAATTGCTGTGACTAGTCGCAGCATTGCTGTGACTACACTAGTCGCAAAATTACTACGACGAGCCTCACTCCTACTGTGACGAGTCTCAGTCTAATTGTGACCAGTTTCAAACTTACTGCGACGGGCTTCGCGCTTACTGTGGCTACTGCTAGCTGCAGACTTGTTGTGGCGGAGGCGGACTAGTCTCAGGCCCATTGTCTTGTGACTAGTCTCAAACTCACCGGGACTAGTCTCAAACTTACGGAGACGAGCCTCAGACTTGACTTGCTGCGACTAGTCTCGCGCCCGCTGTGACCACTCTCGGGCTTGTTATGCCTCGCTTCTGACTGAGTTCTTCGGGCTGTTCGAATCTTAGCCACACCATCAGAAGCTGGCGCGCGTGTATTCTGATGGCGTTAAGATTCGAACAGCCGGACAAACTCAGCCGGAGACTAGGCGCAGCAAATTCGAGACTAGTCACAGTGGGCGCGAGACTAGTCACAGCAATTTCGAGACTGGTCCCAGCGGGTTTGAGACTAGTCACAGCGAGCGTGAGACTAGTCGCAGGAAACTTGAGACTGCTCACAGTGGGCCTCAGGCTCGTCGCAGTAAGTTTGAGACTAGTCACAGCAGGCTTGAGGCTAGTCGTGGTAAGTCTGAGACCAGACTCGTCGCAGTAATTCCGCGACTAGTCACAGCAGTTGCGCGACTAGTCAAAGCAATTCGGCGACAAGTCGCAGTAGTTCTACGGCTCGCCACAGTAAGACCGAGGCTGGTCGCAGTAAGTCTGAGGCTAGTCTTAGTCACAGTAGCTGCCACAACGAACTCCCACAACCCGGACGCAACTCGTCACAACTTCCACGCCTTAGAACAGAGCAGCTTATAGCACGCATGGCGCATGGGGTGCATGGAGTGGCATGGAGTGCATGGAGCACTTGCGCCACTCCCGCGCATGGGGTGCATGGGGTGGCCACGTGTCACGCATGGAGTGCATGGAGCACGAGGTGGCGCGCTAGCCTCTGCCATCAGCCGCTCCCCTCTTGTCGATCGATGGAGCAGCGGCGCAACGCAAAAGCGGCCCAGGACTGAGAGGCCCTCCCCCCTCGCCTGTCCGCTTTCTATGGTTGCGGACCCAGTAGGGGACGTCACTGTGAGCCTCGGGCCGTTCCCGCTTGAGAGCCCGGCCTTCGACGAGCCCCCCCGGCCTCCGGTTCTGCGGGGTACATGCAGGAAAGGCGCCCCTTCAGCCCGGCAGACCCCGCCGAAAGGGGTCCCGCCGGGGCTGAGAGGTTCCCCCCTCGCCTTCCTAGGTCGGGGATGGGTATTGCGCCCTGGTTGAGCCCTGGGACACACATACACAGCCCCCCTCTTCAACTTTTTGCATGGGTCAGCCCCGTGTGCTGGTTGCCTAGAGCGGTGCAGCAGTAGCAAGGCTTGCTCCGGAAGAGGAGTGAACCCCCCGGGGATGCGACTTGCTGGGCCCTTTGCCGAAATTTCTGGGCACCGAAGTACCTGGCAACGACCACCAGGGGCAGCAATGTGCGTCAGGGCGCCTAGACCTATGTAGCAGCAAGCCCGGACTGCCGGCCAGTGTGTGTGGGAGTGGTGCTTCGTCCTCGAGTCGGCCGCTCCATCGTCTCATCGTTGCAGTACAGGGCTGCAGCGGACGAGTCTCGGGCAAAGGGGTGCCCGAAGGGCACGACCCCGCAAAATTTTCACGCATGGGGTGCATGGAGTAGAAGTCAGTGGGGGCTGGCAAGATTCTTGCCACTCCATGCTACTCCATGTGACCCATGCACTCCATGCCATGCACGCCACAAAAGCTTATATATTATTCTGTTAGAAATAATAGCGTACAGCTTTTTCGTAGGTGTTTGGCCTTTCATTCTAAACGCTTACGCCTTCGGGCTTGAGGTTGGGGAAGAGGCTCCAGCTGATGAAGTCAAAAACTTGGGCTTTTTGGGCAAAGTTTTTGAATTTTGCGCGTGGTCCGAATTAAATGAGAACGTACGCGGCGCGTTTTATTTTGCTAAATAAATGCTCGACGTCGTGCCGGGGTTGTGTTAGTGTTTGTTGGTTGATCAGAAAAGGAGCGGAAAAGATTGCGACTGGGGTCGCATGTTTTTGGTTCAAGTGTTTTCGGCTCTGGTGTTTTTGGTTCGGTGTGTGTTGGGTTCGGATGTTAGGGGGGTCGCTGTTGATTTTTTATCTATCTCGGACTCGGACTCGGTTAGATTATTCCTTCTGTCGGAATGCCGTAAAATTTCTAAACTTCTGCGCACCGTTGTGAATTTTTGAAAGCTTGAAACTTTTTGAGTTCAGTTTGTCAAAGTTTTGACTTTATCGCGCAGATTTTGAATCTAATGCCCATCCGCGTGGAGTCAGAGCTAACCAATTCCCAGGTTTCGCAAGGTCGTAAGTTCTTAAGTGCATAAGTTCAGAAGTTCATAAGTTCGCCCTGAAGTTCATAAGTTGTTCTTGATCTTGAGTGATGACATGCGTCAGAAGTGGAAGAGTGAGAGTCGGGGGCTCGGAAGTGGAAGAGTGAGAGTTTGGGGGGTTCGCTGTTGTTTTTTAATTTAGCTTTTTAATATTGAACAATGTAAATAATAAATTGCTCCTCGACCCTTCCACTTCCATCTTCGTCATAGAATTCAAATTGTCACAGCTACAGCTCGTCGGGGAACCAGCACAGTCAGAACTATGGGTATCACAGTGGCAGTGCCGGAGCTTATTACAGCGGTGGCGGTCATTACAAGGGAAAAGCGTCTGGTGCGAAAGTGGGAGGAAAATATGGTAAGACTATGAATAGTTGTTGTACTTTCGCGCAGCACAGTAGCAAGAAGTCCACAAAGAGCAGCGGAAAGCATTGAGGTTGGAAGCAGGAAGCTCTTTATCATATTTATTATAACAATGAGGAACAGGAAGTTGCCACGTAAAGCTTCAGCACACGTGATCTTCTGAGGAAGATTCAAACAAGTGCCGCAGGCTCTGCAAGATCACTGCGGCACCGTAGCTACTTAAAACAAAGCACCAAATAGAAGGGAGAGTTTGTCTTCAGCAACACTTTGCTCATGCTCACCTATCAGAACCAAAAAAAAATCGTCTAGTTAGAGCACGATATTACAGGTTGAGTAGAACGAGCACAACCTCAACAAAGGTAGAACAACGCCAACCCTACAGGAGGACCTGCACCTGCACCTGTGGAGCTTGATAGGTATTCCCTTGACTTACAAATATCAATATTTTTTGATTTCTAGGAAAAGAGCAAGAGACTGTAGCATTCTATAATTTTTCCACGGTGTTTCGGATCTTGATGACCAGGAACAGATGTCCTTTGTAATGAAAATCGACGAGTAGCTTGATTTGCGCCTATCATAGAAGGGTTACGAACCACTGTCTCATAGTGTATCTGTAAGAGGTCGAGCTTGAAATTGAAATCTACAAAAACACAAGTTGTACTTATGTTGACTACAGCTGCACCTGCACCGCGAGACGCATGTAGTGCGGCTTGGCTAATGATCACAATCAAGAATAATCAGACGTTATGCTCGACACGAATATTCGCTGCAGGAGTCAATAACAATATCAACCAGTCACAAATATTGGAAGTTGCATAGCACTGCCTTGACAGTAACCTGGACAATCTTTTCTGGGAATAGCTCGTCTATACGTTGCGATGATAGCCCGCTGAAAGCAAAAGGAATAGGGTGAAACTAGAAGTCTGAGCATTTCTATCATGTCACTTTTCTTCCTCCTTCTGGAGGGAAATTGGCTGCTGTCGTGGGTTTCAATATTGTGTAGCCTAGCGTCGGGCAAATGCAAATAATGATTATTAAGTAACGTTTTTGATGACTTGTCTATGTCTTGATGATTGTGCATCATCATCCTGATGCTTGTACTTCTGGTCTTCGATGTCTGCAGTATAGAATATTTTCTTAAACGCAACTCCTACTACACTCATAAAAACCCCCTACTAGCATTACTAACTACTCAATAACAATATATTTATATGATAATATGACTAGGCTCCGTGTGTTTTCTATCCGTTGTAAAAAGAATTTCATTTCCTTTGGTCTTCCTCGGTCTATCTCATTATATGATAATATGAAAATATGCGCGTGTGAAACGTGAAGGCACAACTAAGTGTTAACTGACGTGTGGTTTGTGGTCTCTCCCTCTGCTACGATGACGCCACAGGGTGCCCCCCCTGCGTGGTGGTAGTCGGAAGTAGGTGGATCGACGTACGTCTCATTTTCTAGAACTGTTGTCTGCGAATAATATGCGGAAAACGGACGACTGCGTAAGCTTTTCGCTCAAGCATGTGTGGGATCACCTGGTAATTTTTCTTGATCATACCGCCTCCTGCCATCGTCGATAGGAGGTGATTGTAGTTTTAGATAATAGTTTCTACCGCTGCATCTTTATGACGTGACTATCGTTCTTCATTTTATTGTGGATGTGGGGAGATCGGCATTTTGATATTCAGCATGAGATTTTATTGAAACACGCGAAGAATACAGTCAGCTTATCAACAGAGTTCAGATGAATGTAAGAAGTCAACTGCATAGGGTGATGCGATCCCCGCAATTGCAACTCCAGCACAAATAGCGCGCACGCAACGAGCTAGAAGCCCCCGTTGAACAAACACGTCATCACTCGCAGTCGCATTGATACTTCATTCTAAGAATTAATATTTCTAGCATCATTCTCATACCGCATGCTGAGGGGCCGCGATGACGATGAGACTCTGAGGTTATAGAATATTTTTTCGCCAGGAGCAATCGCATACACATTCTAATCAATGTGTCTGCTATCTTTTGGATGCTGATGCATGATCAAGATACATCAATTGAAAGCGCTCGCGCTGGCGCTCACGGGTAATATTATGCAATTCCGCCTTGTCGAGTAAGGAAAGTAACGGGCTTCGAGTTGCCCAGAGTTGCTCGAGTTGCCGAAGCGAAGAGCTCCAATTCTGGGACGAGTTGCCGGGAGAAACCTGGCCCATCGAAATGGGGCAAAGCAGGGCGGTGCGGGTGTCGAAGTGCCTGCTCGACATGCGGGGCGCCGTCTTTGAGACGTCCTCCGCAACAGGATGCCTCCTCTCGTTTGGGATCGATAGCGGCGCGCCGCTCTCGACTCGGTGGCGGGGGGCAAGTGCCTCGCCCCCCCTGTGGTTTAGTTAGGGAGCGCCAGGCTAGGAATAGGCTTTCGTCTTGCTGCGTTGCGGTGTGAGCGAGGGGCTTCCGCCGGGGTGGGTTCGTAGCCGGCTTGCGGCTGGAGGGTGCCGCTGTGAGTAGCACTGGGAAAAACGCGGCGGGGGTTGATGTATTGGCGGGTGGCGGTGGGTGCGATCTGACGTTGATGGGCAGCTGGATTAGCCGGCGCGGTACATGCCACAACCCCCAGGGCCCCTGCGTTGGTCCCTTTGCGGTAATCTGACTGCCCCCCCTTGGCTGTCTTCCCCTGGCGGATGTCTCTCTTGCCGGCTTGCACTTGCAGTTCCTGCTTGAAAGCAAGCGCCCCAAGGGCGCACCAAGAAGAAAATCAAGGAGCAGAGAGAGAGACACAGGTCGCATTGCCCTACGCTCCTGCTAAGGTCTCTCGGTGTCTCATGAAGCTGCGCCTGAAGGGTGCCGCGCAGAAAATTAGGGTGGGCAACTCGAGCAACCCGAGCAAGTCGGCCCGATACGGGTCAAGAAAGTCCTTGCTCTAGTATAAGCCCGCTTTCCTTTTTCGTCCCAAGAACGTAAACCTTTCTGGAGCTCGCGGCACGTTGGTTGTAGCCTTGAAGATTGTCAACATTATCTGATGTTTAGTAGATCTTTTTGGGGGGTGCCGACAAGTGACAACTGAGTAGAGTTCGACAGTACTTTCGAAATATCATGATGAGATGAACCTGACTTCCACATAACAAGGTGACGCACTATTTTTTTCAAATTATAACAAACGTGAAAGATACAAATTCAAATACTTTATCCATGACGTATTCGAGAAAACTTGATATCCCACGACAACCAACATAAAGGTCGATGAACATGGATCATACGAGTTATGTAGATATGTCGACATCGATACAATTACAGGGAATTCTACTCTATGTTCTTTGGTAGATGAATTAGGGTCACCTTCTGGTCTACCTTGATTTTCACCATAGTCGGTCCTCGTGTCGCATATCGAAAGTCATAGAGTTTTCTTGCCAGCAATAGTTCAAAGTCGTGCGTATATGACGGTAAAAAAAGATGCCTCGCTCAAGGCTCGCAGAGCCTGCTGGGCGTCTCGATTTTGCATATTCGCTGAATAGTCTTAATTTCTATTCATGTGTTGTAATCCTTCCTGTGTACGTGTACTCCATTATGACAGAGGTCACCTGGCCGCACATAATTCTTTTATCTTTTTATAACCCACGCTATTATGAGGCAGCTCCAGCCTTGCCTTCGACATCGACTGGGAGCGAGATATAAAGTTTCATGCGATTGGGACCACCGAACAACAGAAGAAACTTCCGTACTAGGAAATACCAAAAGCAAAAGATGCCGCAGCACAAAAGAAAACTAGTGCGACTTACTTCTACACATCTGCATGTGCTTGTCGATTCATTGAACATAATGCGTTTCAGAAAAAGAACACTGGTGTTGTTGCACGAAGTTCATTCTATCAAAAGCAGGGCATAAGTGTGTAAATCTGACGGACCGAAACCGATGCAGAACCGACTCTGTGATGATTAAAAAAGGTATTCTGTCCGAGTTTCACCCTTCCCGGGGTGCAAGTGTGATAGCACAAGTGCTGGAGGACTCGAGATCTAGGTCATTTGATACGCTTGCTTCCTGGTAAGTGATGGGGCTTGAAATCTTCCCTCGGTGCTGCTCCGGCAGCTACTTTTAAACTTACTTAGCATGATCAATATCTGTATCCACAAGTTGCGCGTATTTATCGGTTGTGCTTTTTCGGTTATGCTGAAAGGTCTACTTGTACCAGCGTCCTCCTAACGACCCTCTCATCTGTGCCTCTTCCGTCCTCGTAGCTCCTTCTTCGACGAATTCCCTATCCCTCACCAAACCCCTCCATATTGCTCCCTTTTGGGGCCTCTAGCGGAACGAGTCGTATTCTCCTGTGTCGACTGCCATGATTGCCTGCTGATAGATTGTTGAAATTGCTTGTAGTTGATATGCTCACTTTCTACTACTAGGTTGTTGTAGTAAGTTCAACATTGTGAAATAACCATAAATCAATTCGATTTCGGATGTTTTCTTGACAAAAGTAGAGCACTACCATTTTTTCAAAAATCGACAAGAATAGGAATTGTGAATAGGCACCTGTTGTAAGAGAACCTATGTATGATTTTACATTTGATTCTGCAGTTACCTTTCGAATTTCTCGGTCATGTCCAGATCCAGTACTAAGACTACGTACCCATTTTTTCAAGATCATTATATATCATATCTGTGATTACGGACCGGTAGGTGCGCTGCGAGCGTGACGCGTGTGCGTCAATAGGGTCGCGCGCGAACAACAACAACATGATAATGATAATAGTGATTACTTGTAACTTGTTTGCACTTTTATCGGACCAACAAGATGATAGTTGAACCGGAAAAACTGACCCCTGAAAGACCGCTGAGGCGGCGTGCCTCAGTGACTTCCAGCGGTGAGGCACACCATGTGCCAGTTGCATTTACAAATCTCAGCTACGAGGTCGATGTGAAGAAAAGAGAAGCGAATCCAGCTGGGAAAATGAAGATCCTGCAGAACATGACTGGTTGTTTCCGGGCTGGCCGCTTGACATTAAGGCCTCGTTCGACCTAATCTTCGAATTCTCGGCAACACCAAGTGCAATGTTCGGATTAATGTAACGTACTATTACTAGGGAAACGCAGCCTATAATATCGCTGCACTTGGTTAGAGAGAATGAATTATGATGTGCACCACATACACGAGGACGAGCTCTAATCATCGTGTTGATGGGGCCATCGGGAAGTGGGAAGACAACGCTGATGTTTAAGGCCCTACAGTAATTCCAATCGATCACGAACGGTTTTTCATGACAGTTCATGTTGAACTTGGACGTCGACCTCCTCAATAGGTACTCATGCAAGGTCCTTTGATTTTTAACATGATACTTACATACAACATGGACTTCGTATGTTCAAATTTGTGACCTTCTCGCTATGCGGAAAACGATTGATAAAGGAAAGAGCCGCATTACCAGTGAAAAAATTGTCTATGGTGGCCAGACGATGACCAAAGAGTCACCGCACATGGTAACCGGTTACGCAGAACATCAAATTGACACTTTTATGCTCCAGTTGGATCTTGACTTTGGTGTGTGTGTGACAATAAAGCACCGTGGTCCCTCACTATGATCCTACTCCACTTGATTTTGATACTCTGCTATTTGTATTGAGTTACTGTAGGAGTTTGTAAAAAAATTAGTTCTCCCTGAACCTGAGAGGAAAGGCGTTGTATTTACCGCGTCTATCCTAGAAGTGTGCAGTCTGATAGCGAGAAGATCCCTGGTCTTCACCGTTATATTGTCACTCTTTCATTCTTCTGGCTTAGCGAGCTCACAGTGGAACAGATGTTGCTCTACACGGCCGAACGGAAACTGCCCAAGTCTTGGACTGATTCTGACGAGAAGATCCGCGAACTAGTTGCCAGCGTTATCAAGAAGCTTTCTCTGCAATCCTGCAAGGATACGAAGATCGGAAGTGTGTTGCAACTTAAGACTTCCGGAAATCCATCTTCAGGAGCATCTTGGACCTCCCGCGTAAGGGGGAAACTGGTCCAAGATGACTTTCAAGATGGATCCATTCCCGGAAGGTCTAAGCAATGCGGAATTTCTGGTGGGCAAGCGAAGCGTCGCAGGTGAGCTAGACCTGGCGAAGAGCTACTTCGGTTCTTACAAGCGGCAATCCAGTTTGTGAAACAAGCCCACATCAAGACCAGAAAAGAAATATCGCGCAGAAGATACGCACACATCGACTACGCCAGGAGAAGTACCTGTGGTTGAGCCTCCGCTGCACGATGACATTCTCATGTCAAGAACGATCTCGAAAGGCTCCTCGGTCTTTAACACGAAAGCTCTTGAAGAGGGTCTTTTCTCATTGCCTGAATTTCTGGTCGATATTACATCGGGAAAACCCTCTCAGATGCAGATCGTGCTAGCTAGGAATATGATCGCCCTGGACCACCTGTTTGCCGATGAGCGTTCTGCCTCCGAAGACGGGGACTGTAGCGACGGGAGTAACTCGGCGCACGGCGACGGGCAGACTAGAGAATATTATGCATGGAAACTTATGAGTTGAAGAAGCGCCTGGTGAAGAAGATCTGATGGAACAAGAATGATCTTCAACGATTCGAAGTTAAGATAACTAAATGACGCCGTCGTTGTGTCTGCCTCTGCTCCCTTCAGTTTTTTCTTTTCGTTGCATTTTAGAAGTCACAGCAGTACCAGAAATGGCTAGCGAGGGTGCAAATATGTGAGAACGCAGAGCTTTCTGGCAATGGAATCTTCGAGATCGCAAGGCACTACAATCCGCGATCGGGCTTTTCCAGGTTGCGCACAATCCTAAAGTACCGTGCTTCACAACGCTATCGCGATTGGAAGTATCTTGTGAGAAGAATGGAAATGCTTAGCAGCTAGTTGTATATTTTTTTTCCGCCAGCGTGATTGAAGATCATGACTTTTACCTATGTATTTGTAAAATTATTACCATCCCAGTGTTGTACTTCTTCAATCATGGCTGCGTCTCTCTTGAGATGATTTAGGTTAAGGTGTCCGTAGAGAAGTTATCTCGTTACCTCTCAAGTAGAGCATGCTGTTATTACGTGACTAGAAGAGCAAGAGGAAGAACTTTAGAACATCTTGCATTCGAGCTTCAAGATCATCTTCATCCTGCTCATACTTCTCGTTTATCCACCGTCCACTTCTTCTGTCGTATTTTTTCGATCCTCATCGCCTACTAGGTCCCCGAATAGGCGATAAACCTTTCATGGCCTTCATCATAGTTACCTTTTACTGGAATCTTGGTGACAAAAAAGATGGACCCAGCATCATTTCAACCTCTTCATCAATGTTGTTTTTCATTGCCGGTATCTACGTTTACGGCGCTGCAGCTTATGTGCCATCGCTTAGTTTGAACAGCTCTCTTTTTTATCGAGAGGTTGCAGATGGCTCCTGCTTCGGTAACGAACAAATCGCGCATAGATACTTACTTCACGAGATGCAGTCGCTCACGTTCGAGTTTCTTTCTCCATATTGATAAGCTGTAGTTGTGGATTAAGTAATTTCATATGTAGAGCGAAGCGGAATATCAAACATCACCGTCATCTAGATCCTTGTTCTGGCAACCTCATATGCCAGGTCCCTTCTCTTAGTACTCTTCCAAATCGTTCATCGAAGACTCAGCGCTGTGCATTTTTACGTCGACCTTCTTCATGGGCACCATCGCAGGGGCCTGAATCTCACGGGAAATATGTTTGTTTTGATTCTCCTTTACTACGTCATCGCGATGCTGGGCATCGTCGTCGCGTATCTTGTGGCCGCGGTTTCCCCCAACATGGATGTCGCAAATACGATGCTGCCAGTGTACGTCACAACCTGCATGTACTTCGGAGGATTCTTCATCGTCTTCTCCAAGATCGGACCAGGAAGGATGGTACCCAGGATACAACAGTTAACTCTTCATCTAACTTATAGCTTCATCTAACTATAAATAGTCATGAAGGGAAGTCTAAGGTTTACTGGTGATGGTGATACTGATATCCAGGTACGTGGTGGTATGTATAGACCCACCAATCCTGACGTTAGGTTGTTAAAGTGAATCAAACAATAGCAAACTTTGACAGAAAACTGTTCCTTGTGGATGATAAAATGGAAAAATTGTGCTTATCGTAACATAATTACTTCTACAAAATGGTACTGGTTTTCATGGATCAGCTTTTTGCGCTATCCGCATGGTGCCAAGCAAGAACTGTCCACATTGTCGTTGTTAAAGATGACCTGTTTCTAATTGATTCCATTAGATTCGAGTAGAATATGAGGAGCCTGACTAATTGTGATAGGTAGAAGAACTAGTTGTAATTTAGAAGTATGTTCGAAAAACATCCTGCTGATTACACAAAGAGTTTTTGAACTTAGTAGGGTTTGCATCTTTCGCTTGTTGGCGTGGCGCTCCTGCTTCTGCCGATATGTTGTCTCTGCGTTAGCATCTTAATTGCGCACGCTGCCCGCAGCTCCCTGTCGCTGTCCCTCCTAGGTGGTGGCCTTGCCATCGTTCTTGATGTTTCTTGGTTTTGTTACAGTAGTTTTCCGATCTACCACGTGGATGTGGCCCGCACCCTCTCGTTTTCTAAACTTTCGCTTCCGTTTTTCACTTTACAACAAGCCTATTTCCCTACCTCATTTGCGTCTCCAGAGCATTTTTCTCCGAGAAAGTTACCTTCACAGGGAAGATTGTGCGCTCATCTTAATGGTCTAAAAATGAACCAGGCCTGACATCAAGATTCATTCTCTGGTTGGTTGAACACGGAAACTAGCATCAAAGCAGTCATCTTCGTCCCCTTTCTCAAGTGATTCGTCACAATATATCGAGTTGTGATTCATGACGAGCAGATCGAGGTACCTAATTTCTCTCGAATCCACCACGGTAAGGGACAGCTGTATGCATGTTGAGTGTTCACTTCATTCCTAAATCGTCCACTACTTGGGTGGTTTTTTACGAGTTTGTGTCTTGACAGAGGGTATCGACGGGTCCTCGCGACATGAAAAAGACCCTGGCAACCGGGCGTTACAGGCTCGCGATGTAATCGACATGGATTCTTATGGATTAAATTCGAAGATAATAGTCTGATGTTCATTGTTTCTAGTCACTTTCACCTAGAGGTAAAGAAAAACAAAACCATAAAAATGAGGAGGTGTGCTATGCGGATGTTGTAGAAAAGAAGCAGAAAATGAGAGAACAATATCAGACCCTAAAAACTATGCGTAACACGAAATAAAGGACGCAAACGAGAACCTAGACCTAGAGGGACATGCTTGCATGTTTTAAGTATCAGTTAATTATTTCTTCAACGTGTCTTTCAATCCAGTCTTCGGAAATCTTCAACTTGTTAATTATTTGGAACAAAGTACCCGCTTCTTCCCGTTATTTCCCCCTATTTCTTGTCGGTTGCCCCTTGTTGTTATTTCTCATCTCCCCTTATCATTTGGTGATGGACCCTAAAGAACTCAGAGGAGATGCATGGAGATTCCTGTTATAGATCTCCCAAAAGAAAGTGATATTTTGGTCTCAGCTGCACTGGCCGGATATCTTGTAGTCGGCCACCAAATGCCGCGTGATTGAGTACTTAAGTATCTATATGAACATACTTCAAATTTTCTCGGCATTTTCTGCCTGGGGTTGGTGACGTATTAAGTTTCCTTTTATCTACAACTTGTGACGACACGAATCTACTCGGCAATCTGCCTAAGATTTAGTTGGCGAATTCTACCCGCTAGTCTGTCTAGCTTGTCGCTGGATTGTCAGCATTTTCCCGACTGTTCTTGTTGATCTACAGCTTGTGCTTGTTTTTTGTGCGACGGACTGGGTAGCTTCTATTTCGAAATTTGCGAGTTGATAACAGAAGTACCATGCTGCATTCATAGGCAAGATGAGCCGGTTACAATTTATGATCCATGATCGTTGGGAAAATGTCCTTTTTGTACACTACAAGGTGGCCACGTCTAGCCTTGAATACCGCATATTGCAAGAGTTGAGCCCGTTTATGCTAGATGTCGTAGAGGCATCAGATGCAGATGGAGAGGCATCCAGAAATACAGGAAGCTCCTGCAGCTCGTTCGTATGGTTAGGTCTTGTTTTCCTAACAGAGCGCAACGTCGGACCAGGTTTTGCCCGCGATGCGTGTGGGTGGCTGCGCGATTCTCTCGGATTGCCCACGCTGATCACGCATCATGGCATCAATGTTCGGACTTACGTCGAGGGGGATGGTATTTTCTTCTACTCCCTTGAATGTGATTCTCGCCTGGCAACGTCTGGCGCCAACGTCTTCGGCATACCCTACCGCTTTGCAAAGATAGCAAGGGAATTCGCCTTCCATGCCTCGTCGGCTAAGGGAAATGGTACAAATAAACCCGTCGACGCGGATCCGGATGAAGAAGGGCAGGATCAACAGGAGGCGCCAAAGCAGGGTGATGCTGATGATATGAAAATCATGAAGACGATCGAGCCAGTGCCTAAACTGTGCTCAATGTCAAGTTGGCGGGGTGTTTCGCTGTTGTCGCGTGATGTTACACATTTGACCTCGCACGCTCCTTCGTCACAAGGGATTTCGGAAACGGTACGCATGGTTAAAGATCGCAGCGAGACTTCGAGGACTAGTGCACCTCCTGCTTTTGGTTTTGATTGCGTTTGGCAAGTACTTGATAACGCTGAGAAAAGCTTGGAAAAAACTCAATTTCATGCCGTTGTAAATGAACATGCTTCGTCGAAGATAAAGCCTCCCGAGAGAAGTGTGAAAGGTTCAGAACTAGTTGCAGATGGAGCCGATGAAAGTGGACAACAAAGTTGCTGGGAATCGAATGCGACTTTTTTGACTGAACGATATAAAGTCTATTCTGTTGGAGCTCCTGTCGTCGGTCCACAACTCGTTGGCTCTGTTCACCACGACCCATGGCCAAAAAAGCGCGCAAAGGTTGAACACATCAGACTTTGGAGGTCAACATCAACACATTAAGAATAGGATTAGATTTTCTGATATTTACACAGCAAGACCAGAAAGCTCTTTAGTCACCGTGGATTATTCCTAACTATAGCCTGCTGTTTCTGTATATTTATTGCTGCCCGGAAAAGTCGGCTGGCGTGAATATTTCTTTTTGTCCTTCATCTGCATTACTATCTTATGTACAGGTTTAAATGCTCTTAGAACCATTAGGAACCACAAGTTGAGAAAGCTAGCAAAAAATGCGGCTCATCTAAGTACCCAGCTAAGAAAGTGAGCAAAAGTAATCCTAACAGCAACACATGGTAACAACGCTGGATATGAAAAATACACGTATACCATAGTTTAGGTCCCATTATAATCCTACTACCGCTAAGAAAACGATCCTTGCGTCCGCGAGAATGCGGGAGACGAGAAGCCACAACAGAGTGTGCAAGGAAGTGTTACGCCTCCACGAAGCGGTCCACCTGCCTTCGGTGAAACTAACATGAAGACAGTCGAAGACGTTCTGGATTCCTTGGTGAATAAGAGACGGCCGGATCATGTATGTTTTTCCTCTGGAGTTGGTCCCGTTTGCTTCGATCCTTTACAACCTTGGACCAGGCGTTGAATAGCGTCGTTAAGATACGTTTACGTAGTTATGCGGTGGAGCATATTAAGTAACTTTAACACAGGAGCTGAACATGGCAGTAAGAGAAATGGTGGCACTTCGACTTGTAAAAATTGTCTTATCGAATTCTCTACGACTTTTTTGGTGAAGGAGTCTGAACTTCCGCATCGACAATCAGCGTCCCCAGTAAGAATGATTTTGCTCATCGTTCGTCTTTTATTTTTAACACTTACTCATCCACTTCTACGTGCACTTCCTTCTTGTTTCGCCATGTTGAAATAATCACGCGAACAATCAAAATGCGAGTCTAAGATTCTGAAACGTGGAAAGGAATGCGATTGTAGCTCATACATAGAGAAGTAGGATCTACAACATGCATCGAGCGCATAACCGGAGATTGCTATTCTTGAAGAAATGAATATGCAAGGCCTGGTCTATCATGATAAGGGGTTGCACAAAAAACAACAAGTTGTGATAGGCATAGTTGATGGAGATGCTCTTTCACTTGTGCAGCTGCGAATAAGGGACACACTCACATCTACATGGAAGAAACAACAGTCGATTCTTTTCGAAATGTTGTGGGTGTGCACAACAGGTCCAAACACTTACTTTTTTTGCAGATGTGAAATTATCTTGCCTCTCTCAAAGGATAGGTAGTTCGATCATCGGGATTGAACTACCTATCATCTCAATCTCTATTACGCAAGAAGAGAGTGTCGTGTGTTCTCTGCCTCTCCCTCTGACCTTGTCCTTATAAGGATGAGCTTTAGATATAGAAATACAGATGGCACCTGCAACGTCGCGGCTTCGGACATTATGATGATCACTGCTATGCGTACTGGTGGCAGTTTCTTTGCATTGAGATGTCATGTAGAAGAGGTGCCGGTAAGAGATTACAGTCAGTGATGAGCGACGAAGCCTAACGTGGGCATCTCGTCTGCGATGCCTAAGTATTTCTACTGTAGTACCACACTTGTCCTAGTCGATGTAGAAATTAGGCATAGCATTGGACGAGGAGATATGAAAAAGTAGAGAGGGGGGTTGTAAAAAAAAGATGAGGAGTGAATGTCGTAATGTAGAGGGGGTGAGAGCTGTGAGCGCAGTAGGCGAACAACTACTAGATGAAGTATTGCTTAATCGAAAACTCAAAGTAAGCGAGTTACTGAATGAAATGAGAGAGTCTTGACTACATTCCTCTTCTTTCACAGTATCTCCCTTATTTTCCCTAGTTACTCGCATATTTCAGTTTATCGAATAGTTTAGTAAGGCTAAGAGCGAGAAGGCCCAAGTGGATTATAGAAACCAAAAAAGAAAAATACGGAATAGGGCTGATTTGAGGCCCAATAAGTAGTGGTCCGTTCTTTACAAACAGCTTGCGAGTGTGCATGGTATTCACTCTCATTGATTTCCTTAATGATACAACAGGAGGTCGAGATTAGGAAAGCTTAAGCTTTTTCAAGAAGTAAAAGAACTAGTGTGGTTATAGTTGTATGCTACTTGCAGTAAAAAAATACCCATAATATTTATAGTGGATTAATTGAATTTTTGACTGAGTGAACATGAAGATGGGACATCTCTTAAATCTATCAGCGGTGAGTTGAAGCGCTTGTGGATTTCTCTCAGTTTCCCAACTTGCTCTTTCTGTTTCGGAAGATGTTGAAGCATACGTACGACTATTCGGATTACCGGGTGCTCCTCTTGTCCTGCGGTGGCGAGGTGCTGTCCCCTCCGGAGTATGTCATCACGGGCCTGGAGGACTTGCTCGCCGAGCGGTTGGCTGAGGGCGATGAGAGCTTCGTGGTCGGGGAACATTTGATGCACGCGCATACTGTTCCCAGCATGCAGGAGAAGTACAAGGTGCCGCCCGTTTCGTTAGGTGGGCCGTCGCTCTTCTCTGAGCGGGACGCGGCGAACGTATCCCTCGCCGTGGAGGAGGAAATGCGCCGAACGGGATCCTCCGTCGAGGAACAAGTGCAACGAAAGATACGCCAGGACGACGTGTTGCGCAGTGTGGGCAATGATTCTTCGACCAGCCGAATGACTGATCCGGATCCAAGCCGCGTTCTTCATAAGTCTCAGCGATTCAACAATCACCCAGACCAGGTCTTGCTTTTTCCGATCAGGAATAGATACTACTACAGAACTTGTTCATCGAAGAAATAATGAACAGAAGAGAGATAAGCCGCGTCTGGATTTTGCCTACCTTTACAACTACAACAGTTTGCGGTGCCGCAGAACGAGGAGCGACGGAATGAATATCTACGACGCAAGCAGGAATTGATTACAGAGCGATGGAATTTGGATCCAGTGGATTTGAATGCTATGGATGCACACCAAGACGAAAAGGAGCGCGTACAACGCGTCCTCGCGGATTTGAAGGCCGAGGAAGAACGACAGGCTTCTATGGTAGTACGCCGAGGAGGAGCTGGCGGAAAAGCTAAGAAGAACGCTGCTTCCTTCGGCCAGGTTGACCAGAAAACCTTCTTGGGCGGGGTCACAGCAGCGGGTGCAAATATCTCGGCCACTACTTTCGGCGCCGTGGACGTCGTACATGACAAAAAACCAATTTTTCCTGATGACGAATGGCCACCGCTGAAGAGGTATGCACAGGTTGTGGGCCGTCCGAACAGTCCGGGTGCTCTCACGGCTGCGCAAATGCTGGGTCTAGAAGAAACTTATGACCGAGGCACGAAAGCGACCGCTGCTTCTGCTGCCTCGCCTCCTGAAAGTCCGACGGGTGGCGCATCTCCTCGTGAAGCTTCTTCGACATCACCACGTAAGGAAGAGAGCGGCAACGGAGGAGCCTCCCCAAGAGATGGGACCAAAGTGGCAGGAGCAGTGGGTAGCTCCCCGAAACAGACGCGGCGCCCAACTACGATGGAGCAAAACCCGGTCCCAGGAGCGGGCACAACAACGGCTGGAGGCTCTTCGCCCAGCAACTCACCGAGGCCACGGGCCGCACGTCCAAGTGCAGCAAGTAACGGAAGTAATGGTAATACGGGAACAAATGGTAACCACGACGCGACCGCGACTACATCAGCTAAAACCGGCGCAGAATCAGCTGCGATAGATAAGAATCAACACGAAGAGAAAATAGCACAGCAGCATGATCATATAGACTTCCCGGAAGACAGCAAAATGCTATCTTCTGTGCCGGAGCAGAGCGAGGTTTTAGATGAGGCAGATTCGGTATGGAGCGACGACATGGGTCCTTACTCTCACGAATACTACCACAGCGAGGATTTTCTAAATCGTCCAACGAAGTGGCTCCGGTACAAGCGCGAAACCTACCTAGATCAGGTGCATCGAGGGATAGAGATCATGGAGCAATTCTTCATCTATCGAACAGTGCCAGCAGACCGAATCTACAAATACGACTTTTCGCAAGTGAGCGACGAACATCCACAGGACATACTCGATGCCTTTCTGCAGATGCCGGGAAGGAAACTCATTTACTATGTAGGGCACACAAGTTTAGACGGAGGCTGGTTCTTCACTTGGAGAAACTCTGTCGGCATGCCGGATAACTGGATCCTACGACCTGCTGACTTCGAGTACTTACTTAGCATCCTCGTCCTCCTCATGGGACGTCTACGTTGTAGTTGCGTTTCTCGTGACTGTAACGTCGCTGCAATCAGAGATGGTACCCCTATAATCTCAAGACTATCATTGCCGCAGCCATCGCGCAAAAAAAAGCGAGTGCCGGTACCGGTCCTAGTTCTAGTATAAAAGCAAAACGATATACTTGTTTGGTCGTTAATGTTGTAACCACTCTTCAGATTTGGCCCTCCGGATCGAGGTGGGACGCCGTTTTTGATCGTAGACGGTTCATACACGAAATGTTGGATGGAGCCGAGTTGTAAGTTCATTACCCTCGCCTGCATTGACGGCCCAGCGGACGGCGGGGGCCGTCGCGGCCCCTTGCTTACACGATCGCTTACAGGCATTGACGTCCAAGAGCAGTTGCGGCCGACAGCGGAACTTCCTCCACAGGAGAAAAAAACTGACATTTTCGCACTTGACTTCTCGACAGAGACGGACGGCTCTTTGGAAATGACTCCAGATCCAGGTCACGGTCGCTATGCAATGGCCTTTTGGCAAAAATACAATACAAAATACGGCGGCGCTTTCAAGGAGTCAGACACGTACTTTGACTTCTATCCCTCCCCTGCATTTGTCAGAAGATTCTGATTGAATTTCTCTTGCCTAAAACTATCTTCATTCCTCATCTTTTCCCAAGCATGATTGAATTCATGGGAAGGTCGTTCTTGTGGTTGAGTCTTGCATTTGCACTAACATTACACTTAGTCTGATAGGCAGTCTAAAAGTGTCAAGGTCGTTCTCCTCCTGCGTTCAGGTATTTGCCTGCTCCGGCTGGCAGTAAGATTCGTATGGACGACAACTACGAGGACAGCGTTGTGGTTAGGTTGCCTCTGTATATTGTTTTGTACAACAAGCCGACCATGGACGCGGTATGGTCATTGCGTGCGGTCCTTGAGGTCGCGACGTTCACCGAATTACAGAAGGTGCGTGTGTTCGGAATTCTTCCTTTGATTCTCCTGATAATAGCAGGTCAGGGTGAGCAGGTGTCGCGGACGGATGTGAACGCCTTTGGCGGAATAGGCACGGTCAAGGCAGGCGTTGGGGTGACACTTTCCAGTTCCGCGAACGCGGAGGCACAAGACACGGCGCAATGCATGATCGATGCATTAGAGGGCGCGGGCATGACGGAAGACGCGATGATGGCGCTCGAGAAGTCGAAGGCTGTCGTGGCTAGCGGTCAAGCTTCGAAACTCGGAAAAAAGCGCATGCAGCTGGAAAAAGAAGAATCAGAGCGTCAATCTTTCGCAGCAGGTGACAAAACATGGATGTTCAAAACAGAGCAGGATAACAATTACAAAAAACAAAAAGAAACAGAAAAGCTCGCAAAAATTGCTGAAGAAGAGGAAGAAGAAGAGCGCAGACAGCAGGAGTACTATCTGATCGAGATGTAGGACTAACAATCACGTGTACTATGGGTCGACTCACCCGTAATTACCAACACATCTTCATACAGTTTCACAATGTTGTCAATACCTAGACCTAGAGAACTTTCATTCGACCAGAAACTCTAGAAGTACTGGCTGAAGAACTTTTAATTCGCCTCCTGCAAATACAGGGCCATCGCTGGTGCGATCGAGGATCAAGCGAAAGCAATGTCGCGAGGTGGCATCACGCCAATGCGCAAAAATATGGCTTCCAAGTAGCAAGACACCTCCCTACTCTCCTCACTCCTCCTTTTATCGCTAGTGTCGTCTTGCTAGTTGTCAAGACGAGAAGTGGGGAAAGATGTAGCTAGATTAACCAAGTCGGTTAAGCAAGTAGAAATTGTCACAGAAACCGTTGTCATGATCTTGAACAGAGTTGAAGATAGAGATACAGAAGATGTTGTGATTGTTATGATGATTCTCTCTAGTCCAATCTCGTCCGTTCATATGAAAGACCGGTGGCAAGGGTGTGCGTGGGGCGGCGTTGAGCGAATCAGCCGAAAACGCCATGATGCGGAAGGAGGCTGTGCTAGTGTTGGGCCTGATCGCAAAGGTTTAAGGCTCAAAGTAAGTTAGTAATTCATCTTTATTCACAGAGTTTTATTGGTCTCAGTTGTCGCTATTACAATCTTTGCGTCGTGAGATCCATCGTGTAGACCATCTATGACGCCCTTAAGGCAGTCTGCGCTGAACTTTGTGCGAGATTAGTCGCATTGTGTTGTATTGTTATTTTCTTCTTGGATTCTGAGTAAACGACGAGAGAACCCCCTGCTGGGTATATCAAGATGAACATGAAGGTACTCAGTAAAAGATGAATTGAGATAAATATAAATATATTTCGAGCGCTAAAAGATGTTGCGGTTAGATGAGATCGAGAGAATGGCTTTGCCGGTGCTGACGGCGTACACTAGCGAAAGCAATAATTTCAGTGGGTGGATCACCCTGGCCAAACTTGGGGAAGCCTACGTTACACAAACCAAAGGACAGCAAGCGATGAGAATACGCACAAAGATTTCGGCAAAAACATGGCAAGACAAGCTGGACGAGTACTACGAGGCGAAGACGGAAGCACTGGCCAAATGTGGACCCGCGCTGGTGGCTGTTCCTGCGCAACAGCTGATCCGGGACTGTGACAAAAGCTTGCGCGCGTTAGTGCGATTAAGTGCACCTTTGCCGAGGTGGTGCCGCATGGAGTCGCTAGAGGAGGCGCAACAAGGATGCCGCCTGCTTGCCGAAGGCAGTCTCGTCAATCCCAAACTGTGTTTCAGAACCTGCATCTATGGCTTGCCTGCTTCTATCTTGTTGTTGTAAGTAAGTATGTATTTTTCCAGAGGTAAACATACGAAGACGGAGGATTGAGAATCTTTGAAGACCATTTCTCATTTCAGAGATATACAGAGTACAAAAAAATATAACCAAAAAAAAATACTCACCCTCAGCTAGCTCAAAACTTTTCGCGTTGTTAAGTTGCGCACTTTCTATGGCTAGCTAGTTGCGTAGTGTAGTCCATGGAGGATCTCTGCGGCCGGAGGCAAGGGGGTCAGGACTCAGAGACGCAAGCGCAGGTCGTTGGCCATCCATACAGGACAAACGCGCGAGAATGTGACACGGCTGCGGGTAGATGTGAAAAGGAATGCGTGGCGCATTGGTCTCATGGGCCCACGCTCTGAACTTTGGGACTTCGAGGTCGCGAAATGTGTCACAAAAAAGGGGTCCACGGTGTCGCTTACTGTGTCACCAAACTGGGGCTTACGATGTCGCCAACTTTGCCCACCGAGGTAGTTTTTTCCTCCCCGGTATGATTTGGAGAGGCGACCTCAGTGACTTAGCCGCATGCTATGACGTAGGCAAAGCGAAGGCGCGAATTTCAAGCCAGCAAAGTGGTGGGATCCTAGTAGGCCCACAGTCACAACAAGAGGCCGAAAGTGGCGACTTCCCACGTCGCGAACTTGAAGAAACTGCGCAGCAAACTCGACCCCTTTCTGGACCCCCTACGCGCGCCCCTCTTGACAGCGAACCCTTTGGCCTCTATCGTTCGGATGGGGGACCCACTCGGCCAGCAGATCGCTACTCGCTACTTCCCCGACACTTCAACACCCGCTGTTCCCTTGTGGGCTTCGCTTGTGTATCTGGCCAGCTTCGCCCGTCTGCGTCTCCGAGGCACAGTCTTGCCGCTGCCGGGCTGCAGAGATTCTCTGTCTGTTATCTAATTTGCCAGCTAGTAGGCCCAAGCGTTTTAAGGTGATGGAAAGTTTTGAAGTAGCTGCGGGTGAGTAGTTTTTTTTGGTTATAAAAAACTCGAATTTCTTCGACTTTTCTTCTTGCAAAAACTTTCCTGATCTCTTCCTACTTATCTAATAAATGCGCTTCCCGTTCGATCCAGAGGTGCTGCGGTGGGGCCTGCGGGCGCTTGCCCGCGGTGGGTTTGAGTTGCTAGACAAAGAACATGCGTATATTCCAGTTTTGAACGGGTTCACGCTCAAGGGAAATGGATTGGATGAGACTTTTGCGTCAGCGTCACTCTGCTTTGAGAAATTTCTGGCCAATGACTTGTGGAATTTCAATATATGGGACACAATTGCGATGTTTCTCACTCTCATATGCGAACGAGGTTGCGCAACGCAGGTGTGCAAGGGACTGCTGGCAGTAAAGAGTTTCTTATTTTACACATAGTACTTAACACACGACAGATGTTCTATCTTCAACATTCTCGTCATCCACGTTTGCCGTTCTTGGGTCTGCATTTTTGTCCAGCATATCAACTTGGAGATGAAGTTATTTACTTCTATGAATAACCAGCCTTCTTCAGGCGTGCATTTCTTTGCATCGGCGTTTCCTGCGGGACGGCGAAGCCCCGGTTCATTTTACTTGGCGACCGCTTACTTGCGCGGTCCTCGCGGGCGGGAGTAAAGCGATGATAAAAGATCAGAAGGCACTTGATACGATCATCACCGCGATGGCAACTATCGTCGAATACGAGCGCAAGAGAGGTCACCACACCAATGGAAACTCGTTGGCGATTGACTTGGTAAATCACTGGGATCAGTTCCTGGCGCGTGCGGAAGTGCAAGAACTCATTCCGGCATATCGGTATTTGGTGCGCATGCTCAAACAAACGTTCAATCAGCCGGAGGAGCTTAGGGAGATAGCACGAAAGAAGAAAGAGGCGCAGCAACTCTTCCTCGACGATGAAAGCAACAAAAAAGGCAAAAAAGGTAACAAGCAGAAGAAGAAAAAGAATCAGGCAGGGTCTCCGGATGGCGCTGACGACGATTAGAGAGCGAGAGGACCCTTCGCATTCTGCAAACGCTACATCATGATTCCCGTTCGCCATATTCTAGCGACTCGCAAACTTCTTTTAGGCTGTAAGAAAATGATACTTCCGCACTATGAATCGCAATATTTTTACTTAGTTTATTACACACTATCTTTGCATAAATAAAAATGACTTCATGGTACCAACACGCGTTTTGTGATCCACCACGTCAATATTTCCCTATCTCAATTTGATGAATTCATGCTAGATGTTCTGACTCCGACGCCGCAGTTCAAGGTCTATCCTTGTTGGTTCACTTATTTCGCTATTTTGACTTGTCTATGTTTGTGTTGTATCGGGCTGGCTCTACAGGTTGAGGAACTGGCAGACATAACGAGTTGGTCCGTCACCTTCGCCTGCTACGAAGGAGAAAAGCAACATGTGGAGTTCTGAGTTGTGATTGATCATAAGAATTAAAATTCCCATGCCCAATGTCGTCCTTGTTCTTGTATCGCCACGAAGCATGGTTTCAAGTTCAACTAACTCATTGAGCCAAAGAAACAGTAGGGAGGCTGCAACCTCTGCTTCCACCCGTCATGATTAAACTGTTACTCGTCTGATTCCTATCATTTACATTTTCTCGTTTCTGAAATACATCTGATGATATTGCAAATAGTACGCGCTTGCTTATCGATGTCGTTTCCAAAGCGTTAAGTGCTTGATTGATTTCGTTTGTGCATTGAATGATCCCATTCCCATACAGTTTTCTCAACACCGTGTATGAATATACGCGTTCACATGAATGAGCTGCCTGTTGTTATAATGGTGTAGTTTCTCAAATGATAATGAACAATCTTTTTGTGCTAAAGAGTTACGAAAATCAATATAATTGCTATTTTTACTCGGAGGACGAAGATGAGTCGGAGTGTCATTTTGAAGCAGGAAGACTTATCTACTAGTTTGCTCTGCTCGATTTTCTTGTTCATAGCGCGAGCTCTCCGAAGTAGCAAGCGGTGCTCTGGTATACTCGATGTCAAGACCATCCCAACAATTCCAAACTAATGGGTCTAATTCTTTTCCACCGTCCCCTTACTCGTTGGTCTCGCTTCCGCCCAGGTGTGTCGTTCTCGTGGGATTTTCGACAAGACGCAAGCAACGCGCGCCACGGGTTTTCTCTCACAATATAGCTAGTTGTTAGATATCGCGAAAACCTTGGGTCTTCTTTGCCATGCTCTAGCCCCTCGTGTTTGCCTTGGCTGTTGCCTGTTTTGTTCCACCTCGCACTCGCTGCTCCCACGGCTTTGTATGCCTTCGCCTTCCTTACCTCCGCTTCCTTGCCTCCGCCTTCTTGCTCCCACCTTCCTGCCCCCACCTCCCTACCCCCGCGTCCATGCCCCCACCTCCCTACCCCCGCGTCCATGCCCCCGCGTCCCTGCTCCCGCGTCCCTGTCCCCCTCTCTTTGACTCCATATCCTTGCCCACATATCCTTGCCGACACGTCCTGGCCTACACATCCTTGACTCCCCACCTTCGCCCTTGCGTTTTCCCCTCCCCTATTTCTTTGACGTCTTCTAGTTAAGATTGGACACGTACTAGGTAAGACAGGGCGCATTCTCGTTAAAATTAGACACATTCTAGATGAAGCTAGAAACTTTCTAGCTAAAGCTCGGCGCTTACTAGTTACTTAAAAGAATTCAACATATTCCAGCTAAAACCAGGCGCGTCCTAGTTAAAGTCTGACACTTATTAGCCAAAACCCACTGCGCACACTCTAACTGAAGGCTGGCACTTACTTGCTCAAATTCTTCCGCCCCTGGTGGGAAGGGAGGCCAAAGCCTCTGCGAGGCGCTGGCGCGTGTAAACACGGCGCCAGATATTCAGACACGTGAATGCACTAGACAACAAAATGACGAGCATGAGCCCAGCGAGTGCCCCGCATACCTCTGACTGAGAAACAGCGAGGCCGCGCTCTGTGCGATGTCGACGAGAGCAAAAACGAACCGCGACCGAAAAAGTACAGTCTGGATTTCGTTCGCCATTTTCGTACGCGTTCGCTGGAGCTCGATCCAAAGACAAAGTCTGACACGTACACACGAGACCAACAAGGGAGGCCCGCTGCTGAACGACGAGCACGAGGGAAGCAAACAGGGACACGCGACAAAGGCCTGGAGCTCGGTCAGTTCTCCCGACCTATTTGCCTCGGTCTCGCCTTGCTTCCATTCTCTGGAAACATACCCTGACTACGCATCTCGTGATATTTAATCGGCTGCGTCACAGCTTGCACCTCTCTACTTCCCTCCCTCGTTGCTTCTTGTATATCCCTCGCTCTCCCTCTGTGGTTGTGTGCTCGTTTTGGTCGTTTTTCTATCGCAGGGGTAGCGCTAGCGAATCTCCATGCCAGTCGCCTTCTATTTCTTATATTATTTATATTGTTGCATTATTGTGGCTGCTGTCTTAGTACAAGCACACACACAGCGCGTGCGCGCGGCTTTCGTGCTGTGCTCTGTGAAGTTTACTGCTGATCGCCTTGCTGCTGTCGTGGCTTTCGCGTGTTCTCACTCTCTCAGCGGCAGGCTTACTGCAGTGCCCTCCCACAAATACAAAGAAAACTGCCGAGCGTCTTGGGACCAGTTACCCCATTCGCCGACAGCTACGCGACTGATCTAAGCACGACCAAAAGCCAGAAAGTGCGCAGCCGCTTCGGAGCTGGCTACTCCATACAAAGAAAACCGCCGAGCGTCTCTCCTGGGACAAGTTACCCCATTCGCCGACGACGACGCTGCTGATCTAAGCACGACCAAAGGCCAGAAAATGCGCAGCCATTTCGGAGCTGGCTACCCCATGCTAGGGCATGGCCTAGGCCTTGGCCTTGGTGGCTCTCATTGCTGGGCTACTCCTCTCGGATGGGAGAAAATTGGCTCGCCCCTACGCTTGTGCTTGTGATGTTGAAGCACCCAAGTGGCCCCATGCGCGTGGCTTGGCCGGGATATGGCGTGGCGAGCCAGCTTGTTATACTCATACTTATATTGCCGCCTGGTGCTCTTGCTCTTGCGCATATTCTGACGACGGTCCCAGGATCGGCTTGCCACCACTGGCGCAAGCACCTACGAAAACACGCAGAAGGGAGGGCGCGCGCTTGACCTCCTCGCCACCCCGGAAGGTGCCGAAAACCGTGCCAGAAAATGCAGGGGATAGGGCCCCAAGCTCACCAGCACAGCACACCTCCCAGCCAGCACCCTGGGCGGAAGTTGAGGGACATCAGGAGCCGCACCGCGTGCAACTGGGTCGCAAAATTGTTCGCGCAGCTGTCCCTGCTGAGCTGGCGAAAGGCCTGGATATGTATCCGTGCCAAGCCCCTGGCAGACATCTGGCCCAGCCAGAGCGGCGGGTGAAGCAAGGAAATGCGAAAGGCCTTGGCAATGCTTCTGGGGCTTTATATCGGGTCTCTTCGCTGGCAGGCAGCTAGGAGCACGCTACCCGGAGCACCGGCGGAGCCGCTGCGAGTGCACATAATTAACGACTCTCAGTCTGGCGCCACTGACTAGGCACACAGGGACAGGCCGGCTCGAAGGAACAGGAACAGGAAGGCGACACGCCAAAGCAAGGGCAGCGCAGCAGGCAAAGGGAAAGGAAACTGTGGCAAAGGAAAAGGGGGGACTGGAAGAGCGGGCCGCAAGGGGACCAAGGGAAAGGCTGAGAAGAAGAACCATCCGGGCCATGGCAAGAACAGCCACTGCCACACGCTGGAGCAAGCTGCCCAGCTGCAGGCGTCGGAGCTGGTGCCCGCGACGGACTGCGGAAGCAGCACCAGAGAACCCCCGCGCTTTGCCTGTAGGAGCCGCAAAGGCTGAGGCAGGGTGAGGGGCGACCGCGGCGCTGGAAACTTGCTGCAAAAAGCGGCTTGAACACGGGGAGCCGCCCTGACAGCGCAAGCTTTCGGGGAACGCGTCGCAGGTCGTCTCGCTGATGCTGATGCGAAGGCCGTTGCGCTCTCGCTCTGGGGCAGGTTTCGGGCTCGCGGCCCCACGGGGAGGGAGGCCGTGGGGGTGGCTTTGGCTGACTACCTGGCGAGGGCGCGCCTCGACAGCGCCAAGCGCAGACGAGGGAGGCTGAGAGGGACGGCCCGCGCGCCGCTGTCTTGCTTGGAATGGGTAAGGACGGTGGACGGAGGGGGCCGCGCGGGTCTGCGACGCGCCGCCGAAGATGATCCGCGTTGTCTGTGTCAAACGCTTGCAGACGGTCCACCCCTACCCCGAGGCTGAGCTGCAAGCTCAACGCGCTGAAGGTCCCGCGCTTGGCTTGCTGCGGGCGTGCCCAGGTGGTGCCGCTTCGTCTTGCTCGGGCAGGCGTGTTTGTAACTTTTGAAGAGCCGCCGGGCGCTTTGCTATCTTATGCTTAGGCTTACATCGCAGGGCAGCCAATGGAGGGAGCCAGTCCCTTCCACCTGGTGAGAGCGCTAAAACGTCTGAGAAGCCCGCGGCGGAAGAACTTACCAGTACCATCACCAGAGCCAGACTGGGACGACCTCGAGACAGCAACTGCCACGACGTCAAGCAAGGAAGCGCATCCTTACTGTGCTCTTGGTTCTGCTGACTCGTGAGGGCACTCGCAAAGCATTGAACCAACCTGGCCCCCAGTCGCTGTCGCAACCGCAAGGGGAGCCAGCTGCAGCGGCTATCGCCACTATGTCGCCAATGCGGAAGATGTTAGCAGTGCACCTGCAGCGCCTGGGCCCGTCTCTGAGTTTTCTAATTATCTGCCAGCTAGGCTCACTGGGCAAGTGTTTGCACTCAGCTCGGGCGGGTCTGTCTCTGGTTCGAATCTTGGAGGGGACTCGACTGGCGTGGAGGCTGCTCCCAGACTGGTCACCGCCCACACCCAGGGGAGAAAAGTGCGGGCGTTATCGTGGATCTGTGATCTGATCGAACTCCAAAGAATATGAAAGCGGGGAGTCTGGTGGCGTGGAAGAGTGTGGGGGCTCTAGTGGTGTCAACGAGTAGAAAGGCCACGCACTGAGATCCCCGGCAGTGTTGTGAGCTTTGTCATGTTCTTCATGTTCTTGAGATCGTAAGCATGTCGAGACAGAAAGGCCAGGAGAGTCGGAACAAGGTGGCGAACGTCGTGCCCATTCTCATGCCCATGAAGTCCTCCCGCCTGCCTCATTTTGTAAGTAGGCGCTGAGTCGGCTGGCCTGGGGCTGGTGCATGCACAGGCTGCGCGCTTCCCACTTTTTCTGTGTCTCCTGTTCTTCTTTGTGTAACAAACCGATGAGCCAGCCAAGTAGTAACAAGTGGCCGCTGCGCTTGTTCAGGCAGTCAGCCCATACCCATAACCATAGAGCAACAGCAAGCGCAGCGGGCTACTTGGTTTTCGCCTCTGTCCCCAATTCGTGGGGGCCCACGAGCTGCGACCGCGGACTCGGGCTCCTCTGCGCGTGTCGTTTTGAGGGGCGCGGCGTCTGCAATTCGTGGGGGCCCACGAGTTGCGGGCTCGGGGACCTTGCGCGCGTCGGCGTCGCTTCTTTTGAGCCGGACGGCGTCGGCTTCGGCAATTCGCGGGGGCAATGAGACTGGACCCCCCGCGCGTCGTTTTGAGAGTGACGGTGCCCACCCAACGCCCGCGAATTGCGGCTGGACAAGTGGAGCTCTGTGGCCGTCTTGGCGCAGGTGATGCCCATGGGGTGCGGGGTATCTGCTGGCGGCGTCGTCTCTGGCGGGGGGAGTGGCTTGGTCTGGCGTCTGTTTTTCGTGGCAACCCGTGAAGAGCGGGGCGCGCTGGGCGTCATCTCTGCGCGATCGCCATGGATTTGGATGCGCTTCTTGGAAAATAGAGGCGCTGCGACTACATTACTGCGCTAGCTTTTTCGGGGAGGTGGTTCGGCTGGTGTGCGTCTTTCGAGAAGATCGCACAGACACGCCGCCACCCAAGCTGTGGAGGGTAAATATGAAAATGACGGAGGGGCTTTCATTTGATTTTTGAAGTGGCGCGCTTTGCCTTCGCCCATGAGTCAATACGAACTGTCGCTGTCGGTCGTCTCGTTTGTCGTCGTCGCCGGTCGTCGGTCTTGTCGCCTGTCGTCGATCGTCGTCTGTCGCTTGTCGTCGGTCGTCGTCTATCGTCGTCGATGGAGAAGAGGTAGAGGAGGGCAGTCGCGGCCTTGGCTACTTTTCTCGGACATGAATAGAAGAAGAGGAGGACAGCCGCAGCCCTGTCCATCTGTCTCGCTCTCGGCTCTTCTCGGGCGTTGTCACTAATAGGAGAAGAGGAGGGCAGCCGCTGCCCCGTCCATCGGTCTCGGCTTCTCTCGGACATTAATAGAAGAAGAAGGGGGCAGCCGCTGCGCCGTCCATCGGTCTCGGCTTTTCTCGGACATTAATAGGAGAAGAAGAAGGCAGCCGCAGCCTTGTCCACCGGTGTCGGCTCCTCTTGGACATTAATAGAAGAAGAGGGGGGCAGTCGCTGCCTTGCCCATGTGTCGCGGCTCTTCTCGGAGGACATTAATAGAAGAAGAGCAGGGCAGCCGCAGCCTTGTCCACTGGTCTCGGCTTTTCTCGGACATCAATAGAAGAAAAAGGAGGCAGCCGCTGCGCCGTCCATCGGTTTCGCCTTTTCTTTGACATTGATAGAAGAAGAGGAGGGCAGCCGCGGCTGTCCTTGTCTTGTTCGTTGGTCGGTGTGCTTCAATGTTTCTCGGACATTCACCAAGAGAAGGGGAGAGGGAGCAACGACAGCCCTTGGCCGCCTTTTCTGTCAAGGCATAACGCCGAAACCCCGGCCACAACCACAGACGAACCCACAAAAGACGGAGCCGCGGAGGCCTAGGTCTCAGCGATGGCGGAGGGTAAGCTTAGAGGTAGAGCGGCCCGGGCCTTCCCCCTCGTGTGAAGTGGTCCCCACCCACGAGCAACACGCAAGAAACCGACCGCCAGCGCCAACCTGAGCAACCGCCTGGGCCCTGCCCCCGGGCACAACGAGTACCCCAGCACCCCAAAAGGCCACCGTCAGCCCACTCCTCGCCCCAATATTGCACACACGCCAGAGGCGCGCGCCGGCATGCTTGGGCGTGCGTTTTTGTTTTTCGCGGCGTGGCAGCGTTCGGGCCCTTGTCGGTGGGTGCGCGTGTGGCGTCGTGTCGTGTCTTTTTCTGGTGGGGGGGATTCTAGTGAGGTAAAGTGCTACGCGTCTCTCTAGTCTAGTGCCTCATGTAAACACAAAACGGGCTGCTCTGTGTCCTCTTGTGTTTGGGTGTAGCGCTTTGCCATGGGTCTGACCAAATGACTCACGTAAACGCAAAAGCTGCCCTTTGCCTCCGGCTCTTTGCTTCTGGGGTTGTGCGGAAGTGTACTAAAAAGACGTGTCATGTCATATACTAGCTGTTAGTTAACGCAAGTGCTTGATAGAAACGGAGAATATTCCACTCCGATTTTCACGGTCAACCAAGTCCAAGGCCAAAACCTTAATCGCATACAGAAACCAGTAGGGACCCTTTTCATGAACTTTCAGGGTACAAACATCCGTGAAAATTGAGCGTGGTCTGGAAGCAGTAACCCAGGCGCCTTCTTGTCTGTTCTGAACTGCCGGATAAAATGCAGAGGCTGAGAACAGGAAAAACAGCGGAGCTTCAACATAAAAAGTGAACGAGTCAAGCATCTCGGTTCCGACACGTAGTTTCTATAGAAGTAGCGCGGTGATCATTTACAGCGGATAACCTTGTATGTAGTCGAAAAGCCGCCATCTTGTACAACAATTCCAAGGATGCTTTCCAGATCCAGTGCATGAGAATTGACTTTCTGCATGATCGATCCGTACTCAGGAGCACTCTGATTGCTTCACCGATCGTGAATAGCAATAGCGTCAACATTCATCATGAATAGTCGTTTTTTGTTTCAAGAACGCGTCTGATCAACTTCAACGCCGTCTTTTCTACATTCGATTTCTAAGGAAGGCGGAGGAGACTCGCGGACGATCAGTCCCACGGTTGAGATTGAGCTTCCTCTACAAAGTACAAATCCATAGCATGAGTAAGTGATTAATGTTCTTATGAGGCTTGCTGACTGTTGAAGTGTACAAAACTTTAGAATCGAAAAAGTAGTCTCTGTGTAGGTAGTAGCCATCATGCGATTATTTTAAAAAATTTGTAGTTGTACATCAAACCCGTCAACGCCATTATCCCGTCTTCATTCTTGAGTAATATAAAATTCTTCTTGGTATTTCTTAACGTCGTCGATGTCATTTCTGTCCACCATTTACTCCTCGTGTTGATCGCTGATTGATATAAAAATATCATAGAACAAGAATCCAGAACTACAAGAAAGTCGGACGGCCCGCAAAGACTGACACGAATCAGCTATTCACTTTTTCTCGCCGAGGAAAGGACCCACGGAGTTGCCCGTTCGCGCAGTGATGAAAACCCAGCCAGCCTCGTTTGAAGGTCTCGTCGGTCGAGAATTCGCTCGAGTTTTGCCGTAGATGCGCGACAGACCCGAGGGTAAAGGACGCGGCTGACGGACGCACACTTAGGACGCTGCAAGTGTAACGTGAGAAACTTCTTAAGTACAACAAGCATCAAACTGCATCAGCATCTTCGAACTTCTCATAATTGTCCTTGTTGGATGCCAGCCCAAGCCATTGGTTGGACGCAAATCTTCAGGAAGCAACACAGATGTTCTTGTACCAGTACCACTTCGACGACGGAATAGTCTTCAAGAACTAAAACAAACAGAAGCAGAACTAGAGCAAGCAGTTACAGCATTGACTACTACCAAGCAGAGGAAACGAAAGATCGTGAGTACTGGACTACACCTCTTCTTCATCCAGCAGATCCCGTGAAAGCGTAGTACCATCAGTGAGTTAGTAATGCAGTACTACCACGGCTTCTACTAAAAGCGAGAACTACGATTTACGAGTAATTTCTTGGACCTCCACGTTGACGTTCTTCGAAAGTCCAGCAGGGTATCGGATCTACGATAAATCAAGAGGAAATACGATTACGACTCCCTGCTCTTCTAAAGCCTTCTACTTACTCTTACAACTACACTTGTATTTATATATTATAATCTACTTCGCCGCGACTACTAGTACCTCTGGATCCGAAAAACGTCGATTCACAACCACGAAGAGCATCGATTGGAGACATTTTGCGATACCTCCAGAGGTTAAGCGCTTTTCCAACCATTGATTGGAGGCCATTTGTCGGGAACGCGCTTGCGAAACGACAATTCTAGTTCTCATTTTCAGTGGACATCACATTCACAAGTTCGTGTCCTCCTCTTTGGAGGACTACCGCTTAGAACACCTCCCATACGTGTTACGACGACTGCTTTTGCTAGTACGTCAACAACCCCTGCTTTTTATGACCTACAACTAGAAGCACGAAGAGGAAGACGAATGCCATAGAGCGGCCTTCTTACAACGTACTTCTAGAAGCACGTACGACGTGCGTCGCAGTAACCATCTCGGACTAATTCGTGTGGTTATACGTATACCGGACGATATATGTCAAGATGCCAATCGCTACGCCACAGACGGAGCTGACGCGGGAGGAGGTAGCCCAAACCCTCGAAGCCAAATACGCTCACATTCGGAATGTATTGGGCGGACAGCTCGAGCCGTGCACATCCCATGTTAGGGCTACACGTTCTTAAGCTTCCTTGTTTTCGTATCAACGTGCTGACTGCCCGTTCTTATCCTTGTCTTCATGATATCAGCATACAAAAGCTTGTTGTATATTTTTCTTTTTATTTGTTGTCGAACGATCATGTTTATGTCATCCTAACGCGTACTAGACTTAAGCGCCTGGCAGCACTCACCCCACTAGAATCCTCCGCCCTCTACACGCACCGCCCCCGCCATTGCGTGGCCCCGCTTGCCTGGCCCCTTCCCTAAGCGACAACTGTTCGGCGGGGTTGTTCGCTAGAACAGCACAGGCGCCGGGCTCTAGGTGGCCTGCGGCTATTGGAAAGGCATGCCCGGAAATGGTAGGCCCGGGAGCTTGCTGGTCTTCTGTTAGGTTTGGCATCTTTGAAGCTGCAAGGCAGTGACTGCCTTCCTTCTGGTTTATTTAAAGTTTAGGCGCCGTCGATAAAGTCAGAAACTTTGCCACTTTCGTGCGTTCAGATTTAGCGCACCGCCTTAAAATTCTTCAACGTTCTAAAGCTTTGGGCTTTATCGTCAAAAGAATAAACTTAAGCGCCAGGGCGGCGCGTTGCAGCCTCGAGGCTGAAGACTTGAAGCCCCAGGCAAGGCGGCGAAAGACTTTGCGCGCAATTTTTTTAGAGTCTTTCCTTCTTCGATAAAGTCAAAAACTTCGCACTTTTCGTGCTCTCAAATTTGAGACCTCAGCCCAAAACGCTCCAAAATCTCAAAGCTTTTAACTTTATCGCCAACAGAATAAACGTAGGCGCCAGGCGGGTGCGGGTGGCGCTTTGTAGGCTGAAGGTTTGAAGCTTCAGGGCCATCGGCTGTGTAGTTCAGAAGATCGCGGGCTCTTCAGTTCAGGAGTTTGGAAGTGGAAGGGTGAGGGCCTGCGGCTCGGAAGTGGAAGCGTGAGGGGCTGAAGCTAGGAAGTGGAAGGGTGAGATTTTGGGGCTCGGAAGTGGAAGAGTGAGAGTCTGCTGGGGTCGTTGTTGTTTTTTAATTTAGCTCTTTAATATTAGGGAGGCTGTAGCCGTTGGCCATCCTCTCGCTTACTAGCAGAGAGAATGGCAATCCTTCAGAGGACCCGTGATGAGTCGGAGCGATATTAATTGTAAATAACTTTTTTTGCTCTTCTTTTTCTAAGCCAGACGATGAAAAAGTCACTGGTTGGCACCGCGATGGATACTGCGGATCGCATGCAGAGGATCGTGGTAAGAAAATCTATTTCCCTTGTTACTTTTCATCATCATTCTGCTCCTGCTGCTGCTACTTTCCTGCTTAATGAATATAAAGCTAAGGCAGATAAGTCCTGTTCTTATTCCTGCTGATCAAAAAGAAACTAAGTACTAAAACGACAAATTACTACTATGTATTAATACATTCATAGAAGAAGAAGTGTATTGCATGCACATGCTGTGCCAGTAATATTTGCATTGTAGCCCGTTATTCTATGAATTGCAAAAGTCCTTTCTCATCGTCATTTTCAGGTTTGCACATAATTTGCGCTATCATGACGAAAGATTTTTTGGACTTCAGTGACTCAAGAGGATACAACCTCCGCCAGCCACGGCCACCATATTTCTGGGGCTTGCGAGAAGGAGATCACTGGTGCATCTGCGCCACAAGATGGTTAGAAGCCTACCAGAACGGCAAGGCCCCAAAAGTATTTTTTCCCAAAACTCTTGGCAACATTCTGACATGATCGTTATTTCTTCTTCTCCTTCAATTGTACTAAGCTCTCCGACTCTGTGTTCTTTTTTCAGTACGCCTCTAATATCTTTCGTACAAACTTCAACTCATTTTTCAGGTGAATCTGAAGTGCACAGCGGAAGGTGCCTTGAATATTGTTCCCCTTGAGTTTTTGAAGGAATATGCGGTTGACCTGGAAGCAGAGACCCCTGTTCCCCTCGACGGAGAGGGCTATCCCTGTCCGGAGTCGCTCGAGAGGGAGCGCACGGGCGAATCGGAACCATTGGAGGGAAATGTACTGCCTCCCATGCCCGAACTGTAAAAGTTAAAGCTCTGAATCGACTCGTTCTTCTTGAAGTTCCGCAATATCCAACTTGTAGTTGTACTTTCCCTCCTCTAAGAACAAGTAAGAAAATCCATCAGGTTGTACTTTTCATTTCCACCTTACTCCTAAGTAATATGGTGTTTGAGTAGATTCTCCAGCAGACGACGAGTCTTCGTGAAAACCTAGAGGGTCACGCGTCATTATAATATAAGCGATCGTTGTATCAGGAAAGAGGACATATTATTCGCGACATGAGGATTAGAGGGAGCTACCGCTACCCTCTGCGTGTCTCCTGGTGTGCCAATTTTTTCCAGCGTAACGCTGTTTTACGGTCACCATGCTGCGCAAGCTCTGAGGATGAATATGTGTCAATGCCATCGATATTGCTCAGCACGAATACCTACAGCTAGGTATCAAAACAAGTACGATGAACTTGATCTTGAACATCACAGGCAGCAATAATATACGGTGTCCTCCTCGTGGTCTGTTTCTGTATAACATCGAAATACTAGAAATTGAAAGCTAAGTCATATTCCTATTCGTCTTTATCAAAATCATGATGTTAAAGTAGATACCGTAGTCCCAGACGAAAGAATGAGCAGCTACGATGTGGCGAGGTGCGATGCACTATCAGCATGTCGTGAAACGTCACCTCCGATGTCTCGCATTCATAGCACCCAATTGTGACTCTGTGTGTGAAAGAGTGGTGTCCGGCAGACAAAGGAAAGTAGAAGACATGGGATATATAAACGCCTTATTATTTCGACTCACTGAGTGTACGAGTGCATCCTTTTTTTGAGGGCTATTCTCGCTGGTTATTTCCATGCTGCCTGTCCACACATCCTTTCGTATCAGTCTTTCGTTTCTACGGTCCACTCGTCTTTTGTTTACCTCCTGAATTCTTAGACGCACGCGCAAGTCCAGGTTGTGACGCATATACGATTCAGGGCCGGACGGCCCCCCCTCTCACTCGGCGCGGGCGCGGGTCGTGACCCGCGAGCGAAGCGAGCCGCGAGCCCTTAACCGCGAGCCGCGAGCCGCGAGCACCCAAGCGAACCTGGGGAGAAGCTGCAGGCCTTTTGGTGTCCGTCTGGCGGTCTATGTCTTTCCGCGAGCAGCCGCCAATGGGCCTGTGTGTCGCCGTAGTGGGTGTTCTTCTCGTGGGAAGCCCTTCCCCGAGCTAGAGCCCCTGGCCGTTGTCGTTGCCACGGGCCAGCGCCTACCCGTGCAAGCGTCCTGCGGTACGCGAGCCGCCTTCCCTTTGTCGTGCGCCCGAACACGAGGGCCACGGGCCTCTGCTTGCCGCAGAGTGGGCACGGGGATTTGTGGCGGACCCGTCGCCCGGGTTTTAGGAAGCTAAGCTCCGGGGGCGGGGCCAGGTTCGTCGGCTACATATCCACGCCGCGCACATTGCAGCACCGAGCGACCCGGCAACCCGCCGCGGCCCTTTGTCGGGTCTCTGCTGTTTTTCTGGTTCTTCAGTCGTTTGGCCGTATGTTCTTCGCCTCTCTCAATCAAACAAAGCAGACAGGATTTTTTTTTTGGCGGTGGCTAAAAACGTGAAAAATTTGAAGAAGAGAGAAAGCCCCCCCCGGGTTCTGGTTCATTTGTTGCGTAATTTTTTTGCAGTTCAACCAGAAGAAAAAAAAAACTGAGCGCGAAAAATGTCGAAACCCGGCCAACGAGAAGCCCACGAAGGGCCGACCCTTGGAGAGGTGGAGAGCCTACGGGCAAACCTGGCCCCCCGCGGCAGCTTCTCTTCAATGGTCAGGCGGTAACTTGTCCCCTGTGTCTCAAAGCAACGAAGAGCAGGAAGAGCCACAATGAGTGGCGCAAAATGGGAAAAGTTTGCGCCGCGCCAATCTCCGCCGAGGAGGTTCGCGCCGCTGTAGACCGAGCAGGTGACGCAGGTGCGAAGGCTTCAATGCCCCAGGTGTTTGACAAGGGGAGCAAGGCGGGGGAAGTGGCGCAAGTTGAGTCGCTCCTGGGGCTTTCGTTGGCGAACCCTCGGGAGGTTGTTCCAGGCCACAGCAGCCTGATCTGTGAGCGCGTCAACGCGCAGGCGGATCAGCGTGATCAGCGCCGCGGGCATCGTCGGAAGAGTAAGCCAGGTAAGTTTGTCCGGCCTCAAACAAGAGCAAGATCTTCATCCTTGCCGCAGAGTGGGCGCGGGGATTTGTGGCGGACCCGTCGCCCGGGTTTTAGGAAGCTAAGCTCCGGGGGCGGGGCCAGGTTCGTCGGCTACATATCCACGCCGCGCACATTGCAGCACCGAGCGACCCGGCAACCCGCCGCGGCCCTTTGTCGGGTCTCTGCTGTTTTTCTGGTTCTTCAGTCGTTTGGCCGTATGTTCTTCGCCTCTCTCAATCAAACAAAGCAGACAGGATTTTTTTTTTGGCGGTGGCTAAAAACGTGAAAAATTTGAAGAAGAGAGAAAGCCCCCCCCGGGTTCTGGTTCATTTGTTGCGTAATTTTTTTGCAGTTCAACCAGAAGAAAAAAAAAACTGAGCGCGAAAAATGTCGAAACCCGGCCAACGAGAAGCCCACGAAGGGCCGACCCTTGGAGAGGTGGAGAGCCTACGGGCAAACCTGGCCCCCCGCGGCAGCTTCTCTTCAATGGTCAGGCGGTAACTTGTCCCCTGTGTCTCAAAGCAACGAAGAGCAGGAAGAGCCACAATGAGTGGCGCAAAATGGGAAAAGTTTGCGCCGCGCCAATCTCCGCCGAGGAGGTTCGCGCCGCTGTAGACCGAGCAGGTGACGCAGGTGCGAAGGCTTCAATGCCCCAGGTGTTTGACAAGGGGAGCAAGGCGGGGGAAGTGGCGCAAGTTGAGTCGCTCCTGGGGCTTTCGTTGGCGAACCCTCGGGAGGTTGTTCCAGGCCACAGCAGCCTGATCTGTGAGCGCGTCAACGCGCAGGCGGATCAGCGTGATCAGCGCCGCGGGCATCGTCGGAAGAGTAAGCCAGGTAAGTTTGTCTGGCCTCAAACAAGAGCAAGATCTTCGTCTGTTTCTGTTGTCCGGCCTCAAACAAGAGCAAGATCTTCATCTGTTGTCTGGCCTCAAACAAGAGCAAGATCTTCGTCTGTTGTCCGGCCTCAAACAAGAGCAAGATCTTCACCTGTTGTCCGGCCTCAAACAAGAGCAGGGTCTTCATCTGTTGCGAACAAGAGATCCAGCGTGCGTCGCCTGTTGCCCGGCCTCAAACAAGGCACACAAGATCCATCCCGCGCCCCGTCCCCGAATAAGAGTTGCCTGGCGTAGGTTCATAGTAGTAACGGAAAGGATCGGAGTAGATATAAGAAGAAGAAGAATTATATAAGAATTATAGCATAGACCTAGAGGGAGTTTCACTCTTTAGGCGCGTAGGTGGTTAGCCTGCCCCTTAGGGCACTCGCGGCTCAGTGAGCCGCGATCGCGGGTCATCAAGCCACCCCCCACGTCACTCTGTGGTCTGGTCTGTGGTGGCGCGCGCGCGCGCTTTTCCGCGCGGATTTTTCGCGGGTTCTAGTGGTGGAAGGCGTCGAAACTTTGCGCGGGCCTCCCCTTGGGCCTCTCAGCGTGTTCCTAAGGGGCCTCCTGGCCTCTGCTGACCCTCGCAGGCGGGAGGCCTCCGGGGTAAAAGGCCGCCGAAGGCGGCCACGGTCGCAAAGGCAGGCAATCCGATGACCAAGGGCCCGGAGGGTACAGGCGGCACGGCTCAGGGGGTCCAGCCCCTCGCCTTTTGCCGCCTTCGGAGGCTTTCCGCAGCCGCCGCACTGCTGCGGCGGCGAAGCCGAACGGATGCACTTAGGGCACAGGCAGGCACCTGGACGGGGGCGCCGGCGGTCCCTTGGGCCCCTTTTGAAGCCTCCCACCATCATCGGAGGCCCCTAGGGAACAGCCAGGCAGCTGGAAGGGAGCGGCCGGGGGGTCACTGGGCCCCCTTTTGAGGCCTTCCACCCCCGGCACACGCCTTAAAAAGGGGGCCAGGGCGCACGGCCCCCCCCCGCTAGGGGGGGAGGGGGCGTCGCCCCGCGCCTTGGAACATATTTATATAGTATATCCTTGTCGAGAGATAGATACCTAGATTTTCTTAACAGTCTTTCTAGTAAATCTCACAAGAGGAAGTATTTCGTTCCTTCTTCTCATTGATAAAGAAGCTAGAGAATTTCTCTTCATCGATCTTCTATTTTGCGCCGCATCTTCCATTCTTATTCACTAGTTGATGAACAAGTAAAAGTAATAGTCCAAGCACCTCTTCGACTAACGATGCTGTCAAACCGGGTGCTTGCTATCCACTTGTGTCCTAACTACACTCACAAAAATCAAGACCAAAAAGAATCAAGTCGACAAGCGCAAGAACAAGATTCTTATAACTCCACCCAGAAAGAGAAATCTCGATCCATCTACTTCATCCCAAGCATGGCATATCTAAAAAAAGCAGCACACTAGAAATCAGTGTGATACTCATATATATCTAAGTTCTTCTTGTGAGAGTTCTTCTTTGTATGAGAGTCTCGTCATGATTCTACGGGGGAGTTGTACTATTTGAGAAGTGAAAAAGATGTCTTTGACGCAACAACAGCAACAACAATGATTAGATAGTAATGTTTACACCATAGCCTCTGTGTAAGTTTTGATGCTTCAAAAATCGCCAGTAAGGGTCGAACCTGAAGTACATGACCATGGCCCGAAAATTCTGGGTATATCATCTCCATCGCCATCATCATCAGCATCATCGTCATAGATGTGATGAGAATGGCCAGTCTTTTTGATAAGTGTGCCTGTGCGACACTCCACTCACCCCTCGCCCTCACAGCCTGCGAGTTGTATTTCATCGTGGTTCAATCTTTAACTTTTGAACCCAATAAACATTGCTCGTTGATGACGACCACGAATCGTCAATATTATGCCTCCACCAGCTAAATTTATCGAACATGAGTAAAACCAAAAGCTTGAAATAGGAGTTTTTTGATCTAGCAGACATCGCAATCGGCCGTTTCTTAACGTTGCGAACTGAGTAAGCACTTGACTATCCGGATAACCGCAGTGCTCTTCTTCTTCATCTTCTTCTTTTCTCGGCACCTGCGTCTTGTACTTTCGTGGCGATTTTTTAGGGAACGTCGACATCTTAACTAATTGGCTACAGGTTAGACCAAACCATCTTAAGGCGTTTCAGTGGAGTGTCGCAATTTTTCTCGTGCTGTTTTTGGCTGTTTGTGCACACACCAAACGCATGTGTTGGCGGGTGGATTTTGGGGCGGGTACTTGTACAAGCCAAACTATGTCGTGGAGAATTAAGTGACTTGCGGCCTTCATGTGGTGGATGCGTAGCCTCTTTCTTAAGCACTTTAGTTATCTCGTTGTATGAGCGTATGGGTATGGGCCCTTAGCTACTTTGCTGCTCCAATACGTGCCGGTGTAAAAACAAACTGGAGAGCAATGCAGACGTTTCCGGTTCGAGATCAGTTATTAGACTAGCCCGGTAGTTGTTTTACCTGTGTCATCGGTTTCGATGTTGTGACGCCGCAAATTTTCATCATACTGCTTTTCATGGTCGTAAAAGTTACTTTGAATGTTTGACAGTGTGCAGCACGTAAATTGACAGTCTTGGTGCACGCCTCCACTTACTTTCTGGCGTTGCCATTGGTGTTAGGGTAAATTCTTGAAAATCAAAAGCTGAAGGATAAACTGTTTCGCATCACGACCGAGCCAGTTGTATTCAGGTAACGGATTCTGTTACGTAACCACCCTCCCGCGTCTTCGTAGAAAAGTTAGCAGCTCTTGTATTTTTCTGAAAAATTTTTGGATAGCTGATCATCTTCTGGCAATCTTTATCTTAAATCAATAGATTACTTTATCTGGATTGCGTTTCTTTCAGCTAATTTCAAAATGGCGACTACTCCGCGATCTGCTGGCAGCAACAAGAAGTTGCAAGTGTTTACAGCTGAGGAGGTGGCAAAGCACAACAAATTGGGGGACCTTTGGCTCATCATCGAAGATAAGGTCTACGATGTCTCGAAGTTTGCAAATGTCCATCCTGGTGGAAAGTTAAGGCCGATGTAACTTCACTGAGTCACTAGTAGTGTTAGAACTATTCGAGGATGCTACAACAAACCTCTTAGATGATAATCCGCGCGGGGTGTAGGTGTTGTAGATGTAGACCAGGCACCATCCTTGATGCAGCGGGTGTCTCTTTCATGTAGTGTTGTAGCGGCTGTTTTTACCAAGTAACCATGTTACCAATCACATACCTCTAACAAAAACCATCCTTCTCGACATCGTTGGGAATGAAGCTACGCAACACTTCTATGCGTTCCACCGAACAGAGGTTCATATGATAAGCTTGAATATTAGCTTTATGTTTCTAGGTAAGGAGGATAGAGCTGCTATGTCTGGCGGCATCGTGCGTACGGTGGCCATGGTCACCATCTATTGCCTATCTGTGGGAGCACAGCCATGACACTATGAAAAAATGAATCGAACAAAAGGTATTGGAAAAGTACCATTCGAAGTTGTGCATAGGGAGGGTGGCGGGCGCGAAGCCAGCCAAGGCGTTCCAGCCCGATGTCAAGAAAGTTAACGTGTTGTCTGCTCCCGTCGAAGAGTTGAGGAAGCATCCTCTGATTTCGAAGACTCCTTTCGGCGAGTCGGCGAGTATGAAAAAGCACTATGCCTCACCGTACATAAACGATTCTCACTTGCGCTTTCGGCTGGCAGTTCGAGAATTCTTGAAATCATGGCAGCCAGAGACCGAGGCAATGGAGGAAGCCGGAGAGTATCCCTCAGTGGAACTCTGGGAAGCAGCGGGAAAAAGCGGTATACTGGCTTGCAGCATTGGGATCATGGGGATGCCTTACGCGAAAAAGTTCGGAATAGAACTACCTGGTGGCATCAAACCGGAGGACTTCGATTTCTTCCACGAACAAATACTGCACGAAGAGAGTGTCAGAGGAATGGCGCACAGGTACTTATCATCTGTAGACATAAGCCTGTTGGCTGTTGCTGATGGTGAACTTCATACGAGGTTTCTTCTTGGTGGAGGCCTGATAAGATACTAGCATTGCGAATCTACTTACAGATTGCTTATGTCTACTATCTCTCTATCTACATATATAATTTACTTAATTACTTTCCGATTTTTAATATGTACTTTTTTTAGCATTGGCGACGGTTTAACAGCTGGCTTCAACATCGGTTTACCGCCAATCATTAATTTCTACCACGGCGACGACAAAGATGAGATGGTCCGCAGTATCATGCTCGGTGAGAAGAAGGTCGTACTTGCCATTACTGGACCCGAAGCAGGATCCGATGTAGCAAATCACACGACAGTCGCGAAGAGAAGTGAGTGTGGACAGTATTTTGTCGTCCGCGGAATGAAGAAATGGATTACAGGAGGATGCCAGGCAGATTATTTCGTTACAGCAGTGCGCACAGGGGGCCCTGGGATCAAAGGTATTTTTGAAATTTATCGCCCATGTGGTTAAAAAAGGAATTTGTAGCAGAGTAGTATGATGTGGGAGTTGCAACTTGCGATTGATTTCTGCCGATTTTTACTGTAATTAAGCTACAAAGCTAATGCACATTTCGTAGGCATTTCTATGCTTCTGGTGAAACGCGAAGAAGGCGTGACGACGAAGCAGATCTCAACATCATATCAAAAGAGCGCTGCGACTGCGCTTGTGGAATTTCAAGATGCTAAAGTTCCGGCGGAGGGTAGGCTGCTCGGTGTGAAAAAAGGGGATGAGCTAAACAAGGGGTTCCAGTGCATTATGCTCAATTTCAACCACGAACGATGGATGATCGCATGCAAGTGCGTTGGTATTATACATGGTTCCATTCTTGTTCTTACTGAAGTTGTAAAGGTAAACTGATTGTGATACGACATGATGATGAGGATTGTGACGCTTTTTCACGTTCAAAAATTGAAGCTTTGGTAGAAAGTGAACCTTTATTACCTCCGATGAGGAAGTTTTCAAACCCGTGTAACACTCTGATCCTCGTTAATAATTCTTCTTTATTATACTCTTGCTCCTGCCACGAAAAAACAGGATACCAGCGTCTCGTGATAGCGGAATGTCTTCAGTGGTTAATGCAGCGCAAGGCCTTTGGACGGCCGCTGATGGATCAGGCGGTGTTGCGATTTAAGTACGGACAAATGGCCGCAGCCGTGGAGACCATCCAGGCGCACTTGGACTTCGTGACGTACCAGATGAAGGTGTACTACGAGCGCGTCCGAGAGGACAAAAGTTGGAAAGCAAAGGACTACTTGGCAGGAGAGATCGGTCTGCTGAAGTACCAAGCCACTCGTGTCTCCACTTTGGTCGCGGACAACGGTTGTCAGATATTTGGCGGGCGCGCGGTGACGAAAACGGGCATGGGCAAGCATATGGAGCGCTTTCAGCGTGCCTACAAAATCGCAAGCATTTATGGTGGCTCCGAAGAAATTATGGCGGATTTGGGGATTCGCCAGGCCTTAAGGGACTGGAATCCGGAGGACAAAGCCGCGTCAAGACTGTAAACTAATCCATGTTGTAAATCTGGTTACTGGAACGAGGAGGTATTTTTGAACACAGTGCGACTCGGTTGCTCTACTCCTTTTCTTGAGCAGCACGCTAATACTGCCAATGTCTATTTTCCGCCTGCACAGCTTGTTGTAAAGTTTCCAAAGGATTATCATAAATCTATCTCGGGCTGATGTTGGGTTATCACGCTCCCTCCTGTACAGATACTACGCTTATTGGCATCTTACTAGCAGATGCATACGTCACTTAGAACTTACTAGTTGTACATTAGAACAAAACGAATTCAGCAGGAAAGTTCACTCTTTTACAACCTCAGTTAGGAATTGTTGTTCGAAAACTCTCTAAGCAGGTCTATTTCTTGGTCAGGCACAATTATCAAACAAGTACGTATTTTTCTACTTATTTAACTTTAACTTCATTCAATATTATTTTGACCTGATCGAGGCAGAAATCGAGCTGCGTGGGAGCCAAATTCTTGTTCTTCACCAGTACAAGATCGATAAATCACAAAGTTCGTGACGAAGATAGACTCATCATCAAGATGAGGCAGGTACTAGAACGAGATGAGCTATGCCTTGAATAAAGATTTCTGCTAGTGCTATCGGAGAGGGGAACTACAACTAGATTTTGATGGAAAGAAAAATGCCAGTTTTTAGAAGAGCACCTCCGCAGTAGGTGCAACTTTCCCCTGGTCCTAGTGGCACCTACGACGAGTCAAAAGCGCCTTCCGTTCCTCAAAAACAAAACAGCACTGATAGCCTTGTCTGCTTCGATGACCTGGTCTTCTACGTATGTGTAACTCAGATGAATGTCTCACATGTTGTCAACGCAAATTCGTAAGACTCACAGTATATGATCAACGATGCCAAGGTCGTTGAACTCGCAACGACGGCCCTTAAAACATCCTCACATTGATGTTGTTGTTGTTGAGGTTGAGCCCAGAGCTCGCGGAGATGTTGCCACTAACTATGGATTTTTGCGGGGACCAAAGGATGACTAGAAAAGATCTCGCAACCGACATCTTGAGCACGTGTCCATCCTGCGTGTCTGAGAATGAGCGGAATGGTGAGCCGGATTTGCTCTACCTAGCAACCAATACAATAAACGAAAGATTTTCATCTGAGTGATTGAAAACATTAAACATGATTGAAGGGTAGAAACCCAACAAGTTCAAATATGAGAAGTACAGAACTACAATGAGCAATTGGATCATTAGGATTCGCCACAACGACATGGTTGCGGAAGAAACTTAGTGGTTTTCATATTTTCTGCACAAATGGATGAACCGCCAACAAAATGACGACGTCCAAAAGTGGTGAGATCAAGAGTCCGACACCCACGTCCCGTGGTATCGCCTCTTCGCGCATTTTTTCTGTGGAGGAGCAGGAGGAAAAGGAGCTTGCATCCATGGTCACTTCTTACCTTGGAACAGCGGAAGAAACGAAGAAAAAGGAATTGATAAATCAACTCGCTTACCGGTCTCAGACGCTGTCAAGTATCGTGAACAACCCAAATCGCGTCAGCTCCAACCCACTCACAAGAACAGAGATCCAAATCAAAGATGTTGTCAAGGGAGTTAGCAGCAAGAAGGGGTAGGCAGTTTTTGCTTCATACATTGCTTCTTCTTCTTCTTCTTCTCCTTCTTCTTCTTCTTCTTCTTGTTCTTCTTCCTTAAAAATATCTCTGGAATGAAGGCGCCGCTCCAACTATATGCATTTTCATTTTCTGACACTGACACTGACTTAGAAACCCAGTCGCCTCGCTTCGGGTTGAAATGGGAACATCTTAACAACCACGACTAGTACTAACTGAGTTGTACTTGTACTATGTATGATGTACTAGAATTTGTTGATATACTAAAAGTTGACATTTAAGTCCTGACAACTATGTACACGTTGTTATCTGGTGGTAGATGTTTCGCTTTCATCAGGGTTTTCCGTCTCATTGCTCTTGCTGAAATCATTCGTAATGATGCATGTTGTGTATTTTATCAGGTTCGAGCGCCTGATGGAGATGGGCCAAAGTGGTTTTGAGTTACCGAATTTTTATGGAGGCGAGCAAGTCGCGGCTACTGGTAGTACTGGTACTGCCGAGAGAACATCCGCCGGAGACGTAGAACGCGGTGCCGAAATCACGCTCGATGATTTCACCACGTATTTTGCGCAATTTGGCCCTGCTGCGGAGCTTTCCCTGTTTTGTCGCAATGCAAAACACGCATCAATCACCGCCAGAGCCACAGCATCGACAACTACAGCTGGCAATCGCGGGGAAGTGAAACTAGTAACATCAAGTGGAGGAATGCAGGTACAGGTAGAAGGACACCACATGGCTTCTCTCAGTACACCCACAAACCACGATGCACTAAGCCAGATGATGGAACCACAAAGCCCATCATGCACAAAAGTATACGAAATTGTGCCCGAAGTATACTTCAACCGCGACTTCAAGCTTGAGAATCATGACGTCTTTAGTTATGCTGAATGATACAGAAGCAAGTAGAGGTTTGGGTTTCTGTTTTTCCAGCCAGAAAACGTCTGCGCCATCGTGCTCAAGCCACTCAAAAAACTACTTACAAAATTGGAAGTTGTGCAATGATGCATACTGATACTTACAGTAATCATTTTTATGAAAGAGTTTTTACAGAGTACAGTAGAGAGAGTGGTACTAGTAAGTACATAAAGATGAGGCTCTATTTAGATTTTCACTTGCAGTCTCTTTTGTGAAAGTGAATCTTGGATTGGCTCTGCTAAGAACCGCAGTCGATAGCCAAGAGCTTTGCGTCACAAGAGGAAACGAGCGCACGAATGCAGGACTATCTCGCAGAGGTCGAGGAGGCTCTCTTTAAGGCTTCCCCTAATCCATCTTAAGAGGCATCTCGAAGCTGTCTTCTAAGGGGAAAAACAGATCCGAGATGAATCCCAAGATGGATTGGGGTGAGCTCTAATCTCTTCGAGCAGGTGAGGGAAGCCCACCGCCTGAAGCTATTCGAGACGATGATTTTCTCACTCGCGGCTCTCATGAAGCAGACAGAGAAAATGGAAGCCAGGGTGAAGGCGCTGTATGACATACCTTCTCGTATGCTGGAACAACAATGCCATTCGTAGATCGTATGCTGGAACAACAAGCGATTATACTAGATGTAGATTTACTTTTACGTACATATTCGGGCAGCTCCAGTAGTCTTTATTTTTGTCTAAAAGCAAAGCTAGCTTGTTCTAAGTCAGTGATCACACTGAGAGTGACAAAGTAATCCACCTCCGCGCTGGTGCAGTCAATGGTAGTGGTCTACCTCATCTTTCTATTTGTGCATGGTGCAGTAATATCTCAGCGGCGTGTAGCTTAATAAATAATAATGTATATGCCTGTAATTGTTCATCTCGATACTTTTTGTTTATACTTGTTGAATACGGGTACTTACTGGAAGCAACAAGTACTTAATACTAGTACGAATTGATCGTGGAGGTAGTACGATTGATGTTCTATTCTACTTCATTTGTCTCGGGACCGGTGGAGCGCGTACAAAGGTTCGTATCACGTAGCACGACGTGTGGGCCAACTCGGGTGCGCAAAGCAGCGACTCCAGGACCTACGGCGCCGCATCGATTTGATTTTCACGGTGAGGGAAAGTGTTCCCACGATGCAGATGCTGATTGCGGGCGAGGACTACGTTACCGCACTAGAACTTCTAGAATCCACGCAAAGCGCACTTTCCGCCCAAGACATGCTGCGAGGCGTCACTTGTGTACGGCCTGTCCGCGACGAGGTTGAAAGCCTGGCACGGAATATGGACTCGACTTTTGCTGACAAGTTTGTCGCGCAGGCGGCTGAACTGCTCGCTGAAGCAGAGGAGTCGTGCTTATGGGCGTGGCACCTGAGAGAACACGAAACCGTCACAGATTTGTCGACAGACGTTTTGACAGCGTGGACGAGCAACGTCGCTATGTGGACGAAACGCGCTACGTTCGTCGTTGATGCTGCAGAAGTAGTCGACCCCACAACAGTTGCGGCTCCAATTGGTCCCGGAGAAAAAGTAGTGGGGAAAAGGCCTGAAGCAAATGTTGTACAAGCAGCAAATAACAACACGGTCGTCCGCACCCCGGATAGCAAAGGAGCGAAGATAGCGGCAGAGGAGGGAACGGATCAAGTAGTCGCAATGCATGGCGCAACCATCCTAGAAGGCGACTCACCGGTCCCGCTCCGAAGAAGCCCCACGCCCTCTTCTTTGCCATCTGGCATAGGATCAAAGAGTCCGAGTGTCGGCGGCTCGTTGGCCAACGTCGACATTGCAGAAGCTGCTCCTAGGTTATCGCCAGGAGGTGGTAACGCTGTGCTGGCGCATCAAACTCTGTTCCAAGTGGCGCGTCAGTCCTCGTCAGCATCGAATATCAGACTACCGAATACGATTCCAGACGTTTTTGCTGCCTACGCCTCAGCGTCGAGATCGGCGTCGTCCTCCTCGTCGTCATCATCACGTGTTGGGACTGCGAGCGGTCGGCTTCCGCGACCCTGGCTCATCTATGAGGAGCTCCTTGTTGCGCTGATAAAGCGCAGGACGCTGAAAGGCTGCCTCAGCGGCGGCTTCCGCGATGCTGTACTCGGTCAGCTGAAGACGACGCTTCGGAATGTCGCTTCCAAACTGCTTACAGAGGCTGAGGCCCTCGGCAGTTCCCCGCAAAACCGCGGTGCTAGTAGTAGGACTCCCGCCGCTGCCGCGACTGAACAAGGGAATGCCGCGGCGGACGAGGGTGGAGGTAGGCGCTCCTTTCAGCAACGACTGCAAGGCCTGCAGCATGAACAGTTTCTCTTTTTCTGGAGAGCAATTCTCAGATGGATCGTGTTTGACGTGGGCACTAGGCTCAAATACGTTTTGCTTCTGCTGCTTTTGCATCTGCATGGTAAAAATGGCCCTCATAGTAGTGTAGCCGCAGCTGACACGAATTACACAGCGAAAGATACAGATTCATCTGCGGCGGAGCAGGCGCAAGATTTGCGAGGCCTGCACACCGAGGTCCTCCGATGTTACGAGGTAGCACTGTCAACGCTAGTGCAAAAAGTTGGCACACTATTGAGTTACCGAAGTGCTGAGCATCAGCTGCTGTACTATAGCGATTGGCGCGGCATTCTCGACCTGACCTCCGGCGAAATGTCGAATCTGAATCGCGTCACCCTGCAACCTCTTTTTGATTTTGCATCGACTGCACTGGCTGTGAAAACTTGGGAGGCGTCGGGTATTGTAAAGACAACAGTATCAACCACTGTCTCGCACCAGCCAAACCGCTTGAATCCTGCCCTTGACCCACCGCAACAGGCATCAGACAATCTGACCCTGGCGCGACCGGCTGTTGACGTCGTCGCGAGCCTGCGAGCGATACTGTATACGCAGTCCAAGAGCATAGTCGAGGAATTCCACCATCGAAAAGTTGCCCACGTCCAGATGGTGTTGGCAGAGGAGAAGTGGGAGCGCTGTGACGCAACAAAGGAGCACCGAGCTTACGTTAGGTATCTCACAGGTGAGACTGAGGATATCACCTTTTCGCCTCGCGGTAGTCAAGAGCGAGCGACTCCAATACCTAGTGGAACTGTGGGAACTGTTGCTCCTGCGAAACATGCCCTGAAATTGATTAGTTCCTCTTCCGCGTCTGGCAATACGGCAGCGCCAGTGGACAGTGGACAACAAGCAGCAGGAGCGACACAGGCTCAGGGGAGAAATGAGCAGGCTGGGGGATCTTCTTCGAGCAGGGCTCCAAATGCCCTCACTGTTGACGCATCGGAAGTACAAGAAGTGCTAAATGCGCTAAGACCTGATGGGAGTACTGACCAGGCCGGTGGGGGTGAGTCGACGTGGCAGAATGACTACTCAGAAAAGTTTTTGAAGGTTGAGCGCATTAACTTCCTCGTCGTTCCTAGTTCTCTGATGTTGCTGAAAATAGCACACGAGTATCTTTGTTTATGTCGTGCACTTCAGTCCGTAGCAGTCGAAGCAGTACAACGCCTGACGCATCTCTTCAAGCTCTTCAACCGGCAAATGCTGCAGCTTGTCCTACAGGGTGAAGCCAAAACAAATCGGGTGCTCTTCTCTTTTTAGTCTTCCGATGTAGTCTGAGCGTTGTATGAATTACTTACACAACCGCTCAAAATCATGCTTGACGCTGCTCTTGTGCTTTTCTTGAAGTCCGGCCGTGTATAAAGAGGTATCCCTTGTGTCTCATACTCATTTCAGGTGTTGAAGAAAGTTACTGCTACCAACATTGCGTTGTGCAGTCAAACTTGCGGGATGTTTTCCGCCTTGGCGCCAAGGCTTCAAGAACAGCTGCAGATTTGCCTACACATTAACGAAGATGATAGCAAAAGCAAGGCGGACTCGATTATAAACCGGACACGGACGGCGCTTCTCAACGACTTTGGCTCCATCGTGCACGATTTTCAGGATCACCATGGGTTCGTTGATTTACTAATTCTTGCCATTTTTGTCATTACTTGACAATACTTTTATTTCGAATTCGATTCACATAATTTGCGATTCCGCGATGAATTAGAATCTACTTACTTCAAGTTTGAATCTTTGTCACAACAGGCAACTCCTGAAAAAATTGTCGGAGATTTTGGAAGGGAGGTATGACGTGCATGCGAAAAAGCTTTTCTCACAGGCGCACCCTTTGCCGCCTAGACTTGCGATTTTCGATAAAACAGCGGACACAACCTCAAGTAAAACTCCCCCGGCCGTTACTACAAGTACGGCTACCTCTAGTAGCGAAAGGACACCCCTACACGGTCCTGGGCACGAACCAAAATCACCACCTCCACCGCCTGAAGCGCCTTCGCCTTCCCTAGTAGCAAGTAGCTCATCGGCATCTGATCTGTCCTCGACAGCCATTGCACCTAGCGACGACGCTGTGAAACTACAAAAAACTGATGAAGCCACCTCCTCCAAACCCAAAGTAGACGACGTGATGAATAAAGAAGAGCAAAGTCATTTGCTAGTACAAGCACAACGCCCAACAGAAGAAGCTCAAGCGGCTCCTGAAGCTATTACACCTGCCGCAGATGCTGTAGACGCGGCTGCGCCAGAATTTACGCAAGGTCTTCTTGCAATCGGGGTCAAGAAACAAGACGAAGACGAAAAAGACGCTGAAGATGTTGAGGTAGCACCCCACGAGGCATGCGCGGGTTTGATTAAGGATGTGAGCAGCATGTATCGCGTACTATTGAAGGTGCTATCAGGTGAGAATGTGAAAAAAATCTTCGCGCGCGCATTCGAGAACATGAGTGAAAAATTCGACAAGACGCTCACTGAACTTGCTAAAGACGCAGAGTTTGCTAGCCGCCTGAACCAGCTGGCAGCGGAGATGCAAGAGGAAGGGGGTGAAGACGGAGACAGGGAGCAACCAATACTAAACGCAAATAGTAGTACCTCATCAAAGCTAGTGAAGAAGATGGCTGGCGAGGAGGGCGCACCATCAGGAACAGACGCAGAAGCCTCTGCCTCCGGGGTTGTGATGTCATCAGCAGCCAGAACACAAAAAAACGGAGTGTATACTTCGGAGTATCCTTGGGGTGATAGGCTACTCTACGACGTAGAGCATATTGCGGCTGAGCTAACCTCACTCACAGTAATTGCAGCGCCTGTTCGAGAATGGATTAACCAGATGATTCTCTACGTGGAATTACGGTTGCACCCTGATGCCGCATTTGACCCTGAAAATGTGCAGGCTCCGCAGCACTCAACAATCTCGAGAATAAACAGGAGTAGAACAGCGAATAGCTCGTCAACGAAGTGATAGTGATTTCTACCGTTACAGGTGAGTCCGACGAGTGACGAAAAAGTCGATGCTGCCGGTCGTTTACTTGTTCTAGAAATAGCACATAAATCAGAGGTAGCGCGTCGTAAGCTTGGCAGCAGACATATGTTTACAACAAAAGTCAAAGTTTTATTTTCTGTAACATCCTAGCGTCCAGTACCTACCGATGAGTATCTTTTTCAGCATGATCGATTATAACACCTTGGCCTGTAGTAACGGTGAGTGTGAAATAAATGAGTTGTGAGCCGCAGCTCAAAACGAAACTACTTAATCAATTTTCTCTACGATATCTTCCAAGTCTGTGACTGAATGTGCTCTTCCATCTGCGCTCAGTGTTCGAGAGTTGCCAGCATAATTTCGTGACTTCTGTCTGTTGCTTAGTCTGTTCGTTCGGCGAAAGTACGTTTTAATGTGTTTCAAGAACACATGAACGCCGTTGGTTTTGGCGAGAAGTTGCAATTGTGGTCAATATTTTCAACTTCATGCAATTCCTTCTTTCACCACTTTTCATTATCGTCTGTCTTTGGAAGTTTCGACTCGGTCAATCTCAATTTTGGATTTCGGCGAGCGATGGCGCATCAACACGAGTGTCTTTTTTTCATGATTGGTGATAACAGCAAGCACGAACGAGGACGAAATCTAGATAACCCGGTTCTTCTGACTCGTCCTTCAGGCCACTCATAATCTAGTCTGTCCCCCACATGTAATTTATATGTAGTCTCTGCATTAGATATGGGCTAGAAAAGTTGATCTACTCAGTAATGTGTTTTTGTGTATTACAAGGAATTAACGCTTTTCCATCAGATTAATTCGGAATTGTTCCACCTCTTCGAGACGCTCAATCAACCAAGTTGAAGTTGTGAAAAAGCTTGTGGTCTTGTACTAGGTACTTGTGTGTCTACTACATGGCAAAGAAATTCTCTTCACATGTAGGGAACGGAAACAAATACGTCCCGATTTCGACGCTACCTGGTCAGACTAAGAGGTGTAAATCTACCAGCATAACGCGTAAAATGTAAGCGTATTGATTTGCTTGTATGTCTCCATTCATCATTATTTGCTTGTGTGTCTTGGTCACACATTCGCATGTGCGGTTTGATGACGTATTATTACAAGTCAATACAAATGCATCCTTGAAGAGACTGTTATTTCTTCATGATCTTTGTATTTTGGTAAGCCTATGTTGACGTAATTGATGATTGTTATTATTTGAGTAGGTTTTGTGTTTGACGGCTCTAGTTTTACTGTGTGGAGTGCTGATGCATGAAAATTCAACGTGTGGATGTTGCGTTAAGCCAAATTCAAACAGTTGATTTTCTGTCTACCCTCAACACGCTAGTACGCCAGCACAGTGAAATATTTATAAATATACTCAAACCATCTATGTTTTTTGCCGCTACTGTTAATCTACACTGACTTGCTTAAATAAGAACAGAGCAATTATTTTTTTGTCTTTATAATTGTAACATATACACATCAGAGGCGACAAGATGGCGCAAGCGTCCAGCAAACTTGTGAAGGCGATGTCGGGTCCCTTGGGGCCCGCATCGTTCTTGTTTCGACTGCTAGTCGTTGTATCGTTGGTATTTTCAACGTTCCTGCTTCTCGGTGTGGAGTCCAGTGAGGTGAACCCGCAGTCGTCCAACAACATCGCTTCATCTGATGAACAAAATGAAGCTGCTCGTCCTGCTGCGCTTTGGAAAATATACAACTTGGGCAATAAGGAAGCCAGTTCGTCTGGAACGTTTTTCTCGAACATGTTGTCGAACATCGTATCCAAAGTTTATACCTTGGTTGATGGTGGAAACGATGCTCCCGTTCGAAGACTCCCAGGAACGAAAGGAGGTTATTCTGCCCCAATGCCTGCTCCAGCTCCGCAACCAGTATACACGCCCGCGCCAGCACCCGTATATACTCCCGCGCCAGCACCGGTTCCGGTAGAAACAATTTCTGCTCAATTCGAACTATAATCAGATCAAGATGTATCTGTAACTGTAACCAAACATCATTATATTATAAGCGACGAATACGAATTGCAGAGCAATTATGAAACAAGTCACTCATATTCAAATTCATTTACTTTGATTATGTTGACTTTTTCCAACTCCTTCTCATTCCGGCAACCACAACCTCGACTCTTAATACAACAGGCGCCAACGCCAGTGCCTGTGCCAGCTCCTGTTCCAGTACCAACGCCAGCGCCTGTTCTTGTTCCTGTACCGGCACCAGATCCGGTGCCAGCGCCTGTTCTGGTGCCAGCGCCTATTCCCGTACCTTCTCCTGCCCCGGTTCCAGCACCTGCTCCGGCGCCAGTGTACACGGTAGCACCAACACCAACTCCGGCGCCTACTCCTCGCGTCGTAGCGACGCCTGCACCAACGCCCGTGCCGGTGCCGGTGCCAGTACCCGTTCCGGTGCCTGCGCCAGCGCCTACAACGCAGCAAGCCAGTGCAGCCGCCATTTTAGCTGCGAATGCTGCCGCGCAGAACGGTGCTGCAACACCAGCTCCGTACCAACCTACTTATGTGGCGGCGGCTACCGTGACTACAACAACGCCGGCTCCGAACACTGACGCTCCGCCTGGCTCGGCGTTCACAGCAGCCGACCAGGTGGTGGCTGTGCCGGCTGCGATGACATTGGACGTTCCGGATGGAAAGACGGTGACTGATCTGCAAGGCGACGACGCGTTCAAAACGGCTTTGTGTGACGCATTGAAGCAAGCAATGTCGGCACCTAGCACCCAGGTGTGTCGCGTGCTCACCATTCGCAAAAACACGCGAAGGCGAAGCTTGCGCGGCGCAAGCCACCCTAGCAAGGCCTCTCAAGAGCTCGCTAACAACGCGATCGCCGAAGCGGCGCGTGCAGAAAACTCGATGGCAATTATTGCAGCTGCTTCCCAAGGCTCTAGAAGTAGCAGAGGCCCAAAGAGAGTATATTCCACGTCAAAGGCCGCAGTATTCGCTGCCCCGCTGAAGCTGATTGCTCCGCCAGCGCAACTTGACCAGAGCCAGATCCAGATGAAGTCCTCGATGTCGACTGCAGTAGTTAGAGTCGGTGGATCAAGTAGGAGATTGGCACAGGAAAATCTAGCAGTCGAATTCGAGTTGAAGGTTGCGTCTGCAAGCGACGGTGACGCCTTGGTCCAAAGCGCTTCCGCGAGCGACATGCAGACAAAGCTAAAGACGGAAATGAACACGGCGCTTGCCGCGCAGCCGTCTTTATCTTCGATGTCCGTGACCAGCGTGGTGCCGGACACGACTGCCTTGAAGTACGCCCAAGTGCATGAGGTGGACTGGAGTGTGATGAGCGGAAGCGAGTATCGCATGGTCGTCTGTGATAAGGGCAACAAGGTGCGCTTTAAGTGGACCGGTTTGAGCTGGGCGCACGATCTGTGGCGGTTGCCGCTCGAGAGCGACTACGTGGGCTGCAACTTCCAAAGCGGCGCGATGCAGATGGCACCGCAGGGAAACAGCGGCGAGTACACGCTGAGCTGCGACACGATGGGCATGCACTTCTTCTCCTGCTCTGTCACGGGACACTGCACGGACGCCAAGCAGAAGATTCGTGTACAGGTGACCGACAAGGGCCAAACCGCGGTGCTGCGCGCGAGAATGAACAATGACCCTGCTTATATGACCCCGCACTGGTCGTACGCGATGGCCATGGAGTCCTACTTCGTTGACGCTGACTACAACAACGGTTTCCAGACCGATGCAGCGGCAGACACAGCGCAGTGGCGCCTCTGGTGCGTGCTTCCACACTGCGATCACGGCGACGCTACCGCAGATTGGTTCCCGGCGAGTGCCAACTCAAAGGAACTGTGCGAAGCTTTCGTCGAAGCAGATATCGGCTACGCGTACCGTAAGCGGCCCACGCCGAACTACGCCAAAGCAGAGGAGTACTACGATAAGGCACTCGCAATCATGCCCAACCTGTGCGCACCTCTGTCCTACAAAACCGGGATGTACATTCAGATGGGCGACGCCGCGAGCGCGCATGGTCTCTTTCCTGCAGCCTGTGCCGCTTGTGGTGACCTCAGCATGGACATGGAGCTTGTCAAAGAGGGCTACGACGGCCGCAGTTGGGCATACCCATGTGGGACCGACTGCTCCGGATCGAGCTGCCGGGCATACTCCGTGGTACAGGCAATACTACTTCCTTGATGTCACATTATTCAACAGTTGTCCATCTTGTTACTTGGATTGGCTAGCACTTTCTCTTTCTCTCTCAGAATACTTGACGTTGACTGGTTGACCGATATTCGAAAGCCACTGGCATTTTGGTTCATAAAGGAGCAAAGTAAGTAAATAATAGGGACTCTGCCTCCTCGCCCTGTTCCTGTTGATGTTGTATTATCTTTCCGTAGAAGATATCGCGAAGTAGTAGATCTAGACGTGGCGCTGGCCGGGCCCGGGCCCGGGGTTGATGTGCAATTGTGACGATGATCCATAGTGCCATTCTACTACTACTACTACTACTACTACTACTACTACTACTACTACTACTGTACTTGCTTTTGATGTCCCACTCCAACATCACAGGTGAACGCGCCTACGGTTGGCGGTGGCGGAGCATCTGGAGACGGGAGTGGTGGCATTGAGACTGAACAGGGTGGCATTGCGGGTGGACTGGTCATCGTCCTTGCGGCCGCTGGTGGTCTCCTCATTTTTGGGGGTGCGGCTATCGGCTACTATACTTACGCCCGCGGCCAGCCAAACGCTGGCATCCAGCAAGGAACTGTCGTGAAAATGAGGCCGGGTTCGATTTCGAAAGGCGCTAACGACAGTCCCAACGGTGCCGACAACCCTTGCTCTGCGTACGCTACGAAAATGGCAGACGCACAGGATGCTGGTTTTGTTAAGGGTTCTGCGCCTGAAAGCATGCCACCGCAGATGAACAAGCACAGGTCTAGTAGAGCCAAGGTGTTCGTCGATGAGTCGTCCGCGGACCCAGCGACCGATCCGGACACAGGCAAGAAAAGGAGGAAGAAGCGAAGCAGTACCAGGGCCGATATTTTGGAGACTGGCAGTGTCGACCAATCTTCCATAACGACTGGGTCAACGCGTGCCAGCAAAAGCTCTGGCGGGAGCGGCCAAGCACCGGGTATTCAGAAGCCCCAGCGTCGTTCTAGCTCGGACAAAGTGGCCGCTCCAGGAGGATCATTAGCATTACAAGACGCTTCGTCCAGGCGCAAGCCACAAAAATAAGCAGGAACATCGCTGCTCATAGTATCAGTGAAGTACTCTCTAGTAAGTTGTATAGAATGTGTAGATGAAGTAGAGAGAGATCGATCTGATAGTCGTCAGAACTGTTATCAAGATTGAGGCGCGAAAAGATTCCATTAGTCATAAAATAGTAAGGGAAAATCTAGTAGTCGGAATTCATGAATTTCTTATCATAAAATATTCAGCAATATATTTATAAGGTGGTAGAACAAATTGTGCAATAATAGCAAATCATCACTCATCAGCAATTTGTAATTAGTCGCTAACAAACAAAATGTAAAAGAACAAAAACTTCAATTGTGGCGTATATGCTATTTCAACAAGAAGAGCCACGCACTGTGTCTAGACTGTGATCGAACAATAAAATATGTGTGATATTACGAACATTCCGAACAAGAGGAAATCGCTGAACAAGGCCTTCAGCTACATAATGCATTTCTAGACGGATCAGACAGAAAACGTCCTTAAGTCAAGGTATATCAGTAGTGCTAGAAGTACTAGTTGAAGTCGTGTCGAATTCAAAAGTACTCAGTAAGCTTGATAAATTGATGAGTTATATTCAAGTACACGTTTTCCACTTATTGATCATTGATTCATCTTGCTTTCATCTTTTGCGAAGAGGTTTTCGAAATCTCCCACCAAAAAGTCTTTCATTAGTTTCAGGATGTCTTCTTTTTTCGAATAATCTTCTATAGTCATGAGGCTGCAAGTAAATTTTTCGACGTTGCTAGTCTACATTGTCTTATCTGTCGCTGTCCTGCTCCTGAAGATTCCTTCTTGTACTAGAACCCTTTTGTAGAAGAACCCTCAAACCACGTGGAAACTCATCTAGGAGGCAGGCATTGGTATCTTGTCAGCGAGCGCTTCTGAGATTGTGGCCGCTGTTGACACAAAGGCACAACAACTTCCAAGAAGCGGTCTTTAGAATCCATTCTGTCGTCATAGACATGGAGAAGCGAGAACTATAAAATCTACGCAGGCGGGCTGAAGAGGGAATTGAAATCGGAGACGCAGCACAGTGAGACAGTTTCGCGGTGCGAGGGCATCGAAAATGCCAATGTGCAGATCCTCACCGCAGCATGGATGGAAACACAGTTGTAGGGTCCTAACCTTAAGTATCAAATCTCTGTTATCTCTTCTTGCTCATTAAATCTTTAGTTTCTTGTTAGGCTTGCACATGATGACATATATCAGGGTCGTTATCGTCCTTGTCCAAACATGAATGTTCGGGCTTTCGAAGTAGTCGCTCATCGAACTAAAGCGTTTACATTCATTGCATTTGTGAAGAGGTTATGCAGGTAAAAAAGAATATGTCATCCATTATTTCTTACTCAGAAGAACAGTTCGATGCCTTTCTCCGAAGTTCAGATACTTCGATGTGTGTGTGTGTGTGTGATTGGGAAGTCATCAAGAAAGTCCCAATACTAAGATTCGCGCATGATGCATTTTATTCCGTGTGCGGGCATTGTTGCTTGAATGTAATACACAAGCAGAAACTTGAAATTGGAGACAAAATTCCACGGAATCAGAAACAAATGTTTGTAGAATTGTCGTGTGTGATCCAAGCTTTCCCAGGAGCGAACTAGGTAGTAGTTTGCTTGAGGAATTTACTCGAGAAGGCCAAGGATGAAGATAAAGTTAAAAAAGTTCATCACATGAAGCCAACAAACCATAACTGGCAAGACAACTTATGCGAGTTCGTCGTTTTACCACGTCACGTACACGTTGATCATCAAGCTTGCAGCAACTCAAGGTAAAACCGGAGACGAAGTGATGAACTTACAACTGGGAATATTTGTGTCATCAAAGGTAAAATCGACAATAAGATAATTGAAATTGTTCCTCTGCACTGACGAGGACTACAACGTCCAACCGGGAAGCACAAAAATGACGTTTCATGTTGTTGTGTTCAAACAAAATGAAATTGTTGAAATTCGCTTCCCACTTCGCAAGATGATGAAAAGGATGATGATGATGATGATGATCATGGTTATGATAACGCTAAGCGTGCGCATTCGCAGCCAAACACCAAGTAAGTACGCTTTTCAACGAAGAAAATTATGTCGCTTTTTGCGCGATCCTCAATGTAGTTCTCAGCTTGCTTCCTCTCAGTCAAAAAAAAGAACAGTCGGTATGAATCAATGTGCTTCGTGTCGTATCACGTTGTACTAGAATTCATTTGAATTGATGGCGCGACGATACTTGTGTATCAATCAATCAGCCAATCAATCAATCAATCAATCGCTCAGTCACTCAAGCACTCAATCAATCACTCAATCAATCCGTCAAAAAAGTTGCGCACGAACACCAGAAAGTGTTGCCATTTAACATTGATCAATCAAGTAAATCATCAACAAGAAGCTTTTTCCTTTCACTATTATAATATACAACTACATCACAGCAGTTTGTTATATGAGCAGGTGGGACGGATGTTGTATGTAAACGCTCGACTCGGACGTTGACGAGGCACTGCAATTCTGTCGTTCTCTTTAGTCCGTGCTAACCTGTTGTGAGTGGAACGTGTTTTAGTTTGTAAGATGTATGAATACTAACAACCCAACCGAGGAACACACTCTTGTCACATACTTGTATCTTTCCAGTAGATTGTTGACTTTTTTTTTCGGTTCACGAATGATCACGACAGCTTGTGAGTAGGAGTAGGTGGACAAGAGCAATCAATAAAAGTTATTTTAAGTAAGTAGTTTCGTAATGATTAGTTATTTGCCTTTGAAGATGTTGGATGAGTAGTGATGTGGTTACTTAGGTCCTTTGCATCGTAACAGTCTGTTAGGAAAAAAGATGAGGACGGAGATGGACGTGCCTGCTGCCCGTGCGGTTGTGCCCCTCCTTGTACGAGCTGTTGATGTGAAACAATCAAATGGGCATTGAAGGTTCTTCGAACATTTTGTTCAGAAGCCGACGATGACTACCACCATGCTACCAAGATGACTACAAAGGCGATAGGGCAGTAGCGCTTAGCCGGTTTCCATCCGCTTGGACGGCGGCCGTGCTCGTGCTCCTCCTGCTATTTACTTTGTGACTACATGATGAAGATGTTTATGTTGTCTACTGATGGGCATCTTTAGCTGCTTTTTTCATCCACGACGAACATGTTCAAGTAAGTACTTAACTTATTCACGACTGAGTTTGATATCACGAGACTTCTAGAAGTTTTTTTACCTCCATCATCTTGACTGAATTAGAAATGTCACTCTCGTCAATTGCGTTGGATAAGTCTTCTGTAAAATTGTTCCACCGCCCCGAACGAAGTCCGTAGTCACACCCAAAGTCACGTACCTATCGGTTGAATGCTCGTACACCTATACGTACTAGTTGTAGATTGCTGCACTAACTTTTTCTGTATGTCACAGATTGATCTAGTATCTTGCTTTCAGAAGGAGCTTTTCGAATTAGTGGAGAAGATGATGATGCGCACTCGTACAGTTGCCGTCTCATCTTTTCCACGACAATCAACAAGCGATTTACACCGATTGGTGCTACTTTAAATCCCAGGAACACCATAATATCGTTAATATCCTTTATATTTATCCCAGTTCCACACAAAGAACTGCTCTTATATATAAATACTACCTCTACTAGTTTGCAGCTAGTAGGAATCCCATAGTTGCATCTGTACGACTGACCGCTGATTGCAAACAAAGGATTCCTTGTATTCAGTTGTCTACAGCAGTCGGATTCTTAGAAAAGTCTGGTGGTCCTGTCTGCTTCTTTTGGAGACACCGACTCGAGAAGGATCTAGTGCTGTCGTCGACAGTTGTCCTCGGACGTCGTTGGGTTGAAGAACTCGCCGCTGCTAGACAAAGCTTCATCCCTCTACGTGCTGCTCAGTTCGCATTTCACTTTTTTTTTACAGTCTACGCAAAAACCGTCAAGATGAACGTCGGTGGGTACAAGTCCGCCTCCGTAAGCAGCGAGGTAATGCCTAATTGGCAAAACCATGAGCACGATCATCGCTTTCGGAGCCCCCACTGCCTCAACTTATGAATGGGCTATAATTATCAGCAATTAAACTGATCGTCATCTCACAACTACATCCTGGTTCTGTTTTGCAATCGGAGAAATTATCTATCAACTCATTTTCCTGTAACTACGAGCATCTTCCATGACCTTTACTTCCTCAAGCACTTCTTTCTTCCACTCAAGAAAATTCAAATTGTCTTTTTTTACGAACATTCTGTTTTATGATCATGCGAATACGTACCTTACTCGCTTTACCACTTAGCGCTAATCTTTCCATGTTACGACACTGTGGTGTTAACGGTGGACGAGAATACGGAGAAGCTGACGTCTATAGAGAGGATTCTGAGTGCAGAGCCGTTTTTGGGCATGACGCTGAAGTGGAACCTTGAAAGCCCGGATGCAGGCAGAAAGAAGATCAACTTTATAGCGTTAGTCGCAATAGCAGTACCCACGAAGGTCTACATCTTCCGCACGCACAAAGATACGCGGCTCCCGGCCTTCTTAGTGTGGGCCCTCAGGGAGAAGAAAATCGCAAAATGTGTCCTTGGCAAGGACATGGTCTTGCAAAAAGTAAATCAGCGTATGCAGAAAACCTTCGAGAATACACCAAAAGAACTCCAGGAATGCCGAAAATGGGCAAGGGAAAACCTCAAAGAACGAGGTGGCGAAAAAGTAGAGCCTGAGGACAGCAACGACCCAGACGACGATGAGTTTCTCTGGTACTGATAATACAACTGATTGTGATTTGTGAATAGATATATTTATAATGTTCATGATGTGAAAATTTCTTCAGATTCAGATTTCTCTCCTTCGTAATAAATACAGGAAAAAAAATTGTTGTCCAACGTACTGATCCAAGGTACTGTGCGGAATACGCGTTGCCGCACAACCGAGCTACGGAAATGGGCAGGCAAGTTGCGGAGTCGGTATTATAAACTAACCAGACACGACGGATTCGTATCATCTGTCAGACTCAGATCATATATATAAGAATTCAGTTGCGTGCATGTGCTACGAAAACGAAGTAGCAAGTTAGCAGGCTTAAGTAGACAATATTGATATTCAAACTTTCAGGTCGAGCAATCCGATTGGGAAACAGAGAAGCTTACGGAAGCGCAGCAGAGAAAAGCAGCGGACGACGCCTACTACGCTTTGATGGTAACATACATGATCTTGATCTTCATTTTCTAAATCGTCGCTGCTCTGCTAGAAGAGGCAAGTAACATGACACAACAGCATTTGGATTTACATGTCGGTACCTGCAGTTTGTTACAACAGAAATGTCTTTAACTTTATCTTTATGACGCTCACCGGAGGCGTTGCACAGTGCTCCGGCCTGCCCTCGAAGGTGAGACCTATGGGGCTGACACGACGACGATAGCGCCGTCGCTTAATTGGTTTTAGCAGATAGCAGGACGCGACGCTTGGCGATAATTACCCTTTTCGCTTTTCTCTCTTCCTCTGGTCTTTCCTTTTTCTAGTCAGGTCGGCTCCACCACAATTTATTGCCGATCACTCTGCACATTTCATCTGCAGGTTTTCATGTCTATGCGAATGCGAAAAGAGAGGAGGAACCCACGTAGGAACCGAGAAATGGACGACGAAATTGATAAGCGACAGCGGAATAAAGGAAAGGGAATATGCGTGAAAGCCGAAACCGATTCGACTCTCAAAGGCAAGGGAATATGCCCTCCTGGCATGCAGCCGTCTCCAATGGGTATGGGAATGCCACCGGGTGGTACCTTTTCGGGTTACCTAAGTAGCGTCGTAGGTCCACCTCCACTGATGCTAATACTATTTATTATTATCTTTTCTTGACGTTGAACAAGATTATTTTTCACAATTTCTCTGCAGCTGCATTATTCATCCAATTTTTCTATCAGGTATGATGGGTGGTGGAGGGGGCAAGTTTGGCGCGCCCTCTCCTTTTCCAGGCAGCAAACCACTAGCACTCGAAAATGAACCACGTGGACTTTACCCAACGACTAGTACAGGAAGTACATGAATATGAATTTCGTCAATTTGTCTAACAGGACCAAGTTGTAGTTCTTGAACAAAATGACGTGACAAACATGAAAAATTTGGTGACTACTGTAGTGACTGTATGATCCAGAGAATCCCATTTGAAAAAAACAAGGTCCAGGATCCTTGGGTCCCCCAGGAGGTCCGCATATGGGTATGCCACCTCCAGGGAAGGGTGCTCCTTCTCCATTTGGCCCGATGCCGGGAATGAACGACGATCTCATGCCAGCCTTTAGTCTTGGTGGACCGCAGTCCCTCTATGGCAGCAGCGCCAGTGGCATGCAGGGCATGCCTCCTCCTGAAAGTGGAATGAATAGCAAGGGCGGCGCGCCCGGTCCTCCGTTTCACCAAGACCCACACGCCGGGCACATGGTTCCGCCGTTTGAATACCAACCTGGAGGCCCGCCAAACGGCTTTCTCGATCATCACACTGGCTACAATCGGCTCCCGGGCGGACCGCCATGCGGAGGCCCGCCGCCACCGGGTAAACCTCCGGGAAGCTTCAATCAAGTGGGCCCTGACGGAGTGGGCAGTGGCGGCATGCTTCCTCCGGGCGCTTACGGTGGACCACCGCCTTCAGGTCCGAATAGTGGTGGGATGAACGCACCCCAAGGCGGAGGCCTATCTTCTTCTGCAGGCGGAAACGCGCCGCCGCCATCCTCAAAAGGTGGCGATGCGCCGCCTCCGGGAAGCAGCAGCGGTGGAGTACCGCATCCGGGAGGACCACCATACGGCATGATGTCGCAAGGTGCGCCACCCCCGCCAGATTCCGGACCCGAAAATGGGCCGCCTTGTTTCGGAGGTTCGATCCCGTTTGGAAGCAAAGGCTCATCACCAAATGCAGTCGGCGGTCCGCATCCTTTTTACAATATGCCTGGAGCAACTGGGCCTTCCGGCGCACCACCACACCCTTATGGAAGGAATTACAGACGTCAATCAACTACTTGATGTTGTAGGCTTAAGTTTTACATCTCTAGTGCGTCCAATAACTTAAGTAAACTTCTGAATGGAATATATAACAGAGTAGTTTATAGCACGCATGGTGCATGGAGTAGCATGGAGTGCATGGAGCGCAGAGCTTTAAGGGGCGCAAGAAGCTCCCCCTTTAGCTCCATGCTACTCCATGTGATCCATGCACTCCATGCCATGCGAGCTGCGAAACCTTATAAACTGCTCTAATATAAAAAGAATGTGTCTTTCTCTTTGGTGTCCTCGTGATTCAGTTTTCGCAAACGCAACAACAAGCACAACATCATAAATTCTTTCATATCTGTGGAAGCAGCAGCAACGGCCTTGGTCTCATGCTAGGACCTCCCGGAAAAGGGTCTCAGCCGATGGGACTTTACCCCGACGGAAAGGGTATGTATCCTCACTTCGACGGCAAGGGCGGGCCTGATGGCAAAGGTATGCTTCCTGGAGGACCGATGATGCCGCCGGGAGGACCGATGTCAATGAGCAACGTGTCGATGGGACCACCACCGGGAAGTGGAAAGCCTGGCGGTTTGGGTGCTGGCGGTCCCCTCTTGAACGGAGCGACCGATCCAAATGGACTGCAGCACACGGACAGCGTGCCTCCGCCGGGTTCCTGCTCCTTTCCGGCATGGCACCACTCTGACCACAGCACAAAGGACTCCACCGGATCATCGGAGTCTGCACTCAATAAGCAAAACGACGAGGAGGACGCAGTCTACTCCTTATCATGCGTCGGAGGCAAAATCAAACAGTTGGTAAAAATTCTACAGTCTGATTGGAGGTGAGTCCTAGTAATATGACGGGCTGGTCTTCTTGTGTATCTCTGTCGTGTAATATCATACTCAACATTAGGCATCCCAGCCACATGATGTGATGTTGCTATTTCATCATCCTCGTCCTCGTAATTCTTGGTCTACAACTACAAGACACGTCTACTTTGTTTTTACCAGATCGCGTCGATCCTGAAGGACCCGAGCCTGAAGAAGGTTACGGCGCTTGCGCTTAGCAACGATGACGACCTTGGAGGTCGAGGCGTCGATGAAAAAGTGACCGAGCTAAACTTCGTTGTTAATCATCCTGCAGCTGAAGGCGGCGCAAAATTTGATGTCCACTTCCACATTGTTCGGCAACTTTCGGATGCGGAAGCCAAAATGGACAACGACTCGAATATTATTGCGCTCTTTACCTGCGCCAGCATACTGGATATAAATGCGGTAATGAAGTAGATGCTCTTGGCTCTCTCTCCTTTACTCTGATGCAGGAATTCGAATTTGATCTTTTATTTACTTATAACAGATGAAGATATCAACCAGTTTATTGTAATGATCAATAGCATTTGCATTTGAGATTTTTGTTTTTCAAGGAAAATGTAAAGATCTAGAAGATCATTGGCATGATGTTGAATGATGGTGAATCGATGAAGCCCTTACGGAATACAAAAACCGGTCGACCACATCAGAAGTTCCACCATAATATCGGGGATGCCAAGAACCACTTGCAGAGATTGGTCGATCTTGTGAGGAAACCACGTGTAGTCCTTTTCGTGCTGCAAGACAAGGATTATGACTATCGCAGAGTCTCGAAGGGTCCCATGATGTATGGAAACTTCATGAAGCACCAAGGCGAGGTACCTTGCGACTTCATTCAATACTTTTGGATTTAAATAATAGTTGATTTCCTCGATTTTCGACGAAACTGAAGATACTTCTCATGTCATGCAGATCAGATTTTTCATGTTGCTTGGTGACCATGTCAACTTTTGTATTTGTATTTGTTGCTACAACAAAATAAATCTAGGTTCACCGACATGAATGCTGGCCAGTGCAGCACTCTGACGACAACATCATTACGGCAGTCGAAGTCTATCGCTACGGCCCACCACCGCAACGCAAGAAGAAAAAGCCGGGTCGTGGACAGAAGCGGGGTACCGGCGCGCAAGGAGCCAATGGCGACCGCTCTCAAGAGATTTTGGGCGGACCTGAGCGTAGTATGTCAGCGATAGCTTCCAATTCATCCATGCTTTCATGCGGAGCAATGGGCGGCCCGGACGCGCTGGATCCCAACTACCCGTCGTCGAGTGGTCCTATGATTATGGGCAGTCCCCAGTTTGGCAGTATGCCAGGCGGACCAGGCAGCGGACCGCATCCTTACGGTATGCAACCTCCCAATACGGTAGGCATGATGATGCAGCCACCACCGGGAGTTATGGGCGGAGGCCCGCTGGGGCCGATTGGCGGTGGGCCTATGGGAAGCGGACCACCACTCGGGAGTCCCACACAGGGTCCTGGAGGCTCGAAGGGCGTTCCGCATTGGCCAATGCACCTGATGCCAGGCGGCCCACATTTTGGTGGGCCAGGGCCACCGGGCGGACCACCGGGACCCGGACATCTATCTCAACCGCGCGGAGGACCGCTGATGGATCTGAATTTGGGACCCAGTGGCCCATCCGGGCCCGGCATGCCTCCAGGCGGAGGTCCGGGCGCACCCTATCATCTACCTCCTGGCGGTGGTGGGAATCTGTTGCCAAACTTCGGCGCGTTCAATCCGGGCGGGTGTCCGCCGGGCGGCGGTCCGATGATGGGCGGAGGTCCAGGAGGCGGCTACAATCCACCGCATTTGCAGCATGTCTCGCCTCCGGGTCCTGGAACCTTGACACCAGGTGGTCCAGGGACAACGAGCAGCGGCAGCGGCAAGCTCGGACAGTCAGTGGGAATGCAAGGAGGACCTCCGATGATGGTTAAACATGCAGGCTTTGATGGTGGAAAGTGTGGTACGGACGGACCGGGTGGTCCCCAAGGACCAATGATGGTGCAGACAAAATCAGGCGCACACCCAGCCAACGGAACAACGTCTTCATCGGGGCTGCCGGCAGGTCCATCATCTTCTTCCAGCAGCGCGGGGCCTGCGAACGGATCTGGCCCTGCATGTAGTGCTCCTCCGCCCGGACCGCAAATGAGCATTCCAGGCTCTTGGGCAGCGGCCGCAGCAGCCGGTGGCAAAAGCAGCGGTTTGAACCGTACAGCCTCCGGTGGTGGTACCAACGGGCCTGCAACATCGTCGGGGCCAGGAGGAGACCTCTCAGGTAGTGGACCCGAGACGGGCTCTTCGTGTAGCGGTCCCGGAGGATGTTACAGTATCAATCCGAACATGTACAACAGCGGATCTTCTTCTGCGACAACAGCGAATGGAAGCAGCTGCACCACCAGCAGTCGGTCCTGTGGTGATTCGCGCGTATCCCCAGCGCATCCGCACGCAGGAAACGCCGGCGGCGGCTCCAGCAAAAGTCCAGCCCTAAGCAGCACGCACGAATCGCACAAAGGAGGAGCCGGTGGGGCGGGAACCTCAGCTATCACACCAACTAGTGGTGCTTCGTCTCGCGATCCTAATGCCGCAGCGCGGGGTGGAATTCCGCTCTCGAATGCCCCGGGTGGTGCCAAAGGACCCCTTCCTGGTGGCAGTTCAGTACCGAGTGGAGCAGGCGGACCGCAGTCCTCGACATGGGGTCCGGGAATTGGAGCTTTAGCGGGAACGAACTCATCAAAAATGTCAACCACGTCAAATGATCAATTGGTCGGGGGCGCGTTTCACCACCCGAGCAGCTCGATGATGTCGCGACCACCGCTTTCATCGTGTGGAGGCGCAGGAGCGCCGCTGGATCTAAGTGTTAGCATCCCTCCCGCCAACTCCGGAGGTGCAACGTCTCTCTCATCAGGTAGAACCCCGAGTGCTTCTACGCCGCAACCGTCACCGCCGCCACCGGGTCTTGGTCCGCAGTCCGCCTCTAGCTTGAATCATTCAGGTCTCGTGGGATCCTCTACTCTGCCAATCGTGAACGACCCACGATTTCTTGCTGCTTCGGCACACCAAGCTTCTCATCCGAATGGGCCACCAGGACCAACGGCAGCCAACGGCATGATGCCCACGACGCCATCAATGCCTCTCTCGGGCTCAAGCATGATGCGCGGCCCAAGCAAAGGAACAAGTCGATTTGGCCCAACAGAACCAACTGGTAATCTATCACTTGAGTAATGCCAATTCTTTCTCTTCATCGAAGTCGAAGAAAAGATACTATCGGTATCGTGTTGTCAGTCTGTCAAGATCCATATTAAGAGAAGAATCGAAAAAGTCGAAAAGAAGAACACAATAACAGATACAGTACTAGCGCAGTCTGTCTTTGTTCAGAACCTCAACCTCCTCCGTTACCATTGATCCCAATGAAATAAATGTTAGGTTCCCGCATGAAGATGCACAAGTTTTCAGCAACATCAGGTTCACCTTCTGATGGAAGCAGCGCTGCACTTCGAGGGTATGGAGCCGACGTTTCGCCCGCGATATATCAGGGAGACAACGCGGCAGGCTTCCCGGTACTTCCCAAGCTGCCGCCGCCTGCGATCAGCGCTGCTGGGCCCTCTAGTGGACCAGGAGGCGCAAGTGCAGTGAGCAGCATGCTCGAAACTACACCACCACCCTTTCCACCGCCGGGTCTCGATGACGCACGACGAAGCGGAGGCTCTGGTCCAGCGCCGAGCGGCTACAACAAGTATCCGGTATTAAAATTATTTCACAAAATCACACTATCACTACCGCTTTTTTGAATTTGAAATTCTTCATGATGTTGATTTCACTTGTTGCAACATCAGCCTATGATCAATCTTTGGATGTTGAGAAACAGATAGTATAACAACTACAGCAAAGTAAGATTAAGATGAAAGATGAAAATTGAAGTAATTACTACGTCGTACATCAACATCAACATCAACATCAACTACAGCCGCCACCCGGACTGGAGCCGATAAGTGCAGGAAAAGGCCCGATTGGAAAAAGGCTGTGAAAAATATCTCAGGTTAGGAGAGCTCCTGTTACTTTGCTCTGGTGCAGTCGTGAATATCATAAGGATGTTGGAGAAGAGGAAATGGAATGGGAAATACTTGATGCAACTACAAATAAGTAATTGTCTGCCTACTAAATTGAAGGTACTTCTTGTAGTGATCATTTTGTACATAGCCCTCACCAAATCTGTCATAATTTTCTCTTGCTCGATGGAAAATGGTCGAACGGAAGAGCACGCAAGCACGAGAACGCAAGAACAAGATATTGACATCATTTTTTTCTTCGCATTGGTATGGCTAGAAGAAAATATGGGTTTGATGGCATTGCTGCGAAGCAGTGTAACTGATGATCAGAACATAATCTGTTGCAAAAAGTAGAAGACGTTGTGGTATCTGATATTAAAGCTTGAATATTTCCCATCCGTTGTCGTTGAAGTTGATGAACTTCTTTAGTGGCATTGAGTTAATTTCTTGTCGTCGTTTTTCCTCTCACTCCCATCATCAAGGGGACGAGAGGAACTTTCACAACATTCCTCTTGTCGTGTTAATTGACAAGATGGAGAGTTAGAATATGTATCTATGAGTATTCTTTCTGCAACACCCTCTCATGAGTGGTGTCAAAAAATCTAAATACTTTCAGTTTCATGCATGATGAAGTAAGCGAACGTAAGAACTCGTGACGAAATTAGAAGTCAATAAATCCTTGTGAGAACGATGCGGTTACTTAATGTCATCGACAACAAGGAGCAGAGGTGGTTTCTTTCGGTTTTGCAATCACAAGAAAAGTGACCAGAGATGGGTGAAGCTGAAGTAGCAGGTAAGTAACTAATTCGTTCAAAAATAACAGGTTTAGTGTTTGTTTCAGCAGGTTTAGATGAAGGTAGTATTGGAGAAATTGTTATTATTGCTGACATTCATTGTATATCCTCCATCAAACGAATTGGTGGAGTGGTCTTGTTCGTTCTATTTCTTTCCGTCATATTCATGTGAATGTGTGTCTTGTTTGTTGCTTGATGAATGGTTTTTTCTGCTTGAGAAACGGAGCGTTGCTCTGCTTGTTCCTGCACACAGGAAAAATATGCAGGTCTAGACCCAACAATTCTTAGATTGTGATGTACAAGATGGATACGAAGTAGAAATTTTCGATACTATCTTTTTTGGTATTACATATACCGAATGAAAGATGACGCAATAGGTGTTGGAGCATTTATGTGTATCGTTGGTAAAGTCAATGTAAATGAAGAAAAGCAGAATGGTTTGTTGTGTAAGTATTATCAGAAAGTTATCATGGCCACCTTCTTCTTGCAAGAAATGCAAGAACCAGGTTTGTCGACTACAACAAGGTCATCTTCAGAAAATCAAAGAACGACGACGAGCCCTTCCCCAATATAAAACTCAGTATCATCAAGTCGCTCTACCATCAACATCAATACCAGGCGTATAAAGTTAGATTCAAGGAGTGTGCCTCTCCGGCTACGCGTATATCGAATACCAGGAAATAGTGTTGTCTGCTAGAATCTTGCAGCCTGTTTCGCAGGGGATTCATCTTGCTGAAGGCTATTGAAACTCAGGAGCTAAAAACAGGTCAAGTTGTATTGTAATATGCTACGTACTTACAACATTTATTATTTTGATATCTTCACAACCACTTACTTGCGCTGAAGATCATCATGCCTAACATGGTCACAAGACCGGATCGTTCACTTCTCGTGTCTGTTCTTCTGCATTCACAACCGAAGGATCGGTCTTTTATCGAATACGACGACCCGTATCAAAACACCGAGTCAGAGTGAAAATGAATGAATGAAGAGTGGAGGTGACAAAATCATTTTGAGTTTTTTTTGCAACTACTGCGACGAACTCAAACCATGAAAAAACAAGGAGATGAAACCAAGCTTTTCCACGACGACCCAGTAAGACCAGAAGCACATCAAGCATCGTGGAGGGGGCATATCAGTCTTGCTGGTGTCATGCGGACACGGGGCATTCGAAGTAGTCGCGATAAACGTCACGACTTCACTTGTTCGTCTGCCGATCACGTACAGAGGCTCCTCCAGGTCAATTTTTCACAATCATGCAGTTGTGGCGTGCAGACGCAAATGAAAAAAAACACGCCAACATCTCTACAAAGGTCAAAAAATCACGAAATCTTCAGCAAAATCTCACGAGATCTCAAAGATCCTTACAAATGAACTGTGGCGACTTTGTTTGGTGATTTTACTTAGAAAAAGTAGAAGGTCACATCTCGATGAACTAGATGCACATACTAACTAAAGCATGGAGCTACGCACAACAACTTCTATTCACAAAAAAAACTAGGGCAGGACGCAAAACATGACATTGATTCTCATGTAACTTGGTGGATATTTGAATACGGTTGTACTTGTGGTTGACTACGTAATTATTTGACTTCAGGTGGATCGAATATTGAGATAGTCAACATCTGCTCTATTACAAGTGAAACTGCACAACATTATCTTATCATGTGAACTTTTGAGTAGTTAGGCAAGATTCTGGAGAGCAGCTTACAAACAAACAATACTTGCTTTCTTTTTTGAAGAAAGGATCTAGGTACACTTCGTAGGAGAGGTATTTGAATCATGACGCTTTGACGGGATGATTGCTTCATGTCTAAACGTGCTTTTCGACACGCACACACAGAGACTGGCATGATGACTCTGATGAGTACCAGCTAAGTACAACTTGTTCATGTTTTGCCAAGTTCATTCAATTGTGATTGTCTACTTTGTCCTTCGCAGTCGAAAAAGACTTTCTATCATTTATATTTGAAAGATGAGTGCTGGTGGTACGAGTTCAGGGATTTTGCAGGGCCGCAGCCCCTATGACATTTTGCACGTGAGTCAAGACGCAGATGACCACGCATGCCGATCCGCTTACAGGCGCCTGGCTTTGAAGCATCACCCCGATAAGGGTGGCGACGTCGAAATCTTCAAACGGGTGAATGCTGCCTACCAAATCGTGGGTGATCCGGCGGCCCGCACCCGATACGACCGCGAATACTTGAACAAAGTAAGAAGGAACAAGAAAAGAAATCGCGAAGACGATGGGAAAGTTTTCTTTTCTTCAGACGAAGAAGAGTCGACAGATGGCGAGAACGATGATGAAGATGCGGACTATGACGAAGATTTTGATTTATGAAAGTGGAATATTATTAATGTCCCATGAACGTGTTGATGGAGCATCGTCTATTACTATTTTTATGATCTCGATAATCAATCCCAATGCAAGAAAGGGAATCACAATCAGTACTCGGATAAGTACTGACCTGAGTATTCAAAACTAAGGAGAAGTATCTGGTTCTGGTTTAATTCTTCTTTTTATACAGAGTTAGTAGTTGCTAGAAACTCTCCTCGTGCTGGATTTCTAATTCTCCTCGACGAAGATTTCGTGGATGAAGTTATGACTGCCTACCTCCGTGAGCTCTTTGCAGCAGCTTTTCATGGCGGAAAATTGCCGAAGTCGAGGTGGGGAAGCTGGTTTTTCGATGTGGAGGCAAACGATGAATCCCACTTCGCAAACCTAAGGCGAGAAAGGGAAAGACAGCAGGAAGAAAGAAAACAGCAGCAGGCAGAGCTAAAAGCGAAACGGCGCGAAGAAAGGGTAGCAGAAAGAGAAGCGAAGCCAATGAAGATTATGATGTCACGATATGCGCATGCGCAACAAAATATAGATATGTAGCTAACGCGTCTTTTATCAGTTTCGATGCTTCCTCTCTATTTCTTGGTATCAATGCATGAGTGCAAAATAGATATAATTATAGAATAATTTATAGGAGTGCCAGGTCCGGGATGGGATGGAACGGATGGACTTGCCACCATTTCAAGTATTATCGGAGGACTTAGGCGGGCCCGTCCGATCCATCCAAGTCCATCTTACATCCGTCCCAGATATTGTCCTAAGATTGTTGGACCACAAGAACGCAGGCCGGTAGGTCGCGCGTAGTCTCTCGGTGAGAAGCGCCGAGCCTGGTGCGGATTGAGCTCACAGCTTGAGGCTGGTGAGCTCTGGCTGGTTTGATCCTTGTGGATATTCGTAGGGGTTGCGTTGGGAAGTCTCGGCTTCTTCTTTGGGGTATCATAAGGGGGAAAGCTTCACGCGCTCACATCGGGGCCCTTCTGCTATCATCGTTGGCGCTGTATGATCATCCTACGCCGATACTCGTCAGGCTCAGGGCCTGGCTTGGTCTCAATCTTAAATGGATGGAAATGCATCAGATCACGCGAGACCTATTACGCGAATGCCTAACCTCACGACAATCATCATGCTGGTCAGAACTGACAAGACAAGACGGCGCGGACCTGGTTACAGCTATGAACATTCGACGCGCCTGCTATCTGAAAACGTTGGGGGCCCTTTGTCTGTTGATCGTTGACTTTGGAATCAGACGCGTTTAGGTCTAGAGGTTTCCTGGAGATCTTCCCGGTGGTGCTTTGTCTTTGACTCACTGCACTGAGAGACTTGAAACAACGAACGAGAGAGAGGAGCAGCCAGAGACACGGACACCCGCGCGACGGTAAACCCGTCGGGCGTTTGGATGGTGCTCCGGTAACCTTTTCGCCTGGCAGTCTTGGCCATTTTGGTGATCTTCGTCCTCTGGATCTTTGTGGCATTTCAAGGATCCCGATCGTGACCAACAAAGGGAAACGCATGGCGCAAATGCATGCACTTAGCTGCTTTGATGATCATGCTACTCTACTTGTAAATGTAATATTTCTTGGTGGGGTACTATGGTAGTTTATACTCGGGTTAAAACAATTATGGAGTAACACTATGCCAAAAGCGAACGTAGAAAAGTGGTTTTTTGGCCAAAGAACGCACATAAAGCCCAGGGATCAGCTGGGCAGTTTTCGTCTCAAAATGGAAGATTTTCATTCTGAGGCGAATAATGTACAAAAAACGCAAAAAAAACGCTTTTTTGTACCTTATTCGTCTCAGAATGAAAATTTTCCATTTGAGGCGAATGCTGCCCAACTGATCCCGGGGCTGTGTGTGCGCTGCGTTCTTTGGCTAAAAAACCCCTTTTCTATGTTCGCCTTTGGCATAGTGTTAATCCATAAAAACAATATAATGCGGCAAACTGATCGTCTTCGAACGGATTCGGCATCTGTGTCATTACATCAGCATCAGGATGACGGTTTTCATTTTCTTGCGCTTCTAACAATGACCACGAGAAAACTTTGAAGAAGAACCTCCGAAAGGTCGCGCAGGGCAGGTGCATGTCCCACGACGAGGTGGAAGACCAGCAGATGTGCTGGCAGAGCTATCAAGTATTACGTGAAAGAAAAGGATTGCACCCGGACAAGGGGGACCCGCCAAAACCACCCAGTCCGAACAGTGATGACGAGCGCTCTACCACACCAAAAACTTCGCAGTCTGGCACTCTAGTAGACGACGAGCAAGAATACAGCGTACGAATTACAACCACGCAAAAAATCTCAGACAGCCTACAAGTAACCCGGTGGATCGATAACTTGTCCCTTGAGAGGTGCGGGATCGCTCTGACCGCCTTGGAGACGGCCTGCGCCGAGGCTGCCAAGGCTCAGCAGAAGAAAAATAAGGGGAAACTGGTGTACTACAAGAACCCGGTTGAGGTCCTGGCGCAGCAAATGCAAATCGAAAACGAATCTAAGAAAAAAATACCAGTGAATACCTCATACCGCGTCGAAATCCAAGGTCTCATCTTGAGAACCAAACAAGCCAAGGCAAAAACATCTTCTCGAAGTGGAACAACAGTTGTAGATGCTGAAGTAGGTGACGAGGGAGCTGTAGAACAAGTGCCACCTGCTCCGAGAAATGGCGAGTGGAGTGGGAGTCCCCAGAATAAAAAAGGAAAGTCCGCTGCTGGAAGCGAGGCAATGGCAATCCCAGCCGCCTCGCCTGCCGCCACATCTTCATCATCGAACGCCAGCCCTCGTATCCATCTACAACGACCCCAAGCGACAAGCGCAAAATCAACAACAAGCGACAAGAACAACAACAATACAAAAAAGTCTAGTAAAACCGCGAACAAAAACTTTGGCAGTTCTGCGGAGGTTTATCCGCCAAAGCACTCGCCGAGGCTTTCTCCTCCTCGCCCTCTGTTTGATGATGTACCAGCCACAGGTCCGACCTTGCTCGACACGTTGGTAAATGCAGAAGCTGCGTTGGTAAATGTAGAAAGCAGCTTGCCCACCAGCGTCGCAGAATACTACGACAAGACAATGGTGGGAGGCGACACCCCTGGCGACTATTCATCATCTTCACAATCGTGTTCTTCCAGTTGCACCGAGCAGGAGCGGGGCATGTTGCAGAGTAACACGAGCGTGGCCGACTCGGACGCGTATTATTGGGATCACCTCTCCATGGAGTGTCAGGCGAAAAAGGTGCTAAGCGAAATGGGCATGTATGACGAGAACATGATGGACCTCATCAAGCGCAAGTCACCACCGAAGTGGCTTAAATCAGCGGATGCGATGGTGAGCTGGATTCTCGAGGAGTACGAACAGGACTCTGGAAACCGTGAGAGAAGGTCGAAAGAAGCTGGAAAAGAACCGAGCAAGACGAGCATGAATAAGAAAACAGGCGACTACTACGCAGACAGTGCTCCCGCGGCGCGTAACAAGGCGCCTACCTCGCCAACGGGGGTCACCTCGCCCGGGGCAGCAGGGAGTGTTCAACCAAGCAACACGTCTCTCTCTCAACATATGCACAAGCCTGGCCAAAGCACTAGCGGTATTGCAGCTTCCACATTTCATAGCCACCCCTTTCATGCAGGGCTCTCTCCAGAGCAAGAGCGACGTACAAAAGTATTGCTGGCGGATGGAGATCTTTCGACCATTTCCACCCGTGAGCCGAACGATGAATTTCAACAGTCCTCGACAACATCGAGCACCCGCGCTCTTTTTAGTGACCGTGGGAAAGCTGAAGCTTCGACTCGACGCAAAATCAACTGGGGCGATTCTCCCGAGCACGTACTTGGAGGCACAAGCACAAATCCGCCTCCGATCGTCCCCGCGATCGAGTCAACATCTATGGCAGCAACTCCTCAGCAGCGTGGTCAAGATTCCGCAGCAGAGACCGCAAACACGCCTTCAGCGGGTGAAAAAGCCGAGTGCGGGCGAACACGCCAGCGGCACAGAAACAAGGTTCCTGCAAAACCCGAAGCCGATGGCCTTCACAGTGTGGCGAGCATGGTGGCTCAACGCGAGAAAGAGGCGGCTGCCAAACAAGACGCAGAACGCGTGGCACGACTACAGGCTCAACAGAGAACTGCGGCGCCGACTCAACTCCCTCCGGCCTGGTCGAGCCCTACGACTGTGAGAAATGCTACGCAAGAAAATGATGAACAGCGAGATACACCTGCGGCCGAGGCCGCGGATGAAGAAGGAGGTGGGTGGGCCAGCGTAGTCAAGCGACAACCAAAACCCAAGGCCAAGCCACAAAACAATTCCGCCCCTGCAAACCAAACACAGCAAACCCGACCAGCCCCAGCGGTGAACACTGTGGAAAGAGTAGGATAATAAAATAATTATGAATATATATGTACAACACTTTGAACATGGAGATGGAGTTAATTGCTATTATAATATTTTATAAATATGTAAATCTAGATTCAATTTGGTGTCCAAACATTTTGGTTTTATCTAGCTCCTCCTTGTTTTTTCATTAACAGGTGCTCTCTGACGAGATGGACGAGGACGCGTCGTCAACTTGCCCAGAGATGCCTCTGAGTCCAAGAGCTATCACACTCCAGTGGGCGCGTCCCGATGACAGCAGTTACGAATTCACCTTGTATGGACGGGAGGCCGGGCTGAGCCGGTACAATCTACGGCCCACGTTGTCATGCCTCGCGACGCGGCAGCGGCTAGTGTCCGTGGAGGATCCCAGGGAGTGGGAGGTGAGGTACGTGTGTAAGGATCTGGACTTTGCAGCAAACAAAGGGTTGGATGACAAGTGCCTCGAAATCTTGATTGAATGGCTGGTAAAGCACGGAATTGTGGTGGACAAGCTGCAGCTGTGGCGATGCGACATCGGCGACCAGGGTGCACTTGCAGTATTGAACTACGTACGACGAGTGGAACTAGCGAACAGATCGAGAGCGGAATCAGAACGCTGCCTCGTGCAGTTAAGGCTCGCATCGACAAGTGATTCGTGTCTTTAGTTTCCTCTCATCCACGGACACAAATGTTGATTTAAAATGTATATCATATGTTCTCTCACGACCTCCAGGATGCAGCTTCTCTTCTCAAGTTGCAGGAAAACGAGTACTCATTTTAACATAAGAAGAAAAGTCCTTAAGATTCTAAGGCCTACAAGAATATCATACGCTCTCTTTCTCATCAACAAAGTGGTGCAGTTATTCCTATTAATCGCACGAGTACTACTACTTGTAACCACAACTTGAACGAGATTCATCTTGGTGTATGGGCTGAGAATTGACTAGTCTTCTAGTTTCCCATCGAGGAGCTGCTTCGGCTTCATCTCAGTAAAGAAGATATATTGCACAGGGCTTCAAGTTTGACATAAACATAATCTCAATCTAACGGAAATAATTCATCTCTAATCTTGGAGATCCATCTGTCGGACAACCGCATCACCAAAACCGGAACGATTCCGATACTAGAGTACCTGGAGCGCGAAAGTCAAGTATATCCCTGGGTGAAGAAGACGCGGAGGGGATTCGAGCTGTACCCTCTGTGGCTGCGCATGAACAACAACAAGATCGCAATACCACGGGATTGGATCCCCAAAATGCCCGAGTTCGCTGCGAAGGACAAACCTTTCCGTGCTTTCCCACAAATGGGTGTACCGAACCACCGCAATTACTTAGTGAAGTTACGACAGCACTTCTTTTGACATAGGTAGCGCTTTGAAAATTCCAGAAGTAAGTACATTATTTGATAATATATGAAGTATACTATAAGTAGATAGTCGCAAGGACGATGAAATCTTCTCCGAACGAGATCTAGAAGATGACTATGATCCATCAATTTGAATTTTATCGTACTCATTCCTCTGGCAACATTTTGGGCGATGACTATGATCCATCAATTTGAATTTTATCGTACTCATTTCTCTCGCAACATTTTGGGCCGATTATCTCTAATGAAACAAACATCCGCGCAACTTGATGCAACCCAATCGCAAAACCAGTACAACAAGCTGCGAAAGGAAAAACCGATTGCGCACCTCCCGATGTTTCTTAAGCAATGCAGAATGTGAAAGCGGGAAAGTATGGCAGGACCCCGTTCTAGTCCTTCCTGGGGAACGCAACAACTGGTCTGCTTGTAAGTACATTCATGATCAATGTGGGCACTGTTAAAACTTATCATCTTTTTCGCGAAACTGCAACTTCCACTTCATCTTCACGAACAAGTAACAAACCCTAATCATCGTGGATTTTCAGAGGACTAGTCGTACTTTTAAAAAAGATCCCACATTCCGGCATTAACTCCAAGCCAGTCGCCCAAATTCTCACCTACCCTGAGGAACCTTGTTTCTCGAAATGCGTCGAAGAAGATGATGGCAAATATTATTTGTTTCTAGGAAGGCGAAAGGTCGGCCTCCATGCCTGCCTTGTCGTGTCTAGAAGGTGCTGTCCTCAAGACGTTGTGCGAAGATTATCCCAGAAGTGAAGTTGAAATTATCTTATCATAATCAAGCAACAGGTTTGTGCATTTATTTGTGTTGCGATTGTTGTTGGATCTACCAAGGTCTTCGAAGGTAACCGCCCAAGGTAGCCAGTAGTTGTTCTTCTTGCCCAATGTGTAACGCCTGCAGGTACAGGCAAACGCTTCGACACCCAAACTGGAGGAAGGATAGCAAGTGCAAGGTAAGCGAACCACAGCGAAGAGGAAGAAGGCCGGAGATAGCACACCACTAGAATCCAACGCAATCGAGCACAGCCCCCGCACCCTGGTGCTCTCTCACGAGTAGTGACGCGAGCGCAGTTGGTGAGAGAGCACAAGGGTGCGGGGGCTGTGCTCGATTCCGTCGGTCCCCATCTCGAGCTCTGTGGCTCGTCTTTGAATTGACCGAGTGCGCCCGCGCCGACTGATTCACATCAAGCCGCCAAGTCGGGAAGTGGGACACCTTCAAGGTCAAGGCCATACAGCTTGGCCGCTTCGCGCTGTCTCCGCCAGTTATAATATACTAATCCCCACCAGACCACTTGGAGCCATTTGTAATTAATTCAACAGCAGCCTGCTCGTTGATCTCGCAACTTTTTTCGACATATTAATTCTGACTAAACACTTCAGGAGCACCTTATTTGCACTGGTGACAACGTCGCCCATCTACATTTTTACAGAACGACGGGTATGGGTAGAGCAGTTCTTTCATGATCTACGACTTACTTGTACAGCAACTTTCTTATATCAACAAGTACGCAGCACCCAACATGTCCAGCAGCCGCCACGGTAGTATTGTTCGAAAGAGGACCCTTATATCAACGAGTACGCAACACCCAACATGTCGAGCAACCGCCACGGTAGTATTGTTCGAAAGAGGACCATGATAAACGATCATCGACATGCAGACTAACATCCTTTGATGGAGGAGTTGGTTTTGGTTGCTAAAAAAGAAAACAAACAAACAAACAAACAAACAGAGGGCAGTACGCTTCGAGAGCGCGAGCAGGATGGTTCTGTCGTCACCTCAAGAAGCACGAAGAAGAATGATAATTCTATCTGGAATAACCTTGAGAACAATATGAGCCAGCGTGTCGAGTATCAGTGTATTCTTCATCGCGGAGAAGAGATAAAAGATCGTGTGATCGCGAGATGTACAGAAGGTCGGGCGAGAAGTGCATCATGAGAGAATTTAGTAAGGTAAACTTCTGAGCTCTACGAATCATTCGGGTTGCAGTCTGTGAAAAAATTTCCCACGTATCTGTAGCAGGCATGCAAGCAAAACAGAAACCCATCTCGCAATAACATCTCTTACAGTTTCGTGCTGACGACAACTGGTTGTTCTTTAGTTGAATGATGCGACATGTAAGTATGCTTCTTGTTCTCTATCGATTTCCACTTGCAGTTCTACCCTTTCCATGACACTTAATGTTGGGTATCACATACACATCTCATATTCTGAAAAGCGTTGTGGCCTGGCTGGCACTCTTGGGCACAGAGTACTACAGCTTGATCACGTTCAGTACAGCTGCTTATGGTGTGATGCCCGATGCTCCTCGAATCGGTACAACCTCCACATCTTCGTCAATCGATTCGCGCAGGCATTTGGGCGCTTCATTCAGTTCAGGAGGCCACCGCCGCGACGAGCTGCGAGGCAGTACAAGCGGGCAACAGCTAATAGCACAACATCACGGCGAGCAAGGAGGGGAAAGTATTGGAGGCAGGCGCTCACCTGGGCAACGCAGTCGACGCTTCTCACCTAGAGGCATTATCATGTCCTTGCAGTTGCCGCTTCATGAACTCAACGGGACATCGAGTGCGTTGTCTCAAGCTTCATCGGGACTGCTACTTGAGGTCGAAGGTATCGGGGAAGCAGACCACGGTGGATTATGTAATCGTGAAACTCACGGGATACTACAGGAACAGCTACAGGAGCAGCCTCCGCCGGACCCATCTTCAAGTTTCTCATGGAACACTTGCTCTGGCGGAGCCGAGGTAGGAGAAGATCTTGGGGCAGTCAATAGTAAAGGACCAGCTTCTGGTATGGGTGGTCGCAGGCCCAGCATTAAGAATTGTCCTGTTCAACATCGTCGCCGACGACGGCACCACCATCGACTTCGTATGCAACTGTCACGACCGCAGACATGCTGCGATATAGGAAACACAGTGACTACAACACTGGAACTCCAGGCGGAAGTGGCAGGGCTGCAGGAAATAGCAGAAATCTCTTTTCAGCGTCTTCGGCCCCGTCAATGCCGGGGTCGGCTAGAAGTGGCGGTGCATTCAAGACTGCTTCAGGTGGAAAGCCCAAACGACACACCTCAGCAACACCTCCAGCAAGGTTTGACTCAGTCCTCTCAGCAGGTCGTGAGTGATGGCACTATAGTATAGCAAGCTCGATTACAGGCAGAGGAGCGAAAAGTAGGGATCGATTCGGCCTCGGCGTTGCCAGTGATGGTGAAGATGTGGGATTTCGGTATCCTTGTCCATCGCTTGGAAGAAGCCTGAATGGTGAAGCTCCTGGAGGATCTGCACAAGCACAATCAACAATGGCTGTATCTAGGAGTAGTGGCGACTTCTTACACGCCCAGCATCAACAGTCCCCTCTCTTCAAGAGCTGATCAACTCTGATATCGCGGCACTACGATGCAACTTTGAGAAGCTAGTGGTCGATACGCTGAAGCCACCAAGAAAAAATGGGCCACGGGAAAGTCCACCTCGTGGAGCTGGAGGTGGGCTCACCGACACCGAGCCATGTGATCGTTTTACTATTTCGACGCCACCTGCAGGAGAAGGCAGGGCGGATGGGTATTCAAAATCGGAAGCTGCGAGAGCACTATATGGGGAAAGAAAACTTTCTCAACGCGCCAGTTTTGGAGGAGCCACTTCTTCTAGGCAAGAGCGAGGCGAAGCGAGGAATTGTATTGGAGTACCTAGTAATATAGAGCAAGTTCCGACCCCTCAAAGTGGTAAGTCGAGCATGCGTTCGAGCTTGGCACGAATGTATAACGGAAAGTGGCCTACAGAGCCGCAAATAGATGGAAAGCAAAATCTCCTAGGTGAAGATCATAAAGAATTGCATACTAGACCAAGACGAGGACAAGATGATGTTCGAGGCAGTAATAGATCTGCTGGATACAGCAATAGTGGAACTTTTGGTATTGGTGCGACGAATACAGGTGCAACAACTGCTGTCAACAGTGCCGGGAAGACTAACCTTGTTGAAGATGCGAGGGAGGCAACTTTAAGTGATAGCAATGACGAAATGTTTTACAGGCGTTTTCTGTCAGACAATGCGGCGAGAGCACAGGCAACATCAGATGCATAGACGACGTCGAGAGGCATTGAGAAGAAGCAGATAATAGGTAGCAGTGAAGAGGGAACATCACCCGCCACCTTCACTTCTTTTCGGGCACGCATTGAAAAGCTTCGTCTCTTCTATCGTCGTCTGGTGGAACGACTACCCACAAAGGAGGCGCCAGCACATCGAAGCTTAAAATTAACCACAGCGGTGACTCAAGTAAACCCAAAAAAGCCAGAGCAGCTGCACTAAGCGGTGGAGCTACAACTAGTAGTATCCCAGAATCCTCTTCATCGTTGCCGCAGGATCTTCAGAGTAGCATCTCATCGGCAGGACGTGCGCCTCCGCTTGTATACGCGAACAGCCGTGATGCGGCACCTTGGCCAGGTGGAAGCTCGAGTGAGGCGTCTAACCCTCCGGAAAACCAGCAGACCACCTCCCTGCGACAAAAGGAGTCACCGCACGTTGAAGACGAGCATGGTCAGGAGGAATCACCAGAACAACGCACCCTGATTCGAAGCGCAGGCTGCACAAAACTGCCTCCTGGGAGCCTCCTGGCCCTCGCATCAAAACAGTTAGAGGACTCCAGAGTGAAAGACGGGACGAAATCAAGTAGTCCATCTTCTTGGTTGGCTCCCGCAACGGATGACCTTGAAGATGATACGAAACTTGAACACAACAGACATCAGGAAAAGAAGCACACGTCTATTTTCCCGAGCTCCACCAGAATTGCAACGTCTTCATGGGCAGCGCAGCGAAAGCAACATGCGCCAGGTAGTTCTAGTCACCAGTCTCGACAGGTCAGAGGAGGGACCTCTGCAGCAGCGGGCTCGGTAATTGACGCTACCTTCGCTATTGATTTTCCCGCTGAGTTAGATTCTGGCTTGCCCAGGCCAGACGCTGATACTGCGGTAATGTGGCTGTCGCGAGCGCGAACTGCTCAGGCTATACTCGGACCTGAAATCGAAAAGCGTACCCGGCTTCTGCTATGCGAAGAACAAAAAAACGAAACAGGAACTGTCTTGTCTTCCTGTACAAATTTCACCTCTTCTCCGCAGGATTCCGAGGACCAGCAGAGGAATTCTGCTGCAGCATCACAGGCGATTTCACAAGCCCAGGCCGGTGCCGCGTTTTGTAGCGCTTTCGCATCGGGACTGAGTGCGACCCAGTTCGACGCGACAAGTCGTGGCAGTGGCGACGCACAGAACAGGCAGATGAAGTCGGCCTCATCTTCCTCGTCCAGCTTTGACTTGTACAAGGCGAAACTTCTGCAGACTTGCGAGCCAAGCGTGGCGTTATTGATACGGACATTGCGAGGACGGTCTTGCTAAAACTGCAAGAGCATCAAGAGCAGGCACAAGCGCAACAAGAGACAGCGACGAAGGCCAAAGTACTGCCTGCTGACCCCTTCGCCAACACTCCGTACATAAGCGGCGGAAAAACAATCGGCAGGCCTAGTAGAGTAGGCAGAAGTCATGACTCGAGCCTTCCACTGGGGCCGGGAGAATCGTCACCCGGTGCTGGCTCTCCGTCTCCAGGTGCAGAAGCAGAACGAGTTTCCAATCCGAGCTTAGCGGCGTCATCTGCGACGCCGACCCGGATCAAAAAACACGGGTTACTGCGTGACAACATCAACAGAGAACATTCTCCTGCAATGTCTGGTTACTCAACGCCCATTTCCGCTCAAACGGAAAATCGCCAAAATCAGCGTTTGCACGCCGCCGAAGCACAAACCCCCTCAAGTGGTCAACATTCATCGTCAAGAACAGGACTGTCGCCGAAACACGACCCCTTTCTCCTGCAGGAGTCCTCTCCTGCCTGCCGAGGGAATCCGTTGCCTACGTCGTCGGGCATTGGGCTGAAAACAGCAGACATCCGTATGGAGACGGACTTTTCGTCCCCGCACGCGCGCCAAAGACTCCGTGCTGCGGTTGACAGAATTATGGCCGTAGCGGCTGGACGCGGTCGCGCAGAAAAACCCGTGGAGAGTGATGAACAACAGAAGGAGGCCGATGATATGCTTCGGAAGACCTACAATTTGAGCGAGCTACAGGCTCAGGTATGGATGCTACGGCGCATTTTACTGGACTACATGGCGATTCCTGACAACACCCTGCAGTACACGCAAGGCATGACCCATTTTGTGTATGCGCTCATGCTGTCGGTAAAGTTTGCCAATGAGGAGGCTTACTTTTGGCTTCTGTTGTTCTTCCTGGAAGAACAACCGATAATGCCGAATACAGCAGGCACCTCTTCAGATGGTGGCTCTCGACTATATGCCGCCGAAAAACTTGCATCTTCGCGCTTTCGCGAACAGCCGCTACCGAGATCGAATCTCGCGAGATTCACGCTAGCTACAGTGTCAAACCCTCTCCTGCTTGATGATGTAGACGAGAGCGAGACGCCGCGCCCACGAGATTATTATGCCGGAGGAGGTGATGAAGGTGCAACTGATGCGAGCGCAACTACCCGAGCAGCTGGGACTTCTCTCTTCCTGTGGAAGGCCCAGATATCCGGTCAAATCGATCAGAACAGCGTGTCGGTGTGGGCGCATCTCCCACGCCAACCAGTGACGAACCGCTAGTTGTATTTGGTCTACGCATGCGCAGACTTTTCACTCCGAGTCTTGTCAAAACGTACGCGCCCGTCTTGTTTTACGCCGTGGCACTCGCCATGTTTCCTAGCTCTACTGCCAGGAGGTACGGAGCAGAAAATCTTCAGCGAGCTGCACTATCGCCGAACCCTTTACCCGGCAATTACGATGACGCGGGCCTGGCCGTCCAGGGCGAAAAAATCAAGGGCACCCTCGTGTTCCGTGATACGAGCAGAGCGCGTGGCTATGAACTATCGCGAGGCCGTGAAGACGCTGGTCTTGCCTATTCCAGCGATCGCCTAATCAATGAGTTCGCATAGCAGTTCGCTCGCTTCGTCGATGAGAAGGCGCATGGGCTGCGGCATGTCCAGCGCAAGCCTCGTTGAACCAGACACGCTACCCTCATCTTTACGCCTCCCGGAAAATTCGGTGCGCGGTGAAGATGATGGCCTGATCAGTGACGCCCTTGCTTCATCCACGACATCACGTCCAACTCCCAAGGGATTTGAATGCAAGAACAACGCGCCACCTTCGCATCTCTCGGGGGAAGCCGGCCGAAGAACGGCTGCAACAGCCGCATATTCGAGTCTATTTGAGCTAGAGGGCGAGGAAACTGAGATCGCGATGCCGGAATCCTTGCTGGCCTGTCCCGTACGAGATCTGCAGGAAGGCAGTTGTGGAAGCTTTTTCTTCGACTACACCTCCGTGATCCCAAGCTCGACCGTTGATGCCGGACCTCCTGCATCTTCTTCGTGCCATGTCTGTTGTCCTACAACGCCCCAGGGAGATAAGCCTCCGCAGAAAAATAGCGAACCATTTGCATCGTCGAGCGAACGCGGGACGTCAAAATCGAGATCGCTGCCATCTCCCGACCATGTGCTTAATGATAAGGTAGAGCTTTTACTGACCCAGTACTTGAAGAGCGTGTATCAAAAAAAATTAACAATTTACATAAAAAACGTAAACCTATCGTTCTACTCATCTCGATTACAACGAGAATTATAGAGAGTGTGAGTGTAGCTGCATGGACTTGATAACTTCCCTTTTTTTAGAAAACGTCATGCTTCTCTACTGGGGTCTGTGAAACAGAAATAATCCTAGGCATTGAACCTGAGACCGTTCCACCATGATTCTGAGGACCTGCCAGTCTGACAAACTGCATCATCTTCAGAGTGAACGCGTTTTGTGAGCCTAGCGTGTTAAAGTGGATTCCTGCAAAACGAAATCTGAATCTGCTCATAGTTGAGAAGAAGCTATGGTAATGATTTTAACAATGCTCGTCAGTGCACCCCCGCACTCGCGATATGTGTTCAGAATGATCACATTGCCAAAGCGAATGAGAACCGAAACCGAATAATTATAATAATACAACATCCGATCCTAAGTCCGACGAGTAAATCATGACATGCAGCATGACAGACTCCACTCCTTACAACGTCTCTATCTCTGCGCGAGGTGTGCCTCCTCGCCCCTGTACAAGTACAAGATAGATTACTCTGCCACAGAAAATCACGAAGATCGAAATCGAGCGTGTTCGTATTGATCCTCCTCGCAGCCATTGCCATGGGTATGGCAACGGTTTTCGTGCCATGCCACGCCGTTCCCTCATATCGTCTACGGGCGTAGAGGTGCGGCAGTCGCAGCTGCGGGTAGGTTGGTTAAGGAGGTTAATGCATTCCACCCGCCGCCGGCAGGTACACCGGACAGCACTGGGCTCACCCTTTCGGTGTTCTCAGACTACAAAAAAAAAGTGCCCTGTAGCGGCACCCTGATTGATTGATCCATGACTGGAATGCTCAGCGAACTCAGTTTTAGTCTTGGCAACACTCACAGACTTTATGCTGCAGTGACCTTTTCTCGTCTCGTTTCTCGCCTCCCGATCGGACCACGCGCAATTCTTGACGTTCTTAAATTCCACTGAGTGACTGTGATCATCAAAATGCAAAGGAGTGCATAAGGTCCTGTTACTCTCTCTGCATGCCAGCACATCCACATACTCCGACTGGATTATGCACCCCAAAACTCATAACTTGCTCGTTTCCATCTATCTGCACCGACTTCACTGTCTGAAACTTCAAAACCTGCTATTGCATCTTCTCCTCGTCGCCTTCTGTCGCTGTGCTTGAGCCATTGCTGGCATCCTTCTCTCCTAGAAACAAGACGGGCACGAGACCAAGCAAGCACCCGATGGTCAGACCGGTAATCGTTCCTGCTAGCCCTGTTATTCGCGCCAGATGAGTGCGCTTCTGCGCGCGGCTCATCTTCGGTCGTGGCAGCCCTATTTTCTCCGCAAAGTATTCAATCCACTCTGCAAGCCCCATCCCTATGATGTTGCTAAACAAATTTCCCAGCCCAGCAGCAGCCAGCGTAGATACGTACATTCCGAAGCTGTTTTCGATACTCGCACCCAAAATTATCCCAAAATGAAGGGAGAAAGTGCCTTCTTGCTTCATTCAAAATTTTCAATCACGCGCTGAACGACAAATAAAATAAATATATATAAGTAAGCCCACATTCCCGGAGGATGTTTCTCTTGTTGCTCCATACTTTTTTTTAATCGCATACTACAATAACAATGCAGGTTCAACATTGCAAATCCTCGACGCATAAAGAAGGAAGTTGTCTGTAAATCCGAAGCCCACCATTGGGCCTGCGTTTAGAAAAAAAAGCTTCCGCAATTCGCTGATTGGAATCGATGGAACGACTGCTGTCGCAATGTCGTCTGCGTCACCCATGGTTTCCCTCTGTTCCTCTCCGTTCCAAAGTCCGCCGAAGTCTCCAGCACTGATCGGGCCAGGTGGCCCCGCCGATGTGATGCTGCGCTGCATCAAGAATTCCCGTTCCTTTTCCCTTCGCCATGCCATTAGCGCCTTGAACTTGGCCTCACCAGGCAAGGCGGCAAAAAAAGCCGTCTTTCCGCGATCCCCTTGGAGAATATCCTCATCTACTTTGATGCTCAGACTTTCACGACAAAGTTGTAGAATCCGCGTTTTATCGCGCTGGCTCAAGAAGGCAAAGAAGTTCGTCTTCCCACCACCAAAGCTGCGCGCAAATGTAGCCTGCTCGACCTGCGTCTTAGCTGCCAGCGCACTGCGTGCACTCCAGACCTTGTTTTGAGACGAGTCCTCTCCTCCTACTGGGGAGACTGCAGGCCCTAAGCCAGCACTGCTGCTGCTGCTGCTTTTCGCATTGCTCGCCGTGTCTTCCTGGTGAGAGAACACCTCCCTTCCCTCATTTCCAGACGTTTTCTGTGCACTACCAACGACCGTGCGACCGCCTAAGCCTCCCGGTGCCGACCTGGACGAAGGCAGACGGCTCAAAGTCTTTTCCAGTTCAGCTACGAGAGCTCGCGCCAGGAACGGCTCGCGGTCCAGCAGCGACGATGTCAGACTCAGCAACGCCTCTCGATCTGCTGGCGAGCATGGCACTTGCGTTATTCCCTTTCCCTCCTCAGACGTGCCTTCCACAGGTCCAATACGTCGCGTAACGCCGGCTCTTCTTACACTCAATCCACCGGTGCACCACAGCCCTCCCGGTCCCCATCTTCGGCTCTGCGCGACACCAGGGCCGCCCAGTTCGCGTTTCCGATGCGAAAACGCCTGTATAGATGAACTCGAAGAACTCCCACCATGACCATAGACCGCTCGTAACCCCATTCCCATACGGGACATCGTCGAAGTCGCACCTCCTCCCCTCAGATACCGCATCGTTTTCTTCAGAAAGACGCTGGATTCACTAATGTCTTACAGTAGGCATGATCTTCGGGATCCCACGGCTGCAGAATTGGATCAAGGCGGGTCTTCTATTTCCCCTTCTCAATTACCACGATGGCGCCAGTTAGAAGTGGCTTCTCGCATGCAACATGGAAGGCACTCATTATCACTTTGCCAGCATTGTGTTACTCTTCTTGCTGCCTATGCTCTCTGCAAAGTGTGCGGTCGTCAGGGCGTAGCCATCTCATCTGATCTATTAATGGAAAAATGAGAGGAAAAAGCGATGTACAAGACAGAGTACAACTCTCCCAGGAAATCGCTCGCTCGCTACTTCCACCAAATCTCGATAGAAATCACAAACACAGAGTGCAACCCCAACCGCCACCTGCTCTGACTATAGCGCTAGTAGTCGGATAGGAAGTGGGCGATAGTGATACAGACATTTGCTTTTCGTCGAAATGCCAAACACTGAGACCCGAGTCTTTTGGGCACTCTCACATGAGGTTAGATACACGACTGAAGAACGAAGAATCAATCTCGATGCTGAGCGTGGTCTACTTGCTCGTCGCACAGCGTCCCCAAATCTCGTTGCAAAGTACCAGCCAATTCAGGGCCGGAGCGAGGCGAACACACTGCGTAGACAAGGTGCATGCGCAGCCCCCTAGACACCAGTTGCTACTGTTGCATCTTCGTGAAATAACTGGAAGTCCTTGGTAACCGTATTCAAGTCGCCGAAAAAAGTGCGGGACGCTGTGCTACCAACTAGATGCCGGTCTTTCTAATTCTCGGCGAAACTGCCGCGCGTCGAGTTTTCTCCTTGTTTTGTATCTTCTTGACGGCGCACACGGTTGCACAATCGAACTTCATTCACAACCTTAGATCACGCCTGCTACCTGCCTGCGCACGATCCGGATCTTCAAGCTGCGCCGGTACTATTGTGACCTGCATCTTTTGGGACCTGTCACTTCAAGAACCAGACTGACTTTTGGGTCGTGATCTCGACTCATGCTCATCAGGCGAAAGATGGTGATAGGGTTTCTCTGCTTTCCCCGTGGGGTCAGAAAGAGAGTCAAATTTGCAGTCATCACTTGGAGCGATATCTAGTAAGTCAAGATCGTTCGATGCAGGGTGGAGCAGTGATCCTTCCAGCTCGTAAGCGAAACCTTTCAAGAAGCATGCATGTCAGAGGTCCAGACAACGAAAGTTAACCGCCATTGGCCCGAAGACCTAGCGAAACGAGGAATTCCTGTATCACTTCGCTTTCTCATCACATGCGCATGCTCCAGGCCAAGATCTGATTATCCTCTGTATTCATATATCAGAATTTCGTCTCATCAAATCTCGAAAACCCGATCCTGCTGCATGGGTACTTTGAAAGAATCTTCGTCAAAACTCGACGCTTAGAAATTAGAAAATGTTACAGCGGGTGAAAAAATAATGCAGGAGGCTATGAGGAGACAGGACACCGATTTGACTAGAATCCTCAGACAGAAAATAGCATCAAACAATATACACGCTCTAAGCGCTGACGAGAAATCTTTCTCTCGAACATCGAGGCATGATGCATGGTGACTCTCATCAACAGAACGCAACGCGATCGTTCGATACGACCGACCTCCGATCAAAATACTGCTTCACGACAGACAAAGGCTTGTGAAAAGCCGAGTGAACACATCCCGCATCTGCTCCTGCATGCCCGAGCACCTTCTTTTTGAAGGCCATGTCGAAAGACAATAATGGCAACGACTCGATTCTGTATTAATCCGCAAGAGTTGACAGACTGAGCGATACGGCTGTATCTCCCAACCACAGCAAGGCATGGTTGGTAAATCTAGTCCCATGTCCAAGGTCGAAGATATTCGTCGCTGCTCGATCAGAAAAGCATCCAGAATAGTCTCCAAATACGCAATTGACTCGTCGAGGCCTGATTTGCTGGTCGCCAATCGTGCAGATTCTGTTCAATATTCCATGGTTGGAGATTTGACTGTTTACTCTTCCCAATCCGCGAGGCAAACGAGTCCTCTTCCTGCTCTGATGAAGCGTTCCTGCATCCAGCGCTTAACCGAAGATGCGGTGGCTTGGTCCCATAGTGGACTTGATGTGAAGGGTATTCACGTTGTTCCAGTTTTTCTTCAGCAAGGAGACCATAAAGTTGATACTCATCAAGCAGTTCTGGCGGAGCTCGTCCGCGGTCATACCAACGTGACCGACAGCGACGCCCAAGCACAAAACCTTCTTCAGCTGGAACTTGACGGTGGCGCGGATGTCCGTAGCCTTGTCTTCCAACACATCAGTGTGCTGGATCATGGTCGGGAACTTACCAGCCTTGTTCAAACCCGGACCCAGCAAACGTGGGATCTGCGGAATCAAAGCCTGGGAAGCCATGAAGGCATCGTAGCTCCGAGCCAACCTGTAGTGTCAGTACAAAAACATTGTAATTGGTCACACGTTTTTTCAAGTAGGAAGTCGACGACCGTAAGGAGCAAAACACTTGATACAACAAATTTCGCGAGAGGATATGGAGGTTTTATCTACGCGTTCAGATTAGTCCTCGATGAAGTGGTTTCTCTTCGTTGGCCAACTCAGCCTGCAGGTAACGAAGCATTGGATTGAGTGAATCATCATTTTAGTAGGGGAACTTCCAAAGTAAGTAGCACTAGGCAGGTACACGGGATAACGAAAAAACCACAGTAGCATTGTATCTGACACTTTTCACGTCCGTAGCACGAACAGCGGGATGTGGGCGAACCTGGGCGAGACTCTCGCACAAGGTGCCTCGACAAACCGCAGGTCAGGAACGGACGCAAACTTAAATCAGAAAAAGTTGATCTTTCATCCTTGTTTTGGACGCGACGACACAAGGAGTGACCACATGCCGGAAGCTGTTCCATTCTGTGAGCCAGTCTGCCTCGTCAGGTAAAGAATGACAATACAGAATTCTTGCGCCAGGTGCAACAGACGCCTAAAACAATAGAAGTGGCACAAAGATAAAAAGGTATGTAAAGTGCAGTACTTCTTGACCATCTTCTTGTTCTTGTTGAGCTTCTTCAAATCCTCAACGCTCTTGAACGGCATATCCAACTTCTGCGCGCCATCGCAGTGCACAGCGTCACCGAGGACGCAGATCTTCATACGCGGACGCGGCACATGCTGCAGACGCACGATTCCGGAGAAACGCTTATCCCTGTTATAGTAATTATTTGTTCACATGTTGCAAGACAATCTGAATCGTCATCAGAAATACTTTCAAAAAACGAAAGAGGAGGCTAGACTCAAAATGGATCAGTAGAAAAATGTACCTCTGAGTATCGTAATCCTTGAGACCAATCTGAAGCTCGACAGTCTCGACGAATTTACGCTTCTTCTCCTCGGACTTTTGGAGGACGCTGGCGATAGCTTCCTTGAGTCCTTCGATATTCAGCTTGCTCATTCTGTCGGTTTTTGCGGATAGATCGAGTTTATAGTACCTTGGATACTTTCAACGGTTCCCTGTTTGCGTGACAAGAAAATGAAATGTGTGGAGGCGGACACAAGTCGAGAAAAATATCAAGGTCGATGGACTTATTCCGGTGAAAACTAAACCAGTCGCTCTTGATCTTTGACGCGTTCCCAAATCCATACAGAGATCTTATTGCTCGCAATCAGTTGACAGGATCTTTCGTCATCATGGATCCAAGAATTTCAGGATCGAGCTTAATCGGATTCGCGGATGTTTTTGGCACATTTGTGGATCTCTCGACGAGACAACCTGGTGTCCAAAATTACGGAGCATAATTTGTTGATCTTAGAACTGAGAACGCTTCCCTCTTTTTCAATTCGAGCTAATGGAAATGTTTGGCAGATCGCGGTTTGAAATTTAGATCTTTCCTTTGAAAACTGGTCTGAAATTTAGAAACAATAGTGCGGCGCAAGTCTAGGATGTAGCATCGAACCTTGATCTTCGGTGTAAGAGCTCCTGATTCGAGGGCAACGTAGATCTCTGCTATTGCATTTCGTGTCTCCATAACAACAGTCTCGGTCCTTTCAAGCACCTACGAAGTGCGCTCAAAACAGCCTTGCTCTAGAATGATTTTGATGTTGCGCAGCCAGTTGAGCAAGAAAGCGATAAAACCACGAACGGTTACATTCGCCTGCGCACTCGTGCAAAATGTATGACTTCAAAGATTTTCTCGGCCTCATGACCAGATCCATACAAGCGTGCACGTTGTGATGTTAGATTATACGCTCGCGTTCTTTTTACAAACAAATCCATTTTCAAATGGCCTCATCCGCATGTGCCTCCGAAAAATTTAGAAAAATCGATGCTCGCATATTGCTTCACCTATCCAGTGATGTAGCCCACTTTAAATTCTTGTCACTGGACTTTTTCACCGTATCATAGGTCCCCTTGCACTTTCACTTGGTGCTGCATCCGCGAAAGTTTGAATTCGCGAGTGAGGAATCCATGGCGACGAAAAGTGCCTATTTCAGCGGGCTGTTGTCTTGATCATGCTCCACGAGATTCGTCCATAGTCGCGGCCCGTCGGCATTTGCATCTACATCGAGGTGAACGCTGGCCCGCACAACTCCTCCATCGCGAAAGCAGATGTCCACAGAGCGGAAAAGCGTACTGCCAGATGTCACGTCTCTTGCTGCCAAGCAAGTCATGTCTACTTCCAGCAAACCGGGTGCGACTGCTTTCCTTGGTGAGCTCCTTCTTGAAGGCGAACGCACCTCTGCCCTTGTTGCCAAAATTGCCGCCGTCTCTGCAGCACCTGCCGTTGAACATGCGTTCGGTGATCCATCTTTTAGCAGAGACGCTGGCTGTTGAACCTTGACAAATCGATCAAGACGTTCTGCAGATGTTTGCTGGCCAAGAATCACTGATGGCACGATTCCGATAACTGGATCGTATTCTTGGTGATGATCCTTTCGCGGTGCACTTCGGCTCAAGGTCTCACACTCAAGTTCCCGTCTTTTTACGCTTTCATCACTTCCGTCAACTTCCAACGGGTCACTCCCTTCGTTCATCTCCGCCACGGCTGGTCTTTGTCCTGATTCCTCCCCATCGCTTTCAGCGTTTCTTTTACGGCAGTGCGACTTGTCGACGATCAGAGGTTGAGGGCTACGTGTCCCTACGAGGTTTCTCCGAAGCCACTCAGCCACGTCTTCGGCGCTAGGACATTCCAAAGACTTCGGCGCGATTTTCACTGTCCTAGGTGAGAAGGATTCCAAAAGGTGTGCGAAAACGTCTATCATTCGGAGATGGTTCACACAAACAGTTGGAGCAAAGGTCCACTGCCGCCATGATCGCTCTCCCATTGAAGGAGCCTTAGAACTCACAGGTGATTGCATGCTGGCACAATCAAAACTAGGTTGTTCTAAAGGGATCCGCCAGTAAAAACATACATGCATGGGGGCGGAGCGGGGGGATCCAGAAGGAGGCAGCGCGGTCTGGCGCGTGCGAGGTACTGCGGCAACGAACAGCGGGAGAACATAAAGAAACGGAACACGCAGTAGGATGCGCCAAGCCTGAGGGACCGGCCGCAGCTTGGTGGCAATCCTGTCAGCACACAGCACGGCCAAGCGCGCGCGGCGCCCTACCGGGTCCGGGCGCGCATAGCACAGGCCACCGGGGCGCTGCGCTGGCAGTGAAGCGGACGGAGCAGCCTACAAGAGAGGCCAAGGCCACGCCCCCTATTTTCCGGGCCCCTTCTGATACCGCAGCCCGAGTTTTTCCCGGGGCCAAGTTGTCCCCAGTATTTCCAGGGACAACATAACCAGAATAATACTGAGGGACTCCGCGGGAGAACAAGGGCCCGGGATATCTGCGGCCCCGATCCGCTGAAGAAAGGGGAAAAAAAACCGGGACTCTAATAATACAGGGGGCCCAGTTTTTCCGGTCCATACATAGATTCCGTCGCTACTTCCATCCCCTCGTATGCCCATCGCGTAACTTTTGACAGCCAAGATCTAAGGCTGAAAACTTTTTAACATAACTGCATGCGGCCGCGATCTCTCCCAGTGAGCTGAATTTACTACAGCACTTTCATGTCGGGCTGAGCAAGACGGCGATCCAGGAATTGCAACGAATCCTCCGCCCTCTTGCACTGGTTCCCTCTCCACAAAAAGTGACGGATAATCCCCCTTACGCAGATCAACGTCACCATCTGAAGCTCGAAGGAAAAGAAATGAAGAAGCGAGTTCGTAGAGAGTTGTAATAACGTTTCCGTGTTGCGACACTAGGTTACTTTGCTTTCTTCTAATTTTTTCTCCGGTTCTATTGCTATAGCTATTCACGACTCTCCTACTATTCTTCCATTTCTCACCTGTGGTCGACCCCCATGACACCGTTACACACTATTCATCTACTGCAAATATCGAGAACAGCGATCCGCTGCCGCACTAAAAATTTGATAATAGACACATATAAACTAATGATATTTAGCCATACACTCGTGAGTGCCATTGTAATTCCCTCATACGGAGCCTCCTCTCCTTCATCGTCAACCGCACTCCACGGAATCGGGAGGATCACCGCACTGCCCGCAACGAAAAAGCATGAGTGCAACGACCAGCTCCACCTCGCAAGAACTCGTCTGCTCAACATGTTTCTTGATCTACTTTTCTTCACACCAATATCAAAATCAACTTGTTCTTGACGTTCTTCTTCAGATCATCTCTTTCTTTACATATTCTCATCTACTCCATTCATTTCATTTCCGCAGACTCGTTGTTTTGTTTTACGTATCCTACAAAGTCATTTAGGGTCTGTTCTAGTAAACTAGTCATTTTCTTTTTAGCCCTGTTTCTCCTGCACACTCGGCGTACTCGAAAAACTGAAATAAGCGAGTAGCCAAATCCATAAAGAAGCGGACCCGCGCCGCGCAGCCGATCTCCAGCTTCCCAGGATGTTGGAAGCCGCGCAGTCGGATTCTACCTTCCTGGAAACCACAAGCCACGAATAAAAACTTCCGCGCCCGCTGCGCGCGCCCAGAAACCGACTAGAGGGAAGGCTGGGCTTCCTTCAGCTCTGGGTCGTATGAGATGGCTCTCTTAGTACCAGATTGGCCCTTTCCTTTCAAAACGATCCCGGGATCTCAAAGTGCCGCGACGGCCCCCCCTGGAACCCTGCTGCGCGCAGCAGGAACCCAACTGATGAAACGAAGAGGAAGCAAAGGCTTAAAAATGGCGACTCGCTTGTTGGGTTCCTTCTGCGCGGCGGCGCGCAGCCGGGTTCCAGGGGGGGGGTCGCCGCTGCACTTTGGGTTCCGGAAATCCTTCTGAACGGAAAGGGTCGAGCTGGGAGCCCCATTCGAGAGCCACAAAGCACTGCTCGTGTGCTCTGTCGCGCCCAGAAGGTGCTACTCCTTGCTCGGAGGATCTGACAGATACAAAAACTTTCGCGCGCGCAGCGCGCAACTGCCATTACGATCGACGGATCTCCCTGGGCATAAATTTCATACAGGTCCCTTTCTCTATTTTTTTATCACCTCGCTTATTTCAAGTTTACGAGTAATTTCAACGGACACAGACTTGCTCATTTATAGCCCTTTGAGATTGAGAAAAGCGCCCCAATTGGGCTTGTGACTATTAAAATCTGGCTGCTGTGGTCTTGATGATATAGAGATGCAGACTGGGAAAATGTAATGGCACTTTCTTGCGGCAGGGTGCAGAGCCAAAATCACCAAAAGCATGCACAGATCCAGCTGTATAGATATGCCGCTGTAATGCCGTCGGAGCAGAGATTGACATAGTAGTGAGGTCGACCTACGTTTTCATGTTTATATATTTTTCAATTTCTAGCACTAGCCCGTTAACACACCAAGCTACGCGCGCAGCGACAACGTAGATCAAGACCATGAATGGCGTATAGTTTAAGCTGAAATGAAGCCCCACAAGCAGGCGCTACAGCCCCAGCGGCAATAATAACAACGTGTCCGTGTGCCAAAATTTGAGTCACACTCTTTGTGCGATGCGGTTGCAGATATGAAATTACGATGTAGAGGTAGTCTTTCGGTCTAGTCATCGTGCTCTTTCATCAACTAACCCTTGATACAACGGCAGTTGGCTCCTGCATGACTGCACCTACATTCATTCCAGTATCAATAGGTCTTTCGTGACACTACCAGTTGGCGGAGTTAAAGATACCATTCGGGGTTGTCTTTTCATAGATATCGTCTATTTAAACTATAACAGGCCCTTCAGTTAAAGCATGTGCTTGCAAATACAAGAGTGGAGGAAAATAGAATGTAGATCTCTCACAGTCGCTATCGCTTTTTCTTTTCGTCACTGTCACTGAGCACTTGTTTCATTCTATTAATTTCACTTTTTTTCGACGCAGCTTTCCTTTTAGCACCAGCCGCCTTCGACGGTCTACTCGTGCCTGCTTCTTTCGTCGCCTCTGCGGTCGGGGTCGCCTTCCTTTTCGCTTTTGCCTTTTTCTTCCTGCTTAGATCTTGCTGATGCTGAAACCCTCAATCCCTTGTTGCTCTCACTGAAGATACTAAATCGCCACCTTCCCTGAATGAAGTAGCCAAACTAAAAATCAGCTGCCCATTCGACCCGACAAAAAATCCAACACCAACACAAGAAAGCAGACAGAAAGTTGTGAACTATTTAGATAGCAGAAAAATTTCTAAGGTTCGTTTGCCAGCTCGCATGGCATGGGGCCGAGCGCGTGGATCGCATGAAGCTAAAGTAAAGGGGGCACTTCTTGCGTCCCTTAGAGGTCTGCGCTCCATGCACTCCATGCTACTCCATGCGCCACGCGTGCTATGAGCTGCCCTGGTATATGTACCAGGGAGGGAAGCCCCTCCCCTGTGGTATGGTCTGCGGTGCAGCACAGTGGCGGAAGAGCGGCGAGAGCAGAACGAGCGAGGAGAGAAGAACGAGGGACGAGCACGAGAGCAGAACGAAGGACGAGAGAAGAACGAAGAACGAGAGCAGAACGAGGAACGGGAGAAGAACGAAGAACGAGAGAAGAACGACGAACGAGAGCAGAACGAGCGACGAGAAGCGCCCACCCGTGGCGCGGTGGCCTCTGGCGTATCACAGTGGGGGAAGGCGAGCGGAGTGCTTCACCCACTATGCTGAGAACCGAACACAACAAGCCCGAGGCCCCCCTCACGACGCTGAAGCGCCGGAGACGCAACACACTACCAAGAGCCGGGGGCTCACGCCCTAAACCCGGGCCAGGGGGCGCACAAGATGGGCCCCCCTTCCTTTTTTTCGCCAACGAACAAGAAGAGAGGAGGAGAGGGGAAGGGGAGCCAATCGACCAGCCTGATCCTGAAAAGAATGAAAACGAGAAGACAACAGCAAAAAGAGCCGAAAGAGGGGAGGCGCCCCGAGGTCTCTCTGGCGGGTACATGCAACACACCCAGGGGATCCAGCCTTGCCACCTTCGCCGGGTCTGTAAGTAGGGCACAAGCGACACCCCAAAGGGGCCCAGCCTTGCCGCCTTCGCCAGGTCTGTAGGGCACACGCAACACACCAAGGGGGCCCAGCCTTGCGACCTTCGCCAGGTCTGTAGGGTACACGTAGCACGCCAAGCAAGGGGGCCCAGCCTTGCGACCTTCGCCAGGTCTGTAGGGTACACGCAACACGCCAAAGGGGGCCCAGCCCTGCCGCCTTCGCCGGGTCTGTAGGATACACGCGACACCACGCCAAGAACGTCCAGCCTTGAGAGTACACACAACACGCCAAAGGGGTCCAGCCTTGGGGGTACAGGCAACGCGCCAAGTGGGCCAGCCTTGCCACATTCGGAAGCCTTCCAAGTCCGCCCGTCAGTGCTTCAACGGCCTCCAGCATGGTGGCGCTGCAGGGTGGGTCCAGGCAAGAAGCGGGAAGGCGTCAGGGGTGGGCGCTCCGAGGCCTTCCCGCCCGGCAGCCCCTCGAAAAAAGGGCCCGGGGCTGGAGGCCCCCCCCTCCAAAAGTTAGATCGGGGGGGCCTTCAGCCCTGAGCCCTGGGACATATATAAAAATCGACTCAGATAGCAATATCTCGATCATAAACCTGCATCGTCCGCTACGGCAGCCTGCTTCCCCTCTTTCTCGCCCATTTTCTTCACCTTCGCGGCCGGCCACCCGGAAGTAGTCCTCCTTGCTTGCGACGGTCTCGGCAGGGCATTACCACTAGGGGCCATTTGCCATCATCTACCGCTGTGCCATTTTCAGAGGCTAGCGCATGAGAATTCACCCGGGGCAGCCCCCCTGGGATGATGAAAAACCAGGCGTAAGTGGAACACTCGCATCGACATCTTCGTCGGCGTCTTCATCCATCTCCATTCCATTTCCAACGCCACTAAATACGCGAAAAACTGGAATAAGCGAGTTGGCAAAGAAAATAGCGCTATGCCTGCCTGTACCACTCTTCTGGCATTGAAACAGACGCCAACCAACTCGAGCGCAGTCCGCGCACAACGGGCAAGAAGAGGCCCCAGGCAACGCCCCACCACCGCGGGGGAAGTCAATGGGTGCGGCAAATCCGCCACGGCCAGCCGGCTATACCCAAAGAAAGCGCAACACAGTCTGCTACTGCCACGCAAATGGCACCCGACGGCGCAGCGGGGGCCCAACCCGAGGCCTGTCATCCGGTGCCCTTGCTTCATAGCAGCAAACCACTTCCACCCCCATACACCATGCCCGGCGGCTGACGCGAGTGAGGCCCAAAAGCGAAGCCCCCCCAAGAGCATCGAGTACGCGCAGCGAAAGAGCCCCCCAAAGAAGCTAAAAGCAATCCCGTACCCCAGTAAGAACCTAAGGCGACAAACGCGCCAGAAGGAGACGAGCCACTACTTACAGCACCTCCCCCCCGCCAGCCTACCACCCCCGAGCGCAAGCACCTAAGTACCACAAAGCAGCCACACGCGTCTCGCCTGCCCCACCCATCCTGCGCCGCCTCATGCCTCTGCGACGCCCAGCCACGAACATGCCATCGACAACGCGAGACGAACCAGCAGACAACAGACAGAGAAAGACCAAACCCCAGAACGAGCACCACAGACACACCGGCCCGAGGCCGAGCGATTGCAAGAAAGGCACAACAACACAAACCCACCACACCACAGGGGGGGCCGACGGACACCCTTCACACAATGCGACGAAAGAGAGCGAGCCCAGGGGCCCCCCTGTGTGTGAGCAGAAACTTTGGAGACAAGAGCAAAAGGGCCGGGGCATTATGCATGAAGCATGAACGTGGAACACATTTAAAATGGGACAAAGGCAACGCGCAGAAGGGTGGGTGCACTCTTCTGGAGTTCGGACGGAAGAGTTCCATCGACCCCTGCGGAGGGCGTTGTGAAACCCCAGAAAGAAGCACCCTTTTGCCTGTTGCTCCATCTTGTTCCTTTGGAGCCCATCTTTCATGCGCTTCACATCCCTGCAGCGAAGCTGGCGTCACCTTTTTCGCCCCTGCCTCCAAGCAAACAACACAGGCCCAACACTGAATCACACAAGAAGCGTCCACGCCTTTCTGGTCAAAGAGTGGGCCACGCCAATACATTTACATGCTGGCAACAACCCAAGAACAGCACCGAGGCAAAGAAACGAAAACAACACAGGTTACGAAAAGCCGACGACCCACGCGCCGGAGCTGCCTAGGGCGGGGATCCACCCCACGACGCGACCTGGCCCAAGCAACACCCCACGCACAGACACTGGAAACACAGAGACAACCCAGAACAAGGCAACATGGAGAACACCAAACAGACGACAAACCCAGCAGCGCCGCACACTCACACGGCCCTCCCACGAAATGCAGGGCGACAAGAGTGAGACACAAAACAAACAAGCAGCGGCGCTACCTCGGTGAACCAACCGAGCCAGAAAAGAAATAAACGAGCTAAGGCACTATACGCCTGCCTTGGCCTCAGCGAAACGGAAACAGGGGCGAGGAGCCATCTGAAGACGCCCCTGGCGTGGCCAAAGGGGGAGGGCGGGGGCGAAGCCAGCAGAGGCGGAAAGACAGCCGCCACCCAGGGAGCCCCGCGACAACTGAGTCGCGCGCGGCCTCAAAGGGCTACGGCATCTGGAAACACCTACCCGGCGCACACAGACGCAGGCCACACCGAACCCCCACGAAGGGGCCAGGAGCGCTGACCTCGGGCTTCGGTTGTAGATTGCTGCTGACGCTTCGCGGCCGGTTGGTCATCTGTAGGCCCCTCCGAGATATCTCCGCCCGAGCGTCACCAGCCGCCAGAGGCCCCCTGAGGCGTTGCCCGGCAATTGTTCTAGTCTTATTTTCGAGATTACTCGCTTACATTAAGTTTACGAGTAGTTCCGGAGTCGACATTTGGGATGGTCGCGGAACAGCAAAATGAAGAACGAGGCCGCGCCAACAAGAACAACATTGACATCATGATTATGATCTTTGAAATATTGGACGAAAATAATTGCACCATCTGTATATCTGGTCGGCTCGACCCGTACCCACCCACAAGTCCTGCTACTGAACTGTACGCTACTGTACCCGTCCAGACTGGCAGTACTACGACTGCACGTCTACGTGCACCTAAAAATACAAATCTCGGCGCAGCAAAGACAACAAGCCCATTCTAATTGGCACTAAAAAAAAATTTCTCTGTTTGTGTGGGTTGGGTCTCTTGGCTGTTATCGATCAGAACGAACAACGCACCATCAAATAGCCATAAACGGAGTCAGTCCCGGCATCGCCAATACTAGAACGCCCTGCCTTTGCGGCAGCATCGCCCGCGATGACTTCTTGCCCTACTATCATGCGCAAACAATCAAGACCAGATCCTTGCTTCTAGAACATCTTATCTGATCATCGTGCTCGTTGTCCTCATGGTCAACAAGGAGCAACACCTTCCAAGGCGAACTACTGAAGAGATGAAAAAGGCCGAAGACCTACGAAAAAGCTGCGCGCTATTTCTTTTAGCTGTGGAAGCTGTGACGAGTTGCGCCCACTCCGGCCTGTGGAAGTTGTGCCGGATCTTGTGACGAGGCCCAAACCTACCTCGACGAGACTCCAAGCCCAGCCCACTGCGACGGGCCTCGAACCTACTGCAACGAGCCGCAAAGTTACTGCGACGAGACTCAGATCTACCGCGAGGGGAGTCGGTCCCTCATGACGAAGGTCAAACTTCTTGCGACGAAGCTCAGAGGAGCGCTTGCGACGAAGGTCCGACTTCTTTTGACGAGGATCAAACTTCTCGCGACGAGTCTGGAAATAAATTGCTGCGGCGAGTCAGAGTCCTACGGTGACGAGCCGGGGACTTACTGTGACTACTCGGCATAGCAATTCCCAGACCCGTCACAAGACGCTGGTTGGACTTTCGTCGCAAGAAGCTTAATCACCGTCGCAAGATGTCTGATTTTTGTCAAAAGGAGTTTGATTCTAGTCACAAGAAGGCCGATTCTCGTCACCGTAGGGCTGAGTGTCGTCGCAGTCTCAAAATCCGGCACAACTTCCACAAATTCCCCACTTCGGGGGCAACCGCGTGACAAATGTCGCGACGATTTCATAGGCGTTCGGCCTTCGCAAAGATATTGCACGCTAGTACATTGGTGGACTATTCGCAGTACCGAAATAAGGGGAGGATTAGCTCAGTTCTTTTCCATCTATTTCATATTTAGTTTGCTGCCTGCTACTTAGTCAGTTCGAGTTTGCATGACTCTGGTACGCACACATTAGCAGGGACATATAGGATTCGAAATTGCAGCAATATTCTGGACATATTATGAACCTCAGAGAAAGTCCGGGGCTCGCACAGGTGCGACAGTGTTGTACGACAGTGTTGTCGTCGACAGCAAGGGCAGGAGAAGGCGGGAGATTGTCTGTCGAAAACCGAAAGCTACAAACTGAAGAGAAAGGCACAATGCACGGGCACTGCTCCGCATCAACAAGCACATCATCGGAAAGGTTGAGATATTTCATATTTACAGGCTTTGTTTTCTCCCTTAAGATTGCTCTATAAAAACTAAATGCTTCAACTTTGAATACAACGAAGATTAGAAATGAAGGATAACCGATGAATCCGCAGGGGCGACTGCCTCTCAGATTTTGCCTACCGACTTCTATACGTCTGTCGCTTCAGCAAAATGGAAAAAGATTCAGCATAGGTCGCTTCAGCAAAAGGGAAATAGATTCAGCATGAATGCTTCCACTCATCGAGAACGTCGAACTCGAAAAGGGAACGTCGTTCCCCCTTGGCCTTCTTACTTAGGGACGACGTTTCCATATCTTCGCTCTCACTCAATGAGTGGCGCCATACATCAGCTCGCCGTCCGCAGGGGAAACCTGCACCATACTCCAAGCAAATGCACGAGACAGTCTAAAAGTGATGTTGATGATATTATGACATGAATGAATGTTAATTCTGGGGCCGGAAGCCCTCGAGTCGATAATGAATACACGTCGTTATCGCATTGCTTTCTACTCATCCTCATAGCAATCATGTTGGTGTCATTTGCAAGGTGTAAATCGATGGTGCTTCGAATCAACTAAGTAGTTTCTTACTATAATGGGACGAGAGGAGCAGAGTCACAAAACAAATCGCAATGCATGGACTGGGCCCCCCGTATTATAAGGGCCCCAATGTTTTTCCTCTTTTAAGCGGACCAAAGTCGCAAAGGTCCCAAGCTCTTATTTTCCGGCGGGGTCCCTTGTTTTTCTGGTTTGGTTCCTGGAAATCCTGACGCCAACGTGGTCCCAAGAAAAACTAAAGCCGCAACATCAGAAGGGGCCCAAGAAGCAGGGGGCTTGGCCTTGGCCCTTCTTGTAGGTTGCTCCCTCCACGCGACTGCCAGCGCCCCGGTGGCCTGTGTTGTACACGTTCAGACCCGGTGGGGGCGGGCCGCGCGCGCTTTGCCGCGCAGTGTCTTGGTAAGATTTCCGCCGAGCTGCTGGCGCTGCAGGTCAAGCTAAGCGCATTCTGCTGCGCGTTTCGTTTCTCTCCCAGTTAGCGCGCCGCAAAGTTCTCCCGCCCCGGCCGCAAGACCTAACGCCCGCCAGAGGTGAACGCCCCGGCAACTATCAGGCAACAGCTCCGCGGCGCGCTTCTTTCCCAGCTTGAGATCCATAACCCCGCGGCGCTCCTGAGTACCCGGCTTGAGCTTCATAACCCCCCGACACGTTTCAGAAGCCGCCTTAGGTTCTGTCGCCAAAGCTACTCAGCCAAGACAGGCGCGCGGCTGTTGTCTGCGTGTTTCTGCCTAGTTGTTTTTCGCTTCCTCTCACGCCTTCACTTCTGCGGCTTCTCATGTCGTCGCCCCTCTGTCTCTGCTCGCTTCTGGCACACTTCGTTTTCTTGTGTGCCTGCTGCTTGCGTTGCCGGCCGCGTCATAGTGGAGCTGCACTTCCTCACCCTTTTGCTGCGTGCTCTTGCCGAGCCTCATTTGTGTCCCTTTTGTGCCTCTTTCCCCTTTCTTCGGTTCTCTTTGGCTTCTGTCTTTGTAAGCTTCTACCTTTTGCCCCGACAAAGAAGGCATAAACAGGGGAAAGCCAAAAGGTATCTATAAGCCTGCAAAAATGAGAGCCAAAAAAGCCGGAGAATTGCAAGAAAAGGGAAAGCCTGAGGTCACGCAAAGGCAAGAGAGTGAGAGGACGGGAAAGCCCAGAGGCCAGCCGCAGAAGCGGACGCACCAACGCCGAACAACCAACAACCAGCGAGAGAAAGAGAGAAGCACAAAGAACCACACCGAGCGACTCGAGGGCGCCCCCGGTGACTGATACACGACAATCCCACAAGACACACCCGAAACCAATTCCAGCACCCCCAAGCGGGACCAGACAAGGACCGACGGGGGCGAACAACGCTGGCGGCAGCGCGCACAGCTCCGAGGTGCCACACGCGAGACACTAAGTCACCGCACACGATCCCGGATCCCGAAGACCAAGCACCAACTGCGCGACACCCAGGGGCTTTCGAAGCCCGCCGCGAAGAAAAGGCTAACGCACTTCAAGTTCAAAATGAAAGTGGCCCGCGGAGCGAAGAGGAACGAAGCGCAACACTGGGGGGCGGTGGGATCGCAAAAGAAAGAAGCGCGCCGCGGAGCTCCTGCTGCCTGGCAGTTGCCCGCGCGCCGCCTACCTCTGGCGGGTGCGAGGGACTGCAGCAAGAGCGGGAGAACATAGAGAAACAAAAAGCGCACCAGGACGCGCCCAGGCTGAGGGACCGGCCGCAGCTTGGTGGCGGTCCTGCCAAGACACTGCGCGGCCAAGCGCGCGCGGCTCCCCACCGGGTCCGGGCGCGCAAAACACAGGCCACCGGCGCGGCGCTGCGCTGGCAGTGGAGTGGAGTGGAGGGAGCAGCTTAAAAGAAGGGCCAAGGCCAAGCCCCCTAATTTCCGGGCCCCTTCTGATACCGCAGCCCCAGTTTTCCCCAGGACCGTGTTGGCCGGCCCCAGTATTTCCAGGGACCCCGACAGAATGATAAGAAACCCCGCCGGAAAATAAGGGGCCGACATTTTTGCAGCCCCGGTCCGCTTCAAGGGGGGAAAAACATCGGGTCCCTTTTAATACGGGGGACCCGGTTTTTTCGGTCCATGCACACAAGAGACGATAGTTTCAATTTCAAGGGATAGACTTGATCAAAATTTTAAATACTCTGTCTTTTCAGTGGGCCAGCAACATCTTCAACGAAGGAAATACTCCTCCAACAATGATTTCTTAATGATGAATGAGGCCGTAAAGCTGAAGATAGAAGACTGACATAAAGATAAATACAATTACTTAATTATCCATTTCCATCTCACTCTACAACCAAATCTCAACTACAAAATAAGCTTCTTTCTGTGCTGCTCTCATCATCGCACATGAGTAAGTTTGTTGTACAAGTACCATGGCCGGCATCTACTTCTAAACTGAGCTACCTAGTGATGAAAATTATCCATGTGTGTTGCACTGGTATCAAGGCATCATGCCAGTACGGTGATGAGATTTGCTGCTGGTCAATCTTCACTGAGGGTGCATCAGAAAGTTGAGAAGTGGGAAGACATTGAAATCTTGGATTGGTAGATAGTGTTTCACAGGGGTGGAGCGTGATATTATGGAAAATGGGCGATGTCGCATTCGAAAAAACGAGAACGACGTAATAGCTAAGTAATAAATTATAGCCTGTATGACCATAAATGGTTTAACAAACTCGCTTTGAGTCATATTCGAAAGACCATCTAATCACGATCACCATCTCTCCCTCTTACTTTGTTGTCCTCGTCCTTTTTGTCATCCACCCGCACAACGCTCTTCCGCTCTTTCTTGTCTCCTTGCGGCTGCGCGCTCTGTGGCCTCTTCTTTCCCTTCTTGTCCTCCTTTCCTCCGTCCTTCTTTTCCTTCTTGTCCTCCTTTCCTCCGTCCTTCTTTTCCTTCCTGTCCTGCTTTTCTGCCTCGTCCTTTTTTGCCTTTTTCTCCCCACTGATTTAGAAAGTGCCGCCTCTTGGTGGTTTTGTTCACGACCACCATGCGATAAGACCATAGAAGACCAAGCAACTTCTGAACTTCTGGATTGCATTGCATGGGTGGCATGCATGGGCATGGTATGGATGGACCACCCCAACAGCAATAAATTTTCCGCGGCGCCCTTCAGGCGCCATACTTCCTCCGCAATGGGTACCGGGCTGCTCCGCCGAAGAATTACTTTACGACACACGAACACAGCCCACCGCCCCCCTTTGACCCCGCCCCAGACACAAGCAAGGAGCAGCGCAAGCGCCGTTGCCTGTGTGCGCCAGAGAACAGTGAGCAAGACGGCCGAGACCCCAGGCAAGCTAGCCTGGTCGAGCTACTTACAATAGCTAGCACCCGCCAGGAGTACTATTCAAGTACCCCCACAACGAGCGCGGACAGGCGCCAGGCGCTCTGCATGCTCCAGCCGCGCTGCCAAGGGGGTGGCTGAAGATGAGGAAGGCGGGCTGCGCAAAGACAAACGCAAGAAGCAAAACAGACAGCAACGCGGTGGCCCCCCTATGTCGCGCCCTGAGTCTTCGCCCCCGTGCCGCTCCCTGAAGGAGGCCGCACTCTGACCCCCTCGGCTCATGCACTGCATGCCATGCCATCCAGCATCCTTCTTACGAAGTGTTCTAATATAAGGCAAACAGGATCGAATATGCGGCCACATTCTTATTCTACGATGGTCCTATTGTTTTAGGCTTATCTTTATACAACGCGAGTCACTGTCTAGAGCTACGCAGCAGCAAAAACACGACAGTCGCCCAACATTATTTTAGGCTAGGTACAAAAGGAATACCAAGAAGCCATCCTTAATCCTTGCGATTCTTCGTTTTTCTGCTTTGCTCGTTGCCATCATCTGCCCCCTTCTTCTCTTTTTTATATTTTTTGCCTTGCTCGTCATCGCGAGTGGAAATGGGGCTCTTCTTTTCCTTTTTGGCTTCCGAATTCGGCGCGGTGGAGGTCCTCTTCTTCTCCTTCTTGGCTTCCGACGTTGGGCCACTGGTGCTCCCCTTCTTCTCCTTTTTGGCTTCCGACTTTGGACCACTAAAGCTCCCTTTCCCCTCTTTCTCGTCTACCGAGGTTCGCCCGCTAGTCGCGCCGCTCCCGATGCTCTTTTTTCGCTTGGACCCCTCGGCGCCGAATGAGAGAGAGAGGGAACTTCTACGGGGCCACTCCTTGATTTATATTTCTCATAAGTTCACTTACTTCGCCGGCTCTTCAAACTGCATAATCCCGTAACCGATTATATTCGTAATACTAGAGTTCAAGAACTTTAATATCTTTAGATCTACATAAATACTCAGGGTCAAGGCCTATCATAACTCCAAATCTGTATCCGGAACGTGTATGTCCGGAACCTCACTCATGTCGCTTGGACAGTCCTGCTGCGCCTTCGATTCTACTACTTCTCGACCCGGTCGCCGCGGTACTTGCTTAGGAATATTAGAGTGGAGAAATTGGTAAGCAAACTATGACTAACAGATGACGTTGCTAGTCGCGGAGGGGGTCCTGCGTAGTTCGATGATGAATTCCAGTTATGTCTCTGTACGAACTTGTAGTTACTTTCTTCACTTTTATCCGGGAAGCCCTGCCAATTTTACTTCCTGCTGACTTCTATCCACTTTTTCGATATATTTCTAACGAGGATCGCACCAAACAACCACGTATACCTACAACATCAGATTTTGTTTCTCAACTCATACCCCTTGAGCATGCGCTTGCAACTTCAAGTCTCATGAATTTTTTACAGCTCTATTTCTGGTGGAAGTAGGACTCACGAACCGTAAAAGCCACGTTTGCCTTTGAATCTGCTTCAACGTCGGCGGCCTCCTCTACGTTTGCTTCACTACCGTTGGCCCGCTTGTTGTGTCCCAAAACATGTCTTAGCTTGTTTGCGCTCTTTTTGAGTTTCGCGACCGCGGCTCCCGCCTCCGAGCTTCTACCACGTTCCGGCGCTGCTTCAACGTCGGCGGCCCCGGCCTCCTCTACGTTTGCTTCACTACCTTTGGCCCGCCTGTTGTGTCCCAAAACATGTCCTAGCCTGTTTGCGCTCTTTCTGAGTTTCGCGATCGCGGCTCCCGCCTCCGAGGTGCTAACACGCTCCGGCGCTGCTTCAGCGTCGGCGGCTTGTTCCTCTACGTTTGCTTCACTACCTGTGGCCCGCTTGTCCTGTCCCAAGACAAGTCTTGTATTGTTTACGCTCGCGACCGCGGCTCCCGCCTCCGAGCTTGTGCCACGTTCATCCGGCTGGCGCCCTTCTTAGAGTCAGCTGCCATTAATCTCGGCCCCCTCATCTGGACCCCTTTAAGTCCCTCGTAATAATTCATACGAATGATACAGGGCAAAAGGGTACCAACATGCTGAGATGGACATGGATGGGCATAATCTTCCTGTTTGTGCTTCTTCGTCTCAAACTGCCGATCCACCTTCTGATGAAAGTTGCTGCCGCCGCGCGAATGCTCCTGAAGAGAAAGGTGCTGCACGCTCCTTCGTTGACTTTGCGTTTGATAATACCCGCCGCTCTGACTCTGTTGTTGATTCTGTTGATAAAATTGCTGCCGCTGCTGCTGCAACACGGTGCTATTGTAGTGTGGATTCTGGTAGGGAAATGGACGGTGCTGTCGTAGTTGCGAAGGATCAAACTCGTCGGGCGCGCAATAGTTGGTATAAACCGCAATACCAACAACAAAAAGAACACACCCACCAAGGACAACCACTGCAAACACTGTGGCCGTATCGCAGTCTTGATCAGGCGGCTCGCCGCCTTGTGCCGTCCTCGCTCGTCGTCGGCCTCGGGTCGTGATCATGAAGGCGGGGCTTTTTTCATTCGCATGGGAATTAACAAACGGCCTTGGCCTAGATTGGTACACACATAATCAATCATCCACATCATGACGGACTTGATTTCTAGGATACAGCTTATGAACCTTTGTATGCCTGAAGCCTCTTCTTTGTATATTATAATGATATGATGAACGTTCAACCATTTAGCGACCAGCTTCGGCGGTGCGTTCTTGCGAGCGCAGCCGCCACACCTCCAGTGAAGACAAGGGGAAACGAGTAGCGGCCGCTGTGGTAAACCCATCGCTGCCCGCTACGATGGGACGGGGGCCGAGATAGGTGGCGGCGAACAAAGAACGAGCAGGGAGGAGACAAGAAAGGAAGCACGCGAAGACAAGAAGAAAGAAGACAAAACGAGAACGCGAAGAACAGTGCACGCAGGCCGCAAAAACGCCAACCAAACCCGGCTGCGCCTCGCCGCCAGGCGCTACCTACGCGCAGTCGCCGCCGCCTGCAGCACACCGCGCCCGGCATGCCACACAAGCCGCAGCTGGCGGGGACTGTGGCGACCAGACATACCATAGTCGATCGCAATGACGACCATAGCACTACACACATAGAGCACAAAGAAAGCCGGCGGGATCGTATGCGTCGCCCGGAGCGCATCAAAACAAACAAACAAACAAACAAACAAACAAACAAACAAACAAACAAACAAACGTTCAACCATTTCTGGACCCCAGAAAAAGATGGACTTTCTTTGCTCGATGAGTTACTTGATGGCCACACCCACAGCTTCACGCCGTGCTCGTGAAAGTGTAAAAATAAATCACTACAAAGAAATCAGCGACAAACGCATTCAGAAAATGAAAAGAGAAGTTCGCATAACGCTCAGTTTCCCCTGGCGTTGGTCGGTCTGGCTCTACAGTTTGTATTGAAATTGTTTGTTGCTCCACCTCAGATTCATGAATGATTGGCTTATTCAATCTACAAGAACCATGTCTTTCTTCTGTATCATTATACATAGATAAATCAGATACGTACTTATATGGGGGTTACGACTCATACACGAGCTATCTAAATTTACTGTAAACATTTAGTGCTGATCTCAAAATAGATTTAGATCTTAGTAAGTTAATAGTGACTCTGAAAATGATAAATGCTCTTGCTACCGGGGAAATCCAACCTGGCTGGGCATGATTGTTGGTAGAAACATCGATCTGTGGGATATCAACTCAATCTCAATCTACAATGAGTAGTTTTTCAGTCACTACTCAGAATGAATCCTTGTCTCTTCATGTTTGTGTGATAGGTTTAAGGTGTACTTCTGGTTGCGCATCTGGAACTCCAGGCTCTGTTGCAGGTACTGCATTAGTTTCCAGCACAGGTCCTGCATTAGTATGCGGTACAGCTGCGTCACTAGTTTGCGGTACAGCTGCGTCACCATCTTGCGGTTCAGATGCTGCATCACGGTGCGTCGCAGGTGCTGCATTACTGTCTGTTGCGGGTGCGGTTGCGGCTGCAGAATCGGCGGTCTCCGCTTCTTGCAAAAATGATTTAGGTAAACCTCGACTTCCAGGCTTTTGTGGCTGTTCCTTTCTTTCATGATCGTGCCCGCTCAGCGAAGACACATCATGAGCAGTCGAGGGATTCTCCGACCACTGCCGCGATCCCCGAAGAGTTAGAGCAGTAGTTCTCAAATACAAATGATACAACTCCATGATGCTCAAACGCTGCGACTAAAGAACATCGAAAAAAACGTAAAACTAATCAGAAGCTGTTGCAGAAGATGGTATGTTGAGAAATTTTGCCGTAAAAGACAATAGCGCCGCGGCGTAGCACCTGCACTAGGATGATGATCCTGCGCTGCTACTTCTCGAGTTTCATCTTCGCTGGCAGTTTCGTCTTTCTGTTCAAGAGCAAGAACGGTGTGCGTGTGCTGCTGGTGCTGAAAATCTATTTAGAAGCAGCGAGATACCATCTATCTTCCGCTTGAAGCTTGAAGCTATAATCATGTTGTTCTTCATGTTGAAAGGACTACAACAAGCTATGGCGTGTTGCCAGGCTAGATGGTTTTGTCGTGTCCTTAAGGGTTAATGCTCTCCCACGCTGCAATTGCTAAGTCGACTAATATGTCCCCGCTCCCCGATGCATATAAGCTTCCCTCCTCAAAATCACCCGTTGGTGTGCTACTACTGCCGACCTTTGCACCTGGTGTCGCACTGGCCACGAACGGGAGGTGCGCTGACCACGGCTCCTCCTCCCCGTTTTGTTGATTTGTTTTGCTGTAACCATAGGCAACTGTAGCCCATCGGTCAACATTTCTAACGTGAGCAAGGAGAAAAACCAGCAAAAATCGGGGAAACGCTGCCGCCTCGGGGGAGCAGTGCGTCACGCGAACGCGCGTGGTGCGCTCCCCACTATGGCTATGCCGATGGAAGAGGGGATTCGCTAACGGCTTTGATGCGTTGTCCGTGAATGCAGCTGATGAATGCCTTCCGACCATCTTTATAATATGAGTTGCAGCTACGATTTTGTGGAAGTTAAATGTTGTATCTAAGTGCCCAATTACTTCTGTCTTAATGTCTAAGTATATATGCATGTTCCTTCACAGCATGGACAAACGAGAATACAGCTGTACCTATACAGATAGTACAACTACGTAAGTGTCACCGATTGAGAATTACCAACAAAGACAAATGTCGCCGAGAAAATGCGGCATACAAATTATCAAATTTTAATCTCTATCTTACAGACATCTATTGCAGCACTCTGGACATATTAGACGTGCCCATGTTCGTGAAGTCCTCCAAGTAACAAGTAGATGGAACAAGGGCATATCTTACGAAGGTCTCAGGTACTATGTTGAGGGATAGCCAGACTTTGATTTGAAGACACGCTTCAACGCAGCCTTTCAACCGGTCATATGCATAGAACTAGGCAGCAGTCTCAGATACGACCGATGTAAACCTATGTCGCGCAGATAGACCGATTCCGTTTCCACACAGGACCCAGCACAATATCACTAGATGCGCGTGAATGAATTCAACTATATCGCGAAACGAGTATCAGTTTTCCTTTTTGTTGCATTCTTTTCTCCTCTCTCTCTCTCCTTCTTGAAACCCTGATCACATGAATTCAAGTAGAGATGAATGCGAAGCGAACGAATATTCACATTCCTGAACAACCCCGACTATTTGACTCTGCTTCGCTTCACAAGATGTTCAGATATCAAAGACCGATGCGCATCTATTAGTATGTCCCTAAGTAGGAACACGATAGGTTGAGCTTGAAACAAAGGAGTCCCATGTTCTTTTACGTCCACGTGTCGTCCTCTAAGACCGAATTTTATTTACATCAAGAACATTTTTTCCGCGAAGCCAGTGGTATGCCACGATACTGATAGTGTTGGTCAAGATCGTAATCCTAGAAGAATCACAAAGATCAGAAGGATGAAGATCATCAAAATGACCAGGATCGCCAGGCAAAGGACCTTCAACGTATTCAGATAGCAGAAATGGCGAATGTTTCATAGCTGTAATCAGGTCCATAACGTCTTGTCAAGTTCTGATCAATGATGAATGCCAGTGCATGATGATCGTATGAATCAATGATGATAGCATAAGCGTTTCCGTATGAAGCATATGAAAGTTTCCCCATGCCACATGATATCCCAATGATGAAGCTGAGACTTCTTCCTTGCAACCCCAATGAACATCCACAGGGATCAAAGCAGCCAGAGATCATTAGTCTCAGGCTGTGAGTGCAAATTGTGAAAACCGTATCACTCTCAAGTGTTTCTTACCGAGAAACTAGACGCGACTTAACAGTCTGGGTTCGAATGGTCCAGCACTACTTTGACCCTTGAGCTAAATATAGAGTAGAAATCCATCTAGAAACAACTTTTCAAAATGTCCTGCGATGCGAAAGAAATTTCGAAGAAACTCGGACAGAAGTCCGACTGGCGAGCATGGCAACTTGCCATACGTCAGGAAGCTAGCCGTCTCGGCCTGCTTCAAAACTACACGAATGTAGTCGGCATTCCGGCAGCTCCTCATGGTATTCCTAACGGAGTTACCAATCGGGAGGAAACAATTCGGCAGAAGTGGCGCAACCTGAAAGATGCGATTATTCGTAGTCTGAAAGGTGCCGCTGCGTCGTTCATCAACAACCAGAACGATAATGGGCAGGTGGATGCGATGGATGCAGGTGAGGTTGTTGTGCTCCTTCGTGATGTAGGACACTTCGATCATAACAACCGTCAGGAACAACGGATGAAAGTAAAACCGCTTACGGATGGTGTGTTGAAGTTCCACAACGCGGATCAACCTGCAGATGTCACTGGATTCTTGTCGAAAGTCCGAGACATCATGAACCAGTCGCCCACCGTGTACCCGCCGGAAGCAGGAGTGCCAGAGAGTGACCAACAAAATGGCGCACTGCTACAGAAGTTGCCCGAGCTGTTCTGCAAGAACTTCAAGGCAACGATCGAACGCATGCAGGAAGAAGATGGTCTGACATTTGACCAGATTGGTGACCGACTTGAAAAGCGTCCTGCGACGTTGATCGAGGAGGGAACCTACAAAGTCGAGAACGATTCCTTCGGGAAGGCGTTTCCGGTCAATGTCCAGGAGACCTCGAATAAACGTTCTCGTGAAGAAGAGGATGATGAGGAAAAGGCCAATGAAGGTGGTAAGATCTTTCTGTCTAAAAGTGCTCTCAAGCGCTTCAAGGCAAACACAAAGAAGAAGATCGCCGCCGAGGTCTATGCCTCCAATTCGAACGGCAAAGGAAAGCCGCAGAACAAAAATAACAAAGGTTCTGGAAAACAAGATACCCGTCCAGTCTGTTGGATCTGCAACAAACCGGGTCACAAGTCCGCGTCTTGTTGGAAGAATCCACAGAACCAGGCAAACTGGAACTGGAACACCAATTCCCAATCTAGTAGTGCTACGGGTAAAGGTGGAAAGGGTAATGGCATGGTTCACATGTCCCAAGTTGCGGAGCTGTGGCAAGCTCTCAACGGCGGAAAGCAGAGCTGAGTTGCGGAACCGGTGGAAAGCGGATTTTGCTCGCTGAACTTGGATGAAGATGAGGGTGAAGAAAAACACATAAATAACATTGGGGAGGTAAAACTTGTGGGACATAGTCTTTCAACTAGTTCCATTACTGCAAGAGAAGAAGTTAGTCTGGTTGATAGCTGTGCAAACAAATATCTTTCACGACGCAAAGATGATTTTAGTGAAATAACTATGAGAATTTGTAGGATTACTGGTAGCGCTGGAAGTAAAGACGGAAGAGTAGGAAAACTAAAGTCAAACATCTTAGGGCTCCAGTATGGTGTTTATTATGATTCACTACCAAAGGACTTAGATCGTATTATACCTTGGTTAGGTGAAGGGAACTGCTCGCAATTAGGGTGGGAATTCAACTTCAAAGGCGCAGGCGGTTGTCTCGTACATACGGACACCGGCCAGGCCATACCCATAAGAAGTCATCCACGCTTGCAGCTTCCCATACTTACATGCAACTTGTTTAAAGAAGAGACTGATAGTGGTTATATCTGTCCAACAGTAGAAGAAGGCGTCAGTAGCTGTTATCTTACAAGACTCGAACTTCATAGAAGATGTGGGCACTTTCATATAGATGGCCTCCAGGTAAACTGCCCTGAGTGTGATCTACATAAAGGCCAACGCGCATCACATGCAAAAGCTAGAGATGCTTCAAACTATAAACCTGAACCATTGAAGTTACTAGCAATCGACTTTGCTGCTGGAGTCAAACCTGTATCAGTCAGGTCAAAGAGATGTGTATTAGTGATCATCTGTGATGTAATTAAGAAGGTGTTCTGTCGACCGCTTAAGCTGAAAAGTGACTGCGTGGAGGAAATAGAAGAAGTTATCAAAGGCATTCGCCAGGACTACTCCTTATCACTTGATGACAAGGTAGTGCGGTTCCTCCGGAGGGATGGAGAACCTGTCCTGAGCAGTGACGACATGGCCAAAGTTATGCAATCGCTGCGAGTCTCAGACAGTCCGGCTGTTCCTTACAATCCGGAGATGAATGGGACCTGCGAACGTTTTATGCGGACTTTGTTCGGCAGTGTGCGCACAATGCTGACTAAAGTTGATAAACACCTCTGGCGTTACTGCGTCGAGTACGCTGGTGACTGCTGGGATCGTTTACCGCATAACTATGCAAAAATGCCTCAACGTGATCGATGGAAAGAGTCCAATTGAAATCTTAGAAGAAAGGACTGGTAGAAACTCATCGAAGAGCTCAATCGGCATGCTCCGCCGATTTGGTTGTCTAGTTTACTTTCGTGAACAAATTCAAGCCAGCACTCCTGAACCCAAGCTCTCGGCCAAATACCGCCGTGGCGTCTTCCTTGGACTCTGTCCGAAGTCGTCTGGTTGGTTGGTTGGAACTTTCGCTCATGACGATCGTTGCAAGCTTGGACATCGATGGGCGGAATACTCTACCCTAGATGTAAAGTTCAGAGAGGACTATCTAATTAAAAATATCGATTGGCTTTTGCCAGATCAGAAGGGCATCTACATTGAGTATGATGAGCTGGAAAATCTGCAGAGTGGCGCGTCGTCGCTGGGCTCCCCCTTGCTTGGGCAGTCAGTGCAAAGGCTGGGCCATCAATCGGGGTTCTCTGGCACGGAGCACATTCCAGGTGGACCGACCGCGATTTCCGACGAATTATTTATTGAGACACTGGATAAAGTAGAGGAATCCAACGCAGCTGACTCTCCAAAAGGTGTTTCACTTGAGGAGGGGAATGCTGAAGCGAAGGATCGCGAGACATCTGCTCCGCTAAGTCCGTCTAAGTCGAAAGCGCCTTCTCCAGCACGTGTTGTGGCAGGCGAACGCCGTACACACGTCAAGAAGCGTGGCCGACCAAAAGGAGCGAAGGACAAAGCAGGCAGCAGGGTTCGAAGAACAAAGAAACAGTTAGAAGAACTGAGAAAGAATGTGGCGCTGTTCGCTAGTGCAGTAGGTGGCACGTGTGAATTAGACGAAGATGAGGAATTCGTCGAATCATATGTGATTTTGTCCGTTGCTCAAGCACTCAAGTCTCCTGATGCCGACAAATGGCGGGAGGTTATTGACAAAGAGCATGCGAGACTACTAGCCTTTGAAACGTGGAAAGAAGCTTCTGACGAGGAGCTTGCGACCGCGCGACAGGCTCTACCAATTGCCATAATTCTAACTATTAAAAGATGTGGAAGATACAAGGCTCGCGCTTGTGTCCTCGGTAATCTAGATCGTTCAGGAGAGCTAAACACCTTTGCTCCCGTAGTTTCACACGCCGCTAATAGGCTGCTCCTGACATCTGCTGCGTCAGAACAGGACTATGTGATCCCGTTCGATTTAGATTCTGCGTTCCTCAATGCTGAACTCGATCGCGATGTCTTCTGCCGTCTCCCACCCATCTGGGCAGAGAAGCATGGACGCGAGATCGTGAAGCTCAAGAAGGCCTTATACGGCTTGAAGGACGCACCACGAGCATGGTTCAAGAAATATCACGACATACTAGCCAGTATTGGCTGGGAGCCGTGTGATTCTGCGCCAGGCTTATGGAGAAAGCCGAGTGCGAAGGTACCTGGGAAGTTCCTCAAGATGTCAGTCTATGTTGATGACAATCTTGCAACGGGTCCTGATCTTGATGAGCTCAAGACCGAACTAGAACTCATCTTCTCGCGTGCCCCTGGCCGTGCGATTGATGTGGAGTCCGTTCCAACCCCTTGGGGTCAAACGTGGCTCAGGTTCGACTTCTTAGGTGCCATCGTGTACTACTGCCGTGAAGCTCGAACATTTCGGCTCAATATGGAGGAGTACATTGATAAAATCGCAAAGAAATTCGAAATTGATGTCGGAAAACCGGTTTACTCGCCCAATTTTGACGAGTCGGCTTTTCTTGAGGAGGGGATCAAGATAGTCGAAGGGTATCCCTTTCGTGAGGTAGTTGGTGCCTTGCTATGGGTAGCTGTAACCGCGCGCCCGGACATTTCTGTACCGGTGGCAGCATTGGCTAGACATGTCAGCAAACCCGCGTCAACAAGAATGGTTAAAGCAGCCAGAAAAGTGCTAAAGTATCTGGTGACAACGAGAGACCAAGGACTGGAATACTCACCAGAGCAAGAAGAAGAATTCAATAGAATCTATTCAAAGTTACTACCTGAAGGCAGAGATATGCCAGAGGTGAATATCTTTAGTGATGCAGGTTTCGCCAACTGCGTAAAGACTATGAGAAGTACAAGTGGATCGATCATGTATTTCAAAGGCGTTCCAATTGCTTGGAGAAGTAACCGACAAACTGTCCGTGCCTATTCTACGGCTGAAAGTGAATATATTGCAGCTTCTGACACTATTGTGCTTAGTGAACTGCATGACTTTACAGACTTCTATAGGCCTCTACCAACTCAGTTGGTACACACACAGAACGGCTTGTCTCCCTCTTTAGACAATGCTGTGCTCTGGATCGACAACCAATCCGCGATCACAACAGCCAAAGCAACTGACACACGCCCGAAGAGTCGCCATTATGCACTTCGCTACTTGCGTGTGCGTGATGCGGCCAGTAAGATAGTTTTCTGTCCAACTAACTTAATGAAGGCTGATGGCTTAACTAAGCTAGAATGTAGTTCGTCTCAACGAAGACTACTACTTCACCATATAGATAATCCGATACATAAAGTTACGTGTGATGATTGTGATTCCTCAGACGATGAAACGAATGGGGACGATTTAGCTTACTATAGCGTAGTATATTCGGTTTATTTTGGTTTCTAGCCAAGTATACCGTAGCCATGGAAGACTAGTTAGGAGATATGATTTCCGTAGTAGTCCAGAAGACTAGGGACTTCGACACGCAACGATTGAGGAGGGGTGTTGGTCAAGATCGTAATCCTAGAAGAATCACAAAGATCAGAAGGATGAAGATCATCAAAATGACCAGGATCGCCAGGCGAAGGACCTTCAACGTATTCAGATAGCAGAAATGGCGAATGTTTCATAGCTGTAATCAGGTCCATAACGTCTCGTCAAGTTCTGATCAATGATGAATGCCAGTGCATGATGATCGTATGAATCAATGATGATAGCATAAGCGTTTCCGTCTGAAGCATATGAAAGTTTCCCCATGCCACATGATATCCCAATGATGAAGCTGAGACTTCTTCCTTGCAACCCCAATGAACATCCACAGGGATCAAAGCAGCCAGAGATCATATCATTAGTCTCAGGCTGTGAGTGCAAATTGTGAAAACCGTATCACTCTCAAGCGTTTCTTACCGAGAAACTAGACGCGACTTAACAGTCTGTGTTCGAATGGTCCAACAGGTAGTCTTTCAGTAATTAAAAAGTTTGCTCTAGGGTGCAAGGACCCTCTCGTCCATCTTTAACAAGACCCGCTCCACTGCGTCTCGCACACGAGCATCCCAAACTTGATAGCCCTGACGTGAGAGATGTAACCCGTCCTGTGCGTAAAGCGACGGATCACGCAGATCGGAATTGTCTATGAAATAAAGCAGTTCCTCCTGACAGCTCGAGTTGTAGCGCTGGAAGAGTTCTTTAATCCGTCCATCGTACCGTTCGTACTCGCGGCGCAACTCGGCGTCTGCTACTGGCTCGGGCTTAGTACACAAGTAAACAATCGGTACTTTTTCATCTGTATTGTTATTCCGCAACCTTGAAAATTCTGAGGCATTCATTCCGTCTTGTTGTTGTGATTTCGTATCGTCGATCGGAAGAGATGAGACGACGTTCGCATTGTCTCTTGTCCTCTGGGGATCATGCCGCAGGCGCAGCTGGGCCTGCTCTGTCGCGTCATCCAGGTGGCCAAACGCTGCTATGCTCTTTTCCAGATAAGAAAATACTGTAGGAGGTGCTGCACCCGCTCCCAGGTCGTTCTCACCCGCACAAAGCACCACCACATCAGGTCTGTACTTCGCACGACATTCCGCACTGTAGAAAGCCACGTGTAACATCTCCGCACCTCCGACCCCGACGTTCACACAACGTGCCCATGAGGCCCCTTCGTCGCCAGTGATTCGCACACGCGGAAGTTCCTTCCAATGACTGATGTCACTATCGCCAAAAAAGCAAAGACATGAAAAACAGGATTAAAGCAGTTGGCTTTCTAAAGGGAATACTCGAAGAGTGAAAATAAGGGAGTAGCTACCTGAAAGAAGATAGGCAGTAGGCTCTTTTTCTTTCAGTATCTCGCTTATTCTTCTAATGTCTGAGTCGAGTCACATCAAGTGCTGCTCCTTGACTCTCGTTTCTAGTTTATTTCGAATAGGTATAATGCGCTAACGTCGACGACTTTGCAACGAGTAGTTAGACCTCAATGGGTGCAGCGGAACTCCATTGACACCTACTACTGTAAGGGTAAGACCTTCACCGGTACAAGCCTTAACACCAGCTTTTCAGCGTCATCTCGCACAAAATGCGGATTCAAAGCTCGAAAACGCTTTAAGAACTTGTCGAGGTTCGACGGCGGGCTGTTCTCCAACTTGTCGAGGTTCGACGGTGGAGCATCCTCAAGCACTACTGCTCCTTCATCCAGCACCACTCCGTCATCTGCTGCCATCTTGGATTGTTCCACCTACCTCTAGGTCCACGACTGGCTTCTATAAAAATTCAAGTTATGAATTATCTTCTTGCGGTAGTCTGTAGTGAGTAGGAGTACCCTAGGTTTGAAGTGATACCGCTACGATGAGCGAAGAGGCTGCCACGAACGAAGCAAATCAAATAGCCTCGCGCATCGCAGGTTGCTTCATGGAAAATACGCAGGCAGATCCCCTTTCCGTTCGCCATACAAAAAAGTAGGCCCATGTGTATGTCTCAACTGGATTGAAAATCAGCGAAACATCGTTACGCAGACTTTTCCAAGAAAAGAAAACTCTAGCTTTAGCACTTGCCACGGGTATAGCCTAGCATTCGCTCGTTTAGCATCAATGACTGATGAACGGTCTAGGACAAAGACAAAGTCATGCGCTGGCAGTCACATATCTATTATAGTGATAGCGTTTGAAGATGGTCCTGCAGAAGTAAGCGTCCTCCTCCAAGTCCATTAATTTCAATTCATTATAATCCGCAAAAGTGATACGAATGATTTTCGTGTGAACGTTACGCAAGTTAATGCTCATATATGACTCAGGGCCGAACGCCCCCCCCTTCCTCCCCCTGTGGTCTGGTCTGTGCGTGGTGGCCATTTCCGCGCGGATTTTTCGCGGGTTCTAGTGGTGGAAGGCGTCAAAACTTGGCGCGGGCCTCCCCTTGGGCCTCTCAGCGTGTTCCGAAGGGACCGCCTGGCCTCTGCTGACCCTCGCAGGCGGGAGGCGGCCACGGTCGCAAGAGCAAGCAAGCCGAAGACCAAGCAAGGGCCCGAAGGGTACAGGCGGCACGGCTCAGGGGGTCCCGCCCCTTAACTTTTGCCGTCTTCAGAGGCCTTCCGTTGCCGGTGCACTGCTGCGGCGGCGAAGCCTAACGGATGCCCTGAGGGCACAGGCAGGCACCTGGGCGGGGGCGCAGGCGGTCCCTTGGGCCCCTTTTGAAGCCTCCCAGCACCATCGGAGGCCCCTAGGGAACAGCCACCAGCTGGACAGGAGCGGAGGGGGGAACCTGAAGACCAACCGCGCACTTCCACCGTCTAGCCCCGCAAGCCTGTAAGGCACATGCAAACGAGAAGCCGGCAGCCCCTTGGTCCCCCCTTGAGGCCTTCCACCCCCTTCCCAGGCCTCCAGGGGACACAAAGCGCCGGGAACGGAACGGGGGGGCCCCTTGGCCTCCTTTTGCGGCCTTCCTCCCCCGGCAGACGCCTCAAAAAGGGGTCCAGGGCGCCCGCCCCCCCCCCGCTAGGGGGGGGGCGTCGCCCCGCGCCCTGGATCATATATGAGTTCGAACTTTGATGTTGTGAGACGAGTTGACTTTGCAGACGAATCTTCTTCAATAATGACTCGCACAAGAATCGATAACGACCTACAACTTTTTTTTCCGGTTATATGGCGTTGGAGCGTGAGATGACTGCCACGAGGACTAAGAGAAGGCTTTGAGGTGGTCTAATAATCTCGTAAGCCTTAGAACTCAAGAAACGATTCGGTCTACATCTAATAAAATAATCAAGTGGAACACTCTGGACCGCACTGGAACAGACGCCGAGTGCTTCGAGAAAACGGCTTGAGTGGATGCTTCATTTCCATTCGACTTGGATTCCTTCTTCACGGTCTTAATCTCTCGGGAGTTGTAATTGAAATTAGTTGATGCGCTGTACTACTACCGCGCCGACCAGTGTCAGTATAGTAGGTGAGGTTAGGCGTGGGCCCACTAGGAAAACTAGCAAACGTAGTTGGCTACTGACTTGAAACAAGATTCTTGCGGTTTGATCATGATACTTATGAGATGATAGATAGGTTGCCTTGACCACATTCCGTCTTCACACAAGGTGCCGACGAACCATATGCAAAGTGATGGCGGACGACTGTCATGGCATGGCATGAGTTGCACATATACTCAATTGGAGACTAAACAATATCCAGGACACATGGATGCCTCGAAATTGTGGGTTCCTCCTATCTAGTAAATCGATCACACGTAACACCTTCGCGAACAAGATCAAAGGGTCGACTGCGGTTCGCTCGCATCATCGATTCTTCAATATTTTCATAAGTGCAATACATAGATGTGAAGCATCCCCTCCAGTGGAATTTCGATACACTCACTTCGGGGGGAGGTTGCAAGATTAGTAATACATGAACATGATGATATGGTTGAAGATATAATCAGTGAAATTTATGGTACAAGAAAAATGATACAACGCGAGTACATGACAATGATAATACAGCTGATAACCTATCCCCTCATGGCTGGGCTGGGCACGCTGGGAACACTGGCTCGCCGGGCGACCCGCATCCACATGTGCCAGATCTGCCGAATTCTTCGCCCCGCGTGACGCCAGGCGTCTCAAAATGCGGGGCGCCCGCAAGGCGAGCCGCTTGAGATCCCCCCGGCAATGCTTGTCTAGCGTAGGCCAACGATGCTGGCGAACTACGCAGCCGCCGAGGCCGTTATGAACAAAAGCGGCGCAGCATTGTACCAAACAGCGCAGTGCAGCACAAGCACAACGCAGAGCAAGCCTGCACAGAGCAGGGGCAGGCCGCCACTGCGCAACCCGGCGCAGCACTACGCCCGCGCTGCCCGGAACCTTGAGGGCAACAGCGCGCCATTGTTTGTGCTCAGGGGATACGCAGCACCTCGTCCCAGAGTGAGGCGCAAAAAAATCAGCCGCATGGGCTCGGCGTGCCCAATGCGTGGCCCTCAAGTGACGTAGGCTCCAGGAGACCCCCTACAGCGAGGCGCACGGCCTACGCGACCAAGTGCCTCAAGTTTTCAATGGAGAAGTTGGCAAAGCCTGCCCCCACTGAATTTCAACCAACCAAGCAACAACCAGCGCAAGAGCCTCCGGCGCCGCGTCAGCTTATCCTCGCGGTGCGGCCGCTGCGAAGTCGTAAGGCCATGGACTCAGCAGGCGCGCACGCCCGCGGCCTCCTTGGCTTCCAAAGCCGCAGCTTTTCCCTTTTTCAAGTGTTCAACTTGGAAGCCCGACCAATCAACAACCAGCGCAAGAGCTTCCGTCGCCGCATGCGCGTAAGCTTATCGCGGCGCGGCTGCGAAGCCATAAGGCCACGGAGTCAGCAGGCGCGCGCGCGGTCTCCTACTCCTTGGCTTCCAAAGCCGCGGCGTTGGTTTTCAACTTCAAGCGTTAGCCTTAATTCTCAGCAGGAGAACTCAGCGCAAGTCAGGGGGCTGCCCAACCAAGCAATCAACAACCAGCGCAAGAGCCTGCGTCACCGCGTAGGCTTCTCGCGGCGCGGCTGCGAAGCCGCAAGGCCATGGAGTAAGCAAGCGCGCGCGCGGTCTCCTGATTTCCAAGGCCACGACTTTCCCAACGAACAACTGCTCAACTTGAGACCTCTTCAAAACTCAAGCCTTTCAGCCAATCAATAACTACCAGCGCAAGCGCTGCGCTTTCGTCGCCGCGTCGGCTTATCGCGGTCGCGGTGCAGCCGCGAAGCCGTAAGGCCATGGAGTCAGCAGGCGCACGCGCGGTCTCCTTGGCTTCCAAAGCCGCGACTTCTTCACGCGTTCAGCTTAAGAACCCAGCACAAGTCGGGCCCTTCAACCAATCAACAACCAGCGCAGGTCAAGAGCTTGCGTCGCCGCGTCAGCTTGTCAGTCGCGGCTGCGAAGCCGTAAGGCCATGGAGTCAGCAGGCGCGCGCGCGCGGTCTCCTGGCTCCCAGAGCCGCGGCCCGTTCAAGTCGTGCCCAGCTTGCAAACCCTCCAAGGGTCGGGGCTTTTCAACCAATCAGGCGGATGCCTGCCAGCCGCCTGCGCTATCTGCTGCAAAAGTGCTAAATTTGCAGCAAAATGCTAAAACTTAGCAGGCGCGCGCCCGCCGCTCCACCCACCCCACGGCCCCCCAACGAACGCCAAAAGAACCAACTCAGCGGCCCGTCCCTAAGTACCACCACCCAAAGCACCACCCGCACTGACACGCACACCAGAAAGAACCAACGGGGGCATCCTGGGCATGGGTTGGGAACCTGCAACAAATGCAAAAGCCCCAGCGCCTCCTCTCAGCAATTTGCCGACACCCGAAGACCCTGCAAGCGTGCCCCCCTCCGCCGCAGACAGTGCTCAGCTGACAACACCCCACGGCTTGGGCGACCTTCGAAAGCGAGAACACAATCCAAGAAACAAACCACCACCCGACACGGCGCGAATGCCTCAGCAAAGAGACCAGGCAAGCCCAAGAAGCCGCCACAGAGCCAAGCCGCGCGCCCCCTCCGCCGCTAGTGCCTCTCCTGCCATGACCAAGAGCCAAACCAACAGAGGCCCGCGAGAACCCAGCGGCCGCGGGGTCTTTTTGTGGTCTTGCATGTGGTCGCGCATATGCTAAGTCTCTTTGTGCTCAATCGAAGGCCAGCCCGGTTCCTAAGCGTTTTCGCGCGGGGTTTGTTGGAGCCCCAGGCCGCTGGTAGTTACAGCTTTTGAAAAATTCCGCAAAAATTTGAAAACCCAAGACCCAAGCCCAGCAGAATGCACCACCAACCACCCCAGAAGACTAACACACCTAGAGGCACTCAGAGCCAGAGACAATGCCGAAGCGGCGAACCCGCGAGCAATCCACGACCCTTGGGTTTAGGTGGCCCTTGGGAAGCGGTGGCCCCTTGGGTAAGAATCGGGCACCCGAACCCCCAGGAGGCCAGAAAGCTAAGCACCGACACCGCCAAGCCCTAAACCTGTCGCCCCGACTGCCCTTAACGTTAACCCGCCGAACCCCCAGCGCACCTCTCTGCCACCGAGCTCGACCACCAACACCCCGCCCCGGTCCAAAGGCCCACCCCAACCCCCTGCGGCCTCCGATCATCCCAGCAGGCAACGAACTACGCCACCAAGCAGGCGCCTGAGCTCCTGCAGAAATACCCGCCCAAACCTGCCGAAGAGATACCCGCACAAGCAATCCACAGCGCCCAACGATTGCAAATTTTTTGGGAATTTTTTTAAATAATAACTCCTCGAAGGTCAAGGCCCCAAGGTTTGGGGCTCCCCTCGATTTAGCACCAATTTTTTGTGTGCAACCACACGCAGGGCCACAAAACTTAGCCCCCCACTTAGCCACCCAAATTTAGCACCGACTTAGCAAAAGTCTAGCGCTTTCAAGTAGCACCATCGGCAATAGCACCCCAATAACACAGGCTTAGCACTTTCCAAGTAGCGCTATTCGAGATAGCACCCCGATAGCACAAGTCTAGCATTTTCAAATAGCACTACCGCAAGTAGTACCCCGATAGCACAAGTTTAGCGCTGTCGAGTAGCATCGCCTGAAGTACGTAGCACCTTGATCAATACCCCGGCCCAGTCCTCCGAAATAACGCGTCCTTAGGTCGCCCCTGGCTGACGCTCCGACTAAGCCCCCACCGATCACCCCAGGGCCCCTCTCTGCAAATTCCGCTACGCCCCACGATGCAGACGTCTAACCAAATCACCCGAAGTAAGCAAGGCCACCACACACAGGCCCGCCGCTTCCAGGCAGCCAGCTTGCTATGAGAAAAGCAACCGACTGCAGAAACACCGAGAAAACACCATCCAGAAAAGCCACAAAAAAAGCAGCCGGCTAGCATCACCCGCAGGCGGCACGCCCTCCGCGTGAAACCAATCAACAACCGCCGCAAGAGCCTGCGCCGCCGCGTCAGCTCATCGCGGTGCGGCCGCTCGGCCGCAGGGCCATGGAGTCAGCAGGCGCGCGCGCGCGGTCTCCTGGCATCCAAAGCCGCGACCTTCTACAGTATGCAGCTCTGAAGCTCCTGATGAGGGTTAGCCCCCCATCGCGGTGAGATTCTCGAAAAGTAACACGCCCCCATTGGTTTCCCCGTGCGCCTCTATAGAGGGCGACCTCGATCCCAGGGCCCTCAAGTGGTCCGCGGAGCGTCAGCCAGGCGTGCCCAGTGTGGCCGCCCAGCGTGGCCACCCAGCATGTGTAAACTGTTCCACTGACAACGGTTCTTGCGCTTCTGCGGTGCAACTTGGTTTCGCTTTCGTTGAGATTTTTCATAAAATGATGCTACTTCAGCTAGATAAGCAGAAAGAAATAGAAAGTCTGCGCATAAGTCGACCAATAACGGAAGGAAAAGAAAGTCGATCTATGTCGAACGCGTCTGGGTGTGTGCGTGTGTGTGTGTGTGTGATTGTTCATCAAAGAGTCAAAGAATAATCTGCAAAACGATACTGTGCTGGCTTCAGGTATGACTGCCCGCCGTTTCTATGGCTTTGCTTTGATAAAGCTGTAACTTGTATCATGAGGGTCGTATGTAGTTTCCTATTTTCTTCAATATATTTCAAACAAAACAAGTACAAGACAAATTTTTTTTCTCTGCATTTGAAAATTCTTAATAAGATCACGAGAACTATTTAGCTACTGCGGTCCACATGGGATGACTGATGCTGTAACGAGAAACCATGTACTTACCTCCTAGGATCGTGAGTGAATTTCCCTCGCAACTCTATTCTCTGAAAATGAGAAGTATTAGAGTCATCTACTTTTCGATTTTCTCGAGGGTCTCCTGTGCTGCCCGAAGCGCTGCGCCCATTGTTAGTTTCGGCTCTACAGACTGCACGCGGAGAGATGGTCATCTTAGAAAGTTTTCATCATAAGTCCCTTCATTGTCTAAACCCATCAAGCCACTTCCATCCCGCCCCATGATTCACCCCAGAAAATAGATGGAAATAATGGATCATGAAAACAGCCCCAAAGACGAAGATGATTATATCTCAGATTAGTAAATGTGTGAAACATCAATTGCAAGAAAGTGAATTACTTTCAGGCAAGTGAGCTATTTTCTTGCTGATTTGTGTCTATTCCGCAAGGCGCGGGTGCCTAAGATATCCCTGAGGACTTCATCATCTGCTTTCTATGCAATGAAAGGCCTTAAGGCAGTTCCGTCAAGTAGCGAAACCGATGCGACCCCCGGCGGTACGACTAGTAGGGGGGCTTTTTCATCCTTTGCAGATGTTTTCTTCGATGGCCCCTTTGTAGCCGGTGCTCCCGTGCCTCGCGGACTCGCTTTCGGGTCACCTGCGGACTCTGGTTTAGAGGCTGTATAATTTACACCTTTATTGTCCTTCTAGTATAACGTGTTAGAAGCAGTTTTTCAAAATTCATTGGGTCAACTTTGTCCTGATACATGTTAGAAGCAAGAAATATTCAAATTCGATAATGGAATGAAGCAGGGTCAGTGCTAATCTATATTAATAACCTGGACTTGATGTTTCCTTCGAACTTTATTTTCCAAAGACATTTTTTTCTGCAAAAGCCGACTTTTTTTTCAAAGGCCCACTTTTTCCCAAACCTATTCTCTTACTCTTACTCCTTTTCCGAAGGCCATCTTTTTTCCAAAGCCATTCTTTTTTTTCAAAAGGCCAGCTACACACACAGCCCCAGCCCCAAGAACCAGAGCCACACACACACCCATCCACACAACGACACACACACACAGCCATGCACACGCACACGCACACAGCCACACACGCACAAAACCAAACACAGACACACAGCCACAACGAGCCACGACCACAGTGAGCCACAGCCACAGCGAGCCACAGCCACAGCGAGCCACAGCCACAGCGAGCCACAGCCACAGCGAGCCACAGCCACAGCGAGCCACAGCCACAGCGAGCCATAGCCACAGCGAGCCACGGCCCCGCCCCTGGAGGTCGATGCCGCCCTCTATAGAGGCCTACGGGAAACCTCGCGGGGGGTTGTGTTCCACCCAGTGAGGCCTTCCCAACCGTGCCGCCCCTGCCTCCAGTTGGGTCCTTACTGGTCTCCCTGCAAGGGCAACCGGGGGGGCAGTGGCTGCAAGGAGACCAGTGTAGACCCCACAAGAGGCCACCCCCCGTGCGGTTCCCCGTAAGTGGCCTCCCTAGAGGGTGACGTCGACCGTACGCCACAGCCACAGGCACACACGCATACAGCCCCAGCCACCCACACGCAGAGAGTGCTGCTAAACGAAACCCACACACGCGCACACTTTTTCCGTTTTATTTGCGAGGCCGACAGCTTCCCAGAGGTGCACCCTTTCGCCGTTTTGTGGCTGAAGGCTTAGCGCCTGTTTCGCCGGCCTAACGACATGGCCGGCGGCTTGTATCTTTAATATCGCTGATCTTTTTTGGGAGTTAGTTTGTGTAATAGCAAATGAGAATTATGAAAGGCGTCCGCGTTTCTTCGATGACCTGCTCCTGAGGTTAAGTCAATTGACCTGTAGATTAAGTTACGCCTGCGGTGCCATTCATGATCTACCTAACGCCGGAATAGTACTGGCACAAAAATACAGCATCTCCTACTACCTACTATACTTTTGTAGCTGCCTCAATAGTTGCTCACTGATGATCATGTGGCTACTTCACCAGCTACGATCATCGCGATACAGAAACTTCTTGTAAACAGGACGTGCTCACTTGGATATCATCCGCATGATGCATCTGTTTTCCGCAGACTTGTTCCATAATTTTCTTCCTCGGTTTCTCCACTCCAGCCCCACTCCCCCTTTTCGGCTGCTCAGCATCCTTGTCCGGTGAGCCTCGAGCGCTAGATGAGTTTTTCTTAGACCTGTAGAAAATGGAAAATCATCTATCTTAGATGCATCTTCTAGGTAGCATTGTCACCTTCTATCTTAGGGGTCCGGGTCATCTCCTGAAAGAGAAAATGAAATAACATCGTGCTGTTCCTCTTAATATTGATACTCTCTTCTCTTTCAGAGATGAAGATGACGCATTCATGTGGATATCATCAGCATGATGCATCTGTGTTCCACGCAGTTGTTCCTTAATTTTCTTCTTTGGCTGCTCAACATCGTCTTCTTGTTTCTTCATCGTGCTGAGTCTATTTTTCGACACCTTTTTTTGCACCTCATTTTTTTCATTAGAGCCCAAAACATTTTACTTCTTGAGTTCATGATTTTCTCAGAAACCTAGACAGAGAAAAAGAAGCAGTGGAGGCGAGTCGTTTTGTGCCGTAATCTTACCGAGCTCCCCCTTCGCCGTCTCAAACCTCTCGGAGGCCGTGTCCTGTTCCTGTTTGTCGCTTATTTTCTTGCCGCTTACTCTCTTGCCGCCTGATACCTTCGTCTTGATGATCCTCTTTCCCACTTTAGTGCGTGGTACTAATTCACGAGAAAGTCCGATCCTCCGAGCACTAATAGTACAATTTGACCATTTTTTCTACATATGATCGTCGACGAAAAATACGCACCAATTAAAAAAGTTAACACGGACATCACGGACACGAGCGCAGTACGTAGAAGTGGCAATAGAATAGTCGGGTTTAGATATGGTCAGACATATACATATTTACATTTTGCGTAATATCATTATCATGAGTTGTATCTTTAATCAGTAAATGAGGCCAGATTTGCGATGCCTCTTAACCTTCAGGGGCTGATTCTCGTCAATCTCCGAAAGCGAAGCCTCATCTTCCGCACACATCCACTGGTAGACCAACGCGACCACGATAATATGAATGTTGTTTTTTCTCCTCTCTAGAGGCAGACCATCGAGGCTCCCCGTGCTAAGTACTTCTACCCGCAAAACAAATTTACACTTCCTTCAAGGAAAAAAGGAGCAGCTCAGAACAACCTGGTCTGCTACAAACGGGAGAAAAGACATCATCCGTAGACAAACACCAGTGCAGTGACTGACGCAAATAAAGCAAATAGAGCGCAATTGCTCAAGCCCTTGATGAACTTTCGTACTTTTCCTGTGTTCGTTTTGTAGTTGGGAATAGCAAATGCAATAGCTCTAATTATATTTATGACTCATCAAGCATCCAAATCCTGTACCAAAATGATCCGCATTTACCTTAATACAAGAATCATCGATCCTATGCAATACAGAGGATTGATACTAGAAACGTCTCTATTAGAACAACAAACACTTTCGGGACTGCTTTCAGTTCGAAGAGAAAAAAACTTCAAAAAAAATAATTGTGAATATTTCGAATCGATAACTCGTGGAAGGCGCAACATTCATTTCTAGTCCACCCACACATTTCACCTAAAAGGAGCAGCACATGGTAAGTAGATATTAATATACCAAGCACGCCGCTCTGTTTTGCAGCCTCGCGCTGTCTCAGAGCCCTCTCGCGCACCCGGCTCTTGCTTTTTTTGCTCCGCTGCTGGAGAAGGAAAATAAAAGTGTTGGGTTGGGTACATAAAGAAAGAGGAATATACGGAAAAAAAAAACTCTAAAGGATAAATGTCACACGGTGGCGCTAAGTCAACTAAGAACCGCACGAAAACAAGCACCATCCGCCGCCGCCTCCTAGTCCCAGAAGAGAGCGCAGATCCGCTTAGTGACTTCCGCGACCTGTTTCCCCTTGGTTTTTCTGTCTTTTGGTTTCGTTTCATGTGGTTCCCCGCGCCCCTCCAGAGTCCACCGCAGCAGCCTGCAAATGTGTGCGGGGGATTCTGGAGGGGCGCAGGGGTTTGGAAGGTGCACGCCCGGGGTTCTTAGCTCGCAATTGGGGGACGGAGGGTTTTCCTAAAGGGAGCGCAGTAGGCGCCGACCGTTCTGCATATTCATATCATGCCCAGGAGGCTCGCACCCTGTCCAGGTTTTTGAAGTCCTTGGCTGAATTTTCTCCATTTAGACGCCGCCTCCATTTCTGTGGTCAGGTTTTCCACCATAACCGTAGCCAGAGAGGTCTGAGGCAATCCGCCCGAAGTTCTATCTTCAATCTCGGGCCTTTTGGATTTGGTTTTGATGTTGTTCAGCGTTGGACTTTTGACCACCCGGCGCCCCAGAGCTCTCACGCTGAGGGGGATTAGCTACAAAAAAAGGGGGCCACGCTGCTGCCTCAAAATGGTCAGACCGCTCACGCGCGCCGCCATGCCTGTGCGCGCAGATTGTCACGCTGGCGGTGTTCGCACTCTCTTGAAGTATTTCAGTGGATGTGGAGGACTCTTCGGGGGCTTCGCTGAAATTGAGTAAGTTTCTCCGTCCATTGTTCGCCAGACTCCTGCCCGCGAGGCCATTTCTGACGAAATAAAAACTGAGAAAGCGTCCGCGGATTTCTTCCAAAGATGGCCCTGCGAGCAGGAATCCGGCAAACAATCGCGGCACCCCCTCAGCTTCGTGGCGTTTTTCAAGGAGGGCCGGGCTGGTTGCCGCTTCAGTTCCAAAAGGCTTGCGCCTCCCCTTTTTGCTAAGTTTCGACGGTGTGGCGTGCTGCTCGCAGTGCCTCTGCCTCGCTCTGGTGCTTCCGCAGGGAGTTGATTGAAATGGCGCCAAGTCAGCCAAGAACTGCACGAAGGCCGTCACTGCTGTCACCTCCTAGTCCTGGAAGTGCTCAGGTTCACGACTTTCGCAACTTGCTCCCCCGGGGTTTTTCTGTCTTTTGGTTTCGCTTCATGTGATTCCTCCCCGCGCCCCTCCAACCAAAGTCCACCGCATCAGCCTGCAAACGCCACACGCCCGCGCTGGGGGATTCTGGAGGGGCGCGGGGGCGGGGGTTTGGAGGGTGCCCGAGGTTCTTGGCTCGCAATTGGAGGGGTGTTTTCCTGACGGGAGCGCAGTGGGCGGCGAGTGTTCTGCGTCATGCCTAAGAAGACTGAACTTCGTCCGGGTTTTTGCAATCCTTGGCCGAATTTTCTCCACTGTTAGACCCGCCTAGTCTGTGGCCAGGTTTTTCGCCACAGTCAGGGGGACTTTAGTCAGGCGGACACACCCCCAGCCAACCAATGCGGTTAGACTTTGGCTAAAATTTTCAGACACCACAACACACCCGCGCCGGCTGGTCTGGCAGCCGGGGGGCAACAACCGACCCGACACAAAAGACCCACGAAAGACCTCACCGAGCGAACCCATGCCACCACAAACGCAACGCAATAACAAGCGCCCGCGGGTCTAGCGCATGCACCTGGGCCGGCCTCCAGCAAGCGGCCCCACCCACTTCGAGAGAGACACCTCAGGAAAAAGCCCGACACAAAGAGCCGACACCACACCAGCCCGCGAGGCTCACCGGCGCGAACGTTACTCAAGGCCACACTTCGAGGGGCCAGCGAACTGTGACCCCGGCACCCACTCCAGAATCACGCGAGCGCGACCCGATCCACGCAACCTGACTGGCGTGGACATGACAGCCCCACTGACTCCAGGTAGGCATTGGTCGGCGCGGGGCCTCGACGTCCACACGCGCACCACCCAGCCAACCCCGCGGAGCTTGCACGAGCACCACGCCACGCTTCGAGGCCTGCCAGCGGAATGCGGCGGGTGCGTCAGATGCGGCCCAGTCTACGCCACGGCTGCGCAGCCCGAAGGTAAGAAGGCGCCCCAAGACCCCGCGGGAACCAGCTAAAAAACGGCGAAAGTCGACGGCTAAAAAAACGGCTAAAATTGATTCACGGGGGTTAGCAAACGGCTAAAGTTTAGGGCTAAAAAAGCGCCAACTTTGGGAACGGTTAAAAAAGCCGGCGGCACGTCCTTCCAAAACTCGGCAGGACTTCTCTAAACCGACCCCAATAGCAAAAGTGGCCGATTTCTAGGCGAAATCACACGAGTTTTCCCAACCTAAGAAAGGGCGGGAAAATTTTAACCGTTTTTTAACCGTCGACCGGGACCCCACCCCCGAGCCCAGGCACGACTACTACCGAGTCCCCCCAGCCTTTCGAGTGCGAAGCCCAGCACTTCCGCGCGGGCTGTTGCGCCAATCGTCAAGCCCCAAGGCCGTGGCTCAGTGTGGGCACCCAATGGCAGAGGCAGCCCCCGGCCCCTCCTCCACAAGGGGCGGGCCAAGACGACCAAGCAACAGAAGACAAACACAAACAAGCCCAACCCACTGAAAAGCAGCACGAAAACACCCAGGAGGCCAGAAGTATCACACCCGAAGGCCGACGCCCTATCGTCACCCTGACCAGCTTCAGCAATGCACCCCCTTCAGCCGACACCCCTAAGACATACACCCCCGAGCCGAGCCACCCAGCCAAAGCATACAGAACCAGAACCGATCGAAAAAAACGACCGAAAAATCGCGGGGGCTTTTTCGGTCGTCTTTTTTGATCCGCTGCCGCAGGTTTCAAGATCCATAGAGGCAGAACCTTACCTCCGTAGAGTACCAGAAAAAAACCACACTCAGAAGCGCCCCCCTTGTCGCTCGCAAATATACCAACAAAACAACAAGAGAAAAGCAGAAAAACCCCAGAAACGAAACAGACACACAACGGCCCAAGACAGGCGCCCCGCGATCCCAAAAAGCCGGCTCTTTTAGGCACGCAGAGTCCAACGCCATTGGTGGCCGGGTTCCCGTCCGCCTGACTTTAGACAACCCACCCAGGGGGCCCCTCGTTCTTGGGCCTTTTGGTGTTGTTTAGTGTCGGACTTTTGACCACCCGGCGCCCCGAGGCTCTCACGCGGGGCAGTGGGATTAGTTACAAAGAAGAGAGGCACGGGGCCGCCCCCACATGGGCAGACCATCACGCGCGCCGCCGTGTCTGTGTGCGCAGGTTGTCGGGGGGGTTTGCTGGCGCTGTTCGCACTCTTTTGAAGTATTTCAGTGAAGAACCCCCCAGGGGTTTCGCTGAAATTGCGCAGGCCTCTCCACTGTTTGCCGGGCCCCTGCTCGCGAGGCCATCTCTGAAGAAAAGGCTGAGTCGGTGCCTTCAGTTTTTTCCAAGAGTGGCCCTGTGAACAAGAACCCAGCAAGCAGTCGAGGGGCTTGCTCAATTTCGTGGCGCTTTTCAAGGGGGGCCGGGCTGGTTGCCGCTTCAGTGCCAAGAGGCTCGCGCCTCCTCATTTTGTTAAGATTCGATGACGTAGCGTGCTCCCTCCCTGTGCCTCTGGTGCTTCCGCAGGGGGTTGATCAGAATGGCGCTAAGCCACCCAAGAACCGCACGGAGGCGGCCACTATTGTCGCCCCCTAGTCCTGAAAGTGCTTCGCTTTTTAGCGACTTTCACCACTTGCCCCCGCCCGGTTTTTCTGTCTATCTTTTGGCTTCGCTTCATGTGATTCCCTGCGCCCCTCCAGAGTCCACCGCAAACGCCTGCAAGTGGGTGCTGGGGGACCCTGGAGGGGCGCGGGGACTTTGAGGGGCGCGGCGACAGAAGGAGAGGAGAGGAAGAGAGAGGAAAGAGAAGAGAGGAGAAGAGAGAAGGAGAGAGAAGGAGAGAGGAGGAGAGAGGAAGGAGAGAGACGAAGGAGAGAGACGGAGGAGAGAGACGAAGGAGAGAGACGAATGAGAGAGACGAAAGAGAGAGACGAAGGAGAGAGACGAAGGAGAGAGACGAAGGAGAGAGACGAAGGAGAGAGACGAAGGAGAGAGACGGAGGAGAGAGACGAAGGAGAGAGACGAAGGAGAGAGACGAAGGAAGGAGACGAAGGAAGGAGAGAGATGAAGGAGAGAGATGAAGGAGAGAGATGCAGGAGAGAGATGAAGGAGAGAGATGGGGGAGAGAGATGAAGGAGAGAGATGAGGGAGAGAGATGAGGGAGAGAGATGAAGGAGAGAGATGAAGGAGAGAGATGAAGGAGAGAGATGAAGGAGAGAGATGACGGAGAGAGACGACGGAGAGAGATGAAGGAGAGAGAAGAAGGAGAGAGAAGAAGGAGAGAGAAGAAGGAGAGAGAAGAAGGAGAGAGAAGAAGGAGAGAGAAGAAGGAGAGAGAAGGAGGAGAGAGCAGGAGGAGAGAGAAGAAGGAGAGAGGAGAAGGAGAGAGAAGCAAGAAGGAGAGAGAAGGAGGGAGAAGGAGGGAGGAGGAGAGAGAAGGAGAGAGAAGAAGAGAGGAGAAGAGAGAAGAAGAGAGGAGAAGAGAGGAGAAGGGAGAAGAGAGGAGGAGAAGGGAGAAGGAGGAGAAGGGAGAAGAGAGGAGGAGAAGGGAGAAGGAGGAGAAGGGAGAAGGAGGAGAAAGGAGGAGAGAAAAGGAGGGAGAAGAAGAAAGAAGAAGAAAGGAGAAGGAAGGAGAAGGAAGAAGAAGGAAGAAGAAGGAAGAAGAAGGAAGAAGAAGGAAGAAGAAGGAAGAAGAAGGAAGAAGAAGAGAGAAGAAGAAAGAAGAAGAAAGAAGAAGAAAGAAGAAGAAAGGAGAAGAAAGGAGAAGAAAGAAGGAGAGAGAAGACGAAAGGAGAAGAAAGAAGAAGAAAGAAGAAGAAGAAGCTGGGAAGCGGAGAGAACAGTGCTGGTAGGCGGGCTTTTTAGTTAAGTGGATTGAAATCTAATTTCCTCGACACATAGGAGAAGAAAGAGTTCGAAGACTAGTCTTTACAGCAATGTTCTTTACCTTTCCACCGTTCTCTCCCTTGTTCTTTCCGCTGCCGCTTGTCGTTTCCGCAAAAGTGATGGAGCCGATTGCCGTTGAAGGTGAAGAGGATATCGATTCTATCGCACCATCCTCCATCTTTCCATCCGGAACGCCGAATTCAGATTGAGATACAGCTGATATAACGCATTCCTTCACATGCCCATGCGCATTCGAACCTCGCGAAAATTAGAGAAGTCAGTTTTTTCTGTTTGTCAAATACAAATTCTTCATTCATACAGATGCCTCGTACCTTATGAGTATACTATAATGTAAGTGTAGGGAGAAAGGATGAGACCATCCTAATAGCATCAGCACCAGTACCGGGAGGGGAGACATTCTTTTGAGGGTTGAGATTGAGTAGTAATCGTCTATCACTATCATGGTATAGTATAAGAAAATTCTATGATTTGACAATCTTGGCTTAAAAGTTACCCTGCTTGATGCAGGGCTTATCGCGCTGTAGTAGTGCGGTCGCAGTGCTTGCCTCAGAGTCGGTGAGCATTAGAATTGGATTCTTTCATCACCCTGAGCTCAGGAGTAGTCGATCCTTGAGAAGCCTTGTTTGGACTCTCTTGAAGGGGAATCCATTCGAGAAACTTGTTCACATTTTGAGAAGCTAAGGAGTGACGAAAGGGAAGGTGATGATGATGGAGCCGCTATATATAAAAAGTAGCCTTATCAATGCATTCTCCGAATCGTTGCTACCGGGGCCTGTATCAACATGATTGTCGAGTTCATCGTCAGCTGCGCTAGCCAAGATTTCTTCCTCGGTTCCATGATGGCCATGACCACTGTAATCGCCCACATAGTAGGTACCAGACACTAGGCCTCCTGGGTCTATAGTCCTAGTTATCTCGAGCAGAAAAGCTAGTCCATGTGTGCCGACCCGGATGCATCCACGGCCTCTCCTTGAACGAGGAGAGGTGCGACCTGTTGTCCTTGAATGAGGACTAGGAGAAGTGCTTGCGCGTATCACATATTCTCTCACACCATGATCCGTCAACATACTTCTTTGGAGGCCCGTGCCCCGCCAAGGTGAAGTCCTTATCGCCATGGTGTGTAGACTCCCATGATAATGAAGTAGATGCTAAGTGGTGAAGGTGATGTCAACATCGAAATGCCGTAGTCGTGATAACACTTTGTCGGGTGTATTTGGAGCCTCCTTTGATCTTGTCTTGCTCCCGCTACAGAGCTATCGTAACAGATTTCTTGTATGTTCTGCCCTTCTAGTAAATGCGTTTGTAAAATAAATATTAAATGCTTTCCGTATGCCTATGCATGATAGAAGCGACTCTAGCTGCTAAACATCTATCTTCATCTTAAAGATCTGTCCTTCAAGGATCAACATGATCAGCATGAGTGCCTCAACTATTCTTCGATGAGAAATATCAATATTAATGATCGTAATCGCATTCTAAGTATTTCAAGTCTAATTATGTCTGTCAAAGGCCGAGGTATGGGCTTCTTGGGGATGACAGGACTGAAGAGGGGCTACTCTGCTCTCTGCACAGACTATGATGATCTCTTTTACACCCCCGAGACATAATCTTCATAATCACCATCAAATCTATGATCACCGATGTGCGCTGCTGGAAGAAGACTCAACGAAAGTTCATATTTATACAGACTGATCCATTTTTGCGCAATATCACCGAACATTGATCAAGCCGAGGGAGTACTCAACTGAAGCGTATTACAAGTACAACCGATTTCATCAAGGATTGCATTGCGCGTGCAAAACTCGTCCTCCAGAACCAGAACACGAAATCACGATTCCTATTACAGAAAAATATTGGGGATTGTAGTCGTAGTGCGGTGGAGACCACACGATAGAGAGAGCAGTATCGACAGAGCCCGGGACGAGGATCCTGAATCATCTTAAAAATTTTCCTACGCAATCTCCATTGATACCCCGGTCGACCCAATGTTGATTCTCTACTAGGTTCTCTATACGCTGTCCTCGACTTTGTCGACCGTAAGGACAAGAACCGAGAGTGTAGCTCTTCCGCAGATCAAGAGCCTGTTCGTCGAATACGATTGCTATGTCTTCGAGGGATGTCGAAGTCGTAAGAGAAAAAAGTTGCCTATTAAGAAATCATTGAAGTCTTCCTGCTCGTCAAGACAATCCACTCAATTTTTGTACACGCTGTAAGTGAATCGAAAAACCACTCAAGAAGAATGAATCATGCAGATGCATACGACATATCCATTGAAAGTGAAAAAAATTACAATTACTACAATCAAAATCGGTAGCGGTTTTCTGATCGGCAGTAGAGTCTATTTGTAGAAGTTTTCTCGCACGTAGGTCTCGAATTTCGCAGCTGCGCCCTCGATTCCGCCATCAGCCTTGCTGTCTGCCAGAACCTCATCACCATGGACAATACGAATCGTCATATCCAGAGTTTCGAGCAGCTGCTGCTTCTGCTTCTCTTCTCCCTGTAGTACCCGATCATAGCATGTTTTAGAAGTTGCAAAAACAGCAAACAAACTAGTACAGCTTGCACTTGAGTACTAAATAAAGAAGTCACGTTATCGTCATGAAAATTTTTCAGTAAAGTTCGTATCGATTCAACAAAGTGTGACCATGCATGAGATTCAGTGATTCTTTTTGGTTTTTTAGCACAATGTTCTAAGAGACGAGTCACCACTAGCAACTACATGTGCGTCACCATGCTCATGGATCATGTCAGAAGACATGCCTGCAGAGCAGATAGTTGACTGCTAACGCTTTTATTCATGAAGGAGACACCAGAACGAATTGATGTACAACAGCGATAACATCCCTATTCTTGAACAGAAAAAGCATCTTCATCATAATTTTCTTGGCTTCGGTGACCTTTGTTTCCATGTCTTCAGAGAGATCGCGAACCCAGGCGTCAGCGACCAGTGGTTTTCCAGTAAGCTTCTCCACTAGGTTTAAGAACATCTCCGAATTTCCGCAGCGCCAATACGATTCTGTCAGTTCGGGGCCGATCGATGGATTGTCTGTGAGAAACCCGCACTTCTCCAGAAAGTACTCACGAGTTTGATGTACGCTCATCTCCGCCAGCACATAGCCGTGGTAGTAGCAAGAGCTTTCATCGCTCTCAGTATGAAGCAGGCCGTCGTGAAGAGGTGTGACTATTACTAGAAGCAACGAACAAAGAGCCTTTTAGGAAAAAAAGCTCGAGGAAGCAGTAGCACTACACACGATTGCAGAATGATCATCATGGATAAACTACGGCGGTTTACATGGTGCGAATACGCCGAATGCAGAACACAAATGAAGATAAACATGAAACCCGTCGTAAAGTATGTGAGGGACGCTAAGCAGTGCCCGTCCCTGTGGTCCACCGCATATCTGGGCCTCGATTTCATCAGCAAGGGATCGAATCCGTTCCGGGGTTACTTCCTCAGCAGGCAGCTCATAGAGAGCTCGCTCGAAAAACGGAACCGCCAACATGCCACGTAACTTGCTTAGAACAGGGACAACAAGTTCGAAAGTTGCATCTATCACACATGGAAAGTCAAGGTCGGGAAAATAAAAGTAGTAACTTACAACCGCCTCTAAAAAAATCTGGTTAATTGAGATTTCATGTCGAAGAGTTTCTGAGAGAGTCATATCATACGCCTATGACCTGATCTTGGGAATCAGTTTGGAAATTGTGCCAGCTCTTCTATTCGGGATCCAGTTACAACCACATTTTCGACTCATAACATGAAGACAGCAAAAGGCGCGGTTTCGCGAATACTTTCCTCGATGAGATCAAAAGGCATTCTGACGTCGTTTCGGTCCTTTGCGTATCGCGCTTTCCAATCGGCGTCGTCAACAAGAGAGTCAAGGAACATGCTCTGGTTCTCAGCATAAGCAACAGCTTTCTTAGAAGGAGGGTAGAGTTTTTGGTTGCTTCTTCATCATGACAATATTTTAATTGTGTCTACTTCGTGTCATTTTGATAAGGATGAGACGACTGAGCAGAACAATTATCGTGAACGAGACTCAGTTATTTTCTCCAGGGCACTCGTCGACTCAGTTTACTGGAGATGTATTCACATATAAATATGACTATGACATAAAAGTCGGCGCACGTTCTTGCGAGAAGAGTGGCGAGTGCATTCTAATATTTGCGAAATGTGCTGCGTGACCCGCTTCGTGCATGAGAGTAGTCAACGCCGTTTTGCCGCTCCCAATGGAAGACGGAATCGCAAGTGAAGTAAAATTAGCTACGCTAGGGACCCAGCGCTTCCCACCGTCCGCAACCCAAGCAGGCTGCGGCCAGTGGCAGAAGCCATTTGATTAGGGGCTGCAAGTTGACCGATTTAGGTGGCATATCTATGACCTCCCTACTTGAAAAGGCCATAGGAGACATGCTTATAGAGAGGTCAACTTTCAGCCCTTAATTTGAATACTTCTTTTCTCGGTCCAACAGATCTAGATTCAAGACGGCGCCAGCGTAGCTTATCCCCAAATTAGCGAAGCTTTCTGCATATCGAAGCACCGCTCTCTCGAACGGAAAATATGGATCCTCCTTCTTCACGAGGTTGCCGGCAAGCTTTTCATGAAAAAAATGGAGAAGTTGCGCATCTACTCATCGAGAGAGAAAGAGGCCGGATAGGATAAGATAGAATGCCTTTGCTTCGTTCTCACACGAGGGGTATCCGGAAGCTCGGGCCGAGCGCCCCAAGGAGAACGCATGGGAGTTGCGGTGAGTGCCGCTCAGGGCATTTTCAAACAAAAAGAATGAAAATGGGGAAAGTGGCTGCCTTTTTACTTAAGCCTCGTCCTTCAGCTACTAAAAGTGGTGTATAATATATTAGGGGGCGGGTCAGAGAGAGTGCAAGAGCTTGACTCGTATTTGTTCGTTTTTTGGATACTGCCTCCTTCGCTTCCTTTTCCTGCTCTTTTGGGATTTGGATCGTGCTCGGCGTCGATGATTGACTTTGAAGGTTATAAACTACAAAAGTAGGCGGCGGCGTTCGACTTACGCTCATTTTTCTCGTTGAAGTCTTTACTAGCGCATATATGTTCCAAGGAGGGAGGCCCCCGTAAGATCTGGCGGGCGCCGTGACGCGCGTGACGCGTCACGCTTTTCAGCGTGCCGAATGATGCACACCATGATACCCTTGAGAGTGAGCGCGACAAGGCTGGGGGATGATCTGAGGCAAATCCCTGGCCCGAGATCGACCAGCCCGCAGAATAGAAACACCCCAGCACCACAAAGATAGACACGACAACGAAGGCGCCAGACCAACCATGGTGGCGGCCAGGGATGAGATATAGACCCAACCACGACAACAAAACAATCCACCTGAAGAGGCAAAGCGAGCCTGGCAGCCAATTCATGGGCAGCGACACACATGCCCGCAACGAACACCCTCGCAGACACCCCACCCACAACACAGACAACACCCCGCCACACCCTCCCGCCGTCAAATGTCACCCCGTCACATGTGACAACGACACCCCCAGCCTCACAGACATGCGACACCGCCACACGCCGCGGCGCCACATCCTCAGCCAAGCACTACTTGACGCGCCACGGCGTCCCGCGTCACGCCGTCACAGTCACACGTCACGCCAGTGTCTCCTCACGCGTCACGCCAGAGCCTCCCGCGCCTCAATAATGCTCCCACGCGCATCACGCTCCGCAGAGCGTCACGCCGTCACGCTAATACCCCCACCCCCGCGCGCGTCACGCTTCTCAGGTGGCTACGGCTGTCACAAGGTGGCCCCACGGGGGCCCCCCCGTGAGACTCAAAGACGAACGCCGCGGAGCTGTTCGTGGCGCGTGACGCCCACCGCGTGACGCCGAGAGCTTCGGGGAAGGAGACGAGGCGCCTGGGCTCAAAATCAAGCGTGACGCCGCACGCAACTAATTCACGCGATCGCGATGGGCTTCACATGTCACGCGGCGGCCGGCGCGTGGTCCGTGGATCTTTGAGCGATCCAGGCGCCTTTGATCGATCTGCGGAGAGATCTTCGATCGATCCGCGGACTTTTGGTCGATCCGTGGGTCTTTGATCGATCCGCGGATCCTTGATGTGATCGATCCACGGCCCCGCGATCGGTCCACAGATCCCGGGCCGATCCGTGGATCCTTGCGCGATCCGTGAGTCCTTGATCGATCTGTGGGTCTTTGATCGAACCGCGGATCCGTGCGGGGATCACTGACCAATCCGCGCGCCCCTGATCAATCCGCGGAGAACTGGCCAATGCGTGGGTCTATCTTTGATCAGTCCACGGGTCCCCGATCAATCCGCCGATCACTGATCAGGCCGCGGATCACTGAGCAGCCCACGGATCACTGAGCAGCCCGCGGACCCCTGATGCTGATCAATATGCAGATCAGTGATCAATCCGCGGATCACTGATCAGTTTCAGTCCACGGATCGCTGAGCAATCCACGGACTGCACCTGCAGACCGATCCGTGGGCCGCGCGTGCCGCCTCATGTGTCACCTCACGCGCGGCGCGTCATGCGTGACGCGTCAAAGAAGAGCAAGAAGGCCCTACGCGGTGGGACTGATAAATGTGGACAGCTCTACGGCGTTGGTTCAGTCCACCTTACGGCTACGGGCCCCCCCTCCTGTGGATGGGAAGAGCTTTGGCGGCGTCGGCGCGTCCTCTTTTGCGCGGCGGTGTGAGGATTCCCAGGGGCGAAAGCCTCAAAAACAAAGCGGAGCAAGAGTCCTCTTGCGGTTCTCCACGTGTGCCTCACAGACAAGCGCCCCGAGTGTTAGTCTTAGACCCTATCAGGGGGGCGGCCTCCGGGGGTAGAAGGCCGCCGAAGGCAGCCCGGGGTCGCGAGGCCTGGCCCCTTTTGCTGGGTTGCTCCCATCCCCCCGATCAGTGGCAGCGCCAGCCGCCACGAATTGACTGCCCCGGAAAGTCGAAGACCCCCCCGCGAATTCCTCGACTGGTTTGCTTTTTCCTGCTACTCGCTGAAGCTGTGATATCTCCAGGTTGTGGGCGCGCTTCTCCTCCTCCGGTTCTCCGCCTTGTTCTGCCTCTTGTCCTGCTTCTTCCTCTGTTTCCGCTTGCCGTCGCTTCTCCCTTGCCCGCGTGTTGCTCTCACTCACCCCGTTCGCCTTGGTCACGACTTGGAACGGCGTGCGATTGGTCATCGCGCGCAACATGGTCAAGATCCTAGAGTAGGCCACTCCGCTGCCGTCAGACTCATCTCGAGAACTCCTGCGGCGTAGTTGTCCTGTGATATTTGTCGATCTACCAAGCCCGTCAGCTCTTGTTCGTCCACCACTTCTGTCCATGATATCCCAAGCAGCAGGAGTAACGTGCGAAGGAGCGCGAAGGCCCACACGGGTCGCGTCTCCTGGTCCTGGCACATGCTCGCCACGCACCCAAGGCGGCCTGGGCGACATCTTATCTTTTACTTCGCCTCCGTGTCCGTCCTGCTTTCCTGTTGCGGTCGCTGCAACCGGTGGCGGCCTCCTCTGCTGGCTCTTACCCCTTGAGAACAGAGGCGGCGCGCCTGCTGCTGCTTCTCCTGTGGTGCTCGTGTTCTTGTTGCCTCCGCCTCTGCCCTGTTCTTTATCTTTTCGCTTACCTTGGCCGAAGAATCCAGCCTGGGCCCGTTGCGGCGCCTTGCTTCCTGCTAGTTCCACCCCCTCAGCTTCGTTGCTGAGGCCTGCCTTCGTTAAGATCCACCGGCGCGCGCTGGATTGGAAAAGAGTCCGGCTCTGTCCTGTCTTGGCTGAGGTGCTGCCACTGTCTTCATCTTTGACATTAACAAGGTGCAGCGGGCTCATGCATAGCACGGGCGGCGTGCCTGCGGCTACGAGTGCGTGGCACGGCTGAGACAGCTCAACATTCAACAAGCCCAAAAAAAGGGCGCCAAGAAAAGCCAAGGCGAAAGAATGGCCGTAAGAAAGCCGCCCAGCCACCGGCCGTCCCCCTAAGTCTTCTGTGAAATATATAATGACGAGAGAGAAGCGGGGGCTGTGGTTCTCAAACTAACTTGCGCTCTCGGGCTCCCTTACCGTTTTGAAAATGGTAAGGGTGTTGCCTGGCGGGCAGAGGGAGCGGTCTGCGCCTGCAGTTCAAAAAGCGCGAAGCCAAAGACGCGGAGTGGCCGGCCGTCGTAGGGTCGGCCTCTTTCTTGCGATTCTGTGGGGGTCGTCTAGAATAAAAGGCCAAACTCCTACAGACTGCCCGGCGACTCCTAAGCTGTGGAAGATGTGACGGGTTCGCTGCGTCCGATTTGCGGGAGCGGTGGCGGCCACTGTGACGAGCCTCAAACCTACTGCGACCAGCTTCCGCTCTGCTGTGACTAGTTCCCAATTTACTGCCAGTAGCTTCCAACCTGCTGCGACTAGTTTCAGAACTGCTGCGACTACTCTCAAGCCAATGCTGCGACTAGTCTCAAGCCACTCACTGCGACTAGCCCCAGCTGCCTTGCTCTGAATAGCACGAGGCCCAAAAGTGCTGCGACTGGTCTCATACCTGCCGCGCCTGGTCTCACGCTCACTGTGACGGGCCTAAGCTTAGGCTTTCTGCGCTCAGTCTCTGACATGACTGAGTTTGTCGCTGTCAATCTGTTCGAAGCTTGGCGCCAGCTCACTAGCACTAAGCAGGGCCCTTTTCTTATTCTTAACGCGTGGCCAGCCATGAGTCCCAAGCCCAGAACGTTTGGGACTGAGACTAGTCACAGCAAAACTAAGACGAGACACAGTGGGCGCGGCCGCGAGACGAAGCCCGTCAAACTCAAAATAAGCACAGGCTTGAAGCTGGTCACAATAACACTGAGACTAGCCACCGAAATGAGACTAGCCACCGAAAGTCTGCGACTAGTCACCATACGACTGAGAGTAATCACGATAAGACTGAAGCCCATCACACTAAGACTGACACTCATCGCCGTAACTGCCAGTGCCACAGCCTCCACAGCTTTCCAACTTAGGGAGCAAGAGCAACCAGGTGACAAAGCCCCTCCGCGGCGATTTCATAGCTAGGCGAAAGAACGGCCTTCACAATCAAGTCACGCAAATTAAGCTCCGGGCATTTGCGTGCCTCGCACGGACTTCCAGGAAAAGCATGCGCCGAGACGACTGGAGCAGCATGAGAGCCCAAGCAACCAAAGAGCGCCCAGGCCATCACGCCGCCAGCCGACGTGAGTGCGCGAGCTGGCGGGGAGTGAGGTGGGCCCGCCGCATGCCATGCGGGTCGGGCGTGTGGTTTTGAATATATGGCGCTACCGTTAGCAGCAAAGGAAAAGCAGAGCAGAGCATGGCGCTTGGCGGGCGCCTCGCTCGCGGGCAGAAGCTACTGAACGAAGGGCAACCAACGCAGCCAGCGCAAGGTGTGACAGGTCGCCGGGTGCCTTGCGGGCGCGCCCAGGGAAGCAGAGGATACGCATGCAACATTGGACGCACCCAGGGACAGAGCAAGGGGATACGCGTGCGGCATTGGGCTCAGGGAGAAGTGCGCAGCAACTCGTTGGGAGGCAACGCCGACAGACGTCGGGCGCCGGAGGCAGGGGCAGCCTGCTCTCACTCAGCCTGGGGTCTGATAGATTGCTCCACAGATGGCATGAATGGAAGGCGCGCCCGTTCAGAGCCTCAGGCCGTGGCACGAGCACCCAGCCACGAGCATCCAGACAAGAGCACCCAGACAAAGACACCCAGGCACGAAGATCCAAGCAAAGGCACCCAGCCCCAGACAAGAACGCCCAGACTAGAACACCCAAGCACGAACATCCAAGCAAGAACACCCAAACAAGAACAATCAGACGCGAGCACCCAAGCAAGAACATACAGCCACGAACATCCAAGCAAGAACATCCAGACAAGAACACCAAGACACGAACACCCAAGCAAGCACACCCAGACAAAGACAACCAGACAAGGAGAAAGACACACAAGCAAGCACACACAAGCAAGAACACCCAGGCAAGAACACCCAAGCAAACACATCCAGGCCCGAGCACCCAGGCAAGAACATCCAAGCAAGAACACCCAGACAAGCCCAAGCAAGAACATGCAGCCAAGAAAATCCAGACAAGAACACCCACGCAAGAGCACCCGGCCAAGAACATCCAGCCAAGAACATCCAGCCAAGAAAACCCAGACAAGAACACCCAGGAAAGAACACCCAGGCAAGAACATCCAAGCAAGAACACCCAGACAAGAACACCCACGCACGAGCATCCAGGCAAGAACATCTAGACACGAACACCCAAGCACGAACTCCCAAGCAAGAACATCCAGGCAACATCTTCCAGACAATAACACCCAGACAAGAACATCCAAGCAAAGAAGAACATCCAGACACGAACACGCAACCAGCCAAAGACACCCAGAGCCCGAGAAGAAGACCCAGGCAAGAAAATTATCATCTAGACAAGAACACCCTAGCAAGGGCCACCCAGGCGGATGGCTTGGCGGGCGCAAAGGTGGGCGGTGTCGCGCCGCCTTGTTCTGCTTGGAAGTGTGACGCGCGCAACGCGTCGCCAGGTTATGCCTCCCGGAATTGTTCTGCTTCGGAGCGTGACGCGCGCCGTGTGTAGTCCTTTCATGTTCCGCCCTAACGCTCGGGGCTGGAGCGTGACACACGTCACACCCTAAGGCCCGGGGTTGGAGCGTGACGCACGTCACGCATAGTTTTTTCACGTCCCACCCAAAGGCCCGGGGTCAGAGCGTGACAGGGTGCAGGACACAAAACGGGAGCCACAAGTGGAGAGCGCCACTAAGTAAAGGCGGGCGCTGGCGTCCTGTAGGTTAGGAGCATTGGGGCGTTCGTTTAGCCTTACGAAGGCCCCCCCGCCGTCTCCCTAGATCGGGGGCGGGGGGGAGCATTCAGCGCGGAGCCCTAGAAAACATATAATCAAAGATCAGCTCCAGATCACGGGCAACCATAGAAGTAAAAGCTGAAGAAGTGACGTCAATCAACAAATGTTGTAGTACTAAGGAGATCAGAGATGTTTTTCAACGTGAGTAAACGCCTTGTTCATAATTAAAAGCCAGGTTCCATGGTTCGAAAGCATCCTCTCCCTTCTTCTCCTTGAGATAGGCAATGGCTTTTTGCATTGTAGGACGAGTTTTTGCCTCTAGGTCATCCAAGATTTCGAAAAGCCGTTTTTTGCCGAACCCTTCCGCTTGTGTCACCTTATAATCGTAGAAGTCTTCGTAACCTAATGCTTTGGCCAGTTCGTTGCGCTTTTTCACGATCTCGGGGAACCCAGTAGATTAGAAGATGGCGGGTGTCGTAGTGAACATACATAGTCCCCTTTTCGAAAATACAAGAAACCGCCCTAGTTGTAGATTATACAGAGCATATTTTCTAAGATCAGATGCGTAATTGTCGGTAATGAACGTTCCGATTTCTCGTATTCCCTGGTAAGCTGCCTTCCGCTCGCTCTCCACCTCTTTATTGCGTAGTGCCTGCCGTAGCGCAACGCTTGTCATTGCGACTCGCTCTCCATTGAGCACGCACCTTCAATAATGTTGGCAAAATAGAGGACGCCCCAAGAAATGCTGAGGCTAGAATGTCAACAAGAGCCCCGAGACCCCGCAACATATAAAAGCTCCGCTTCTTGCAAGATCTGAGGGCATCCCATTCCCAGAGCGCTCGATGCGCGCGCTGGCAGAGCAGCGAGCAGGCAACAAAGAAGAGTCCCAAGACTTCGCACTCACAGTATGTAGCCAGGGCCCTGCAAATATCAAGGCAGCCCGAGGCGCAACAACGCACTACCAAGCCAGCACCCCCGACAAGGCGGCGCAAGGAAGAGTGGAAGCGAGCGCGCACGGGCAAGAGAGACAGACAACGCCAAGCACGTGCCTGCATGCGCCAAAGATAGTAGGAGAGACGCGCAACCCAAGAGACAAGACGCACACGGTGCCAAGCACTGCAAGCCGTAGTCCCAGCCAGCTCCCCTCAGATTCCGCTCAAAGCCAAGGCACTCCGCACCACTTGCCACGCCCGCCAAAACCGCCCGACGCTTGTGGCCCTCCGAGATAAGAAGAGCGAAAGCGCGGCGGGCCCGTCCACCCCTGGCCCCGTAGTTTGTGCAAAGAAACAAACACGAAGAGCGCCGCAACCACTCAGCGAGCAGACAGATAACGACGGCGCCGCCATTGCCGTCCTTGTCCGATCAAGACGCGCGGGCACGCTAATACCAAAACGGACCGGCCTGCCACCGGATGCAATCGACGCAAGCACGCCGCCAACATGTCCGCACCCGCCCCAGCTCCACTACCCTGCGCCCCAAGACGTGAACGGCTCACTTTCCTCCACCCCGGCGCCTTTTTCGCTGTGCACTCGCCACGCCTCTCCCGCCTTCTCTGGGTAGCTTCGCCAGGCGCCTCCCCTTTCCCTCACTGTGTGCAAGCACGCCTACAGCGTGCATCCCAACGAGATGGATAGCAGCGCGCCATCTGCTAGCGCATAGAACAGCCCATTTGCCAACCCGCTCCCAAAGCAGAGGCCAAGGCAAGCGAAATTGTTCACGGCGTTGCAACTTATTTAGGGGCTCTGCGGTTTCAACGGTCCCGCGGTTGCGGAGTTCTACCCAAAACTTGCACAGGTGCGCGAGGATCTCGCACAGGGTCGCAGGGGTTGCGCTGGTTCAATGCCGCGACTCCGCGGGGCCTAGGCTACTACTCCTACTCACGAACATTTGCACTTCACGACAGGGACAGAAGGCGTCCTTGAACCCCATAGTTTGTTAGACAACCTAAAGATGTGGCTGTAAAAAGTAAATTACCCAGTTGCCAGTCCATTGCGTTTCTGGTCTAGTGATGACTCTAATTCTGTGATTTGATCCCTCAGAGCGCGAACTGCAGGCGGCATTTGGTAGCACTCGAACGTCCGCTTGAAGATCTCTAAGGCTTTAATATCGGCCTCCGAGTCTTCATGTGGTTTTCTGCCCTCCGACATGAAATAGAGCGTGGCTCTTATTAGAAGTTGCTCGTTATGCTGAGAAGTACGCATATGCTTTCACTACGATAAAAGGGTCTACTAAAGGGATCGATTTGAATAAGAGAGGTTTGCATTTATTCTTCTTGATTGCAAAACTATACATATCTGTAGCCCGTAACTTTAAATTCTCCTCGTTTGCTAGCCAAGCTTCCATCTGCTGCTTCGTCGTTGACAATTCCTCCGGCGAAAAGGCACCTGCTTTCAGGTTCATCTTGTTACCCCAAAATTGGTTCTCGAAAGCAAGGTGGACCTGCTCATATTCCTGGTTTTTGCTCTCCACGAAAGCTCGCAACGACATGCCCTGCACTGAGGCAGGCACGTCAACGACCACGGCGTCAGACGGCATGATCTTTAGACGTTATTTGTGAGGGGAGAAGGGGAGCGAGAACTTGTTGTACAACAAATAATTCTAGCTCTTCTCTGTATCAAAAGTGGCGCTCGTACTAGTCTATTGTGGGTCTCTGCAGTAGTAGCAACTGGTGAGATAATATGCAGAAGTCTCCTATTATTACCTGTGCTCACTATGCACTTATTACTTGCTAGATAAACCGATGCTTTTCGTAGTTTGCTACGACTGCGAAAGATTGGCAGCAACATGAAAATAAATGTCAGAAAAATTGTGTCCCTGTCTGCTCATCTGATTCAAGATATTTTACGACGCTAAAGTTTTGTCAGTTTTTCTCAACCGTTTTCTCCGGAATTGTTTTCCTCCACGATAAGCACGTTGTACTTCTTCTTGAGATCCTATCTGTGCCCTTACAATTCTTAGTTTCTTTTTGCCTAAATTTCTTTAACCAAAAAAATTTTCAGAATAGTAAGCACATGTAAATACAGCGGATGTCGCTCGTTTTATATGCTGAACTCGAACGACCCAGAAAACGCAGAAAATACAACAATTGCCTCCTCCTCGTTGACCAACGATAGCACGCAAAGCCGACATCGTTTGAATTGAAAATTTTCCATCCATTACAGGCACAAACATTCATGAGACGTTGAAGAAGCAACAATCGCAATTCGTTTGAACATCACTGACACTGAGAAGCAAAGCCATTCGAATGAGCCTCCTTTTTTGGTGTAGATCGATAAATCTTGTCCATTGCTACGATCGTTGATGTTAGTTTCACTTTAATGTACTAAACAAAATAATAGCTAAAGAATCGCATTCGAGAAGATGAAAGCCTCTTAATGTATGACATACTACTTGTCTATCTCCATCTATAGCTGCAAGTTGTTCTAATGCATCTGTGGGGTGATATGTTCGTAGTCAACCCCACATAAGTGCGAACATTTTTTTCGAAACATTTACTACACCAAAAGGGACTCATTCTCTTGAGTCTCAAACTCAATAGTCAGCAAAGAAAAAATAGCTACAACGAAGTAGTCACCAAGTGGATAGGACTTCTCACTTATGCATCAAGGGTTATGTGCTAATTCGTGTCAGTCTCATTGTAAGTACTCACTTGTCCAACGGGAGGAAAAAAATGCATACTCTCGCTGTTCCTTAATGTATTCATCTTGAGTACAAATCATATATTATAATTGATTCGTATTCATTCACTCAGCACCCATTCCTTCGCACTCGCAAAAGATCTGCGTAGTTTTTTTTTTGTTCCATAGAACTACATGCTGCCTCCCAATTGAACAATCAACTAAGAACCTCCTTTACATACTTGCATACCGGGGGAGCACGAGATCGTAAGCCAACGGCGAGACCCTAAGACTATCAGAGAGAACTATATGCCAATAGCCTCTGTAGAACGACGAAGACACGACCAAAAAATGTAGGGCCCTGAGAGCAAGTGCGACGACCTGCACGGGTATTACGTGCCTGCTCAGCGTGGAATGGAGTTGCTGACGAAGAGGGCCTGCACATGTTATAAGTCACTCACTTAACCACCTTAACAGCTGTTAGATCAGGTAAAAACAAGCCTTGCTAAAATAACGAACCCATGTTGCTAACCGTATTCAATTAGATACTGCGGCATCACCGACCGCTTGATAATTTTAATTTAACAGCTCCAAGCTCCAAAAAAAAATTTCACATTATTTGCGATGTGTACAAGTGTGTAGACCGGCCTGATGGAAAATGTTTTTCAGCATTAAGCGCATCGATAGCGAACATATTTCAGACTCCAACATGTGGGCTGCGTTTTTTGAAAGTTTTGTCAGTGCCAAAGAAAACAGTAAAAGTGAGAGAAACGACTAAAGGGAAGGTAGCAACTAGCTAGGAGTGAAAAAAAGCTGACGAAGTGGAGCACGAGTATAGGTCTGTAAACTTTAGCCTTGCCCCAAAAGAACTAGACCGAGAGTGAGTCACTATTTTTCCTTTTACTTTCTTTTTTTTCCCCGACGGCAAAGTCAGCGGGAACGATGATGCTCGATAACGACGACGAAAGTTCTTCTCTAACACCACTTTTCTACAAGTTTCGGACTAGCCTAGAAGACTTCCAGTCTAGTTGCGACCGTGCACTGGCTGTAAGGGTGACGCCAAACCACGCGAGTGGCCGTAGGGGAGTCATCCTGACAGCGAGCACCTTTAGCTCTAATGAAAATAGCGGACTACAGTTAGCTTCCTGGTACGTCGACACCAAACCACGCAAGTGGCCGTAAGGGTGTCAACACCACAAACACAGGTAAGCTAGTTCAGTTAGTCAAAACACTGCGGGAGAGAAGGAGAACTTTCGACTAAACCAGGGCTAAGTTAGTGCGCAAGCCCTTACTTCAAACTTAGGAAGAGCTGGGTCTAGTTTGTTACTTACTCAGAGCCTGTCTTTCGTTTTTTTTTTTTGCTTAGACTAGTAGATACAAAGGCCTTCGCTTCGTTACTTTTACCTTGGGGACTCAGCCAAAGCTTAGACCTCACTCTAGCCCCCAGCCACTAATCCACCAACTCCAAGTAGGATCCGCTTCACCACTTTCTTCTCCAGGGCGCCAACCTGTTTCACTGAACTCCTAGGGAAGAGAGGTTTGATGCTAGGTTCCTCGCAGTCACCTGCGAGGGTGTACTCGATGAAGCAGATCCTAGACATCCACTGCATGAGGCTGCCGCCTGCTGCGCATATGCTAGCATCTTCGCACTGCGGGTAGTCAGTGACGAACTGCGAGGCACCGCCGTCGTCGTGGAGGTAGGTTGCCGCTTGCTCGTGGGTTTTGTCAGAGAAGCGCCGCAGCTTCGGCCATGCCCCCATGTCCTTGGGCAGTCCAACGGAGCTAGGAGGGGCGGCGTGGTGGGCGAACATCTCAAAACGCGTGAGAGCGTTCTTGGGGAGCTCGGCGTCCCCGAGGAGCTCCTGTAGCGTCATGGCAGGAGTATTTTCTTGCAGAATGTTGTTACTAAGAAGGGCCTGGGGCTCCTTCTGGGACTGCTCTTTCTTCATTCTCAACGCAGACGAGTAAGTTACTAGACAGGTGAAGGGGTCACATAGATGAGAGCCAGCTAGTTTCGCAACAGGTCTGAAGATGATGCTATACCTTGTTCTTGTTGACCACCAAAAGACAGCGCTCTGTCGCGCTGGACGTGGACAGTTGCAATCAGCTTAGTCGGCTGAGGGCGACTGCTATGGTGCTTTATGCACTCACTCTGGTTTCTGCAAATGTCGGCGAGCGGGACACGCGATCGTGCTTGACTGTGCGGCGGGGGTATGCGGTTCGGCGGCTCACTAGCGGATCTAGCCACGCGAAGGCTACTACTGTCACCTTTGAAGTTCACGCTAGAGATTTTTATGAGTGATATCTTACGCTCTGCATTGATTAGTATGCATATTTGTAGAATTCCTTAGCGTAAGAGCGCACTTATTTAGGCCTTAAGATAGCTCGTCTCAGACATCCACGCAACACCTAAGCAACGTCGTGCTCCGCAGTTGCTAAGGTTTGACCCGTTGCCCCAGTCCCTTACAGATCGCGACCGAGATGAACGGCATGAGAAAGATACTGAGAACACTTTACCGATGGGATAGGCATGCCTGAGAGGCGCAGTTAATTGCCAAGAGGATGCTGAAAAAAGATAAAATGCTGACGCGGAACACCGGCGAGTTCTCATTAGTGCGGGAGAGGGGACGGGTGGAAAGGTAGAAAAATGCATGGTCGTTGCTTGGCTGGGGTTCCACATAGCGTAGCCAGTTTCTGATATAAGGACCTCAAGAACGTGGAGGCCGCTGCGATGTCATTGCATTTTGCGCACGAAGTGCTAGTGTTGTGGAGCGTGGTTTCGTCTTTCAAGAGGCTTGACTTGTGTCGTAGAACGCCGCGATGAGTCCATGTCTAGAACTAGATACTTTATATATAACTATTATATTCATAACTATCTCTATTTGAGTGTGAAGCTAACACCGGGCAATATTGCTTCCACGTGAATACTTTTTGAAGTCTTGAAGTGATTAGATAAGTCCACGATTTCAGAAAAGAAACAAGTAACCCTTGGAAAGATTTTGCGTTGGTTGTTGTCTCAAATATCTTGTCTAACTCTTTGCCTTGCCTAGCGGTGGCTGGCGTCAATTCTTGCGAAGCGATCTGTTTACGAATGTTTAAGAACTCGGACTAGGTCAAAACTATACTAAAAATTTTTCGGTACACGATATTCAAGTATGATGCTATCTTAATCTTTCAGGAAAAATGGGGAATGAGATGATATTTCACCTCCATCTAGACTTACTTCTCTCAGACAGATTGGCCTTTGCCCCTGTGACGATGTTCATTGCATGAACATGATGCCATACGAATACACGTCCACAGGAAAAAGGAAACAGCTCAAAACTGCATCCTCAGCAATCATGTGAAAACTCATGCTACGAAGAAGCTCTGTGACGTGATGCCACAGCATAAGAGAGGAATGATCGGATCAAGCTTTTGGTGCTTATTTTTGTTTAAGCTCTCCTTTTATCTTCTTTTTTCCAGAGGGACGCAACTTACTTATTTGCGGTGCGTTTCAGTGTCTCTAGCGCTTAGGTTACTGCTTCCTCATTTGCGGATGTACCTGTATCACTTCCTACAAGTTTTGGGGGGTGTTGTGGGATATGATAAGAAGACGGTTTTTGGAGGCCAAGCCATAAATGACTTAGTCTCAGGGTTCACGCGAGGAATTTTCTCCGCTGGAGGATATGCGAAATGATGGATTGATCTACCATGGATGTTTGACTATTTTCCTACCACAATGTTAACAACCACCACCATCCAGGAAAATAGTGCTACCAGCAAAAGATGGGAAGATGAAGAAACTACCATCTATCAACCTAAAAATCCTAGCACATCGCCAATCTGTCAATCTAATAATCCTACGAGTACTTATTCCCAAGACGCACACCAACTTTTTATCCACCACCACGACCAACTTCATACATCTGACCAAGGTCATTTCTCATCACTTGTGGGAGGATCAGCGTCACGGTTTTTAGCTTTTTATTTAGGATATTCTATTTTTATTTTGTTTAGATTTTTGTTTTGACCTTCCTGCTGCACGAGATTTCTTGGTCTTCTTTCTTGACTTGACAACCCATCAGTTCTTTATTACACGACCGGAACACCCAGTAAGATTTAGTAGAAGATTTCATAGCGGAAGAAGACAAGGAATGATCATACCGAACGGGGGAGTTCTTGTTTGTGTTTATATGCACTACTTGTTGTCCATTCTCTTATTTAATCAATGTAAAACACAGCCAAACCGAAGTGAAGAGCTAACTCTTCTAGAGACCAACCATCCTAATCAAAAAACTCCAATTCTACTAGCGCCAAAAATGTATAAGCGTTTGCGTTGTATTCAATCAACACACAGCGCCAAGACGATCAAGGTATGATGCTAGTATTTCTCAAAAAACCAATCAGATCACGTTGGATATTGCGGCCGCGCCTTATCACTATATTCGATATTTTGACCCCGTCACCAGACCGCGCGGGCAGTCGTAGGAGAGTTTTGGGTTCCGTTAACTTATCTACTTATATTTATTCCGCTACTTTCTCTTTCACCTATCTATCTCTTATTGCCGTCGCTGTTGTTAGTCTATAATTGTTCCTAGCTAATGCAAACCACCAAACCGCGCAAGCAGCCGTAGGAGCAGTTTGCATGTCCTTACTTCTAAAATATATATATCTACTACTGTCAGACCGCGCAAGCAGCCATAAGGACAGTTTTTAATCTAAAAGCTATTTATGTACTGGTATCTGAATATTGGTTGTTGGGCCACACGGACAGCCACAGAAGCAACCACTACTCGTTTATTTTGTACTATTTAAGAGACATGTACTAGTTGGTTCCGAAGAGGCAAGTTTAAAATAGTTGACTGCGAAGAAGCAAATCTACAGTTAGATAATGAAATATATAGCCGAGGTATGTAAGTAATATGTTGATCTTTCGGGGGGGTGTGTCTATGTAGTTATTTTCACTTGTTTGGGGGGGTTTTTGGGGTAACCTATGAACATCTAAAGAGTGGCGTCAACTTGCTAACGAAGTTCGAGATGCTGGATCATATATAAAAAGTGGATGCGAAGGGAGTTTGGCCAGACCTACACTTACTTACTTCTTACTTCAAGACCATGCCCGCCCCTCCTTGTTCCCTTTCCCATGTTGCTCCATCCGTCAAAAGCTTGCTCCTGCAGAATAGCCCGTAGTCGAGCCCTCTCCTCTGTTGCTCCGTGATGTAGCTTCTTCGCGATATTTTGGCTATCCTGCCGGTATCTCTGGGCTTCACGCTGATGAATCTGCCGGCGTCCGTCGTCTTGATGTGTAGCCCAAGGTAGAGCTCCTCCTCCGTGGTGTCCTTTATCGTTAGTCTGCCTTTCGTTAGCTCTTTTAGTTCGTCTTCTACTACTGGCTGCCTTCTTCCTCTACCATTGCCTCCACCTTCCGTTCGTTCTCGTACTACCAATATGATGCCATCCACGTATCTGGTGCGCATTAGCGTCTGGTATCCTCTCATCCAATTTTTCGCCCGGACTCTTGGATTCATAACACTCTCCACCGATAGGGCATACCCTTCCGCAATCGTCACTGAAAATTGTGAGCCCATCGGCGCGCCTCCTCTTTGTAGGTACAGCCCACCTAACGCTCTCACCACAGTAAACTCAGAGTCAAGCTCTGCCAGTTCCAGTGCCAGGTCGATGCTCATTATGTGGTACTTGTTGGAGATCCTCTTCATAGCTTCCAAGTCAAACGGTCGCACGAATAGTGCCTCACGCTCCGGCTTCTGTCTCCTCGCGTAGTGGATCTTGGTCCCCTGTCGTATCTTGGGCCTGTTCCTCTTCCTATGGTACTCAGTGCGTTTTTCCAGTGCGGTGTTCTTCTCAATCATAGCGATCGGGAATCCTTCTCGTTTCTTCTTGAGTGCCAGCCTTCTGAAGAAGCCTATGCTCTGACTCGATCGGCATTGCGTGAAGAAGTTGTCAAGGTCGTAGGTTCTTATCCATATGCGTCGGCCACCTCTCAACCTCTGCTGCGCATTTATCTTGTTGATCTTGTCGACGAACTTCAGTGGTGATCGGAAGAAGTAGTCCTCTTTCTTCATCGGCTCTATTAGTTTTTCTAGGACTGTCGCCGCCACCTTAAAGGGCTTCCTCAAGTAGTGCGCCGCGTAGCTCGTTATTGGTCTGAATTTTATGCTGCGGATGGTGAGTCCACTAGTTTTGCTCCAATTTTTCTTCTTGGCAAATACGCGCAGAAAGGGCCACCTGTGCGACTTCTTCTTCGCATGTCCCACGTTGGTCATCTTCCTAGGGTGTTCCGACTTGTAATCGATGGCATTGAAGAACTTGTCCTCCTTGTCCAACGTCTTCAAAATTGACGACCTCGACCGATCCCCTAGTCTATCATATGTCGCAGCAAGATGTCTCTCGGTCATGATCTTCTGGATGAATGGGCACACGATGTAGGCCTCTCCGGGTCCTTTGTCCACCTCCTCGCAGATAAATCCTTCATCATATGCCTCCTTCCACACCTCATAGACGTCATCCGTAGTGGTCGGGTTTTTCGGGCGTTTGCTGCCCTTGATGATGTTCCTGCATGTTGCTTGTAGTTGTGTTTTTGTGGTACCATCAAGATCCAATCTCCTCGCAATCTTGAGCATCGCTAGCTCTGCCATCTTCTGCGCCCTATCCTCCGTCGGACAAAGTGTGGACTTCGAATTCCAATCCTCACAGCCTCGCACAAAGTCTGCTCCATCATCAATCTTGTGGAAGACGTGGCCTTCTAGTTTCTCCATTGGTAATCCTGTTCGTTGGCATGGGCAAGCTGTCGAGGTGACCTTCCTCATCATCTCATGCATCTCCAGCCCAGTCCTCGACATATACGACAAGAAGGTCTCTTTCTTTGTGCTCTTCAGCCTTAAGATAGCTACGTCCTTTCTCTTGCCATGGAGTCCAAATAGTAGGGCTGCCTGCTTGATGATTTCCTCATGAAGGTAGGAGGGAGCTGCAATGGTTACACATTTCACGTTTCGCTTTCCGCATATTTCTTCCATGTTTTTGCTGAAGATGATATAGGCGTCGCCATCTAGTACCTGCTTCGCCAACTTCCTTGATTTTTCACGCATCATCTCGGTTAATGTGCTGAAGTACTTCTTAACATATAGCGGCGGCGATAGTCTAGCAGCACACCGGAGAATCATGCCCATCCTTCTGGATACTTCTTCGCCTTCAGATGTTATCACCCTCCTCAGCTTCGTCATAAGGCCGCTTTCCAAGAGGTTATCCTGGTGCTCGTTACTGCTCGGGGGGTGGTAGTTGTTGTTCCTCCTTAGTCTTGTGGACTTAAAAACCTTCTTCTTCTTTCCAACTAAAAGCACTTCTCTTGTTCCAAATCTTCTGTTAAAAACTGCTTGTTGTGTGTTCCTATTTACCCCAAAGAATGCTACCAGGTAAGACTCCACCGCCTTTAGCAAGTACTTCGTTGCCATGTCCTTGGGCCGTCCTCTTCTCCTCCTCCTCAGCGCTAGTAGATGTGCCGGGGTCACGTTCTTAATCTCCCCTAGTGTAATGAACATGTTGCGCATGAAGTCTGCATCAGCCAAGAACCTCTTGCCTGTGTTGCACCTCACTTGGTCATACCAGTGCTTGTATGATCTTTCTGTTAGTCCTACTGTTGTTTCTCCTATATATCTAGTCTTTTGTTCTAAAATCGTTGCAAGATACCAAACGTTTCCTTCTTTTCCTACAGCTTCGTCTTCTATCAGGTGCCTTTTGCATAGTTCCACTTTCCTTAGTAAGTTCTTCGAGTACTTCGTTCTCATTTGAAAAAGTTGAAGAAGACCAACTACCTCAACAATCTTGAACAACGTGACGCATGCTCGCTTTCTGCAGTATCTCTCCGGCGTTCTTGATGCTAGTCCACCATCCAGCTTATCGCCAAACTCATCTGCTTCTTCTTCTCTGTAGCGTCCACATCTCCAGATGGCCTGCGTGTTCATTTTTATTTTGCATCTGCAATGGACATCAGGGGGCAACGAGCAGAAGACACACCTCTCGTCTATCGTCCTGTACAGCAATTCTTGTAACTGTTTCACCATTCCATAGAGCATGTTCGGCGACCTAACAAACAAGGCAAAGGAATTATTTGTACCACTAAATTTGATCTCTCTCGCTAGGTCAACCGCAAGTCGTAGCACTATTGCATAAACCAGCTGCGACTTCGGTCTCGTCTTTATCGTTTGATTGTTGAACCAAATTCTTCTTCCCTCTGGTGTCCTCTCACCATGTTCTTGCAGTGTCTCCTCACTGAACCTCCTCATACTTTTTACCACCTCCACAAACTCCTTCTCTATCACTACTTCTCCTTCTCCTGTGGTGCCCTTCATTGGAAATTCGGCGTCCCCCCTGGGATCGTCGTGCTGCCCATCAAGCCTGCTGTAGTCCCTAGTGATGTCGCTCCCATGTTTAGGAACTGCGCCATCATGTCAGATGCCGCTCCTTGTGCTCCTCCTTGCATGTTCAAGATGCTCGGCTCAAACTGGTTGATGCCGCCATAGTTCCCGCCAGTTGTAGTGGTTGTCGTCTGAGGGATTGTTGTCGAACCAAATGTAGAGTGCGAGGGCAGGACAGAAAAGCTGCTGATATGCCCGCCATTGTTAGCCGCTGTCAAAGTGGAGGCGGTAGAAGAACTGGAAGACGAGGATAGTGACGCCCCTACAGACGTGGCTGACGTCGTATTTCCACCACTATTATTATTTTCATCCCTGCCCGTTGTATTTTGGTTGGCTGTCGGCCATGGTGCTTTCGTCACTCCTGTTCCTCCCATCGGGCTGTAGTCGTCTTCCTCCACATCTATGAGCCTGCTATTTTGCTTCTTCTTGTCCTTGTTGCAGCGCTCCTCCGGATTTGCGTCCGATGGATGCTTCTGTAGTCGTCTCTTATTTTGATCCTCCCCCACTGGCACGATCGCATGGCTGTTCTTCATGACCATCATGTTCTGCATCATTGCAGTCATCTGCTGCATCATGTGCTGCTGCTGTAGCTCCATCGCCTCGCGGCTTTGCTTCATCATATCCTCTTGCTTCTTCATCATTTCCGCCTGGCTTTCTCGTGCCTTCTGTTCCATCTCAGCTGTTTGCAAAGATAGGATCCTGGTCTTCTCCATGAGCTCAGCCTCTTTCGCTGCTAACTCGTTTCGCAGCTTCTCGTCGTTCGCGTCTCTTCCTCCTTTTCCGACCTTTTCGTTCGTCTTCTTAGTTGACTTCTTCGTCGTCTTGATGCCTCTTAGTGTTGCCTCCACCTGTTTCACACTTTCCACCCTACTATCTTTCTCCTCATTCTTCATCCGTCTCTCGCGTCGTCGCTCCTTGTCCTCCGGGTCAAACTCCTGCTCTGACTTTGGGGTGTCCGGTTCCGCTTCAGAGGTAGGCTCAATCCTCATTCTGTAGTAGTCCAAGTCCGACATCATCGCCGTTTCGAAGTCGATGTCTAAAGGCGCCACTATTTTGATAATTTGCTTCTCACGCTCCACCTTGTCCTTACCTTTTGCCGCTTTTTCCACCTTCTCCACCTCTTTCTCCATTGTCCTCATGAGATTCTCCATTTCTGATTTTGTCAACCTCGAGAAGATCGCCGCCATTCGATAGTAGAACAAGGAATAGGTGCGAGGGACTAGAATAGGGTCTACTTGTGGCACTAGTACCATGTACGGGCATTCTCCTAGTGGTGCGCATTTCTTTACTTGTTGGTCTAGTGCTTGCGGAAGGTGGTACTTTGTTGTTGCGTGGTTTGAAGTCCCATAGGCATAGTGGTCAGCATACATGATATCTCTATCGACTACCGCCCTGGAGTTCGAGTCCTTCACTCCCTGTCCCAGATGGATCCGCTCCCGCTGTTGGAATTGCTGCCCTCCACCACCATTGCCACCAAATCCATTGAAGCCACCAAAACCACCACCGCCCATGTTGTTGTTGAAGTTCGCGGCTGCTCTTGTGTTGTAGTTGTGCATGGGTTGCATCTGTTGGCGCTGCGCCTGCGGCACGTACGTTCCAGGTATCATCCTTTATTGAGGTTTTTCTTCCACAACTTCGCCTTCGTTGTAGGTGCAGTCCTGTTGTTTATAACTAGCTTACGTCTTTAATGCTTATACTGTCAAAACCAGAGTTATAAATTATAAATCGATAATCTTGGTGCTTCGTCGCCTCCTTTTCGTGAGTTCTTCTTGTTCATCCGTTCCTTCGCGTCCTTCGCTATCCGTAGGTCCGCTCTACCATGTTTTTCTTCTTGACTGATGGCAGGTGTTGTTGTTTTTGTTGTTGTTATTCAGATGCTTCAGTTTTAGATAACACACGGAATTACTACCTTAGTTATCCTCAAATAGTGATCGGATCAAGCTTTTGGTGCTTATTTTTGTTTAAGCTCTCCTTTTATCTTCTTTTTTCCAGAGGTACTCAACTTACTTATTTTTGGTGCTTTTCAGTGTCTCTAGCGCTTAGGTTACTGCTTCCTCATTTGCGGATGTACCTGTATCACTTCCTACAAGTTTTGGGGGGTGTTGTGGGATATGATAAGAAGACGGCTTTTGGAGGCCAAGCCATAAATGACTTAGTCTCAGGGTTCACGCGAGGAATTTTCTCCGCTGGAGGATATGCGAAATGATGGATTGATCTACCATGGATGTTTGACTATTTTCCTACCACAATGTTAACAACCACCACCATCCAGGAAAATAGTGCTACCAGCAAAAGATGGGAAGATGAAGAAACTACCATCTATCAACCTAAAAATCCTAGCACATCGCCAATCTGTCAATCTAATAATCCTACGAGTACTTATTCCCAAGACGCACACCAACTTTTTATCCACCACCACGACCAACTTCATACATCTGACCAAGGTCATTTCTCATCACTTGGGGGAGGATCAGCATCACGGTTTTTAGCTTTTTATTTAGGATATTCTATTTTTATTTTGTTTAGATTTTTGTTTTGACCTTCCTGCTGCACGAGATTTCTTGGTCTTCTTTCTTGACTTGACAACCCATCAGTTCTTTATTACACGACCGGAACACCCAGTAAGATTTAGTAGAAGATTTCATAGCGGAAGAAGACAAGGAATGATCATACCGAACGGGGGAGTTCTTGTTTGTGTTTATATGCACTACTTGTTGTCCATTCTCTTATTTAATCAATGTAAAACACAGCCAAACCGAAGTGAAGAGCTAACTCTTCTAGAGGCCAACCATCCTAATCAAAAAACTCCAATTCTACTAGCGCCAAAAATGTATAAGCGTTTGCGTTGTATTCAATCAACACACAGCGCCAAGACGATCAAGGTATGATGCTAGTATTTCTCAAAAAACCAATCAGAGGAAAGAGGAAGTTGCGGATTGATTATAGATATCAGACCACTGTCAGCCTAGTCATCCCTCACTCTCACGACACCACGTCGCTTGACTTGTTCAGTAATTATAGGCATACTTGTATGTAGAACACCTTCCCAGCTCCAATGACGCTGGCCAATCGGCATACTCAGTCGTATTATAGACGCAGAAACAGATTCATTTCTGGCGCAGCTATGCTGCGGCATGAGCCTGAGAATTCATGTTCGTAATGACCGACGTTTCGGAAGGCCGACTCTCTCCGAACTCGCGCTCGAATTAGTTTCTCTCGTCGAAACGTTGAGGCTAGAACACAACTCGACGTTGCTACTACCTTGAAGACTAGATTACACGCTTTCCACACAACCATCCGATAAAGAAAGGACAATATCGGATTGCGCGTTAGCAAAGGCCTATTGACCAATGCACTTTTTGTACACAGGAATTTTGCGCAGAGCAAAGGTCCCGTAAAAAAGTCTTCTACAACTCTCGTGAAGACCACCAACTTACAAAAGTAGTAAAGTAAGCAGGAATAACGAAATGAAACCACTCAGCAGTGTCATTTTCATTTTAATTTAAGCTTCCCGCAGAAGCTGTGCTTTCTTCAGTGTGATAGATTCTCAGAGCTCCTGCTGAAGAAAATTGAGGATCGTTTTGTAGAGATGCCGTTTGCAAGCTTCGCCATTCATACTATGCTTTGCGCCGGGGTAGTCTATGCTGCGATACACTTTTGCTTTCTTGATCATGCGATCGTAGAGCTGTGTACTGTTCTGAAATAGCACATTGTCGTCAGCCATCCCGTGGTAGACGAAGAGATGGGATTTTGCGTCATCGTAGAAGGAAACGAAAGGAAGCACTGAAGAACTCTCGTACCCTGCCTCGTTGTAAAAGTTCGTCGATCCCGCTGCCTGAAACAAATCGCTCTTCGGGACGCCCATATATCTCTCCGTGTAATGCGTGTCGTAGAGGCGCCACGTCGTCACTGGAGCACCACTTACCCCGCATTTAAACAGTGGTATACGCTGCGAGCTTGACGTGGCAACGGTGGCAGTCTGTCCTGCTTCGATGTCCTTTTCTGCTTTCCTTGCTTCGTTATAGCTTACGTAGGACGCTGATTTCCCTTCGCGGTAGGCGCGCAATGTGCAGTGCAGCGTCATGTAGCCGCCATAGCTGTGACCGTAGACGGCAACGCGTGCTGGGTCGACCACGTCCGGATAGCGTTCACAAAGAACCTCGACTCCCCGCACTTGGTCGGCAATTTCCTTGTTGCCCATGTCGCGGTAGACACTATTTTCGAAACGATGGCCGCGCCCTGCCGAGCCACGGTTGTCCACAGTGAAAACCACGTAACCCTGCTGCAGCAGAAAGAGCAGGAAAAAATGTTGGTCACTCCATCGAGTGCCAGTGACACAAAGCTGCACGTGCGGACCACCATACACAAACACCACTACAGGTCGCAATTTTTTGCCACCACCGTTCGCAGATGAACTGCTATTGCTGCTAGCCACGACTGGTGGAACTGGGGCGTCGGCTTTCGGGAAGAAAACGCGGTAGAAAATCTCACAACTGGGATCGTCCACGGCTGGAAAACTCCCGAATTCAGCATCTGTCGTCAGATTCGCGTAGTATTCCGAGACAGCGAGATCCTCCACTTTATTCTCTGCGAGCCAGCTTTTAAGCGATGCAGGTGACAAATTCGTTTCCGAGATATTTAGCGTGGCTGGCACCTCCCACAAACTACACTGCGGCGGTTGCGCTAACGATGAAAAATGGTCGAAAAACAAGACCGCTTTGCTCGAAGAGGATTCGTTTTCTACTTCTGCGCTTGGTTCTTCATTTCCCTTCGACTCGCCGAAAATCGTCGTATGCCAGCCTGGTTTCGAAGTTAGCTGCTCTACGAAATTCGAATCCGAGCCAAAAGTAGTACGAAAAAGATGCTTGTCGACACGAGGCCCAGGCGTTCTGAGGCTGTAGTAGATGCATTTGTTTTTCACGTCGAAATAGTCTAACGAATCGACGGCCACCATTTTGTCGCCAAAGCTCGCAGGCACATGCGGGACATGTTGAAGCGACACTGCGGAAAACAGACTCCCGATACGCGATGAGCTTTCTTTAGGGACCAACTTCGTTTCCCAGTTCTGTGCGGCGCCAGTTCGAGATCCAGGTATGACACTGCCCGTCTTCTCATCCAAAAACTCGCTGTAGTCGCCAACGTAAATGCCTTTGAAGCCGGTACCAGCTTCGGAGCACCAAAGGAATGTTTTCTTGTCACTGCAAAACGCCAACTCTCCATCCATTCCTAAGTTCACGTAGGTGTCTATGTTTTCCTCTCGCAACAATGTTCTTACTTCGCTGGGGGGGATGTACTCGCGCGCCAAGTCTGGACTAGTGGATTTGACCAGAAAGTCGGCAAGTCGCCGGTCACTACTAGAAGCACCGTTAGCCGCTTGAGGTGAGGAGCCTCGTCCTCCTGGCGAAGCAGAAATGATCCCCCTTAATTGTACGACGCGAACTTCAAGCACTTTTTGGTCCCGTGATTGCCACTGGAATGACAGCAGCGAACTGCCGCAAAGCCACTTCACGCGCGGGAGGTAGTAGTCGAAATCCCCTGTCGCTGCCAATATCTCCTCAGCAGTTTTGCAACCGAGGACAACGGAGGACCCAGTTTCTGGAGTTGTCGGGATGTAGACTATTCTAGGTGACGAGCTTGACACTTTGCCGCTAGCATCCTCCTCCTGAGCCGGTGCCGGCACGAATGCCACAGCGAGCTCGACGCGAGCATTCCTGGCCCCAGCGTAGGGATACCGTTGCTCCGTCATGCGCACACCCTCAGCGTAGATTTCGTTTCGTTGTACCAACTCTACGGGAGACTCGTCAACACGCATGAACGCGATGAATTTCTCATCGGGACTCCACCAATACCCGTCCATCCTGTGCATCTCTTCTTGGGCTACAAACTCAGCCATGCCATTCTTCACGTGCGCCTCCGTATCGAACGTCAGTTGCTTGATAGAGGAAGAGGCAGCTCCACCTGTTGAAGATGTCTCTTGATCTCCTTTCTCCGCAGCTGAAAGACAGTACACGAAAAGGTTCTGGTTGCGGATGAAGCATATAAAATTTCCCTTCGGAGAAAGCTTGGTGTCTGTCACGCCCTCTCCTAAAGCTACCATCTTTCCAGACTCTGCTTTCACATTGTAGAGCCAGATGCGACATCCATCGGCGGCCGGGCACACAACGAACCTAAAAAATTGATGCGATATCATTTATTCAGCAGCCTGTATGTAAATCGTGATGTTGTTGCGCTTGCGATTATCCCAACACTCTTTCCGTAAATCACGACACTGGAACTTGTTCTAGTACTTCTCAACGTCACTCGTGACCGTAAGGTAAAAACACCTCACACGAATCATTTTTAGTACAAAAATGCTACTTTCCATCTTCGCTCCAAAAATAGTCGAGAATCCCTCTTGCATCGCCTACGCGCATGCGCTCACGGCGGGCTTTCTCCTCGTTGGAAAGATCAGCTTCGGATGCATCTAGGGGATCCCCATTCACGAGGATACGTGGCTCGGTCGTGCCGCTCTTGAACTCCCGAATCCACAGATCCTTGAAATGCTTCGCATCGGGACGCCCTTGCAGATAGGTAATTGCTCCACCATCGGGCGATATTTTCAGTCCGGAAGGAGCAGTGCCAACCAAGGAAGCACCAGCGCAAATGCGGTCGATGGTTAGCGGCTTTGCCGCACCACCGGAGAAAGACGTGAACGTTGCGGCACTCATTCTTCGTTTAATGCAGTTATTATGTAAGCTTCGACTTAGGATGTACTGGTAGGTGAGTGAGTTTCGTTTTCCATACCACGAGCTAATCGCATTGCCAACAATAGATGATCTAGTTGTATCAATGAATCTTCGGTTCACAAGGACTTGTACACCATCGATTTGCCAAGGCCAAGGGCAGCAAGGACAAGGACTGACTATTTTCGTATGCCGCACGAGTTTACATTGCTCTAGCACCCTGCTTCGCAAAGTTGAGAAGCTACCATACCTGCGCATCTAGGCTGGACTCATGGTTCAGTTTTGCTAGCTACTTCGGATTTTGCTTAATCATTCTTGCTCCTAAAAATAGCTGTCGCATTTTTGTTGCTTCAATCTTCATTGCCATTGGGTTCGTGTCCAAGATCATAAAGCTGATGTACATCTTCGATCATAGGTCGATTAAAAACAGAGATGAAGTGCGCGATCTTGTGGTCCATCGTCGATGTCTCCTTCGTCCCAGTGCAATATCATGAATATGGGATCTGAGCTACAACATCCTATGTATACTTCGTCTCTCAGTGACAATACTAGCACAACTACAGGTCGTGTCATCCCTCTAGAATTAGAATTACAGAGGTGCATTATTAAATTCATACAGAATTCCGAGTCTGAACGCTGCACCAAGATGGTCTTGCCATCTGTTGAGGCACGTCCCTTCGCATCTATGGTTACCAACGTTTTGGCCATCCTTCTTTCATCGACACCCGCGATCCATCCCTGCTTGTAAAAAAATAGTTGGAATGACGATGTTACAAGTTTTTGTGGAGCTTTTACGACGCACTGGAACTCAGGTCGTCTTCGTCGTCCTCATGGAATCAATTGGAAGATATAGAAGAATTCAGTTCGTTGATTGAAATAAGTTGAATAAAAGATAGAAGTCGTCGTCATATTCAGGTTATATTATTAAGGATGAAGGCACCATAGAGCCAAAGGTAGCTCTATGTGCTTAGCGGTGAAAGCACATTGGTCGCGCCTTAACGAATTCATATGCGATGCAGGTAGTTCCTGGTCTTCAGTGTCGTCCTCATTCATTCAGTTACTCAACGATGTAGAATCCATGTTCAACTAGACGATCTACTCAAGAAGATTGCAATCGAATAGTCGGAGCCTGCCATGTGTACGGTGCGCTCACCTCCCAATACTGATTCAATCATGGGTTCCAGGTCACAAAACTCAATTCCAAAAATGCAGAGCCACCTTGACGCAATGGCAAGAATGACTGCCCTCCCAAAAGAACTGGCGGACTGACAATCACGATGAGCATGTCATCAGAAAATATCAAGTTTACAACTATTGTGTTGTACTATCTAATTTTTGGAATACAGTATGCCGACTATGTCCGTACAGCTCCAATCAAGTAGAAAACAAGTTGTCATGTTCGTTGTATTTTATTTCACCTCTTATTAAATATGCGAGCAATTCTAGATAGGTATATCAATAACCGAAATATGTCACTAAAAACATAAAGATAAACATTGAATACGTGATCCTGATAGTGATACATAAGTATTTACTAAAACGGATTAAGTATAGTGGCTATACATATACCAGGGAGGGAGGCCCTCCCCGGTGGATGGAGCGGCGGTGGCGTCCGCGCGCCCTTTTTTCCGCTGTGGTGACATGTTGTAAGGTCCCCCGGGGGCGAAGGCCTCAAAAGGCGGCGCCGGAGTCCCCTGGCGGCTCTCCGCGTGTACCCCACAGGCAGCCCGACTCTTGGACACTATCAGAGGGAAAGCCTCCGGGGGAAGAAGGCCGCCGAGCTTCTTGGGGGGGTCGCGTGGCCTGGCCCCTTTGGCGCTCATCCCCCCAAGAGGCTCCCCCAGTGAGGAGCCCGCACACGCGAGGGCTTTTGCCAGGTCCGTCGGGTACATGCAACACGGCAAGGGGGTCCAGCCTTGCCACCTTTGCCAGGTCTGTAGGGCACAGGCAACACGGCAAGGGGGTCCAGCCTTGCCACCTTTGCCAGGTCTGTAGCGTACACGCAACACGGCAAGGGGGTCCAGCCTTGCCACCTTTGCCACCTTCAGAAGCCTCCCACTCCCGGCCTTCGGTGTTTCCACGGCCTTATGGGTGGGGGCTCTGTAGGGTCCACGCAAGAAGCGGGAAGGGGTCGGTGGGCGCTTGGAGGCTTTCCCGCCCGGCAGTCCCGGGACAAAAAGGGCCCGGGGCTGGAGGCCCCCCCTCAAAAAGTTAGATCGGGGGGGCCTTCAGCCTTGAGCCCTGGAACGTCCATGTTGTTTCATAGGTACACACGAAAGTTATTTCCTCATGGATGTATGCGAAGCCGAAAAAAACGAGAGAACAAAAAGATACTTACATTCAAAACCTGGTGAGGGGTTCTAGCCTCGTCACGAAGGCACGAATAGTCCACTCGACCCGTCGTTTCCACTTTCGTCGCCATTAGCACCCGCTGCCACAGTTTCTTTAGAACGAGCCGAGAACGGATTGTATTTTCCTCGACGAAGCCCAAAAAACGGCTCACGGGGTGCAAACTCGAACCAGATGAAAAGATTGTGCGCTAGGTTCTGAAAACGTGCGACGGGATCAAAAGAACGTAAGTCTGCTGGTTCGTCCGAAAAGGAGATCGGCGTACCGGTCCCTGACAAATGGCGACCAAAGTCATAGAGGTCGACTTGTTGCAGCAGAAAAGCATCAGCGCCGCCGAAAGACGAGGCGCGGCCTCTGTTGAAGATACTAGAGGAAGTATTATAGCCCAGAAGAGTCGGCGACGTACCAGAGACGCTTGGTAGTTGACAAGGCTCGTCGACCACGTAGGTAAGCTCCATCGGGTACAGGGAGTCGTTAGGAGAACGTCTGCAGTTGCTAGCGTTCTTAACCCCTGAGTGCTGAAAGGCTTCCCGCACGTCGCGGCCGTCTTGGGGCACTATCTGGCCGACGTGATGCTGGCTGTGGTTGAGATGGTCCACACCGGCACGATCGTCGGTCAATATTTCGTTGTTGAGGTTTATCTCGTCGTAAAGGACTCCACTCTGATGAGGAGCAGGTGCGGGTGTGTGATCACGGCCTCCTCCCCCTTCGGCATTGATAACCAGCAGATCGCTCTCGTGCTGTCCCCCCTCCGTGGGGGTTGAAGATGTCCCCACAGGTGAAGCGTTTTGTTGGTTTTCTTCCGCCTGCTGCAAATATTCCGAGGTTCTACTCAAATTGACGCGCACTTCGCTTGGTGAAGGCGCTCGGTCGCCCCCACCTCCAGCTGTCAATCCGACGCAGGAACTAGTACTACTAGACGCGGACTCGTCATCGGCTATCAGGCCGCTTTGGTGGCAACTTGTATCAGCTCCGAAAAAAGCCATATGAGCAACATCTTTCGTTCCCTCAACTTGTCGCGCCGAGGCGGACAACTTAGCGCCCCATCCCGATCTCTGTCTCAGCGCCTCGACGTGGGACAGACGCTCCCATACACGATACAGTGCCACCTGGCTGTGGTAGAACCGCCAAGTGAGAAAGGAGATCGCAGCACCCAAAAACAGGTCAACCGTATAGTGAAACCGCCGCACCAACATCGAGAAATAGCCAAAAAGCATGTACAGCAAGACCGCACGTCGCACGAAAAAGCGTAGTATCGCTAAGGAACATACGTTCTCGTCGAAATTGTCCCACCAAAGTAAGAACAGCAAGGTAAAATTCGTGGTGTGCCCGCTAAATAGCACATCGCAACACGTCACGCGTTGTCTCCAAACGGCCTGTTGCAGTATAAATGTAGTACGTGTAGCTGGAACTTGCTTGCTCTTAGTTGAACAACAGAAAATTATTTTTCTGACTTCGTGAGTCAATTGCTGGGCCTAATCTTTTGCGAAACAAGCATAAGTACCTTGAATCCTTCCCAAATGTAGTTTTCGTCGATTGCAGGATCCCCGATTAAGCAGCTACCGTCCGGTGGCGGCAGGGGGGTAACGATGATACTGATACCGCGCAGAAAAAACACTGCTCCTTGACAAACCAAAAAGCGCGGCAGCAGACGCCCGCGCTTGGGATGACAAAGCAGGAAAACCAAGGCAGAGAGCTGTGTCAAAGTGTTGAACCAACTATCAATGCCAATTCCAAAGCGTCATGAATTCTTAAAAATGCACGAGCCGAAATCAGACTTGGCAAGTATCAAAGTACGAGAATCATTAATCAATACACGTATCTATATGGTATAAGTACCTGCATGGCCATAGCTAGAAGAGCATCAGAATTGAAAAGATAGGCGTAGTCGGCAAGAATGCCATCAGTTTCGTAGCGCAAGTCGGGTAAGGTCTCAAAGAAAATGTCGTTTGGCAACACATGCTCTGCGACACGGCGTTCAAATTCAGCCTGATTATGGATTATCCTATCGTCAGGAGGTGCTGTTTTGCTCTCTGGATATGTTGATACCCGTGTGGACGACATTCCCATTTTGTCCTTAGTAGGAGCAGTAACTCTGGCAGGCTGTGCATTTTGCTCGTGGTCGTGCAGAGGCTTTGATACTAAGGAGTCGGCACCTGGCAAACCTGGTCCGGTGGCGCTTGAAGGTCTTGTCTCCCAAACCGCTTCTGACGCCGCCGACAGGCCTTGTAGAGATGGTGCCGGAGAATCTAGTTTCCCGCTTGCTTGCTGTGCGAAACTGCTGCCTGTAGCAGTCTTCCAGCCTCCAGCAAGAGGCGGGTGGACAGTCGTGAGGATCGATGCAGGCCTCAGTTCCGCAGGGTCCTTGTTCCGAAGCCTCTCTTTCGCACGCTCCAGTCGTTCGATTTCTATCTCAGACGGCCAGATGTGGACTTTCCCGTATACGTACTGATGGTCGAGCAACACTTGCATAATGCAATTGAACCACGCACACATCATTCCGAACGCGATCGAGAAAAGCAATTGCCTTGTTAGCATCGGACCTAGCATTTGACGCAACATAGCGACAGGTGTCCGTTTTGTGTGGAGCTGAGGTGGGTTATTTCCTACGCCTCCTGCGCCACCACTTCCTGGTATCATCAACCCGCCTGCACGAGGCTGCTCATTCAAAAAGCGCTCTCCACCCGATGGGGACGACTGCGCTGGAGCGGAAAACATGGAAAAACCTGGGTTCGTAGAACCGCTTGCGGAAGAAGATGAAACTGGCACTCCATTGGTTGCAGATAAAGCTGTAGAATCGCGCACAGAGTTCGTCTTCGTATCGCCACCTGAAGACATCACCAAATTAGGTCCATCCCCATCTATGACCGCGCTAATTGTAGTTGACAACCATGTTCGAGACAATGAAGAGGACGAACTGCTGTTGTTATGCGGAAGTCGTGTCTTGTTTGAATAGTTGTCACGATCGTCTCTACTTGTTCTCGCAGGACAACCAGCAAATTTGCTCCCGCTATTATCTTCAGTACTTGTGATAGGCTGTGATACACTAGTCCGATCTAAGACTAGTTCGTGATGCACTAAAAAGGTGCGAAGTTTCGTCAGTATGCGCTTCGCAAACAAGCCGCGTCCAGGTGAGCCTCGGGGGACCGACGCTGTTGTCGAAACGAATCTATCTTCACCTGCTTCGTCCCACTGATCCTCCCCGAATGACAGAGACGAAGGTGAGACCTGCAGCGCGTTATAGTCGCGCCTGGTGCCTTTCAGATACATCCCATGTGGGACTTTAGAGGTACTGACTGACTTTGAGACATACGCGGTTCCCTGTGCCTCCTTAATACCGTGCGTGGGTGATGTTATTCCCCCTGCGATCAGGGGCTTGCGTTCGAGGTCCCTGCTGCGGGGGTCGACTGCGCAGCTTTCGAAACTGGCATCACGACAGCGACGAGGCGAGCCAGATTCGCTAATGAGGGGCACAGCACAGAATTAGAGGCTCTCAAACGAATCCCGAAAGAAGAACTATTTCGATGAGAATAGAGGCTACTGCTACTGGCAAGAATTATTCATTATCTATCAACCTTCTAGAGTTTCAAAATTAATCAACATGTCGTGACAATGACTCTGCGAAGGTCATAATAATTGCTGCTCTGATTGCTCTGCCCGCTTTTTCGCCGCACAATGCCACCGCTGGAGACTCCAGCCGCGCATGCATCTTCAACGTGATCGGCCGCTGAGGAGGCTGCGGTCGCTGTAGCGCCAGGCGGTGACTCCGGCGATCTCCCACCTGGCGACGTGGTTGTAGCCAGTGGCGGGGAGCCGTTCCCTCCGCAATCTTCAAGTGCTCTACTAATTCCGCCCTGGCTATGCCGTGAAAGGTTACCAGCGGGTGTGAAATTGATTCTAGTGGTCATGTCCTCACCGCTAAGCAAAGCCCGAGCACTGGAGGAACCAAAGGAGCCGACATTCGGACCGGCATTATCATTTTCCGCTTGGATTACACTGATGCGCGTCGACGCGTCGTCTCGCGCGCGTAGTTTTCTCTCAAGCTCCGCATCTTCCCTGTCTAGCGCAGGACTGCGTGTACTACTATGATGTTGATACTGTCGGATATTTTCGTCGGTTGATGCCCCAGCCGCATCCGCATCGCTGGTACAAGATGTAGATCTGCTGTTCCTCCGAGCATCAAATGCGCACGCACAATCCTTCTCTACGACTACCGGCGAATAAAGGTGGACTAGAGTAGCAACGCCGCTTGTCTCGGCTGCAGTCGTTCTTGTAACTGGAATATCGTTTCCACCGTCCACACTCTTAGTGTCTGCAACGTGGCTTGCCACGGTTGCATCTGTAGCACAGCCAACATTGCTACCGGTCGTGTTTAGAGCTCTACTTGCGCAGGTCCTAATGTACTCTCCGCCCTTCGCCATTTGGCTTCTTCTTCGTCGCCGTCGCCGCAAACTAGCGCTGTGTGTGACTAGGGAATCGGACTGCTCGGTGCTCCTCACGCGACAGAGCTGGACTGGAGTCGAGCACGGGCTTTGATCGTGCCACGACCTTTGTGCGACGTGGCGCGGTGTCGCAGCCGCAATTATACCAGTTGTGGTGCTAGTTCTTGCAAGGAGGGTAGTAGAGATTCTTGCGCTTGACCTAGACGTCCTTACGCCCTTTGTCGCCGTGCAAAACCCTTCTAACGAGTCCTCTTCCAAACAATGTTTTCTTGAAACGACTGGAGAGAATGCAACTGCAAGCAAGGGAACCGTGTCGATGTCCTCGTCTTCGTCTCCACTTGTCGGTTTTTCAGCTCCTTCTACTAAGTCCACCGCTTCCCCTGAAGTTACGCAAGAGTCGCTGCGCTCCGGCGAACAGGATGATGCTTCTCGACGATGGGCAGACCGGTCCCGAGTCGACACAGACGCATCAAGGCAGCGGGTAATATGCAAGACTCTGTCCATAAAATTTTGAACATCAGTAGAACGAAGACGCGGCCCTCTAGCAGCCAATGGCCCAATAGCGTCATATCGTTCACACCCGCAGGCATGGACCGGAAAAACTAGGCCCCCTGTATTATAAAGGTCCCGAGGTTTTTCCCCCTTTAAGCAGACCGGGGCCGCAAAAATCCTGGGCCCTTATTTTCCGGTGGGGTTCCCGATATTTCTGGCGGGGTCCCCGGAAATACTGGGGCCAATATGGTCCCGGGGACAAGAACTGGGGCCGCGGTGTTTATAAGAAGGGGCCCGGGAAATAGGGGGGCTGGCCTTGGCCCGTCTGGTGGCCTGCTCCCTCCACTCCACTGCCAACGAAGCGCCCCGGTGGCCTGTGTTATGCGCGCCCCGACCCGGTGGGGAGCCACGCGCGCTTGGCCGCGGAATGTCCTGGCCAGATTGCCACCAAGCTGCGGCCGGTCCCTCAGGCTAGGCACATCCTGCTGCGCCTTTCGTTTCTCTATGTTCTCCCGCTCTTGCTGCAGTACCTCACACCCGCCAGAGGTAGGCGCGCGGGCAACTGCCAGGCAGCAGGAGCTTCGCGGCGCGCTTCCTTCTTTTGCGATCCCCCCGAGTGTTGCGCTTCCTTTTCGCTCCGCGAGCCTCTTTCGCTTTGAAGTGCGTCAGCCTTTTGCGGCGGGCTTCGAAAGCCCCCAGATGCCGCGTAGTTGAAGCCTGTTCCTCGGGCGGCTTTGTGTGTCGTGTGTGTGGCACCCCGGAGCCAGTATGCGCGCTGCCGCCAACGTTGCTGGCTCGTCCCCGTCGGTTCTCCCCTGGTCCCGCTTGGAGGTGCTGGGATTGGCTTCGGGTGTGTCGCGAGGGATTGCCGTTGCTCAGTCACCGGGGGCGCCCTCGGGTCGCTTGGCGTGGTTCTCTGCGCTTCTCGCTTTCTCTCGCTGGTTGCTTGCTGGCGATTCGTTGATGCGTTCGCTTCTGCGGCTGTCCTCTGGGCTTTCCCGTCCTCTCCTGCGCGGCCTCAAGTTCTACCTTTTCTCGCAATTTTGCTGCTTTTGTGGCTCTTATTTTTGTAGGCTTATACCTTTTGGCCTCCCCCTGTTTCTACCTTTTTGCTCGAAGTCTCTACCTTTTTTGTCGCGTTCCTTATATTCCTACCCCTTCTGGTACCGGTACCCTCCCAGTTCTGGTCCATGCATGAATCACTACAGCACACTGACGATCATCCGAACAAAGATATCACCGCCAACTATTGTGTCCTTTTGTCATTCTTGTAGAGTTGATAGCTGCTGGCACGGCTAGAATAGCTTGAAAACTACGATATCAGGGAAACGTCCAAGTTATATAAAATGGATCATTATATTCCAACTACAGAAGTCGCCAGGGAAATCTGGCGGGAGATTGCCGAATAGATTCGCATCATTATTCCAACCAAAGAAACCTCTGCGCCCGCTTTGCACTCAAAACAACAACCGATGATACAGCTAAAATCCTACAAACAAGACCAATCTTGCTCGACAGACTCATTGTTGTGCCGTCAAGATTGCTTCTATCGTTTCGTCAAGCCGCTGCACGACATTGGTTGCTCCTTTTACACACTCTTCTTGCATTCGTGCAACGCAAAAAGATTATGTTGGTGACGCGAACACGAAGCAACATCTGTTGATCCATCAATAGTTCTCGTCTGTTGCTAGTAAGGCGCATATACTGCTGGTAAGGCCGGCCCGGCCCAACGATTTTAGGAGGCCGAGGCTTGAACTTTCTCCATCGATCATGTCGAGGAGCGATACTCTGATTAAACATACAAAAGAGACTTTTTCTTGACGAGCAGATGGTAATTTACATCTGGCCAGGAGGAGGTTGGGTGCGTTTGCGGACAATCGAGTGCATAGATAAGCACACGCACATGCGGCACAGGTAGTATTCTCAACAGATAAAAGATGACAGCGTGAAGACAAAACATGCTACCGAATAATGCTCTGCGATGTTTTGCGCGAAGATAAAAAATAAAAGTAAAAAAGCTAAGTTCTCAAGAGTGAAGGCGGCGAGCTGAGATAAATTTATAGATAGTACCATGCCTTGGGCTGTAATGTTTCTCTGAACAGGGGGACGATATAAGCATATGAGAACGTGCTTTTCGTCAAACAACATTCTAACTACATAATAAACACATGCAATCACCATAAAAATGGAAATGTCTTCTTCGTGATAATCCTCATGAACAGGTGCTCACTCTACTTTTATCACTTTATTTTCACATAATCAATCATTTTTTTCCCTTGCCTTTTCCGTCTATATTCCCACCTTTCCCTTTCCCCTTGCCTTTCTTATTTCCTTTGCTCTTTCCGCTTTTGTTGTTCTTGTGGCCTGACTTCTTTTTTCCCCCCTCGCCTGCGTTGGAGAAGGTAGTGTCCGTAACACTGCTGCTCAAACTCGACGATGACGACGGCGGCACGCCCACCATCGTTGGTATTTCGCATTCTGGACCAGCAGCGCTCTCCTTGTTGATTAGCGCCATGAATACTTAACCTTTAATTACGTACTGGGACAAAACGTCGACTAGGCATCTTTATTCTAGTAGTCTTCGCGAATCCTGTTGTATAATTACAAAGAAATCCATGATTTTGAGGTATCTTCATTCACCAAAAAGGAGCAGTACAACATGTTTAGGACTGTATTTCATATATAAAAGATCAAGATCTTCGCAACAAAGATACTCGGATGAGCTTTATCTTGCGGTCGTCCCATAACTTCACAGCGGAAACGTTTTCGGACGATGAAGAACTCTCTGGCTCCAATGGACTGCAATTGCTACTGGAAGAAGCCCCAACATCCGTAGACTCATCTGCTGACGTCGAATACTCGACTACCTCAAATTCATTGTCGGTATCAGTTCAGTTGTGCGTGTGACACACACCTACGAAGTGGAAGTTTGCTTAACTGAGAATCAAAAGTAGTGTCTCCGTCTACAACCATGTGACAGGTGGTTGGATTTACCGAAGATCTTCTAAAAGATACAATTACCCACGCGAAAAATTAATGAAACTCGAGCTCGACGAACCACCAAATAAAAGAGGGTATCTACTACTTTCAATTCCACCCTATCACGCCCGGCATCGTTTTTCACTGCTGTTGATCCGGACCCGAAATCGGCACAATCGAATGGATGCGCGTATGCATCCTTGGACTCAAGGCAACCCATGGCTTGTCGTAATTTGCTCGCCTAATTAATACGTGGCAGTGTTCCTATGAAATTGGAAACGAACAAGTGAGTCTGATAAAGCCTTTCTTCTACTTGCTTCGATTCCTAAACTAAATGCGTCGTATTTCATTTTGTTTTTCAGAGAAAAAGAAAACCTAGAGGTAGTGATGTTTTCGATTCCAAGAGATGCTACAGAACATTTCTAGTCAAACTTTTTTTGCGGTTCTCAATTTGCACGGGAATCGTGACAGAGTGGTATGGGGAAATCTTGCTACCTTGTCGCAGAACAACTGAAAAATTGTGCAAACCGAGGCTGCGCGTCTTCGCTCTCGTCTTTTTGTCATACCGATTGAACACGACGTCTACCTCTCACACCATGCACGCTGTAGATAATCCTTTGCACTCCGCACCGTCGATGATGTTGATGTCTTTACCACGGAAAAGCAAGGGGCTAAGCAGTTCATTTACATAACAAGCGATTGGATCTTTGTTCTGAAGAGTGAGCTGTGGATAATGTACAGAGCAAACAACGTTAGCAAGGCAAGACAACGCGGTACTAGGCCAACGTTTTTTGAATGTCCATAGATACTACGAAAAGGCATTTGCTTGTGAAACATCAAAACTTATGCTCGTCAAACCGAAGCTCGTGAGTGATAAACGGGAGTCCTAAAATAATGGTTAACTGTGAGAGTAGACTCGAATCATTTAATGTATCTATATATATAAGGATACTCGAATCATTTAATGTATATAAGGTTGCTCATGCATCAGATGACGCTTAGGTAACCACGTCAGCACCTTATCCGCAAAGGTAGTTCCCCGAACTTGAACAGGGTATCTTGTGAAGCGGCGTTCCAGGTTGACAGATAGAGTTTGCGACTAGAACCTTCCCACAAAAACCATCTGCATCGGTCACGTTCAGAAGAAGATGCCGCCAGTCTGGAGGGGAAACGTTTTCTAGGCCTGGAATCCTTTTTGAAGATTTGAAAAAGCTTCTCCAAGCAGTGATGTCATACCATTCCTTCTCTACCGTTCGCGAGATATTAAAGCGGCGCATGTACCAGAGCATAGAGACCTGTTTTTCAGCCCAACGTAGACCAGGCCAATGCGCTACCATCGGAGTGAAACCTTCTGGCATGGTTGTGCATCGCCCAGCGTGATCGATGCTAGGATTAGAAGGAAAACTAAATCCTTCGATCGTTTTCTTCGATTTAGTAAGGGCTTCCTCTTGTTAACACTTTTCTTAGTGTTATTGATAGGTCCGAAAATATTCATTTAATAGCTAGGAGCGGGCACTACGGTGTAAATTTTCCGCCTTCTCATAACAGCAGAGGCAATCGTTTCGACGAGATCTTCCGGCGGGTGTATGAAGTAGGCTGGGCGAAAATTTATTTCCAGCGTCCGAGGGTTCACAAAGTGCACTACTTCCGAGATAAAGCGTTGGCGGCGACTTGGCATGCCAACCTCTTGATTTTCGTATAACCACTTCTGGAAACGATCTGGGAAACCGTAAAGCATGAAGACCCGTCTTTTGATATCCTTCACTGTCGTAGACATGGACGGGAAGGGCGAGTCGATGTCCCGCCAAGCAAGCAACTCTGGGACGAGCGCAGCCGCACTCTTCTGCGGAGCTATCGTGTTACCGGCCGCGACTGCAGTGGCGGAGTCGCTCTCCTCTTCGACTTGATGGAGCTGTTTTTCCGTCTTTTCTTGCTGTTCGACAGCCTTGGCACTCTCAGGATTTTTGGCCTTTGATCTGTTTTCTTCATGCGGCTTGACGCTCGTGGTCGTCATCTCTTTCCCCAAAACATGCTCATCTGCAAGTGGCAAGCGCTGCAGCAGGCTGTCCGGATATGCTGCTTTTCGAACGCTCTCGCGGACCTCAGGCGTCAACAAATGCGGCCACGCCCGTTCCATATCGGCTAAGTCCGTCACGACTTCGGCATTGAGCTGCCGCATGTTCCCGCGAATCGTCGCGCCTTGCATCCAATAGACAAGCGATTGCCGTGCCAGCGCAACTTCTTTCTGAAACTTGTTCTTGCTGCTTCTACAACCTGATCCATCAACCAGAGTCCCGCCCGCGGCCGCATCGAAAGTCGGCAGTCTATTGAGAATTTGCAAAAGGCCCTGCACTTGGTCGTTCCAACAGCTCGCAACGTTGTATTGCGACTTCGCTTCGACGTTGTAGCTGCGGAAACATTCCGATAGATCCATGAACTCCAAGATCTGACCTACGTTTTTGCGAAGTACGGCCTTCTCCCACGCAACGAGATCCGTCGGCGATGTGTCCAAGACCCGCCCAGCTTCCTCGCTCATCCACTGCAACTGCGCCTGCCATTTCTTATTGTCAAATTCTTCTCGTTCTTCTTTAGACGAAGCTGCAGCTGCAGCTGGTCTCGATATTGAAGACCGCGTGTCCACGACCAACAAATCCAGTTTTGCCAAAATTTCCACCTTGAGTAGGAAATTCAAAGCGTCGATGGTAGCTACCATATCCGGGTGTTGAACTGGCGTGTAATAAAACAGTTGTAACGTTTCTACTAGCTCTTGCAGAAATAACCTCGCCCACACACTGTTTCGCACAACCATGAGGCCGCCAGTGTTGACTTCCGACATCGGTGGCGTGTCCTTGACGGCGACATGATGGTGATCGACGAGCCGGTGCAAAGCCACATCGTCGAAGCAAGCGATGTTAGGAATGGTATCGACGTCGACAGTGATAAGCACATCCGGAGTATGCGGTGGTAGCTGGTTCAAACTGGTTGTGGTACCTGATGATCTTGAGATGGTCTCTGAGGGCGAGAATGCTGAAAAATCCTCAAAAAGAACGCTTCGTCGCACGTCTTCAGGATCGGAGGTGCCCTCAAGGTGCTCGCGCATGCGCCACCAGCGCAAACGAAACCATGGTTCTTTAGCCAATTTTTCGCCTCCGCGATCGCGCTTTTCCCACTTATTATACAAGACGTGGTATGGTTCCGCTTCGTGCTCTTTCTTCTCTGCATCATCTGATGGATTTTTCTTGAGCAGGCGCTGCATTGTCACAAAGTCCAGTTTCTTGTAGGTGACTTTCGCAGAACGTAAGCGATTTACTACAGCCCGGCGCCGCTCCTGCTCATCTTCTCCATCATCATTGGAGACTTTTAAGCCTTCACTCATCTTCGTGGACAACATTGTTTGATTTGTGCCTTCCTCCCGTTCCAGCAACCGCAGAGCCCGCCGAATTTTTGAAAGCGATCTTGTCTCGTTTCTACCGTGCAAAGCCCGCTCGTCGACCCACGCGCGGTCCCGAAATAACAACCGCCAGGATTCTTGGCGCGGCGTTTCCAATTCCTCTGGTGGACCAGCCTGCACTACAAATTCGTAACCCTGTCTACGTGCATAGCAGCGCCAGAGCTGAATATTTCGCAAGTACGACGCCACATCTTTTGCTCGCCACAGCACAAGGAGCAATCGCACACGAGGAGTCGTATCTGTAGTTGTTGCAGTAGACACATCTCGAGTTGTCCCAGATTTCTTGGCTCGTGGTCGTCGGACAGCATCTCGTACTTTTTCAGCCAGTGCCCGACACTTCGCATGGAATGTGGAAGTCGGAGGCGATTCATCTGTTGTAGGATCCACAAGTGGCGTTGAAGATACAGCTGCTGTGCTTTTCTCGTCAGCGATTACCTTTTTCACAGTAGGATGTTGGGGTTGCGTGCTGGAGGGATTTGCAGTTCCACTAACATTGTCCATGACCACGATGCCCCCTAGAATTTCGCTTCGTCGACCTACATAAGCAGCAGTGGCTTTCTCAGCTTGCCAAGCAGTACAGAAGGCCTTCTCCAGGTGAAAAACGAACCTCACGATCTTCGCACTTCGTTTGACAAGTCTCGCTACGTCGCGCAACATTGGCTGTCCGCCTACTCGCCTTAGTGAGCCACGCGACAAATCCTCCCAGCCTCTTTCATCAGTGTAAATCAGCTCCGCAAAAGCAGATGAAGATGAACTTGAAGATGTTAGTACCGAGGATTGAGCGCCTGCATTGCGACCCTCGTCTTCACGACTTCCAAACGCGGCCGTTTTGAAACCAACACTATCTGTTGTCCTAATGGCATTCGCATTCTCCTCCTCTGCTTCTCCTCCTGATACGAGTGATACATCCGGGGCCGGGTGGCTATGTTCTCCACTACTTGTTTCTCCCTCTGGAGTTGCTCCTCTACTACCTGGAGCAGTAGCGCCAAAGGACAACATGAAGCCACTCCCACCCGCGCCAGCAAGCAAACGCTCATCTCTTTCCTTCGATAGTGTTAGAACTGCCAACATAATTACACCCGCAGGAGCATCTTAGTGACCGTCTTCCCTTCAGAAAAGGGGCCAAAAAAGTGCTTGCAGCGGAGACGCATTATCACTGTAGAGCCTTAACAATGCTTCGCTACGATCCTCGCGATCAGCATCATAGTCGGCTTTCATCAACGTTAGTTGTGGCGCAAGGCTTCGTTCCGAGACGGGGACTAGTTCCTGCCAGAGCTTGGTCGGTTCATCTCTTCGGTGCTTCAGCTCTCTATCGCTCATCAAATTCGCGTAGCCATTCCACCACCTGACCAACCCGTGAGTACAGCGTTCCACAACTTTCTGAGCAGCAAAACGGCGCGACACAGCCTCTTGCGTTTGCGACGCCACACCTACATTTTGATTGCGCTTAGCCAAAGGCGAAGTCGCTACAAGGCTGGCCTTTTCTGGATCGCTCGCCTGGTGTTCATCTGCAACTTCTCCTGCCTCTGCTTGTTTGCCGCTGCAAATCAGGGTACTGCTACAACCCAAGGGTGCCCAGAACGTCGGGATAACACTTTTCGTACTCGTGGTGGAAATTCCCTTATGAGCTTCAGAACGTGCAGCAGTCACATTTTTCAGGGCTTCCATCGCTGCTGGGACTACCTCTCGCAAATACGCAGCATGCGTTGTTAGCATGGAGTAGGCTGCGCAGGAGTAGTCGTGCAGTTGTTGCGATATATGCCACCACGCATTCCCGTATAGCCCGTCAGGCAGCAAGGCGCTGCTCTTGATAACATTCGGGTAGAGAGTATTTCCGCCGAAAAGAATCGGCTTGTGACGCGTACCGCCTGTCGGCAAAAACGTCCCAACAACTTCAGCGACGGTTATGAATAGAGAACCTTAAAACTAATATGACAGCACAACATTCACAACTTATCAGGCCCTCGCCCTGTACGAAAATTCTAGTGCCAAGTAGACGTCTTCTGAGACCATATATTCTATCATCTGCTTCTGCCCTAGAAGCTAATGCTACAAACTAACTATACAGCCAACGTCGATGATCACCCACACAACAAAGTGCCGTACAGAATGGCTGCAAGCGATCACCCTCTGTTCTATATTCTCCTTGTCCTTTCCAGAAGTCTTGCTCTACCTGCAGAGCTAGTGAGCGCACAGTCATCGAAGAGTTTCGGAGCCATGTCTCCTTGAATATTTCCCGTAGAAGGGGACGCTCAGACTGCGTTGTACTGGTTGACACTGTCTTCGCACCCACAGCACGCTGCATCCGCGAAAGATTCTTATCCACAAAGTGCTTTCCCACCGGATGCGCTATTTCGCACTCGAGTTCCGCGTGTTTCGAAAACCGTTTTCTCATAGCACTCTCACACGCTTGACCTAGCTCCTCCACCCGCCTCTTATAGCGCCACATTCGCGCCACTGTCTTTCGCCACAAACTCAATGTAGCTCCATCTTGGACCTTACCAACGTCTTCGTGTTGTGGCGGAGACCGCACCTTGAAAGAACTATCAATGTTTCTTTCGAAAGAATGGAGTATATCACCCAAGGGCGTAGTGGCACAGGGGTGAAACATCTCGACATGCAGACAAGCAAGACCAAATAACGCGAATCCATCAGCCACTTTACCGGACTCATATGCAAAGCGTAAAGCCAAACCTATTGCTTTTTCGTGGCCCCGTAGAACGCGACGCACTTGTTTCAGCGAGGAGCTAGCCTCCTCTTCGGTGATTACTCTTTCTGGGGTTTCACTGTTACCAGCTGCGACACTCCTGAGCTCCTGTTGATTCTCCTTTAGAGCGAGATATACAGGATCGTAGATATTGAGCAGGAGCTGCCACTGTGCTTTTTGACGTCCACGTAGTCCACTGTCTTCGTCTAATCCCGTGAACATACTACGGCAATACCGTTCCTCCCATATTAAACGGAACGTCAGCGGCACTCGGACAGCTGGCATGTGGTGTTGCCCGCGGACCACCTTAGCAGTGGTCAATGGTTCCAACGACCATCGGAGCACCACGACGAGAAGTCTCGCCAGAATGCGCGACGACATAGACGCCTTTGCTCCGCTTCTTCCCAACATCGTCGCGAAGCTTCCACTTCCCGGCTTTCAGCGGTCCAGCCAAGTGTTTTTCACGCCGCAAAAAACTGTGATCCAGGATGCCCCGCAGTGGGCCGTGTGAAAAACTGTTCAACAACTCGTCTTCTGTCATTCTGCCTCCAATCCCAGCCATTTTTCATCGCACCTTCTTCTTGTCAACACATTCATTCTTGATCAGTGATTAGATTTATTTGCTAGGAGCACTGGCGAGACGATTGTTAGTTTTAGCCCGCCTCTTCTATCACTCGAGTGAATCTCAGAAATTCTCTCGCAAAGCAGTGTCGGGCTTCTTCGCTGTTGCTGGTACCTCGTCCCTCACACGCCCTCGTCCCCTCCCATGCCAGCAGTACCAAAGAAGCAGAACCGAAAGAACTGTATTTGATCAATTCATTGAAGCAAATAAAGCAGGCATCAAGGCCAACAAACGACAGGTTTGCCACACGACCTCTGTGTGAAGAGGCACGCATTGATTCAGTTTCGGGGTTTGCAAACAGACTGTCAGGTGCAAAATCGATACTACAGAGCGATTCCACAAGCGTTGCTACTACATTCGTCCGAAACTAACATCGCAAGATGCCCCAATCTACCACGAGAAATCTTCATCTATGCCGAGCTAGTACATCTATCACACTTCAACATCTATCAGCTCAACAAGGATCACATCACCCAAAATCAGAAATAAAATAAATGCAAATTAATATAATAAGTAACTATCGGAGAAGCTATATCGAATTGTGATTTTCGAACGAAGTTGCTGGCTTTGCCCGAGATTGTCGCTTTGTTTTGAACCTGAAGACGGACCCATAACGGGCTAAAGACGTTGGCTCTTTTACAGGCATGGCGATGCATGTCAACAAAGATGGCAGACGAAGGAACAAGACAAAGAACCACGCCAATGAGTCTGCCCATCATCTTTTTGCCAGTTTTCTCATCGTTCTTGTCTGTCGATACTTCAGCAAGAGACTTCCTACCTTTCCCCAGCAAGGCGAGAAAGTTTTGGATATGTAAAGAAAGAAAAAAAGCCGCTTTGTTTCATATGAAATACCGAGACAAAGAGAGCCGCGGCGGACAAATGGACGAGCAGGCGACAGCCGGGAGCCCGGTCCCGCCTCTGGCTCTGTGCATCGAAGCCCCAGAGAGTGGCCTCTGGCATTCCCTTTTTCTTTGAGAGAGTTGTTGCAAAGCCAGAAATGCCCGGCGCCCTTTACTCCTTCGGGCCCGATCAATGCCCGCCGCCCTCCCCTCCTTTGTGCGGGTGCCTGCGGTGTCCGTCATGGGGCGGCTCCCTTGCCCTGGCCTTCGCGCATCGCGCGACCCGAAAAAGACCGCGAAGGAAAAGCGGGCGCCCCTTTGGCCTTGCCTCTCTTCAGTCGAGATCAGGTCAGCACTTTCAGAGGGGTCGGGTGACGCGTGCTGCGGGTTTCGCCTCCGCTCGTCCGCTCTCTCGTCAACATGTGTGAAAACCAACGGGAGCAAAAACCCAAGAAACAGAGAAGGAAGGCCCGAGCGAGGCCCACAAGATGATAGCCGCGGGGGCGGGGGTGGGAGTGCGCTTGCTTCTGCTTCCTTTGGAGCGAGGGGACCCGGACACCCTCTCACGCTCGCACACATGCCGAGCGCGTGACGCCGCATAGACTGCGCGCAGGTGTAGTGTTGTATGACAAGAGACAAGGCGCGGAGAAAGGGGCCGGCGCCTGTAGCGAGGTAAAAACTCCAAGCCAGAGAGTGTCTACCTCTGTCACCCAGCGACACGCAGCCCCAGAAAGCAGCACGCCCGCACCAACGCCAAGCAAGCCTGTGGCGACCCCGAATAAGGTGAAAGAATGAAGGCGGCGACAAAAACGACAACGACGGCGAAGACAGTGGCGAACAGTCAGACACACACGAAGGACACTCCAGCCGGCGCGGGCGCGGGCGGGGGTGCGTGTCTGTCGCCTGCCTCGCTCTCCTCTTCCCCTGGTTCATTCAAGCGCGCGCGGCACCTGCTGGGCGCCGGCGCGGCGGGCTCTGCTGACGCGTGCCTCTGTCTGTGTCGCTCGCCTTGGTCGGGTCTTGGTATTGGCTCACTTCTTCTCTTTGTCTCGGTCTTGCCCGCTGCTTCTTCGTCTTTCGTCATCCTTGTTCCCATGCATGGCCCTCGCGTCAGTTACGGCGGTGCCCCCTCCCCATGTCGTAGCCTGGCCCCTTCGACCCCTCGCCCGCCTTCACAATCACTTTCCCCGGCAATGTCCGCGCCTGCGTTCTGGCTGTGCGTTCCGTGGCACTCTGCCCGCCCCCTGTGTTCTTCCCTGTGGCCGTCGTCTTTTCCCTTTTCGAGTCCTTTCGTCTTCATTTTCCTCCGCCTCTTTGTCTTGCTTGTCTTGTTCGTTTGTGCATCTTTTGCAGCTCTTGGGCCTGTGCGTTGCGCCTTCACCTCCATGGGCATCAGCCGCTCCGCCGGCGTGGCTTGTCTTTTGCTTGTGGGGGCTTTGGCCATTGTCGGCGGCCTTCCCGTGTCATAGTCTTCGCCGGATTCTTTGGCTTAATATACGAGACAAGGCGGCCCAACTGAATAAACTTGACAGCAGCGCAGGGTCATCCCTGCACTAGCCTGTGACAAACCCAGACAAATTATCCTACAGCTACAGCTTCGCTGAGTCATAAATCTATGAGCCCAGCCTATGCACTTCTACACAAGAGTTTCTACATCAATTTCCTGGGCAAAAAGGCTATTGTGTGACAAAGTTCCTGCCGTAATGCGCGTTAACTGAAACAAGTGTACTACTGTAGTACAACAATGTACTATCTAGAGGGCCCTCGTCAAAAATCTCCACTGTTGATCCTCCCGGTGTAGACAATGAAAACTACAATTGTGATGAAAATCTTAATCTTACTAAGTTAGTGCGGAAGGCACACTCGCCGTGACATGCCATGAAGTGCTAGTTCACAAGAAGAGGTACAACTGCGGAATCACACACCACGGCGAGCTTCAACAGTTCAACTGTTATTTGTTCTGTTGTTTCTTGCTAATCTACACGACTCGCACACTAGAAAGAACGAACCTCATCTAATTCTAAGCGTAAGGTCCAATTTCAAAGATTCAACGTCAACGGAAACCACACGAATTACAGCAGAATGATACCTAGAAAGTGGCAATCCTGCTCCTCTTTAAACAATGCGTTCCCACTTGTGCGACCACTTTCCGAAGTTCTTGAAAACTTTTTTTCGAATCGACGACTCGATGAGAGGTGGAATTATCGTGGCGAGATTGGCATTGCACAACTCCAGGCATGGATTTGTGTTAATCTCAATGAGCCAACAGCGGAAGTCAGAATCAAGCATGAAATCAAAGCCAAAAACCTCAAAGCAACCAGGCACACGCCGCGGATTCAGCCGCGGCAATCCAGCGCGGAATGAGGTCTCCATATGCTGCTTAATCTGCGCGGTAATTAGAGCTGACCCCGGACATCCTGGACTAATATGTTGAGACAATCCACCACTCACAAACAGATGATTGGACGAAAAGGTTGCAAATTGCTACATCGATACATATCTCAATATCTGAAATTCTAATGGCTTCCATTTCCATACTGTCAGATGATCCACGTTAAAGCCGGTTGGACCGTTTGTTCGGTAGCTCGGGTAGTGTTGTTCCAGGTACTTTTGAAAGTCCGCAACTGAGAGCTTGTTCGCCGACTCGAATTTTCCATAGTCCTTTCCATGTTTCTGAACAGCATCATTGTTGAGATGTTTTAGTCGATTTTCAAAATCGCTGCAAGTATATGTAGTCGATGTCGTACGGATGTAGTAGTCGACGTAAAAGTAAATCTCATATGTGCAAGTCTTTGCAGCTGCTGACTTGGGACGAGCTGCTCCAGAGCTTCCACCAGTGCTTGCACTACTGCTGCTAACCGACCGACCGATTCCGGAATGAATTGCTCCTGCTGGCCCTTCTGCTTCTTTTTGTAGCCTTCCCAAAGTTCTACTCTGCGATCGTTGATTCCCGTCTCCGGCAACTAGGCTGTCAGCATTCGCACCAGCGGTTTTCTCGCCTGAGAATCGACCTACGGAAGTCGCTGGCGGCGACCCGAAGGGTGACGTTAGATGACCGTTGAGCAGCGGCGACATCAGAGGCGTGCGCGCGTTTGGCTGCCATCCACTCGCAGTGCGAATCATAGGACTGTACGGATCATCATATTCCAGCGTGGCCAAATACTCGTCCTCTTCCGACCTGCCTTCGGGAATACCATGATCCTCGTCTCGCGGTGTGCGCATGTTTGGCAGTCTCAGCTCCTCGGTCTCAGATGAAATTGCGCCATCTGGTGTCGCAAGTGGTGTGCCTTCTACTTCGGTCCTGGCTAATGATGCGTTTGTGCCTCCTACCGTTTCACCCATGATCGGCGTCGCAGTTGAAGCCTTAGTTAACGATTCAGTTGTCGCTTTTTTCGTCGTGTTCGTTGTTTTTGATTCTGGGCCACCGCTTCCGAGTACGCTAGAAACAGGTCTGCCACCTCCGCCTTGTGAGACCGCTGGAGCGGCAGCGTCGATGTCGTCGCATTCGTCCACTACAAGTGCGTAGGCCCGAATATCAAATTTTCGACCGTCAACGAGAAAGGGCTTTTCGATATACTTCTGTACTAAAAACGGCGTCTTGTGGATCTTCTTGCGCAGATGCGCCTGAATCTTCGACAAATCCGTCATAATCTCGATGCCGCAACCCCGGTTAGCGAACAGACCCGGCTTTAACACCCACACGTTCGGCTTATTTTTTCCATTCTTCTTCGTCTTTGTTTTCGTGGGAGCTACAGCAACCGTCTTACTACTAGCTCTGCTGCTACTGCTGCTAATAGCAGAAGCAGTGACTATTGAAGAAGATCCACTATTTACTGCCACAGCACTGCCTTCCTTGACAAAATTGGCACTGCCTGGTGGTCCCTCGTCCCCCAAATTGCTTGCAACCTCGTTATTTTTCGCTCTTGTTACATCAGCATGCTGTTTGGATGAGCTTCGCGAGCCCACATGACTGGTCGATGATTTCTCCTCTGCCTGTTTTTCTAAGAGTTCCTTGTCGTCCACAGCAGCCTCGTCCTGCGCTTTTTCCGAAGCCCCAGTTGCGTCAGCAGTTGCAACTGCGGGTGCAGCCGCTGTAAAGAGAGATCTAGTCGCGGACGATGACGTCCCATCGTCCTCCTGTTCTACTCCACTGCTAGTTGAAACCACATCGATGCAAGCTAGCCCCACTCCGGATGTTGACTCCTCGGCTTTTATTTTCTCGCCGGCCATCGCAAGCTCAACTTTGTCACTAGCGCCGATAGGAATTTCTTCAGCTGCGCCGTTGTTTGCGGCAGCGAAACGCTGTGGCTCCTGCTCTGGGGGCGGCGTCGTTGCGTCGATTTCCAATGCTGTGGCTGCGCCGCTCACTATTGAAGATGACACTTCTGCATCTGACGCAACTTCCTCTTGAAGACAAGATGCCAAACTACTGTTTTGCAATGCGTTTTCTTCGTCGAGCTCTGCATCATGTTTCTGTTCTTGTCTTTGAGTGCCAGTAGCCTCATCATTCGCAACTGGTTTTGCCAAACCCATTTGTTCATGAGCTTCGGGATTCAAAGGCTGTTTTTCTGGAGTACCACTTTCTACTGCAGGAGCTTCCTTGCTAGATGATGCCGATGACGCCACATTCGTCAAGCTACTTTTAGCGCTAAGTCTTTGGCGCCTTCGTTTTGTACCGTTTTTTTGACGTTCTCCATCGAAATGGTCAAAGCTAAAGCCAACAATTTATAATTAACACCAAGAAAAAAGCCTACCCTGCTTAACACTTACTCCCGCAGCTGCCTGAAAGGCCTCCGCAAATCGCTCGATGTCATCCTCTGATCGGACCACGAAGGCGTATGGTACAACAGAGAAGACCGCTGGTTCCCCAAGATAGCGACGCAGGCACTCGAAGAGGCCAACCTTCGTACATAATTAGAGCTCACCCATATCCGTCCTGAGATGCATCTTGGTGCCCCTTTCTCCTTAAGGAACCGCTTCAAAATGCTTCCGAAGATGCATTAGGGGACGCCGTAACTTAATACCTGATTGCCCTCAAGATGGTTGTGATAAAAACACGCAGGCACTTTCTTGCCTGTGCGTGTGGGCGACACCACTGCGGGTGGCGACATTGCGATGCCTGCACGGGAGGCAAGATTTCCAACGAAGCAATATCCTGAAGACGAAGCCGCTGAAGTAGCTCCACCAGCACTTTCCATTTTTGCAACGCCACCAGTTGTAGTAGCGGCTGCAGCTGCGGCAGTCCCGCCACTCGACCATCCTCGAGAGCTCCGAGAACCACCAACGCCTGATGCGGCCGCAACGCTAGTCGCGCGGCTGCTCGGTGTGCCCGTGCTCGGTGTTCCAGGTATTGGACCGCCGGGTGTCGCAGCTGCGCCAACTTCGCGAGCCTTTTCACGACTGGCCTTTGAAGATGCACTAGATGATGAACCTGTTGCCTCTAGTTCTAACTCCTGCATTTCTGTCTTTTTAGGGACCTCTCCTGCGCAAAACTCAGTCTTTTGCTGCTCAGAGCTAGCGCTTTTAGTACCATCTTCCGTCCCTCTTGGGGTCTTCTTTTCTTCCTTGGATTTCGTCTTCACAGGGCTTCTTGTGCCTTTCTTCGTGCTTTTCGATGGCGACGCCGATGAGATGCGCCGCGATGATGTCCCAGCATCGCCTGCCTTTGCTGTCGTCGTTGCAATATTGAAAGGCGAACGCCATGGGGAGAGGAACGTAGCAAGCAAACATTTCAATACCAAGCATCAGTCTGCTACGGTCAAAGTTGGTTTTCGCGGAATAAGCTCTCGCAGATTTATAGAAATTTACTCCACCTTTTGAATTTACCTAATAAGTTAAGTTATCAAGAAGAAGGCTTCACTACACCATGCATACTTACCACAATCGAACAACCGGCACTCGCGGAAACATAAAACTTGTAAGACCCGTCGCGCCAGCCAAAGATTCTTTTCTGGCTGTCCGGCTTCTTGGGAAAGAGCTGACCTCGCATGTTTCCTCACAATTTTTCGATACGTAGCAACCGGTTTGGGTCAGCATTGCGTCGAAGTACTTACGGCATTTATACTGCGTCCACAGGAACTCCACACCCGTCATGTTAACAGGATGTAATTGAAAAACATCTTTGGCCGATACGATACCTGTGTGGATGTTACAGGCAATAAAATTGAAAGCAGATCGATTCTAAGAGGCATGCTTTGCTGCAGCACAGTCACAGAAGAGAAAGAGTATGATGTTAATATGTATAGAAGAAGTATTCAAAGGGTCCTCTGATGGCTAAGGGTCCTCTGATGGCTATCAACCGACGTATGAAGCACCTAGACCCACTTGTACATATGTATTTACACGTTCTGTCCTCATAGCTGACTTTGCCGAATCGATTTTGTGGGTCGCCTAGCGAAGAAACGAAGCACTTTATCGGACGCAGGAGTTGCCGTATCAACGCCGAGTTGTTTCCAAACTGAATGCTGCATTAGAGATAGAGCTGCAAGGCTATTTTCACAACATAGAGTCAAAAGCACGACTAATCCCAGGAAAAGCACAACATAGATTCAAAAGCACAACATGATAGATTCAATAGCACTCGCATAGAAAAAGTAAGGGCCCTATGTATGTTCCAGGGCTCGGGGCTGAAGGCCCCTCCCCCCGATCTAAATTTTTGAGGAGAGGGCCACCAGCCCCCGCCCCTTTTGGCGAGAGACTGCCGGGCGGGAAGGCCTCCAAGCGCCCACCTTCGCGGCCTCGCGGCTTCTTGCGTGTACCCTACAGAACCCAAACCTCTGAGGCCGTTCAAGCAGCGACGGCCAGGGGTGGAAGTAGGCTCTCGACGGCGGCAAAGGTGGCAAGGCTTGACCCCCTTGGCGCGTTGCATGTACCCCATAGACCTCCCGCGTGCGGGCTCCTCACTGGTCGAGGAGTTTCTTGGGGGGCGGAAGGCCTCCGAGGGCAGCAAGTGGCAAGGCTTGACCCCTTTCGCCGTGCTGCATGTATCCGACAGAACCCAGGCGGGCACGCCTTGCCCCCGCTCCTCCTCGCCTTTGGTTCTCAACCCCTCGGGCATTTGGAGGCGGCTGACGCTGCCACCAATTGGGAGGATGAGGGCCAAAGAGGCCAGGCCTCGCGACCGTGGCCGCCTTCTGCCCCCGGAGGCCATCCCCCTGATAGGGTCCAAGAGTCGGGACGCCTGTGAAGTACACGCGGAGAGCCGCAAGAGGACACCGGCGCCGCCTTTTGAGGCCTTCGCCTCCGGGGATCCTGACACGCCACCACCGCGGAAAAAAGGGCGCGCCCACGCCACCGCCGCTCCATCCACAGCAAGGAGCATCCCGCCTTCCTGGTACATGTATACGTGTACTTACGTAAGTAATTCTTTGCACACAATCCTTAACAGAAGTAGATTTTTCGCTCGGGGAAGGGACGCGTCGTTTCGTCTACGACGGCTTTGTTGGTACAAGCTGAAATTCCAGCCTGCATGTGCTTCAGCAAGTTACGGTGGCTCTGAAGCGCCTGTTGCATTTTAGCTCGTCGCTCGCTCTTTTGTGCATTGGATGCGTACTGGTCAGCCGTTATCTGAGTGGTGCTTTTGTCCTTGCTTGACGCTGATGAAGTTGTTCCATTGGCATCGGCTTGTCGGGTCGTACTAGAAGATGTGGCAGTAGTTGGCTTCGATAGTACTGTGCCAGAAAAAGCCTGCTTGTTTGCTCCTCCGGGCTTTGGCGGAACAGACTTCTGTGAATGTGCTCGTAATATTGGTTCATCTTTTTTGTCCTCGATAGTTTGCTGGTGGTGGTCCTGCTGTTGTTCGGTTTTATTGTTATTCTTCCTTGCATTCTGATGCAAGTAACCCTTCGCCAAGGAAATCGCTGATGCAGGTTCTGCGCCGCTTACGGAGGGCCTTCCCGTCCCACCGACAACCGGCTTTGCGGCTTGGAGTACCAAAGACGATCGGGCATATTGGCACCCTTTTACCACTTGTTTCAAGCCACGAGACGTTGGCTTTTCTGCCGGTACACCGGCGCTGGACCCCAGCACTGGCGCGGGACCACTGCACGAACTGCCGCCAGCACCGGTGTTAGCTGCGAGACCAGATCCCCCCGCACCAGGGAAACTTCTGCTCGGTGCTCGAGTCGCGGCTGGCCCTGCTAATGGGCCTCCCAAAGAAGGCACACTCTTTCCAACACCACGCACACCGAGCGGGCCCTCGTCATCGACGTCTCCTTGTAAGTCACTGACCGGTTGCTTTCGCTTCGGAACTATAAGCGCCTTGTTCAACATCTTGTTCGCTACGCTATCAAAACTCTGGTTTTTCGCTCAAATCTATATTTTCGTAATCTATATGGAATTATCCGAACACCGAACCGCAGTAACGGCTGGAAGATGGAAGTTCCAATGGAAGGGTTTTTGTTTTTCCGTTTCCGTTCTCTTCCATGCGAAAAGCAAAGCCACTCATTGCGTCTAATCTGACTGCAACAGAGAACAAATATTACTACAAATATTACTAGAATAATAGTGTTACGGGAAGTAGCTAACATTAGCACATTTCCCGACTTTCCCGTGACTCTTCAACCTCGACACTTAGAATGAACAACAATACAGCAAAAATGGTTTTGGTTACGCTTGTTCCGTTGATGTTATTAGACGTGGTAATACGTAGCTGAAGTATATCATCTTTTACTTTCTCGCTCTGCATCCAGTTCCATCAACTCAAAAAGTGATAACATTATAAACATACACACCAGTGAGGGAGGCCGCCCGAATCAAAAACGTTGTCCGCTGTCGCCGGATCAGAGGAAATTTCCCCGATGGATTTTCGTTTTCGGTTGGACGTGTCGTCATCGAAAAGCATCATCGCGTTGTTCAATCTAAACAGCCAGTCTGCTCCGCTTTCGTCCACCGCTCGATTGAAAAGCCGCATCTTCGAGACGAATTAACCATTTCCGTCCGCAAATTCGGCTGCCCACCAGCTACCATCGTTATCGTCCGGTTCGTGGGAATGACTGCAAGTGTGGCGTGCATGAAAAACTGTTCGTAGATCTACGAATGTTCTTACTTGCGTCGGCGCGCCTTCCGTAGTCGAAAGGATTGGCGCGGCCCTGTTTCCACTCGTCCCTTTGTCTTGCGTGACGGTGAAAAGGCTCGCCTTCAACGGGTTGCCCTAGGACCGTTGCCGCTGATCTCACTTTTGTGAAGCTGAAGCGACTAGCATAGATACTTTGATACATGAAGAGAGCTATTATTTCCCCTCTGCATCTGCTCTTCTTCCAGGAAGTCTGAGACTGTCGTGGTGCCACCATGCTCATCTAACAACACAGAGGTTGTGTTTTTGTTGCGACTTGTGATGCTCCCGATCTTCGTCGGCGCTCTTGTTTCCACCTCTTCAGCTTGTAGAAGCTTGTCCCTCGTCCGCTTCTCTGCCGCGATCACCCCACTACTAAGACTAAGAAAAACATTGGATAGCCAGACCCCTCTCCGCCGCGTGGTCACCGCGCGGTCGATGTTCGGAATGTTTAGCACCATCGTAGATTACACTGGGATTTAGTTTCTTTTGTATAGCTGAAATTGCTGAAAGAGCGACACAACCCTTTTCCGGTTCACAAGCCGCCGGCCGGCGGATGCAGTGCTCCTCTACGAAGGGTGAAATTCTTACATACAAGAAATCCGCAACATCTAGTTTTTAAGTACCGATCTGCCGAAAGGGCCAATAGACTTCATTTCTTCTAAAGAACATCTGTCCAATTTTCTTTTTCGCAGCGTCACCACTCTTTTTTGCAATTTTCAGTGCGATCCACACATTTTTTCCCCACACTCACCCCGAAGAGAAGGACGTCAACTGCTTTCCTTTGAATCACGAAACAGGAGCGGCAGGTAAATCGAATTCATTACATAGGCGTGACAACAGCAAGCGTGAGTATTGTAACCACATCTTTATCATGGAAAACAATACTTCCTCCTTCGCGATGAAGATGATGTCAAGTTAGTTTATACATAGCATCCCAACGGATAAGTGCACCAAAACCCGCTCCGCAGACGCGTTTTGGATGCCACTAAATATTCTTTCACATCTAATGCGCACTCCTCGTGCTCGGGATCGACTGACTTATTGATTTCTGAGTTGACTCCACACGAGGTGGGCAATGTCAATAGTGAAAGATTGCCACGAAAACGAGAATGTGATGATCAATACTGCCAATGTAATGAGAGGGAAAATTCAACAATTAGAAGCACGGACTTTGTCATTTCTACTTTGCTCCGTTGACTACACTAATATCACTATTACTTCTAGTTTTATCGTGCGTTTGTAGATCGAATGCTTTATAGCCTCGCTGTTGGACTTTTTTCAAATTCGACATGCCCGTCCACTTGAGGCTAGTACGGGAACGAGGATCGACAAAAAAAAAGGCCTGAGTAGGTACTACGAATCGCGCATCGTCATCCGTGTAGATTGCCTAAGGTTCGTAGCCGATCTCAGGAAAACTGCGACATTCCGAATATATTTCTTGGAAGGAATAACTCGAAAAGGGAATCAACTCGTAACTAATGGATCGTGTTTGCAACGCAACTTAAAACTACTCTGTTTTTCGCTTCATACATTTGGTTAAGTCAAGGACTGTACATTTCTACACTTTAGTAACCCAAGATTATGGCGTCACTTCAAATAAGCACTAGAGGTACCCATGTCCGTAATGTTCATTTTCATCTGATTCATTTTTTCTCGACTGCATTTCTTCGATGAAATATGCATACTAGATCCTTTATGCTATATGAGATTCTTGTGATTGACTTGTGTAAGCTTGTGATTGATCAATCTATATCTAAATTTTTAGTATCGCTGCTGCGGTCCCAAAATAGTCCGTGTCGCCTTCTTTGATTGTGGCTAGAGCTGTTTCAAGACAAAGTGAGTGACATCTATCGAGCTCTAACGAATTGCGTCCCCGCGACGCCGCCGCCTCCAGTACCAGCTGCACCATGTCCCGGAATAACAGTATCCTCGAGTCCACTTACTGGAGGAAGGACAGCATTAGAGCAGGTATGGAAGTCGCTATCTACTTCATCTTGCAGGTTGCCGTTTTCGATTTTACCATAGTAGCTAGTAACACATCATACTTACAGTAACTGAGATTCTACTTTTTGTTTTCATTTTGATGATTGATAGTGAAAGAGTGAAACCATATCGACTGCACCGCCTGGCTGGCTCGTTTCCAGTGGGGTTTCAGCCGAGTTCTCTGCTGCTGAGTGGTGCAATATCAAGGGCGGGGAGTTCCATTTCTTCGAGAATGCATCGATGCTGCTGCGGTCCAGAGCAAGTCCTCCTTTTTCTGATGCGCTGTACAGCGAGTGCACTATATCTAACAGCTCGCGGTTCTTTTCTCCTAATTTCTCCCTTTCCGTGTCCCCCTTGTCCGCTCGCTCCCTCTGCCTGTCGCGTTCGCTCTTCAACTTCAATATTGTCGCGTTTCCTTCGTCGATTTTCACGTTGCTTTTTCGCAATAGTTCCTAGTATGGGTCAAGAGTAATTAGACTCAAATGAAGCATTGCAAAAACGTTTCTGCTTCATGAGCATCGAAGAGATAATTTTCGTTTGCGAAGATCTTTCAGTATTAAGTTATACCATTCGCCAAGATTTCGCAAAATTGAAACTTCTCGTACCTTCAGTGTTGCGTCTTTTTTCGCCACAACCTGCTGGAGACGGACTATTTCTGTCTTATGTTTTGCCGCATCTTGTTCCTGTCTACGCCGTAAGCCGCAGACCAAACCCTCACTGCTGGATTTGGATAGATCAAATTCTTCCTGCAATCTCTCCCGCTCTATTTCTCGCTGCGCTAATTTTCCTTCCAGCAGGACTACGCGCCGTCGCAGATTCGTCGCGTGCTCTCCCGTAGCTTCCGCCGCAGACCGCTCACTGACAGAGTCGTCGACATTTGCTTCAGGCCTCGTCTTCGCCAACTCATCGGGGTCCCGCGTGCGGACACCGTCAGAACGCGCGGAATGTACCTCTACTGCCTCGGCCTCGCCATCCTACAAAAAGTTATCACATCAAGGTGATACTGTACGCTTGAGAAATATCGACCAAACTTTAGTAAAAATGCTTGTTTATCCCCACGAACTTTCGCAAAAAACGTCTAGTGCTGGCAGAAAGAAATCGTAGTGAGCACCCTATATGTAAGTTTCTTGACTCACCGTGCAATCCGCGTATGATGAGCTGGACGACTCTTTGGAAGTTCCAGAACTGCCCGCAGCCGTCTCTTTTGTATCGTTTGCCTGTCCGGGTGGAAGATCTCTACCTAATGTGGAGGAAAAAACTTTCACTGCATTTCATGCTGATTCATCGAAAGTCTGTACGGTGTTGATCAGCACTTTCTAATTTCCATTTTCTCCAGCTATCCACCTACGGTCAAGCTAAGTCGATATCACGTGTCTCACAAATTGCAATACGGTTTCCTTTCTTGGATTTTTCAGTGATACTTCTCCGGATCACAACTGGAATAGGGGAGCTCGGAGTGCTGCAGGTTCCAGGATCTTCCATTATTCTGCCTGTCGTCTCCGCGACATTGTCTGGCCCATCCCTGAAAGACAGAGATTCCCGCTGCTCGCGTAGCAGTGCTGCGAGCCAAGTGTGCTGCGAGTCGGCAGCCTCGAGAAGTGGCGCCCATGCTCGCGCCTTGAACTCGCCGTTCTTCTCGAAGGGGTGCAAGGGGAAGTGCGCCTTCGCATCTTCCGCAGGAAAAACCGAGAGACACGCGAGGATCGGAGCTGCCGCGGCGTCCTCTGAAAACTGACCCGGATGCACAACGAGAGATGAAACACAACTGCGCGCAGTTGCAGGTACCGTCGAACAGTGCTGCGCATCGATTTTTGTTGGCAAATCCTTGGCATAGCCCAAAGACGGCATTCCCTTCTTGCTTGCACCACGCGAGATTCCTGCATTACTCTCGCCTACACTGTCTGCACTGGTGTCTACCTGATCAGAGGTCGCCGCGGCCTGCTGTTCAAGGACAATGCCGGGAGTGACGAATGGCGGATTCTCCACGTCAATGTCACCCCCAGCAAGGTCCTTACTTTCAAATGGCGTCAACAGAGGTGTCACGCTTTGACTGATCATGCTCCGACGTTGCGCACGCCACACAGCCATGTCCTCTTCGCCGCTCCGCAAATGTCCTGTCGATCGACACGACAGAGAAGCTAAAACTAAAGGACTTCTACAAACAACATCTTCATAAACTAGCACTAGTAGTCGTGAGAATTAAGGATATAAGGCATACCTTGTACTAGCAGGTAGCAAACGATTAACTCTTAAGCGAACAGAGTGCTCCGCTTTCACTGAAAGCTTCTGTTTGTACCTCCAGCTGCACCGTCCTCCTTATCGATCCGTATCCATCGCATATAGCATAGCTCCTCTGACACCGCAAACGATAACTGACCGAGAAGCTTCACTGCAGTCTGCCCTGCCCCTGCAGTGGGCGCTGTAGTAGCATTTTGCGGCTTCTTTCCCTCCCATATTTGTAACAGCAAAAGAGCGTCTTTTGGAATGTCGCCTAAGAAAACGGACCGCTCGTCAGGCCACTGAATCAGGAATCTGCGACTGTCCTCTGGAAACCCGTGTGACCGGACAAGAAGCGACACTTGCTTGTCATCAGTCTGCTGTGCTTTTTCGCCAGTGACAGCCAAAAGCTCATGCACATGAAAATAAAGGTCGCAGAAGGGACTCGGATCAAAACAGCCGTCCCGCGACAACCCGAGAGATCGAAGAAACTCCATGACTTTCCCTTTTGTACCACACTGGTCGGAATAATTTTCTTTCCACCTAACCTTACCACATTAAAAAGTACTAGTTACTCAATAAAAAAGGGCCACTGCTATCTTCTACAACAGCATTTTCCAAGTACTTCCAGGCATGGCGAAGACAAAGTATAATTGAAGCGTTTTCATTTTTCATTCTATCGTGTCATATTGCTTCTACAACATCACTCCTCGTTCTCCTTTTCTCCGCTTCTTCACTTTTCTTTGAGCTTCATCCACCTTTTTTAATGGTTCTCTCTTTACGGTATGCTCCTCTTTTAAGCATCTTCTGGATTCAAAGACGATGAGAGGTGACCACGATGCGCGCCCGATAAGGACGTCATCGGCGGTTGCATCAACCACAGATGATGAATAGATTCGACTCTTGCACTTCCTTTGAGGAGCACGAAACAGAAAGTATTCATCGGTTCACATCAAAGAGATGGTCATGTCTTCATTGCAATTTACATGATATAGAAAGATACAGATACTGCTGCATGTGACACTGAGTACGAACTTGGAACTTTCAAATTTACTTACTTTCACTGACTTACTTGAAACAAGGGAAACACGAGTTCAAAAAAACACCATGGGTAAGTTAACAACATTGGGACTAACGGATACGCATACAGATCTACTATTCAATCATCTGAATCGAAAGTGCTTCGTTCTGCGTAATCATCTTCATCTTTACAGTGCTTTGGTTTCACTAAGAACTAACATATCTCTTGATCAGACTACGTGCGCAATTTTCAACACACACTTGCTTCGGGATTCTTCTAAGGAAGAGCAATCTTGTGCAAGACCTCGACTTTGCGCTACCTCCTCCGCAATAAGCCTTAGTCTCTGAACCTTACTCCGCGCTCACGAATGAGACCCAGACGTTTTTGGTAGAGGTTTCGTTTTTTTGCGATCTTGCCTATCTCATCCCAATACCACTCTAAGAATTCCTCCGCCGTGATATCTTTTTCCTCCTCTTCCTCCTCAACATCGAGCAAAGAAGCCACCCCCCGGCGGATGTCGGCTGCCATATCATGCTGCATGAACATCGACACGCGTTTTGTGGGTGTCGGCTGCTGCGATGCGCCTTGATTCGACACAGGAGAGTTGCATTCGTTAGACAATCAAGCTTAACGATAACAATCTTATTGGAAGCGAAGATTACCACTTGATCTGACACCACTTGTTTCATCCTCTCTTACGCTCATTGAGGAAGAAAATACGTTAGGGAAAAACATTCATACAATCTGTAAAACATTTGAATGCGATGAAAGCATAACTGAAGGGGAAATGCCTGCGCCGCTGCCAGCTAAGGCGGAAAAGTCATCTTTCCCCTTCAAAATACCCTTCATGTCAGTTCCATCGCCTGGAAGTTTGTGCTTCAGAAACGAGGCCGGACTCGTATACTGTGTCTGAAAAAGGAAAATAGAAGAGTGACATTTAAGTAAGTCCTGACATAGGAGTTTGTCGCTCAGGCCAATTTTCGTCAATAATACTATTGGACCGCGTACTAGTTCTACTTCTGCGACTCCGTTGTACTACTGAGTACTACAAAGAAAGATCGGAACGAGATTGCACTGAGAAACCGCCACCAGTTCTGGAATGATAATAAATACTGTTGACTGCCGCTTTGCGTTCATCCCGAGTTGCAATGAGGATGTCATGAAGCTGCCTTCGTCGTCCTCCTCGTCTTCATCCTCTGAAATCGAGTCGCCTTGAGCAACCTTCACGCTGACGCGCCTCAAGTTCAACAAACTCCCGTCTGTTTTTGTACGGGTGAACATACGATTCCCACGACCGGCTTCCAACATGTCGTCTTCTGAATCTGTCGCGAGGGGTGTGGGTGCGAGGCTCCTCAAATTAGCAGTAAGTCACTTCTAGTGCTAATGTCTACTGATATATGATACGGGGACGCACGCCCCCCCCCTGGCGCTTGCGCGCTCTTTTCCGCGCTGCTTTTCGCGGATTCTCAGGGTGGAAGCAAGGGGAAAGCGGCAAAACTGAAAGCAGGCGACCCCTTGCGCCTCTCCGCAGGTTCCCGATGGGCGTCCCCGCCTCTGCCGACCCCCACAGGCCGGAAGCCTCCGGGGTAGAAAGCCGCCGAAAGCAGCCACGGTCTCGAGGCCTGGCCCCTTTTGCTGGGCTGCCCTCATCAAATGCGCGGCAAGAACCAGCAGGCCGATGACCAAGGGCCAAGAGGGTATAAGCCACACAGCTCAGGGGGCCCAGCCTTGCGCCCTTTGCCGCCTTCAGAGGCCTTCCACAATGCTGCTGCGGCGAGGCTCCAGCAAAAAGGGAGCGAGCCTGTGGGGCACACGCAGGGAGCTGAAAGGAAGCGGAGGCAGCCCAGTGGACCCCTTTGGAAGCCTTCCACCCCCGGCAGACGCCTCAAGAAGGGGCCCGGGGATCCACAGCCCCCCCCCCGCGCTCGGGGGGCCGCTCCGTTGAACCCTGTGAGAGCCGTATCCACCTGAGTGAGGAGCGTGACGCGCGAGGGAGTATCAGCGGGACGCGTGACGGCGCGACGCGCTGAGAGGCGTGACGCGCGAGGGGGCATCCACTGGCGAGACGCGTGAAGACGGCAAGACGCGCGGCGCGGGGTGCGTGACGTGGGACGCCGTGACGCGTCACAAACACAAAGTGCCTGACTGAAGACAAGATGTGGCGCCGCGAGGTGTGGCGGTGTCACATGTGACTGGGAGGGCGCTATGTGTGGCGCTGCCACATGTGACAGCGTGACATGTGACAGCGTGACACGTGACAGCGTGACATGTGACAGCGTGACATGTGACAGCGTGACATGTGACAGCGTGACATGTGACGGCGTGACATGTGACAGCATGACGCGTGACACGAGTGCGACAGCGTGACACACACGAGCGCACCAGCGTGACATGAGCGCGACGGCGTGACATGAGTGCGGCGGCGTGACATGAGTGCGACGGCGTGACATGAGTGCGACGGCGGGACATGACTGAGTGCGGCGGTGTGACATGAGTGCGACAGCGTGACATGAGTGCGGCGGCGTGACATGAGTGCGGCGGCGTAACATGTGACGGCGTGACGTGTGACGGCGTGACATGTGACGGCGTGACACATGAAGGCGCGGCATATGAAGGCGGGACATGTGACGGCAGGAGTGTGTGGCGGTGTGTTGTCTGTGTGGTGGATGAGGTGTCTGCGCGGATGCTGTGCGCATGTGTCTCGCCCCTGCCCCTGGATGGGCCGCCAAGATGGCGCTGCCTCTTTGGGTGGCTTGTTTTGTTGTCGTGGTTCGGTCTATATCTCATCCCCACGCCGCCGCCATGGTCTGGCGCCTTCGTGGTCGTATCTTTGTGGTGTTGGGCTTGGGGTCGGTGGTTCTATTCTGCGGGCCGGTCGAAATCAGGCCGAGGGCTTCTCTCAGACCATATTCCAGCCGGCCACGGATTTGTCTCCGATGGATCACGCGGCCGCCCTCGGATTTGTCTCAGATCCTACGGCCGTCAACTGATTTGCCTCAGACCATACGGCCGACCACGGATAAACTTGCGCCAGATAATACTCACGGCCGTCCGCGGATTTGTCTCCGACCATACGGCAGCCCGCGGGTTTGTCTTAGAGCATACGGCCGTCCGCGGATTTGTCTCAGGTCATCCCTCAGCTCCGTCACGCTGCTCACCCTCCAAGTTATCTACTCGGTATCATTCGTCACGCCGTCGAAGCGTGGCGCTTCACGTTATAAGAGCGTGGCGCGTCACGCTTTCAAGTGTGACGCATAGGAGCGCGCAAGCCTCCCCCCCTATGATAGGGGGGGGAGGGGGAAAGTGTTCAAGCCTGCGGTCTATACTGCGCTCGCTAGCTCTTACGGGGCCGCCCCCCTGAACGCTGGAACATAAATATTCTCTTTATCATATTTCTAATCAATTTTCGAGAGAGGTCAAATTTGTAACTACAACAGACGAAGCGGAACAAACCTGAGTCTCCTCCGAACGAGAAGTTGTCTTTCTCCCGCAGGGTAGTAACTCGAGGTGCGGACTCCGTGACTTCTACGGCTTCGACGCATTTTTGTAGGATGCCCGCGAAGTCTTGTGTGAGAACATCATTGAGAAAACGCAAGAAGCCGCTGAAAGTCAACACACTCGTTTCCCGTCCATCGTCACGTTTCCAAGCTATTGCGTGTCTCTCAAACAACTCGCGCATCTGCCGCAGCTCAGCTTTGGACAACCGCATCTCTAGGCCAACCTTCATTAAAAGAATTAAGAGAAACCCATATGCGGACTCAATTCATCTTGGGTCTCTTTTCCCCTTACGCAGAGTATTTTGAAGATGCTTCATCTGGAGATGGATTCCCGGAAGCCGTAATTTCAGCATTTGCTTCACTGCGAACAGCCCAACAAAAGGCCGGTCGTCGGCAAGCTCCACGTACTCCTGATACACCTCACGCAACTGCAGTGTCTCAGGAATGAAGAAGGGTACACTTCCCGCACCTATGATACAGGAAGAATTTCTTGAAATGCAGTATCGATCTTGATCTTCTACACTGCGAGGTACTTATATGCATATTCAAGCGTAGTTGACCACAAGACCAAGTTGTTGTATAGACAAGTTCGTGCTTCGCTCGTTCCAAAACGAGACTCGTAGCCATCACACTCTTTCCCTCTAACGAGAGGTCGCGGACGTTAAAGACGCAAGGCAAGAGCAGTTAAACTAATATATTTTATCTATTTTATCAGGATGCTTCAGCCCATGTACTTATATATAAAAATGGTAGCTTGAGGAAACATTTTCATTTTCCATTTTGGCTGCGCAGCCCTGTCTATACGAGGAAATAGGCACCCTGTCATTTGAGACGCGAAGGAATGGAAATGAGAATTGAAGAAATGACCTATGCATGATCATATCTTCGTCTGATGTTATTTGGAGCCGCTCCGCGGCTTCTCGTTCTTCAAGGTACTCCACGTGCTCGTCTGCATCTAGGAGGAGCCTCAATATCTGCAGAAAGTGTTCCACGTTCTGTAATGTGAGTGACGCTTCCGCCGGCGCCGACGGCCCTGACGCGGTGGTAGTACCCGTGAGCATTGCGCAAGCTCCATGAGCAGCTCCAGTTGTTGACGGCATATTGCTATTGGTAACTGCATGTGGCTGGCCACCTCCTCCGCTCGGGCCGCCAGCCGCGTTGGCTGCGACCGGCGAGGTAGAAGCCGAAATGGGCGCCGCAGCCGGAAAAATGATCTGCAAGACTGATCTATGAAGGAGGACGTCAAGCAAAAGTCCCGCGAAGTGGTTGGGTGGAACTGTACATAACGTGCCTATCTTCTTCTAGCAAGGGGTCGTAGCTGATCGTTATTTTCAGAACCAATCTATGCATGGAAAATATTTTTGGATCCTTCCAACTCGACTCCACTAGCATATCTTTGAAACCGGTCCGGCATCAGCCTCACGTGGTAGCAAAGACCGAGATCGCGAAGTAGTTTCAAAAGCTGCGTCCTCGTCAGTGTCGATTTATCTCGTGTAAAAACTTTTCTGTACACGTCCCGTAGCAACTTCGCCTCTTCTCGCCCGAAGCCGAAGTGCTCTCGCTTGGCTCCTAACACCAATCGAAAGACGTCCAAAAAATGTAGAAAAGTGTCCAAATCCGACAAGACGCCGCGTAGTTCCGGAATCCGCGACCGGTCAAGCGCTTTTAGCAACAGAGTGCGGTCTCCTGGCTGTGCGGATACGCATTCCAACGCAGACAAGAGATTCGATGCAAAGCTGCCTCCGAAAAGGCAAACCGCCTGTAACGAGCTCCGACGGTCACGCTGGTAAGTGGGCGCCACATCGAAATCGCGTAGATTAGATAGCTTTGACCTAGAACAATGGTCTAACTCCGTCCGCGGTAGTTTACTTTCTTGCTACTCCTCCTCACACAATTCATAATAATCTAATTATAAGCACTGGTCGAAGCGTTTCAAGCTATACTATCGAGCCAAGTAAAAGGGGGAAATATGAGTTTCAATGTCTACTTTGCAAGCAACAGACCCGTGTTCCAGGAATGAGCCACAGTGAGAAATTCACAGAGCTGTCTTCATTGCAGGCCATACCATACTCTGCGCCAGTATTCTGTTGGTGCTCGGACAGCACTTCGCCAATCAATGCGGAAGCACCCGCGGACGGGTTGAGACCCGTATTGCTGGTGCGTCGCCGCGCCTCGGCTTTTACTAATGGCGATGCCAAGGCGAGTGGCATATCGCCTGAGGCACGCCGACTTCCGCGCATCTCGCCACTTCCACGCCTCAGCTCGCTCGAGGAGCGTCGCCCACGAGGATGCTGAAAAAAGGAAGCAAGGTTCGGTGAAGCATTTTCTACATCAGTTGCCGTACTAATAGACATCATTTTCGAAACCGTCCCGCCAGCTGTCATGCTTCCAGAGCCACTGCCTCCTGTTGCTCCACCAACATTGCCGAGAAAAGTAGCTGTTCCCGAATCACCAGGATCGCAATCGCCTTCAGGATTTCCAGGTGAGTACAGCAAGGGAGATGACAAGATCTCGAAGATGTAGCGGCAGAAATCTCTATCACACTCCCTGAAATGCATCATGTACTCCAAATATTCAGCACCATTTAGGGGCGTGAAGGTGATAAATCGACCGCAATTCGCAGCTGAATTTGTAGAGGTAGACAATCAGTGTGAAATAGAAGAGATTCTCGTAAATTCCGTCCTTGCTGTCAAAAGGGTCGCACTTTGACGTGAAATTACTTTCAACAAAGCATGTTGAGCAAGAGATTATACTACCTATAAACGAACATCGTTCCAGCGCTTCGTACACAACGCGCGGACAAGCGTTGTAGCCAAAGAAGCGCAAGCAATTCTGTAACTCGTGTATGTCGATTGGATTCGGGTAGTCTAAGGAGAAGGCCCTCCGAACATCGTCCAGTTCCTCTGCTTGGCGTGGCGTAAAACCGAACGTCTGCACTTGAGCAGAGCCGGCGACCTGAGTTTTTCACAACATATTTGTAATCGCACATGGCTGCGGACACTCTTCTGCAACATGCAGGATGATCAGTGACTACTGCCATCTTGGAAATACCGGCGATTTTGGCTGGTCCCTCGGGCTGTTTCCAGCAGCTACGAAATCATGGCCACCGCGACCTCGGTATTTGTCAGACAAAAGAGATAAAACTGGGTCGTCTCTCATGGCCTTAGTGCTAGGCAGCCCACCCTCTCCGAAGTTACCCCGCGAGACGGTGGGCTCGCCTCCCTGCGTACCCCCGTAGCCGGCGTGTCCGGTGGCGCGAGGATCTTCTCGTCGGTGCGACTCGCCGCTCGCATGTGCATTTCAGGTATGAATAGAGCAAAGACAAGGGCCAAGCTAGCCGTGCGAGCATAGTAAAACATAAAGAAACAATTCATTGATGATCGGGAAAATGTCCGACTCCAATGCAAGCTGTATGTGATGTAATAGCAAGATGTTGTTGTTGTACACGACATAAATATTGTAGCTGTCGTCCTCGTCGCTATCCGAAGAGGAGCTGCTCGTCGCGTCGCGGTTTCCAAAACTCGAGAGAAAGTCACTCGCGCCGATGTTCGACGACCCGTCTCGCATTTTCGCAACTGTGTTTTCGACAAAAGCATTTCCCTCCGAATTTTCCTTGGGACTGCTTCCAAAGAGGCCGCCGCCTGAGGAGAGGAAGCCGAAATTGGAATTCCCAGATCCTCCTGCACCTCCACCAGTCCCGAAAAATCCACCGCCAGGACTCGCACCACTTCCTACGGCTCCAGTCATTTTCTGCAACTTTTTCTGGCTCTTCTTAGCGGTAGGGTTTTGGTGTTCGTTCACCCCGTTCGTTATGCCTTTCCCCCTTCAGAAAGGCAAAACTAACGGTAACAAGAACACGTTTGACCTACCCTTAATTTTCTGCATCTTCTTCTGATTTTTGGTCTTTTCGTCCTTCTGCGAAAAATGAAATTTTCTGGCTAGCGTCTCGAAGTCTCCTCCGAACGCGTGCACGCGCTTTTGCTGCTCTTGCGTTGCCTTTGCGCTTTTTGCATTCCCCGCAATACTATTTCCCTCAGCCCCACGCGCACATGCTGCTCCCAAACGATGTCGAAGCTCGTCCTCATTGCCGTGCCAAAGCTCAGCGCGAGAAAAGTGCTCGAACCGCCCGCCGACCCGCGATGCTGGTCCCCTTCGACGAAACAAGCGATACAAATTATGCCCATTCGATCTCTTTCTGTTCGTCCCAGTAGTTCCTGGTTTTGTTGACGAGGCACCAGTATCTCCTCTGACCATCTTCGCTTTATGCCAGGACGATCCAGAGGAAAGGCTCGCGGAAGGAGAAGCTTTGCCTCTTGCTCTTGGCGTATGAACGTCGGCGCCCGGCGACTTTCGATGTCCGACTGATAGCAGCACCCGTGCAAGCAATTGTGACGTTGAGACAGCGACGCCTGCAGTCGGACTGTATCCGGGACTCCTGCCTACAGCAGTAGCGCCAAAATGATTGTAGGTCTCCTGTTGACCATCTCTACCGCCATTACGGTCACATCTGGATGGACTCGACGATCCTAGTCCAGCAGACAACCAGGAGTCATCATGTCTTCGTGGCTTATTTCTTGCGTTAGGGCTGCGACTTCTTCTAAGACTCGTGGTGTAGGCCGCACCCGATTCCAGTAGGGTGATTGGCAGATCTCCGCGATCTAAACGAGCTTGGGCAAGTTCCTGTACCACGTTGCCCTCTGGAATCTTCGGCACTGTCGCATTATAACGCCGCTCACTCAACATTTTTCGATGTCACGAACGTTAGCAGGTCCTTCAGGAAAGAAGACTCCAACGATATGAACAAAGTTGTCCTTGTTACTATATTATAAGAATCCATTGGAACTTTCTCTCGTCACCACAAGACGAAGGGAGAATTCTCCCTCTCAGAATCATGAGTTTTCTCTCCATGTGGTACTTCGTCAAATCAAATAACGCAGTGCGCTATGTAAACCCCAAACAGCTAGAGGCTCCGTAGCCTTTGACCGATTTAGGGCGATAAAAATATCCCAAAAATGTATCAACGGTCTTAATTCTAAAAATAGAGGTGAACCCCTCGTCAACAACTCTTTCACGTGATGCAGGGCCAATGACTTCTTTTTATGAAGCACTCAGGCGGACGGAGGAGGGAACACACAGTTGTTGACATCTAACAGCATCCGAGAAGTGGCACTTGTAGTGAATTTATCACCATGACCGCGAAAGCTCCTTCTGAAAACGGTATTCAATATTCGAACTGCTCAAATAGCATCAGGTATCATTCCTCTGCGAGATCTTTTGACTTTTGGGCGGAAATTAGTAAAATCATCATCATCATCATCATCATCATCATCATCCTTGTATCTTAGATGGCTAAAACTAAGACCAAGCATTAAATTACAAATAGAACTCTTGAAATTTACTGATGTCGTAGGCAGGGGAAAATTAGTAGATAGAAGCAACAAATTACAATAAAAATCATAGTGGTTGTTGGCACAGGTTGGAAAGCAAGTAACGAATTCGAATCATACATTTTCACTCTAGTAGTTTTTCTTTTTCAATGAATGACATGTCAAACTCGTCTATCATTCCACTGGACGAAAAGGCCGCTGACCGAAGAAGGTCAACCACTATTGCCTGTAGAGGTCATCCAAGTCGTCGGCAGCGATCCCTTGGGGGTTGGGCAATTTTGTGCCACGTGGAAGGAGACCCGCGGCCACGCACACGTCCAGAATGTCCGCATTTTGTAGTGGAGCCAGCTCTCCGCAAGCGTAGAGGTAGTCGCACTGCGTTGAGTTAAAAGGCACGCCCATTCCCTTGGTGTATAGCTTCGGTGCATAGGGGTCGTCAACTGTGGTGTAGAATTTAAGGGCGGCCTTTGCTGCTTTCTTCTGCATACGATCGAAGTGGTGCAGTAACAAAGAGACCCGCTCTTCGTCGGTTTTCACCTCGGCCACGGCCGCGAACACAGCTGGCTCCCCACCATCCGCGTATGCTTTCTCGACCATGCTCAGCCTGTCGCGCGACCATAAACCGAAGCAGCACATGCACGTCTGAATCGCACGTAATGACAGTTCACCGGTCACATCGTTGAGGTGCTCCGCATCTCCCATAACAATGCCTCCCGACAGAGAGAGTGTCACGCCTTCACCTGTTTGCGTGATTAGCTTCACCCGCCGAGACGGCTGCTCGACGAGCCGCACAGGTTCTCCCACGAGCAAGGGCTCGCCCTCCCCGTTGTCCGCCATCGCACTCTCTTTGTTGGCCCCGCCAAGAGGGGGGACAGGAAACGTTTTGCTCTCGGTATCGAACATAGAGAGAATCGCCCCCGGATTTTTCAGGTATGTGCGGCTGAAGGTCTGCGCTTGCACGGTCGCAATCCCAGCCACGCGCGAATGTTTCAGACGTTCACGCGCGTTCACGAGAAGCGGCAGCGAAGCTTGCTCGCGCGTCAGGCGCACCAGATTCCCATATTTGTATGGAACCACATACGGCACCAGAAACGCTTTCCCCCTCACTGCGCATAGCTGCACAGCACCAACCTCCTCAAGATACGTCTCCAGCGACTTGACAACCATTTTCAAACCAAACAAGACTTCAATAGAATCAGAAGTCACTCTGAAATCAATGAATTGGAAGAATGAACTGAGAAACCGTGGTCTCGCAGGGTTTAATCAATGGAAAAAAACAATGATGAGTCAAAAACTCGAGTAGGACTATTTCTGCGGGAACACAAACACAGAACCACTTGCTTCTAGATGAAAAACTAAACGAAGAGAAAAAAATCAGTACTGGAAATGAAAAAGGATAATCAGATTTACTTTGGTCCTGTCACCGCAGATTTCAATCTGCATCATCAAAATGGATCTCAAATTTTGAACGAAGTGGAATTTCACAATCTTACAGAAAATGAAAAGCTTTCTTATAATTGGATGCACTAGTTCAACAGAAATATGAGGCAACCATTTTGGATCTTTCATCTGCTCAGACACATGGGACGAGAACCCTTCTGAACAAGACAGTTGATAATATAGATCTGGCCCTGGCTTATCCTGTTTGTGATCCGATAGTATGACTGTTGATACGTCTTAGCTGTCCGGCAAGTACATCATACGAGGAGCTTTTGTCCAGGATGATCAGATAGTCTTCCATGGAAACGCTGCTGGGATCTTGTTCTAGGTCATGATCATAGAAATTTCGGAGCAAAATCCATACCGTACACGCAACAGGCCAGAGCATCACAGGCTTAACAGAATCAAACTCTTTCATAGATGTGCCATCCACGCGCTTACACTAAGTGCAGCGTCTTCTACTCCAGAGGAAATTTACTCTTTTGAAGGGACAGAAGTCTTCCAAATCATTAGAAAGATGTTCTCTTTAGGAAACCAAACAGATATTTCTGCTCTCCACCAGCGACACTCATTCGAATAAGTCGATATAACAGATCACGTCGATCTAGACAGACAATTATTTTGCAAACCACTTTTCTACAGTTGGTTAGCTCGGACACATTAAGCGAAAGTAAGCTTTTGGCCAAACAAAGCTAAGATTTCGAAAATGCGCATCGCTTCATCGAAAAAAATTCCCTTAGTTCGCAGTAGAAGCAGGCCTGTCTAATTGTAGTTGTGGGACATTCTCGAGGCTAATCAAATGCCACTTTTACCAAGGGCTTCACTGCTCCTGGCTTGTTCACTGAATCTAGAAAGCACTTTTCATATGCGGTGAAGTCACACCGGCGCAGCGTCTCCTCACCGTCTTCACGCGACAATGACCTCTACAATTTTTGACACGCTAAATCGATGTACTCAAGAACGATAGGTTTCGGTCACAGCGGCTTGAATATGTGACATGGCTCAGGGGAGCGGCCCCCCCAAGCGCGGCGGGGGCCGTGGATCCTCGGAACCCTTTGGGAGGCGTCTGCCGGAGGTGGAAGGCTTCCAAAGGGGTTCAAGGGGTTTCCTCCGCTCACTTCCAGCTGCCTGCATGTACCCGACCGGCTCCCTATGTGCTGGCCCCTCGCCACAGCAGCAGCGTGCCGGGTGTGAAAGGCCTCCGAAGGCGGCAAAAGGCGCAAGGCTGGACCCCCTGAGCCGTGTGGCCTGTACCCTCCGGGCCCTTGGTCATCGGCCGGCCGGCTCTTGCCGCGCATTTGATGGGGGCAACCCAGCAAAAGGGGCCAGGCCTCGAGACCTCGGGAACATGCAGAGAGGCGCAAGGGGGCGCCCGCTCCCAGTTTGGACGCCTTCCACCCCAAGAATCCGCAGAAAAGAGCGCGCAAGCGCCACCACAGGGCCATCCACAGGGGGGGAGGGCGTGCGTCCCTGAATCATATATTCAGTTTTTCTACAAGCATGGATAAGCTGTAAAGCCGTTTCGAAGACTTAGCCTTATCGTGTCAAAAGGAGGGTCTTCTAGTCGTTGGACATAAGTTTCCTGGTTCGCCACGCGAGAGACACTGGAATAGACCAGCACTGACTTCTTCGCATCCCTTTCTCACCATCGGAAAAAATGGAGGCACTGCGCTTCTTCCGCTATCGCAAGCGCAGTCTTTTTCGCCAGAAGCTACATGGCTTGGAGGAGGATCGGCGGATGCCATTTTCTTTGTAGTTGTAGATAATTGGCAAGGACACCAACCAAAGTGTTTTGCGCTTACTAAAAAAATGGTATCGTATTTCAATGAGTTTCAATTTGTCAAATTTCGTTTCTATGAAGAGCAGAAAAGCAATGAACTATGCTTTTACACGTATTTCAGGATTCCTTGTTGTCTTCCGTCATGTTTCACAGAAGCGCATCTTGCGTATGCTCCATGGAAAAACAAATCGTATCAGCAACTTTTGAAGTAAATGAGTGCGACGCCGGTTCTGGTTCTCGTTCGCGTTCTACCTTTCTTGATAGAACTTTTTTGCCCACCGAAGGTGGACACCAGTACGTAATACATGCACAACTATCAAGTACAGGTAGTGAAATTCTTATCGAAACAGGAATCACCAACAAGGAATGCATGGTAGCGAAATTCTTACAAGATCATGCTGCGCAAACATGAGATATGTAGGGTAGTATGTGTATGCAACAATGAATTGGAGTAATATACACGCCCAATCGTCCTCCACCACTCTGTAGTATATGTTGAGGGCCTAGATTTCTGACTGATTAAGGACAAAGCATGGCCCTGCCAGTAGTATGATAGCCAAGAGCAAGACCACTCTGTAGTATTTTTTCAGCATCAGCGATAAGTCAGCTGCTCTCGAGATCCACGCGTACACAACCAGTGACGAAGTACGCATCACGGATCTTCCCGATCTCGGCGGCCGTTTCAGCGAAAAAGCTACGCGAAAGGACGACGGCCCGTGCCTGCGTAACCAAAAAGAACTCTCCGAAGGCGTTCTGAAAGCCCTTGACGCCAGGCTGAAATTCAGACCGGTCAATGTGAACGCGACCCACACCGGCAGGAACGCGCAGCTTTTTCCGCAGAAGGTTCGAAGTGGAAGAATCTGTCAAAATGAAGAAATATTGCAGAATAAGATTCTTTCATTACTCAAAATGAAGAAATGACCCAGTTCACTGGAGCACAAGATTCTTTCATCACGTTGATGAATAACAATGAAGAAATGACCGAGTTCATTGGAGAACAAGTCTTTCATCACGTTGATGAATAAAAATGAAGAAATGACCGAGTTCATCGGAGAACAAGATTCTTTCACCACGTTGAGGAATAACTGGCAAGCTTGAGAGAAGAGCCGAGAAATACGATTATGAGTCTACTTGTAGGGGAATAAAAAAGTCACAGTTTACTTTTGTTGACTAAGAGTTCTTTTTAGTGTAATTGGCAACAAGAAATTTAAATTCACTCTGTCTACAGCGTCGATTTCAATGCAATAGTTACCACTTCTTGCACCGCGTGGAGACGGAAGCAGAGACGATGTTTTTGTCACGTTTTGTTCTTGATCCTCTTCCCTGGCATCCACATTCGCTTGCTGCTTTTCGAGCTCTTGTTCATTAAGAAAGTCGCGGTACCTCTGCTCACCGTCCATATACCAACTTTCTGGTACCTGTCTCAGGCTATCCGCGTGCGAGATTAGAGCTTTTTATTCCATCTATTACGTCCCTGGCCTTGGGGGCCAGTAAAAGGAAATCCGTCAAGCAAAGCGAAGAGGGAAGACCACTCGCAGCCCCGATGGCACTGCCGTGACGCGCCCACGCTACCGAGTACCGACAGAAAGCAAGGCGCCCAACCTCAAGCTGGCAGATGGCACACAGAAACACCCACGGCCCGCCGGCTAACAATGCGCGCCGTTTGCCGTCTGCCTGTCATACTAACAAACTACGCAGGCGCCCTCACTCTCCCTGCCCACGACGACGCGCAACGCACTTCTCCCCAGCCCCACGCACTTCAGGCTCAGACAAGCCACGCTCGCCCGACTCGACTGGCGACGCGCCTGAGAGTCCCAAGCCCGCGCCCAATGCCTAAAAAACTGCCTTGTTCTGTAGCCTACACGCAAATCACGAACAAAAAGGCGGCGCATTCTGTAGCTTACACGCAAAGAAGCGACCGAAGAGACCCCACGAAAACCAAAGAACATCAGAGGCCTGGGGCCGCAGAGGGCACAATGCCAACGACACTCCCACAGACCTGGCCAGCGCCATGCCGTCGCGATTGATTCATGAGAAGAACACACAGGAACAGAAAAAACGGGCAGTCAGATCCCCAGGCGCAGCGGCCACATTGCCAACGACACTCCCACAGGCCTGGCCAGCGCCCTGCCGTCACGACTCAGGAGAAGAAGACACACAAACAGAAAAAACGGGCAGCCAGATCCTCGGGCACAGAAGCCACACTGCCAAAGACACATCCACAGACCTGGCCAGCGCCATGCCGTCGCGATCCATGAGGAGAACACACACGAACAGAAAAAACGGGCAGCCAGATCCTCAGGCGCCAGGGGCAGGCGGATCAGCACAAACCCCGCAAACGACCCACCCGACTGCCGCCGGAGAAGGAAGACACGACAAGCACGCAAAAACCGGAGCCGTGGGCGGTGAATACACAAAACACCACAAAAAGCCAACCGAAACACCCCGACACGGCTGCGGCTTTCTTGCAGTTTTTGGCAACTTTTGGGCGGCGGTGTCTTTTGCAGGATTTCCGACTCCTTCCACCCTATTGCGGTGGCGATTTTCTTACAATTTTTTCGGGCATGTTGATGCAGTAAATAGCAAGATCCCTCCCCGCGCGAGAGTGACAGATTTCCTTGATCAATTGAGTACGAATTCTAGCGGACGAGAGGAAGAGGAAGTTGGTGCACTCGTTGTCATCTCCAACCATAAGAGAAGCCAAGGCGTGTCCGGAGGCAACGCTAGATCGCGCTCTATTTGCATCGCACACTGCAAAAACTCTACAACTGAGGAATTATGCCGATGCGGATCAAACGCGATGTCGCCTGTACGATAGTGAATGCTGATGTACGGGGCCAGGCGGTGGGGTCGTTCTCGGTGTGCCGTGTCTACGGGATGCCTTTCGTCTTGCACCTGCGCCGTCGAGGTTATTTCGACTTGATGTGTGCTCTCCTCAAGAGCAGGAGAGGACACTGCATTTGGCAGTAGGCCTAGCTCGTCGGCGATATCGTTTATTGTTTGCTCGAGATACACGCTTGGTGAGAAAAGAAATCGAGTAATGCGACTCAACAAATGCGGCATTTGCAAATCGCAACCTTCACCATAGATAGGCTTCACAAGCCGATTGTTCCCGCGCAACAGCAGCACCTGATCTGGCGCAGAGAGTAGACGGTCCAAGTCGTCTCTGAAGTCTACACGCTTATCGAAGTAGGTGCGCGTATTCAGCAGCGATACCTGCCCAACATCTACGCGCCAATCAATGCGGTTGGGCGCAAACACCGAGGACCAGTCAATCGGGTTGCTGCTCAGCAACAGAAAACGCCGGCGCGTCACAAAGGCCAACAGGAAGAGCGTCAACAGCCCGTTGAGTCGATCGCCGTGCCCACCACACTGCGAAAAGGGAAGGCAAACGATAACCAGACTCCTTGCACCAGGAGGATTTTCTGTGTGCCAGCGAGCGTAATCTTCTAGGTTTTCCACCGTCGGAAGTGGAAGCCCGGAGCGACAGAACGCCCTGGCTTTCACACCTGATTCGGCGAGCACACCGTCGGCCAAACCGAAAAGCACTCTATTGATGGCGCCACTCGATGTTGAGGACGACGACACTTGTGTATCTCCTACTCCATCAACTCCACCAACGCCAGCCGCACTCTCGACAATCAAGTCAACGCGCGGCTCCCGCAGGTCAACTATCCGGATGTCGAGGGATGTCGGTGATCGCAATTTTGACACACGGTGCTGCAACTGCGAGAAGACGTAGTGCTGCACCTCTTCTGTCACAACCAAATGCCGGTACCCTGGAAACGACGCGGTGGACCCGTCGGAAGCATCTAATTGTCGTACGAAAATCTTGTCTACAAGCACCTGCGAGACATCACGTAGACTCATACTCGTAGTCTGACGCGAGGATGCTTGAAGCATTGTGTCGAGTCCTGTTTTCTCAAAAAAGCTGTGTTCGCCGAAAAGATGGTGTGTGTTTGCGTGTCGCTTCCACACGACTTCAACGTTCTGCTTATCGCGCAGCATCATCTTCAGCGTGGACGCATGCATCGGGCGCAAACAAAATCGCGACTCTGCTGTGCCGTGGCACTCTCGGCCGAGAGCTTGCATGGCGTCTCCAACAGTTTCTTCTAAAACGAGCGTCGGCCGTGTTTCCTGCAACAATTCCCCAGCCAGACGGTCAACGACATCGTCAGCTGTTCTGTTTGAAACCAACACACACAAGACCTCTTGCTTGTGTGAATCTTTTGAGCTACACTTGAGATTTTCCCGCAAAGCTCCTAAAGCATGGCCATCGTGCTCCACGTGATGAAGAGCTTGACGACTATTTTGTCTAGTACAGGCTTCATCTTGATCTTTTTCATCTACTCTTTGTTTCTTTGCCGCAGCTGTGCTGAGGGCTTCCATTTTTGAGGCTGCGGCGGAAGCGATCCAGTCTCCATACATCTTGCTTTTCTCCAAGACCCAGTTTCCCCACATGCGGTCATCCTCATCGATCAGGCCTTTTAGCATGCACTCCCAACCTAAGTTTCTCAAAAAGACCTCCTGCGTGACCACGGAGTAGGGAAAGCTCAAGGCAATCATCAAACCTTCCATGATTTGTTGCGCGCTCTCGGGAAAACGCCCTGGTTCCGTAAACTGCGAGAGACCGCCACTGCCATGGCCGAGGTGATAAGATTCTACCACAAACTCCTGTGTTGAGGTCGGATCTGCGCCCTGTTGGCCGTGGTCTCCGTCTGATCGAAAAATGGAACCTGCAAGTGGTGCAATGGATACTTCGTTGCGTCCCGGCAAGGACAACCTTGTTTGCTCCAGAGGTGAAAGAACAAATTCTGAGCGGTCAACACGCCGAAACAGGCCACTCACAGGCTGCTGGTAGGTGGGACACACCAAGTCGCCGTTTGTGGAGAGGACATCGCGCTCCTCTGGGTTGTACAGCTGAGTTGCAACATTCAGGAGACCGCTTTCCATCGAGTTCACAAGCTGAAAATACATCTTTAATGATGGAATCACACTTTTCAACTGCGTGAAATCCAACCGGGAGGCTACATGTGATGATAATAAAGACGCCTTTGTTGACCGTTCTTTGTCCACACTATTTGTACTTTCTGCAACCGCTGCTCCATCTTGTTTTTCCTCGTTCGACTTAGAGGCTGCTTCGGCAGCAGCAACCTGCAGAAATTGTGCATAACCAGGGACACAGCGGAGACAAGTGAGCTCACGCGCCAGCTCTGCTATTTTTAAAGGTCGACACTCATTGGTCGCTGATTCTGAACGGAAGAGACCACCTGTAAAGCTCCCTTTTCCCTTTTCCCCTGTTCATTCACGGGAGCCCCTCTTCTTCGATCTCAGTGAACAAGACAGCCTCAATGACCACCAATGAAAGCTGAGCCTTAATATCAGTGGTTGTGATTCGCGGATCAGCTTTCGGAATTCGTCACCGGCGTGTAGCAAAACATCGAAGCTGTTCCGGATAGCGCGTTCACACATGTGGCCCTTAGTTAGAGCTCAAAACAATTCTTCTTCATCATCATCATCATCAGAGCAAATCAAATGGTCAGCACTAACCATCAGCAAGATTTCTTGTTCCCTTCATTAACTCTCCCAATTGTCCTAAGAAGGAAAAGAAGGAGAAATGGCTTGTAGAAATGAATTGACGTATTGAGCCTTAACTTAGTGTTGATCTTGGGCAGCGGCTTTTTCAGCATCTCCCTTTCGTGCTCCAAAGAGCTCTCCACCCACAACGACATTTCGTACAGCTTCGGGAACGAACAACAGGAATGCAGGAGCACAGGCTCCTGATCGGACACAGGCAGAGATATACTGTGGTCGTCGCCGTCTTGATCATCGGCAACACCTCCTTGCAGCTGCTCTACTATACTTTTATTCTCCCTGTCGCGGTGTGGTGCGGACGTGCGCAGTCCAGTTTCCGTGTCCACGCCTTCGAAAGACATCCCCATGTCCTCGTAGCAGCGCAGAAAGTGCAACGTATTCGCAGAGCTGGCGTCGGCAACAGAGAACTGGTACAGCGTCTCGGCTGTATCCACATCGCACACATCTTTTGCCGCTGTGTTGACACCTTCAGCAAAACGACCAAAACCAACAAAGAATAAGGTACAACTCGGCCGAGCATAAAAAATGCCGACAACAGCGGCGCTCCAGCCCCGTAGCACGCGCATCGTTGTGCTGTACGTGTAGGTGGCTCCTGAAATCGATGCACCTCTGAGAGAGATCTCAAAGTACGCTGCAAGCACTCCATGCGACGTGGTACATGATTTTTATCGCTGTCGTAGCAGCCTTGCCTATCTCTTCTTCATCTCCGCAACGTCAAGGTAACGCGTTCTATCAGGACGAAAGACACGAGGACCACACCCACCATTGACATATTATTGCGTTGCATCAAGAACCATCTTTTCTTCTAGGTACTATTGTATAACACAAAACGATTTACATTGACTTCTATGTATCTATTATAATATATGTATTCGTGGACTTAATTTCAAAAACAAAACCTTGTACTTCACTGCAAATGACAGCACTCTGTTCTGAGATAGAAAAGCACGAGCCTCTCGCTCTTTTCCCACCCGCTCTGATGGCTCATTATTGTTTTCAGAATGCGGAAATGAGTGAATCTTCGTCACTTCAAATTTCATAGAAAGATACTCAACCGAACCTTTTCCCTCCCGAAATGCCATTCATGTTTGTGATTCCGCTTTCCGGGCCTCAGAAGCGTGCTTCCGAAGTTTTCAAACCACTTGTGTGCAGCGTGTCTTCTTTCAAAAAGCAAGACCATTCTAAAAACAAGGGTTACTTGTGATCAAATGGCGCAATGTTGTCTTGCCTTGCGTAGCGGCGACCGCTATTATCATACTTCATCCAACTTCTCCGTCTCTCCATCATTTCCCGTTGCTTCCTGCCCACCTCCATCCGCTTCGCGCCATCCACTTCCGTCTGCATCGTAATTTCATACGGCACCTTCAATGTGGGATCGTTGAAAGCGCGCTTCAAGTGCTCCGCGATTTCTAGTACGTCTATCTTCCGCTCATTCCGGAGCCAGCACTTATCACCCTTGTCCACGGCCGAATTTAGAAAAGATCAGATTCTGCATTATGTCTATGATAACATTGGCACGCACTTTCCTTGGCATATAAGCCTTACCTAATTTGTCCATGTGGAGAATCAATGGTAATATTTCGCGATCGCGAAAGCATCCTTCCTGACAGAATTGCGTTTTCAAAGGAATTGGAAGCTCTTGAAAAACTGTGAGATAAGACTAAAAACTTGCACTAAAAGCTGAACACTTTGGAGCCTTAAAACATGACACTCTTGTGCAGTACCAAACCCAACGTATGCAATGCCACTGTTGGTGTGCTCCAGCAGTTGCCGGTCCGGCGGTGCTTGCTTCTGATCCGAAATACGTCTTGACGATCCAGGGGTATGCCCAACGCGAGCACTGGTCGCTGACGAAGACGCACAAGTCCCTGACGGCAAGTTCAATTGAGTGAACCCACCCCGCCGAAATTGGTAAGGAAATACAACAGAAGTCGGCGAAAGACCGGTCCAATCTCGGAAGAAGTCAAGAATATCCAATTTCGTAGTGTGATAAGGCAAGCCGCGGACCATCACCCGATGGGGGCTCACATAAGGGAGCACTGCGCTACTCATTTTGTTATAATTTGTTTGACTTAAGTGGAAATCGAAAGAGATTACACAATTACATGTCTCTACTCAAAAACGTCTCATGCTCTCACTAGCTTTCCGGATCCCGCCACAACAAAACAAGACGCAGGACGCGCCGGCCGTAACTCAATGGTGTCAGAAAAAACAAGTGGGCCCAAACTAACGCGCGCAGTGAGATCATAGGATCACAAATCTGTGATGGCGCAAGGCCTCGGTCAGATCTTTTGTGCAGAGGGACCGAGTGAAAAAGATATCGCTCGTTATTTTGTTCACTTATTCTGTGTGTATGCTTCTCCGCAACGAATCTAATAGTACTCAACACGACTCCGACAGAAACCAATTCGGACTGCAGGGCTTACAACTATTAGGCGGATGTAGATTGATTGTGTTGTAGCTGCGACTTGGAAACGCAGTTTGTTATTCTATCTGTCTCTAGCGGGCTTCAAAAACGGGCGAACGATTTCTACAGCAAGCACATGCCTTGGTCAATGCGGGCTGGCGAGTGTGAGTAGGGAAGAAGGTAGAGAACAAAACATCAAAGCTAGGTCGAGTATGGGCGACAGATTGAAAAAATGGAAATGTCTTCTACTAACTACCGTAAGTACTTATCCAGGGGTAATTTCAATGATTGATGCCAACCTGCTTCAGCCCTAGCTAGCATTTTTCGCTTCCGCGCACCAACCACAGTCTGCACACCATAAAGTGAAGGGAAGGGCTCTTGACTGCTTACGATCTCTTGGTAAAAATCTACTTCCTAATTTACGAGGACTGCAGTGATAGAGTTGCAATGACGGTCCCGCACTCTTGTCCAAAAGCGTACACATTTTGTTTTCACGCTTTCATTCAAGAGCATCATGCGCAGAGGTCCTGACTTCATCGCCCTGGCAGTCTATGCCAGGTGAAACGTCTCTGCCCATCTTTCACGAAGACTTGTGTGAGTGTATTCGGCTTTCGGATATAATGTAGAGACAAGCGCAACATGCGCATGCAAATATTAAGATTCGTGTGGGAAAAGAAAATATTACAACAAGTGCCCTGCGCTACTTTGAGTGGACTCAGATGCAACACTCTCAGTATCAGTCTTGTTAGTCCTGAATCAGTATGGGCAGAGGAGGTAGATCAAGAAGCTCCGACATCTTTATGCGTCTGCGGTCCAAGTCATGGCTTAGGGCATTGCCCAAGAGATAGCGCTACACATGATGATCATGCCAATCTACTCGGCAATCTGCCTAAGACGGATAACACTTATTGCCTGCATTATGTTGCACGCTACAAATGGATGAATGTTCGTGATATGTCCGTAGCATTATCTTCAGCCATGCTCTTCTTGTTCCTCGTACTTAATAGCGCCTTCTGATTCAGAATGCGTACCTCATCGATCTCAATAACAACGTTTCAGCATCATCATTTCGACCCTAGTAGATCTAGAGTAGTCCCGTTCTTCCGTTCTTTAGTTTAGCTTCTTCGCGATGTTCTTTACTGCATCAACTTGTTGATGTTGCTCCTCCACATCCTTGACTGCCTTCGTTTCGTAATCTAACTCGTAAACCCCGAACTGCTTTTTCAAATCCAAGAATTCTCGCGGATGGATGATCCAGTGTTGATAGAAGTCTAAAAGATCCGTGAACGGATCCGTCAAAATCTTCAAGAACCACTCCCATCCACGGACCCAACCGAATTCATGCACAATGTCAGCAAAGTGCGGTACAATCGTAAAAAGCCCAGATATCACCACGAACTGTTCATCGGTCAGGTTCACGAAACTGAAGTGTTTTATTAGAGCTGGAACGAAGCAGACGAAGAAGAAGATTGTCTTGTTGTCCTTGCCTAGATAAAGTCGTCAATTAACAATCACAAAAATTTGTCTGCGTAATGGTACTACGTGCATTTTGCACATGTGTTTCCATCCACCTCATCTACGAAAAGCACGAGAGTTGCAAGCTTGTTTCTTTTCATGAACTCCACCCAGGGATTGATCTTCTTTCACCTACTTTCTAAAGTAAATGATACTTTCTAAAGTAAATGATACTAGTATTATTGAGTTGATGTGGTATACTATACAACAAAGGCACTCAGAAGGTGGAAAATGCTGCCCTTAATTGTTGCTCACTGCTGTGGTTCGTAGGCTGGCGCACTCGCTTGTCCAAATCCGCATACACTGTCGGCGTTGCCGCTACGCCTCCCCAGTAGCCAAGCGTTTCCATCATGACGGGCAGGAAAGCAAAACGATACAGCCACACAAACTTGGCGCAGGTTGCTAAGTACGTGTTCGTGCTCACAACAATGGAGCGCAGATTGAGGAAAACGTAGATTGCGAGCCCGATCCCGACCGCAGCCATCTTCTTGGACCCATCTTTATGGCCAAATTTCAGTTTCTCGTAGTTGCGATCCTGCTTCTCGTAGAAGAAGTGCCCTGCCTGTCGCAATACATGGGTGATGAGAAAAACGACGAAGCCTTCCATGTACCAACCAAACCAGCCGATGTAAGTGTACGCAAACAGAATCATAAACACGGAGCTCCAGAAGTGTGTAAACTTGTTCACCGGATGGTTATGGGATACCTGGTGCATGCAGAATAAAATCTTACGTAAGGCTGAGATGGAACGAATTATGGACTTCGTTTGACCATACTCTGTTAAGAGGCTTTGTGCCCATGCTCTAGAAAGCTTAGGAGCAAAGGAGGTAGCATCATCATAGCCACGTCTCTGACAATCCATCGTTTTACCAAAGCCAAACTGTCAGCGACAAATCATTAGTACCTCAATATCTATCCGCTTGTCCTCCATTATTTGGTCGTAACAGATCCTCAGATACGAACCTAAGAATTTGCAACCCAGGAAGCCCCAGCGCATCTTTCTCTTTTCCACGAAGAACCCGCCCTCCTCCATCCGCCTACCGGCAGATACAAAAGCGTTAAGCAACTGCAAAAACTTGTCCTCGTGCTCTAACTTCGTCCAATCCATCAAGAGGTTAAACTTCCCTGTTGCCTGATTGGTTACAAAAACTCCCTCGGCTATCAAGTGCTGGACGTACATGCTATTGTAGAGCGAGTTGTTGAGGAAGTCGACAGTGAAGGTGTTCCCATGGTTCCTCAGCCGAAGCGGGAGCGATTGTTGGCGAAACGAAACGTTTACATTCCCTGAAAAATCATCAAATATCCCGTTTGCACGCCGGAGTGCCTCAGTCGCTTCTGTTCGTACTATTTCGGGGCGCGCTGTCTCCTCGATCCCCAGAGAGTTCCGGATATTCTCCTCCACCTTAGCCACTCTAACGGGAGACGCATCACTGCTGTTAGTCGTTCCTTCCGTTTCAGAGGCGCTCGTGCTGGCACTCGGTGATAAGGCGCCCGCAGCGGTATCGACGACGAACTTCTCCAAAAAGATATTTGAAGCAATCACGCCAGCTGCATACGCAGAAAGGGTACCAACCACCTTGTTCAACTTCAACAAGTAGTCGGGATCGTAGTTCATCGCGAATGCCCGCTTACCGCACACCACAGAGAGAGGCAAACCACCTGCCACGCCTTTGCCGAGAACGATCTGATCTGGGTCCAGCGGCTTTTCGCTTTCGGGGTGCCGGAAAAATTGAAAGCTAAACAATTCCGGCACTCGGAATCCGAAATAAACATCGTCAAGCACGAAAGCCAAAGGTGTCAAATACTTCGTGCTGAGCAGAAATAAATGGTGATGTTCGTATGCGCGTAGAGGATGATGTGATAATTGGTAATAGATCGATTATACTTTCGTCGTAAGTGAAGCAGAAAGTGAAAGTCGTTTTCTTCTACGAATCAAGTCGGAAATGCGTGCGCAAAATGTTGGAATGGCAACATGAAGTGCAAACATGTTGATGATGCCTATGAACCTAGTAAGTACCAGTAGCGGCATTTGTCATTTAGACTGTGGAGCCATCTTGCGTACTCCTGCTTTGACGGGAGCTTTCGATCGCGTCTGCCGATGGTCATCTTCTCTCCTGGTGGTGACATTGCATTAGGCCCCGTGAAAAACATCATCGGATTTATGATCACGCCGGCAATGAGGTAATGGTACTCCTCTAAAAAGAGGAGGCTGGCCTCCTCCATCTCCTTCAAGTAGATGAATTTGTGATTCTCCCCGAGAGCAGAGAGCGAGTCCACGCCACTCGTGTGTCCGTGGTACGCAGCTTGGAACCTTACTATGTACTTCTTGCCCGTACTCAACCGCACGTCCTTCACGCAAGCGTCGACGGCTTCGCTCCCGCTCAAAGAGTAGCGAAACTTCTGCATTCCAGTTAGCCTCGCCAGGAGAGACATGTTCTTTTCCATCTCGGCGTTCTGCGTCAGCGACAAGGCACTGACCGGAGAACTTGCTAGCTGCGCGGCCGCCTCCTGGTGGAGCTTCTCGTAGAATTCGCGGTCGAAAACACGAACCGCGTCTAGACTGAGATACAGCATCTTCGCCGTCTGCTTGATGCCCTCGTCCTGACCTCCAGCGGAGACGGTGACTGTGCACCCATCGTCATCGACCGACTCCACCCGGTTGGGGTAAGGCCGCTCCAACTCCTTCAATAGCGGAAAGAGAACCTTGACCTTCTTGAATCTGCAGTCAACGAGCTGCTCATTCTTGCAGTGGTACACCGACCACTGTTCCAAAGCCTTCTCCAGCTTTTCGTACCCGATCTTTCGTCTCGACAATGTCGCTGCATCGCAGCCATCGAGCGAAAAAATCGTGTCGAGACTAGCGAACGGCCGAAAATAGAGAATCTCTTGGAAGAAGTCAAACGCCTTCCACTTCACGTAGTTGCTTCTGCGCAACAGTACCCAGCTCTCGTGCAGATACCGCCGAAAGAGAGAACAAAGAACGTAGCAAATAAGTAGAAGTATAACCACTGGTGGAGCGACCGCTTGGCGTAAAAGCGGCTCGGCCCCCGTCGAGGCATAAGGTGAAAGTGCGACGCCCATGATTTTCAACTGTAGTTCATAATCATCGGAATCTTTATGCTCAGTGTCACTTATCAATCGGCCATAAGTAATGCTAACGCGTTCGGCAAGATGATAAAAAAGATTCGTGTTGCGATCCATAGTCATTGACACCAAACAACAAAAACCATCATTTGCATTGATGTAGCCCCAACTGCAATTCCCTGTCCACTTCTTAACCTCAGTGCTCACGGCTAGAATCTCTATCTCAATGGTTCAGACTATGTAAGACGCCCCTCTTCGTACATCCATGCACAAGTGAATCGCATTCGCACGCGGAATATTCATTCTCTGATCATGCGTCAACTACGAGTTACTCACTCTATGCATGACTATATGAGAGGAAAAATCACAAGGACCCGAGAGGTTCATTCCACAAAAATAATGCTAATCAATGGAACACTCCTGCGCGTCAAAAAGAACGTTGGTTGAAAAGAAATTCAAGAAAGTTCTTTTGAATCATTGAATACAAGGGGGTCGACACGAGCACGGGCTACGTACGCGCACACGCAATGTGGGAGAGAATATGTATGCGTACTCAGTTATTCCGTCGATACACGATTTCCATCCTGATGCCTCTTCCGATCATCTATGCAGAGTCGCTGCATGGATTTGTGACACCATGTGAGAGAGGGGCAACTCAACCGCTAGCACACGCGTTCTGGTATGTCATGATTCGAAGCACGTATAGATGAGGGGTTATTCTGGGGAATATGCAACATCTAAATTCGAAATTACATGTATCAAACTAGGAAAAGATGTGCTACACTATCATTGACAGTACCAAACAAGAGACAAATTCTGGAGTGATAGAATTTTCTTCAGGACCTTCAAGACAGTTTATCACTATCTACTATTAGGATTACAGCAGGAGCATTCTTTGTCGTACAACGAGCCAGTGAAGATACGAAGCCAGTCTTAGAGGGTCAGTAGTACACATAATTGACATCAGTATAGAGAGACACGAGTAATGCTGCCCGAAGGGGTCTGAGCATGTTCCGCAAGCTCAATGTACAAGTCTAAGTGAAAAGAGCTATTTCATCATACAGCAATCAACGATGATGTCGATGTTTGTGCCTAGAATTCTTGAGGTGTCTACTTATCGTGCGATGCTTACTTCGCCCTTACATGTTCAAGCTAAGCATGATATATAGTTAGAAGAATCAATGCTTATGCCGGTAGTGAAAAATGATGGAGGATCAGCTACGATTGCGCTTGCGCTTCTCTTGCCGATCCACTTTCCGCTCTATTCGATCAACTGATTCCTCATCGCTGCCACGCTCAACGACTGCGGGGCCTGATCGTCTGCGCTTGGTAGTCCGCCCAGAGGTTGTGCGATCCTCGCGGTCCCTTCCACTCGCGCGCTGCCGCTTTGCGCGCTCTCGCTTCGTTCGCACTCGCTCTTGCTCTCCCGATGAGCGCTCCGCCTCCTCATCCTGCTCGTCGTTGTTTTCCTCCTCTTCCTGTTCGTCGACCACCGCAGCGCGCTCGTCCTCCTCTTCCTCTGGCTGCTCCTCCTCGTCCTCAAAGACTTCCTGATTCTCATCTTCGGCCTCGTGCCGTCGTCCTCCACGGGTACTTACCGACCGACGCTCCTTGTGATCGGCGGCTCTATCAGGTGCACCACTGCGCTCGCGACGGTCTTCGCGCCCGCCTCGCTCTGCTCGCTCGGATTCCGCCCGATTCCGTCCACCTCCTCGCGGCGCATCTGCATTCTTACTGCTCTTTTCTGGCTTGCTGTGCTCGGATTCCGCACCGCGGCGTCTCGCTTCCAGCTTTGGAGGAGGCCGCCACGTACACGCGGACGGACAGTGCACCGCCAAGAAGAGCTGCGCCTCCACTGGGAGATCCTTCATTGGCAGTTTCTCTGCGGTGATGTGCGCTTTTCCTTGTCGGTACACCTGCGTGAACAAGTCCGCCAAGGAATCGCCACAGCATGGGTTGCCCGAAAGCTCCAAACGCAGTGGCACCCATGAGCGCCCGTCCTCACTCTTGCTCGGATAGTTTTCGTGATTGTAGCAGCAGCGAAGCACAGCATTGACTTCTTCAGCCGTAAGCCGGTTGCCAAAAATGAACGGTGAAGTTTCAATATGTCGTTGATTCTAGTCGTCAAATAAGCGAGGTTGAGGCTCCCCTACATCCTGGTTGTAACCAATCGGTTAAGCTACTGAAGGTGATTCCCGATAGATGGATGTTGGATGGATGGATTACAGTGAGTATGTTCCACTGCTAGAGGTAGTTATCATGCAAATTCTTAGTTACAGCATCTTACGTACTAAAATGTGTGTAGATGGTTTGCATAATCTTCAGACCCAACGCTAAGAGTGGACGCTCCATCTGCCAAAGGTAGGACACGAGATCCTCCATGCTGTCGAAAAGATTGCCGCTTAAGTTCAAGAGATCCAGGCGGACCGTATGTTGCTTCAATTTGGTGCATAGTGTGCGCAATGCGTGATTCCCCAGATTGTTTCCGCTCAAATCCAACTTACGCAGAGGTATGAAGCTATTCTATCTACATGTAGGGAGGAGCTGAAAGAACAAGGGAGGAGTCACATAAATTCACAAGAAAATTATCAAAAAATATTCTCGGCGTTCATCGAAAATAATGTTTTACTACTTTCTATTCATCATCATGGTGAACCCTTCTTCAATAGCAGCAGGAAGGGAGGCTGCGTAAGCTCATGTCCTTCGATATGTATACTTTTGAACTAGTGCTTTTAGAGAAATGTGTATCTTACTGTTGCTACAAGATAATAATTACGAAAAAATTCTGCATGCTTATTTGGCCAGTGGGAGGTTCTATCAAGAGGTCCGTTTGCATAAGATGATAAGGCCCGCTCATGCCGTGGCTTTTCTTCAACCAGCACTCGAAACAGTCCAGAAAATCGGTGAAAAAATTTTCAGGGCAGCATTTTCGTAAGCAAATCTCGTATAAACCTGCGAATATAAAGTACATTTAGGATTTTCGTTTTTGGATGAAGAGGAGGTTGCAAGATGAATCTGTCATGGTTTCATCTTCGTGCTCTTGCCACCGCAAGAGGAGAAGACCCGAACATACCCTGAGGAAACAAACTAGAATACGACCTAATCAAGCGTGCTGATTATCAAGAGACAAAAGCAAAACAAACTGACAAAATATTTTTACCATTGCTCATGTAGACGTTGTTGTCTGTGAAGTTCTTGTAGGCTTCAGGACGGCGCAAAGAAAAGTCTTCCAGTTCTTCTGCTGACAGTACCCGCACTCCAGCCGGTGCGCCCTTTCCCTTACCGCCGTAGCCGTCCCGCCCTTTCCCGTAGTGGTCCTTGCCGCCGTACCCATCGCTTTTGCCTTGATTAAACTTTCCGCCTTTATTTTTCCCGTCGTGAAAGTTTTGCTGCTTGTCATGGTGAGGAACGTCCATGTAGCCGTTGATGCCATCCTGTCCCTGTGGGCCACCGCCATATGTGGCTGGTGGTGCGCCACCTTGTTGTTGGTGGTACGGCGGCGGACCGCCGCCGGGCGCGGGCGGGTGCTCGCCACTGTACATGTTGTTCTTGCCGCCTCCACTGTTGAGGGGGATGTTATTTGGATTACCACCTCCCGCAATCGAGTTGTTGTAGCCTTTGTTCATTCCCTGCGGTGGCGCACCGGTATTGTAGCTCCCGCTATCTTTGTGATTGTAGCCACCTTTATTGTTGTCGACGTAACCTCCTGCCTGCATCTTGCCATCTCCCATTTTTCCCTTGTTGTTTTTATGGTAGCCGCCCTTCGAATGCTGGTCATAGTTTTGGCCGCCGCCGTACTTTCCTCCAGGACCGCCGCCACCGTACTTTCCAGCGCCGCCAGTATGAAAATTCTGGCCGCCGCCGCCGCCCTTCAGCATCGGCGTGGACCCTTGAGAGTGTAAATTCGCAACAGAATGCGCAAATTTCCCTTTGCCTTCGCCCATGAAGCTTTTTCCTACGCGCCCTTTCCACTGCTCCTTGCCTCCACTTGCCGCTCCACTAGCTGTTCCCGGGACAGCCTTACTGGAGGAAGCTTGCTGCTCCCCAGCAGTGGTCCCACTAGTAGCACTGCTCCCCGCGTTCGGGCCCCCATATGTTGAACTCGTTGTCTGGTGCGGGCCGGCGCCATCCTGATCATGATCTTCTGTGCATTGAGGATCGTTCGCGTTCTTAGGAGAATCTGCGTCAAAGGGGCCTTTTTCAAAGGGACCCGCCTGGTCAAAAGGTCCCTCCTCGCCTCCCTCTTCGTGAACGAGCACCTCGTGCTCGTGATCACCATGTTGAAGATCATCCTCGTGGTGGTGGTCCTCGTTCTGCTCGTTCGCACCATCTTCACGAAGATGTTGCTCCTCCTCGACATGCTGATGCTCTTCGAAGTCGACGCTGGCGTAGTTCTGCGGGTCGTGTAATTCCGCGTCTGCGCCTTCGTGAAGACCTCGTCCCTCCTCCTCCCCGCATGGTGAGTCAGGCTTGCAACCAGTTTGATCCATGTCCCCTTGGTCTGGTGTCCTGTCTATCTCGTCAACATACTTCTCCTCGTTATCATCTAGGTGGTCGTTGGCATATGGATTATCGCCTTTGGTGTACGTCGCCTCCTCCTCGACGACAATTTCCTGCGCAGCACTTTCCTCCATTTTCTACTTGTCCGTTCGCGCCTGCCTGCTATGATTTTTCAAATGAATGTGATGTGGTATCTATTCGAGAGGTGCGACAAGAACAGGCGAGGCGATCTCGTAGCCACCGTGGTCCTCGATTCTATAATTCTTCGCTAGTTTTTTTACGAGAACAACAAGTTTTGTTTTTGTCAGCACAACCAAAACATCCAAATTCAAATGACGTTGCATACTCTTTGAAAAGCAAATTGAATTTCTTAGAAGTTGTGTATCTCAACCAACCTCGGACCAGTGTGTCAACCAACCTCAGCCCAGTGTGCCTGCATTCCAACCTACACAGAAAATTCAATATGAGCCTACTGTACTATTTTAGCACGAAGATCGTTCCATCAGATCTCGTTGCTGCCGAAAAAGGCATGAAAGCGCAATAATGTTGAACTTGACATTTTTCGTAGTACCATGATACTAATATACGGACGAGACCACAACACCCCTACCTATAGACTTAGTCAAATAGGTGGTCCTCCCATCAAGTACGCCGTCGAAAAGAAGTTTATTGATTCATGGAGACACACCACCAGTGAAGATCGCCCATTTGTATGCTTAAGATAATAAACCTCCTCATTATATTAATACCGGACCACAGGAAGATATAGACCATTTAGATTTTCATTCATAAGCGTGATTTTTGTCATAACATCTTCGTCTATTGCTATGTCAACGTCGGATTCCTGATACTACTTTCGTCGATTTTCATTTCAGGGCTGAAGGACGTTGACTCTTAAGAAATTTTCGAACATGAGTGGTGAACAACAATCAAGAGAGAGCCTACTTTTGATTCCCGAAAAGGAAATTGAAAATTTTTCTCATGGATCAAGAACAAGCTTTCGGATATACCGCGACCTTCCATCAACTATTCGCATTCCATCCGTCTTTTTATTCTCATTCCTTCCGTCTTCTTCATGGAGAATTATTGGAACTCAAGAAACGTTAGGTTAGGTTGCCGTGGATCTACTTCATCAAAGGGATGCATTTTTTTTACGTGCAAAAATACGCAGATGAACCTTCTGCAAGTCAACCTTTACAGGAAACGGAGAGCGTCGGAAAATTCAGCATGAAGCCGCGAGGAACACATTTGTCAGTGCACGTTGTTGAGCGATTGGTTGCTTTCCCCACTCACGGGGTAGAATAACCTTTCCCTTCCAATCCCATAGAACTAAGTGTATGCCTTTTTAATAGGATGCAACGTTGAAACTCATTTCTTCATTTTTGTCTAGCGTGATGATGGTGATGATGTACCCACCAAGGGCTTAATACAACCTCGGTGATTAATGTTGTCTATAGTGTTCATCTACATCATCAAGTTGTAGTTAAGTTTTTCATTTCTCCTCTATGAAATGGATTCTCCTTGCAGTAACGAAATAAGTGCTCTCCTTTTCAACGGATTTTTTCTGCACGACAAAGATTCTCTCTGCATTCGGCGTTTGCTGGTCATCTAGAGGCATGATCTCTAGCAGTTTGTAGCAAGTACTTCAGTATCCAGCTTCTCAAATAGTTAAGCACATGCATGTTAGTCGGTTCGGGTTGGACCTGCGACTTCCCTGAGTCTCTTTGGAGTTCTACGAATTTCGCTGATGCTGAAGTTGTGAGGGTGGTCCGTTGTTTCTACCGTGGTGCTACTCGTTGTTGAGAGGAAGTCGCCGCCATTCGCTTTTCCTTCTGTTATGCTCTTCCTTCTGTTGTTACATGCATGCATATGAATAATACTTCTGGGCATCCTCATTATCCCTAACCCTCATTCCACTATCATGTCTATCTCTATGCTTCTTGTGAAGCAACTCAAAGTCCTCATCGTAAAAAAAACTTCTTGTAGGTGACAGTCATCTGATGATAATGATTTATGCAAAGAGCCCTTCTCTCATATCAGCCACACCTTGGGACTTTTTTCACACCATCAGCCATCCTCTTACTGGTGCTTAGTGTTTAGTCCCATTCCCATAATCTTCTCTTATCAGTGAATATTTTTACATCACATAGACGTACCTTTTTTGTTCCGTCAACATGCTGGACAATTCGGATTTTTTCTGTTTTTAGTGTAGTACCTCCTCGATGCCACCCTTCGAGACCTGAAGGACGACGGTCAGGAACTAAAACTAAGCAAAAGACCGTGCGCGATTGATTCGCATTTCGGATACCTCCATCAATTGAAAGACACGAGAGATAATCGTTTTAGACTAAACAACCTTTCTTACGTATTGGCTTATCTTCCACCTTCTAGTGGTAATCGTGAAGCCCCTGGTAAGAAAAGTACGCAACCCCTTCCCTATTGTTCACCCATAGATAAATACCTGGCAAAGGCGGTCCTCCTTCCCTTTTTACTTGTGTAAATAATAAGCTTTGAGGCGATAGAACAACTACTAAGCCCTAGGTCATGAAATAAAGGCACCACTGGAACTCGAGCTCGACATACATTCCAACAGTCATTCAATTATCATACATTCCAACAGTCTTTGACTTTCTACTATCCTTATCCTTTAATGATGATTTCTTTGAACCTATTCGTCAAGTGCCCAAGCTTTTCCCGAGAAATATCTGATATCGTAATGTGACGCATGTACTTTTAATATGCAGTTCTTCTTATTCTTATGAACGCGAACATGCGGTCTTCGTATATTAGTTGTGCGGTAACGAAATATTACGACACAACTACAATGCAAACAATGGCCTTAAACCCAAGCGTCTTCCCAATAATCTCTGTCTCGTCGTGATGAACTGAGACACTATTCTAAATATCATGGAGGGTAATTTAGAGATCAGCCTAGTTGTCCTGTACTTGCAATATCATCAATTCCATGTCGTGAAGACCCCGGACGAAGGCGTCCAATAAGTAGTAAATGACGCCACAGCGTCAACATGTGCTGAAGTCGCAAAGTAGAAGAGGCGAAGTCTCCTTATTCAAATCGAAAATTGCGTCCCAAGCCACTCTGGCAGACATTTTCGCCATTTTTCGTCGTTATCTGTGTTGAGGTCTGAATTATCATCCCCACGAAGTGGGCGCTGTACCTTGTTTTTCAAATACCACTCATACACACGCAAAATGTTCCCGTAGTGGGGAAAACGACTCTGGTTAATCGTTATATCTATTCCCTTCACGATCATCTTCTCCGTTCATTTTCAATATCCTCCAATTCCATGCACATTAAGATCTCCTTATTGCTTGTTGTTATCTTTCTTATTCAAGATCTGTGCCTGTAGTATCAAACGCAATCTCACATTTTTCCTTGGCCAGGATTTAATCCTTTCGTCGATCACAGGAGAGATCCTTTTCTTGATGTTCTCGTCGTCAGTGAGTACTTTATAACCAGAATGTAGTCGTCTTCGTCAACACCGCTATTTGCTTTATCGTAGAGTGCACGTGATCATCAATCATGAATGACACTGCTTTTGAAGTCGGCTCTGTTTTGAGCTATGACTTCTACTAAAATCGCGTATAGATCCGTTATTCACTGGTCAAAAAACGAACGTTGACATTTGAGAGCACTTCGACTTTTTGTAATCATCTTTTTCGGTTTTAGTTAAGCACAAAAATGCGGGTACAAGTACAACAGCTAGTATAAATACGATGGAGTACAAATATTAGACGACGAAGGAAAGGCTCCTCTGTTCCTAATCTTTACATTGAACAGCCGCTTCGTGCTCGCCAGCGGCGATGCTCCATGAGCAGAGTCGTCCTACAAGGTATGAGCAGAGTGATCGCCATTTGAGTCAGCGACTCCGCTCCGGTTCCCGCTTCTTCCGTTGTCCATTTGCCGCGGTGATAAATGGTGCCCTCTCGCGTTGTCAACAATGCCTGCGTCGTCATCGCATCTATGAAGGACCACACTCATTTTCTTCTTCCATACGATCACAAGAAGATGTCTTGTGCCGAGTGTTCTACTAGCTAGACTCTAATTCACAGAAGGTTATTGACTCACACAACTAGTAAAACGACAAATCACGATACATAAATCACATTAGGTTTTTTCTCGGTAGCAATTGTCGTCGTATAAATCAGAAATTATTTTTCCGTGGCCTAATATCCACATTATAGAGGTGGACGTAGTTGTAGTGATCTTCTTCTTGATTCATGATTACGATGTTGATCTAAACTACTCAACAACAACTGAGTGCTCAGCATACCGGGAAAGAACGCCACTATAGGGTGACGACGCTGGGCTTCTGTGCGGCTGATCCTTTCCACTGCGTCGCGTTGTCATAAGCCGATCCAGTTCAGCGACAGTGTCCACCATCTTTTCACCCTGCGTCTCTGGACAATGCTGCCGCACCTTAACTCCCGCTCCAATCATCGGCCCTGCCAGTAGGTCCTTAGCGGCACATCATCGCCATCAAGGCGTCGTTCCTAGCACTTCTATCAACCTTCCAGCACGAGATATGTTTTGCTTACAAAAATTTGAGGTTTGAGCGTGAGTGTCCTGAGTGATGATTTTAGGCCATTCGCCAAAGTGGTTGAGATTTCGCTGGCGACTTCTACACGCTCATCTAACCCTCGGGAATCGTCACTAGTACTGTGGCTGTGGCCGTCAATTTCTATCTATAATATCTTGCGTAATGAGCAAGGTCGCTCCGAAGAACCAGTGCTTGTCGAGAGCAACGATATATGGTATCAAAAGCCCCGCGACTCGCGCCGAAAGCGATTGCCAGCCAAATGCTGTTCCCCTGATCTCGGTTGGAAATGCTTCCGCACCCAAAGTGGAAATTAGAAAAGCACTCTGTTGTAACACCGCTGCTACACTCTTAGGTTTCTACATGAGTAGTGATCTTGTCATTCCCACCTGAAGACGAAACATCAACGGTGATTAGCATGGCAAACATTTTTCCTATTGGAAAAAAGTCGAGGCCGTATGGTATACATTATAGGATTCAATGCTGCAATACGTAAGTACAGTACCGCAAATGCTACTGTCGCAAAGAAGCGTCCCAGTAAAGCGCAACCAAGCGCAAAACCATCCATATCAGTGAGTCATGAACCAGAGAAGGAAAATGGATATCCTTCCTCCTTCAAATAAACATCAAGGGTATCGCCAAATGCATTCTTGCTGTGATGACATCATTTATCATGGCGTCTCTAGTGATCATTTTTCAGTATCATCGGCGAGGCAAGAATACTGTGTTTGAGTGAGTACTAATACTATTTAGGCATAAGAGAAGCTGCGCAAAACATGCAGTAAGCATTGCAATCCCACCGAGGATCAAAGAGGCGCTCGACGCTCCTCTGCGACCGACCAAACGCAAATCGGGAAGATAAGCAGCTACTAGCGTCGCCGGAAACTCTACTAAATACGCTTTCACTGCCGTCCAATACACCTCCGTCTCGCTGTACGTGTACCTGATGAATAATGAAGATAATATCCAGCTTCAAGTGAATGCGCAGATTAATAGTAGTTGATCCCACGCTGAATGTACTTAGTCATAGTCTTACATTTGGGTGCAAGACATGAAGATGAAGTGATGCTTCCTTTTAGATTTAGTATCACAGAAGCTTGATACTCAAATTGATTTACTCACTGCGTCATCCACAAGAAACACATAAGCGTTCTAGCAATTGGAAATAATACCGCTTTTCGTCCTGATGGACGACTGCGATGACTTGAGGATGTGGCTTGCTGTTGTGCACGGCAAGCCGATCATCTCGCGGGAGGCTCAAATTTTCCACGCTAAAGGCAATGCCCCAGTAGCCCAACTGCACTGCGAACCACGCAAACGAAAGTGCCGCAAGCCAGCTGCGCATCCGACTTAGAAAAGAAATGTTCGGGAGCACCTGATACTCCTTGCAGCTCTTTGCATCTACACTCGCAGGGCTTTATACCAACCTATACCGAAAAAATTTACCAACCATAGACTCGTCAACGTGTCTAATAAATGCTTTGGTGAAGGTAGAGATGCAAAATATCTCTCACTTCAGTGATTGATTCTACTACGACCGCAAGGAAAAAGTAAGTGCAAGTCTAACTGTAAAGAAGGCCACCTCTACTTCTAGACCATAGTGTTGGATGCAGCCACACGGAGGGTTCTGCTTTAGCCTTTCCTGAATCGTCCAGCGGCTGCATTGCTGGAGGTCCTGCGGTCGAGGTATTCGTGTCGGCGGATGTAGGCCGCAAGCGCTCTTTTTAGAGATACCGGATTCGCGCCCTTGGTAGCATCCTAAGCGTCTTTCCCACTTGGAAAAATAGCGAGGGATGCCGTTGAGGACGCTCTCTTGGTTGCCTTAATCTTCTGCTCTTGGTGGTGTGTTGATCGCTTGTCGTTCCACTGTAAGATCAACATGAAAATTCAAAAAGCAGGCGATTGATGAAGAAAACTCAATCAGATAAAGTCAGTCCTATATTGTAAGAAACTACTTCCCCGCGGGTGTTAGTGATCACGTATCATTTTATTGCCTCTATCACAACTGTATTTTGTGCCCTAAGAAGCGGCATCACATAGAAATTCATATGAGAAACAAATAAATGAACAGTCTATACAATTAGAATTACGTTGAAGGCCGGCTCGGCGTCCACGGTCTTTTTCACTTGACCCACGCGCCATACCCTGTGCCACATCCGCATCATTCGCTAAAATGTTTCCAATCGGCACACCAACTACCCTGTTCTCGTCAACAGGCTTTCGCCGAGGGTGCGCAACACCTGCGGTCTTCTTATCCTCATTAGTAGACATGTGGGCAATCATAAAGAGTGAAGCTACAATGGCAAATGGGCAGTAGCGACTATCGTCTAAGTGCTCCAGCGACACCACAACTGACGTGTGCCTTTGCGTGCCACACGGCGTGAATGATGCAGCGGTGTAATCAAGCACACGTCTTTCAACATCTTTTTCAATATGATTCATTCTGAGAGCATTTACTTATCATCTTCTCACTTCATACCTCAAATCTAGAATAGCCTAGGTTAACCGGATAAACATGATGTTAGCGAAAGCTGATTTCTTCACGAGATACTAGAGCTGCCTTAATCGTCGACGTTCCTGCTCTTTCTTCGTCGTCACTAGCAGAACCAATCTCGAAAGTATCGCCATCCTCCACTCCTGAGGGAAGTTCATACGATATCAATGACGGCCTATAGTACGGATTGTAATCTCCTTTTCCGTTGATGCGTGCCACCTGGATCGCATGACACGGAAAAACTTACTCAGTAGTTTCACTCAAGAAATGCGGCAGGCTCCACGTGGCAAGCTGCCTCTTTTCTTGAAGAACTGTTTGAGTACAAAAACTTTGTCCTTTCATAAATCAGCACCGTCTTGCACTCCTCTAAGCGGCCCCGTGCGAGATACCACCGCGCACTCTCAAGCAGCGGCAACATCGGAAGGAGTACTGAAAACCACGGTAAATTAAAGGATGTCGAGCACTATCTGCGGTTGAATGATCCCGTGGATGATCCCCTTCGTTCCTATCTGAAAACCAAGGGTCGCGCCATATCATGGAACCTTTTGTCCGGTGTGTCGTATCCATGGAAGAGGCCTGTCAAGGGGAATCCAGTCGGGACAGCCGATAGTGATTTCCTGCTACAGTCCTTAAACAAAAGCGCTAGGAGGATCGTTACGGCTTTCCAGTCGTTCGCGAAAGCCAGCGAAACCATCGAGACGAATATCGCACCCAGCGCAAACATGCAATTCATCACGATAATCTGCAATCTTCGATTTTCCAATGGTAAAATTTCAGTCAACAGAAGCCAAGCCACCATGCCCAAGCCACCATTCCCTAGGCCGAGAAAAAAACGTGCTAACGAAAAGCTTTAGATTGATTTTGATTCACAACAAGAGAACAAAATCTCAGAATTGAACGAGAAAATAAAATATTTCGCCTGAACCCGAGAAGAGCATTGGCAGGTTGCTTGCATGCAATAGTATCTTACTACCCTTATTGTTCATCGTCTAAAAGTTGTACAACAGACAGATAGCACCACAAATGTTGCGTGCCATACTAGCCATCCACGCTGGATACAAAGCAAGCTGAAGTGGCAGCCAGCTGATGAATCACTAGAGTCGTGTAGAGGGCTGGACGGCGACCAAAAGCGTCTGCAATCCGCGGAATTGCTGCTAGTGCCACCAAAAATCCAAAAAAGTAAGCAAATGCAATTGTCTGCACGTAATGACGTCGTTCGCAAACAAGGTTGAAGGTCGTCACGAGAGACTTCGTGGGGACGAAAAAATCATACACCAGGCGCGTCTCCCCTTTCAGGTCTCTCAACGAGTCAGAAGCAGAATCGTCATTATCGGCGGTGCTGTGGTCATTAGTATAGTCTTCTTGGATACTCAAATTTTCCTGGACGATACCAGAAAAACCTGTGCCGTCCTCGACGGGTGCGTCATCCTGGTCTAGTACAATACCGCGATTCTCTTTTCCTTGCTGAAGGCCACCTCGTGCTAGAGGCGCAGCTCCTTCCGCCACAGAGTCAGTTTTTACAGTGCCCCCCACTTCCTCTGCCACTAAGAAACGTCTATTCGGATTTGTAAGCATGAAGTCTTCTGTGCCATCTATACTTCCTCCAGAGGTTATCGCGCTTGTCATCACGCCACTGTTTTCCTTTGCGCCACCTTGAACTGGCAACCTTCTTGTAACACCTACTTCTTGATAAGATTCTCCACCAGTGGTTATCCTTCTCCGCTTCCTACGACTATAGTCATCGATGTCTCCCACCCAGACACTGCGCCCCCCGCAGGGAATCTGCGAAAAATGCATGTAATAGCTCGTTGTCGCCGCGTCGGCGAAAGGAGACCATGTTGTGCTTGTCCTGCCTGAAGAAAAGGGTTCCGGATCGTGCTGCATACCTGTCAGAACACTTGCCGGGCGTGGTGAGGTGGCCGTCGTAGACGTTGCCCCAGCACCATTCGGCGATGACGCTGAGTTGCTAGCTGCAGTGGATGCTTGAGGCCCAGGGCCACCACTAGAGCCCGTAGATAGAGATGATGACGGAGGTAAAGATGTACTTGTTGTACTTAAAGCTACTGTGGGCGCACCTGTTGTCGTCGAACTAACTCTTGTTCCAGATTCCTGGTTGGGGTCTTCCATTATGCTTCGACCTAGGTCTCTTTCCATATACCGAAAGCCTGACGATCTAGCTGCAGTTTGAGCTTCTGTTGCGAAGTCCTTCCCAAGACCGTCTCGCGAGAGAATCCTGTTCGCCTGATCGATTTTCGGTTCTAGGACATCGTCTCGTGCATCTCGTGAGCGCCTGATCTTCGTGTCCGCATCTTCCATAGGTTTCTTTACATTTTCCGCGCTCTCAATCATCGCCAATTCCCTATCCCCTGAAGCTCTCCTCAACACACCTTCAGGCGTTTCTTGTGCCTGAAGTTCATCCCTATCCTCATCTCTTCTCCTATGTCCACGATTGCCTACAACAACTACACTTTTTGCATCGAGAGGTCGACCACCGTCTTCCAGTCCTCGTTCAAGATCCTGATGTGCATCCTCTACCGCAGCTACTGCTAGAATCCTTTTTTCTCTATTATTGTGGATCCCAACGTCCCCGCTGGGTCGGCTGGGCCCGCTCGGCGCGGCCTGTCCACAATTTGCGAGACACCGAACGTAACGGGGCTCCAATACCGTGAGGGGCTGTTGGCAGATCTCTGCGGCACCTAGAAACCATAAACAGCTCATCGCTAGAGCTGATCGGCGCTGGAATCGGCCAAAGCTCCCAACCTCTTTCAGCTCCAACTCAAGATCAAACGCGGCGTCATCGCTATCCTGCGGGCCTCCAGAAGCAGCGGTAGCAGACCGCAGGCTATAATCGTTCTGGCCGTTGCCGCTAGCGCCCCCCAGGCGCAAACCGGATGACGCAGCACTCATTTCATCATAGTTGCTTTCGATGTATCCTCCTTGTTCTTTTCAAGTTCATTCTCGATGCTCTCGCCTTGATTCTCGTCGAATACCTGTCACTTCCAAAATCTCCACCCGTATGAAACTATTTCTTTTCATGCAGTCGTAGTAGATTCATTTGTTTCAAGAACATCAAGAGCATGCTCTGGTCCGTCGCCACGTGCGAGTTAAACTGAAAGCCTAGTCAAGCGGTGACTTCGACTTGCATCGTCGCTCAGAGGCCGATTCATTGTCTCCATATTCGCTCTACCGAATTCCTGAGAAACCAGTTCCTATTGGAAACAGACTCCTCACCAGTTCTTATATCTGAGGTCTCACATACAGATCTTTTCATACCTATTCGCGGCTGAATTGGTGCCGACGAGTCTCCACTTTCAGAGTGAGTACTATAACTCCTTTTGTCTACCGGTATGCCAGTATGCCAAGCGAACATGAACTTGCTCCCTCAAAAATAGTATGATCGGCACACGTTTCATTTTGACGCGTTTTCGTCTATGTACGCTTGGGCGCTGCCAAAGTCACAAAATCAAGGCAGTGTCGACACAAAAATAGTAATTTTTCGTCTGCTCTGGTCTACTACCCGAAGGCGTTGTGGCTCAGCTTGCGACCAGAGCCACGCGATGGCTATGAGCTGTTATAGGGGCGTCTTAGGGCTATGAGTCAGGGTATGTTGAGTCAAGTCAGGGTCTGACTGTGGCTCTAGTAGAGGTACAGATCAGCGTACAAAACCGCATCATGTATTCAATTCAGCGACGCATTGGAATTGAATGCGCAATATTCATTTCTCGGAAAACAAATAGATACTCGTAAACTCGATGGACGTAATTATTAGACGAAGAGACGAATTTTGCTCATTTTTGTAGAATCCGCCGAAAATGAGTTGCTCTTTGGCACACAATCGAACAGCGCAATATCATGAAAATCGATGAGCAAGTACGATCCGAATGACCGCACGGGCCGACTTGAAGGCGGATCAAAGCGTCCTTCACGCAGTGCGACAACGATAGGGTGGAGTCACGGGTTTTCTTCGCGAGGAAACCACTTAAAGGAATAAAGCCTTCGTCGTGTCTTGGTCTTCTTCCTAATCCACCCCCTTGCATTGAACAAGACGAGGTACTACATCTCAGTAAAGCAAATGCGCGGTTACTTCGTCAAGCCCGTGGTCGTTTACTTGCAACGCTTGCTCGAAAGCACTGAGATCGTCTCGCGTTTTGGCCAGCGCCGCAGCCAAAGCACTACGAGCGCGCTGCTCCGCTTGCAGACTCTTTGCAAGTTCCCGCAAGCGTTGCTGGAAGAGCGCCTGCGCCACGTGGCTTCGCAGTAACTCCGCACAACAGGCCGCCCACTCGCGATGCAACTTCCGGTAAGGTCCTGCTATCTTCCCCCGTTGCTGCAGAAGTTGACCACGCAAGTCGGAAACGTTACCTTGACGCACCGCCTCTTTCTGTCGCACGAGCTGCTCCATCAACTCCTGCTTGCGTTCTTTTGCGGAACGGACCTGTAAAAGTGAATATTGAAACAAATCGCAAGTAGTTGTAAATGTTGTTCTCGGCTACATCAAGAAGATGGAAGTACATGCCCAGAAAGCGGGCCCATCAAGGGCCCGCTGCGCTCGGCATAGGTTAACAACTAGACAGATAACGAAGACACAGAAAGACAAACGAAAAAAGTCGCCAAGTCCGCTCGCCAAGGCTAGAAAGGTTGGCAAGCTGGCTCCCACTGTGGCTAGGCTAGTGAGCTTCCGACTGCTATGGCTAGCTGGCTCTGAAGCGCTGGCCAACTTGCTTACTGCGAAGCCAATGGGCGCCAAGGTCGGCCTCGGCGAGCTCTGGAAGCCATCCATGGCGAGTTAGCTCAGAAGCCATCGCCAGCTAGCTTGGAAGCCAATGGCCGGCCCGCTTCGGAGCAGTGACGAGCTTGCCCAGAAGTCGTGGCCAGCGAACGAACCTGGAAGCCATAGCGAGCCAGCTCAGAGAGAAGCCAAGGCCAGCTCAGAGAGAAGCCAAGGCCAGCTCAGAGAGAAGCCAAGGCCAGCTCAGAGAGAAGCCAAGGCCAGCTAGCTTGGAAGCCATGGCGAGCTAGCTCAGAAGCCATGGCCAGCCAGCTTGGAAGCCATAGCAAGTTAGCTCAGAAGCCATGACAGCTAGCTTGGAAGCCCTGGCCTCCGAAGGCGTGGCCAGATAGAATAGCTTGCGCGCCAGGGTGAGCGAGCTCAGAAGCCTCTGCCAGCTAGCTTAGAAGCCGTGGCCAGCCAACTTGGAAGCCATGGCCCTTGCTAGCTCTGAAGCCGTAGCCAGCTAGCTTACACAGCTAGCGCAGAAGCGTGGGGCAGCTAGCTACGAAGCTATGGCCAGGTAACTCGGGAGCCTTGGCCAGCTAACTCGGAAGCCTTGGCCAGCTAGCTCTGAAGCCTTGACGGCCAACCTACTAGCTTACTACTAGCTTACTGTGAAGCCAAGCAATCAACTTGAACGCCCTGGCTGACTAGCTCGGGCACCGCTCCGGCCAGCTTGCTAGCTCAGAAGCCATGCCCAGTCAGCTTGGAAGCCATGGGGAACTATGGCCAGTCAGCTTGGAAGCCATGGGGAGGGAGCTCCAAAGCCATGGCCATGCAGCTGCTTAGAAGCCATGGCCAGCCAGCTCAGAAGCTACGGGCGGCGAGCTTGGAAGCCTTGGCCAGCTAGCTCAGAGCGAGGCCTTGCTTGGCCAGCTAGTTCAGAAGCCTTGGGCAGCTCCCTAGCCTAGAGGCCACGGGCTGGCCAGCTGCTTCCGTCGTAGCTGTTGCAACTTCTGCGCTAGCCGCTTCCTTAAGGGAGGGCCTATAGTAGCCACTCTTATTAAGAGAGGCGCCCCTAACGGAGCTCCTTAAGGGTGGCACACCTTTCAGGAGCTTCCTGAAGGACCCACTCTTAAGGAGAATGCAGAATTTGCTTACTTAATTGTATAAGTATTAATATGATGATTTCAATGTCCTTGGTACTACATATAATACCTGCATGACACCTACAGATGCAGTATACAATATTTGCATCAAAGGCAGTTGTAACCCATTTTTGCTTATGATTGTTCGACTCGGATTTCTACATGTCATGTAATTACGAATGGAAAACATTGACGTCTAGCTTTTGATCGTTACTTGCGCCTCTGCAGCAACTCTTGTCCCTTCCCCTGCTGCGTCAGCCACTTCAAGTTTTTCGACTTCTTCTTGAAGGCTTTTCAGAGAAGCCTCCACGTCAACGCCTGTGCTGCCCGTCTTCATCTTTGCTTCGTAGATTTGGTGCTGTAACTTCGACGCAGCGAGCTTCTTTTCTTGCAATGACATCTGAGCCGCGGACCGCTCTGTCTGCAACTTCGCGCTCGTGCGTTCTGCCTCAGTCAGCTCCTCGTCTGCGTCCTTCGCAGCTTGTTCCAGCCGCGCAAGCTCACTGCTCTGCTCAGTGAAGTTTAAAAACTGGGCACTGGAACTCTCGCACATGCTCTTCAACGTCGCCATCAACTCAGCCATACCTGAGGAATTACCATCATCTTCACAAACATGTTATACTATACATAGTACTGCATGTTGTCAAACGGAAACCAGTAAAAACAAGCAAGTAGATAAAGACTGTCCGTATGAATGCTGATAAAGATAATTATCATCATGTTGATGTTGAACTTTAATACAAATGCAACATGGTGATCGTCACCACGGAGTAGTACTAGAGAACTAAATCTGCAGCGCTCAAAGAAATACCCAGAGGTAGTTTGGGTGCCAGTTTTCCCATGCGACTTTCAGTGCCTTGCACGTCTCCAACACTCCCTTTCGCACGCATGGCCACTTCGCTGGCCTGCTTCAACTTCTCCTTTGCTTGGTCGTATTCAGTCATCTTTTTCTCTAATGGCGCGAAGAAGCCTTCTTTTTCGGAGTCGCCGGCCCCTGCAGCTCCTCCTGCACCATGATCCAGTAAGTTGCTTCCGCTGCCACACCTGTCGAGATGGCGAGCGGCGAAGTGTAAGACCAGACTTCTCGGTGGCTGAATCATCATCCGCTGTGCCGAATACTCTAGTTGTGCGTTAAGAACTTTGCCCGCCTCCTCGAAGTGCCGTCGGGCCATGCCAGATTCATATTCGATCTTCTTCAGCAGGGCTTTGTGCAGTGCGGTTTCGAGGTCCCCGTCCTGAAAATACCAGGGGATGATACTTTCAGGATCGACCGCGCTGTCGCTTCCCTGCGAGCCACCGCTAATGGTGGCATCTGCGTAGTGGTTTACCGGTTGCAGAGTCATCTCCAAGAGGATATCCGCGGCGACGCATTGATTCTCGCTGTTCCCCGAGATTTCATGCACGACCCACGGCCTCAGAGCGGGATAAAACCTACGTATAAAATTATGAAAATTCGACATGGTATTTTCTACGAGAAAGGTCAAAAGACTTGTTTTAGTTTTCAGATTATGCAGAATAAAAATGGGTTTGTTAGTACGAAAAACCTAAAGACTCAGCAAAGACAGAACAATACGACCATATACGTGGCATTAAAACGAAAATAAAAATACACAGTGAGCGTACCTGCAGAGATATTCTGCCCGGGGTTTTGCTTCGCGGAGGACATAGAGTCCCAGTTTAGCGGCAACGACGTTGCCGTTGTCAGCAAGGCAAGTATGAATTTTCACGAGGGACGCTTGCATATTTCCCATTTGCATCAGCTCCGTTTGGAACGCTCGCAGGGCTGGATCTTGCTGTAGTAAAACGTTGCTGCTGCTGGAGGCCGCCTTGCCGCCACCGACCAGCACACCACCAGCTGCCTCGTAGCCAGACACAACGGAGACTTGACTATCACGGCTGAGGTGCTCCGCCAGATTCCGATCGGCCGCTTGGTCACTCGTCCCTGTGCCTGCGTAATTCGCAAAGAGGCCTGTGAGCGCGCCGCCAACGACTGAGGAGGCCGCTCCCGCGACACCTTTGCTGGGTCCACCAGATGCATTGGAGCCCGCGTCGCTTGCTGCGTCACTGCTGCCCCCACCGGGCATGCCTACCACGGAGGACAGCGAAGTCGCCGTCGCTCCAGGTCGCAGCTGGCCGAGAAAAGCGACTTGCTCAAGCTCCCGGATCAAGTCATTGATCCCATCCTCCACGCGCTCCCGTTTTCGGTCGTCCAACAGGTGGTTAGCCAGCATCACCGCGAACATGAGCGCGGTGTAGAGCCTCGTTACCAGACTATTAACTACGAACAGCCGCGAGAGCAAAAACAAGCCGTCCTCCGTGAAGAACGCCTGGATCTGCTCCGAATCCCACACAAACCACAGCATTTTCGCCAGGAAGTCGTGGAAACTCGCGTCCCGGTCGCTTTCCGCCAAGTCTGTGAAGACCTCTAGCAATTTCGGCTTCGGATTTTTCCCTGATTGCTCTTGTTCGTGCCCCGCTTTGCTGTCTGTGATCAGCGAGTTCGCCAGCGCTTCGCCGATTATATCGCCCCCAACGGAACTCAACAGAGACGAAAAAATGCGCTTCACTCGCGGATTCAACACTGCATCTTTGCCCACCACACGAAAAAGCTTGTCCAGACCGCGCTCGCGGAGGAACAACGTGCGCGTTGCCTCGCTCTTGCGGAGAGTGTGGCCAAGAATTTCCGCGCACGCCGCGATTACCTGCTCTACTGACGAAGGCCCGCGACTTGCCGCTAGCTGTCCGGCACCAGAGCCTGCGATTTGGTCTGCTGCCCCACCTTGTTGGCTATTCGGCTCTGCTGAATTCCTCAGGTGGGCTCCTCGATAGTCGTTCCGCACGAAACCACCGTCGTCACGCGACCGAGGCGAAAACTGATGTGTTCTCCCCGCTGCCGCTATGGCGGCCGCCGCGCCTGCTCCCGATGCGGCGCCCGGTTCTGACTTGCTTGCCGTCGTGGACGCGTCCTCCGGCTTTACCTCGTGCGGGTCTACTTCCTCGAGAAGGCCGAGAACGATCTTGTACATCGTCGGATGCTCAAGCCGGTAGCGGTCGTTCTCATATTTCTCTTCGACCACAAGCTTTTGCAGTTGTGTAAAAAGAAAGAGCAGCTCCCGCGAAACACGGCGCTCGCCAGGCTTCACCGGACTCGTCACTGCGCCGTCAGACCTCAATAGGTGAATTACGACCATGGAGAGAGTACTTTCTTTGAGTAGAGTTTTACTACCTGAAGAAACAAAGTGAACATATTAGAGGTCCTTAGAAAGATGGGCAAATTGACACATGCCTATTGTCAATCAAAGAGCCTCAACAAAATGAAAATTGAAGATACTTAAGTCAAGTTGTAATCAAGTACTTTGATCCCAGTTCTCCTATGAGGTTATTCGAGACGAAATTGAAGCCGTGTAGAATCCCACGAACAGAGAAGATGGATGGCAGAGTCAAATCGAGAAAAGTCCACAAAATGTTCGACTTCTCGAACAGCGCCTCCCGATTTGCCAACGCCGATTGAATAATCTGATGATGTGGTAAATTTGAGAAGATGAAGTTGTACCCATAAAATTGCAGCAAGAATGCAGCGCGATGTTGAAAACCCTTCGGTATAATCAATTCTGCTCATAGGGTTAGGGGGGACTGCGTTCTAACATCCATTGAATTTGAAAGTTTGATCATCTCTGTTGAAAATCTCAGGCACAATTAAGCCTTAGTAATCTATTGAATAATAGTAATCGAAGATACCATGTTCAGCTTCGGCTTCCGCTCCTCCACAATATTTGGATTTGTGGAAGTCCCCCAACCACGCTCCGGGAGTTTGGGAAGTGCGTCCGATCCACAGACACGTATAAGATCGGAATGCAGAGTCTCGAAATCTGTGAAGCGCCGCTCAATCTCGAACTCCCGTCCGAAATCACTCACTTTGATGATGTATGTCGTATGCGAGTTCAAGAGGCCCGTCTTAGTTTCTGCGCGAACGATGCCCGCGTTAATCACACTGCTCACTAGCCGGTGTATCTGTTTTGGTAATTCGAAAAATTCTTGGACAAACAAGGAGTTTCAAACTTTTACTTCTCCATAGTAGTAGTAGTAGTGTACCCAGTCTACAGGTATATATCTTCATTATCACAATTTCCGTATGAAATTTTTCCTTTCGCCGTATTTAATAAATAAGAGTCGTTATTCATTTCTATGTATAGCGAAAGAAGAACTAGCACTGGATTTTCGTAGCAAAACCTAGCTGTAGCAGATGAAAGAAGTAGATGAGGGACAGTTTAATTTACCCTATCTCCACCAGCTCCGGCTGCGCTAGCGCTTGCCGCAGCTTGCTTCTGCTGATTTACTGCGATAGCGTCTGCAGTGTTGTTCGCAGGCGCTTGTGGTACCTGCTGTTGTTCTGGAGGTTGCTGCCCTCCTGCGTTTTCAGTTACCGAGTTACTGCGCGGTTGCGCTGATGCCGGTGGACATGCACTAGTTGGCGTACCTGCCGCAGCTGGGCGTGTCGCGGCCGCAGCATTATCGTTCTCGTTTGGATTACTCATCCGCGGCCGGGTCTCTTGCTGTAGCCGCTCGCGAAGTCGCCGCTCCTCTTCCAGTCGCCGCTTCTGCTCCTCTTCCTGCTGCCTCCTCTGCTGTTCCATTTGCTGCCTGCGCTGCTGCTCCTGTTGCATCTGTTGTTGTCGCTGTTGCCCCTGCTGCAGCTGCTGCTGACGCTGCTGCTCCTGCTGCATCTGCTGTTGCCGCTGCTGGTCCATCATCTGCTGTTGACGCTGTCGCTCAAGCATCTGCCGTTGCTGCTCGGCCTGCTGCTGAAGCCTCTGCTGTTCCTGTAGCATCGCTGAGCTCGACACGCGACGGTTTGGCATGGCGCCATTCGCTGCATTGTTCATCATCGCACTTGCAGGCGCGCCTCCCATCGACAGCCCGCCCATCAACGGATTTGGTGGTGGTGCTGGTCTGCCCACATTTGGCTGCACCGCGCCACTTGGCGTTCCCGCCGCGCCACCTCCACCAGGAAACAGCGGATTCACCGGCGCCCTTGCCTGTCCCGACGAGGATGCGCCAAAAGTGGCCGCACTTGATGCCGAAGCGGAAGTAGCGCCCGCTGGAACGGCACTTGCTCCCGCGGAGTAAAACAATGGATTCGGCGCTGCTCCTCCTCCTCCTCCGCCACCAGACGGCTGGAACAAGGGGTTCGTCGCCGCCTGATTGCTCCCTACCGCATCGTTTCCAACACTGGTCAGCGGATTTCGTGCAGCACGTTTCGCCTGCACAGGCTGCATTTTGATACAACTAGTACCTAAAAAACTCTATAATGTCATCCATGAACCAGGTACTAGAAATGGAAGATCATCTTGTAATACCAGTCGCTCTACCTACGTACTTAGTTGAACAGCAATGTATCCGCTGGTCCTGATCAAAAGGACTAGGACACATCTTCAATATCAATGACCCATGGCACTACTTCACAAGTAAGAACATCATTCGCGAGCCGCATCTTCTCGAGAAACTTGTCATCTGTTGCGAAAACACGGGGTAGATGTCGCTATCAAAAATATCAAAACGTTAAGAGAGCTGCATGAACAGAATTAACTGCAATATCTGCTCAACACTTTTGTTTATCTACTCATACAAGAAATGCCACACAACCGATTTGTTTCGTAACTGATCAGGTTAGTTCTTCCTAAGTAGTGAGTACAAAAGCTTAGTCGATCAGCATTGATACGGATTGCCACAGCATTGTGAAAAGTACCTCTAGACCTATCCTACTTAACTATGCGCAAAGTCAAGTCTTCTTGCGCTTGTCATATGCTATCTTAGCAACCAATGAACCTGTTTTAGAACTTGGCGCTCCCTCAAAAGATCCAAGTGTTCTGCAGAACCTGTAAGTCTTTGTTTGCCATTTTGCGATTCTATTGGTCCTCTCTCTTCTTGTGCATAAGTGTATGAGAACAAAGAACGCCAAACTGAGAAACTTTTGTGTGAACCATGTCGGTTTTCAAATACGCAGCGACGCAGCGCATCATTGCTTGCTAGGCCATCTTCGGACGCCAATTCGCATTCATCTTTGGACTAGGAAATTTTTAGTATGATCAGCCCCCATTGATTCTTGGAAATGACTCGTGGAGTACGATGGATTGAGGAATCAGCGGGAAGCATTCATTGGGACTGACAATGATGTAATCTTTTTGGGAAAAAGGAATCAAGTTTACGGGTGTAAAACTATGGGACCAAGATGAGCCAGACATATTTGAGAAAAAAGGATTCAAAAAGAGAACTAACATTATGATGCATTACACTCTCGATCGCCGCAGACAAGCCTTAACGGTTACGAAACAACAAGTAAGAAATGGTCTCCTCTTAGTTGTGCACTCATCTTGTATGTTGGCCACCCACACTTAGACATACGGCCGCCAGCCGCGAAGGAACGGAATCTTTTCGACGTTGAAGGTGAGATTGTCGTTCAGCTTCTCACTCCTGATCGCTGCCGGTTGATCCACAGGCGCAGGACGACCCGTAACCGAGTACACAGCGAAAGAGCTAGTGTTCGCCAGAGCGTCGTAGTCTGGTGGCACATAGTCAGGAGCCGGATGCGGCGCTGTGAAAAAATTGAGTAGAGATGACAGAATACTGTGAAGTGATTTCTATGGACACGTAGCATGTGGACGCAAGTTGGTAGATCTAGATGAACAAGATGAGGGTGTCTTGAATGGAACAAACATCTAGAGCTAGAGATGATAGAGTGCTATAGACACGTAGCATGTGGATGTAAGCTAGTGGATGTAGATGAACGAGAAGAGCAGGGTGTCTTCAATGAATGGAACAAAAATCGTGCTATTGTGATGTATAACGTGTTAAGCGTGAGATAAGTGCCAGAGAAGACGGAAAGACAGAGAAGAGGAGAAGCAAGAAAGAGTAAGTGAAAGTATAAGTTCAACAATACCCTCTTGCATCAGTTTGCCCCTAAGAACTTGTTTGAAGTCGATATCTCCGGGTGTTCCGCTGAGGGCGTCTTTCCGTTCTTGCTGAAGTTCGTCCCTCGGCGGCATCGGACCGTGCAAGGTGTTCCATCGCCGCATGGCCTGTAGCCAGCCCAGGCCCCAGTGATCATCTGTGTCGCGAGCATCTCCGTGGAGGGAATCACAGATCTGCGAGTCCGATGCTGCACAGTTAATCAAATCCGGAGGCGGCATGTGGTCTGCCTGCTCAAAATAACGACGAATCTCCGCCTCCGTGACACAAAAGGGCTTGCCGATGTGCGCACGACAGCCGTCAGCACAGCAATCCTCACCTTCATCGAGCACTAGTGTCGGTGGCTCCCAGACGGGCTGCGACATCGCCTGACCGGCAAAAGCGCCCTTCATCCAGACTTAGAAACGGATGCCTCTAGCGTATGCATAGCGAACTTTTCGTTGAAAGGACACAACGCCGAAAAGAAGAGCTCAGATTGACAATTGAAAAAGAAAGTGCTTGTACTCCAACAAGGCTCATAATTGTCCACGAGGTTCGTCGGATCCACCATTCGCACAGTGAATTTAAATCGGATGTTTCTTGTTGGGTCTTCATCCACATACATGGAGTCTGGATTCGCAACCCAAAATTTTGTGAGTCCATCCGAGGGCCTGAACGCCATTTGCGACTTTGCGCCTCTATTACCAGCAATGTTCAGATGGGGCGCGCGTGTCGCGTACGCGTTTGCCGGCAGCTCCACCGCGTCAGTTTGGTCCTTCGTCTTGTTGTTCAGGAGGTTCGTTTGCGCCTCGCTCTGCAGACGAGAGCTCAAGGAAGACTCCTCAATACGGCGATGATCCGGCCAAGCAGGATCCACGCTCGACAATAACCGTGCTTTGTCGTACAGCATCTGACCGTGGCCATACGGCGCGCTAAGATTCCGCTCTTTAGAGCTCAGCATGGACGGGTAAGGCAACGGAGAACTCTCCTCCCACCAAGGCTCCTTCATCTTTGCAAACCTGAACATGGTTCGTGTTTGTTCTTGAAGTCACTTACTTCATTACCCACTCATACTAATAAGAAACTGAATCGATTCTGGCAGAGCAACAACCTACTCGCGATAAGTAAAAGATGAATGATTTTTTATGCGGATGCGGAAAGAGATCATCAATAATGGATTGGAGAAAATATCACACCTCCTCGTCCTCCTATGTAAGTAACTACGTATTACCCATGACGCCAATTTCCCGGCAGCAGATCGCGGTGCTTGGTGAATCTGCAAAAGTCTGCCGGTAGGTGCGGTATGCAGATATTGTTCAGCGGATATTCCTTATCCGCTCCGCTAAAGCGCCTGTCACCCACAGCGTTGGAAAGTTTCGCGTACATTTTTGGTATTAGTCCTACATTAGTGGGCGCAAAAGGGCCGTTGATGTCTGTCTGATCGATCATGTCTGCGACACACCACTTTCCCTGTACCGCAGTCGGTATCCTTCCAGCAGGGTCGCACTCCTGCAAAGGATAGATATTCGGCTCTCCGATCTCTGTAGCGTTTGGTCCGATGGGAAACCCATTCGCAACGTGCATCATCTTAATGAAGTTCCCCTTCAAATCCAGCGCTTTGTCCAGAATGAAAGCCGTAGGAGACGACGACGACGACGACGACGACGGCGTGGGAGGTGCTTTACTTTCTGATAACGAGGACGCGTGACTGTACTTCGAGGAAAACAACAATGTCAATAATTCCCTCAGAGCGTATGGCAATCGCTGCCAATTATTCAGCTGCTTATGATGCTTCGAAGGATGCTCCTGTCCACCCATGACGTGATCTCCATTAAGCTCCCCTGTAGTTCCTAGTTTGGCGGCTCCCGGCCAGGAGCATCGTTGCAGCCGCACACGTGACAGCTTAGGGTAACGTGGAAAAACCGTCTGCCCGATCGAAAGCAGCTGTGCTTCTTTGGTCTTACTGCAACGTCCAATATTAGAAGCCATATTTCCTCCTCCGACTTGCCCTAGCTCTGGTGGCGAAGCCGAAAACGCCAGTCGTGACGTCGAATTTTCCTCGCCCCCATTTCCTCCAGCACTTCCGAGTTGAGAAGTTGTTGAAGCGACACCTCCAGCAGCCTGAAGATGATGCGCATCCTGCTCGACTGCTCGTATCGACGCTAGTATTTCGGCGTGCGGAGCGGAGAGGCCCCACCAGGTCTTCTTTGGCCATGGGCAGGCACCTTGCGCACCCATTGACGCGGAGCACACAGTGGGCAGACGAGGACCCGCATGGGCGTAAGTGTCTGCTTCAGATTGGCTGCCTGATACCTCATCGAAAACCAATCCAGAGGCAATCGCCGCCGCATGGTGCACTACCATTCTTCCACGACATGTGCGAGTTTGATTAGCTTGAATCTCACATTTTGGTCAGGTCTGCTGTATAATGATTGATGCATTATCTTCGAATAATCATGCCGAAATAGAACTGCACATGCAAGGAATGAAATCGGCAACTAGACATGGCGCCTTTACAATACATAATTGTACCGGTACCAGAAAAGGAGCTGCAATCAAAAATCGCATTCTACTCCCTGCATGAGTCTCAGCCGAAAATTTGATCCGGAGTTGCCGCAAGAGAAAAGCTGGGGGGACGAGGATAGCTAATGTGTGGTCCTTGGAAGGAAATCACGATGAGTCTTGTTGTCATACAAACCGATAAAAGAGCACGCCGACAACCACCAGGGACTGCAGCCGAAAACCGACCATCTAGGCAGTTATTACCGAGTCATGTCTCCTTCACTTGTGACTGATCTTTGTTCAGCTAGATCTATTTCACGAAGTCAACAGACAAAACGACGAATTTCGAAGCACCAGGAAAGAACTGATAGGTGTGACCGATCAAACAACCGAGCTAGAATCTTCCTTGTGCTCTAGACATCTTGTCGTATCCTCCTGAGAACAGAGCTCTTCTAAATCGAAATTTGTGATTAAGATAGCTGAGCTGCCTGATGCGTCATTTCTGTCGGACCTTGCTGTTCTGGTGTCCGTTTCTACAGCTACGCTGTAGTCCTTCACAGAACTTCTTTCATTTGGCGTGCTAGGATTTTCAGGGGTCTCTAGGCTTATCCAAAGGCACTTTAGCGCGTCCTGAAAAAGCAAGGTAAGTGTTGCCATAGGTGCTTGCTTTACAACGTGCGGCACGAAGCCTGTGTAAAATCCGAGGAGTCCCTGGGTCGTCCAGATCTGCCGACAACAGGTCAGGACTGTCATTTTTGAGGCGTTGCTGGGATCCAGACGCTGACTCTGCAGCCTCACCTTAACGTAGTCTGCGGGTAATGAGGTGACGCAACTGAGAAGCCCAGCCAGAACCTTAGAGCTACCGCGCTCGCATCTCCGAGAACCTCCCTGGTCCCTTTTTCTCCTTGAAAAAAGGGCCAAGGATGATGTTGAGGATGGTCCAGCGGTAGCCTTAAGAACCGCACTCACGACAGTGATCGACCAGTAGGGATGTTTTTCTTGCACCTCTTTTGGTACAACGTAATGCGGAAGAACGACCGACTTCAAGTAGCTGTTGCCGGATAGAAACGATATGTTCAAACTTACGGCCCGTGCGGCCGTTGGTAGCACGCCCACGAAGAGGCCGGACAAGCCCTCCTGTCGGAGAATGCCGAAAAGCGCATGAAAAACGTGGCGAAAGTCACCGCCCCGCGTCTGCATGAGCACGAGCGCCCGATCCATCGGATTTCCAAGCACACTTGCTAAGGCCGCTGCCGTCCCTGCACACAGGCACAGCATCGGCAATCCAAGTTGTGTTCGTTGTGCTCCACCTGTAGTTGTCGGAGGTCTGGAGGAAGTAGACGCCAACGACGCCGCAGTAGAAGTCTCAACTACAAGTTGCTTAGATTCTTTAGGGCTCGAAACCGAAACCCGTAAGGAAGCTCGATCTACCAGCGTGTCGTAGAAGCCTAGAACCGCTCCCTTGTAGACGATTTGGCGAGCCCAAACCGCGGAAATTCCCGCATAAAAACCCCTAATTCCCGCCTCCCGCCAGGTCTCACGTACAATTCTGAGGATAGCAGCAGATGAACCCCGATGTCTTGTCGCAGTGCCGTTCGCGCTTGCTTGATACCGCACTTTCACCAAATCGACGGGCGTCATCATCGTCGCTGAGAGACAACCCGCGAGAGCACCCGTAACGAAAGGCTTGGATGCTTTCCATATATCCGAGCCACGCCATCCTTGTTGTCGCCTACGGTTCTCGTTCGAGGTTGACGGTTGTAGAGGAGCCATCTTCTATTTTTGTTCTCTCATTTTAATGTTCAATTCTATAAATGCGATGTATGAACACCATCGATACCTTCTTGATCGCCGCAAATACAACGGTCGTCTTCCAGCTCTCATTTAACCTACTGAGTTCTTTGGTACACTCGACTCTCCAACGTTCCAAACAAAACTATCAGTAACCCCCCCATGGTATTCATCACCTTCAGATGACAACACCTGCACCTCGCTCGTTTGATGGATAGATACATAGATAGATAGTAACCACATAGAAAGTACCACCCTCACAAACCCAGACTTTTACAATTACATACATTTACTACACACGTCCCGTCATCAAGAGTGACAACCCTCAGACCAGGCTCGGTAGCCCCCTACTACGGAGTGAGGCTATGTATAAAAATCAAATCCAATGTGACCCTGCATCCCGCAGCGGGCTCTCACGCGGCACTCCTGCTCCTCGAGTCTCCCCTTTTTACGCAACATTTGAAAACAAGAATACTTCTATTTCTTGTATTTTTTCTCACTGGTAATAAATATCAGGCGCGCTGTAGAGCATGCCCTGCGGTAAGTCTTTCGCTCTCCATTACCACATTATAATGATGAAAACAAACGCGCAGTACCTCCTGTACTTCTATTGGATGGTCATTTGTTAACCAGTCGTCCAGGGAAGCTGCTAATTCGACTTTCCGATGTAGAAAGCTGGTTTACTATGACAGACGAACATACCTCAACGTGCAATACAATACAATACAATACAACCAATCTCGCTTTTTTTTTTTGTAGTGCGAGCGAGTTCCGACGAGTCAAAACCTACCTGCGTATTTTCCGCGTGGATACCGGCGGAGGGGGGAGTTCTTAATCTCCTTAACAACTACGCTACTGCCCCTACGATTTTAAAATGCAGAACCCTAGGAGTAAAGGCAGGAGAAATTACACACCTAATACCTGCCACCGCGAACGATGTCCGTCTCCCCATTACGCGCTTCTTGAGAATGCTAAGTTTATGGGCCGCGGAACGATGTCCGCTTAATCAAATTAATTACTTATATACGGGCCCTAGGTGGATCTGCGCGGCATCAGATTGGTGAGAAGAACTGGAAGATTTTTTTTTGACTAAGTAAGAACATGCATGTTATTTAGATTAGTGGAGGAACACTCAATTCTACTAGATGCTTAAAAATTTTCTTCATCTTCATGCCTTTTTTTCTTCTTGTGGCCGGCTCCTCCCGCTATGCAGCCGATGAGAGAAAAAAACAAAAAGCAAAAAAATTGGAGGGCTGACTCCGACCAAAGGGGCTACCTTATGCCTGATAGCCACAACCGGGCGGGAGATAAAAAATCGGCGAGGGAGAGCGATGGGACGCTCTCCCCCTTTCAATTACGTTGCTTAAGTCTACTCACCTCAAAGAACTATAACTGCCGCGTCGTACCGTCTATACTTCATTTTTGCTCAACTCCTATTCTTTTGATTAAACGATTGAAGATGCAGCAAGCTGAAAAGCACCAACATTATATGGAAACAGATCCATAATCGAAAAAATAAGTTGAATTTAAGGAAAGTATGATATCAGTCGTCCCCGACAATTAGCGCAGCAACACAGACGTCAGACAGTACTAGAGACATTGTTTGTGTAATTGATGTTCATTTCCCTGTTTGATCTAAGATGAAAAACGTGAACATCCGAGGGATTCCCTTATCTAAAAGTACACACACCTGACACAACGATTGTCCAAACGCTGCTGACCTTCGAAGATGAAGTCTGGCGATGCATGTGGTAGGCATCACTAGCTTACTTACGACGACACTTCACCTAGTAGTTGCTTGAGGTCAGACAGCGTTCCGGAAATATCCCTATTTTTGTTCTTAAACTTGAAATTGGACCACAGCACCCTTCCATATGCGGCCCTCGTGCTAATTCGTTTCACTGTCCAACAATAATCGGTATCCACGAAGAGCCACATATGGCACTCCTCTTACTTTGTTGACATCTACCAGCCCACACAATCAAATCCTATTTGATTGCTGGCATGATAGCAAAAACTACTCTATGTCTATCGACGATCCAATCTCCTAATATTTCGACGGGCTGCCTCAAGGACGATAATCTATTTATGCAAAGTTCTTTCGAATGAAGGAGAATCAGGTGTTAGACGACTGCACTCAACCGATCTTTGTTACAACTGCTAAGTTCCTCTTACAATCAATGTCTTATTAGTGACAGTTAGAAAATAACAGTTTTGCTCTTGTTCGAAACGTCATTTGTAGTCCCATGTATTGTATTTTAGAGAGCTCTACGAATGAGTCGTAGGATCTTAGAAGATGATGATGATGATGATGATGATAATGATGAGATATGCAGAACGACACAGGGTAACGGAACGATAAGCACAAACGCGGGATGCTAAGATATTCCCAAGCGTTAAGCAGGAGCAAGTGACGCAGAAAAAGGTCGCAAGAAAATATAACTCCAATACGATTGAAGAACAGAAGAAAAGCACAACTCTCGCGGACCGTTCTCACCTAAACCGAAGAAATAGAAACAAGGAAAGACAAAGAAGCTGACCCTATTCATTGAGAGGCGCAAAGAAAGCCGACGGTGAGTCTGACAACGAACAGAAGAACGCCAGGCCGCAGCGGCTTTCGCGGTTCAAAGCCTCTCACGCATGGCGGGCCTCTGGGAGATGAAGCGCCGCAGCCCAAGCAAAGCTAACCACCACGCGGCACGAACGCCAGTCAGTGCGGGGCAACTAAGGCCACCCCCAGACTGACCGGAAAAGAGTCCTACTCCTAGGCGGGTGCATCTACCGCAGCAAGGCCTCCACCACTCTGCACAAACACACGGAAAACCGAACAGACAACGAAAAACGCGCGGAGCTATGTTACTCCGCTCACTGGGCACTTGCGTCAATGCCTCAAGAATTTGGGGGCGGGGGGGATCGGTTGAGGCAATTACTTAAATAGCAACTCAAGCGCAACCCCCTGAGAGTCCACCCAGTGAACAAGCGAGGCGGGCCGACAACATTGGGCGAGCGAAAAAAACTGAAGCGAGCGACCCTCTGAAAGAGACCACGCGGGACCACAGAGAAAGAACAGACACACCGAGCGACAGACCGCTGGGCGCCCTCTCGTCGGCAGCCTTCGTTCCAGCACGCCACAAGCCCACACCAAGAGCAAGGCAGACCAAGACCGAGCCGCGCCGCGGTCTGTCATATTGCCGCCGTCAACGAGCGACACCCAAAGCGCGCGGGAGAAGCGCGAACGCCGCACAGCGCTAAAAGCTAAGCTATGCGGGCGACGTGCGCACCTTTTCGGATTTCGAAGCATTTCACAAGTTTCACGCCAAACCGAACGCAGAACGAACTAGGCAACTCTTCTCGGGATAGGAACAAACACTACACACCGAACAAGCAAAAACGCGCACGATTTCCACAACTCGGGGCGGCGTTGATTCCCGCCGTCGCGTTTATCTCTATCGTCGGGGCCGCTCGGTGTCAGATTACGAATAAACACCGCCAAAAATGGTGCAGACTGTATATTCCTAAGCCGTTACGCTCTAAAATTCTGCAGATGCCTCGTATAAACAAATATCTTTTCATACTCTTCTGCTAAAAGTGAAAAGTTGAAGCTTCACCATCAACATCGCAAAAGTAGAAGGGGCAAAACGAATTATGAAGTCTCTTGTTGTTCATTAAACTACTTTGCACTTCAAGCGCAGCTGCTTTCCTCTGCCTTTTGCATCCTCCAGCAAGCGCATCTTCGCGACACGCAGAAAATACTCGGTGAAAAAGATGTAGAAATCGATAGAGTTGCAAGCATCCTGGAAAGGTCCGATCAACAGCCGCTGCTCCGCACGTCCCCCCCAACACCACGGGTTTAAGATTTCCTGAAAAATATCCCATTCCTCTTCCGATGAAGATGACCCCAATTCATCATCCGAGTGGTCCTCGTCATCTGCGTCTGAGTGACTTGCCATTGCGTCGGTCCCCTTCGTCAAGTTCTCCAGCACTTCGAGCATCGAGGCTGAGATTGGTTCCTCCTCGTACACGTACTCCGCCAGAAGCGACACCATAAGAGCGTAGAATGGGGCATCGAATTGCAGCAGCTTTTTCTCGACGTCCTTCCACTCGCGCATAAGCCGATCGAGCAAGTCGTCTGACTGCACATGTTTCCAGGTTTGTAGAATTGCGGTTATCTCCTCCTTTTTGTGGCGCGGGATCCACGACACAGGAGATGCGTCCTCATTGTTGTTCAAACGTGTCGCAAACATCGCTGTGTGCTCTTGCTGGAGCCTTTTCACCGTGCGCTCATCGAGGCATGATGCTGCGTCATCGTCCATCGGCACCGCAGCCGACGGGACGAGCTGAGCACTGGTCGGAGTGTCGTTACTAGCGACCGGCAAGGCCGCGGGCGGCAACTCCTCCATGCCATCGTCTCCATCAGAGGTATCCTCGAGACAAAATCGGTCGAGCTCGCCTTTCGGGGTCGTTCCCGAAGTTGCAGTAGTGACAGGACTGGATTGCTGCTGATCCGTTTTCCCTTTCATGTCGTCACTGTCAAAAAGGCTAAGATCTCCCAGCATCTCGCTAAGACCTTCTTCGCATTGACTCTCGTCCTCTTGTTCGTCGATTTGCTTCTCGCCCGTACTTTGTTGCAGGAAAGCAGTTACGGAGATAGGACCTGCAGCATGCCAAACGCTCTCTTGACAACGTTCTCGAAGGTCAGCACTACTAATCAGAAATCCTCCACATGCCAGTGCAGGTGTCCCTTGGCGACTCTTCGCTTTGCCTTTCGGTACACTTCGGCTCTCAAGCGTGATGATGTCCCCACTCGGTTCTCCACTAGGTGTTGCGCTCTGGTGTGCGACGGCGCTCAGAGAGCGCACACGCAGAGCTACAACCGCCACCGAAGTAAGCGGTGACACAATCACAGACAACTTGGATGCAAGGACTAGACACTTCATTCTTTCTGAAACAATAGCAGGTTGGTCTTGCTCTTACAAGGGGCAACTTGTTCGTATTGATCTTGTTCCTTTGTCTTAATACCATACGAAGCTCCTCGTAGATATCACTCCTTGACAAGGGACGAACACGATAAAAACTAGAATATTTGATTTCTTCGTTGACAAATTGGGACGCAGATGCATGAGAAATGACTGTGAAAAAGATACTCTAGTAATGTTTTTCTTCTATATCATTAGCTAAAGGTATTATCTCCTTCTTGTATGCTTATGATATACCGATAACATGTATTGAACTGTTTTCAAAATCCAAAAAAATGAAGAAGATCAATGTAACTTTTCTAGATGCAAATTATCAACGTTCACGCGGAATCAATCGCCATAAAGAAGTAGTGGAAATAAAGATCAACTGCTGTATTTTTGACCACGCTCGCTGTAAAAAAAGAAAAGAAAAACCTGAGTCTCGTAATCATGTCTACGCGACTTCTATGTCCATTTTCTCCGGTACTGAAACTCCATGACCGCATATTTTTCAAATTTGAATTCATTTTTACTTTTCCTCTACCCGATGCATAGACTCACAAGGAAAAACAGCTATTATACGAGTCCTGCTAAGATGGGAACCGATTGTAGTTCTCTTAACGGGAATATCGCCAGAAGTCGATGCAGATTTGAATTCTCTGGTACAAACTATTTTCAAAGCGGAAAGAACAACACGATCTATCACTATGTCAAATACGCAGCAGAGTTGCATCTTCTTGCATGAAACCTAGCAAGAAGACAAATTACAGTCTCATGAGTTCATAGTCCAGCTCTCATGAAATCATTTGTAATTCATTTGAAGATGTTTGCTTGAAATGGCAGCGCCACAAACTCCCATTTTTAGATGCAGCTGAAGAAGTCTTTGAATCAAGTAGTGAGAATGCTCACGAAACGATCCCGAGAATAAGTACACTCAAATTTTGTGTCAGTACACAACAAGTGCGCCTGTCTCATCTTTGCCAACGCCCCATTGATGATGCTGCAACCTTCTTCTCGTGATGTGGTCAAAGCGAAGCTTTTTGTAGGTCGCTAAGTACTGTGCATGGTGTAAGTACTTCCGCTGCCCGCTTCGTCCGCGCTGGCTGCTGGAATCGCAGTTAATCGTCAGAGGTGACGTTGGTTGTCAACATCCTGGCTAAACCTGGTGTCGTACTACTACTAGTAAACAGTACTATAGATTAGTACAGCAAAGAATAGTCAGATCCCACCGAAAAAACGGCATGCGGAAAAGATCGCGGCCTGCCTGGTCGTCTCCTCTTGCTCCCTGTTTGTCTCCTGCTACAATGCTACTACCTTGCTCAACATCTCGTCGAGGTCGACTTTCTTGCCGTTTAGTACCGGTACTTGGTGGAGTAGTCTTTTGCGGAAATGACCAGACCACGACCCTTTCTTGCTCCTCGGTAGACAGTCTCGAAGATGTCGATTAACTCCTGCTTGTTGTTAAACGGCCAGTTAATCTTATTGTTGTTACCCGTCCCGAGATCGATCATCATGTGTTTATTTCGGTAAAAAAACATCAACGTCACGCGATCGTAAATCTCGTACAGCGTATTGAAATCTGGCACCTCCTTCGTGTCTACCTGTGATGATGATTTTTCATCGTTGTTGGGAATGAAATTTAGATATATTTAGTGTAGAAGAGATTATACAAGATTATTTTTTCATCGGGACATCAAACTAAAAAAGCCCTCTGCTGAAGATACTTAATTGAACTAGCAAAAACAAATTCAAATTCATACCAGATAAATGGCTGCGAAGTTTTTCGTAGTGTCCTGTATGCTGTACAGCACTTCGTCCATTTGCATACACTCTTCATCGTAGTCATGGCCGAAACGAATCACAACCAATCTCTCCTCCTCCGACAAGATAGCTTGATCTACGGCCCAGCCGCTATGCAAATGCGGAAGCATGTACGACATTTTCTTCTACTAGTACTTTCGAAGAAGACAAGATACAGAAGATAGATCAAATACAAGAAGTGCGCCTGAAAAAACCGGAAAACTAAACAAGCTACCACGATCATACACAAGCATTGTAAAAAATGAACGTGATCGCCGTGCCCTATTCGATGAGGCCTAGCAAAGTATGGGGAAAAGAAAGAGAATCGTTCACGTTTGGACGAGATAATTGACTACCAGAAATCTCCGTAACGAGTAGCCTTCCCGTAGTCAAATTAGGTCAAGAGGGGTCTGAGAAAAACAAGACTGTCACCACAGCCTGTTAAATTTGTGAGAGTCCAAGTGCATTTAGCTATGAAGCCGTCGGAAAAGACGATATCAGTACTGTGCTCTTTTAGAAATTATGCATCCATTCTATTTTACTCAGGTCATTTTGTAGTAACGAATTCTTGAAATCATTAGGCCTCTGCTTCACTTGGAAGAATATCATCAAACATTCTTTTACCCGGATGGTCCTGCGCGATCTTATTTTTTCTGACAACAATTCAATTTGTAGTTTGAGGATCTCTTCCACTCGTTTTCTATTTTCAAGACCGAGATTTTGCATTTCGAATTAGGTAATATCTAGATCATTGAGGATCTTAGAAGCGCACTTCTCAACTGCGATTTTTTGGAGCACTACCTTATCGTACAGTCTTCATTCGGAAGGAACAGTAGGACGGATCGTTGTTTCTGTTTTCAATTCCTGTTGGCTCAAAGTCAGATCTTCATTGAAGTTTCGTTTTCCTATTCATTTTCGTGTGTTTTCAACTGAACGCGCGTCCCTGTGCTTTAAAAGGTCTTGCTAACCTCTGTTTTCTTGATTGCTCCTTGAAAACAGAGGTTAGCAATTGGATCAGCCTAAATTTAACATTATGTGGCAGGACACATGTAGTGGACGGACTTCCACCTTATCGGAAAGCCAAAACATATCAACATTATTTACCGCTACTACCACTTGTAGCGTATGGGCGGTAGTTCATCGCTGTATTATTAGGCATCATTCGAGTCTACAAGCTCTCAGTTGAGTGCAACATTACCAAAGTATGTCATCGTCGCAACTCTCTTTCCAGTAATCCCGCATGCCTTCTGGGATAATTGGAACCTTATCCCCTCTAAAATTTTGCGCAGCCACGTATCGGAAACCCTCCATCTCCACGCCCTCTCGCGCTGGCCCAACAACTACTTGAGAGAGATGTTGATCCTTCTCTACTTCAGTGTTCCCATCACTTTCTCTAGGTATTCTTGTTGTAGAGAGAGTCTCTTGCCAGCAAAGCGTCGCTGCCTCGTCGTTGAGATCGATCTCCGGTCCATCAATGTAGGGGATTCCTTGCAGAGAAAGCCTATTGTTTGTACAGCAGTTAGCTAGCGATGTGCTAGTTGTAGTTGACGCGCCCAACAACGTCTTCAAAGGGTTGGTCACGCCTCCGAGGACGAGTTTGGCAACCAGAATAGCTGTGTCCGTCGTCATCTGCCATGCGCCCAGATGTCGACGTTCGATCCATGGTGGCAAAACATCACGGATTTCTGCTGTCCTGTCGTCGGAAGTATAGCGGTAATTTTCCTCTTTCATCAGCTTGTCGCTCGTTTCCGCAAACTCGTCGTCTTCTAGCGCATGAACATTACCTAAAATTCCACCCGCAATGACCACATCAAATTCGTCATCCACGGACAACGCCTTCTCTGCCTTCATATCTAGCAAACAGATCCGCTTGCCTGTCAAGGGTGAAGTGCGGGAGGGGTTGTTTGAGTCTGCGTGTTGTACTTCATTAGGTTCGTGAAGTAGCTCAAGTAACGATTCGCGGAGCAACAAGGTGCGCCCGTTGCTCCTTTGTACTGAGTCCGCATCGGAAGCTGAGGTCGACACTGGGCTTCTATCTGCATCATCCTGAAGATCTGGTAGTTGTGAACACCTCTTTGCTCCTTGCGCTTCCTCACCATCGTCCTCATCCTCGTTGTTGAAAATCTTATGTAATAGTTCGAAAGACGTTTGGAGATTCGTCTCCTGGCTTGGTACCGAACTCTGCGATTGCGCATCCGGATGTCGCGCGATCACTAACCTTCCGCCAAAACTTTCCATATGACGGTATTCCAGACTTGCCCACTTCTCCACCACATCTCCTTCCTCCATGTGCTCTACCCAAAACACGGGCTCACAGGACTTGTTGCTGTTGCGCGTCATTTCATGAAGTGCTTGATGCTCGTATCAATCTATGAAGAGCAGGCGCGCCTAATGACAATCACGCTTCCATAGACACCAAGAGACTGCTAAAACATATGAAAGAGTCGTTGGGTCGCTGTTCAATTGCACATAAAAAGGTACCTATATGTATAATAATAGAAACTCGCTAATCATAAAACCACTCGCCTCAGTCACTGTTGACTCAATATCGCAAATTCAATCAAGTCTGAGCGTTTGCTAAGCCTGATAGTTGTAACTGGATCACCCAAGGATCTTGCAAACTTCGAACTCGCAGATGCTGAGTCGGATTAAAACGACAATTCTAGTTGGCAGGCCTGATCTTGTATACTTGCAGGAGCTTGTGCTAGAGCTTATCGATCTGCGTAGAACCCTTAAAAATCTCTTTCAACTGGCAGAATGGCAGTCGTTCCGCACACGGATCCGATCTCATGAAATTCTCAGGCCTTTTTTCTAAGGACATGCGCCTTGTCAAGCGAGTCCGTAAGAGCATGTTCAACTTGATGCAAATCATAAAAGGACTCTTTCTTCTTTATCATCTTCATATCAAGTTATACATAGCATGAAAATGTCATGTGTGCATCTCAGATGATCATTCTCGACCATTAGCGAGACGAAGCAGATCCTGGTACGTCCTTAAGGCAGGTAGAGGAAGCGCAAACCCTGATAAGGGGATAGACAAGGACGACCAAAAAACCGATCTCCTCGAATATAGTTCATTAAATGGTAGTTCTTGTTCTGAGTGAATCTTCTTTACGATGACTCTCGAGATGATTTTGCAGTCGTAGCAAAGATGTTTTGAAATGTTCAGCCTCTTGGAGGCGGTCTTTCTCGGCTGTATGTAGCTTTTTCTTTGCGATAAGAACTTTTTCACGAAGGCGCCATAATTCTCCTTCCATAACCTGTACGAACTGAGCCAATGTCTGCTCTAGGAGCTGTGATGTTGATGTTGTAGCGTGATGTTCAGCAGCTGAGGGTTGTAGATGCTGTGATCTAGTCTGTCGAGCACCCTCGAGCCGAATGAGATTTTGCAACAACGCAGCAGAATATCGAAAGAAGCTCGATGCTGCAGGCCCGGCAACTAAGAAGTCTTCTTCTAATTCTGCTTTCTGCGAAGTAGAGTTATCTTCGACAAGATCTCCATTTTGCCTTTGCGCCTGTTGTAGGTTCTCAACGACGGCACCTTGCAGCTCCCCAATCTCTTCGGACAATTGGGCAATGCGGTGCCTTCGCGCCGTGAGCGCAAAGAAAGCTGGTTTCCAGCGTGTTTCCATCTCTTTGAGTAGCTCTATCACTCTTCTTTCCTGTCCACGATGAGACTGCACAGCCGCTAGGCGTTCTAGTTTCCGTGTCATCTCGCTGTCAGTGGCAGTTTTCACGTAGTCAGACTGCACAGAGAGTCCTCGCCTCACTCGCCAGGGAACCCTTTTGGCAAAGGCGCGCCATCGTCGTTGCATCCGAATGCAGGCCAGAAGCTGTCGCCGCTTCAGCTCAAGCCCCCCACGCTCATTGTTCAGCCTTCTGCGTGCGCGCCATCCGCGATAGCACCTCTGAATTACAGACGCAGCACCCGTTTCAATGCGCCAGCGATGTTCCGCCGCAACGCGCGCGCGAGCTATTCCCTCAAGCACGGCAACTTCTTGGGGAAACCACTCATTCGCGGTCTTGGTTGCTGCTTGTGCGCGCTTCGCAAAGGCTTCACTGGCGAGCTCTCCACGACTCCTGCTGCTTGATGATGGAGTGATTGCCGTCGTCATGCCCGTTATTGCACCCGGTGAAGTGTTCATCATGAAGAGTTCACGATGTTGCATCTCGTCGGCCAATCGCAGCAGCAAAGGCTCTGCATCACGAAAAAGTTCTTCCAGAGCAGCCACTCGTTTCTTGGCGCGCGCCTCTGCTTCCTCTTTTCCGCGAGCCTCGCGTACTGCTTCTGGCTGGCTCTGTCGCTGACTGGCTCGTTCGCCCGTACGGCTGAACGGACTACTTGATGAATGCGGTCTCTTTGCAGTGCTCGTCGGGCTCTTTGAACCTCCTCCAGCGTGACTGTATCTGATACTAGTGGTCGGAGAATCTCCACCGCTTTTGGATAGAGAAGCGCCTTTAGGAGACACAGTCTTGCTCTCACTATTTTTTCCTTGAAATGAAAGGACGGGTTTACGATGACCTCTCAGCTTCACCTTAGGCGATCCAGCACCAACAGGCGGCTTTCGCTTTTGAGCGCGCTCCACGTCACTCGGCCGCGCTGAGGTAAGCTCCAAGTCACCCTCGGAACTTTCAGGCCCAACGATTTTGTTCTCGCGAAAATGCACTTGCGACATGATGTGCTTCTTTACCGCTGAAGATTTCCGTTTTGCCGCCACAGCCCGTACACTTGCGACCTTCTTGTCCAAATCGGATTCACCATAGTACAAAAACTGCAGTTTGGCAGTTGAAGAAGGATCTCGGCCTTGGGCATGGGCTGCGGCTTGTAGCTGCTGTTGTCCTCCCACGTTGTTGGCCGCTGCTGTCGTCCTCCCGGGAGGTGCGAAATCCATGCCAAGATCATCTGAGGATGAAGAATTCGCAACAGCTTTCTGTGAGACGCCTCGGAGCTGTTGTGGCTCTGCCTTTGCCGCCGCTTTCTGGGCAGGTGGTGAAAAATCTAACTCGTCGTCCGAACTCGACTCTTCTTTTTCATCTGTTTTCTTCGAGCTTTTAGAGCTCGTCGACGGCCCTGGGCCAGCTGCATTCTTAACTCGTTCCTGGGAAGGCCGCGGCTCCTGTTGCCTTGCCATGGCCGATCCATTATTGGCGTCTGAGGGTTGCTCCATCCGAGACGGTCGGTTTCTTCCGGTTCCCACACTACGCGTGGCGGAACTCGCTTGAATTTCACTTAAGCGCTGAAAGGTTCGGGAACCTCCTACAGCGTGGAACCGGTTTCCTTCCGAGAGTTTCTGCCGTTCGTGAATTAAAGCCCAATGATCAGGGTGCTCATGCGTCACACGCACTGCTTCTTGCCTCTGCTCGCCGGACGCGCGTCTGTTGGAACTGTCCCGATCCGCTTCCTGGTCCACTACGGGATGACCCTGAGAGACCCGACGCATTTTTTCGGTGGTCAACCCCATGTTGTTATTGCGTCGGAACGCTTCTAGCGCCTCCTCCTCGAGCTGGGAACTGCGCCGGCGCACAACGGCCTGCTGTGCGCGCTGGTGGATCAAAGCCCAGTGGTCAGCGTGGTCATGGCGGATCTTGCGAACTTTGTGTAGACTGGGTTCTGGCGGAAGCCGCAAGTCTCGACGCGCCTTGGAGCCGCGCCAAAATGCTTGCAAATTAGTGGCGGCGTTGTGCTTCGCCAGCTCGTCTGCGATGTCGCGTCGTGCAGAGGCACCGCGAAGCAATGCTTGGATGCGTATCGCGGCACCCTCTTTTGCGTTATTTTTCAGATAGTCATCAAACGCCGGATCCAATCCCGCAAGCTCCATTATCTCTAAGCTGCGGGCCATCAGCAGCAGCGCATCTTCAGGCGTTCGGGGTGAATGAAGTGGCCTCGTCCCATCAGTCAACGTCCCGTCGTCGGCCGCGGAATCTGAAGGCTGCAGTGTGACCCGACTCGACCTGCCATCTTGCTGTATAGTAGTCCGTCTGTCGTATTCACCAGACGCGGCAGGGCCTGTTCCGTTTCCACTTTTTACCTTACGGCTTTCCCGTTCCTCTGCCATCAACAAAAGCTCTTTGCGTGCGGTTAAGGTTTGCAGACTTCCTTCTAAGACGCCCCAAACCTGCTGCAAACGCTTTTTTTCTGTCAGGTGCGTGCGTCGCTTCTGCCGGACCCCCTTCGTCCAGGCCTCGTGCATCTTGCGCGCTGCGCCGAGAAGGTGCCTCCGACACTTCGTCCGCTGCTTTGCAACAAATGGCCGCGCGAGCTGCGTCTGAATCGTCACGGAGGCAACAACGCGCGCTGCGCGTTCAAAAAGCGCGTAGAAAGCCTCTCTCTTCAGCGATTTTATATGCTCCGCAATTCTCTCCACGGCCTGCGTAGAAGGAAACAGGATTCGAATCTAGTCAAGCTCCATACATCCTATAATGGATGGGAAAACTACAAGTCGATATGGATGAAACCCACTGCGCAGAAAGCGTGAATGGTGAAAGACTCCATCCTACTAGGTGTTTTTTGTTGAGAGGCCTAACATTCGGTGCCTCTCTGTTGATAATTATGTGTGATTACCATCCATTTTCTGGCTTGCGTGGCGCGATCCATGGCTTGCTTCGCGAATTTCCGCACAGGATGCCAGGCAAGGCCGACTTTGATAATCGGCAACAGGAAGAACTGCAGATACAAGCGGCGTGCATACGACCATTGGGCTCGAACTTTAGCAAGTTGCTCTGCGCGATGCGCCTCACGCGGTGCCATGTATCGAGCGGTCCGACCAAACTCTGCCAAGCTCTCACGGGACAGCTCCACGTCATGTTTCTGCCCAGCATTCCCTAATGATAGCGGGACCCAGGTATCGTAATGGTCGAGCTGTAAGTTGCGGCCCCCTTTCTGTTTTGCACCACCAGCAAGGCGACTAGAGGTCGAAGAACGGCCGTCGAGCAAGGACCTCCCGCTGTATCCGCCGGAGCCACGTGCTCTTTCGTCGCCGGAAAGAAAGCGTGGCCTCGGTCGCTCGGTTTCGGTCCAAATACCCACTGACGGAACGCCTGCAGCTACGAAAGGCGAGCAACGTGGTCCCCTAGACTGGCGGTTACCAGGCCGCGAGGAAACACTCATTTTCTTCTAAATATCTATGGTACTATGGCGGTGCAACCACCATCAACAAGGTATCGAAGGTTCTGAAGATCTTTTTACTCATAGATTGTGATTACAAGACTACTAGGATCTCTATTCAATGTGAGGACGTCCTCGTTCAGCAACATGATCTTGCTATCACACTGCACTTCAACAAGTTCGTTGTCGAGTGATGTGTGTGTGTGTGTGTCCCTGATCCCGTAATAAATTCCCTACAGAACAAAAGTTTAGTATCAGGTCAAACATTGCTCGTAGGGCTGACATTTAAGGACTTACGGAAATCCATGGGAGGCTTTAGAATTAGAATTAGAATTAGGTGTAGTCTTGAGGGTAGAGTAAAAGGCAGAGGAATTCTCATGCACCGACCGCTCCACTTGCACCTCGTTCGTAGTTGCAGGGATGATTACAACTACAAGTCTATATCTTCTCTCAATGCGGGAACGCTGTCTAGATCTCGAAAGACCCGGCCCGACTCGCAAATTGCCGAAGAGTGGAAGCTCATGATAAATGAGAACGATAAACCGAAACCGAACGCTTCTTTGCCAAAGGAACCAATAAGGAATATAGCACCATGAGAGAGGCTTTATTGTAGCATCTCCTCGCAGCTCCAGTTTTACCGGCGTAACTAGACGCAGGCAAATCATAAAAGGGACGCGAAGCGATCACTACATTTTGATCCGAATACATAGTAGACCTCTATCCCACGCGAAGAAGGACGTGTTTGGTGGTGCATTTCGAAGTATAGGGTTAGGGTTTTTGTCGATCGGTTGCCTTGGCGAGGCGTGTATAAAGCGCTACACTTCATCCCGAAGATTTACCGCACAGTGTTTGCCAGCTCTCAAAGTGTGCTCAAGGAATTGCAGGGAAGTGGTTGTAACACAATGCGCAAGATACCATCACAGATTTGCAGTCTTAGGGTGCGAAATAGAGTTTGGAATACGGCTAGGTACAGACGAAAAGAATAAAGTTTTAGTGAAAAATTTCTTTATGACGTCTTAGTTTGTTCTCGCAATTTGATCTTTGAATGTCTTCGTGATCATTAGATTGCTCCCACGCTTCAATGAAGTTATTTCACTAGCCATGACCGATCTGCTAGGTAGCGCTACATTGTTTGGTCACTTTCACATCTGCAAAAGGTCAAAGGTAGCACAGGGGATAATAGTTGAATATCTTCAGGCCGGTGAAAACAGCTGAAAGACAGACAACAGAGGATTTTCATTATCGTTCTCTTAAAAAACTGTATTCGTATTCCCTAAAAGTTGCTACTTACTCGCGAATGGCAGAAGAAGAAAGAACCCGCATGTTATCACCCTATGATCACTGAATTGATTTTGCTGCGTCTTGTCGCGGTAGCTCGTTGACAATACAAGAATAAAAGTTCCCGATAGTCACCCTCTTAGTGATCGAAAATTGCCAAGTAGTTGACAATGACATATACTTTCATCCAAATCGCTTCGATGTCGTCAAATTGCCATCTATCTTCAGAGCTGCAAACTCAGGCGACATGTCTCGGACGATTCTCAGCAGCCCCGAATCATCTCCTGCACGATTGTATGCGAACCCGATGACTCCACTATCGATTTCCTCAAGTAGCCCTACACCGTTCTCACGTCGTTTGACATTACAAAAACGCGCTTCGTTTCCGCAGTACGAAAGACGACTGTCATTATGCCAATACCACATTCCCTTGGTAGGCTCCGCTTCGGAGGCACGCACGAAGAACAGCGTCTTTGTCATGACAACAACCTCCCCACTCTTCGCTTGAGGCTCCTCCCGCAGAAATAGGCCCCGAAGAGGGTCTGTCTCCTTTCGCTTTCGTAGCGTCCTCCAAGCTTCAGCCAGTACAGCATTTAGCTCTTGCTCGTTCTGTATAAAAAACTGGTGCTGCTCGACTAGCGTGCATGTTGTAGGAACGGCAACTGTTTTCTCACTGAGGTCAACGTCTGCTTTGCGGTCCTTCGTTAGGTGCCATTCGTCGATAGTTCTTGCCATTATCGCGAGTTTGAACTTCTTGTACACACCTCCGCAGATGCCATGCGCTAGCAACGTGCTCATTGACATTGAGTGTGCGCTATTTCGAAATGGCGGCGTTTTACGTTTCGCTTGAGAGCTGGAACCAAAGACGACGAAGCTGTGCAAAACGCGAGCAATTACATCCAGGACCGCGCTTGCCGTCTTCCCAGTGAAAAACAAGCGCATATCCGCGCAGGCTTGGTAGGCCGACTGCGGCGACATTAAACAGCCCAGCCGGACAGTATTCAAAAACTGCCCGAGAAACGTATAGACAAGCTCTGAATAATTTCGCCCCTTGTAGAGGTCTTCCATGAGGTCCTGAATTCTCGAAGCGAAAGCCGCGGGCGCATACTTGCAGACGCTCTCGTGTCGGGAGCGTTCGTAGCGCAGAAATGTCGTTGCGCAATTTTTTCGAAAGCAACGAACTCGCATGTAGGGGCACTCCGTCTTCACATGATTCAAGACGTCCGAGTATGCACCTGAATAGCCGCATCGAACACGTTTGCGGGCGCCGCCTTCGTCTGCCGAATCCGAGGACAGGCAGAGCGGCGGGCCGGTCTCTGTGCACTCTGCTCGCAATTTCGACGCCAACCGGTCGACCACCTTGTTCGCAACGCAGCGAAAGGACACCTTTTTGCAGACCATGCACTTATTCACGTACCGGCTGCCTTCGGTCTGTGCTTCTTCCTTCTTCCGCTTCTCGTGCTTCGAAAGGCATGCAGAACAGAAGAGCGCGCTGCAGTCAGGGCAAGAGCGTGCATCCACCACGATGCCCAGGCAAATGACACACTGTAGCTCTGCGCTCAGATCCTTGTCTACCAGCAGAATGCTGTCACCGCAGGACTCGGGTTCCACCAGTTCACATTCCATTTATTTTTGGTACGTCGTGGTGATTACTACAATTAATCGCAAGGAAGCTGAATGAACATTCAAGAGCGGCCTCCACTTTGTTCAGTCTATCAATGAAAAGCTTACAAAGTAACCTCATGGACGATATCCTCTACGAGAAGGCACCAAAAGTTGGAATAATTTCATGAGACAACCTTACTGTATGTGTGTTTCAAATTTAGCTTCGATGTCTTCGGCATTTCTTGCATCGCGAGCGCACGCTGAGACTGAAAGAGCATGTCTGCATATTCTTCAGGACGCTTCCTGACGACAGCGGGAGTAGACTGATCGCCCATACTCTTCTCCACATTTTCAGCGCCGATTTCAGGATGAAGAAAACAAATGAGCTAAAGATGTGACAACGGCACAGCCTCTGCATACACACATCGCACCGGCTGTGGTGGCCACAGAGACGTCCTGCATGTCATGGACGACAAAGATGTACGAAGTCGGCACATACCCAAGACTCATGCTCATCTGATTTTTATCATTATTGTAGGCAAATCAAAATGGACAGCCCTCACAAGCGAACACTGAAACAAACACCATCACAGAAAGTAACCGATTTGGAGTTTTTGGATGATACAGCAGACAGATGTTCATCGATAAAAATTCTAACTTTGTAGTCATAAGTTTCTTGGCGGGTTCTTAGAATGTGGATTTTTGTCAAAACAAATGGTGTGGCGCAGCAAGGTACCCTGATGCCGCACCCTGCTTATAAATAGTACCTCACAAACATTGAAAGGCGCGATGAAGTCGATGTATGTCTTTCGCTGTTACGACTCTCATTTACCACCGCCACCATCTGCGATTTGAGTTGGGGTAGGACAAATTATCGAGGGACTTCATGTTAATGTTCATCCAACTATCTCCAGGAATGCAGTAAACGTCGTTCCCGAATTCCCTGGCGGAGTCGCATCCTTCGTTACCGAGCAGTCTTCCGTCAACGCGAGTCCCTTGCTCGACTTCCGCAACTCGCCTTAGCCAAACCTTGACCACTAGAACTTCGACCTTCTCAAGGTTCTCCACAGCACGCTGTCGCCGAACCGCCGCGGCGCGCCTTGTGCTGAAATAGATGTTTCCTCCTAATGACCCGTCCACTCCCGGGAGGAATCTTTTGTTCAGAATGATCCCCGAGGCTCTTTTCGATGAAGTAGCGTGGTAGAGCCAGACCCATCCTCGTCTAAAAAGACGGATCACATTGTAATGACGAAGGGGCTTATCGGCGATTGGACTCGGCTTTTCGTTTCCACTCAACTGCTCATGTGCTACCTGCTTCTTTTTTGTTGCTTGTTGGCCCCGTTGGTTGGATTTCTGGTTTTGTTTCCGAACTTGCAACGCAGGACGAGTCTGGCCACGCCTGCGCGCAATTCCACGAGGACAAAGACGCGGCATACTTCTTATTCTCTGATCAAGGGAAGCGAGCCACGAAGTTTGATACTTTATCTATCAATATTTATAGATTCGACACTCTGCTACTTGGATACAGATTTTGGCTGACCAAGCGATAGCTGAGTAAATAAGCAAAAACTGATTTAATCAGACATCAATTATGCTCACTGCTACCGAAGGTAAGAGCAAACTACATTGGGTGTTGGATGTCATCTCTCGCCTCAAGCCTAAACAGTTAGATCAAGCGCTGGCCGCATACTATCAGTCAACAAACTGCAAGCCTTGTTGCACGAAAAACTTTTACGTTATCTACTCGACCAAAACCAGTAGCGCAGTTTGCATATTTGCACGTGCTGCCACGACTCGATGAAAACGCCAGTAACGATTTGCCTAATTTCAGGAGTGATAACGAGCCAACTAACTAATATCTTCAGTTGCTATATATAAGACAGATGCCACAGAGGCGACGAGGTCATGACCAAGCAGATGATCGAGGAACGAACAGACGGCATGGCGTTCCTTGAATAGATCCATCATGACAAGAAACAAGAAGATTGTTTGTGCTATGAGTAGTGATCAACATTTGTACATTTGTGAATGACTTGTAGCACAAGACGCAACCGGTTCGAACGATACCATCACAACATGGGCAGAGCCGATGCAAGAGTCGTGGTCGCAGATGGAGAGCCATACTTTTTGCAGCAGCTGCAGCTCGTATAGTACAGATATGCACAAAGATTTAATGCCAAAAAAAACTACAACATGATGAACTGTACTAAGTATATCCAATGTTGGTAGAAGCTCAAGTATATATCATCTAGCATCGGAATGATCGTGAATCGCTTTCGGAAGGAGTACTGTTAGAATGAACTCAGACTATCAGTTTGTGATTGAAAACTTCTTGCTGCTCCGCAAGAGTAGTTCCAAGAGCGAAGGCTTTGTCGCCGAGTGCTGATTACGCAGGCTTTTGCCATTCGTGGAAAAGCGAGTTTATCTAAGCACCTCTACTTCTCTGTCTGACGTGACAGATGATAATCCGGTTTCAATTTATCACGGTCCGGCACCCAACCAAGACGTGCATCCCAACTCCAGCATTTATCGTCATCCACTAGCTCTACATCGGATCCTTCGGAGGACACTTCTGACTGTCCACTCTCGCACATTTGATACTCTCGCGACTCCTCTGTCAGCAAGCTTTGCGCATCAAGGAAGGACGATGATTCTGATGTTGCTCTACTTGAAGCCTGAGACTTTAGTTCTCGTGGTTGTTGAGACGCACTCTTCTTCTCGTCTGCTCCAGGTGTCCCCAGCTGATAGCCATCTCTAGAATTGCTCTGCACCTTGCCTGTGGTAGTAACGCGGTGCACGTTTTCAAACCATATCTTGCGCAGCATTGGCAACCACAGGTCTAGACTAAGGCTTACCACCTGCGCGAGCTTGTCCGGCGGCAAAAGCGTCTGCAACGTGTCCAACCCCTCTTTATGTTAGAGCTCTGCATGTTCATTCACACATTTTCTTCTACGCAACTTTAATACTCAGCTAGCAAGCAGCAGAAATTAATGGCCTATACATAGAAACGATAATATGACAATATGCTCGAGAGCCTTAACCATAGTTGCTCGAAGAACTTGAAGATGACTCGCCTTTCTCCTCTTCTCTGCCTGCTCTTGTTGAAGATACTTTCGACTTGTTACTCGTCTCTTGTAACGCAGCATCGCCTTCTGCTGCCTGCTGCTCTCCTTCTTCAAGACGGCGGAAAAAGTCATGGTCGTCCGCGAAGAGCCGCTGAAAAAGAGGGGAAAAATTAGAGGCGCCTTCTCACTATGACTATGTTGTAGTTGGACATAACACCCCTTGGTTTCTGCAGGCTTCTCAGTCCTTGATACAGTCGAATAGAACATTCAAGCTGGTGTCTTTGAATGTTCAACGTTGAGAAGCTTCTGTCCTCGACAAAGCTGAACGAGTCCATAAAATAAAGTCCGTATCGCTGCAGCGCTGTGTTGGCAACAGCGCTCCGACGCGCTTTCTCCGCAACCTTTGCGCGATCGCCGTAGAACAACAGATCTTCCGCACCTGGGTCATCCTCAGGTCGTGCGCCGGACCTTCGCATCTGATCGGCTAGTAACAGCTGCTCGATCCGCATCCAGTGCTCGATCCGATGTTGAACAGGATCGGCACTCCCTGGCAAGAAGAACCCACCACTGCTACTTGGAGTCGCATCACCTACTTCAACTGGCGATCCGGGATCGTGATGTGTGCTGGAAAAGTCAGGAGTGTAATTCGACGAAGCAGAACCTCCCCCACGTGACGAATAATCTACTTCGGGTCTCCGTTCTGGCAAAAGTTGTTGTGGAACAAACGATCTGGCGTGGCTCGACGAAGAAGAGGGTGTTCTGCCCCAGCGAAGATCCTCTGCAAGGCGCACTGCTGGAGCAAGGTCATAGTTTTTTCCGCTTGAGGTCTTATTGTGGTAGTCGACCACCACAAACTGGCTCGGGTCAGGGAAGGCATGACGCGGGTCTTGACGCTGGTCCAGGTGTGAATCGAATGCTGCTGGCGCAGTTAACCTGATCGCTTTGGAACTGACGGACGCAGCCATTTTATTGATGATTCTCCCTTGTAGAAGTAGGAACTTGATTATTGCTCGTGAATTACGAGAAGAATGAGAGAGATGAGAAGTACTAGGATACAATTTACTGATGCAGAGGTACATAAGGAACTTTATGCAAGTATGAACCATGAAGGTATGTCTTACCACGTCGGCTAGAGGAGAGTCTACCTGGATACCATAAAAATGCAATCTAACGTCCTACTAGCAAACGCTCTTCATAAGACCAGAAACTGACAAAGCATGCAAAAGACAAGAACTCTCATGCAGGGTTGATATACTTTCGCCGGGTCCAGTTGTATCAAGCAATATCACATGGTCTCTGGGATAGCGTGGGGGCCGCAATATGATCAATCTACGGGATGAGTGACTCTTCGTTGAACATGAGATATTATTTCATCTTTCAACATCCAAGTACCAAATTTATTCAAGTCGAGACGTATGTTTCCTAGAACGAGTCTGCGACATGTGAGAGAGCCTGGTACCGATACTGCCAAGCATACCTCCTGAAATCTTGGCTACATCTTGACAAGTTCTTGGATCCTGTTTCTCACGTTTCAATCTTCTATCTCCACGATGTTGACCCAAAAACCGAAGTTGTATTCTCTTTTTCATATAGATGGAAGTTCACGAAACGCAATGGCCCGCACCTTGTCGACTTCAACCGGCTTCAACAGTCGAACAAACAGGCTTTCCCAACCGACTTTGAACGGCGCCTTCGGATTTCCGGTGGAGCAAGTTCTGGGTCCTTTATAGGAGTCTACTTGGTACAATCAGACACGGGAGCACGAGGAGAGTGTCTCCATCTTCTCCAGACGAGTCTACTAATCCGACAAGTTTCCTGTAAATACGATAGTGTAACGGGAATAGCTGAAATGTAGGGTTTCAGGATCAATTCTATCTCATACTGTTCTATCAGCCCCCCCTTGGCCTCCTACTACTTGCACCCCATCATGCTTCGCCGCTATCAATGTCCTCGCTTGGTGCTGGCTCTTCATCCTCCACAGGTGCTGCGGCACCGCTCGATTCTGATGTCTTCGCAGCTATGCTCTCCTCTTCTGCGGGCGCCCGTGCGCTACTAGCCGTGTCTACTACTGCGGCAGCACTTGCAGCCCCAGCAGCCGGTGCCTCAGTAGAGGTTGTACCTGCCGCCGCGCGCGCCTCGAGTGCCTCGACTTCACCTTGTACCATCTTTATTCTTTCCCGCAGCTCGCTCATCTGCTGCTCCGATGCGGGGTCAGGCTTTTCTAGAAATCCAATCATATAGCCCATCACATCCTCAGGCCGATCTGTAGACATCAGTGAGTCATTCAACATCAGTGCAAGAAATGACACTGGCTCTTGCTACCAAGTAGCTAGTACGTGTGAAAATTAAATGATACTATTTCTAGTCATGTTGCTGCTTCTGATGCTATCGTACATGATACTATAATTTGCACTGAAGGTTGTCACAGTGAGTCATAAAATCTGAATTGAAATATTATCTTTCTTATAGGTTCTTGTTGTAAGTAGGTACCGGTGATCATTGCGGCAACAAGCTTGTCCAAGATTGGATCGACCGATCTGCGGATGTACTCAGCATTATCGTTCATTTTTCCGCAAGGCTCACGGTTCTACGACAAACGCCATGTTCATATCAAATTAGATGTTGGATCAGCACCGTGACAGTCATGTTGTTCGGAATAAGGCTACGAACGTATACACTGCTTTTCAAATTCAATAATACAGCGTCTGTATCAAATAATATAAAAAATGCTGGCTCCTAGTCCTAGCCTGTCATAAAATTGCAAAAAATCAAAATTGTTTCAAGCTCCTTTTTACCAGATTGTTGTAAAATGACTGTTCCGACAATTTCGTAAGAATAGCGCCGAAAAACGCCAAAATACATCCAAACAGAAGGACTCACTTCAGCAATTTTACCACCTCACGGTATCATTCCAAATCTATCGTCTCTCAGACTGAAGTTTCCTTCTCGCTCCTTTAGGAGAAGATACAGTTTGGAGCAGTGCTTATTTTCGAAGAGCTCAAAATCCATTGGCAACGCGGAGCGTGCAGCAGTGAATTTTTTCCTTGAGCAGAAAGTTGCTGCGTTCGGGTGTTTTTTGAAAAGAGTGAGTCACTCTACACTGTGTATGTTGTGTGTATCTACTTTGAGCACGTGCGAGAGTGATAGTTAGTTCTCTGTCTTACATTGTCGTGTTGCGTTTTTTCCGCGTTGCGCTACAACTGAAGATTATAAGAAATTTGCACATCACATGAAGGAAGTTCGAAGACAATCGGCGTTGGTTGCGTTTCTTTGTCATGCAAGACACAAGTTGATGATGTCGAAGTCGAGTCGAGGGACTAACCACTTCTCGAAGTTCTTGAAAGACTAATTAAAGAACAATACATCATAAGACTGATCACAAGAAAACGGTAGAAAGACCCAGCGAGCAAGTCAGTGCAATTAAGTATTTACAAGTTGTACTACATCACGACTTGCTGCACGAAGGAAAGCGAATGGGCAGGAGTACAAGCAAAGCAATACTTTATTTAATACCTTCACGAGAACCTCAAATATGAAAATTGAACCACGTCCTTTTCCTCCCTTCTATGCCAAATACAGGTACACAGCATATCATATGACATAAGAACGGGTTTCCGCGTCCCTTGTCTCTGATATGGCTATCCAAATTCCCATGGAGAACAACGTGTCGTCTCTATGAAATGAAGCTCTTCTTTCACCATTTCTACCACAGCAGTTTGCGTCCTTCATCAGAGTACTTAAGTAGTGTCCGCCGGCGCGCTCTGTTCACAACAGTTTTGCTTCCAGAGTAGTTTCCGGAACGCTCGCAAGCGCTTTGCTGATGGGGCAGCCCGCTTTGGCCTCTTGCGCCAATTCTTCGAAGGTCGCGGCGTCTACCCCCGAGCACTTTCTTAGATGAAAAGCTCCTATTTACTCAAAGAAATGTTCATGCGCGTGCTCCCGTTCTTGAAGTCATTTCTTGAATTCCGCAAAAGTCTCAAAAGCTCTTTTCTTTTCAAATTTGCACAAATCATGTTGACTCCATCTCAAGTATGGTTCGTTGTACAGAATCTCATAAAAATTCAGAAATCAATTCAGCGCCTTAACTTGCCCTCGGTGGTCAGCTTTATGCTCGTCACAAGCGGACCTTCACCCAACGTAACGGTTGCGGTGGTTGTAATCTGAGCAGGGTGGATCACATTATTTTACAGAGACTGAGAACAACTCCGAGAAATTAATACATAGAAGTGCTCAAAAAAAATATTTGCTTAAGTCCACCTTCACCAAGATAATCATAAGTATTCAGGATGCCTCTACTCTCAAGAAGTATGGACGTAATAAAGACACATGTTTTAGGGCTGCACGCCCCCCCTGCGGTATGGTCGGCGCTGGCGCTCGCGCGCTCTTTTCCGCGCTGATTTTCGCGGATTCTAGTGGTGGAAGGCGTCAAAACCGGGCGCGGGCGTCCCCTTGCGCCTCTCTCCATGTTCCTTAGGGACCTCTTGCCCTCTGCTGACCCTTGCAGGCTGGAGGTCTCCAGGCCGCCGGAGGCGGCCACGGTCTCAAGAGCAAGCAAGCCGATGACCCAGGGCCCGGAGGGTACAGGCCGCACGGCTCAGGGGGTCAAGCCCCTCGCCTTTTGCCGCCTTCAGAGGCCTCCCACACCCGGCGCACTGCTGCGGCGGCGAAGCATATCGGAGGCATGTAGGGCACACGCAGGCAGCTGGAACGGGGCGGAGGCGGTCCCTTGGGCCCCTTTTGGAGCCTTCCACCTACATCGGGGTCTGTAGGGTACAGCCAGGCAGCCGGAAGGGAGCGGAGAAGGTCCCCGGGACCCCTTTTGAGGCCTTCCACCCCCGGCAGACGCCTTCAAAAGGGGCCCGGGGCTGCACGCTACCCCCCCCTGCGCTAGGGGGGTACCGTAGCCCTGAGCCCTGGATCGCATATAAGTAAACTGCTTCATCCAACGATGTCACAGGTAGATTGATTCCAATTATAGTACCGCATCCGGGGTGAGGCCTTTTTTGGTTAGAAGGGCAGCGAGGAACATCGAATAGCATCCTGATATAGCACTGCCGATCATCTCTTCTGGGTTCGTCTTGCTTTCGTCAGCCTCAAATCTTGACGCGAAAGAGTACTCCTGGAGATGGAGTGGTTGCCGCAGAGTATGCATAGACTAACAAATTGTTATTGTTCTTTCAGACACAGTACTGAAATGATTCCTATGGTAAGTCATCCTCTTCGATACCTCGAAACAAGACGTCTAAATGATCCACCAAACCAATTTCAGAAAGGCGCCAAATACCAGTTCCTTAAATCCACCGGATGCCACACTAGTCGAGCCGGTGCCTTCCTTGAGCGTTCCCTTCCATACTGAGGTAGCGCTGGATACGCGTGTTCGGACGAATTGCCTGCTAATGAGAGGCAAGCCTCGTCGAGACACGAGAGAGGCAGCAGACATCATCTTGTCTTTGTTTTGGGGTGCTGTCTAGGCTGGCTGTAGATAATTTAAGCCGTTGTTCCAAGCTCGCCGTGCGTTCAAAAAATGTAGAGGCAAGGAGTACTTATGGGGAGAGGTACTAGCAAACGAACGAATGATCAATGCTGTAGTCTCTCTTGTAATACCTCGGTGTCGTCGTTCGGCTTACCGACGACTGCCTTGCTCCCTCAGAAAGCACAGGAAGCTTCACGTGTTTAAGCTGGCTTTCTGACGCTGCTTCGTTACGTCCCTAATGATCCCCAACCGGAGGCGTGAAAGATAGTATTAAGATCAACCGGTGTGAAAAAAAACCAAAATCAAATTAAAGCACAGAACCTCCTAGCTTTTGTGATCTGCGCAGGCCTTGGCAGCTTCGACTTTCGGCATTTCGTGCTGTATTATCGTCCAACGGATTCACCCTTTCGATGGCTCATGTGGAGCAACCTCATGACAGAAATGAATCCTTGGAATCGTTTCAGAACATGAGATAGATTGCTATCTTTTGAAATACTTGTCGTAGCATTTGTTGCATGCTGTAGTGGTTACAAGATCCAAGGTTGAAGGTCCGCGGCTCTGCGGTCAGGCCGCGGTGTCCGGGACGACACAGGCACGAGTACTTGTCAATTCGACAATACTAGTAAGTAAGGCTAGATGAAGATAACAATCAACGTCAACCTACGTCTTGAGTAAATTTTGTGGAGAACATAGCATCTGCTCAGTAATGTAATTGGAGGTCTGTACAATTTGCGCATATTCGCGCATGAAGAGCTGAATGAAAAACACGAGACACGATCAAGCCTGTTCGCTATCGAGCGAAGGGAGCCGTGGTTGTGATTTTCAAACGCCTAGACACTTGCCCGATTCAGTAAATTAAATCTTTTCTCAAAAATGCTTTCATTATAAATCGAAACGTCTCCGGTCCATCCCCGCGTGCATCTCGCGTCCTCTCTCCGCGTTCAAATGAAACCGTTTTCGCAGCTACATCTCTGCTCCATCCGGCAGCAGAACTATCAAGCTAAGGCCGATAATAGCAGCCCCTGCGAGCCACGATTTGGTGACTACCTCGTCCTTCGGATCGTATCTTATAGCAGTCGGCAGTAATTCGTGGAGCGAGATGTACACCATCATTCCCGCAACGAGGCCAAACAGCACCCCATAAATTGTCCCATCAACCGTAGCAAGAGAACCGAGAACGGCCCAACAAACAAGTGCAGCAATGGGCTCCGAAAGACCGGACGCGGCACCCAACAGAAAGGCCCGGTGACGGTTGCCCCGCGATGAATAGTACACAGGGATTGACACGCATAAACCTGGTGGTGATGGCAAGTAACATGCTGGTAGTTGTCAGACATTAAAAAAGGAATTCTGCATTTCAATCAGAAGTTCTATTCTCGAAAAATTAGGTTTTGAGAAAAGGCTCGTGAAAATTTTCCGTATGATCACCGAGAATGAACCATCTACCATGAGACAACGGCTACGTATTTGGGTGTACCCTCTGGAATGTTGTGTATGGCGATGCCGAATGCCAAAGCGACCCCGACGTGAACGTCGCTAAGGGTAGCGATAAAAGTTGCTAGTCCTTCAGGAAAATTGTGTAATGCAATTGCTAGAGCGGTTTTCGTCGCCATGAGTAACAGTTTTTCTTCCTCTTCCTGATTGCTATCCCCCTCCGACGTTCCGGTGCCATCTGGGTGATCTTTTAGAGGCGAATTCTGCTTAACTTCCTTCCCGGGACGTGGAGCCATCTCCACAAGATGTGCTCCTTTTTCCATTGCGTCACGGCCAACAACATCTTCTAACTGCTGCAACGAAGTACGAGATAGTGGCATTGATGCTGCGTCAGTTGTTGCGGAAGAAGGGGACACTTCAGCATTTTTTTGTGCAACAGCGCCATCGCCTGCAACAGAGACTGCAACGGCTGCGACATTCTCCACTTCGGCCTTTGATTTACCATTTGCTTCCTGTGCTGTACTGGCGCTTTTCTCCTGCGTTGTCTTCTCCTCAGTGACGCGATGCACCAAATGATCGAGGAGCATCATCAAGAGAACGCCGCATAAAAAGGTAACGTAAGCACGCCAAACAGCTTGCTTTTCTGCCCGCTCCTTCTGAGGGTCTGAATAGTCGTCCGAGCCCGATGGTTTCGACAGTCGCTCAAGTTCGGCATCATAGAAACCCCCTACGGCCTTATAAAAAATCTCCACGAAGCTGATGTAGAGCATTACACCAGCAGCCAGCGCTAAACCACACGCGAGCACGCGCGGTGAACTCAACTGCACAACCCTCGCAAAATACACCGCACCAGCACCGAGCGCTGTTGCCAAGCCCGCGCTGAGACAGAGCAAGAATCCGACCAACGCGTTGTCCAATGAACCAGACATCTTTTTTTGGAATTATAATTTGATGACTTGAAACTACTACTTTCTTCGAAAGGCTTAATCTTGTTGTAGCAAGTGTTGTAGTGTAAGTAATAAATCTACATAAGAAGTATGTGTAATATGTATCAGTATCGATCAAAGATTATGAAGAAAAAATGTTGTGAACTTTGCGGAGTAAAATCGAATAAAGAAAATCAACAACTCAGCAGACGCAATCCTAGAATGTAAATGAACACACTGCAAAAGGAGTACAACCTTCAGTTCAATTAAAGCAAAGAACAATGCATAACTGATCTAGACGTCGCTTCGATCGAAAAGCCAGATCGTCACTTCTATCTGTTTTGTACTGAATTCCCATTCATACTAGTACTTCACGTCCCTTTTGGAAGAGTCAATTGAACTAATCTCACCAGAGTCTGAATCTGAATCAGAATCAGACATAAATCATCTTCAGCACAGTGAGCATCAAAAGAACTTGTTGTATCTTTCTCCTGTGCACTCTCTCGCTCTCCGTCAAGCACTCCCTAGCTGAAGTCCAAATTATGTCTTGTCTGCACAAACTCTCTCTCTCTCTCTCGATTGAGACTAAGCTCTACTCTCTAGTGATAGGAACACGCGCAATTGCCGAGATACATGAGAAATTATTGATAAAAACTGTTCATCAATCTGGTCTCCATATTTCTTAGGCCTCGATGGGTAGTGTCTCGTTTGTCATCAACTCATCTCTGTTTCACCTTGTAAGCAGCTTCTACACTGTGTTGTTCTCCGTGGAGAGCTGACCATGCCGAAGTTCTGTGAGGATGAATGGAAAATAAGTTGTAGAACCTTAGATAGTCAATAATCTTTTTTGCATGAGATGAAAAGAATCCTCATACGGGACTGAGACGAGTGCAGCGAGAGGACATTTTCACTTTTTCCCTGTTTGGTGTTGTTTGTGTTGGAAGACCCTAATTGTGTTGGAGTGGTTGGACGTACTGCAGTCAAAGTAATGAAAATTGGGATAGTAGAAGTATGAGCTAAGAAGTTTAGGAGACACTTGAACAGAAAGGTAAAGCATTAGGAACGATGGGAACGAAGTAGGTCCTATTCTAGATAGTATAACTAAGATAGTACAAGGATACTAAAATTAGAGCGCTCGGAGTAAAAGTTCTGTCTTCGGCCACATAAGGTCCCACCTGGTGATAAGAGGAAGGTAGGTGCTCACAATGAGATCGGAACGGCGTTGTTGACCTTGCTTATGGGTGCTAGCTCACCAAGGTCAACATCCGATAACATTCGACAGGAACTTAAACTCTTCTATCTATATACTCCTCTTGCATTTACCACTTCCAGACTGGTCCACTGGTCCATTTCGTTGCAGGCGTGTATAGTTTTGTTGATCCTTAAAAAAATTATGGAACTTAAGTAACCCCATGATTACTTATCACGCTTTTCCACCCTTTAGTTCGCGCACTCCTCACCTATAAAGACAGATTAAAGAAGGTAGTTCGAATGTAATTATAAAGTAAGTAGAAAGTAAGTAGAAAGTAATTAGCCTTAACTTGGTTTTTTGACGATAGCCGTGCAAATGCCCAAAATATCTGGACATTGAATACTCTGTCACCCATTATTAGTTTGCCCCCTTGTAGTTAGGTTAACACCTTATAAGCAGAGTTTTTGGCCTTAAGTGGGCTGTCCGTTGCCCTGTTTCTCCATTCGGATATTGGTATATTTCCGGTCCTCACTGTATCTATATATATCGCAAGCAAGCAGCAAGTTCTTCATCATAGACTTCTACTAGGATATAAGGACGAAAACCACTAGTATTAGGTGATGGGGTTTGGACATTGTGACGGGTGAAGTGCTGATTATTAGTTTACTTGAGACCGATGAGTACTAGAGGCCACACCGATTTACTTACAAGGGCTATAACCGATTGTCACAGCATCAAAGGCATAGACGAGACAAAGACAACGAGAGTGATGAAGCAGGTTGATTGATAAAAGCAGACGACGTCACTCAGTAGATCTAATAACAATACTGCACAATTAGCCTGAAACCACAGCAGACAGGGATTTCGAGTCTTTTCGAGTCAACACCAAAAACTGAAAACCCGTTCGTTTTTTCTCTGCAGAGAGATGATGTTCTGACTCGGCAAAGTGACTTGTCAGAAATGTGTTCTGAGGTAACAAAGTAGCTCCGGAGCAAGCCCGTTACCTACTACTCGAGCTATTGCGCTGCATTTCCAAGCCGAAATCAATGTGTCCATTGGCAACCAACGCCGCGAACACGGCTGAGAGGAGAAATGACACATAAGCGTAGAGAGCGTTTACCAAGGTTTTGTCTGCGGTCTGGTACAGAAATCGGAATGGCAACTCCTCGAAATGTGCTATGAGATCCTCCGCGTACTCGGTGGCCAGCTGTGAAGTGGATTGATGCTGCTGGGATTCATCAGTTCTTACGGCCGAATCCTGAGCGAGATGCTCGGTCGCAGTGCGGACTTGCACACGGCGACAAGCATGGGCTAATCGCCGAAAATTTTCGTTGCACCTACTTCCGTATAGGATGGTCATAACTAGCGAAACTGCCACGATCACGAATATATACGCCATCTCCCAAATCAGGGGCCAGTAAAGTTCCCCCTTTCTCTTGTTGGTCTCCACAGAATTACTTGAGGAGGTATTCACGGCGACCGCTTGATGTGTAGTTTCACTACTACGCGATGTTGTTGTGGAAACCTGTAACACGACGAGAGCGCAACAACCCGACAGGTAAAGAAGTGAGAGCAGAGAAAAACCATTGCTGTAACGAAGCATAATCTGCTGACAATAAGTGGGAGACAAAACACGGCACAAAACCCAGAATGAACGCACGTCGGCAGCGGAAGAAAGACGAGTCTCTCGATCCTCGTCTGCAGGACAGAGTTGCCGCATCGCGCTCGTTGTCGCCGCATCGTCCAACGTTGCAATCGCGCATCGTGCACGCGCGTCCCGCGCGAATATGGCCAATAATAGCGAGCTTAGTCGCCATCGGCGATGCGCGTCGTAATACGGATAGTAGAGAAAGCCGATGAAAATCGATAGCATGAAAAACTTTTGATAAATAAGAAGCGCACAGGCCGCGTTTGAAAGTGCTGTATCGCCGAACGGGCTGAGGTCCATTTGTGCCCAGCGCACGAAGGGCACGATGGCAGCGCCGACCGCCCACACGAGCATATCGTTTGGCATGGCGCATACCGCGTAGGCAATGTTGACCAGCACATAGGCGGCAACGCGAACCGGAAGACGCCCGTGCCTGCGGCACGAGTCGCGAATGCTACCTTCTATTGAGCCACGATCCAGCCTCATCAGCTTTCGCAGATTGCCGTATTTCGAATTCTGCTGTTGCGCGAAGGGCAGCGTTGGAAAGGGCGTCGAGACTTCCGCCTTCGTGTACGTATCGTAAAACTCTTGACTGTCCAGCCTTAGCATCGTTTTTGCCGTAAGATCATACGACACACGGGCCACGGCGCTCGGACCGCGGTTTCCGAAATCGAAGCTCAGAGAGACGAAGTCCTCTGCACACTCATTGCGCAGTGCGGATTCGAGCAAGCGTTCAAGATTGTCGAATGCTGCGGTGCCCTGATCGTCATGAAACATTGCGCCGCCCAGCCGTCGCAGAACTACTCCATGCAGACCGTAGCTCTGCGTGCCGCGTACACAGGCGAGCTCACTGTCGGTAAAGTAGGCGTATTTCAGAGCGATCCCAAAGTACCGATACAGCTTCAAGAGCCCCAATGTGGCGATGTCCGACCAATGCACGCCTCCAAATGCATCTGCAGACGCATCGTCATTATCGATCTCCACATCATCCAGCCACCAGAGAAGGAGAATGACGAAGAACATCGTCGAAGTTAGGGCCACTTCGTTGAAAATAAGAAACCCAATGTCGCCATCAATAACGAATCGGTTCCACGCACTCGTCTTGCCCTCGAGTACGCGCGCAGATGCCCAGCCGAGTGGCCCCGGCAAAATCTCGAAAAAAGCGGTCTTCAACAGTTGCGAATATTGAATGTGCTCTTCAGACCAAACATCCTCTTCCAGAACGTGTCTTTGAGCCGGTTCGTTGGACCACACCGCGCCATCTCCACAATCATGGGCACCCCCCGCATTCTCGTCGGCTGATGCAGTTGGAGCATCTACTTGCACACCACTGGACACCTTATACTCTCGCTCCGGATGTCGAACGCGATGATGGCTCCCACCGCCGCCACCAAGAGACTGACCATCCGCGGAGGTAGAAGAATGGGCCGTGCTAGACGCTGGGTCACCACTTGGGAAAAGCGTTTTCACGTTCTCAACGCACCATGAGTGTACTTGTTCGGCCTCCACGCTCAAGTGCTCGATTACCGAGGAGCTACGCCGTAACGTGTTCGAGTCCGTTGATATTGTGGCCCCCTCGTGCCGTTCCCCGGAGCTCACGTCGACCCGCATACTGCTCAATTGCACCCTAGGAGGGTGGTTGTACAAAGATGCTCAGGAGATACGTCTATACACCGTCAAGTGCATGAATCAGAAGGTCGCGACAGTGCGAAAGGACCCAGCATTAACCTTGTTCATCCAGCATGTGTGATCATTTGCTCTTTCAGAAATGCGACCACAACTAATTCCACCCTGATCAACAACCGACATGAGATCTAGCACTTGCTTTGTGTTCGGGCCAACGGGGCATCTGGGTCGGGGAGCAACTACATCCGTCCACATTATCATTTCAACGTCCTAACAACTTTGTCTACCAAGATCTCATAGTACCATGATAGCACCGACGCTCAGGGGACTCTCTCCCAAAACAGAACCATACACTATTCATATCTCAGCTCAGATTTCAAAGAAGCTTTTTCGTTTCTTCTGTCGCACACAATGGGGATCATTCATATCGAGGGTGCTGATCGAGACTTTGGCTGATCCGATCCCAACACAAATCTCTACGCTTCCGGGTGACCAGTCTCCAGCATATTTTTCGCGGAAAGCGATCCACAGAAAGAGTCATAGTGACCAGCATCTCCAGGGCGCACAGGTTTCAATATCAGTACAACAAAGAAATTGGTCGCCTTTCCTGACAGATATAAGAATGAGATGGACTCAGTTGGGTTTCCGAATCGAAAAGAGGATTATAATGTTAGACTGAACCAGCGGTTCAAAAAAGACGAGAAAGCCAATATACCTATGGTATAGGCATCTATGCTGTGAGAATAGCCCCCAACACCACTGCAGTTCTCTCTTTGGTGGGGTGATGTTTTGCTTTCTTCGGGTAGCACATTAACATTTGATGTTCATGTTTCTTTAGAATCGGGAAATTAAAATTAAGCAACCGTCGTGGGTTGAGAACTCAACTTTGCATTTGCTTGTAAGAAGAAATCATTCACTACTGACTCCTTCGTGCATAGGATGCCTACAGATACTTCTATGCCTGTATTATCTGCAGTTGCTTGATGTCCCTCTTCGCGTTTTCAACTCCCGCATGATTGTCTTCGTGGTCGAAGACTAGAAGGCGTTTTCCGTAATCGTTCACGCAGGTCCAAAGTCGGTCATCCCCGTTGATTTTGACTTTGACGAGCTTTTTTGAGTCGCATTTCAAACCAATGCTCTTCTTTCCGGATCGCGCGCGCGTAGTCCAGCACCCTACCCGCGTCTTTGCTAGAGGACTTCAAATTGAACAGCTTTCCGCGTGCTTCAACTCTCTGCTGTCCTCCGGTACTAAATCTTGGATCATGATCGATCTTGCAGAAACACTTGGAGCTCTCAACAAAAGCTTGGACATCTTCCTCACTTCTCTCGTTGCAGCCCACTTCCAACACACTGCTAAGAATAGCCGAAGCGTCCGCTAGAGACAGGGTCGCTTGTGAATTTCGCAACGCGCTAGAAGTGCTCGCCGACGTAGTTTTTGAGGTCATCTTGTTTTGTTTCCTTGCACCAGACGGCTCCACATCTTTGCCCTTCGGGAAGTGTGAAAACTTCAGTGTAGGTGAAGCTGCTGGCTTTGTGCTAGTTTTTCCTGCTGTACCTGAGTTTCCCTTTTCTCCACTTTTAGGATCATGATCCGGTGCTGGAATGTTCCACGTATAATGTTCGGGATGCACAGTGACCACCTGATTTCCTTCCATATCCACGACCGGCCGCGCTAGCGTCTTCTCTAAGACTAAAAGTTTGTCGAGCTTCCGCTTCAGAAGTTCCGGGTCAGTCGCACTGGCGTCTAGGAAGCTCTCTGCGAGATCTTCTGCTGGATCGAACATCTCCAGCAATTCCAATCGATCTTCATCCTCCAACAAATTTTCGATTGCGGGTTTTGTTCCGCGCGACCCGTCTTGATCCTTAGTCTGCTGTGCAGCTTGTTGAGCACTCTGCAAAAACGCGAGCCAGATTCGGCCTTCCGAGTATCTGACCGCTCTCTTTGCAAGATCAACCGCAATCGCGAGACTCTTCATCGCTTGTTGTTTGACATTGGTATTAATAGCAGTTGTACCTTGTTGACTCGTACCTTGTGAGGCTGAGGCCGAATCGAGGCCGTACCGTTCATAGCAGGTCGCGTGACTGCTTCACGTTCGAGAGAGCCACCAGCTTCGGAAACTGCTTTTTGAAATTGTTGATGCGGAAAAGTACACGGTCGTATGTGTCGTGACTGCACGTCGTCAGCTCGTTCTCCAGATACAAGACGAAAAAGTACTCGTGGTACATCTGTCCCTTGTAATCCTTGCGCAAGCAGTATGAACGATACACTAGAAGACCTACATATCAAGAAACATGAATATAGATATACAACGCGATGGATTCCAATAATTTCGTCAAAATCATGAAATGAGAATCTGAATAAGATGAAACAGGCAATAATGTCATGAGAGCGCCAGCTTTTTGCGTCCCAGCGCCTCGTCCCCCTTATCAAGACACGCACGTAGTATAAATATGATAGACGGACACGCGATCCCAGAGACCGGCAAGAACAGTTTGCTTCGATCCGAACATTCAATGCACTAGTCTAAGTCCCCACGACGATGCGCGCCTTCAGCCAAGATCTCGTAGTAGAGCCTCGCAGTGCCCTCGGCGAGAAGGGGGTTCACTCGCTTCGGCTCATCGGCGTCACGAGCACTGCCTCCACATCCTTCTTGCTCCGCTTGGACCCTCTCAAGAATCCTGAAGTGCAGAATCCCTATCCTTCTCTGTCTCAACCTCATTGAATACCCTTCGAAATCTTGGGTCTACTCTGTGCAAGGTGACAGCAGAATCCGTACTCCCTCTCAATCTACTACACGGCGCAAAGCCTACGTCAGCGATAGAACTTTTGCCATCCTTACTCTTTGATGCAGTGCCTGCTGTGGAAGCACTCCCAGGGATGGTGCTGACCGAACTGCTATTTCCGTGAGGTCCGCGGCGGACGATCATGTTCCTAGTATGATTGCTATTCCCCGCGAACATTTTCAAATAGGTAAGTAGTTCGAAACCGTGGGTTTGCTGAGTACTTTGCCCATGGGCACTGCTTCAGGCAGAAAAGCGCCCACTCCCGACCACCATCTCCCCCGGCCCCGTCGTAGACCAACAAATTTGAGAACCGATCTTGCACGTATGTGCCTTCGACGTGGAACAAAATGTTGCTATTTGCGAGGAAATCAGGGAGAGCCATGTCCGCCGCACCCCCAGAACCTCTGCGAGGCTATTTCAAATGCAATATTGAAGCCAACATGTTGTTCTGCACCGCTAGCTCCCTCGGCGCGCTTCCGAGAAGCAAAAAAATTCCCTCCTTATTCCTAAGCTTCGCAACCGCCCGGTCAAACTCGAAGAACGGATCGATGTTCGACTTTCCGTCCGAAATAACAGTCGTAATGAAATCACTAAGCTGCCGATGGATTTGTTTCTGCCTCGCCGCAGTGTTCAACCCGAGAATTTTTGCGATCTCGGGTAGCAAGAGCATGAAGACAACGTTCGACTGAGCAAAAACTACCTGATCTCTGTAGCGATAATGATCCACCGTGGTATCGCTCTCCAAAGTACTCGTCAAGCCGAGCCTTTCAGCGAAACGGGACGTCTAAAACCAAGAGCTGGAGTTCGTACGTGACAGTACCACTCGTGGCGAGGATACGCTTCGCCTCTCACACCATTTCTGCACACATGCACCTGCAAGTCACGCAGCAGACCGTTCGTTTTTGATTCGCAGTAGTAGAAATTCGAATACGAAGTCACAGGAACCCTGGAAAAAATCTCTGTTGTTCGGGATTCAAGGAGAATGGATGGTAGCGATTGCACTCACAGATTCTGAAATTCTGGAGCAAGAATGAGGATTGCGCTTCCAGTCGAGCACATAATTGTACTCGCGAGCGCAGACTCCTCTGATATTCGTAAGACACGTTCCTCATTTACATTCACTTTAGAAAACCTCACTATCATTGCGAGTAACGGGCAAGAGAAACAGTGAAGAGGAAGAAAAAGCATACGAAGCGCAACATAGAGGAAGCCATTGGAAAACCGATTTTACCGCTCTGAAAAGTGGTTAAGTCGACAACGTAGCGTCAAAGTACGCGTGCCGGCCTGATGGATTAAGACCTACAACGCATCGTGTCCACGTCGAATAGTATCACGTTCACAACGACATTCGCATTCTCGGATCACCAATACTTGAAGTCAGTGTCAACCGATCCTCTCTGAGAACACAAGTTTCAAAACAAGACATCGGAACCGCTGTTACGCAGTTGCACAGTTTTTTTTTTGTTTTTTTCAGTCACTTGAAACCTAGGACGTCCCGAATGGATTACACCACAACAGGAGTCTACTAGAGTGATACTGTCTGAGGGTCACGATGAGGGGGGCTACTGTCCACTGCTGATACACAGCAACATGGATTTCGCGCCAGATGACAAGGAAGTACTGCGACGTCACATTGCCAAAGTCCAGTCTCTTACCGGACCCCCATCACCGATCCGGTCCCGCAGAGTGTGGCTAACACGATGACGAAGGTGAGTCACCGACCTCTTACTTGACGAAAGACTTGACCTTGGCAAAGAGGGCCTTGCCAGCGGCGGTCTTGCCACCAACCGGGACGAATCCCTTGATACCGAGGGCCTTGCGGGCCTTGACCAAGGCGGCGGACCAGGCGAGGATCTTCTTGGCGCCCTTGGACTTCTTGGCAGCAGCCGAGGCCTTGACGGAGACGATCTTGCCGGCCTTGTTCTTCTTCAAGTCGGACTTCTTCAAGCCACCGGAGGTCTTGGCCTTGGCGCCCTTGAAGACGCTGGACTTAGCGCGCTTGCCCTTGGCGATGGTGGACTTCTTCATGGCCATCTTCGGGTATGAAAGCGTCAACATAAGCACAGAATCATGATCGACTGAAGCACACGTACTTATGCGGAGTATTTTGAGAATAATTAAAGAACTCCTTTTTACGTGGGCTTCAGTATCCTATCACTGCTGTGTCTTCCTTGTTGCCTTAACTTCATGCCCATCTTCATGGAGGACATCTTCATCTTCATGGACATCATCTTCATGCCCATCTTCATGGCGCTCATCTTCATCATCATCTGGAGTGGAGATGTGTTTAGAAGATTAAGAAAGGTTCGCGGGTGATAGAACAATCATTGAAACACCAAATCACCAAATTATCATCCTCCTTGATTCAGAATCAAGGCAGGGCTTAGGGCTTAGGGTTCAGAATCGAGTATGACTTTGCAAGAGAGACTCAATGATACGATTTCATCATCGAAGAAAAATGCCACTTCTAAGCATCTCAAAGTGTAAAGCAAGTACCTTGGCCATCTTTGCGACGTGTTTTTTGCACTAAGGCGACACTATAAGACCCTTCCTATACCCCAAGTTTGGATGAAAGAAGGTGATAACGGGCGTGCCAAGGATGTGTCTCTCGTTAGATAGATTGCAGCTGCTTGACGTGATGGAAAAAACTAGGTGAGTGCTGCGTACTACTTTTAGACAACCATGTCCATTTCAGACTACTTATCAATATTTCCAGATTTTGGCTGCGGATAACAAATGCAATTCTACTTCTCTTGGTCATGCACTAAAAATTGTAAAAAAAGAAGGACCCAAACACTTTGTAGATTTTACTTTCTCGTCTCTCAACCTCTCGTCAAACATGCTTTCTTCTAGACTCAAAAAAAGTTTTTGGACACACAGGCTGCACACAGTATGCTGGACATAGTCCACTGCTCCACATCCACTGATACGTGGATACCAGTATGTCTGATATTTGTTCTGATTGCATTCTCACGGAAAAAACGAAACACCTGCAGGTACCTGACATAATATCTCATTCCAAATACAGCCAAAAGGGAACTTGTACCAGACATACTTGTGAGTTTGAGGAGACATACCATACTAATACCGAAAATGACTTGAGGAATCAGTAACAAGAAAAAATAACACAGATTTGCGATAGAATGCCCAACACTCAATAGCAAACGAACATCGGAGTACGAGTCATTGAGTGTGAAAATATCTGGGGAAGTTCAATGCAATCAGAATCTCTAGGGATAACCACTATCACCCGAGCCATTCACTGAATCCAGACTCGTTGTAACACATTACCTCACACCCACTGTTTCCAACCTGACGAAAGTATGACTTTCGTCTTTCCATTGTTATCCAGCATACATCGTCTGTTCACATCTACATCGTCCAACAATAGGCATCAGCATCGACGCGGCGCCGACTCGATGCCAATGAGGAACATCTGCACCCCAATAACAGAAAAAAAATTTCAGTGGAAGCTCTTCAGCTTGTCCGAATCCACTGGAGCTTCGTCTTGGTGCAGGTGCTCCAAGGGGTTTTCGGCGCGGTAGTGGTGCGCATCGTTGTACCTAAGGCGTTGGATGCTCGTGTCAACAAAGCATACTAAGATCACTTTGATTCATTTCGAGCAAGACCCTGGTGTATTCCCAATTACATCTACGCTTACTCTGAGTGGCATTCAACGATTTCATCCGAAAGATAAACGCGTGCTATTGGTCACAAAACAGTACGCATCGATAGCCTGTGTCTCCAATCTGGCGATAGTGTCGAATTCTTTCACACTCGCCGCGCGTAGGCGCGTCAACGCACGAAATACCGCTCGTTTGATTTCTGCGACCTCCGCATTTTCGACTGCGTCTACCAACGTGTCTTGTGTTTTCGCTGCGTGGTCTTGCAGCTCCTTTGCTGTGTCTTCCTTACCTGGAAAGGGATATCAAGCGACTTTGGAGAAAGAGTGAAACGATCCCATCTCTTCTGACAACAGACTGCCCAACCACCGCAAGTCAGAAATATAACCGCATACTCAATTTGTCCTGTCCACATGAAATACCCCGCGTCAGAAAACGCCATACGATCATACCAAGTATCACTAATTCATTTCTCTTAGCGGGAGGCAGTATACCAAAAGGCGCAATCTTGTTGAAGTTCATCTCCAAATCGTGTGACATTTCGCTTGCCAGCTCCTGCGCCGCAGGCTTTTTCTTCAAGAGCGGCTGGGTGACCGCAGCGACACAACCAAAGAGACCAAGCAACACCCGCATTCTTTTCTAGCTATGGCAGGAGACGCTAGTTATGGGTCCAGGTCGTGTACACACTTATTTCAGGCTTTTGCCTCCGTATCAGAGGCCACTACACGCAAACACAAAGACTTAGCACTTTCAACACAGAAGAAACGCGTACTCCCTTCTATGTCACCACCACCTCTGCCTACAATCAACAAATCTATCGACATTGACAATACAACGATGACGAAAGGTATTTTACGCTTGTCCAGATCATTGTCGAGAATTATTCCTAGCATAGGATCAGGCTGAAAAGCTCACAAATTTATTAGAACTTTCAACGTGCAGCACTCATAGATACTGCACCTGTCTCTGTGGTCATCAGTAGACCCGTCGTCATGACGACCACATGTCCAATCCGAACACTCCCATTGCGCAAAAATTGCCGCTATATAGAACGCATCGTCCGCCCCACGGGACCTGGAAAAATCAAAGGGAAAAAATATCCACGTCTCAGACCGAAGCTCGAGTCTCATATACGAAGCTGCACCCACCAGAATCAGAAAGGAATTTTGAGAGCACGATCTGAAATAAAACCGTCACACACTCAATTGTTTTAGTTTACGATCTTCTCAGTCAGCATATTCAGCCCTGTCAGACCCAGTAACATATCCGTAGACCCGGGCATCGCGCTTGCGTGGTAAAACGGTAACACAAATTCGCCGCCGTGCCTCAAGCCTTTCGGCATCGAGGTCTCCAGCAAAGAGAAATCGGCTCCCCGGAGTATGTGCTCCATGCGATGAAGCGCTTCTACTTCTGATGTACGCTTTTCCTCTTCCGATCTGAAGTTTTCCAACACATTGCGACAAACTCTTTCCACATTTTCCCCTTCAATGTCTTTCGCGGTAAGCGACTTGTCCGCTGCGTCTTTTTCATCCATTAACGAGGCCGCCTTCACCTGCAATATTCAGGCGCAGGACTCCAAAAAGAAATTGGGCTAACAGTAATCAATGACGCGCCCAGGCGCAGAAGAAAAACTCTAATATTTCTCAAAAAAAATGTCCTCGAAAAATCTTCAGTGCCTCACATCGTCTGTAGAAATCATTGTGAATCCTATTCCTCCCAGTCCAGTCATTCTGGGTGCATTACTTGTTAACTCTGACTCAGCCATTACAACGAAGGGCTCTATCTAGTGTCCTTGAGTCGAACCTCATATGCCGCCACGTTCGCCGCTTTCTGGTTGAAGAGCTCATAGGCGTCTGCTTCCCGTGCTGCAAGAGCCTCGGAATCAGATTTCAGAGACGCGCTTTCCTTCCGGAAGTCAGCTTCAGCATCTTTATCTTCAGCTTTGACGCTTGATAGAATTGAGTCAAATAGTGCCAAGACCGGGGCTGCGTTGTCCATTTTTGCTTCCGCGATAATCGAGCGCGCATCTCGAAACACAATTTTCGCACGTTGATGCTCAACCTTTGCATTCTGGAAGGCCTTTTCATTTGCTTGTATCGTGCCAGTGAGCTCTGATCGCTCCACCCTAGCATCTTCCAGTGCCTTCTCGGCAACAACAGCTGCACTTTTCAATGCTTTAAGATCGAGCGTCGCTTTTTCTGCTGCATCTGCAGCTAGCGTCGAAGCATGCTTTGCCGTCTGCACAGCAGCTGTTGTGGTATCGGAAAATGAATGCAACACCTACTTCCTGCCAGCATGCAGCTGAGAACACATATTGGAAAGTACAAGGAATCTTTGAAATTGGGTGTATTGAGTTACTCGTGATTGCGACTTCATTAAGCAATTGCTTATGTTGAAGACCATTTCCGGCAGCCATTTCCTTCTCGCAATTTGCATGTACAGCTGCCGCGTCTTTACTCGCGGCCTCTATTTCTTGTATTCGATCATTTATCGTTTTCAGTATACCAGACACGTCGCGCTGACCTTCAATTGCGGTAACTCGAGATTGAAGAAAGGACAGGGGGCTACTTTCTTGGACATGCCTTAGCAGCGTCTTCGCAGCAGTCGTCTTCGTCGATGAAGTCTGCCGCTCGGTTGTCGTCGCGTCCTCAGACTCACTGGTTACTCTCATCGTTTCCGCAACTCCACGCTGCGTTTGGTCGGATGCGACAGCCTCTGTAGTGCCTCCTTCGGCCAAAGCCTCCTCAACGACAACATTCTCGCTGGCGCCTCTCTCTGGCGCCTTCTCACTGTGCATTCCCACATTTTGATCCTTTTGCTTTCTCGTTTTTGCATCCCCTTGATCCACCTGCGCCTCGTCTCTGGCCTCGCTACCGGACTTCTTACTAGCATCGATATTCTGCTTCGATGTTGGGTCATATCCCTGCTCACTCGTCGACTCTTCTTCTTCGCGACCTTCAACCGTTTCATCTGCAGTCTCACCGACCGTCATTTCGTCTACCACTTCCTTGTCCTCCTGCTCTATGACAACAACACTCTTTCCAAAGTCCTCGAGTAGCGTCACTGCTTTATGCATGCCATCGCGCACAGCTGCCTCCTCCTTGCGGGCATGGTCCCTTGCAGTCACCAGATTTTGCAATTCCACATCCCAATCGCGCGTCTCGTTCTCATCGTACTTCTGAGCGGCGCTGCGCTCCGTCCTCGCGTCTGCCAACTGCTTTCCCGTATCGCTAAGGTCTTCCTGCAGTGTCTCCAGTACGTTACGAAGCCTGGAGCAAAGACGACATGAGCAGCAGTAACATAAACTATGGCCTACTAGACAAAGGATACTGTAGACGTACTTGGGAAATGTTGGATGATCACCAATACATTAATATTATGCGGGAAATCACGCCTTCTTAAAGTAACTAGCACCAAGAATCTGGAGTATTACACATTTCCATCATGCCTCACGAAGTACCGAGCCGTGGATTCTCGCCCGATTTTCCTGTTTCTTTCGAATTTCTCCGAGTCTTCCTTCTCCTGTTGCTCCAAGTCCGCTTTATCACGCAACATTGTTTCCCGTAACGTCGTCAAAATGCCTCCAAGAAGATCGCTGTCCGGACTACTTTCGGCGCCCTGCTCCGGCTGTTGCGATAGCAAGGACTCTACAAGTTGAGGCTCGCGCTGTCGCAAGAATGATCCGGAAGTGCCCTGCAACAATTTCGGAATGTCGGATTGTGTGGCTTAGAGCTCCGACATACCACCTCAAATGACGCTGCCACTGTTATCAGGGGAATCATCTACTTCGTGTCACTAGTAATCGCTGCGCTTTGCTAACAATTTCCAATTCTCTTGCTTCGAACGGGAAGATGACAACGGAAAATTCAGTCTCAGATGCTTAAGAATGGTTTCCTACTCTTTCTTCTCGAGAACTAAGAGCGTCTGCGCTAGCGCTTGCACACTCTGGTCCATGTCCGCTTTCTGCGCTGCGAATTCCTTCGACTCTTTTTCGCGTTCTCGTTCGGCTTTCTCCATCAAAAATTCGTTCTTCTCCACATTTTCTCGTGCTTCACGTGCTCGCACCTGCAACTCCGCTTGTTTTGCGCTAGCAATTTTCTCTGCTTCAGATGCATCCTTCGCGCGCTGCTTCTTCACTTTTATGCTGTCAGTAGCAGCCTTCTTTGCTTTTTCGATGAATTTCTTCTGTTTGCAAAAGGCGTCTTCTTGCTCCTTTGCGGAGCCTTCTGCCTGCTCCACCATATCCAGCACGGCTTTTCTGACTGCATCGAGCTCACGAAGACGCTTGCCGCCGGATGGCGGTGCCAATGTAGTTTTCCGTCCACGTCTTGATCCTCGTCTATCGGCACGCCTGCCCGTAGCAAGAAGCATCGAACCCGAGCTTCCAACATCTTTACCGCGATCGGCAAGTCCCGCGTATGCTCGTTGCTGATCGCCGGCCACGGACTTGCCCGCTCTTAGTCGTAAGCCGTCCGCCAGTCGTGGCCCGCAGCTGCACAAAGCAACCGCTACACGTAGCACCGGCCATGGGAAAAGCGACATTACTTTAGTACTGTCTGTCTGGCCGCTGTCGGATATACATACTGCTGCCTGCACACACTAAATCGCGCCGTACTGGCGCAACGCGGCGGAAGAAACCAGGCTCCGTGTGCGATGAAAGCTACTAACTTCTGTTGGGAGGTCGACTCGAATTATGGTGTGAGTAGTTCAGTACAAAAGGATCTCTTTGTTGAGTCCATCAATCTTTTTCTGATCTCTTGCAAAAGTTCTGAATTTGATGACAAAACACTTCGCCACTGGCCCGGGCCTGCTGCTTTTCCGCAAACAATCCGGCACCAGTGCTAGTCTTTTATTTTCTTTCCTTCGCTTTCTGTTGTTTGTTCTTCTTATGCAGAACACAGAAGAGACCCAGGGAAGTCGTAGGTCCAATCCGAATCGACTAGCATCATCATCATGCAAAGCTCATGAACATGCAACATTTCCGTTCGGGCATTACTTCGGTTATTTTACCCGCTGAAGCGGTCTACAAATCGCTGAGAATCACCAAATGCACATCGCCACGACGAGCACTGACTGTGCTCATTATCACTATCATGCTAGAAGCAATCTGTACGAATGGAAAACGAAACGCGAACATGAAGTTTATCAAATAATCAATGTCCTCTGCTGGATAAAGAATTGGAAAATATGAATCATGAATGATGCAAATACAGAAGTCATTTTATGGTCTATATCTCATGCAGTTGCAATCGCATGCGGATCATGGAATTCTTTCGAAGTCTCCAGCCCATCAAATCATATTGCCATTATGCTGTCTTGATATTGATGCAAACTCCATGAGCATCCCTGCTGCATTATGCTGTGCATTGAATGTAGTTCCCTCGGTGGCGGCTCCTGCGAAAATAATTAGATGCACATCTTACATAGCCGCACCAAAGATTGCGGCGTGCAATTTTTCTTGCTCCCTTTGCGCGCGCTGTAACCGCTCCGATAGGAAAACTTTTTTGGCATTATGCAATCGCAAATTCTGTGTCATCATCCGCCGACTGTCGCTTTCCGCGAAGTAAGCTTTGCGTGCTCTGAAAGAGTGTGCCTCATGATATTATCATTCAAGGCTATAAGTACCAAGAATCATGATTGATTTGTAGAAGTAGAACCAGTGCAGGCAAACATGAAATTAATTTTATGTCAGTTTTAGAAGATGACGCTTACAAGAAAATGGTGCTGTAAGGTTGCAGTTACAAAGTGAAGTACTCCATCACGTTCAGCTCCATTTCCTGTTTCGTTTTCGCCGCCTCATAAAGCGCTAATAGTATGCTTTTATTGTCTTCGCTGTTTTGAAAGTTGGAGAGGTGACCAATTAGTACTTCTCAATACCAATTCATTCTTATCACATCTTACCCAACTTCAATATGCGGAACGGTGAATTTCAGGTTCACCGAATGCAGCAGAAACATAGACTGATTCAAGGTGTCCAAGTAACACTGACATGCTCCTGCTCTTGCACAAAATTTAACATCATCAATACCCGAGTTGCTTCACTTCTCCTGTGAGCTTTTTATTATCAATTTCGAGATGCTGCAACTGGACATCAAGTAAGGACAGCTCGGATTCCATCTTCCGCACCTCCGTTTCGTATCCCATAGTTTCGCTGGCTATCATACGGTTCTGTGAGAAGGTTGTGTTCTAGAATTCGAACGCGGACATTAATCATTGGTCCATGCTATGACACTAAGCATACATTTTTTCCAACACCTTTTACTCCGTATTTTCATCGCACGTCATCCAGTAGATACTAGAACCCTCCTTTAAAGCCTAAAGTGGAAAAAATCCCTACCTGTTTCTTCTGCCGATCTTGTTTCTTTTTCGCCTCTACCAGTTGCTTTTTCAATTCCTCAATATGTTTTTGATAGTAGTCCCTTTCGTGTACCCGGTTCTGCATTTGGCTATATGCGTTTTTCGAAAGCTCAACTACGTTCCCAGCAAGTGCCCGTCCCTTCGCTGAAGAAGACGAAGATGAGGGCTGCGGTTTACCTGATGTTAAATGACGAAAACATACAAGACGACTCAGGGTAGTGCCCTGTAAGAATCAATAATGTTGAGTGAAGGGATAAGCCTAAAGGTACTAGACGGAAAACTAACCGGCTGTTTCACTTATGTGCTTTGAGCGTCGCTGGGCCTAAGCCTCAACCTTATGAAAAGGAACAAGCAAGTCAAGATTTGCAGCACACCTCTATAACAATGGGATGAAAGTTTTTTTTTACAAATCCCTGCTATGGGAGGACGTTACTCAAATACTCAGATGCATGTTTTGATTTTAGTGCTCAATACAATTAAGCCACTATTACATCTAACCTGTAATATTAAGAGCAATAAAACTTTGCAAACACATCCCTTCCGAAACCTCAACCTCCAACACCCTAACCCAAAACCTCCAACACCCGAACCCAAAACCTCCAACACCCGAACCCAAAACCTCCGACACAAAAACAAACAAACCCCAAACCCATGAACCCATGAACCCATGAACCCATGAACCCATGAACCCATGAACCCATGAACCCATGAACCCATGAACCCATGAACCCATGAACCCATGAA